CTGTAAACCCTTTCTAATAGTAATAAAAATTGGCAGTGGTATATTAAGCATATTATAATCTTTTATTGTATTTATTTTCTACGTGGAGTTAAAAAGGTTATTAGAAAATATTAACAGTATACAGAGCTTTTTAAGCGAATAATAGCTTTACTAGACTATAAGAGTAAGGAGGATTATATTAAACTAGTCTAGTATTTATTATATAAATACTAGTTCCCTACTAGTAAAATACTAGTTATTAACTAGTTTACAAATACTGCTAATCCTGATTTAAAATAGGAGGGTTAGGCTTTTTATAAAGCTAACCCAGTTATAGCTATAAAACTTAATAAATCCTGCTCTTGCATGGATTCTAAAAACTTTAATAAAGCTACAGCTTATATTAATACAGCAGAGCAAACTCATGAGAAGGGGCTAGCAATGGGAAAAGCTTTAAGTATTATAAAGGCAGTATAAATATAAGTAACTACTAGTTTTATATTAATACCTAACTAGTACCTAACTAGTATATAGTGGCTATTACCTTAATAAGCAAGACATAGCACAATATAATACTTAAGATTTTTATAAAATTTAGTATTCTTATTCTAAGCAAAGTGGGTCAGACCTATTCGCAGAGAGTTTAAAAAGAGGTTGTAAGTAAATACCAGTTATTAATTAATTATATACTAGTTACTTATTAGTATACTATTAAAGTGTAAACATAAGTAAAAAAAATTATAATCTTATTAAAAATAGCAGCACCCTATAAAACGTGCAAATAAGGCTATTAAAACTACTAATAAACTATCACAATCTTAAAAAGTCTTATCTTCAGGGTTTCCTTGTCCAGAAAATTATTCGAGCTCTCAAGGCAGAAAATCACTACGTGGACAAGGGCGCAGACAACAGCCCCGAAACAGGTAATTAAAAAATTCAAGGTACTAGTACAATACTAGTTATTTACTAGTTACTAACTAGTTTTAGTTTTTATAATAGTACTAGTACTTTTTTATCTTTTTATTAGCAAGCAATGCTTAATAGTGCCGAAATATCTTATTAGTAATAACAAGCAGATTTACTTTTACTATAACAACGAGCCCAGCTAGAGCAGTATTAGTTATTAACAAGCCTAGTAGTAAATAGGAGGCTAGACCCAAGTGTCCTGCTAAACCAAGGGCCTACTAGTATAGGACTGGTCCCTAACTAGTTATATACTAGTACTAAACCTGTATTATCACCTCTTTAGGTCTCTACACAGGCTATTATAAGTCAGCCACAAGTAAACCAGGCACAGGCTATATTTTCTACAGATATTAAACTAGTCAGGGGCCTATCTAGTTAATTTCCGAATATCTAACAAATATGGTCTTTTAATTAGAGGAATAGAAATTTATATAGTGTATTATTAATTACCGTGTATAGTAACTATATATAAATATAATTATATCAGGGAGTGGATGGCTGGTATAAAACCAGTTATTTACTAGTTTATAACTAGTAGAGAAAATTCTTAAATATATATTTTATAATATACTTGTTATTATTTTAAGTATACTATATAACCTCGAAGGTTTTAATATTCTAAATAACAACAACTAGCTTTTAGCTAGCTATTTAGCAGTAGCTATTAAAGTCTATATATTTAACTTATTTCTAATAAACAACTAGCTTGCAGCAGTTCCCAAGCAGGCAAATTGCAATATTAGTGCTTATAAAGTGGCTAACTAGTTAGTAACTAGTTAAAACTAATAGCCCTTATTATCCCCTGCATCTCATCTGATTATAGGGCCTTAGACTTTTTTCATAATATTTAGTATACTGCAGCACCCTCCACCATGTCACTTTCAGCATTGTGTGACTGGTCAGGAACTGGTTTGCTACTAGTACCAGACTGGTAACGCCCTTACTTAATAATAAGGTACCTTAAACAAGTTCCAGTGTTCACAGTAGGGGCGTTGGCCATATTCTAAACTAGTTAGTACTAGTATTAAACTGTATTTATAACATACTAATTCCAAGCCCACTGTTTCTTTTTTAGCAGACACCACATAGGGAACACTTTCTATAATACAAGCAAGTATAACAACGAATAGTATTATAATTAGGCTAATACTAGTTAGCTACTAGTATATAACTAGTTACTAACTAATTATATACCTTATTATCCATTAAGAGTGGGAGCTCAGGGAGCGAAGAATTATTATATTTATATTAATTAGTTACTAGTAGCTAGTTAGTAGGATACTAGTAGCTTACTACTCTTTATTAGTTCTACCTGCTAGTATAGTAATAATAGTTGGAGATAAACTACTTAATATAATTAGTATAATAGTATAAAACTAGTAATAAACTATTATTATACTTTGTAAGATTAATAACCTGCTTTTTCTTAGGTATAGTATTAACTATAGTAGATATTTACTTTTGCAACTTAAAAGTATTATCTAGAAAAAAAAAAAGATACTACTTTATAACCAGTTAGTAACTAGTGTATAACTAGTTAGATATTTTTTTTTACTTTTAGTTTTAGAGTATATTGCAAAACTAATCTTCCTGTTAAAGCCTGGTTTAACTATAATCCCATAACACAAAACATGCTTGCAAAGATTAGTTATAAATTTATAGTATTTTAAAATACTAGTTAATAACTAGTTACTAACTAATATCTAACTAATATACTTATAGAACCTAAAGGGTAATCCTCTACACAACAGAATACTTCCTAAGGGTAAATTACCACCCTAGTTATAATCTTTGTATTACCATCACCATTATCAACCTCAAATGTCTCCTAAATTAAAAGTAGGATATTAGTATTATACTAGTTAAGAACTAGTAAAATATAGTAAAAACTTACCTTATTATACTTAGGCCAGTTAATTTCTCCCTTTACTCCCTTGTGCAGATACGCCTTGTAGCAGGGCTAAATAAGGTAAATATTACTCTCCAACCAGTATTAAACTAATTTCATGCCATTATCTTACCTCTTTCGAGAGATCCGCTATTATTAACAGCCAGGCGGGCGCGTGGAATCGACAATTTGTTATAAAAGGAAATAAAAAATAACCGCTAAGCCAAAATTTGTGGGTGTGTAGGCGGGTCGTCACCTGACCACCTGAAAGTGGTTTAGCTTCCCAGCGGCTAGGCGAGCCCACTTTCACCTCATCTGTAGTCTCAATGCGGCGCAGGTCCAATGCAGATATTGTAGATCTATACTAAACTAACATCATACTGGTATAATATAATACAAGCTTTTATAAGATTTAATTAATAATTATTCTACCAATTGATTGCTTGATGTCACAGTGCCAGCCTACCACCTTCCTAATGTAACCTAAACTGTTTTCCCCATTTAATCCTAGGCTTCAGACCATGTCTTGCTTATTATTGTGTGCTTGTCTGCATTCTGTCTTGTTAACTATGTCTACCTGTTGTACCTACTTACTCACTGATGCTGGAGAGAGATTTGCAGCTATAAGAAGTAGTAGATAGAAATATTATATTTGCTTCCCTCCCTCCATTAATAATTATTATTTGTATTGGCATTGCGATGGCGTATTGATTTTATTGTTTTATAGATACTCTTGCATCGGCTCGGAATATGATAATCCCCATTAAGTATAAATAGGGGGTAATATCATGTCGAATACTGTGGGGGATCCTCCAAGATTCCAAGTCGTGCGATTGGCCGATTGCTCAGCCTTGCGGACTGAAAGCAACCCCACATTACCACATAACAGTTTGTTACATCCAAAATAATAATCGGTATGAAAAAACTTCTATGGTGCGTGTGTTTTCAATAAAGGTAAGTGGACCTAAGTGCCCTGACGGCCAACAAGGGCCGTGCTCCATTTCCAGGTGGCGGGTAGAATCTAGAATGCCCTGCGATTGGACAAGTGATGGTCCTTTGCATGTGCTATTGCTTCATTGCTATTTTTACAAAAATCCTTCGCCTTTTGAATGGTGTGACTTGTGCTCTATACGGCTGCCACTGGCGAGCAAGCGAGGCTGCCTGATCATACCCGCTTATTATGCTCATTTCATACTTCGTCCTAGTAAGACCTGTGTTGTCAAAAATGTCTTCCCTTCTCTACTGAGGCAACTATTCAATGACATTGATACCTTGAATACACCCAAAAATAAATTGGTCTTTCGTCCCTGGTCAAAACAATTCAGTCCCGGCTAAATCACAGTCTTTAAGCATTCTCAGATAAAGAGGGCAATTAAGGCCCGCCGTCTGCAGAGAATGATTGAGATATCCACGCTTAAGAATGGAAGGATGAACTGCCTGCGACCTGCAGTGGCCTATGTCCTGAAAACCGACTCAATAGAAATAAATGCATAGGTATTTAAAAGTAGTCGTAAATATAATTCAAGATACCATAGTAAATACAACGTTGCAGTCTACTCACCCATGCATTCATATACTCAGTGGTGTAGGGAACTCGTTATAATTGATAGGAGCAGCTATTTGTTGATATTTAGAATTCAAGAGCATGGCTACTCTAAGAATTGCTCCACGCTCCAGTGACGCTGCTATTGAATTCAACATTCCAGTCCCATTCTGCATGCTGAAATGGACCGAACATGTCAAAATTGATGGTCCCGAAAGCTGACTCTTGAACGCTATCTGAGCCACTCAACTGGGTTAATGATGTTATGTACTCATTGGAATCTTCGATTTTAGTTATTTTATGACTATTTGAACATATTCCCGCTGATAAGTGTTGCCTTTAATACAATCTTTTAAGGTTGTTAGGGGGGTATATTAAAAAGATGAGCTGCTTCACAAATAATGCAGATTGCTTGGTTTTTTAAAGTGGAAATTGATGCACAGGATCCATGGTTCTAAATGTGACTCCTTCACTGAACTGCCTCCTTTATCGCATTGACTAATGTAAAATACTTTGCGAAATATATTGAACAAAGATGTCTAAAACACCCTCACATATCTCGGGTCAGAAGTTACCAGTCAATCCCGTTCCCTTGAGCTTAGTCGCCACCTCTCTGGCCCATCACTACTGCCACTTCACGGTCGTTCCTCCTATTCTCGCCTCCTCTACCCAAAAAACTGCAAGATGACTTCTCAGAAGCTCTTCCACGGTACAGTTCAAGAAGGTCCTCTGAGCTTCTAAAACACCCATCTCGCCGCGCTTTACCTTGGCCACCACTCTTACAAATGACAGCGCAAGACCGTCATCGCCTCCATGATGACATCGTTTGGTAGTGGGAATATTATACACCACTTCGGAGCCAGAGTGAAAATCGTTTACACGAATGGTGGCTGCATCGTAAACGATCTCCCCTGTGGTGCCTGATATACGTCCAAAACGCTTGCTTATAGCATCTGCGACAGCGACCATAAGGAACTGAACAACCTTTGCAGGGCGGTACCGGGGCTCAGTGCCTAGGTTGCCTGCGCAGAGCTGCTGCTTTGATGACAAAGAAGATCTGTTGGGTCTATTCTTCTGGCATTGAGGGAGTGGCAGAAGTTCGTCCTCCCACTCTATGGTGATCATTTGATCATCACACACATCATTGTCGGACTCCCAGACACAGCGCCCATACCAGTTTCTCTAACTCACCTGAGATGCAGGGGTTTTGTCGTCATAGTCCTCACCTGACTTCTAATAAGCGCTTTGCCGCAAAAGACAGTCCCCGCTTCCGAAGCACATCCTCGATATCAGGCACTATTGCATTGGCAGGACGATCGCTGTTGCCTGCCCTAAGTTGCTGATGCAAATAGAGCGATTTAGCACGGTATTGGCATGTCGTCTCCACAGAACAGCTCAGGCAGTTGGTGGCTGCACCGGCACCTGAGGGCTTATTGGATTGCCTGAAGAAGTCACTTTTGAAGGGAGATGAGGTGGTTCGGGGTTGGATGCAGAAGTCGACGAACAGAGAAGTCAGAGAAGAAAATCGATGTCGTGGCATGACTTTGTGAGAATCGAAGGTGCACTGGTGGATTCTTTCGCCAAGGACCTCTGCATATAATCAGCAACTGTCACGATAACTTGTAGTCTGCACGGCACATACCGCACGTAACAATGTCCGAAGTGCTTCCAGCCAACTGTTTCAGTATGTTCAACACTGATAACGTTGCCCACTGCTCGATCCTCACGAACAAGCTTCCGTAACATAACTTGGGGGAGGCTATGCCGTAAAACCAAGCCAACAGCAAAAATTGCTTCGGTTTGCAACATCTCCCATAACCTCAAGAGTGCCCCATAGATACAAAGCAGGTCACTCAGCCACGTTGCTAGCGGTTTCTCACACAGAATATGTAGCCCTAGAGGCGCCACAGCCTGGACAACTGCCGCATGAAGTTCATCCAACAGGCATACAAGTACTGCATCAATCCCTGGTCCGTCACCGTCCCTGTCGTGCGTTCCAGCTCTCGTCGATTGACTTCATAGCTGACGAACTCCTCCCAGCTAGTAAATGCCTGGCCTTCAAGCGGCTCACCTGCCCCCAGATAATTTCACCGAATGCTCGCCTCTTGAATTCGGATGGCTCAGCTACTGCGGCAATGATGCCTTCACCGGAACTATGAATTAGCTCAGCATAAGGATAGCCACGGTATCCTGCACCTATTACAAGGATTCGAGGTTTTGACTCCAAGGAGACCTTCGAGTTGGGTTCCAGGTGGCTCTTCTGGAATGTGACAGGTACGATTACAGGGCCTTTGGGTCTTGTATGCCGAAATAGCTGCATTTTGAAGGCATGCATATAACCTGAAGAGATCTGAGAGCTTTGGGGATTGAGGCTGCAGACAGATGATGGATCTTGAGCTCAAGCTATTGGAAGCCGCTATTATCAGGAATTTGAGGTACTCGAGTTAGGGGGCTGAGTGAAATCATTTCGCGGCCGAATATACAATGAGTTTAGCCTGATGCTCATCTGGTCCCGGTGGAGACTACAGTCTCTGACCTACATATTGGAGATTTTCCGAAATCACTAATATGTAACCATATTCTGGAACCTATTACCGTCATCCTGACACACACTACACCTTACTGGGTTAGCTGTGTATCTATATATACAGCATCTTTCATTTCATGTAACTTAACAGTAACAATTTCTTTACAGTCACTACAACACTCTTACAACTTGCTCTATAGAACCGCCCCCACATTTCACGCCCGATCTATTGTCAACGGCATGTCCCAAAATAGATATTCCTGGTTGGATGTGACGGGATTAAGGAGCCGGCGGAAAATGGGGCCGCTATAAGACCTTCTTATGATTTTGACCTGTGATTCGCCGCTTCCCGTAAATTGCCCTTGCATGCGATTTAATGGAATGTAACATTAATTACTATGTAGTAAGGCATGCTCAATTCCAGGAATGAAGAAGTTCCCATGGTACATAGGTCTGCCCACTGACAAATTCAGCAAGCAATCACGACACGTCCAGATCTCGAACTCCATCGCTTAATAGATTATACAGCGGATGATTTCTTGCTTATGTGTCTCTCTTAAGAAGCTTAGTCTGTCAAGTCCTTATAATTTTGTTGATTACAGCTTGGCTATTCAAGACTGAGTTATTAACATGCCAAACTCGTCGATATCGCAGAGACTTACGGAGCAAAAAACTCCAGAGCAAGAATCCCCAGATGAGATTTTTTCAGACGCTGAAGAGGAACGACATATCCATGGAATCAAAGTAAGCGTGTTCAGATTAAGATTAAAGTGTTACTAACAGCTGTAGTGGTTTCTTTTAGTTGCTAGCACATTGACAGGCAGTTTTGTCTATGCTTTGGATAATACTATCGTTGCTAATATTGTACCCGTTCGTTAGTTCTTAATTGCCGCAAGAAAGAAACTCTGACCTTTAAACATAAAGGCTATTGTTAATCATTTCAATGCGGTCGAGAATTTGCCGTGGTTATCCGTTGGGTGAGTTTGAATACGAAAGACAATTTAATAAGCATCTCTAAAAATCCACGGGGAGTAGATTTATGATCGGTGGACTGTCAATGGTTCTTATTTACGGCAAGCTATACACTTTATTTAACTCGAAATGGCTATATATCGCGTCCACTGTTATCTTTATGGCTGCTTCTGCAGTCTGTGGCGCCGCTCCTACTATAAACGCTGAGATCGTTGGACGAGTTTTCGCAGGCGCAGGTGGAAACGGAATGTACTTTGGTATTCTAGACCTTCTATCAACAAATACAACGAGCCGTGAGCGTCCGCAATACTTGAGCTTGACGTGAGTCCGCTACGTGAATATGATGACAGACTTGTTGACAAGGAAGCAGAGGCCTAGTCTGGGGCTTAGGAACCGTCCTTGGCCCAGTCGTTGGGGGTGGGTTTGAAAAATATACCTGGCGCTGGGCGTTCTACATCAATCTACTTTTCGGTGCCATTCTTATACCTACTTACGTTTTCGTGGTTCCGTCCAATGTTCCAGCCCCTGAAATACCCTACCGACAGAAGCTTTCCAGTTTTGATTGGGTTGGTAGCTTACTGAGCGTTGCCGCATTTGCAACCCTGGTGATGGCAATTAATTTTGGCGGGACTCTATATGCCTGGAAAAGCGGTCAAATCATTGCTTTGTTCGTAGTGTCAGGCACGCTTTGGATCTTATTTGGCATCCAGCAGGGGTTTACTATTGCTACCTCCTTGCAGGATCGGTTACTGCCAATGCACCTGTTTAGGCAGAAGGAACCGGCCTTACTTTTCTTTGCTTGCGCTTCAGTAGGGATGGTGACATATCCAACTGTGTACTATATACCGATCTACTTCCAGTTCACTCGGGGCGATGATGCAATCCGATCTGCGGTCAGGTTGCTTCCATTTATCTTTATATTGATTGTGGCTATTCAGTCAAGCGGCGCCTTGATGTCTAGATTTGGTTATTATAAGCCATGGTATTTGCTCGGAAGCACATTAGCCCTCGTTCCAGCGATTCTGATAGGTAAGGTGATAGTTCCTTACGGCTCTGAGATTTTATGGCTGATTAAAGCATAGCTACCATTATCCAAGTCCACACAAGACCGGCCATTCTCTACGGACTTGAAATTGTTATTGGATTAGGCGCCGGTTTATACACTCAGGCAGCCTTTGCCGTAATTCAGGCTGTTACAGCGCCATTTGAAGCTACCTATGGTCTTACTTTAATGCTGCTCGGTTCGTCCATCACGCCATGCAGTAATTGTTTAGAAAAATCTATTTAAATGCTTACAATAAACCAGCTCAACTTATAGGAATGACCCTTGGACTATCCATCACCGGTGCCATTTTTGTCAATGTGACCCAAAATGGTCTTTTCAAGTTGCTTCCCAACCTACCCCGGGAGCAGGTCTCTCAAGTTGTCTCGGGAACAAGCAGCGCACTACTGAACAAACTTCCAGACGCTGTTCGAGAACAGGCGCTGGATGCAATTGTGCACGCTTGGCGCTATCTGTAAGTGGAGTTCTTTGCTTATCTTTCCTTGTCGTATATAAACTTATATCTTCCTTAAGTTTTGCTTGTGTCAGTTTTGGGGCTGGAGTCAGTCTGCTTTGCGCAGTCTTCATGGCAGTGAGTTTTTTTCTAACATCTGCGAGCAACCTTCAGCGAAAGTAAAATTAACTTTCTACAGAATAAACGTGCCAACATGGTGTCTGCGGCAGGCGGGGCTTAGTTTTGTTCTATTTTTACACCTTGTGTACCGCATTATGTTCGTGTGTTATATTGTGGATATGCTGGTCCAAGGGGGATGTTGTACGAACATCTGAAAGGGACTTAGATTTATAGCTTTGAGGATATACAGCTTATTATAAAATCCCTTCAGAGCCATACTAAGTTGCGCATGCAAATTCTTAGATGGACTGGGACTATTTGAGACGTCATGCAGCTTTACAGAATTGAGCTGTATTTAGATAATGCGTCTACAATCAATTGGAGCACTTAAAGCATACTTTATAGTCGCTCTCCATATATACAATGTCAATGTACAATATATGGGAACTATTCATATAGCTATAAGTAAATGTACCCCACAGAGCTTGAAATAATTATCAGATCACACTACGTTATTAATCCTCCAATCTCTTGAACCAGGTTTCTTTAACACCCTTTTTCTACTACGGTATTAACACATTGGTATATCTGCAACCCTAGAGTGGCGGCCATCACAGTTGCTAATATCTAGGCGAGTTTACTGGGAATTTATCTAACATTGGACTTTCTATGGACATAGTACTATTTGTTAGAGTAACTTAGTTCACTAGTTTAATACTATCAAAGTGTATGCGTTACTCTATGCAATTTAAAAGCTTTTGCTCCGAAAGGATAGATTGGAACACTAGTCTAGAATTATTGTTTGGAGAAATCAAAGGCTAGATCCTGGTATTTATGCCAACTAGATATTTTGTATAAACACTCTGCTCTGTTATAATCTTTCACAAAGTCCTCCATAACTTGTATTCTTGAGGGTCGGCTTACGACTCGATTGTGCACTTAGAAAGAATTTCTGGTACCAGGGAGGTGGTACACAGACCCGGCATAATTACCACCGATGATGTTGTAGACATCGCGGTCCAGTCCAGGCCGGCTATCTGTAAAAAGAAAGTTGTAGTTAGCCATTTTTATAATGTCGTAAACACCATGGCAGCGCAGGAATGGAGTAGCATACCTCCTGGCTTAGTTAAAGGTATTCTGCGACCGGACCAGCACCCGGAAAGATTGGGAGGCCGTCAGCATACATATTATTAAAGTGCTTGGGGTATCCTCTGTTTGGATTGTAGGAGGCATCGTAGCTGGCCTTAACCTCGTTAGCCGTATAGATTCTGCCGTTACAGTTAACCTTGGTAAATTTGGCATCGACATTGTCACCTGCATTCTCAGCATTGGAAGTCGCACAAGCAATCGCTGCCAGTCTAAGGAGACAGACAGGCTTCAGACTCAAGACCATGAAGCAGGAGTTAGCATCTTAAACCTCTAGATACTAAATAAAATTAGCAAGTTCGTCCCCTAAGTTTGCGTGCTTTACACTAGCTAACATGATTTATATTATTTATATCTATATATAATATTAACGTAAAGAACGTTATATTTGCTTCCCCCCTCCCCTGTGATGGTTTGGTTGTCTCTGCGCTGGTAGAGATAGAACCACTTGACCATATAAAAAGGTACAAGATGACTGATCTTCGATCAGTCGCATCTAGCGCCCTCTATAGTAGCGAAGGCCTTAGTCTGAGCACCATACTGGGTTTAAGCCGTGACATCCTCAGGGCTATTTGGCCCTCCCTACCAATCACCCCGAATAACAAGCTACAACGAAGTACAGGACCTGATATTCAATATTTACGGAAACACTATACTCGGCACGACTTGGCGGTGCGGAAATATCTGACGATCCATTCTACCCCTCAGTCCTTTAGAGAGGGTGAGCACCTAGATAGGAATGGAATGCAAGAGATTCAGTTGGTTGAGATGCTGTGATTCCTGGTGTTTCCACCGAATGACATCTACTTCCTCGTTTGGCTAGTTGGCTTGTAGCTGATAGAATAGCTCCCTGCGCATCACTTCCCCTGAATTCCACAACACAATATAAAGAAAGACATTATGATTTTGCAACATATTAAGCTCTTTCCACTAAAATAAATCCGTTGTGTGTGTTTATATCTGGAAAATTACTATTCTGAGATGTTTCATGAAAGTTGCAAGCTTGCATATACCAAGGTAAGCACTGTAACAATTGCATACTTCTGAAGGCCCATTACATATTGCCTGGACATGGTTTAGCCAATTTGTTTATGTGTTTTGGCTTGGGCGGGGCGAAGGTGACGACAGGTGAAGCGATTGGGGAACTGCAATGACATTTGATTAGAAATTCTCAGATATCAACTCCATTACAAAATACAGTACATAAGACCACGGGGTGTGGAAAACAGGGCTTCCGTCCGCTCAGCCGTACTCAAGCCACGGTCAGTAGTTCAAGAGCCCTCTGGCCCTTTATGTAAGGATTATTTTAACTTAAGAATATTTTACGCTCTACACTAACGGTGCCGCATTATATTCGAACCGATTTGACAAAGAAACACGGCCTCCCCACCAAACACCTGGAGCGTTTCTTACTAACTGCTAAGGATATAGACTATCTTCTTTGTTGTTTTTTTAGTAACAATAATCACGACTACATACATAAGCGTTTAAGAATTCAGACCGCCAGTTCCCTCTCCCTATTTGCAGGGTCCGCTGCCAGAGTAGGATCTGTGGTTAAATCAAGTTCTTATTAACAAAGTAATAAGTGTTTTTATTATAAGGTCCGTTTTTACTTTACTGTCTAGATATAATTCTATCTAATTATTTCCTACCAGAATCTGTCGTTTAATCTGAAGTGGAGTAAAAACTCTGGCAAGGTTAAACACTGGGTTTGTAATTGACCCGGAGTTCCTGACAGCTTTCCGCTGTCGAGATAACAAGAGATGTGAGGTACGACTAAAACTAGCTTAATTAATAGCTAATCCATTTATAGACCAAGGAACTGGTTTCGGAAACATCCTGTTCTTGGAAAGAGTTTTATTTTCTGGGTAATTATTTATAGTATTACAAATGGCGCCTTAAAAGGCATTTTGTCTATTAATAAATTACTAGACGCGCGACCCCCAAAAGGGAGAGAGTCTTAGATTATTTAGAAAAAAATAATACCAAAGCGCTTCCATTCTTCTAAATAGTAACTCCCCAAGGGCCGAGAGCAGACAACGTGTTAACCTCCTTATTATTAGGATATTATCTAACAAGCTTGGCCGAGCGGGATGGTTTTAAGGACCGTCTACGAGTTCACAGAATTAAAAACAAGGTTACAAACAAGATAGACTGTAAGTTTTATTTTAATACAAAGATTATTTCCATACTTCTAATATGTTTCGTACGTTCAGCGAAAACATCGGCTGCCACCTGTAGCTAAGCCCTTGATCACCAGAATTGCGAACCTTCTTGAAGTACCAGTCGATACTAAAAATATTAGATATTCTCTCATTGTACTATGATCTAAAACCTGTTATAAGTATTGTGATATAGAACAGAGCATGGCCTACCATCGTGACCTAAATATCCCGCTTCGCCTTGACGCTGCCGCTCTCGCGGATTTTAAGCAGGATAAGGAAGTTGTTTTTGTTCCAGGTCTCACATCAGAGAGAGCCCAGCTTTATTTAAGATAGAGGAAGAAGCCGTACGCGAGACACTGTGAATGTATTAATAAATAGTGGGATGCTTCCTACAATAAGTATATTACTGTGAATAAATTTACAGAGTATAATACTACGTGTCTTTTTAACATTTACTGCAAATATATTCCAGAAAGGGTATATTTGGGGAAGAGCTTGGTTAAAAAAGCACCCTTAACAGTGACATTAGAAGACAATGCTTACGCGACGCGATAACTATAGTAAGTTTTTGTATATTAACTAAGCAGGTGGCGTATTATCCCGGCTGAGCCCTGTGGATGGAAAATATCCTTTTTGTTCTAGGGAGATGTCTAGGCTTGTCTAGAGTTTATTTGTAACACTATTGTTTATTAGTTAATATATGCTAGTTTTAATATTTAAGGACAAGCAAAGTATATTTTATAATATTAAAAAAAGTTAATAAATACTGCACCCTACCAGCAGCGCTATAAAAATAGCAAATAAGCTTATTATTGTATTTAACAAAGCTTTGCTCAGTTTTGTTACTTATGTGCTGAATTTATTAATAATAAAGCAAATTAGGTCCTGTACTACCGGACTTATTTGGAGACACTGCAGCCGTGATATAAACTTTTGATATTCTGTTACATGTTGGTAGCGGCCGGGCTTTGTCCTTTCTGCCTTGGAGACGAAAGTAAAAGGGCAGATGAACAGTTCTAGCAATGGCTTAAGAAAGCTACACTCTTAAACCACATCGATGAACACATGAAGATATTATTACCAGAAGAATAAGTATCATGCCCTCATCCCTGCCGCAGGACATATAAATGATGATAACAGGAGAGGGCTGTGAATTCATGTTTGATATCTAACATTCACTAGGAATTTGGAACCATATTTATAGCTAAGACTCTGTTTTAGCCCCATGCTATCCAGGTATATGTCAACTATCTGCTTAACTTTATATTAAATTAACTTCACCTGCAAATTTCTGGATTTACAAATTGCGAAAGTAAAGCGTGTCTTATTCACCTGCATTAATTCTAATTATCTAACAAGATTAAGATAAATAATGCATCCAGTCTCATGCCTTCTTAGAACAAGATGTCGCGCGCCTATTTGATGGTAGCCCAGGCTTATACTATGATTATCTGCGAACTTGACCCAGTTGCGGGCCTTCAATGGATACAACACGGGGTTCTACGCTAGTAGAACAGACATTGAGCGCCAAAGTTCTCCAGTCCCAAAAGGAGAATAATGTTCTTTCGTTGATTAACTAACCCTGACCAACTAAGGAAATTACTAACACTATACAAACTCAGATAACATATGGATGGCTTTATTTATCTTTGTTATAATCATTCGCTCAGGGGAAGGAATGGGTGGCAGAAGAACACTATACCAGCTACACGCCGGTAGCCTACTAGGGAGAATAATAATAATAAATGTATTAACTGCGCAACCAACGCGCCAACATGCTCTATCTCTCTGGCTCTCTTTCCTTAGCTACTATCTAAAGGAATGGAGGCGATTTAGATGACGCTGAGCAATTGCCAAGGCGCTAGGAGTCTTCGGATCCCAAATTCCGATGTTTATCAATCACGACCTCTTGCAAGCGAGCGCAGGCTCTCACAACTTTAATTTATCTTTCAAAACACATAGATTATAATAAAATATACTATGTCCTACCAACACATACGACCATAGGGTGTGGAAAATAGGGCTTCCCGTCCGCTCAGCCGTACTCAAACCACACGCCGGCAGGTTAGTAGTTGGGTGGGTGACCACCAGCGAATCCTTGCTGTTGTATGTCCTTGTTCACCAGCTTTTTTTGACTCGTCGGGTTTAGCGCCCTTGCCGCCCTACCGTCACCCTCCTTCATGTATCTGCCTCGGCCATGGATGGATGGTACGTGCCGGGGAGAGAGTCAATCTGGGCGTACCGTCGCTCGAGCTTTTCTATCTATTCCAATCGTATCCGTTTTTAGTTAGTTGGTGGGAGGACAACCAGAAAGGCGAACCTGACTCGATCCACTTGATATTCCGTGCCCGCACCGGTTTCACCAGAAAAGCCCTAAACTGCCTGGAACCGGACCGTGAATACTGGGCATAGATTGATGGAACTTTCGGGCCGTCCTCCGTGCATAATTACATGCTCTCAAGGGAGGTGGGTGACTACGGGCATATCCTGATAATTACGAGTGGGATCGGAATTGCCGCCCAGATCCCACATATCAAAGAGTTATTATCTTGTCATCACAATGCTACAGCTACAACACAGAACATTACGTTGTTGGTCTGGTAGCTGGATCGCAAGGGTGATTGGGAAAGTGCTCGTGAGTAGCTTTAAGAGCTTGTCAAGGGGACAATGGTTGTGTATCACCCCATTATTTTACCCATTTTCCTTGGTTTTTTTGTCAAAGATTAACTAGACATAGATGCTAAGAGTGAATGTTTACAACCCTTCAAACACTAAGAATCTCACAGTGCCTGAGAAAATCGGCTACCACGACTTGATTTCTTTCTATGGCGGTAAAGCGGCGTTGAGCGAGATCCTAACTACGGAGGTGCAGAGGTAGACTGGTAAACTTCTGGTGACAGGTAGTTTTTGATCTCATTATTTGTCTGACATAGTTGTCTTTGCTGATCAGTTAACAGTTTCTGCTCGGCGCCGAATTCGCCGGACGGTGCGACAGCTTGTGAGGAATAATGTACGGTCTGACGTGGAGCCTTTAAGCTAGACTTTCAGCCTTAGAGCGAAGGAAAAGACTAGTTATCGTTTTTTACTCCATAATTTATCAGGGTAGCGAGCAAGGACTTGACAAGTGGATTCGTGGTAATTTGTATAGAACCTTATTCACTGGAAAGCTAGCTATGGTGACGTTGGCAGGTTTTGAGATTTGTTAAATTGTAACTTAGTTACTATACAGGCAGCGGCCATCCTTGCTGTTATTTAAATCCACATTTATTTCATACACTTCAGCTAATTAATTCTTGATAAGTTTTATTCACCATTAATACATTATAATGTCCAAGCGTCCCGGTAAATTTCCTGCAATTATTTTGATACCTTTTTTTTTGGTTAAATTGTTCTATTGCATCGTCTTATGTTTTTCAAGCTACAGTGTGTTTTACGCTACTCTATGGCCATAGCTAGAGTTATATGTACGAAAATGCCTCCCGAGGGAAACTAAACAATGAAGACAAAGCATTCCCCTACGAGACTGATTCAGGCAGACAAAATGACAATGAAAGATAATCGAATAGTAAAGATAAACAACGACAAGCGGTCCTCCTGGAGATTAATGTGCCGAAAGCGCCTGTTAGATTATACTGGTAAAATAAATCCAATAGTCCCGGATATAGAGCTTATATATCCTTCCTTATAGGACAAATTAGGAATTCGTGTCAAGCCGACTGAAGTTTGACTCAAGTTCGACTTAAATATGCCATACGAGTGGTTTATCTCTCACAGAAGAATTCTATCTATCCGCCTGGCTTTTTAGTCCCTGGCCCAGTTAAAAACACATCAGGGACTTTTTCTAACTTGTGGGGTAAAGAGAAGAAAACCTTCCTTGCCAACAACAGCTAGAAAGGGACATCCTTGGCTGGGTTGTTGTCGATAAACAACCATTTACCATAATTGAGTCTCCAGAATTCCGGCAGATTTTCTGTAATATCCGCGGGATTACACTTCCATTCACATCCCGACATACCCTCCGGCAGCGGCTTATGGATGTATTTAACAGACAACGTGCTCAATTAAAGGAGGAACTTAGGATATCTTGCAAACAATTGCTATATCTTTTGATATTTGGACAAGCCAAAACCACCTCCCAATCCTAGGTATAATCGGCCACTGGCTTACAGCGTTATGATTACCAAGAGACAGCTCTTGAATTAGAGGCTCACTTTGGATCTCAGGTTGTGTATTAGGTGTGACAGGACGAGGCGCTTCAGTAAAGGTTGTATCTGCGGAAGAGATAAAGGATGTCTCCGTTGGGTCCTGAACCAAGGGCGCTGGAGTGGAGGGAGAGTACACGGGGGTGCCAGTAGTGGGAGGGTTGCAACCGGAGACGCCGCAGTCTTCATCGTCGCCGCGGTCTCTTTAGCCCACTTTATTCATCTATCCTCCTCTTGCGAAAGCTTTGCTTCAGGAAGCTGTTCCTGTATAGCAGTTCTAGTACCACCTGTGTAGCCAATCTCCACAAGCTCTGCCCAAGCCCTAACACTCCCTTCCACCCGCTCCGCGGCAGCCTCAATCCAGTTTATATAAGTTTTGCTGCCGCAACCGCTCTCCTCACATTTAGGTACTCGTGTCCGATCAGCCAACTCATACAAGACGAGCTTTTCCACATAGGCAGGGTTTGGAACTGGGATGCAGCGGTGCAGTTTCGGGCCCGGGTAGCACTTGGGGCATGGGAGCGGATCGGATCCCTTTGCGCTGCGTCGGATTCGCGAGAAACCTGGTGCACCTGAGACAGTGATTATGTTTGCCGTTGGTGGTTGACTGCAGGGGATTCTTTAGAACTTCTCGAAGCTTGCAATCGATGTATGTTGTGTCGCTGAGTGCTTTGATGGCGTGGGTTCCTAGTAAGAATGCGCGCTCTTCGCCTGCGATGGCATCGGTTCTAGGGAGTCGGAGACGGAGGATGTGATGCGAGGGAGGGTCGACCTCTGAAACGGTTGGTTGCTCGGTCAGCATCCATTGCTGAACAGCCGTGCGCACATTGTCATCTCTGTTATGTCCTGGCTCGCTACAGCGGTATAGCTTGGCAAGTTCAGTCAAGTTATCATCTCTCTTATCATCGCTGTTGCCGTCATACTCTAACTGGATCTTGCTAGCGGTCTCCAGATCACTCGTAGTGATAGAACGCTCGCATCTGTTCCCACCATCCAGGTACGCAATACACCTTTTGCTGTCTGGCGGATGGAAGTTACTCAAGTCAATTGAAGATAAAGGTAGGAAACGTTCATCCAATATGCTGGTCATGAAGGCTATCGGATACCTAGGCACCTGGTTGTACCATCCAGTTGGGGTATATCAGCCGTCCCTGAGCGGAAAGGGGCTCAGGGAACCAGATAGGCTCTGGTGAGGGGAAAGATCCCCAGCCTCCTCTGAACTAGGGCTAGGCACATAACGAGTGAGCTCTGACTAGGCACGGGACTTTCTCAGGTTGTGGCACTGCAGGATTGAGACCCCTGTTCCTATCGCGCAACACTAGCGAGTCAGAACAATCAAGATGATGAGATAGATCACCATTGGCGTGTGAGACAGGGCTGCATCGCGTAGATAGTGACTGGCAGGGACTTGTTTCCTTCTCGCTGGGTTTCCTTCTTGGTCTTAGACTAACGAGGTCTGCTAAGCACAGCTCTCGCTGTCTTATGATGCGTTTAGATGCATAAAAAAATTGTGTACTAGCATAAGTCTAAGTGGAGGAATAGTGTGAATGTACGCTCATCACAACCGATTACACCCTCACCAAAGCTTCATACATATACCCATATCTGGCGGCCTTACACAACAGTCTCGCTAGCCTCCAACCCCATGCACGGACACATAGAATGAAGGTCGCAGTCCGCCCGAAGAGAGCCTTCGTCCATCCCACATCCTCCGTTGTAAAGCCATCAATACGTTCAAACTCGTTCTCACCCATCAGCAGCTCCTTGTCTTCTATATAACCCTCCATTGACGCACAGCCTAGGCTCCTCAAACTCCTTCTTGATACTCTCCAGGGACTTCTCGACATTTTGAATAAACCGTTTAAACCGCGGGTTTTCAACGGCAGAGTAACTTTTAAATGCTGGACAAGACCGATTTCATTCGCATTGTATACACTCCCTCCAAGATGCCATGTAACGACGGCACCTGAGCAGCAAAGGGTTTGATTCATACACCACGACAAGGCTTAAGCATACAACAAAAACCAGCAATACATAAATCCAAGCAGGCAGCAAAGCTACAAACAATGTCAAATAGCATAAAGATAACGAGACGGTGTCACGAGAAGTAAAAAAGCAATCAAAAAAGCTTAATGTTCTCAAGAATATCCGCCAATCCATTCTCGTCCTCCTTGGTTTCCTTCGGCACGACCTTCACCGGAGAGACAGGATATGCGCCGGAGATACTAGGAAAGAGGACGCGGCCTTTTGGTGTTGACATACTCTCGACGGGGGTCCAGTAGACCTCGGGCGACACGGACGGCGATGCAGCCGGTATGATCAAACGCTGTCCCAAGATTGGCTTTCCGTTTCGTGAGCGTTCAATTGGGGTTGGGGTGGGAGGATCGCTGTAGTCATCATCGGGCGTTCCAGGCGCAGAGCTTGAAGGAGAAAGTCCAGGCACCGATTCTGCATCGTCGTCGAGGTTGAGGTCCTCTCCAGTCACGATAGCATTGTCGACAACGGACTTGCCCGAATTATTTGGCTCGGAATGTGACACTATTTTATCCCATCTTTGAACCGATTTTTGAGCCCATTTGTACCATCTGTCTGGATCTGAAGAGAACCCAGGAAGTGGAACAGACACTTTGGATCGATTTTCGGGGCTCTGGAGGCCCTTTGAAAACAGGCACCAAACCTTAACACGTTGGTAGATATTATCGAAATCAGTTTTGAACCATTCTGTGTGAGTCGCGTTGCACTTGAGACATTTATGCTTGTATCGATGCTGAGTGAACTCCAGCTTCAAAACCGTTTCGAATACCTTCGAGTTTGGACAGTAGAAGGAGCATCGTTGCGTAAGATTAGGATAGCACTTCTTATGTTCACTAGCCCTTCGCGAGAGATTGTCAGAGCGCCCGAGCTTGCACATGCCTTCCGCCTCTTCACACTCAAAGATGTATAAATAATCTCTTTTATCATTCCAATTGTGAGTAATGAATTCTTGACTTATCCTGCGGTCTATCATCCGAAGTTCGTGGGAGAGCTCATCCCTGACGAGTTTGTCGATCTTGGTTTGATAAGGTGTGAACTCCAACTTGGAACTTCCCTCGTCATCGCTCGACTGTGCATTGACATTTCTCGGCGGTGTTCCTAGACTAACAGCTGCACTGTCTTGCGGTTGAAGCTCGGAGCTCCACTGGTGCACGGCTGCTTCTATGATTCCATATGATCGCCTATGACGCCCGCAGAGAGTAAGTGTGGCCAACTCCCTTAACATCTCTACTCTCGTTTCATCATCAGTCGTAGTCTCGTAGCTGTTCTGAAGCCTTTCGTGTAATCTGCTGATCCGAGGGATATCGTGCAGCTTCGACGTGCAGGGTTTTCCATCGTTCGTGTATGCGGGACACTTGTTAGTACATTCTGGGTGCAAGGACAATAAAAGATGAAATGGAATGAAATGTCTCTCTTTTGCCGGCATATCTACCTACCAAGCTTGGCTGAATACATCCAACTTTGTCCAGTGGACGATAGAGGCCTGGGGTTCACATTGCTTATCATATGGCGCTCAGCCCCCAAATCAAAAGCAGTCCCGCGGATCCGGGGCAAGAAATGTGCCCAGCGACCCCTGCGGCACCGGCGTCAACAAACCCCTCTCAATTTTTGCCAAAGGATCGCTACCCCGGCTTTGGGAGAGACCTGCGAGTCACGTCCATTTTAAAGACGTATGATTGGTCCGGGGAACGAGTGAGCTGTGGGCGGCCCGTCCCAGCGGCGTGGTGGATACGACGAGCTCCTTTGATCTCAGGGGGCTGGGACTGGCCGAACTGTCGGATTTGTTCACGAGGACAGGGTTGAGTCCATATCGGCGAGGGGAAGGTAACATTTGATTGGCTGAGCAATATATTCCGTGTGTCTGTTCCTTCAGCTCTGCTCTCAATGACAAATACTTTTTTGATTGCGGTCTGAGCCTGAGACCGAAAGGTGTGACGGTCATCTCGCCTTCAGCCTCATGTCATATCAGCTTCGAAAAGAATAGTGAGAACAAGATATGAACCGAGAATATCCGATAATATTTACCTACAACTGCAATAGCCAAACCTAGAATGAGATGTGAAGATAGCCTGTCGGAAGCAATGTCTATCCAGTTTTGCTTTTTCAGGCGCTTTGGCGGCGTGTCATTTCGAAACCACTATGTTGACGCACTAGTCTTTTAGTGCTTGGAAGGCCCTGTCACCTGAACAGGACTTTTGCTGACATCGCGCTTGTGACGGAGGTTATCGGCTCCAAAATCCAATGGTACTACTAGGCTTACCTGTAGGCAACGACAAGGTCCGGGTGTTTTCTAACGGCCATTCCAGGCTGCTACTGATACTGTACATACTCTATCATAGAGATAATAGTGTTATGGAATGCACAGGGGAAGGAGGGCAGGATGAAACTGAATCGGCTACACGCACGTAGCCTACTAAGGAACGGATGCCTTTATAACGATAGGCTCTCTATATTCAATAACTAACTTCGACGACTGGCTATTCAATACGTGGAGGGGTCAGTTTCTCAGAGAAAATGAACTATCACGCACTATACTGGGATTTGATGATATTACTTCCGGATATGTTACTACTGCTGGGATGTAATTTATCAAGCACAAGTGGAATGAGTATGATGAAAACACATTCCAAGGATTTGGTGGTTTCCTCGAATGGGAAGTTCATGCTTTTGTTTCAAGGGCGCAGAGAGCGGATCATGCTGGTCTAATAATAAACAAATTTTGAATCTATTGACCGACCGTCAATTCTGATGATCTGATGTTAACAAGGTATTCTGTTTGTCACAGTATTTGTCGAGGAGACTGACCTGTTTTAAGACTCCAGCGATGGCCAGACACCTCAATGCGGGGCTGTGGATGAGTATTTGAGCATTTTGTGTGCTTCTTGAAGAAACCAAGATCTGCCCGAAGGAGATGGAAGTGGTGGTTCTGGATGATTGGACATGAACTCAGCGCGTCGTGAAAACTCTGACACGTTCACTACCTGCAACGCCAACGACGAATAGCCAATTCCTGTCTCCCATCCTGCCTCGCTACAAATTCTGCAATCGACGTTTATCACATGATCGCAGGTTTAGTAAATGAGTCGAGAATGACATTACGCCGGCATAAACAGTAGCAGATTGACATACTTTTGGCTGTCGTCTTTACATTCTACGAAAGCCTTACTCGTCAACGAAAACCAAAAGTGTTACGTGTAGCATTCTCTGCGTAAATCTACTCGCTCCTCCGATATTATACATCGTGATTTGAGTGAGGGGATACTTTAGCCTGGATCTGGAAATAAATAGACATAGCTTGATCATATGTTTCATGTGAAGTCCAACCATCCCTGCCCATGATTCCCGATAACGCGTCCCAGAAGTCCTGTACTTCATTCCAACCTTCACCATCTTCATAATGTTTACGAATTTCTTCGGAAGAGAAGTCGATCGGGCACTTAGACGTATGGCCTAGTAAGTCCCACTTTCTTCAAATATCTTACAGTAAGCATAATAGGTCAGACATGTCGGACTATCTCATCACTTACTTCTGTATCCTTATTAAAGACTCTCGTAGTGGTAAGATGTCTCCATCCCATGTATTCCCAACAAAGCGGATCGGATCGGTCATTATCCTGCCATTTGGATACCGGAACAATCTGCTTAAAATAGGGTTCCTCTCTGCTGTATATTTCTCATACAGATACAATAGTATAGACTTGGTGACTTGGCTCTTAACAGCAGTTTGCATACTTTCGTCCAGCTGCTTGAAATTTTCAGGAAGTTCTAGTATCAATTCACCGTTATAGTCGAGAAACTGCGGATGACGGGCTTCTAGGAATAAGGGACCAGCCCATGTGGTTTGCCAGTCTATGATACTGGTGATATTGCCATTATCATCGACGAAAATATTAGGGGTGCGAAGGTCAGAATGCCATAAGAACTACCCCGAAAAGTCTTCCTCTCGTGGAATTAGATGAGGAGCAACAGAAAGATATCTCCGGAGAAGAGAAACGTGTTCAGTAGGGTTGTTTTGGCTGTGTGAAACGAATAACGGGTCGTCAGGAGAACGTGGAGTTGCATGTTTCTGAATCCAAGTTATCTCTCGAAGGGCAAGAGCCTGCATATAGTCTATTGCAGAAGCCCCTGTATAATTATTAATTTAAATCAGCGATAAGAAATGGAGAATCACGCATACATGGCCCACGATCAATATCCATATTGCCCCGCTGTTTACTCCAGAATGACATGTCCACCATTGGTCCAATAGAAAATTGCTTTGCAATTTTGTTCTTGAGTTCATGCGACAAGGTATCTCCTTCAATTATTGCAGGATGAGATCCAGGAGGTGCGTCTTTACTATAGAAAAGGCATCCATGTCTATCCAAGTTAGAAAAGTATACGAAATTTGTATTCATTAGTCATGAGTATACATACTCTGAAAATTTCAACAATAACAACTTTTGTTGGATGGTCACTATATCTTCCATTGTTTGGATCTTATGCTCAAGGTCCATGTCTGTCCAAATGTCTGCGAGATTTTTGCCCGGAGCATGCTCCATAATGATGTATTCAGCACCTACACGATTCGTCGAGTCAACTGCAGAATTCCATGCAAGAACTTTAGGGACCGGTAAGTGGAGCGTGTTTCTTAACTAAGGTTATGTCAATCGTTAGTGTGCAAGTCTAAAAATGGTTAAGTAGCATGATCAACAATAAAGCTACTCACAAAGTCCATTGTTGCAACCTCTGATGCTGTTGTCAAAAAAGCTGGTCCAGCATTCGGATTCGGAATTCGGGCGACAACTGCTTTCCCGTTGGCCATGGTGAGCTGGAAAGACTTGTTATATGATCCTTCCCCTAACTTTTCCATACTGACACAGGAGTCCGAGGATGCCGACTCCATGGCGACTTTCTGCAGTTCGAGTATATCAAATTCACGATACCTCTCTCGAAGCTGCTCTTTTTCGTCCCAAACCCATCGTCCACTTGTATAACCGTAGAAATCGTGTGGATTTCCGACGACATTAGCCATCTGAGAAGGAGAACGTTGATGTGAATAACTTCGGATTGGGAAAGACAACTTGGTCACTCTTGACAATACTGGAAAAGTACTCTGAATTTTCATTAAAATGCGTGGGAACACAGGCATGTTTATTGCATTCATTAAGGAGAATCATGGGAATAGTCTTGCAGGAGGCATCAACTTCAGTCCGTGGTATTCTTGGACATTAGTCATCACCCCTTAGACTCGCCTGGAACCCATGACCGTGTACACAAAGATAAAGATATCACCGAAGAGCAGGCAAATGCAGCAAATGAAGAAATTGAGCGTTTGAAGAATAATAATCCACGGAATACTAACTCTCGTCACCCGTTGATTTTCTTCGAGCATGGCGTGGACACTCGGAGAGCCTCGAATCAATTCTTAGAGGTTTGTGCAACTATGACGGCGATGATGGTGCAGCTTTTCTCCCAATCATGGTCCAATACTGTAGGTGGCCTTCCAAAATCAACGCAACATGCCGAATCAAACTAACTACCTTTTTTTTTTTTTTTTTTTTGCTTCCTTCCTGCGATGACACGGTCTTGTAGGCTTTGGCTTTCTCTGGTTAACTTGCTGTGTTATGGTCATTTTGGTCATTTTGTAAGTCATTCCCAGTCATGCCCCGTCTCATACCCCAGTTCATTGTAATGGAGCAAGGATTTAGGGCTATTTAGGTACTCAACTATTCATGGTTCACAGTTGAGTGTTGCACGAAATTCTACTGACTTTCTCAGGTGGGCCAAGTCGGATCTTGCATCCCCGCAGCAAAAAAAGCTGGAGTAAAAATAACTAAATATGATCCAGCCTTAAAATTTCGACACTGATTAACGGTTACATCTATATCTTTTGGGATTAGTAGGGTAATGCACTAATCTTCATACAGTACATTTTTGATGGTATTGGCATGGGCTGCAGATTTTAGCTTGCGTGATGGTAGTGCATGTATAAATTTGTTCCCAATATTCTCGGCCTTATTCGTAAACAGTTATGTTATTGTCGCAGTTAGTGTTCCTGCGCCTCCTTGTTGCTCCTTGTTGAAGTCCTCTTTCTACGTGCTCCAGGTATTACATAGATAGGGGGCCTACCAACAATATGGGGCATGGGTTAGATTGAGCAATCGGAATTCCCTCGGCAGCCTTTGTCTGGATTAGGTATGTTGGGGTCCGTTACATATATTAGCTTTAAGAGTGTTGTTATGTATTGCGGCTTTGGCGATGCTGGATGGCATATGCCTTATCACTTCAATCAGGTGAGGATAAACTGCTTTATTACGATACTGTATGGTAAAATCTTCGTTTCCTTCATTATTGTCATCTTTAAACTTACTGTATGTTGATTTTGGCCAATGGTCACGGCTGCTCCATTCGCTGTGTTTGGATCCTTCACTACATCAATTCTCTAAAGCGGGATTCAGGGTCGGTTTACTGTGACCCCGCTTTGTACAACATAATTACCCTAATTTTAATATTGGCAGTATTGAACGCTCTCCTTTTCAGATTCCACCATAATCGACGGCCTGCAGTCTATCGAATAAATAGTTCCCAGGATTGATGTACCTCTAAATTTGTACTGCATTCTAAGCCCTGATACCCCAATATATACACATTAAATTGGGTAAAATGGATGAGACAGGAAAATCTTCAGTACTCCTGAGTCGAGAACGTGCCAAGACGGAAAGACCTTGCTTGCTAGTTATCCATAGAGGACCATGGAATCGTCGAGGTCTTTTTACAATTGGCTATTGGATAATTGCCAGCTCATACTTACAGTCAGCCCCTCCGGCCGAGAACAAGGTTAATTGATGTAACTCAACTAGCTTCCTCCCTTTTCCAGAATTCAGCACACATCTTCTAAAATGACTACTGCCACCTATGTAACTCCTGATCTCGTCCTGGGCGAATATCCCGGCAACACATCTTCATAAGAAGAGAACTAGCAGTTGAATGGTCAGGTAATGGTGGACAATGGTGTGGCTACTGGAGAAATAAATGAGATTGAGGAAGCCCGTGACTTGACTCTGGAGCCCGAGCCATACTCGACGCCCGAGGCAGCACAGGCACCAGAGACAGATTATGACCTTGAGGTACAAGAGCCAGAGCAGGTTCCTGAAGCAACTGAAGCTATTCCGGAAGGCACATGGTGTTCTTGGGGTATTTCGAAAGAAGCAAACAAGAAGAAGAAAGTCCAGACAGCCTCTGTTTATCCGTACGAGCGGCTATGGGAACAATTTAGTGCCTTAAGTTTTGCTGGCGAGTTATCGTCAGTCTCTCCTCATCCTGATCTTCTCTTTCATGCTAAGCTATACGTTTTAGCTACAAATCTCCTTATTTCGCCATTACGTCAACAATGTCTAAAGTCTCTTCACGGAGATCTCTGTGACTACTCACTGAACAGGGAAAATTCGTCCCTCATTCTGACTCTTCTCAAGCTCACCTACGAGCATACTGGGAGACATGAACCCGGAGGACGGTCCCCACTGCGAAGCTTGGTTATCCAGTAAATTGCTTGCGAAGTACGAACTTTGGCAGATCAAGAGGGATTTGCGGCACTTTTGGACTTGGATGGAGAGATGGGCTCTGACCTTGTCATGAGGTTGGCGATGTAGAACGAAGCAGAGAGATAATTCGCAACTCCATTGGACTTTACCATCTAATCTGTTTCAGTCAGTTGTCGGTGTCTGATCATTTGTCCAAGGTGGCGTGTTTAAGATGTTTCATGATGTTTTAATGTCGTCATGAAAATTGTGGACAATTACCAGTCACAATGGTTGCATCCAATAATACTCTTGTCACAACAAGACCGCTCTGGAATGGAAGGGATTGCTATTCTTAGGTCCCTACTGAGGTACTTTATGCACTTAATAAACTCACAGTAAGGGAGAGCTACATTCCCTCCATAGTACAAAGCCATATTTAAGAGAACCTGCCGTCACTCGTTCGCAGTTGAATACTGTCTACGAACTTCCTTGCCACTAGAAGGATGATTAAAAATGTAAACTAGAAATATAGCCTGACCTCTTTATCCATGTACGTGCGATGGCCCCGATCTATTTTTAAGCTGGTTAGATTTAGAATATCATACGTCGTACACCATATCCAATGTTGACCTGCTGCCCGTCATCGGTTCTGACGCTAGGGGTATATCTTTTAGTGTTAGGTTACAGGTCAGGTGGGTTGTAGGTATGGTCTTGTTAATAAAACCAATCTGTGGCAGTTAACTATCTAGTATAGTGCTCTTTTGTTTTGGATAAAATATATCCTTATTTATATCCTCTACCTTAGCTCGCTTCGCCTATATAAATGCTTGGCGTTTAGCAGGATTAAGCACTGCTTTTGTCCAAAGCCTTTTAAGGGTTTTGCTTTTATAGATATCCACAACAAATATAAACTTTCGCACCTGCTTCTTCTTTTTAACCCACTTGTTTTTAATAATATTAACAAAGTTAAAAACATGCAATTATGTTTCCTCGCGGCGCTTCTACACAGCAGTATGTATAATTAAGTTGTTAATATACTTTGGCCTGTTATTAAGCTTAATACTGCCTCCTGGAAATTCCTGGATATTGGGGTGACTATTTGTTTTAGATCTTTTAAAGAGTACGCGATCTTTTATAAGGAAAAAATCAGTGTTCCTATATTTAAGCCGGGTTAGTATTTGGAGGTGTAAGATTTATATTATACAAGATACTCTGGAATATAAAAAGCAGACAGCTTCTTACTAACTACTACTATTTAATCTAGAAAACTTAGTATATTATTATAGTGTACCACATTAGTATATCCCTAATATAAGTAATACCGCGCTAGAAAGTATCTGTAGTATGTTAGAGCCAGAATTTATAATTATAGTAAACTTACACAAACTCGGTACATTTATACTTGCGTTCTTTGAGTCGTGTGTAAACTTAAAATACAAGATAGCTAAGCTAAGGGCACTAGTAAGTAACCTGAAGTTTTATAATTTTCCCTGTTTTATCTTTTCTGGAGGATATTCAGCAATATTGAGAGATATTTAATTAATTAAGATAGTCGGAATGAGCAACACAACTTCGCTTGTTAGTAGCAAGTGGCCACCTCTCTAATACTAATGACAGCGAGAAATATTATCTAACTTTAAAATATTCCTCGAGTTACTACCTATTAGACTAATTACTTTTTCTCCCTCTCTAATATCTAACTGTCTTAAAGTTAAACAATCAAGTATATTACCTTTTCTCTTACTATAGTTAATAGTGGAGCACTGCTTCTGTACTATTTGCGCTAAACTCCCCAAAACGAGTCTGAAAGTGGTAGCTACCCCTAGAATAGAATTTATTTCTTATTTTCTTAGTCCATATGAGAAGCCTCTGGGCTGCTAAAAGAAAAAACAGGTGGAAGTAGGTTAAACAGCAGGGCGTGGATAATAAACACCCTCCAGGTGGTGGGTTGTCTAGACCAAGTATTACACGAAAAGTTCGTGTTCCCAGGACTACAGGCTGCCATCAACAAGCGTAGAGATCCTAGAAACCCTTCTTAGCATAGCTATTAGATATCTTTTTATTGGGACTTATAAATACATTTCTTTTATTAATCTAGTGCATGTTTCAAAACGCTTGTTTATCTTAAAATAAAGTTTTTAGTTTTTTTCTTTTCTTTTTTTTAATAAGAATCATTCAGCCTTAGTTAATATAAATTCATCAGAACTACTACAATTCTCGTGGTTTCGGGGAATTTTTATCAACGAACTCTCAGCAACCTCTTCCTTTGGGCTCTCTTTATCATGGAGGTCTTTGTTGGCATCTTTATCAACATTGCTGGTGCCAGGAACCGGGGCATAGGGATGCGAAATGGTCTCTCGCACAGGATAGGCTGTGCTAGTTCTAATAGCCCTATTACTAGTTACACTATGGGCTGAAGAAAGAGCGAAATTACCTAAGTCAAAGTATTTCTGTTTCTTTCACTTGTTAGTAAAATTTTAGGCAGTTAAATTATATCTAACACACCTTAGACTGCTGTCTAAGCATACCTCCACCATGAGGCAACCTTCCGTACGTACGAAATAGATGTCTTTTATCCTCTGCGAGTGGCTAAAACGCAGACATAGTCAGTATGCAACGTTACAGTTAAGCTGCTAGGGAGTAAAGTTACTTTAGGATGGGATACCTTATTCTGTTCTGAGCCCATGGGAGGGAGTCTGGACGAAAAATGCCCCAATGTGTTGGACCATCGGGTCAGTCGACATCAAATTAACTCGGAGACACTCCTTCGTCGACTGGGATGAGCAAATCTCCCGCAATAACCTCGGGCCCGACGTGGAACTCGGGTGTGAGTCGCTCTATATTTATAGGAAGCGCAGAGCACTCTTTAAAGTGACACTGTTGTCACACGGATATACTTTTGTTGGAAAAGGGATGCCAGTTAAGTTTGTTGTATGTGTAAATTATAAGAACTCTGTGTACTTATATCTTACTTATATCTAAGGAGTACACGTGCCTGTTCTACTTGGCAGTCTTTGCCTTCGGCGGCCGTTATCATACAACGGTATCGCGGAGATTGTTTATATAATGTTCTTGAGTTATACCGAAAGGGCACTCGCAAAGGATCAAACGAGATCAGTTAGTTCAGCAAGCTGAGGACTCCTTACAGGTAATTCACAGGCTAGGTGTGCTTCATAACGATCTAATACCCGGAAATATAATCTGGAACGAGGAAAATGGTCGGGTTATATTAATTGACTTTAAGTGGGCAACACTACAGACCCGACGGATACCGCTAGGGGGCATTTCACCTAATCAAAACGCAAGCGAGAGGTCTGTATCCGGGAGAAAATACCGGAGGGGTGTTCCAGCTCTCACAACCTAGAAAAAAACTCAATCACAGAATATAAAGATAAGAGTATCCCAGACCCAAAGAGCGCTTCTTTAAGAAATAGTATAGTATATTGCTTTCTCTACAACCTCCGTGATGGACTTTGCCAAAAATATATTACCCGGGTTGGGGGGTCCTACTTTAACTCCTGCGGTCAAGGATCTCAAATCCTTGATTGAGGGCAGCCCTGAATTTCTCAAACTTTCGACCGAGATGTTTACTCAGGTTCGCCCTGATATTCTGGGTCTTGCCAACAACTTTATCTCGTTCATTTCCTCTTTAAATAATCTCGCCCAAAATGCTCCTGTGTTCTCTTCCACTAGCTCTAAACACGGTTATGCTGGCTGCCCCTTTACAGAGCTCTTAAGGCCATACATCAGTACACCTGCTGGCTACAAGCTCTTCGTGAACCCCAAGGTAAACGATACTCTCATAAAGATTCTCGGGGAGTGGAACATATTTCTTTCCTCCTCGAAGTCCACAGATGTTCTCACCGAGAAACCCAATGGCTGGTTCAGCCCCGAAGCTCTTTCCGCCATGCCGAACTTCGAAGCCACCTATGTGTGCGACAGGAACTTACCATATTGGGAGTTTAGTTCCTGGGATAACTTTTTCACGCGAAAGCTTTGGGATGGTGCGCGACCAATTGCGGATCCACATAATCCCAATATTATCACCAGTGCATGCGATGCGACGACTTATCGGGTTGCGAAGTATGTCAAAAAAGAGGATAGCTTTTGGATCAAGGAACAGTCGTATTCACTCCACCAAATGATGAATGGGAACCCCATCGCTGATCAATTCGTCGGCGGGACTGTCTACCAGGGCTACCTGGGAGTAACCAGTTACCACCGATGGCATTCGCCAGTTACCGGTTTAGTTGCAAAAATTCTGACTGTCCCCGGAACGATCTGTGCCGTTCAATCCGATAGCACGGCTTCTACAGATATGCTCCGTGCGTCTCAGGGATACGCAGCGCATGTGGCCTGATCTTCATTGAGAGTGAGAAAGCCGGGATGGTAGGCTGCCTCTTTGCCGGATTGATGGAACAGCGTTCATGCCAGGTGACCGTGCAAGTCGGCCAGAAAGTGAGCAAGGGTGAAGAGCTTGGGATATTCCATTTCGGAGGAAGCACCCATTGCCTTATATTTGGACGTGAAGCAAGCCTTGCGGGAATAGAGTCCGATTCCAATTTGAAACAAGTCGGAAACAAACTATTCGTTGCGAGCTAAATAGCCCTCTGGGGAGAAAGAAACTTGATGATCTCGAGGTTAATCTGCCAGTCATCAGTTTTATATTATCCCGTCTTTTGTTATTATTAGTCATATCTGGATTTATGGAGCTCAATTTTCTTGTGCTGTTATTGTCTTGGAAGACTTTCAGGACAAGGGCAGAGTATCTGTGGTGTCTATTTGGTTTTTGGTTTACATTTAAGTCTAGCATTTATTTTTATAGCAGCCTTGTTAATACATAATGAGACTATTAAAGTACTTATTATTTAATTCCTTCCGGGTACTCCGTAGATTGATCTCGTGCAGAGCATGAAGTGCGGCCTTAGGCATAAAATTATGTATTATGGAAGGAATTCAATTAGTTACGTAGGTACGACCACGCGCAACGCCTTTTCTTCGTCCACGCCACACCTTTCTGTAAGCTTCTACTATCTAACTGTTACTTTACCGGTTAAAATAAAGGCTATTTAATAGCTTCATATTCCCATAGTATCTCTCGCTTGAAATGTCTTTCAAACTTATAAGAGGGGAATTAAATTTAGGTCGCTATCTACTTAAGTTCGAGCGCAGTTTACATTATTGGCCTTGCAGGATGCTTAAGATGCAATCAACTACTAGTCCCTTAGCGAATTACTCTACATCGGCAGATTATACTGACTTGCTTACCTATACATCCGGTAGATGGCTGTACGTTGTTTTTCGACTTTAAAGCACGGCTAATTGATGATCTCAGGTACAAGTCTCTACAAATTTCGGAGCGAAAACTGGCCGTCAATGTTGCCCAACTAAAACGCATTACGGCTGAATCAATCAGTTGGTCAGAGTTAGACGTATCTTTTATTAGAAAGCTCGCTGAGAGTGTACTCAACGGGGCCTTAGGGTCACTATGCGAAATGGTACTCAAGTTATTACACGACTTCCATATATCCATTAACCAGATCCAAACATTAAGTGACAGCCAGTGAGGTAGCAAGAACGGACTTCGTAAGGTTGCATGGCATTCCAGTGCCTCGTGTATCTGCCCACTCGTCCACCAGTAAGAATCCTGTCTGTTCCGAATACCTAACAATTGAAAAGATGTTGGGAAATGGGCTCGGTGACCTTTGATATACTGTGACGGAAGAACAAAGACTGAATCTGATCTTTGAAATTGTGAAAATCGAGGTTCACTTGTTTTCTATCAAGCTATCTGGAAGCGGAAACGTTTACTATACGCATGACCTTCCTCGCGGAATATAAAATATGGAACTGCAACAATCCGAAGGCGCTCGGTTGATTTGCATTGGGCTGGATGCACATTACAAGTGGTAGCATAAGGAGCGATCCTCGTTAATAATTGAAAAAGGTCCATGTATGCCAAGAAACCCCCGATTTGTGTCACTACTCCTAACTTCAATATTAGTTTCCGAAGCTGGCAATGTTTTAGAACCCGTTGCGAAGAGAGAACTAAGTGGCTTGAGAATTTCGGTTGTACTCTGCTTCCGTTCGAACGACTGCATAGAGGGCTATATGCGTATCAGAAAGTCCATCCGGCCGGTCACAGCAGAAACATCCATGACTATTGGAAACTCGCCCGCTTTTTATCCCCTGAGACAACCTTGTTCCTTAATCTACTGCTCTTTTGCCATCCGGATCTTCAGCCAAACAATATATTGGGGTTGGATACATTTGGGGTTACTGCAATACTAGACTGGCAGCATTGTTCGATACTCCTCTATTTCTTCCAGCCGACCCACCAAAGTACTTTCAGAACCATAGTGATGAGGCATCATAAAACTTGGTCGGGCCTCGACTTCCTATTGACTTCGACCGGCTCGCAGAAGATGAACAGGAGGGCGCTAGGGTTGTTTTCAAGAACGTCAACTCCATTGCTAATATTTCACTGCTACAAAGATAATGTAATTATAAAGTAGCGATTATTTCAGCACGCCGCGATCCTTGGGAGGGAGACAGTGTCTCATTAAAGGCTAATCTTATTCGTGCAAGGCAAAGCTGGAAAGCTCTAGTTGATGTTAACCAGTCTAAACTACCAGACTGTCCCCTTCACTCTTCTCCCGAGGAGATTGATATAAGTCTCGATGCAGAGCAACGGCTAACAGACGAAGACATGGGAAAGTCTCTGAACTGTCTCGGGATTTCCCGTGATGGGTGGGTTTGTCATGAGAGATACAGTACTGCTAAAAATGAGCGAAAAATTTAAAACCTACGCAATCCTCCTCCCAGATTCAGAAGTTGCAACTCAGATTCAAAAATGCTGGGCCTTTTATGATCATGACGAGGATGAGTGACAGGGTGTAATACAATATACTCTCAGATGCTGCATTCTGTTCGGGGACTGAATGCATTACAAACCGTGTCTGCGTATGGCTGTACGGCAGTATACATTATGCAACTTGGATGTTGCATAAACTGTTCGTACTTACAGCTAGACTTGCAAGTTATTTTAATATTTTTTTATATGTGGCACTCCCCCCACCCCCCGGTCATATTCATATTGTTTTGCAGAAATCGTCTGCTATGGTTCCGCCTTGGCAAAATATTTCGACGATCAAATAGGAGATATACTGATAAAATGAGCAGTTGAACAGCAAATGTGTGTTAGAGGTACGCAATAAAGGCGGTCCAAATCTGGGAAATATGCCGCACTAGAAGCTAATGTTAGGCATATTCATTCCTATACTTAACATTACCAAATTTAATTTTATAGAACGCTGCCGTGCATTCTAACGTCCGTTAGTCTTAAGTCTGCCATGAGATTATTGGAATGCGACGCCATTAGGTATCTATCAGAAAGGAGTGCTAAAATTCAATCAACATTTATTGATGAGTTTGCAAGTAGGGATTGAGAATAGTTGAGGCAAAAAGCAGTGTTGACATATCAAATTAGGTCTTGAATCGGTTGCAGGAATTATTGTATCAAGCAATGACGTATATATATTCAAACAAAACAAGGAAAGGAAGGGAAATTTACTCGCTCTTCTTCTTCCCAAACGAAAATTTCCACTTCTTGACCCGGAAGCAATAATACAGCAGCACCGCAGCCGCAATATCAAACACAATGTACGCCCAGAAGATGCCAAAATTGCGCCACCGTTGGGTCCAGTTAATACCCACGCTGGCCAGATACTGATCGGCCACCGTGAGGGAGCAATACTCGCACGACGACGACGCGTTCGGGTTGTTCAGATACCCCGGCGCTACGGATAGGTACTTCGCCATGTAATCCTGGCAAGTCAGTCCCGATGGGGGGTTGAACACGGCCATTTCCACCTTGCTGCATTTGACGGCCTTTCCGTGCAGGGCCGTCGCGGCCATGCCGCCTACCCAATATGTAAACGGGGAAACGCGGTACATGAAGATCCAGAATCCTGGTAGGGCATCTGGGGGTTGCATCACGCCATTGAAGGTCAGCGCCATGGCAAAGAGCAGGGTGACGATTGCACCGGCTGTTTCAGCGTCTGGTAAAGCAGCGATGACAACGTCGGCAAATGTGCCGGCATAGATGAAGAATTGCAAAAAGAAGAGCAGGATCAACCCTTGTCGGTCGGATGATTGGACCCCGTTCACGGCATAGTTGTAGCAGCCAAATACGACAATGCCCATGATGATCTGGTACGGAATCTCTACAACAATGTTGGCAATTATGAATGCCATCCATGAATATGCCTTGCTCGGTCGCTCGCGGACTTCGTACAGTGCTCGTTGTGTGATGAATAGCGGAATGATCTGCTGCACCAGGGACGAGAAAATAGCACACAGCATGAACAGAGAGAAAATCTTGTTCTGTATGCCTTGCGTGGAGCTACCAGGTTTGAAGAACGAGAATCCAATAAATAGGCCCGAACACAATCCGAGCATCATCTTCGCCATGATGTACATGGGAAGACGCCAGTACTGCTGGAAGACTCGAGTTGTGACGACGGGCAACTGCTTCAGGAATGGCATGGCAAACTCTTTCTGCTCGCGCGCATCGGGATTGCCGTCATTGCCTCCTGCGCCCTGGCCCCGTTTGGCTTCGTGGATGCGATCGATCTCCGCCTGAACTCCAGCAGCTTCCTGACTTCCCTTCCAAACATCGAACCAATTCTTGCCTTGTGGGTTGGTGATACCATTGACGATTTCAAGCATATACTCGGCTGGGTTTTCCTGGTTTCCACAGGGACGCGCACCATGGGATTCAAAATAATCGAGTAATGTCCGGGAATTCTCGCCAATAGGGCCAAAATATACGGTCTTTCCACCTCGCGCCAAGAAAAGCAATTGATCGAATTGCTGGAACAGAATCGCACTCGGTTGATGGATAGTGCACAAGATGGCTTGCCCGGAATCAGCCAGCTTGCGGAGGAAATTGCAAATGGCCCAGGAACTTTGGGAGTCAAGTCCACTAAGAACAATCAGCACAGCTGCACAATTTCAAATGATCAGTTGATCTTACCTAGTCGGCTCGTCCAAGAACAACAACAGCTTAGGCTTCGCCGCCAATTCCACACCAATAGTCAGTAGCTTGCGTTGCTCGACATTCAGTCCTTCACCAGGGACACCGACCACAGCCTCGGCAAAGTCCTCCATGTTGAGCATCTTGATGACGTCTTCCACATACTGATATTTCTCCTCTTTCGACAAGGAGGCCGGCTGGCGCAGCATCGCGCTGAACCGCAGACTTTCGCGAACCGTAGCTGTCTCCAGATGCAGATCTTGCTGCTGCACATACCCGGTTTTACGTTGGAAACTTGAGTCCAGCGGATGGCCATTGACAAACATATCACCAGTGATGACGCCTATGGTGGTACGACGCGCCAGTACATCCAGAAGCGTAGTCTTGCCTGCACCACTGACGCCCATCAGCGCCGTCAGCGTACCTGGCTTGACCCAGCCAGAGACGTGGTCCAACAGTCGACGCGGATCGCCTTTGATCTCAATGTCGTAGACCACATCCCGCCAGGTGAAGATGTCCTGCTGAGGTGGGATGGACGAAATGCCTTGTTCGAGGTCCGCATCCTCGGAGGACAAGGCGGCCGCTTTCTTGGAGCCAGCTTCCTCGTCCGCATTGGGCTCTTGTCCATGCTTCAAGAATGCAGGTTCATGGCCTCGTCGGAACACAAGCACTTCCGCTGAGCTAGTCGTGGACGAGTTGAGCTCCGTCGCTACGAAGTAGATCACCATGAAACCCACGAGAAACGCAACCAGGATGCCAAAATTTCGCCATACATGAGAGTAGCTGTAATGGAAAGCGGCCTGGAGGTAGGCATCGCCACTGACGGTCCGGCGACCAGCTGCAGCCCCGACCGACGAGCAGATAAAGGAGTCGCCTGACAGTTCCGGATACGCAGGAATGAACTGCGAGCATGTAAACTCTCGTCCGTGGAATTCATTGGCCATGAGAATTTCAAAGGCATAGAAGATGGGGTTAAGATAGTGAATCCACTTGAACCACGGATGCATATGGGGGACTGGTACCACGAAACCAGTGTAGATGACCAGCGCGAGAATCAAGACACCAGCTAAAGTCATGGCTTGCGACACGGTCCTGGTGATGGCGGCCATGGTTCGGAACACGGCGCTCATGACAAACATGACGATGAACGAGATGAGGAAGTAGATGAAAAACTGCGACGCTTCGCGCCGCAGGTTGCTAAGGAAATAAAGAATGATATTAAAAGCCACTGCCATGCAGAACTTGACTGGAATATCACTGACCACGCCGGCGATCGCCTCCGTGGCTGGATGATAGAAAGCATACGAGTTATGTTTCTCCACGATCGGTCGCTGTGAGTACAAGCTATTGATTTCAGTCATGGCCGTCAGAGCATTCAGCAACACGGCGTAGAAGAGTGTCGCGCCCTTGGCGTAGAACCCGATGGTCGCCTCGGGAGTTCCGTAGAAGACGGAGCCCACGATCAAGGCGAGAATAATGTGTGAAATGAACATGGTTATGGTGGATGTCCGCTCATTCCACACCCGCTGATATGCACGCTTGGTGTTCAATTTGATCTGCATGGGGACACTGAGGAGATACGGGGAACGTGCCCGAGTGTGCGACGCTTGCTCCAGGCGCTTTTGGTGCTGGAATTGTTGTAGATTCTCCTCCTTCTGGGAGGACGTCGTGCTCTCATAATCCGACATCTCCTGCTGAAGTGCCTTATATTCCTCTGACTGACGCCAGTATGCCTCGAATTCGGCAGGGGTACGGGGAACCTTGGACTCCATGCCTTCTCGAGGCTTTCGCTCCACAGGGTTGGTCACCGAAGTGAGGAAATCACCTGTGGTCTGGCGCGTAGGGCAGAACCATCCCTGACATTCAAAGAACGCTTTTGCTTTGCTGGCTGGCCCGTAGTAGATTTGACGTCCCTCGTACAGCACCACGGCTTTGTCGAAAAGATCATAGATTGCCTGACTGGCTTGGTAGATTGCCACTGCGTGTGCAGAACCTCCAAGGTCTGCAGCCAGCCGCAGGGACTCGACAAACTTCAAGGCCGTTGCTGAATCCAGTCCACGGGTGGAGTTATCCCACGCGGCCAACGGCGCACCCGACAAAGCCATTTCAGCAATACTGACTCGCTTGCGTTCACCTCCCGACACACCTCGCACTGTGTCGTTGCCGACTTTGGTGTTGTACGTATGGCTGAGGCCAAAGACGGCCATGACTACCTTAGTCATCAACTGCGCGTACTCATCGCGGGACATGCCATTCAACCGTTTGGAGGGAGTGCGCACTGAGGCTGCGAACTCCAGGGTCTGACCCACGGTCAGATGCGGGAAATGCTTGTCGACTTCTTGATTGTAGACAACCTCGCCCTTGAACTCTTTGACCATTGTCTTTTGTGGGATTCCGCTGTACTGCAAGACAGACTTCTCATCGACATCCAGGCCATGTAACTCCCCACAGACTGTTTTGAGGAAAGTACTGCATCCCGAGCCGGGCCGACCCAGCACAATCAACAACTCCCCACTGTTGAGAATACCGTCAAACTGATGGAGAATGGTTTTGGGGGTCTTGGAACCGAAACTGAAGGTCTCCTTAGGCCGAAAAGGAGCCGTGAAAATATCCATCACTGTCTTTTGCAACTGAAGGGCCGCGCCGGTTCCAGAAACACGGAGATGCTGAAAGAAGATGTTGGCTTGCTTTCGGGGCATACCCTCTTCGTTGCGCACGTGCACGATCTTCCGCAGCCATTTGTATAGGTCAAAGTCTTTGCTATCGGGGTCTAGCACCGGGTCGCTGAGGGGGATATTAGCCAGTGTGTTGACACGTGACATGCGACCATCACGACTCAATAACTCCTGGAGGTATCGCGCTTCATCGGGAGCGATCGAAGCCCGACGGGTGACGACTGGAGCCAACTCGACATCACCATTTTCTGCAGCGGTAACCTGGCAGCTATCCGAAGACGAGGTTCCAGATGAAGAAACTGTGTGAGTGGGCGAAAAGTCACCTTCACCAGTATCTGGTTTCTCTTCAGCCATTGATGAATGATTATATATGAAACATAAGAAACGAGGGTGGATTCTTTAGAGAAATTTGAAGATATAGGGTAAAGATGATACGAGAGAATGGATATTAGTTGCTGTACTCGGACAACAAGAAGAACTGAAGAACGAAAGAAGAGAAAAGAGAAGATTGTCAATCAGATTGGACTGCTGGAGACAATGATAATAAATCAAAGGATCTTCCTAGTGCGGATCCACAGATCTCAGACAAACCTACGGGTTTGTGACTCCCAATGTAATGCATAATTATGAGAATGGAGACCTAGGCGAATGTTTATACCCAAATGGAGCTATAGGGGAATGAAAATGTGTGATACCGAGGCTGTGAAACCGGAACCGTGTGATAAACTCTGCTATCCATCGGAGTCGGCCCGTGGACCTCACCGACCGGTCCACCTGTTCCACCAGTTTGGCTCTCCAATCAAAGGCAGATGAAATGGGACATGCAACTCAAAATTAGGAAATCGATGCGACTCCACTTTCCAGTCAAGGAAAGGGACCCACTCTCTATATAGCACTAGCAAAAAAGAACGTGCAAGAGGGCCTGGGCCCATGCTAAATGTGGATAACAAGAGTTTATTTCCCACGGAGTGCCTGTACAATGAGCCTTTATGATTTCACTCGTAATGATCCCAAAGACCAATCGAATGCCACAAACGCCCGATAAATAGTGATCCTTACATTACTAATAATAATTGTTAAAGGTTCGCTGTCTGTCAATATACTCTGCAGTCTGCAGTTCATCGGCTTTCTCGGCGCCAAGGATGTGGCAATTAATCGTGAAGAATTCTCTCAAACGGTGCATGCATAAGGCTGCCCTAGAGGCTTGGACTTGTCCCTTTCGACTCCGTTGTGTACACATTAATGCCAACTACGATATCTTCCCGTCCGGCGGGACGGACCTACGGAACCGATTTGGTTTCCACCATACAAACCAGATATTTGTTGACTAGTCACGGATCTGCATATTTTTAAATTAATTTTTAAACTGAATAGGAGAAAAACAACACTGATGTCATGGTATCATCAGGTAGGACATTTTCGCTGCATCGCCATGCTTGATATTATTTTTGAAATTTTTAAATAGATGATATACATACATGGAAACTCGTAAGACCTGATCTGTTCGAGTTTAGGGCGAGCCCTATGAAACAATAGGTGATAGTGCGGTGTCCTTTTTTGTCTATGACTTGGATATTTCCCTGGTTTCTCTTAGCCTTAGAAGAGAAACATAAGGGGTGCGAACCTGTTTGGCAAGTATTTTTAGGTTTCTGGTGAGACCAGATCAAACAGATAAAAGCCAGATTTGTTGATATCTATAGCAATATTAGCAACTCAAATTATCTAAGAAATCCCTTCGCAATGCTGTATGTTAACATTCGAAGTCAACACGAATGGGTCGTAGCTTAGGGAGCTATCTAACTGCCTACACTTTCTAACTAGTTAATAAATGTTGATGTAACTCCGAGCGTCCTTACCCAAGCAGGCTTCTGAGTGCGGGGAAGCTAGGTACGCTTGTTCGAGAATAATAAAATAGGTACAGAGCACATTACATATTAACAAATCAAGCTACCGTTTATTTTCACCCCCAGAACCTATATCATGATTGATGATCCAATCTAGCACAGCCTCCCACCCTGATCGAGATGACCCCACATATAAGCCGGAACCAGGGTACATACGCCAAAGTGTTTCATAATCGACGAGCATGCAATCTGTTACTGAAATCCAGATTCGCTGCCGTTTGTAAAGGCCATTGCTCTAATGTTAGGGATGGAGGAAGATTCGGGGCATCCGAAGTGGTTTAAAGTAGCCATTATTTAGATGATCACCAAGTTCCCTGCGCTGTCAGGGTGTCGCAGGACGTTATCTGATGCCGGCAGGAGAATAGGATTTAGAGGGGTGAATGATCCATTTAATGCAGAGAAGGAATGGGCCAATGTTAAAGGATTGCTACAGAGATAGCTGTCTGTGTATGCATCCTTGAAATCTCATTATGATACTGCATAGAACTCTCGGTACCACGGGACCGACGTAATTGCTCCCCTCTCCGATTCTTAAACTCCTATTTAATTTGCTCAGCCTGTGTCAGGATCGTTCTAGCACTCATAATCTAAGTAAGCAATAAAGCAAAGCATTAGCTAATTAATCGGACACCGAATGACAAAGTTTTTCACTGCCCCCACCATCTCCCACCATTTGGATAATATTTGAACTTTTTATCACCATACAATTGAAATATATCATAAAACAATAAGTGTATTACTATCTAGTAGGGTATCTTAGTCGATTATGGCCCTGAATATTGCAACTACTACATGTAGAGGGCATCCTGACCCTGGTATCTGAGCCTCTATATGAATGAACTCCTCCCTTTTTTGCATTATTTGTAGTGCTTTATCAGTAGTTAGACTGCCTCCATCTTGAGTAAACTATCTAGACACTTCTTTTTTCTTCTTCCGGCGCTTACCAGCTGCGCGATATCCATGAATTTCATCTCTTAATAGAACCATTTACTGCATAGCGAAATCATAGCCCTTTATAGCTTCTTCGAGCAAAGTATCTGCAATCGATGGAAACAAGCCTTGGTTTTGAATCACAATAAGTTGCTGTTTTTGTTGATTTTAACGATGAATATTATAAGATGTATTTCCCAAGTAAAATGACTGATTATAGCCTGCAGAAGATGGCGGAGTTGGTGTTTTAACTTGATTTTTAACTTTGATGTCACCGTTGAGAATTAAGAGGTATAAGGCCAGGAGCTTTAAATCCACTTAATATATTTATCTTTAACATTCATTTTGCGTGAACTAAGGAATAGACATGTAGAAAATCTATCTATAGATAGTTTAATACCACTATTCATTATTTATTGCACTTTTTAACCATAAAAGTGTTCTAAAATTCGAAAACAGCTAGCATCGAGAGATTGAAGACGATGGGATGAATGAGGAGGCATATAGAGCGGAATAATTGCCTGCTTTAGACAATACTGGTTAAAACTAGCATTCGCGAATCGCGTGCTTACTGTGGCCATCTAAAATAAGCAATCGCTATTAATCAACAAGTGCAAGATCTTGTATGCTTGTCAAAGACTTCTTGTAGTTATTCTAGTCCCAGATTATTATTAGTCCAGCCATTCTCTCTAAGACTTTATTGATAATATTTAAGAAAGACTGAATACCACTGAGATTGGTGTTTTTTACCAGCAACGATAATCTGCGCAGGTAGAACCCAGCCACTGCCATTAATTGCAACAATAGAAGTAATCTACTCTCTATTGCCTGGTTGGATCGATCGAGCATCAGATATGCTTATTTCCAAGCAGCAGATAACTTTATCTGTCCATATCACACCCATTTGGAAGCTTGTTTCATCCGATTCGCCAAATAATCACCAGAACATGCTAACTAAAACTCCATTTCTCCTGGCCATCCTCTGGCTTTGAGTCCGAATAATCCATCCGAAACAACCATTCCTCCCGTTGGAAGTCATATGGAGTTAACGTAAGATAGTACTAGTATCCCGCCTAGGATCTGTCCCCGCTGTATTTGCTTCACCGTATGTGCACGAACATCGTTCCGACTGTCTAGTACACAGCTACTGCCTCAATCGACGCATGTATTATAGTGTAAGGCAATGCAAGGTAGACATAGTGGTGCATGCCGCCCCTCCATGTAGATATCTCGTTCTAAAATGCAATAATTTTGTATGGTATTTTGACCAAATCTAAATTAGCTCTGAATAATCTGTGGATCTTCACGCTTCGCCCGCTGGTAGTTATATCGACGGCTATATCTTGGCTTAATATCACCGTGGCATGAAAAAAATTGATTAATCCATTTATCACCGACTAGATCTGAGATAGAGGCCTGGGAAGACTTTTGACGTGCAGATACTAAAAGGTCAGCAAGATATCGAACTTGGGAGATCTGTAGAGGCAGACCACGCTCAGTCATATCAATAATCTATTTCTTTAAGCTGTATTCCTCAAAATGGTTAATTATCTGCCATTATCAAATATTTCTTTGCACGCAGTTATTCCTTGAAGTTAATGATAGAAAGTCCGCCAAAACAATCTCTGGATCCCAAGGATGCAAACCAACAGATTTCCATGCACTGTTGATATTTGTGATTAAAAAAGCCTTATTCCAGCTTGGTCAAAAGAGTCTGAAGAAATCCCGCTTTGTAATATGGCTTAATCCTTAACATTTATGTATAAATTGCTCCAGTTCATTATTATACGCATACCATCAAGAGGCTGCAAACTGTGTGTTGAATGAGGTGGATAGATAGCTAGAAGGATCCTGTTAGCATCAGAGAAGTTAATAAACTTTATAGTAATATAGGAGCCGTGGCTATCAAGAATTAAAAGACACCAACGCCTTCGTGCCTTTGCTTTTGTTTCATGATTAAATAAAGTAGTAAGCCATGCATATCCCAGCTTATTATTTGTCCAGCCACTAGGCGATGATGTAAAGAAGCAGTGGTGGATGTTAGGATTAAAATCCTGAAGCCATGTATCTTGAATTTTCCCGGAGAAGCCTGGTATATAAGACAGGGGAAAAGTTGTCCATCCGCGCAAATACAAGAATTTATAATCCACTCTTTATTTCCTGCAGGCGTTGCTTGAGTCCTCCCTGTTTATATAATTCGTGAAAAGATTTTTTTACCTTTTAATAGTACACTGATAAGAAATCCTTTCTTATCTATATTGTACATATCTTCAGGTTGAATCTTATATTCCTTAATCTTTCTGGCTATAAGTTCGAAATATAGTACATATTTATATACAGAATTAGCCTGCTTGCGTGAAGAATCAATCCTAGTAGTGTAGCAAGAAATAATCTGATCTATACATTTTTTTAAAAAGCGGTTTGGCCAGCATACTCCAGGCTTAGTTCCAGTGATTTCCTTCACAAAGTTTCGCAACATTGATGAAGATGGTGGTAGGCCATACTCAGTGAGATTATTAATCTATTCAATAAGCTCTTTTAACTGCTGGTTGTTAAGAACTTGCCGATTTTCACACTCTACTTTGCGAGAGCTCTGTATACCGCGGTGATGTCTCGACAGTGTTGACCGGTTAATACCATGCTTTTTGGCAAATTTTGTATAATTAATCTTTTCAACTGGATTCAGGGATTCTATATCTGCAATTGCTTCTTCAATTGAGCCCATTTTGATGGTGCTGTGGTCTTTCTAAAAAGTCGGTGTGTAGATGAAAATTGGGCGTTGAGTGATTGGGTACGGTATAATTCTGCCAATCTGCAACAACGTAATCTTATCTTATCTTGATCTAACCCTACTTTCCTAGAAGAGACAATAATAATCCGCTGATATGCATATGCCGACGACTGAAAGTCAGAGGATATTGTTTAAGAGTATTATACTTATTAATATAAATATAACTAGGCAGAGATATTAATGTTCAATTAGTTAAAAAACAACAAGAATATGTTAAGACAAGTTCACCTGCCCTTCCATGATAACACTATGATACAGCTTACGAAGAGCCCATGGCAATTTTTACGGTTGAATAGCGGTAAAGTAATGATCTGCATCTTAGGTAGTTGATTAACACCCCGAGTACTTCACCCCTTTAGAGAGGCGCGCGAGTCTACCATCCAAGGAAGTATGGTAGTTATCGTGGTCTAGTATATCAATATATCGTTCCCTATATTAGGCAACTGGTTGTATGCAGCTTTTCGATGAACTTACTGCCTTCTTCTCCCTGAGTCACATCAAATAGTATTTATCTTAAGAGAATATAAAGCAAGCACTGACAGGGAACTCAAGGTAGTGATGGGAGTAGAGGACCCCATTTCTTAACCTTCTAATAGGACGAAAGCTCTAGTTAACCATAACACATGCAGGATAAAGTGTTAAACAGCTGGATTTTGAAAGAGGCCAACAGGAGCCCACCAATAACTCCCTGCATCCATCATTCAGTATGTATTTGACAGATTATTTACCTTACATTTGCGCAATAAATATTCTCATTAAAAACAAAGCATCTATTGTTCCATTTTCTTTCTTTTCCCGGCAATATTTTCCCTGAAAATACTTTGAGTGTCCCAATTCTGAAAAGTCGATTACCACTGTGGAGTTATCCGGTATTTGTGCCAGTGGTCTTTGGTGTCACCCTCTGTGAAGTTTTCCGGTCCACCAAGTACACCATCATCCCCTACTTCCCAATCGCCGTCCTCGAGCCTCTGTGCCCAGTTTTGTAACCGCTTATAAATCTGCACTGAGTGGTAGTCAATAATTCCATTTTAAAATGCCCGGATATATACCTGCGTGTTCATCCTTTGATTTTTGAGTTTCATAGCTACAATCAACGTCAATCCACATTGGTAGGTTATTACTTTCGGGTGCCCATCCCTTTGCTCCAACACCAGATGGTAGGTAGGCATAGAATGCACCCACCCCCAAAGACATATGTTTCTCCGGGAACGAGTTGTCGAATGTATAGTCCTGTAGATAAAATGCCTTCATAAATCGGCTGCCATCTTACCTACCCCCCATCCATTGGAAATAGTAAGAGAGGTAGTTTTTCGTGTAGCTTGTAACGAGATCTCCATTTAAAAATCATGATTCTCTTTGGGACTTAGACACTCAGTTCTCTCAGAGGGAGTAGGTAGGCGAATTCCCGAGGTAATAGGGTGAAAAGCGACTGGACGGTTGATAATAGCTTTCAGAAACTCGTACGCAAAGCAGCAAAGCAGAAAAGCAGGAAATTATTGAAAGGAACCAGTGCTTTGGTATCGGGCTACGGGAATCTCTGCTCTGCCTGAGCTTGAATTTTCAGCATGCGTTTTTCTATTGCATCCGGTAGTCGACGCATAGCAGACACGGCTCTTTCCACATCTGCTGAGCCAAAATATGGAGACACTACTGCATATTTGTTTCGGGAGCAAAGAAAAGCACGTCACCCTCGTCGTCTTTGATGTCATCCTGTCCCTCGGTACAGACCTTTCCCCCATCAAAAGCCTGCAATTATGCGTCGACAATAACCTCTAGAGGGTGCCATACAATCTGATTCTCGTAAATTTCGTGCAATTTATCCACCCTCGGGACATAACACGCCAAAGATATTTCCTGATCAAACCTATACGACAACTCATGTTAGCATCAATACAATCAAGAGTAGAAACCCCCGGGATACTTAAGACCATATTCATTTCCGATGTGAATCAAAGGTACGTAATAACGAAATACTAATCGATCCGCATGCAATGTTTTATGCCATACTCTTCAAAAAATCTGATGGGTGGAACCAACCCACCGACCCTGTAGAAAAGCAGGTGGGTTGGGGTGCATCATAGGCTAATTTGCGGAACTTTACGGGTACGGATTTAGGCACGCTTCGAGATCATTAAAGGGAGAAAGAATTATTGCCATTTTTGAAATCGGACAGACGATTTCCCACTTCCTATCCTTCCTCGCTGTACGGTTTCATTATGCAATGCGGCACAGCGTTCACAGTCCATATGACCCAGTTCTCGGACTGGGTTTTGGGGGTGATTCTTTGTTGCGAAGCCATTGGAAGAGTGGAAAACAAAGATGGAACAGTGCTGGGAGAGAATATTTAAATGCTAAATAGATCACGCGTGAGGTAGCCACTTTATGTGTCTGACTATCAGAAAGTAAAGAACCAAATCGTTGAAAAGGAGAGAAGGTAAATGCATGAATCAATAGCGAACCCGGTACCTTCATCCCAATACAGATATTGGTCAGTGCGAAGTCTAGCCAACATCTCCATTTGTACTTGGTCTACCGATATCTTTGTCAGACTTACCTGGGTAGCAACGGCCACTGGCAGGTCTACAGAAGTCCTTGTCCTCACCACAGTAGTTACAAATAAGAAAGCCTAAGAATCGGATTAGAAAGTCAGACTATGCTTCCAGTTTTTGTACAGGCACAAGAGAACGACTTAGAAATAAGATACGTACGGGCCAAATTATGGATTAGTACAAGTTGTAAATCTCCATTCAGCACCACAAGTGCCATCTATTGTATAACTACTGGCTGGTTCACAGACGCCTGATATGCAATTCCGAGGACTGCAATAATAACTTCATCTTCACATCAGAATCTGGGATTCTAGCTATCAGCATAGGTTCAACTCTGGTCTCTAGGAATGCGTACTGTCCAAATAAGGTTGCATACAGCATGACCATGAGATAGCCCACATATACCGTCCATTGATACTGGGGCTTGAGATACCGGAGCCACCCAAACATCGTTGTCGCACCATAAACTGGTGCAATTATCCCATAGTTCAGTTAGATTTCCTGGTTTTATCTGAACTTATTCCAACGTCTGTCTTCAAGGCTGGGCAACTCACGTATGTACCTAGGGACTGTAGCTCCTCGCTAGAACAAAAAAAAAAAAAAAAAAAAAGAGAGAGAGAGAGAGTATGTGTAAACCTACAACAGAAGTGCTACGGAGTTGCACTGCCAGAAATCTGTTAATTTTATAATGTGGGTGATTAATGGACTGCTTTATTTGTCAGAACTTGCCATGTCTCTAACAACAACTTTGTAATATCGTCCACGGGAGGAGTGCCAACTGTTGTAGGTCAAATACCGCTTGCAGATCCTCCGGACATTGCTAAGGTACCGACAATAGCCCAAGATGTATGGATTCCATGCCAAAAATTGTATCACACTGTCAGTAAATTCTTCGGTTAAGTACTTAACCGCTAGTTCTTCACTACTATATCATTGGAATGGGAAACTAAGTCTCTGAAATAAACAGTATCAATCTTATATGGCAATGGAAGTCACAGTGTAAGTTGAATTCACAATATGTATTGCCACTCGCATGAATAATGTCCCCGGTGCTCACATTATAGCCATCGGCGAGATATACGCAGCTCCTCCTCGCCTTCTGAAACTTCAAATATATGACCTAAGCACAACTCTGTAGATAGGGGAAGAGTAGCGGTTTGACCGTATGCTTTTCCGTTATAGGCCTTTCTGCAATATATGTGGTAGCCAATTAGGTGACATTGTATACGGTAACTGGCAGACTGATAGAGCAATATTTTTGCATCGACTCATTGCTCTAGAAGATAGTCGGTATGCTCACTGTTTGAAAGGAAAGCAGGTATCAAACTTTGTCTCCCGTGTTTTATAAAGTAGTCACTGTATAGATAAAGAATATAGTATTAGTGCTATATCTTATCTTTCATATCCGGTGTAATTTGTGCTAGCGAAAATCCTAGACCATTACATTCCGGGGGGTCGTTGTCATTGTAGTATGCATGTGTTCCATCTACCTTAAATATTAAGTACTAGTGACAACTTCATTCACGGTTAGACTTACCTTTACCTTGCCACTGCTATGATTCCAACATACACCAATTTTGGACTTTCTAGATAAGAAGTTGAACTTATCATCTGCTGAGTGTAGAGAGGTAGTTTGTACTGACTTATCTTGGAAACAGACAAGATCATATCCCTGAGATCACAAACAGGGAATGGTTATTGCTAATAAAATAGACCGAGAGGTTGATGGTACGGTCTCCCCTTTGCAATTCATTTTAACGGCCGCTTTCCTGGAGGAGATTGATATTACACACTCTTGTGTACATAGAGTGGTTATATTTGTCTCTATCCAAACTGTATTGCTGATTGGTAAGATCGTTTAATTTGCCCCATAGTAGAACCTAATCACTTATAATAGTCATTGGGTCTTGATGCTGCCTTGATTGCAATATCCTTATTGCAGTTAAGGGTCGAATTTCTAGAAAAACTCTTTAGAGAATGCCATTGTGTGTACTTCAAGTGGTAGAAATACTCACAATGCCTATAGTATTGATCTGCTATATCAAATATTTCTTGCTAAAGAGAGCTCTCGATACCATCCTAGATCCTGAATGAGTATATAGTTCGCAGCATCAACCACAACCAAGAAAACAAGGGGCTCCATTATCGACGAGATCAACTTCATATTGCAGGAGTATTGGCAAATGGATTCTTCAAATGCTTATAAAGCTATAGGCTACAGAACTATAGGCTCGTGAACAGTACTTTGTTGGTAGCTTTCGAGTCTATAGTCGACAGGAGCTCTCTGCGGGTAACGATAGAACGTTCTGTACTATTAGTTCGTAAAATTATGTCAAAACAAATTCTACTCACTAAAAACCCGAGATCTTTAGCGAACTATGATAGTGACTCACGTAGGGAATTTTAACAAATTATAAATGCTCGAAGCGCTTACTATAGTCTTACAGGTTGTTTCGAGAGCGGGGGGAAGTTGCAGGCTAAGATGTGCCATGCTTCTTATAACAAATTTTAAATCACCCGCTTTCTCCATCTATTCGACATCCTCCATCCAACATGTCCTATACGATTTGGACGAATGCTGCTAGTGGAAGCGTGGGACTGAAAAATAGCGTATTGCGGCTCTGGCGAGGGTTCTGGATTCTAGGAAGAGTAGTATAAAGTACACCACCTACGGATTCCAAAATATAGTTCTTTTTTCACACTATGCCATAATATTCTAGAAGTTAAAATAACCTGTCTCTATGAAAAGTGATCACCACTAATTGTCTCTATAGATTGTAGTTTGCAGATTTTCTCTAGTGGAATGCGGCAAAGATAATTGTATATAAATTGTCGTGACAAAGCAGAATGTTGTCAGTATGGCAGACCTGGGTTAAATACCTGTCCCTCAAATGTCTGCTGATCTAGGTCCGGTTTCTGTGGTACGACAGAGGTGACTTAGCTAGGTTCACATCTTTTAAAAGTTTAATATCTAACACAACTGCCACAGAAGTTCTGTGGGAAAGGCTGTCGGTCTAAGTATGGAGGTTGTGGGTCTGTCCGGAGGCCATCAGGCGGTGGCCAGGGTGCAAGGTAAAGAACTATTAATTACTACCTGGGCTGGCATGTTAATTTTTCCAAGTAAAGCTTTTAACATGTTACGTTTGTTTAACAAGTCCACTTATATCATATGTTAGGGCTTCTGCGAGGGCTTGCAACAGGCGTCTACCAGCAGATATTGATGCCACGGGGTTCACACATATCAATATTGGTAATCATTCGTTCCTGTTTCAGCACCTCAGTAGAGATTCGACCTCTGACGATCTCATCCTTTACCTATTTTCATCCAACGACTTATCTAGTTATCTCAATGAACGTTCAAGATAATCAGCATATCCCCAATTACAAACATAGAGCGGAAATAGACGTACGTGCATAATATAGTTCTTGGACAAAAGTGTACGTAATTTCCCGCAACCATGAAAATATATATAATAGTCAGAACATCACATTCGCACACAAAACAACCAAACATTAATCTTATTGCAAGATATTTAAATATGTCATAGCTAAATTGCACACAAATAAAAAAATATATTTTTTTTACATTAATAGCGTGTATACCACCCCTTTGCCTCTAAAACTGCATTAACACGGCTCTCCATAGACCTTATTAAGAATAAAAAAATCCTGCCCTAGACTCTCCCATGCATCCTCCATTGCTTTATAAAATTGCTCTTTTAATTGACTTTTGGTCCCGTCAAATAATTCAAGGTCCGGATACAGCATATAAATACGCTCTTTCAGCTTAGCCCAGGCGTGTTCAATAGGGTTTAAATCAGGTGAGTATGGTGGCCAGTCAACAAGAGAAATACCATGCTCATCAAACCAGTTTTTAAATATTGGCTGTATGAATAGGAGCATTATCTTGCATAAACTCCATACCAAATTCCCATATGGCAGGCAGATAATCTTTAATAATTTCCAAATAGGAGCGTGAAGAATACCCCCCTCGGGCAGATTCCTCATCCCTACTCATTCGGTAGATTTCTGTATGGCCACTACCCCAGATTGCTGCCCAAATCATAATGGATATTCCTTTGCCTTTGGTATATGGAATAATATGCTTTTTTTTCCATTTTTCGTTAAGGTAGTTGAGCCGCCATACCCATTGATTTTTCTTTCCTTTGCCAAGCTCAACGGAACATTCATCACTCCATATAATCTTGCTCCACTGCTCGTAAGTCCAATCCTTGCGCGCATATGCCCATTGATAGCGTAGTTTAGCTGTTTCCTCAGTTAATTGAGGTCAGCTCTGCAGTGGCCATACCCTGATTCTTTCAACATGCGCGCAACAGTGCGTGCAGAAATAGGCTTGTTAAGTAATTTGCAGATGTCTTCTGTTTTAATAAAGGGATCACGCTTGATTTGTAAAAGAATATATCGTTTATCAGCAGCAGAAAGGATCTCTGGCCGTCCGGAGCGAGGAGAACTAGTCCCAGTGGTGGAAGTCTGATATGTTTCAATGGTTGTTTGAATAGTTGTATATGGTAAATTCATGGCACGTTGAATATCAGCCTTTTTCTGGCCTGCAAGAAATCGACCAACTACAACTCCTCGCTGAAATGGTTCCAGTTCCTGTCTACTAGTCTTATTAGAACTAGTAGACCGTAAAGGGGTGCGAGGCATGACCCAGGTGGTTGAAAAGATGAAGCATAATATTGGGTGGCGCGTCGGGTGACGCGGAATTACGTAGACTTTTGTCATGTGACTGTATTTTCCTATACACATACACGACAGGACTCGCAATGCTAAGCAATATTTATAGTGGTGCAGACATGGATTTCTATCCGAGCTTGGAGTTTTGATGTGCGCCGGTCAATTATATATAAGATCTGTTATAGTAACTCTTTTAGGACGCTACAAATTCTCCTAATACCCAAACCGCTTTCAGTGACATGGCCTCCAGCGCTGAAAATGACCAAATGTTTATCACGTCGCTGATGCAATTCATGCTGACTTGCAGATTTGATGGTGCTGACTTAGGTTGGAATGTGAGCACCCGATAGAAATAATCTAATAGCCTGGTATATTATTGAGTTTTGGATTGTAGCCCGGGCAGAAGACCGAGGCGGAATTGAAGCCCATACCTTACATCTTGCTTCTCAAAGTTCTCAAAACGCTTTTTAGGACACTTCACGTCCTTAGTGTTACCCTGCCAGATTCGTGTCGGTACCTCTGATGGTTTGATTTGAAGTTCATGCAGCGGTACGTTGACTATCTGAATATAATAACCTATGATATCCATGCCGTCTGGGACTCATCGAACAAGTTCTCCTAGTCCGTAGTCCGACGTCCGACGTCACACAAATTGAACGGAAATTAAACAGCGTCTTGACTTGTTATGGAATAACGACATCGATCCATCTCTGGTTAGTATGGGCCTTGGATGGTATGGGCGCTCTTTTACACCAAAATCCTAACTGCAATGAGCCACGGTGTGTCTTCAATTGAAGAGGCTCACAAACTGTGTTTGGGAGGCACTTTAATATGGGCTCTTGACCATGACACTTCAACCCATAGTAGCATTAATGACTTAGTCGGAATTGGGGTTGTGAATGGCATCATCTTTCTGGGGCGAGAGATGTCGCCTTGGCTATATCACTAAGGCCTATTCAAATTGTCAAGTGCCAGGTATTCTGCGCGATTCGGTCTGCCAATGTGATCAAGTACATATGCATTGTTGCGCACCAAGGACCAACACGGCCACCGCTTGCGGATGGTATGGTTGGCGAGGTGTAGGGATGTCATACACTTCGAACAGCTGTCCTGAGGTAATGGACCTCTGACTATGCTGGCAAATTCACGTGTAGATCACTCCGATCTTCGTATCTATAATTCGACGTGTAATGGTACGTATAGATTTTATAGCTCATCCGATTGTTAGCTTTTTTCGAATCTGGAAGACTTGATTTTAAATTACAGGAATACTTCTGTTTGGGATTCATTCCGTCTCCTATTTGAGCACAGGCTCCGTGAACTTGATAGACAAAGAGACCAAAGATATAGTCAACAAAAGGTCTTAACAAGCCGAAGATACTTGTATGTTGATAGCGATACATGCTTGCAAAGAGGCATAGTCCCTAATTCTCCCAAAATAAGGAGTTGGAAAACCTTCCTAACATACCGGCAGTCGCTGATGCGCCTCCAGTTTATCCTAGGCACAATTAGCTTGAATGTCTGCGCTGATTCGAGAAATATCAACAGAACAAGGTGTGTACTTGGCATTGGGTTCATCCTACAGCGGAACAAGATAGCCATAGGCATAGGCATAGACATATACAGTTTGAAGTCCAGTCCAAACCTACCTCCCCTGTGATGTTATGCAAATGTATTCCTGAGTACAAAGACAGACTAAAACACTACGACAAAGCGATAGAACCAAATGTTAAATAATCAATAACAAAAGGAATGAACAAAATTCGTTGCCTCCATTATATGTCGGAAAGCTAATCTATCCATCTATACGACATGTTTATCATTCAAGTCATGCCATCTAACCTGTACCTGTGCCTGTTGCACCAAATATTTCGTGACAAATATACTTAAGCAAAGAACTTAGTCTCACCCTCCTTGAGCTTACCAGCACCAACAAGTCTCTTAGCCTCGTCGGTCCAAGCGCTCTTGACGGCAGCAGCGTCCTTGCCAGCAGCAGTGAGACGCTCGGCGAGAGAAGCCAGCTCCTCAGCGTCAATCTTGCCCATGATGTTCTCAACATCGGTCAGGACAGAGTCAATCTGGCTGGGAGAAGGCTCGCCAGATTCCGCAAAGTAGTTGACATCCTTGACAGAGCCCTTGAGAACACGCTTGTTCTTCTTGGTCGCGTTCTTAGCAGCCTCCTTGGCCTTCTTGGACTTCTCACGCTCGGCCTTGGCAGCCTCCTCGGCTTCCTTCTTACGCTGCTCCTCCTCCAGACGAGCCTTCTCCTTCTCCTCAGCCAGACGCTTGGCCTCAGCTTCCCTCTCGAGACGCTTCTTGTCCTTGTCGGCACGGGCGGCCTTACGGAACTTCTTGATACGCTCGTCCTGGGCGGCGAGGTCGTCCACCAGGCGGCGCAGACGGGCAGTATCTTCAGTCTTGCGCTTGCGGCGGGCATTGGCATTCTTCTTCTCAACATGACGCTTCTGGTCACGGTTCTCGTTGTCATCCGGGACATCCTCATCAAGGTATTCAAAAGTACGCCAGCTGTCGAAGTTGTACCAAAAGTTGTAGAAATTGTCAACCTCTTCGAACGTGCTGTTCTCGTCACCTAGCTTAGGGACAGGCTGGATCTTGGAGAAACGGGCTTCAGCTTCAAGGACAGGGCGCCACAGCTTATAGAAATTGTTGCCCTTGGCAGTCTCCTTCTTCGTGGGGGGGTCAATTTCGGCAGCCTCGTCGACCGAATCAAACTGACGACGACGAACGGGGTCCAGAAGCAATTCAGTGGCCTTCTGGATACACTTGAAGAAATTGTCGTTCTCGTCGCTTTGGCCCATGGCGGCCTTCTTATCGGGGTGATGACGAAGGACCTTCTTGCGGTGGGCACGCTTGATCTGCTCGGGGGTTGCGCGCCAGCGGTACTTGGTCAGACCGAGCACAGCGTAGTGATCCTGACTCTACAAGAATTTAGTGACAATTGAATAGCGTGATATACAAGAGAACCATACCTTCCAGTCCTTGGCTTCCCTAGAGAGCAAGACGGCATCTTCAGGTTCAGAGATTTCATCATCCTCGTCATCCTCAGTCTTCTTGACGTTCTGCTGAGCCTGGATTCTCTCATCCTCGGAGAAAGTGCGGTGGTGTCGCTTCTACGGGGTGGTTAGCCACAGACTAGGGGCATTGGATTTCAACCCTCCAAAACCAGAGGGCAATCTCAAGCAAATCGAACTAACACACAAGTCAAGGAAGACATACTCTGCGTGCGTGAGCCAGAAAGTGAGGACCAACGGGTTCCAGGTTTCGCTGGGTAGCGGCGGACAGAGTGCCAACGGCCTTGAAGTCCTTATCGGCACTCCAGCCCTGGGGGAGAGCGGGAAGAGACACAGAAACCGTCTGAGTGGATGCCATTTTGCAGAGTCTCGAAGCCGTCTATACTGTCCGGTGCTCCGAAATGTACAATGGGGGGAACTGGGAGAGTGTGCTGACGAAGGAACTTAGGCCGAAAAAGTATGTGCCTTTATTTCTTTTTTTCTTTCTTTTTTTCTGCCCCCTAATGCCGCCCTGCTCTACGCCAATCACACAACGGCTGTTTCGGAGATAAAATCGAGCACTCTGGACGGAGGAAAAGAAGTCGGCATTCTCAAGTATAGCAGCAAGTCACTATTCTCAGTTCTCACTCTTCGGTCTTTTGGATAATTTATATCCTGGAATTGCCTCGTTAAGTTAATTAACACCGACGGACTGCCTCCCATCAGGACGCTTAATACTACAGCACGGCACACTCGAGGCATAGCCTACATGTGTTACTTCAAGCAATAACACAGGCAACTGTCAAAGAAGATTAAGGATTCTATTTTCTTTTACGAACAATACACTATTATCCCAGTCCAAACTATGGCCTCGCAACCCGTCGTTTCTGCACGAAGTGCCTATCGCCAACTTCTCCGCGCTACCCGAATTGCCTTTCGAGGTCAGTCGACTCCTGTCCTCGTTTGTACTACACTGACGCTGACTTGATTCAATTGATAGATGACTCCCGTGTTCTCATTGCTGCCCGTCAAGAAGCCCGTCGGAACTTCGACAGCCATCCTCGTGTTGGAATCGACACGCCAATGCAAATCAATCATGCCGTGGAGGTGGCTGACATTCTGAGGCATAACATCGTGCAAGGGACCAGGGACGCAGAGAATGAAGCTGCCAAATGGGGTGCGTGCATCGTGTTACATTGTTTGTTGGATGATGCTAACGACTTATAAACAGAACTCCGTATCCATGATGATATCGAACGGGGTGATAATGATTCAATCAAGGTGGCGGGTAAGCGTGTTAAGGTTGACAAGCCATGCTCTGCATAGATCGATTTGTAAATATACGGGTTATTGTGCCTGTATCGGAAGATCTATGCAAGCAGGTAGGCTTGTAGGGTAGGACAATCTGGCTGTAGAATATTTGCATTTTCGCTTTGTATTATAATATACCCAAACTTATCTCTCCTTCTGGCGTATTTTGGGGTATTTTGAATTGATGATAGAATAAAGAATATACAAACGCCCGCTCTGAACATACATAATGCCTCCTGCCTCACAATTTTTTCAACATATGAGAATCGATGAACTGTTAAAGCTTCCTTAATCACCAGACAAGCTGGAATACTGGACCTCGCCACTTCCCGGAGGAGGAGCAACAACAATGCTCCGGGGTTCCTCCGGTTTATCTACCTCCTCCCCAGCCGCTGTGATAGCCTTATTTCCAGAGGGCCCTCCTCGGGCTGTCCCGACAGCCTGACGTCCTTCTCGCGCATGCTTCATACGCTCTTCCCGGTCCATATTATCCAGGGCCTTAGGTTTACCCCATCGAATCCTTAACGGACAACCCTGGATAACAGCCTTCCCTTGGCAGTGTTGCGCGGCCGCTTCAGCAGCCTCGCGAGTAGCAAAGTTCACAAAGGCAGAGTGTGCCCTGTGAGAACAAACCAAAGACCGGAGTTGGCCAAACTCCGTAAAGAAAGTACGCAGGGAATGCTCGGGAAGATCATCCTCGACACCCGTAACAAATAGAGTGGTAACGTTTGGATCCGCAGGCGGGAGGATATCTTCCCGAGATGGGGGCACCTGCGCAGTACCGGGGAATGGACGACTTCCGCGGCCACCACGCATAGGTCCCCGTCCTCTACCAGGTAGCGGGGCTCCTCTTCTGCTGTCGCTCGTCCGAATAGGCCCTGGTCCATTTCCATAGCGGCTATGTACCACAGGTGCGTCCGTCGAGGGTCCAGCACTATCTTCGTCGCGAGGAGTTTCGGTTTGCCGGGGTTTTCTATAGTAAGGTTCGCTGTTTGCAAGTCTCCGTAGTAGCTCGCGAGCCTTTTCATCCGTCTTTTCATATTCTTCAATCGCCCCACGTCCTTCTTCGATTTCCTTTTCATGTCCCTGAGCGTAGTATTCGCGGTTGATTGTACTCTCGGGACCAGGTGCAACCATCTTCAGTGCAGCGTCACGCACAACTATAGGAAGGCCAAAGGACAAATCAAGCATACAGCACTGACAGCAGTTCTTCAAACGAGCGCAGGTCAGGCAGATACTGGTTCTCTTAGTGCGCGCCGTGCGGTCGGCTTTCCAACGGAAGATGGTGAAGGGTCGAGTGCACTATTGATAAATTAATACAAGCCAAGATGACATGCCAGACAATGAATAAACACTTACAATCTTGCATTCTGCACCGTAGTCTTCTTTGAGCATCTGCACATAAGGATTCTCAGGAAGGCAATTTTCACAGACGGAGGGGAAATCGGTCGTCTCCCACCCAGACCGGTTAAGGTCTTGTTTAATTTGAGGTGGAGGCATAATTTGCTACTATTCCCTCAGCCAGGGACGTGAGGACTTGGTGATGAGCGTGCTCGTTGAGCAAAGTGATGCACTTCGGAGATGAAAGATGGATGATTATCGATAGAGTTCCTTCTCTGTGGCTGAGAGATGTGGCTAGATTAATTACATAAGACAGTCCAGCACGTGACTACATTGCAATTGTTGGCTGGTTGAGATATTCTCCCAAGAAGAGAAAAATGGTTAACTTTTTGCCAGATACGGGTACTTCATACTATCTGCAAAATTCTAGGCTTGACAAACAGATTGGTATGATCTCGGGGCCCGCGGCATAGGTCATCGTATTGGCAGCGTATCTGCAAATGCGTATTCGTCGTATTACCCACAGCCACTCTCGGAAGGCCATTTCTCCGGGGAGATCCCCAGGCGGCCTATTTGGGTCTAGCCTGGCGTTCGTTCGGTTGGCTAGCCAGTATGGCGCCTGTGATTGGCTGGGTACCTTGTCAAAGTCAGTCGCATTTCCGCCTCCTTTCTTTTCTGTCGATCTCGTTAGCAGTAGCCTTGGCCTTGACCATCTTGCTGTTGATATTTTTTTCTAGTCTCCATTCTTGCACCCACAACTTTCCTGTTGCCTGGTTAGGACTTGTTCTCCCTGACTGGTAGACTGTGGAATATAAATTGTTCTCTGTGTCCTCGCCTCATTCCCACCTTACCTACCATTCTATCCACAGATCCACCCCTTTTCACAGGCTTAAGTGCTGTCAATATCAACAATGGCTCCTGCTGCATTGGAAAAAGAAGACCATGAGCGCGACGCTCAATTCAACCGCGCTCTTCATGGCCAGAGCTCTCAGGCGGAAGGTGGCTTTGCTGCCATGCGTGGGAAGGACGCTGCTGCGCAAAAGGCAGCTGTTGATGAATATTTCAAGCATTGGGATAACAAGGCTGCCGGCGATGAGACGGAGGAAATTCGCGCGGTAAGATATATGGTTGTATATTCTGGAATTCGGAGCGATGTTGCTAACCCCGTCTTCATTGCGTAGGCACGTCGAGCGGAATATGCGACGTTGACTAGACAGTATGGCCCTTACATTCTACCATAATAATCTTCACTCCCAGCTAACTTCATAACTTAGCTACTACAACCTCGCGACCGATTTCTACGAGTACGGATGGGGCTCATCTTTCCACTTCTGTCGATTTGCCCAAGGAGAACCTTTCCACCAGGCCATCGCTCGGCATGAACATTATCTCGCTCATCAGATGGGCATCAAGGCTGGAATGAGAGTGCTCGATGTTGGCTGCGGTGTTGGCGGCCCTGCCCGCGAGATTGTTAAGTTCTCTGACGCCAATGTTGTGGGATTGAACAACAACGACTACCAGATCCAGCGTGCAACCCGTTATGCGGAGCGCGAAGGCTTGAGTGACAAGCTAAGCTTCGTCAAGGGTGACTTCATGCAAATGAGCTTCCCTGATAACTCGTTCGATGCTGTATATGCCATTGAGGCTACCGTCCATGCCCCCGAGCTCGAGGGCGTGTATAAGGAGATTATGCGTGTGCTAAAGCCGGGTGGTATCTTCGGCGTTTACGAGTGGCTCATGACCGACAAGTATAACAACGAAATCCCCGAGCACCGCCAGATTCGTCTGGGCATTGAACAGGGTGATGGTATCTCCAATATGGTCACGATATCCGAGGGTCTTGACGCCATCAAGAACGCCGGCTTTGAACTCCTTCACCATGAGGACTTGGCTGGCCGCAACGATGCCATCCCCTGGTACTATCCTCTGGCCGGATCGTTCAAGCACATGACATCCCCCTGGGATGTCTTCACCATTGCGCGCATGACCTGGTGGGGTCGTGGTATCGCCCACCGCTTCGTCGGCGCCATGGAGTCAGTCGGTCTTTTCCCCAAAGGCTCACAGAAGACCGCCGACAGCCTTGCACTGGCCGCCGACTGTCTCGTGGCTGGAGGGGAGAAGAACCTGTTTACCCCTATGTACTTGATGGTTGGACGGAAACCTGAGTAAATACATGCATTCATCTATTGCATACCTTACCTAAGGTGCCCTCTCTTGTATCACGTGATATGCCCTCGTCCTGTACAAAACCGTCCATTTGTGTCAGCATCCTACCTAACTACCCATAAACTTGGCGGTCTATTACCTTTAATCCATATTCTGGTCTCGCTATTTTGCGACTTTTTCTTCTCACTGTTATTTTTATTGCATACCGCCATCGGATGCTATGTTGCATGCTTACTTTCCTTTGTCAGCCCTACGAATCACTGCTGAGTATGCGCCAGATTGCTTGCATTATTTCTATTTTCTGTCTTTTTGAAAGATGGATTGTAACGTAAGCGAGTCATGAACAAAATATTTATTCCATCTATCAAATTCAAAGTATATAGTCCACCCTGTAAAACGTAAGGGTATCCAGTCACATGAGAGATACAGACACAAGGAAGCTTAAGGTGGTGAAATACACTAACTTATTTATATGCCCTTGGTAGCAACAGGAGTTGTCTTCATGTTTCCTGTGTGCCAATATGCAAATATGACCCCTTTATTTCCCTAGATTCAAACCAAATAAGAAACACATGTACCCTAACACCAGATCGTGGGCCTATGAAAACTACGATCGATACGTAGTTAGCGTTTGACAGAAGTTAAATGGGGCGGCTACTAGGAAAATATTATTTTGGCATCATCCATTATATATATCATCCATCAAATTTGGAGCATACTTTTCTCAAAAACGTATTTACCTGTCCTATGCCAAAAGGACATAGAAGGAAGAAATCAGACTTCCAATCCTACTCCGTGATATGGGTCTCTACCTGACCATTCTATTATTGGTGACACAGTAGTCAGCATTAAGTAATTATTAGAAAAGGAGAGGTGCAATGTACCTTCTTACGGCTATACTTAATCCCAACATTATTCTCACTAGCCGAATCATACGGCACAGGGCTGGTATAATTATAAGTAGCCGTGAGACCCTTCCAGGTCTGCTTGACGAGTTCGAGAATGCCATGGCCGGCGGAGCAAGCTCCCTGAGTCAAAGGAACCGGCCATTGAGGCGTGTAGAGACTGTAGTCGCCAGTCGACATGGGGCCTGGGTATGTCTCGTTCAGATACAAGTGGGTGGTATCGACCTCCCAGTTGGTGTAGTTGACCTTGTCGGCGAGGAAACTGAGCAGATTGGCTCCGCAGTCCCAACGGCCTAGTGAGGGCAGGCCCCAGTTAGCGGAGAGCGATGCGATGATGGAGTAGTGTGTGTAGAAGGTGTCATCCTTCTTGCCGCGGAGATTTTCCGGGACGGCACCGCCGACCAGGAAGCTGTAGATTTTGTTTCCAATCTCGTAAGTATCGTTCTCGTCGAAGGTCAGGAGGATAAGAGTGTCCTTGGTAAAGTATTCGTCCTCGAGGAGTTCTGCGAGGAAGCGGTAGGTCCAGGAACCCGCAAAGGTAATGTTGGTGTCATGAGCGTCGTTAGTCATATTTGGTGTGATGAAACTGTATTGTGGGAGACGGTGGTTTTTAAGGTCATCGTAGAAATCAGTGAAGTTCTTGATCTGGCGGAGACGAAGAGCGTCCTGGGTGATGGAGTTGTACAGAATCTTAGGATTATGTTTGCGAACATAATCATTCGGTCCCTTCTCCGGATACCGGTAGCCCTGGTAGCCTGGGTACGGCATGTGTTCCTGGTATTCCCCCCAGGCAATGTGCTTGACGTCTAGCATGTCTGCAATGGTAGAGACGTTGCTGGGGATCTGATTGAAGTCATCATTGTCCATGCCAAACGTGTCACCGCCAGCGGATGCGGCGTAATTAGGCTCACTGGGATGCGTGATGGCCCAATAGTTGCTCAGAAGAAGGCCCTTGTCGGCCAGCTTGGACAGACTAGGGTCCTTGGCCGCATCCTCAAAGTCCTAATGGGCGTTAGATAAATGACTTTGATTCAGGATTTACTGAGACATACAGTGTTCTCCAACCAGATATTCACAAACCGGTTGAAGGCAAGACCCTTGACGTTGGAGACGGGCGAGTAGGGAAGAACGGTGGCCTGAGAAGCTTGGATCTCCGCCTGAGAGGGAAGTTTTTCCGCGGCGGTTTTGGCAAGGGCAAGAGTGGCCCCTCCCAGGAGGGTCGTCAGAGTTTGTTTGGCTAGCATGACGTCCTCAGTATTCCAGTGCAAAGAATATATTAGAGATCGGAATGGACGGAAAACTCAAAAAAATCAAAAAGAAAAGGGCAGCTGGAGACCGGTTTATATACCCAGCTAGACAGCATCCTAGTATTGTACGCGCCCTCTACAACCACGGAAAGCTAGGAAACCGAGGGACTCATTGGGAAATGGAGGAGCTTTTGTTAACTATCCCTACAAGGGTATCTCGCTTGGATGCATCCCACCACGGGTCGATGGCTGGCTCATTGTGCCATCCAGCACGTTGTGAAATGCAGGCCGCTCAGTGGCTGGCGAGTTCCCAATGCGTCCCCTCATTCTTGGCAGGTGCAAGCATTGAGCGGTGGAGCTTGTCTAGAAGGATGGAGAACTTTATCTGGCATTTATTTATTTATTATTTAAAGCAGGATTATTCTAGTAGCTCGAATTACTAATATATATATAAACTAACAGGTTTTAATAGGGTGGCATTTATGCATTTTTCTGGGCCATCGTGAATAAACACTAGTATTCATAATATCATACTTTAATGTTCCTTACAGCAAGAAATGTAACTTCAAGAAAATACGGTTCTAGACGCGAAAGTCCCTGGATTGATTTACCAGTTAAATCAGAAGCAGGGGTAGTCATCAGAACTGCCTTACAGAACTGGGTGACCGATCACCAGGTCCGAAGGTCCGCGATCGACGGTCACCCCTTTCGGCTCTCCTGTTGACCCCGAGGAAGGTCACGTAAATAGGATGATAGGCCTCCGATCTACAACTGCTAACATCGATTTCGGCATAAATATTTGATAAACTTGCCAGGTGTTGCTCCCGCTCGACTGGTTGCAACGAAATGTACGACGACCAACTGATTTGCACTAGATGATCCAAGGTAGATTTAGCTGATGTTGAGGCTGAATAATTGGGGATCTTCAGTGACATTCATTCTTGGAACTGCATACGCGAAATCATCCTTGCAATTATAAAACGATGTGATCTGCCGAGTGAATTCTTACGATGATAGCGACAAAAGGGGGCGTTGTCAAATGTGATGCTGAATCTCCAAAGCAAATGGACCCTCGCGCCAGTGGTCATGAGAAACTCCCCAATGGCGCTCAGTCCTCCATGGTAGAGAAAGGGGCTGAGATCGATCTGTCCCCAGAATCCGTGTACTTTTTTCTTTTATTTTCTTCCAAAACCTGTTTATGGGAAATTTGTCCTCATGGCTGCGATAAGGCTGTACCGGCCACAGATAGGCAAGGTAAATCTACTGATATTGTGGATAGTATCACTATAAACCCCTGCAGTCAGCTTATTCTTGCATACGGCTCACAGCCCAATAGTGTCCAGTATGACATGTTGCCAGAATGGGGAGAGGATTATGAAATTTTCGGGCCACGGCATAAATGCATTGCCGCGTATGGGTCCAGCTGAACTACGCGTAGCCCATTATTGCTTCTTCTGTTGTGTCTTTTCCAGCTGAACGGATCCGGCTTCCGCTTATCTGCGGGGCGAAGAAAAAAGAACCAAACCATATGTAGAATACATTTAACCTGGCCAGGGAGGGAATTGTTTCCGAAATCATTATAGAGAATGAAAAATAAAATATCTGCATGGAAAACGCGTTTCATTCATAGAAGACGGTTAACGCAATGCTCAGCAAGTATCAGCTACCAGGCCACCTCGCACTGGCTCGTACTCATTGGGAAGACCTTAATCGAGCGATCGAATGTGGGGAGATTATAATCGATGGAAAAGGACTCACCATTGGTGGTGTAGTTGCTGTGTCGAAGTATGTTGAGCTGGCATCTTTTGGTCATATCTCACGCTTTAGCTTACAGTTTTGCCAGACATGGCTGTCAGCCGCATTTGTCCAACGATAGCAATATAATCGAGATGATTAATGAAAGTGTGACAGCCTTAGATGAATGCCTCGCCAATGGGCACCATATCTACGGTGAGTTGGAGGTCAATTTTACTCGACGCTCAAGTTTAATCGGACTGAATCTGATGGAAAATACCAGGGGTAAACACTGGATTCGGGGGCAGCGCTGATTCACGAACAAACCACCTGCATGCACTACAGAAATCTCTCCTGCAGCTTCTTCAGAGTGGAATTTTGGCAGGTGCAGACACCGGCAGCAGCAGCGGCAGCGGTAGCTCTGCATTCATGAGTCATTCGATGCCAACAGAGTGGGTTAGGGCAACCATGATAGTTCGGTGCAATTCCGTATCTAGGGGGCATTCGGCAGTATCCAGGGCCTCCATTGAAGCCATACTGAAGCTTATTCGGGAGGATGTAACACCCGTGATACCTCTTCGAGGAACTATCTCGGCATCAGGGGATTTGATGCCGCTCGCCTATATCGCTGGGGTCATCGAAGGCAGTCCAGGAATATTTGTACGCGGAAAATCGCCCAAGGCTCAACCGGTCACTGCTGAGCAAGAGCTAGACAGGCTTAGTATCCCGAGAATCACTCTCGGGCCCAAGGAGGGTCTAGGCTTAGTCAACGGAACTGCTGCTTCCGCAGCTCTAGCCAGTCTTGTCTTATACGATGCGCACCAGCTTGCCCTCCTTTCTCAGGTGGTGACGGCTCTCACAGTCGAGGCTCTCTGTGGTACCACTGAGAGCTTTCACCCGTTCCTAAGCGATGTCCGCCCGCACGAGGGTCAGATCGAGACTGCCGCAAATATCCTTTCTGCACTTCAGGAATCCCGGCTTGCAAGAGGACCCAGTGGATCCCATGAAGCCGCAGGACTCGTCCAGGATAGATATGCCCTTAGAACGGCCAGTCAATGGATCGGTCCTCAACTGGAAGACCTTGCTCTTGCCGATCGTCAAGTTAGTATAGAGCTTAATTCTACCACGGACAACCCCCTTATTGATAGTGCGACGCGAACCTTTTATTGCGGAGGGAATTTTCAAGCAACATCGGTCACCTCTGCAATGGAGAAGACCCGCTTAGTACTGCAGATGTTTGGGAAGCTCATTTTCGCACAGTGCAATGAAATGATTGATCCAGATCTGAACAACGGCCTGCCGACCAACTTGGTCGCAGATGATCCGAGCCTGTCTTTTACCATGAAAGGAGTTGATATTAACATGGCTTCTTACATGTCGGAGCTGGCATATATTGCCAACCCCATCAGCACACATGTACAGACGGCCGAGATGCATAATCAAGCTGTGAACTCACTTGCTTTTCTATCAGCCCGCTACACCATGCAAGCAGTCGACCTGGTATCCATGATGGGGGCATGTTCCATTTACGTTGCGTGTCAGGCTCTGGACCTACGCGTCCTACAGCTCAATTTTTTTCACGATACTCAATCCGTCCTAGCCTCGACCATCAGACAGGTGTTTGAGGATATTCTTCGTCCACACGCCCAAGAAAAATTGTCTCGTGGACTGGCCAAAGTGATCCAGAGTGCCTGGTCATCGACCTCCCGAATGGACATCCGTGATCGTTGCCGGTGTGTTGTTGACAAGTCTCTGCCGACGATCCTCGATGAGATAGCGTCAATTCAATTATCTGACTGTGGTTGTATGACAAGGAACGTCCTGAAGGATATCAATCAATGGAAAGAAGCCACGGCCTCGAAGCTAGAATCTGCCTACAAACAGGCAATAGACCGGTTTTGTAAGACCCAAAATACCCCCGACTACTTAGGGGTCGGATCAAAAGCCATATACCTCGCTGTTCGCCATCAGCTCGGCATTCCCTTCCACCAGGGGTTTACTGAGCATCCGTCAGCAGACATGCCGGACAAAATCAACGGAAGGGCCAAAAAGACCATTGGATCATGGATATCAATTATTTATGAGGCCTTGCGGGATCATAGCCTGAGTGGTGTTATACTGGATGCACTAAAGCCTTGCGATTAGATACAGGTATGAACTTGAAAAAGTATCAAGCGACCGTGATCTTCTTTTTCATCTCTAGAAAGCTAGGAATTGGTACGGCCAATTATAGAGTGGTGCTTGTCTAGAAAGTCGACGGTATTTTTGGGGGGGGGGGTTTTCTTTGTTTGTTTTAGCTGCCGCCGTCTGTCTCTCCGCAGTTAACATTAATACTTATCAGCTTACTGCTTCTTTCCACTTTTCAGGCTTCATAATAGGGCCAGAAATAGTATTTGTGTCGTCGTACTGTCTCATAGCTCCGTTGAAGGATATGAGATATTGCTATATGGGACTGTGGTGTCTTGTAGAAGGGAAGTAGTCACAGTCGAAGAGTCAAAACTCAAAAGATCCAATACAAACCGAACAAATAGCTGAACTAGTGGGTCCTGCAATTTGTAACCATCGTTACTGATTCTTCACTTCGCAACTTACCTGAATCAGACCTTTGGATGCCAATTGAACTGAACCGGCACAGCTAGTCCGCTATAGTACATGCTGCAGTACATACACTCTGATTTATCTTCTCTCTCATGTCGGTTCCCCCCCCAAAGTCATAGAAATTGGAGATCCATTCATTATTCTCTCAAGAGAGATACTGATAAGTGTATGTAAAGGGCTGGGGCCCGTTTAACTTCTCAGCCCTATAGTCCCTGTTGTCCCCTTGTTCCTGTCAGAATAAGCTAGTCCAGATCGGGACATCATGTGAAATATATATACCCAATATTTCTCTCATAGAGGGTTGGGCAGAACATCCTGAATCCAATCATTTCAGACCCCCAAAAATCGAACAGTTCCCCGTTATCCCCATTGTCCCTACTGTCCCTGTTGGCCCCATTGGCCCTCGAAGATCCACATCCCGTGATTTCTTCTTATTTGTTTACTCGTCCTTTCCTTCTTTCCTTCAACGATTCCTTTTGTACATAGCCTATCTTATAGTAGGTTCTATGGGTTCAGCCCTTAACATAGTTCATACAATTCACACCACCTACAGCAGGTTACTCGGTCGCAGGCCAAAAATTCACTTAAATTTGCAAACCTCCTAACAAAGACTCTGCAACTAATTTTCGGCTGGCTTTGCTTGCACTGCGCCATGTCCATACCTGTATGGCACTCAGCAGCATGACAAGCCATCTTGTTACTCGCTGGAGCGTCATACGCTATTCTCACTCTGTTTAGTCTCCAAGCGCTTTTGCAGCATTGCTCAGGCCATTTCTACCGTGAGTTTGTCCCTGGACACGGTGACTAATGGCGCTCAACTATTTACTCGCGGAATACCCGACTTATATCTTTTTACGAGTGGTGGCATAGCGACGAGACCTTGGTGCATTTGTAAAGAAGATTTATATCACCCATTTTTATTAAAATCTATTAGTGAAGGCGAGGCTTGGGATACACTAAAGGAGGTTACACATACACTGGGAGTTATAGCACATCAGCAACTATCACCATCAGATATTAGTCTGATTACTATTTTAATTATTAGGTTGCCATTGCAGTCTTTAAGTTGAAATACCTGCTCTTGAGGCGAATATCTGCTTATCTATTCTAAATCTGGCTGGTATTTCACATCTGCCACTAAGGACGGTTTATATTTCTCTGCGTGCTGCGGCAATACAGTCAGAATATTTCCTTCTCAACCTAGTAACATGTGGGCGTGGTATTTTCGAACTGTTTACAAGCCTAGAGACGCTTAATCTCCACATGTGCAGCGGCATCTGGGATCAGGCCCTTTTTCCTTTTCTGCTAAATCTTAAGAAACTTTACATTACCTACAGCAGACTTAGCGAGAAATATTTTAAAGGTATTTTTTCTTGTTGTAACAGTCTACGCACCTTTGTCTACGAAGCTGTTGATCCTTGCTCTAGTCCTAATATCAGAGATTATTTTCAGGCATCTAGTATTGTAAAATACCTTAGTTGCCACCAGTCAACATTTAAGTCTCTGCAACTTGATCTTCGACGCCTGCGTTTGTTCCCTGTTTCTAACAGTAAAAACACCCAGGCTGCCTTTAGCTTTCAAGCCGTTACTGTGCTGGAACACTTGTTTCTTAACTCAAGCGAGCTATATAGCTGTTTCCTGGCGGAGTCACCTTCAGAGTTACTCCTAGTCCAGTGTCTTTCCCCCCAGCATTACATTACTATGCCTTGCTGGCCATATCGGCCATGGCCTTCCGGGCCTGGCAAAGGGCCTACTCGACCTCGCGGATGCTACCTTACAGGGGCAATTCCTCAGACTGGAGCAGGTTAGATGCGACGCAGAACATAGTCTAGATAAATATCATATGAGTACCATGTTTTCCACTGCCGTGGTCGATTTTGGTTACAGCAGTTGGCCACTAGGCGAGGCTACACTTAAGAGACAGTGACGTGCCACCACTATCAACTTCATCTCCAGATTTGCCGTTGTCATCAGATACGGATTGTGATCTATAATAATCGCTAGGAATTTTGGCTTCTCCCGGAAGCAGTGTGACACATGAAACGAGGAAACCCAAACTAGTTAGTCACTGCTATTTAACAAAACTATGGTGGGCTTTAGTGTAACGACCGGCGCAGGGACGGTTTGCGTTGACGGTTTGTAGCGTTGGTTTGCAATGTCGGCTTCCGACGCTCATGGTTTGTTCTATCTACTATGTCTGGTCGAAGGGAGCGATGGAGCGTGGTAGTATATGAGGATATCTACCCCATTGCTCACCTCCATCCTCTTCCTTTCCTCTCCGTGCTTTAGTATTCTCGTTGCTAGCACCGAATAGAGTTGATTTGGTCCCATTTCCATCTCTGTTTCGTAGGTCATAACATAAGATAGGCTATGTACAAAAAGGAATCGTTGAAGAAGGAAAGAAGGAAGAGGAAAAGAACAGATAAACAATAAGCAGGAAGGTCACGTGATGTAGGTCATCGAGGGCCAATGGGGTCAACAGGGCCCGGCAATAGGAGCAATAGGTGGCCAGGACACATCACGAACCTGTCAACAATTAACTAAGTTACACAACATTGGACCTTCTCTCCTTCTTTTCTAAATTGTTTGCATTTGCACACACTTTTGATGGTATGATGGGTGAATTGCTTCAAGTAATTTAAGGTGTTGAAATTGGGAGGGGTGGAACATTCGTTTTGTATAGCATGCTCGCTTGTGAATATGTTAACCGTTTATGGTAATATTGATTATTCAGCACCTTACTCAGGGGTCAAATGTTATGGGTGATACGACATCATCGGATCGGTTTTATTTCTCATATTTAGTTAGCTTACACTCTTCCTTTATTTACATCGCCTTATAAAACGCGACGTTTTGGTAGCTTTAGTTAAATCAGAGACCTAATTATGTTGAGGATCGATACTTACGGATACGCGTATTTTAATGTCGACAGGACCATAGGCCTCAGAAGTTTCAAAACTCCAGAGTACATGTTCGGCTCGCTTACCGAATACGTTAGTAAACTCTGGAGTTAGGTAAATAAATAATAGTCTAAGGACATCCTCCTTCCGGATTATGGACCAAAGTGAACAGGAGATCCTAATAGCACAGATTTAGGAAAGCCCCAGGGTGGCTACTACTAGTGATGGTGGCTAATCTAAAAAAAAAAAAAAAGAAAAGAAAAGAAAAGAAAAGTTAAATCCAAAGCCACCCACCCATATTAAAACATTATCTTAGTTATAGACAGGAGCAAGCGAGCGAACTCCGCCACAATCTCGAATTCTCGATGTAAATTGTAGTTCTGGGTTGGCGTTCAAGGAGATGGTTCTTCTCTTTACAACGATCGCCAGCATCTGTGGATTATTAGCTAAAATCCAAGCTCAAGTCCATCGGGCATGGGCTGCTTACATCCAGAATTTTAATAATAGTATCCTTACTAAGTCTATACCTAACTTCTACCTTGTACACCAGATACCAGCACTTCCAGAATGTCTCCAGCGAGCCCTTGTACTTTATTCCCGCTGCTAATTGCATTGCTAGAAAAAAGGGGTCTTGAGAAAAAAGACTGTCTCCTCCGAGTCGGAAAGCTAGTAAAATTATCTAACAGGGTTATACTTACCATCGCAGTAGAATCTATCAGCACTAGCGTTAAGGTTAAAAGGCAACTGTTTCTCACCGATCCCAGTAATTCCGTGTCTTATCCAACATATCCTGGGTCCTCGGACTTTAGCTCTGTCAGAGACGTGTAACATCGAGACACTTAGCCCTTTAAATATAGTACTTCGCAGGAAGCTCCCGTCCCTCCTCGTATCGAAGAGTTATCGTCAGAACCATTATCTAAGTCATCGTTGCTTTCCGGCTCGGACGCTCTGTCCACGGAGTCGTGTCTAGCATTGTTTAAAAAGACGTCCGGCAGGTCGGCAGTCTGGTCGCTATTATTTTAAATGCAGTCGGTCAGGAGCGCCGCATGACAGGTAAAGGTGGGAGATGAGAAAAATATGAAATGTGAAAACGATCAAGCAGGAGGATAGGTAGAGCGTCTCCAGTTGTGTTAGGATGGACAGGCTTTATTTATTTTTAATACTATTAATGCCGATTAAAAAGCTTATGAATTCATCATGGTCATAAATCATGACTACAAAAATGCTGCCTAATAGATTGTTAGCGATAAGTTAGCTATAATTTATTTCATGATACATATTTATTTTGCGGGGAACCCTGAAAGGGGTTCTTGTTCTTGCCTGCCGGCACGTGGAGTCGCCCAATGACTCGTTCCCCTGATTAGCCACCGCCTTTCCCCCATCTTATCGACGAACTAACTAGTATCTTCCTATCGCCTCGCCATCTTCCTGATTTCCATCCAAAATGCCTCCTGTCAGACGGCAGCGGACGGAGCCCATTGTTCGGGTGAGGACCGGGTGTCTAACCTGCAGACGTCGCAAGAAAAAGTGCGATGAAGACAGACCGGCCTGCCGCGGTTGTGTGCGGAATAAACTCACCTGTCTGTGGCCGTCCAATCTACTACTATCCCAGCATGCATCATCAGCATCATCAATGGCACCTGATACGATGGCCCAACAAGACACTCAAAGTCAGCGAGCGAGCCCCGGATGTGACAGCGTAGGTCGTGAATCACTTGGTTCGCTTGATTCTCCCACGTCTCCCCCATCTCCTGCCCAACAGTCTAGCACTTCGGACTCTGCCGAGCCCTCCTCCTTGGCAAATGAAGAGCACGCCCTTCTACAACCGATAGCCCTGGGGAGCGCTAGCGTAGAGCCCAATACTCCTGTCATGACTGTGGGTGATGTGGTGCCTCGAAATCTGTCAATGCTTCCAGGCTATGGCCAAGAATCCTTCCAGCTACTAAGCCACTACCTGGCGACTACCGCCGATTGCATGGCTAATGGATCAACGCCCGTCAATCCATTCTTGGTCCAAATCGTCCCGCTGGCTTTTACGAGTGATCTTCTGCTCCAGCTAGTATTAACGCAAAGTGCCGCCCATCGTGCATTCCGGGGCCGGAACGAAACCGATCAAGTCGCTCAGACCCACTACACAAAAGCGTTGCAATTATTTCGCAGGGGAGTAAGCGAGTTTATCGACGGTAAAGAGTCAAATCCATTGATGCTCACTGTTGGAGCCCTTGTGATGTGCTTTACAGAGGTTTGTCTCGCGTGGTATTTGACTCCACCAAGCTGACCATATTCAAGACCGCTAAAGGGGATATGAATGGCACGATATTCGACCATCTTTCTGCAGCCAACACGCTTCTCACCCGCCTACTTTCTCTCAGCGATGCAGCTGTACCAAAAGAACTGAAAGACTTTGTCATCGAATACTATACCTACACAGCGGCCGTGAGCATGATATCTATCGATGCCAGAGTCAGCCCACAGCTGCTATTAAATTTCGAATTAGAGCAACGTGCACGATCATTGTTAGATTCAGAGTATGTTGGAAACTTGTGTGGATGCTGGTTAGAGCTGTTACTTCTGATCCCCTGCATCTTCGACTTGGGGAGACAGTGGATGATGTATGACGGACAACCCTCGATGCCCACTGCCGATGAAATTGCCATGTTTGGCTCACTACAGGCCCAGATCCTACAGTGGTCGCCTTATACATCTGTTACCCCGGAAGTATTTTTAGCTGGTCGCATCTTCCAGCAAGCCATGCTACTTTATCTATACACAGCGTTGGGCTGTTTCTCGCGCACAGCGAATGGCATGCACCAAGGGCTGGTTCAGACTGCCGTTGCTGAAGGCATGTCGTATTTGAGTCAGCTTTCTGCAACAGTTCGCATTAACTCCGGTCTTTGTTGGCCTATCGCTGTGATTGGGTCTTGTCTGACTCATACCCAGCAGCAGGAGGAGTTACGAAGCCGATTAAATACGATGGTTAGGAGGTTTGGTCTAGGGAATATGCAGCGAACTTTACTTTTGCTGGAGCATATGTGGTTAGTGCCTCTCGACGAAGCTGGACCGTGGAACATATGCCGAGCGATGCAACAACATCAAATCTGGATCTCATTTGCATAATGAGTGATTAAAATCATGGCTTCTAGTCATACAGCAAGTCATCATTCATGTCCCTCCTGCCTGCGGAACCTGACGAGGCCACATCCAAGAGAAACCGGCCCGAAAATATCTATTGGCCGAGGTTCTTGGGGGCCTCAGTTGCGGGGCCCTCGGGGGTCACGTAGGCCTTGGTCAGCCCACCGTCGACAACAAAATCAGCGGCATTGACAAAGCTACTCTCATCGCTGGCCAGGAAGATTACAGCATGGGCCTGTTCAATCGCCTCGCCAAAACGACCGGTGGGGAAATGAACCTCACGGCGAAAACGCTTCTCCTTGTCGTCTCCGAGCCAATCCTGCAATAAAGGCGTACTACATTGGTCAGCGTGAGTGCTCATTGAGAGGGGCGAGCTGCAACCTACTTGAGGGGAGCTGGGCACAGAGAATTGAACCGGAAGCCTATCACCGTTAGCAACGACCCCTGCCGATACGATGCACAGACATACCCTCTCGCGCATGTACAATCGCCAGTTCTCGTGTCATGGCCAAAACGGCACCCTTGCTTGCAGTATAGGCCAATTGTGGGGTTGCGGCACCCACCAGGGCGACCATGCTAGCAGTGTTGATGATACTCCCCTTCTTCTTGCCGTGTTTCCGTAAGCTCTTCACTGCATGCTTCGATCCGTACCACACACCCTTGACATTGATATTCATTGTCAAATCCCAGATATTCTCAGGTGTTTCCTCCGAATCGCCATCCTTGGGGTGCATAATCCCAGCGTTATTGAACATCACATCTAACCCACCCCAGGCGTCCAAGTGTGCAACGGCCGCCTCCACCTCTGCCTCCTTAGACACATCAACTACGCGAATCTCCACCTTGCCATCACGCTGCGGAACCACTTCGTTCACTTTCGCAAGGGCCTTTTCGAGGCCGGGAGTACTGATATCGGTCATGAGGACGGAGGCGCCTTCGCGCAGCATGAGGATGGTCGTTTCCAGGCCAATGCCTCTGTTGCTGTTAGAGATGATAGCATTTGCAATTGTAAAAAAGAACATACCCAGCTGCGCCGGTGACAATGGCATTCTTTCCTGCGAGTCTTCCAACCATGGTGTAAGTGGGTATATTCGTGTCTGTGTTGATGTAAATAATAGTTCTACAAAGATTGATACAAGGAATTGACTACGCAACCGGAGTACCGATTCTTATAGCTTCATTCCTATCCACATGATCATACCCCTAACCGCGCAGTGGGGATAAACAGAGACGACCACCGCGTGAGTTGTGATTCTTATTACCTACGAAGAACGCGACCCGATCCACCACCGGTGATAAGCATCGGATACGATAAGATAGGCCCCCGCGGTCCGGGAGCGCGCGCGGAGCACCGATTCCGGAGAAAAGCCGAACACTATTACTAATTTTAAGCAATTTGAAAATAATATCGTAAATTTGATTCCATTGAGAGAGTACATGTCTAAACCTGAGCCTCCTTAATATGAAAACTCTTCAACTTATAAAACGCATCAAACGCATGCGGTCCCAATGTACACCCCAATCCTGAATTCTTCCATCCAACCCACGCCAAATCCTACCCAAATTAGCATGCAGAAAGAAGATGGGGAAGATGGGGAATACGGGGTAGATGGATAGCTTACCGGACTAGGATAGTCACACCGATTAATATACACCGTCCCCGCCTCGATCCTCTCAATCAATGTCTCCCCGGCAGCAATATCCTTTGTCCAGACACTCGCAGTCAAGCCGTAGTCGCTATCATTCATCAGTGCAATCGCCTCGTCATCCGACCCGACCTTCATGACGGGAATCACAGGACCAAAGGTCTCTTCGCGCATCGTCTGCATCTCATGTGATACGTTCACCAGGAGTCGCGGCGCGACGTAGTTCCCTTCTGCGGGGGGAGAAGTAAACGTGGGATTTGCGGGAGTTGCGTCGATAGCGCCCTTGGATAACGCGTCGGTGATGTGTGCGTTGATGGTTCTCACGGCTTGTGGGGAGATAACGGGGCCGACATTGGTGGTTGGGTCTACTGGTGTGCCGAGTTTGTATCTGTATATTTTGAGCGGTTAGATTTGTTGGATGGAAATAGTGAGTGGGTGAGTGGATGACACATACGATTCCAGTTCCTTCTGAACGGCAGTGACAAACACATCGTGCACGTCCGCATGCACGTAGACACGCTCGATCGAGCAACAGCTCTGCCCGGAGTTAAACACCGCGCCATCGACAACCTGCGCCGCGACGTAGGATATGTCTGCGTCGGAACGCACGTATGTCGCGTCATTCCCGCCGAGTTCCAGGTTGACGGGAACGACTCGTCGCGCTGTGGCTTCGCGGAGACGAAGACCTCCCGCCGTGGAGCCAGTGAAGGAGACGAGGCTGATCTGTGGGAGAGCGACGATCTGGTCTAGCGTGTCTGGAGAACCGCAGTGGATGAGCTGGAAGACATTGGGTGGGAGACCGGCCTGGGTGAAGATGGACTGGAGACGCTCGCCGACCAGAGGTGTCTGGGGAGATGGTCTGAGGAGGACAGCGTTTCCTGCCAGAAGGGCCGGGACGAGGGTGTTGATTGTGATCAGATAGGGGTACTACATGTGTGAGCTGTATTCCTTCTACCAGAAACACACAATAAAAAAAAATTTAATGGAGACTTACATTCCACGCCGTCGAAATAAAAGCAACCCCCACAGGCTCCTTTTTCAAGAACCGTCTGAACCCATTCTCCGGCTGACCGGGGAGATTCTTCAAGCTGTCATCAACAATGTCAAGCAGGTACTCGGCGCGTTTGCGCATGGTGTCGATTTCCTTGGTGCTGTAGGAAATGGGACGACCCATTTGGGTCGTCAGCTCCTGCGCGAGGGTCTCTTTGTCTGCGTCAATCAGGTTCAGTGCCTTGACGATAATTGCCTTTCTCTCAGGCAGCGGGATCTGTTTGTATGATTTAAAGGCATCTTGTGCGGCGATGGCCAGCTGGCGGGCTTCGTCTGGGGAGGTTCCCGGGTGCTCGAAGATGACCTTGTTGGTGGAGGGGGAGATGGTGCAGATTTTGTTGGACATGTTGTATTGTGCGGAGTGTTGTTCGAGTTGGTAGTGTTAGGATGGCGTTGTCTTCAGTAGAAACCAGTATGTTATAAGTAGTCGAGAAGAAAATGATGTAGATACTGGTAGAGTGGGAGCGCGCTCTGATAAGGTGGGTATGGCACATGCGCGGTAAGAGGTGGATCTACAACTGCCATGCTGATGATGGGATGCACTCTCTAGCCACTGAATGCACAAAGTAATCTGAATCAATATGTATATTCTATTCTAAAATAATAGGTTACTATCAAAGCAACTTCCAAATTGCCTCCACGACTAGCAATCCATCATGTGGTAGCCCAGCTCGGGATAGGCCACTATGGAATAGCTCGCCATTAAAGATCCCCTGATTATGTCTAGCCTCTAGTAACTGCTTAATGAAAAACTCGTCGTACTCCGGATGGCCTTGGACGGTCAGGATACGTCGAGGCATATAGAATCCATGGATTTTGCAGAGAGCAGTTGACCCCAGATTGACGCATCCATGGGGGACCTCGTACACGATATCTCGGTGCATTTGATGTAGGGACTATGATGATAGTTCGACGCATTAGTATCTTCGACTCAAATAGATAGGTCAATCAAGACTTACCAAGCTGTCCTTGGAAAACAGCTCCCTCCCTGCATCGGTCAGAGTGATCTGCTCAACTGCCACCTCCCAGCTCGCATCATTTCGTCCCACACGAGCACCCAACGCGCGTGCCACAATCTGATGTCCGAAGCAGATTCCAATGATGGGTTTTTGCTGTTGATGCACCTTTCGAACATAGTTGGTTAGTTCCACTATCCACGGGGCATCGGAAAATGAATCGTGCTCTATGCATTCCGTCAGCAACGTCCAATCGGGATATCTGGGAAACATACTGCTTCCTGTCAAAAGGAGGGCATCGTATTCTTCTGCAGCAGGATAGACTGGATTGTCCACCACGTTCCATTTGGTGACATGGAGGGATTCCTGTTTGGGAAGAGCAGCGGATAGAAGCCGTTCAAAGATATCCGCATACGTCCCGTAGCGATCCTTCACCGGATCTATGGGAGTATCGCACTCGAGAACTGCAATTCGTGTCATGACTGCGAGATGTGTAGTGACACAGAACTGTATCCTTCTGGTCCTTCTACATGGTCTGAGGCATCGAGGGCTTATCATCTATCACCTTATCGATAAGCGCGGTCCCAGCGCGGTCCCAGTCACTGACTACCTGGGGTACCTCGGCATCGTGGATTGAAAGTGCTGCTTCCTGGAAGAAGGCTGATGCTGTATTAGAATGTAAATAATATACTAATCAAAACAATATGTAATTACACCCCTCCGGTCATACTGTCAATTACGTCGGTAGCGAGCGCGGATCAGTCCAATCTCATTGCTTCGTCAGGAAACCGCTCATATTTCGCACCATCAAAGGATCCGCCATAGTGAAGTAAATCTACATACCGCATCTTCGACTGCACTCTGGCAAGAACAGCAAAGTGGAATCGCGCTTTGCGCTGAATTGATCGCAAGTTCAATCAACCCCGCATTAGTCCATAGGGTTAGCTGGAGTTGATTATCTGTCATTCTAATATACGAAACATATGTACTACTATGGCACCTGCGAGTCTTCCTTCGCAATTGCCAAGGCATACATCAGGCGGCTTTGTGCCATCAGTCCAGCATTTATTGCCAAGATTCTCCTTTACTTGGTATCTCACAGAATCACTGGTTACTGTGTGAAGCATGCGAGGATGATCGGAATGACATTGTGTCAATATATCAGAAGATTTGCCTGTGCTATCTTGAACCAGGCCTTTAGTAATCCAGTGGAATTTCATTGATACATTGTCTTTGTCGGTAACAGGGATGCAAGCATTAATTTGCGAGCTTCTGCCATGATGTTAGTCAATATAAAGACAAATGAAGATGAGTGTAACTTACAGCTCCAGGCTCCCTGTTGTATGATACCCCTCCTGTTCAGCGCCTGCTAAATATAGAAATGGAATTAGATGCCCATGAAGGTGGGACACCAGATGCAGGATCTCTTTTGCGACCCTGTAGTGTAAAAGCAAAGTATTTGGCAGTCTGTTCAGTTGCCTTAGAAGGCTCCCAATGGGCGAGGACATGCTATCATGATTCTCGAGCAGCCATATCCATGTCCTCTACCAGAACGTCTGATGTCTTGGCATAGTGACCTCTGTGATAGAGATCCTTTATATTTGTATTGAGACAAACAATATTATTCGACCGCTTAAAATCATATGAAATATTAAACCCAGTGGTTTCCAAGGGAGTATTTGTTCTAGGCGGTCAGATAGTAATATTTTATATCCACATAAAGTAATTTGGAAGAACGATAAAAAGCAAGAATAAGGGAATTGAGAAAGACAAAGGAAGAGGTAGAGAAGGTAGGAGAAGAATTACAAGTTTTGTGAATATGTGTTAAATATAAATCATACAAATAAGACATATCAAAACACTACATAAGAGATATTAAAAGGGTTAGAGAAAGTAATAAAGAATGCATACAATAAATACTGTATACCTGAACAATAGCAATCCAGTATCAGTATTGTGCCTCATCAATATACAATTATTGACATGCAGTTTATATGTCGTAAGACAAGACACGATCACTGAAAACAACCAGGAATGTCATCTTTGCCAGTAATATATAACAAGAGTAAGATATCTAGTTAAATTCCTCATCATTTCTCCCCTCTATATATAATGCCTGATTTCTGCTTCCCTGGAAGATCTCGAAGGTGCTTTCGCATGTATGATCTAGCTAGTGGACGTCTCGCCAACGAGCATCTCCACGGAGGTCGGGTGGGTAGTTACTCTTCCTGAGTTCCCGCGGACTCATGTTACTACACATGCGGTTGGGTTGTTTCTCGGTATGCGTTGGATACTCCAGAGTAAGACGGACTCGGATATACGGCCACTAGGTTGGGTTTTTCCTCGAGGGTTGTTGCGAAGGACGAAGGTCGTGGTTGATGCGGAGGGTAGAAAGGAGGGGAGGCATTGGAAGGAACGACTTGAGTATGGGAAGAGGGGTAATCAGGGAGGGATTTTGTCTATCTCTCGCTATCTGTTTGGGTAATTGGTTGGATTGGGGGGGAACACGTATTGAAGTTGACGGATGTGAACCCGGAATAATAAGGATGGTTGAATATAAGAGTTGACTAAGATCTATATCATATGCTGACTAGAGCGTATATCGGAATTCAGGATCCCCTTCAATCACCCGTTTTCCCTCATTGGCTTGCTTGTTCGAGTACCGAAACCACAGGCTCAGGCTTGCCACAATCACCATCATCAATATATTACATCTGATACGTCTTAGTATCTGATCATATAGATGTAGGGACAATACTCACGCAATAGTCGTCCACACGCCCGGTCGGTAATTCGGCGCATCCTGAGATCGGAAAACCAGACTGCTCACGATCCCTCCAATCCCCCCGAATCCCACGAGGGTCGCGCTGGATAATGCCCGCGTCCACTGCCCGCGCACATTGTTGGCTTGGTAGGCCATCACGGCCGGAATGTTCGAGTTGGATCCCATCACGCTGAAGAACACCCCGACGTATCGTGCAGCATTGCCCTCAGCAAACCCCATGATCGGTAGCCCGATGATGCAGAGACAGGCGTTGAAAACGACGATGGCCCCTCGCAAGCGGTACCGATCGCCCACCCAGGCTGTCCCGTACATGACGATCCCGGCCGCAGCGTATGGTGGTGCAATAAGGCACTGTGCAGCGCCCACCTTGTATCCCATGCCCTTTTCCAGGATGATCGGAAGGAAATACGCGATGGCGTAGGTCACCGTTGTCGTGCAGCTGCAGTGTGTTAATCAACGGGGTTAGTCACAGAATCCCTGGATAGTCTTACAAGAAAATCATCGCGAATCCCCAGATCTTCAAATCGAGTGCAGGTGAAAGGAACCGTTTGAGACTAAACGGCTCCTCGTTGGCGTCCGACCTGTCCCGGTTGATACGTCGCACAATGAATGCGCTTTCCTTCTTGCTGAGGAACCTCCATGATTTGTGTGCCCTGTCTGGGAAGTCGACTAGGAAGATAAGGGCCAAAACGCCGATCAGAGCGGTAATCTATTATCATCAGTATCGTGGCCCTGATCCTCGTGACAATTCACGTACCACGCCCTCCATGATAAAAATCCATCTCCAGCCCTCGAGGCCTTGGAGTCCACCCATCTGCATCAGTCCAAATGCAAGAATACCGGCGAAGGCGGAGGCAACACAGCCAATAAGATAAAAGACCGAGAAGCGTTTCTGAACGTCAACTAGCTGGGTCAGCTCAGCGCGGCACAGATATACATCGGCCGACTTACAGCGAGTGTACCAACTTGACAAGAGGTACACACATCCGGGAAAATATCCTATCACATTGCGTTGAGATTATGGTGATTGTCAAACAAGTGTGCAATTTACCTGCTTCTAGTACACCGAGGAGAACGCGGCATGCAACCATATGTTGCCAATTCTTGGTGAACCCCATTCCCTGCAAATCTGTCAGGCAAATCCACTTCGAATTTAGATCGAGGCCACTTACAACCAGAATCGCTCCCCAGAGTACGACAATGGTACCCAGGAAGAAAGTAGGACCCACCTTCCGGGTGATTATTGTCATAGGGGGCTGGAATATAACGTAGGGGACGAAGAATATAAGCACGATAACAGACTGTGACCGGCTCACGTTAGCATAGCTTCTTGCTGTTTTCTAAAGATTGCGACACTCACGTAGCGCTGACCAACATATAATCCCAGGTCCTTGGTCATTCTATGTCCTGTTAACCATCATCTCGACTACGTGACGACAGCGTTACGCAAGAGTTGCTTACCCTGCCACAGCGGCCATACTGAGATTGGTTCTGTCCATGAGCGAGACACAGTATGCTAAACCAGTCATTGTCACCAGACGTCGATCAACGCGGTGAATAATCTTCCGCTGCTCAGCGTAGGAGTATTCTTCATCGCAATCGACATCGTTCAGGACAAGCTGGTTGACGTCCTCAATTTTTTCAATGCTAGGCGCGGCCTTTTCGCTATTCGAGCGTGACATGGCTGAGTCTCTGTGTAGAAGGCAACTCGATGTCGCACAGCAAAATAAATTGACTCAAGAAGGATGAAAAAGAAAGATTAAGCGCATTGTGACGGGCCAGAGCATCCTTTATATGTCCCGACTACCGTTGTTGCACCATACCACTGGACAACAACACTCAGAATCCAGAATCCATCTCGAAACTGGGGTACCCCTCCATTCTAGATATCGGAATGCCAGAATGGAGAGAATTGATTCGCCAAACATGCTGCAAATAAATGCCGATAAGCGTCAGAGTTCACCATAGCCGGCTTGGTACGACCAACTACCTCGGTCATTAACACTGGACAACAGAACAAAGGCGCCAGTTCCCTTGCGAGAAGCTGCCACTCCGCCAACCTTTCACAAGCATTGACAATTGTGGGGTTGAGAAGGATGCGGGGAGATAGGACACGACCAGACTGACATCAAGACTTGCCCCTTGGTAGCTTGGCAGATGGGCTGTCATTCGCCAACCGCCGGTCTTGCTCAGCTCGGAGATAATACAAGGTTAATAGTATGGAATTCGCCGTCGTGTGTGGATGAGGCGTCGAGACATGGCGTCGCCCCGGAACGTGACCTGGATTCTCGGAGGGCCCCTGCGACTTTCCTCTCCCGGTTCCCCCCGTGCCATGGATTGTAAATCTTGACTGGAAATTTAGATTTTCTTTGCCTCTTGTACACTTCCGTAAGTTCTCAATAGCCAAGCATGTTTTCCTCCTTATCTTAGCCAATGGTATTACCACTAATTCTGGGATGTCAATCGGGATCTATTCATCCTTTTCATCCCGATCCAACACATAATGATTCTAGATCCTACCAAGTGCTATGCTACGACGTCGGCCTCAATCCCGGCAATTTTGTTTTGACTAGCTGAGTGGTTTAAACTTTTGAGCCTGTTGAATCAGATCTTCGGCTGATAGGGGACAGTGCTGTCGTCAGTGGAACTGGCTCGGACGTCTGACTCTGGGCATTTGCCTATAAAAAATTAACTATCCTTGGATCAGCTGTGGGTCTGCTCTTCCAAGTCTGACATTCCAGTCCCCCGCAATTACTCCGTACTCTTAGTCCAATTTCCCCACAATACCCCCGGATCCACCAATTGCCCAATTGTCCTTGCCATCTACCATCTGCACTCCGTATCAGATCCCAGTGTTATGACAAGTGGCCCAACAGGTAATGCAGTTATCGATGTCATTACGTCGCTATAGCGCTTCGTGAAAGCTTGACATTGGCTGGTCTTCCGTAGATATCTTTTCTCTTAGTGTATATCTCAATTCGGTCTTATGGACACGCTTACTCTGCATTCTTCGTATCTCGCGACACAGGCCGCCTTGTGGCGTTTGTTCATGCGATTTCAACCTGCATGGATCACCCATTTCTTCGGCTTTCTCCATTCCCATCTATGGAGTGTATCTTGACAGCAAAAGGCGTGGAACTAGATCGATTCAGCTGGATTTGGTATGTGACAATCCCTGACTCTCTGAGTCAATAGTTGAGCTGAACCGAGTTTACGTGGTTTTGGTTTAACAGACATCATGAATTCAAAAGCCGGCAAGGGGTTCTATTTTGTCCCATATCAGCAAGAAAATTTACATATAAACGGTCAGCCGCTGTTTACAGCAATGCGGGTCATTAATCAAAGATCTATCATCAACCAATATTTGCTGCTCCTCCTCACTCTCCGCACGCTTGCTCTCTCTGGCTCATTTTCCCGCAAATACACATTAGCCGCCAACACTGTCTCCACTACAAACCCTGACCCCGCCAGAAAAATATTGATCGGAATGGGGTTGTCTTGGAGTAGGCCGTGAGTCAGTGAATCTAGGCCATACTGCGAAAAGCTAACCAGGCCATACACGCAAATGATCGTTTCATAGACGCGATCAGAAGTTGCAAAATCCAAAGGCCTTCATGGTATAGTTCCTGAGTCACTTTTAGTGACCATTTCAACTCGGAAGGCTCTTGGTACTTACGACATCGCCGATTAATATAAGCGCCGACGAAGTACAAACGGCGCGATGGTCATGTTGCCGGCCCATACCGCTGGCACGGAATTCAGAACTCGATAACTGTCGTGGAGAGAACCATGGTTGCAAGCATAGCTGGAACGCTAAGACGATCAAGTATCAGTCCAATGAAGGATGTGGATATGATACTGCCTTCAGAGAGTGCAAAATCAAAAAAAAAAAAAAAAAAATTTTAAATATAAAATAAAAATAAAAAAAAGTCGTTGATCTTCTCGGTCTGCAGTTCCAAATCCAGCATATACGCATACTGGGATCTAATAGTGGCGATGAAGTAGTTCATCCGCAACATCTGCAATACCGCCATGTGATCAAGCTAAACCAAGGAGTTGTCATCTGCTTCCGCGCAGGCTGTCCATGAAGAATACCCAGCCTGCGTTTACAATGTGGCGCACTTCTTGCTGCTGCCGATGGTTTCGCCCATCTACGTCCCCCAGGACGTTGTTGATTTTGCATATCTTGATCCGACGGTGCTCTGCTCGTTCACTGCGGACACGCCGAAGCTCGGAATCACTCTCAATTTCGTCGTCCGAGTCCTGCACGTCGCGAGCGGCATCTTCGGCCTTCTAGATTTTGGCATGGAGAAGACGCGAGCTCTGATACTCGTGAGTTGGCATGAGCGTGCGGAGGGAAGTGAAAACCAACGTAGGGACTGCCAGGTAGGCTAAGTGAAAATATTTTGGGGCAAAACGTCTGATTATTGATTTCATATAGAATACAGTAGAATATGGAAATGGCGGCCGAAGCACCAAATGCACCGGTGATAGGGGCGACAACTGGACCCCGTGCCTTTACAAGGCATTGACGATCTGAAACGAGGGGACGAAGATGAACGTCGTCCCTCCCAGAGCCAGGAAGAAATTACCAACGATGTAGCCATCAAACACTGGCCACGAGAAGGAAGCAACCATTAGCAATCTCCTAGCAACTAATGCAAAACGGCCTGCAAGCCGCAGACGCGAGAGCCAAAGTGGCACAGGATGGTCGCGGCCGAGAGGGCCCGTACATTAGTTGTGATGGAGTCGATCGTGAAAACAGATTCAACCTGAGCAACCGTTAGCGCAAGCATTCAGTAGGAATATAAGGTAGGCGGCGGGTGACCAATTTCAGATCCTGCCGGTAGCACTTCTCCACGTCACATCGCAACTTGTCTTCTATACATAGGTTGTTAACGGTACACACCTTCTTCTACTAGGATGGTTTAATGCTGCGAAACCAAATACGGTCCCCGAGGCCCAGCAAGCCAGAACCGTAACGACTACCTGGACTGTGTACACTTAATAAGATGCTTTGCGGGGATATAAGGAATCCTGAAGGCAAACGACCAACCGAATCGTTTTATATTTGAGACCTTGTACGCTGCTGTTGCATTCTTATCTTCCGCCTCTGGATGGGTTTGAGGGAACATATCGTAGCTGATCTTGCGCTGGAAGGGAGAAAGGGACCCCAAGTGAGTGGCAGCCCCCGCAGGGAGCTCCAGGTCATACGGTTCTTCTTGCCTGCCAAGTTTCCAGCTCGCCATGTCACAACAGGTCAATCAGGCTATCATGCTGCAGACTACCAGAGAACGAATAGTCCACAGGGACTGTAGATATATGGCCTAGGATGTTATTATAGCTGTAGAATGTTCCTGTAGGTGCTTCCGCTAATAAGTTATCACTATGTCTGCATAAATGATAGGTCTTTCTCCAGCTCTTGAGTCCTTGTGCCTTGGGGTAGGTTCTAGAATATCATGTTTGGTGATGGTACTTTCTTCCACGCCTCTACGCAAGATCCCCACCTTGTCAGACCAGTCTTAGATTTACAGAATCACATACAAACCTACATCGGTCAAATGACAGGGAACATATGAAAATGCTTATTGGATGAAATATCCATGACTCCCATATACGTTGCCACAACCTACGAGATTCCCTGATACTTGCTGACCTAGGTACTTGCTTCAGTAGTTGCTTGTCAGTAGTAGGCTGGATCAAAAGACTGATAGAGCTTCCTCTCTTTAGTGCCCAGATATGGATCTCAAAGCTCGGACCACGGGCACAGAGACATCGACTCGCACCCCCACGACTAACCAACGGTGACCAGCGATCACTGACGAGCAAAGGGGAACAATGGGAGTGTCTCGATTTACCCGATCGAATAGGAGGGAAGACTGATTTACTCACCTGAATTCTGAAGGCCCAGACAAAGCTTGCCATGAAAAGGAATCGGTAACTTTTCCGCGGGAAATAGGGCGTTATCAGTCGCGGGGAGAGCAAATGGCGGGTCCGGGCGGGCTCCCGGGAGACAGAACACATGCTGATTGGGCCGGGCAAGCAGCGTTATCGGTGGCAGATTACCAGGCTTTACCTAGTTGGGAGTTTCCCGAGTCTCCCCGTATCGCCCCCGCGGTTTACCTGCCGGACAAAGCAATCAAATATGCTTTCTTTGTCCTGGTCGGATTTATTTTTTTATCGCGCGTCTTCCGGTATCTTCCACACTTCTTCTTCCCTGGCTTTCTTGTCTTTCTTTGTCCTCTTCCATGTGTTGAGTATTTGGCTGTTGGGATACCCCTCTTTTATCTCCCTCCCTTCCTTTTCCCGAGCACCTTGCCTCGCCAACCATCAACGTTGCTGTTTGGTGGTCACCCCGTTCTCTAGTCATGGCTGCGACCTGGTGTGCCCTTCGAGGCACTCGTCAGCTTGCCCTGCGCACTCGATTGCGCTCTACGCCGTCCCCCGTGGCTCTGCGGAGAGCCCTCCCCTTTCACCGCTCCTTGAATACAACCACACAACAATCGCCATCCCCTCGACGACCCGTCTACACCAGCTCGGTGGCTGATCACGGCGATCCTCATCCTCGGGATGTGTTCCAACCCCTCGATACCTTCCCCAGACGTCACATTGGACCCTCGCCGGACGCGGCTCAGCAGATGCTGGCAACCCTGGACCCTCCGGTGGCTTCCCTGGATGAGTTCGTGAAGCAGGTCCTCCCTGCAGACATTTTGTCGAAGAAGGATCTCAAGGTCACTGCCCCTCACTCCGACGCCAAGCTGGCTCGAGACACCATGCATGGTGGTCTGGGAGAGACGGACATGCTGAAGCTCTTGGACACCTACCGCAAACAAATCGATGTGTCTGGGAAAACCTACCTAGGCACGGGCTACAACCCCACCATTGTACCCCCAGTGATTCTCCGCAACATCCTGGAGAACCCCGCCTGGTATACCAGCTATACTCCCTACCAGCCAGAGATCAGTCAAGGTCGTCTGGAGTCCCTTCTGAACTTCCAGACCCTGACGGCCGATCTAACAGGCCTACCGTTCGCCAATGCCTCCGTTCTGGATGAAGCTACCGCGGCTGCGGAAGCTATGACGATGTCCTTGGCCACTCTTCCCGCATCGAAACAGAAGAAATCGGGCAAGGTCTACGTGGTTTCGCATCTCTGTCACCCTCAGACCCTTGCGGTCATGCGGTCCCGCGCCGAAGGCTTCGGAATCCACCTGGTTGTTGGTGACATCTTGGCAGACAACTTCAAGCTGGTCAAGGAACAGGGTGACAAACTCATTGGTGTCCTTGCTCAGTATCCGGACACTGAGGGCGGTGTGTACGATTTGCAGTCGCTGAGTGACACGATCCACACTGCTGGTGGAACCTTCAGCGTCGCTACGGATCTGCTGGCCTTGACTCTCTTGAAAGCACCTGGAGAGTTCGGCGCCGACATAGCCTTCGGTAGCGCTCAGAGACTTGGTGTTCCGATGGGCTATGGAGGCCCCCATGCTGCCTTCTTTGCGTGTGCGGATAAGTACAAACGCAAGGTTCCGGGCCGTGTTGTTGGTGTGTCCAAGGATCGATTGGGTAACCGTGCCCTGAGACTGGCTCTTCAGACCCGAGAGCAGCACATTCGCCGGGAAAAGGCCACCAGCAACATTTGCACCGCTCAGGCCCTTCTTGCCAACATGAGCGCCATGTATGCTGTTTACCATGGACCAACTGGCTTGAAGGCTATTGCTCAGCGCATCATGTCCATGACCACCACCCTGCAGGCTAAGCTTGCAGCACTGGGCTACAATGTCCCCGTCAAGACGAACTCCGCTGATGGTGGTGCTGTGTTTGATACCGTCACTGTGGAGCTTGCTAGCAGCCAGGAAGCGGATGCAATCATCGCCGCTGCCCGCGCACAGTCCATCTTCCTCCGCCGTACCGCTCCTACGAAGATTGGTATCACTTTGGACGAGACCGTTGGACGTGAGGAGGTGAAATCGCTCTTGCAGGTCTTTGCCACTCATACCTCCAAGGGTGATGTTTCTCTTGATGGGGAGCTTGGTATCGCGCCTATTCCGGCCAGTCTGGAGCGTACATCGCCTTATCTAACTCACCCCGTGTTCAACACTCACCACTCGGAGACGGAAATGCTTCGATACATCCGACACCTGGAGTCGAAGGACTTGTCTCTGGCCCACTCCATGATCCCTCTCGGCTCGTGCACGATGAAGCTCAATGCAACAACCGAGATGATCCCAGTCTCGTGGCCCGAGTTCTCGCAAATGCACCCGTTTTTGCCTGCTGACGTGGCCAAGGGGTACACGCAGATGATTGACGATCTGGAACAACAACTCGCAGACATCACTGGAATGGCTGAGGTCACTGTGCAACCTAACTCCGGTGCGCAGGGAGAGTTTGCAGGTCTGCGCGTGATCAAGAAGTACCAGGAAGCTCATGGTGGCTCCAAACGGAACATCTGCCTGATCCCCGTTTCCGCCCACGGAACCAACCCTGCTAGCGCTGCAATGGCTGGCATGCGTGTCGTTACCATCAAATGTGATACCAAGACGGGCAATCTGGACCTAGAGGACCTGCGGGCGAAATGCGAGAAGCACAAGGATGAGCTGGCTGCTGTCATGATCACGTACCCAAGTACTTTCGGTGTTTACGAACCTGGCATCAAGGAGGCTTGCGAAATCGTGCACCAGCACGGCGGACAGGTCTACATGGATGGGGCAAATATGAACGCCCAAATTGGCCTGTGCTCCCCCGGTGAAATCGGTGCTGATGTGTGCCATCTGAATCTGCACAAGACCTTCTGTATCCCCCACGGAGGTGGTGGGCCGGGGGTCGGCCCCATTGGTGTTGCCGAACACCTTCGGCCCTACCTGCCATCCCATCCTACGAGTGAATACCTTCAGTCCAAGCGCATGGAATCTTCCTCGCCCCCGATCAGTGCCGCCCCTTGGGGTAGTGCCAGCATCCTTCCCATCACCTTCAACTACATTAACATGATGGGTGCTAAGGGTCTCACGCATGCGACCAAGATCACGTTGCTCAACGCAAACTACATCCTCTCGCGCCTCAAGGAACACTACCCAATCCTCTACACCAACAATAACGGTCGCTGCGCGCACGAGTTCATCCTCGATGTGCGCAAATTTAAGGAGACCTGCGGCGTTGAGGCTATCGATATCGCCAAGCGCCTGCAGGATTATGGATTCCATGCCCCAACTATGTCGTGGCCCGTGGCGAACACGCTGATGATCGAACCCACGGAGTCCGAGAACAAAGCTGAACTTGACCGGTTTTGTGATGCCTTGATTTCCATTCGTCAGGAAATTGCGGCTGTGGAAAGCGGTGCGCAGCCTCGGGAAGGAAATGTCCTCAAGATGTCACCCCACACTCAACGTGATCTGCTGGCCAGCGAGTGGAGCCGCCCGTACTCGCGTGAGACCGCCGCTTACCCCTTGCCCTGGCTTGTAGAAAAGAAGTTCTGGCCTTCGGTAACCCGAGTGGACGATGGTAAGTGATCTTCCCGGTCCCTCTACCTCTCACATCGCGATCCAGCTAACCAATATACAGCCTACGGGGACCAGAACCTCTTCTGCACGTGCGGACCTGTTGAAGATACCGACTAGATATGATACCCATGTTCCTCTACGATTCGTGTTTATTGACGTTGCATGCACATAAAATTTTCTTCAACACTTGGTTGGGATGTTTGGGCTGGCATAAGGTCGCATTCGGGCGACCAAGTAGATTCAACATAGTCATGATAGACTGGGCGTTTGATTGGGTTTCTAGCATATCGATAGTCTGCTTCGAATAGAATTTTCGAGTATTCATTAGTGATTAGTTCGCCAGCCACTGCTAATATTACCTCACGAGAACCATGCTAACTTATACATCTTATCGTATACGCTAAACCCTTTTCGGCATCGGAGCCGGCCGCATTCCGTGGACGGAGAAGGTGATCCGTTCGCGGATTGGCGGAGGTCTCCATCGCCGAAACAGTCAAAAGACAGCTGAACGAGCTGAACCTTCAGCTAGCCTGTCTTCGCTCGCTCCTCTCCACGTTCAGTCATTGAGTTATAAGAGGCCTATAGCATCGGTGGCCCACGAATGTCCAGCGTTGTGCCCATTGCTGGTCAATCATTGCATTTCTCTGTGATCTCTCCAAAGTATATCTAGACCAGCAGGTCCGGCTCGTGATAACACCGCGCAGAGTTGTCTCATATAACGCATTGGATATTTCCTTTTTGTATATTATTCCACTATTTGTATACAATGACTCCCAAGTATACCCTGTACATTGGTACATTTGTCCATCTTCCCCGGGAGAAGACCGGCGAAAGGCATGAACTTGCTATTCATCGTGGCGCCCTCTGGGTCTCTGCCGCCGATGGGCGCATTAAAGGATTCGACTGGAGTATCTCCAATGACGGTGACCTCCAGGACCTGATCGAGAGGCATGGCTGGGCCACGGAAGGTAGCAATTGGGCGGGCGGCAGACCCAGAGTGAAAGTTGTCCGAGCTCGCGAAGAGAACAACGAATTCTTCTTCCCGGGCTTCATCGGTTTGTTCATCCCTCCCTTCTTTCATCATCGAGGCACTTTCGACTGAACAGGATTCGTTTCAGACACGCATATCCATGCTCCTCAATACCCCAATGCCGGACTCTTCGGCATCCTGACCCTCTTGGACTGGTTGAAAAAGTATACCTTCCCCGTGGAAAAATCCTTCCACGACACCAGGCAAGCCCATACCGTGTACAATAGAATCATCACCCGCACCCTCGCCAATGGCACCACCTGCGCCTCCTACTTTGCTACCATCCACGTCCCCGCCACCAACATTCTGGCCACCCTGTGCAAACAGCGCGGCCAGCGCGCCCTAATCGGCCGCGTTTGCATGGACCGCGTGGAGACAACTCCCCCGGATTATCGGGACCCCTCCCCGCAGGAATCCATCTCCCTCAACTACGACGTCATCAACCATGTCAAGACCATCGATCCCCACGGCACATACGTGAAACCCATTATCACGCCGCGGTTTGCGCTCGCGTGCACGGAACCCGCCATGAGAGGTCTCGCCGCCCTTGCGCAGGAATACAAACCCCCTCTACACATCCAGACGCACATCTCCGAGAACAAGAACGAAGTCTGCGAAGTCGAGTGCATGTATAAGATGAAATACGCAGAGGTCTATGAGCATTTCGGTCTCCTCACGCCGCGAACTATCCTCGCGCACGCGGTGCATCTCTCCGAGCAGGAGCGGAGAATTATCAGTGGCCATCGATCGAAGATCTCGCATTGTCCTGCGTCGAATTCCGCGCTGGGATCGGGTCTATGTCCTGTGCGGTATCTCCTTGACGATGATATCACCGTGGGACTGGGTACCGATGTAAGTGGTGGATATGATGCCAGTATCTTGGAGAATGTGCGAGAGGCGTGTCTCGTCTCGAGACTGTATCGTCATACCGACCCTGAGATTGATGATAAGGAGGCAAGACGTATTATGCTTAGTGTTGCGGATGCTCTGTATCTCGCTACGCGCGGCGGAGCCGCCGTCGTGGACATGGCGGATGAGATCGGTGGGTTTGATCGGGATATGTCCTGGGATGCGCAGTTGATTTCGCTGGGTCCGACGGTTGAGAAACGTCCGAAGAGGTGGACAGATGATAGTCCGGTGGATATCTTCGAGAAGGAGGAGAAGAATTGGCCGGAGAAGATCGAGAAGTGGGTGTGGAATGGGGATGATCGGAATGTGAGCGCAGTTTGGGTGCACGGGAAGTTGGTGCATCGTCGCGGTGATGAGCACGGAAAATGCTGTCGTCATGGTTGGAAATGGGTCTGGGGGGCAGGTCTCGCGGGTGTGGGGGCTTTGTTTGTGCTACGCAGGATGAGATCGTAGATTGGTTATAGGGTTGTATGATATTTTAGCCCTGATGTTTACTGTCGAGCGATTATATCAGTTGCTCTTGTTCGAAATGTTGGAAGTAGAGGTTGGGTTGTCAATATCATATAAAGACATCGTGTTCCGTATATCCCTGTAATTACCAGTTTGAACAGCCATGGGCACAATTACCTTATTTAACAAGAATAACATTTTTTGCTAACTTTTCCATGTCTTGTCTAGCCCTTGTTGTTCTGGACGACTACATGCAGTTGATAGTTCATATTGCCCAGATTGCCGATCACATGGTCCTGTTCTCGGCTAAGTCAAATTGTCAAAGACAAGTGATTCATAATTTCAAATCTTTTTCTAACTTCATGAGCCTTCTCGGAAATTCTAAAATTCTAAAATTCTAAAATTACAAACATGGCGTTTTCGTTTATATCATTCTGGTTGGAGGCTGGGGATCCCTTGGAAGCATTCCGATCGGTGCGCTGGGATCCCGTTCCCGCTGGAGCCATTCCACAATACATCCGCATCGGGAAATATGTTGTCCAGCATATTTGTCTTATTACCGCATACGATACTCCCTGATCTGATATGTTCTGGAGTCAACATTCTGCATAGCCTGAGTCTTGTTAGTTGATGCATGTCACTGGAATGGCTGTGGTCTCGCCCGTCAACATAGGTCTCCGTAAGCGGCGATGTCCTCTTCATAGATATATATAGCAGATGCCAATTAATTCTCTAATAATATGGCGCACCTATGCCGAACATTCAACATGTATCTACGAACAACTCTGACCGTTCCTTGCCTCGCTCTGTTATCGAGCTCTGTCCTAGGCATAGGGTTGCAGCAGTCGGCACTTATGCGAGAGTTTCAACTTGCCGCGGAATTGGGCCTGGACCCTAGCCGGTACCTGAATGATCGCTCTGCCTTTCACAACTTGATCTCTCATGGCCCGAAGAAGGAGCCCACTTTCCCAGCAGAATATGTCGAGGTACTAGCATGCGACCTGAGTGTCCCGATTCCGTTTTGACAATAGCCTACTAGATCCCAATTGACCATTACAATTTGTCGGTTGGCACATACCCAAACCGATTTTGGGTAAACGAACAGTATTTCGTGCCGGGAGGCCCAATTATATTGTATGATGTCGGGGAAGCAAATGCTCAATCGATAGCTCAAACCCATTTGTCCTCCAATTTATCCTTTTTCGGGGAGCTGCTGCAAGACTTCAAAGCCATGGGAATTGTCTGGGAGCACCGGTTGGTCCTTTATCAGCGGCCTCGCATCAGGCACACTAACGAGATATAGATATTACGGGGAATCTTGTCCATTCCCTGTTCACAATGATACGCCCGCGGAGCATTTGAAGTATCTAAATACTGATCAGGCTCTGCAAGACATCCCTCATTTTGCGAAAACCTTTAGCCGCCTGAGCCATTCTGAGATAGATCTAACGCCCCGGTCCACGCCATGGGTTATGGTCGGTTGTTCGTACGCAGGGAACAGGGCGGCACTTACTCGCAACGAGTATCCGGACACCATCTTCGCCGCCTTTGCCTCGTCTGCTCCGGTACAGGCTCGTGTCGATATGAGCATGTACTGGGATCAGGTTTACCGTGGTATGGTATATAACGGCCTCGGAAACTGCACCAAGGACCTGAATGCGGCCCTCAAATTCATAGACCATCAATTGGCAGATCCACAAACGTCTGCATGGGTCAAAAGGCTCTTCCTCGGTCCCGGAGCCGATCAGAATAGCAATGAAGACTTTACTTCTGCCCTGACGAGCCTGTTCGGTTTTTTCCAGAGTTCCGGGACTGCGGGCACGTCTACAGGAAGCCTAGAGGAATTCTGTAATTACTTGGAAGTTGACCCGAAAACAAAACAGACGGCAGGCCCTCAGGGCCTTGCTCCGACCCATGGGAGTAGATATATAGCTGAACGCTGGGCATCATGGCCTATGTTCATCCCCTTGGTCAACCTCAATTCTGGAACCAACTGCAACAAAACGGACCATTCCCTCCCCTTGTCTTGCGCCCTGGACCAGCCTATAACCAAGCCCGACAGCATCAGTTGGAGCTGGCAATACTGCACGGAGTGGGGATTTTTCCAGAGCAACAATTTCGGCCCTCACTCGCTACTCTCTCGATATCAAACTCTAGAGTACCAACAGGAGGTATGCAATCGACAGTTCCCGGGTATGCTGCCGCTACATCCACAGGCAGAGGCGCTCAACGAGCAATTCGGAGGTTGGGACATCCGCCCCCCAAACGTGTACTTTAGTGGTGGTGAGTTCGACCCCTGGCGCACACTGTCTACATTATCCTCCGAGCACATCGCACCGCAGGATATGACCTGGTCGTCCGAGATTCCCAAGTGCGGGGTGACTCAGGACGAGACAATCTTCGGGCACGTTCTTCCCAATTCGATGCACTGCTTTGATTTCCAAATCCTCTCCACACCGGGAAAGACTTCGCGTGCCTTATTTACCACGGCATTGCGGGAGTGGCTCCAATGCTTTCAACAACGAGGGCTAGGTGGAGAAAGCGATGAGAATGATGAGAAATGATGGATTGTTGGGTTAGACTAGCCCCCCTTTAGTCAACTAGCCTCTTTCGGATATGCTTGCGATCTACCCGTTTTGGCGACGCTCAACTTTCCAATCACTTCGTGTAGATCTCTGGTCTTTGGTCATCCTTCTGAAACTCTGGGCCATTTGCACACCCATTTTCCGGGGCAGTCCCCGGCTAATCCACCTCACATGCCCTTCGACCGAGGTGGGTCGGAAGGGCCCCAAGTAACCTACTCTGAATGACATATATGGGGGAATATCCACCCCTTTGGATTACTCCTGTCAGAATCTACCTTGGTCTCATAGCCCCTCTGTCCCTCTTTGTGATACCTAACCTTGTACATACAACTCCCTTCTACGCCCTAAGTGGTTCTTCAGGTTCTTCACCCTACGCTGGAGCCATGTTGGCCCCCCTTGTGGTTCTCTTCGGCGCTCTATATGTAACCTTCTTGGCTCTACAGTACCTCCAGCAACAGTACAAGCAGCGCAAGCACGCGCAGTCCTTAGGATGCCAACCTGTTGCCCCAGGGTCTCCAGGGCTTTTTGGGATTAGAAACTTTATTCGGTTGACGAAGGCTGTGAAGCAGAAACGATGGGTCGAGCTCATCGCTGATCAGTATAAAGAGCATGGAGGCACTTATTCTCAGGTCGTCTTGGGTCGACGGATGATTGCCACTATTGATCCAGAGAATATCAAAGCTTTGCTGGCAACTCAGTTCAATGACTTTGGCCTGGGAACAAGGCATCGCGAGTTTTACCCCTTGCTTGGTGATGGGATCTTCACCCTTGATGGAGCTGGCTGGTCCCACGCACGCGGGCTGTTGCGACCTCAGTTTACTCGAGATCAGGTGGCTGACCTCGAGCTCATGGATGGTCACATCTCCCGCATGATTGAACTGATCCCCAAGGATGGCTCGTGTTTCGATATCCAGCGACTCTTCTTCTGTCTGACAATCGACTCTGCGACGCACTTCCTTTTCGGCGAATCTGTAGGCTCCTTGCATTCTACAGATGATGCCGGTCTTCTGGCGAAGTCATCCGTTGGAAACGCGCAGGGGTTTGCAGAGGCCTTTAACACCGCCCAAGAATATCTCGTATCACGATCCCGAGCAGTTAGCTTCTACTGGATGATAAACCCGAAGGAATTCCGTGACGCAAACAAGCGTGTGCACGAAGTTGTCGACCACTATGTGCGACTCGCTATTGAATCGAAGAATTATGCAGGAAAAAAGGATCCTGGAAGATACATCTTTGCCGAGGCTTTGGCGGCGGACAATGATAACCCTAAGGTACTTCGCGATAACATGCTCAACATTCTGCTGGCCGGTCGGGATACCACGGCTAGTTTGCTCAGCTCGGCATTTTTCTATTTATCTCGGGATCCCAATGTTTGGGCTAAGCTTCGTCAGGCGATCGTTGACGAATTTGGGGACAGTGAGCATCCGAAGGGAGAGATTACTCAGACAAGGTTGAAGGACATCCCATACCTGCGATACGTTCTGAATGAAGTCCTCCGGTTACAGCCGCCCGTGCCCCTTAATTTCCGAGTCGCCACCAAAGATACGTCACTCCCGGTGGGAGGGGGCCCCGACAGGAAATCCCCAATCTACGTGAAAAAGGGCATGGTTGTCACATACAGTGTCTATGCTATGCACCGACGGACTGATTTCTATGGCCCTGACGCACATCTCTTCCGCCCAGAGCGTTGGCAGGAAAATGGACGTCGGAACTGGGACTATCTCCCCTTTAATGGAGGGCCCCGCATCTGTCTTGGTCGTAGGTGACCCCGCGATACTAGGATGAAGATAAATATAGTGACACTAACATATTTTCTGGTTCTATAGAGCAATACGCACTCACCGAAGCAAGCTATACACTGGTGAAGTTGGCTCAGAAGTTTGACGTTGTAGAATGCGGCGACCCAGAGCTGGAAGTGCCTGCAATTCAATCCAGTCTCACCATGTCGCATGATCGAGGAGTAAAAGTGAGACTCCTGTCGTCGACGGCCTAAGTTGTTTGATATAAATCCCGATCCGTTCCGCATGATTTTATAGTACAGTACGAGCAGTACTGTTTGACGAATACTTACTAGCTTTTATGAATCTATCATGAATACCCGCAGGCTCCATGAGAAGAATGTAGAATAAAACAACGTAGATGTAGTACTATATAACATCCACCGGTGGAATTAAACTATCACAGTCCACTGTATGCAAGCTGGGGTGCCATGCACAAACTCTTCCCAAAGAGGAACGCGTCCAGCCACGTGTGGCTGAGATGTGGCGTTCCCGTGATCTGGATTCTCGCCCAATCAACCATTCCTCCTCCATTCATCCATTCATTCGAATGATTCATCCATGTTCCCAACAAAACCAACGGCCTTGCTTTCCCTACACCTTCTGGTATTGCCCTGAAAGGCATGACTCATAAATTATTCGCTACATTATTACCCACTACCCAAGCGCTGAGCTTATCAACTCTCCTTTGTTCATTGGCTCAGAATTTCTGGTCTTGGTTCACATCACCAGTCCATTGATATAGCGGGACCCTTATTCGGGAGAGCCCATTCTTCCCATCCAGACACCCACCTAAAAAGGCCTATTGTCTTGGTGGAAGCATGCCGAGCTCCTCCAAATCTACCCCCAAGCTTCCCACAGTATCTGTTGTTGTACCCAGAATGGTAATACCGCCAAACAAGGTTCCCCCCAAAGGATCCAATAATTCGAAGGAAGGAAACAGTGGACCAAACAAACAAAGTAAACAGCAAAATATGAGCAACACAGTCATTACAGTCCAGAGCGAGCCAAGCAACGCTAAACCCAGTATCGTGGATAGTGTTGTCAACGTGAACGAGGCCTCGAGCAATGAGATTTCCGAATCTGAAATGCGGCTCGTATCTTCTCTGGCGAAACTCCAGAAATTAGAGGCAATGGTAGGTACTTCTGTTGTCATGTGTTGGTCCCAGACGTTCTAACGATCGCAGGTTCATCAACTACGTGATCTTCTTCCAGATCGTCTATTAGACCCCATGCTGCCAATTGTAAATCCCAATGCAGTTGCAGGGAGACAGGTGCCAAAGTCACCCCAGATGCTGTACGAACAACTTTCTAAAGCGGCCCGTGCCGGTGTTGCAGAGGTCAAGGAGTTTCAATCCATGTGGCGGGCTCCTGAAATGAAGACCATTTGGGAGCTCGTCGATGTACGGATCAAAGAAAACGGTGGACAGTTGCTACAGCCCTCTGGTGTATGGGAAAGTGACTATGACACCCTTCTTGAAGAACTTGTCAAGGAGCGGGAGAAGAAGAACGAGGAGCAACGTAAATCCGAGGAGGAACTGGAGCGTTCCAGAGTTCAATCGACCGAAGGCGGTTGGAGAGCAATCGTGGAGAGCTTCGCCATGAGGAACGTGCCAGGTGTTCGTGTGATTCCTAGTAAGAATGAGGCGTCTATCATTGTTACGCTTGCAAAGGCTGGAATGTCTTTCAAAGTGCACACGATCGGTGAACCTCAAGCAAACAATGCGCCTGACTGGCAAGTGGTAAATAAGGCGGCTCTTGGACAACCTCGGTCAGAGCTGGAGAAGGCGATTACCGACTGCCTGAATGCCCGGCCTCGGCAATGGGACCTCGTTTATCTACTTGTAAGTTGACTCTGACTACCAACATCAAATTATCAAGCTCACATTGTACATAGGATATGATATCTTCCTATTCTAGCATCAAACAAACCCCATGCATAAAATGCAGCAAAGTGACCGACACAGCAGCCCGTCTTCCAACTATCCGCCAACACAAATCCACCCCTTCATTCGAAGGACAACCGCCATTTTCAACCTGGGAAGCCTACCACACCGGCTGTGTCTGACCACAAAAAGTCCGTATCTGAACCACGCGACAGCCAGCATAAACCCACATGCCTCCCACATCAACCTCTCACTGCATTGCATTCCTATATACATGATCATGCCACGTATCTGCTAGATACTCCACCCCATTGACATCCCAATACCTCTGTGGAATCCTATGTCTCCTTCCCGCAGCACAATCGCAATATTGCACCCGAGACCACGTCCCACTGTCTGGAACGACATACTTCCTCCTTCGAAAATCATATATTTCACAAGGCGGCCTTCTGGCCCACGGAAACGGCGTCTCACAAACCTCTCTTCCTCCTCCCCCCGCTCCACAAACATGTCTGCTCACGTTTCCCTCCCATCGGGACCAGTGTGTATGGTCTGGGTTCCTTGTGTTGGTCTTTGCAACGAAGATATCCGGTCCCCTGTTCGTGAGAACGTCCCAGATACGCCACCCACGCGGCCAGTGGGTTGGTTTTCCAGGTCGGGGATCCTTAGGCCAGATCCAGGCTAGGGTTGGAGCCATGATTTGGATGGACGTTGACAACTAAGAAGGATCTTAGCCCAAGAAAGAGAAAAAGCCAAAGGATAAGTCAGAATAATATCCGGCCGTTGATTATTGATCCAAGATGCAACGATAGAGTAGGAATGTAGTCTTCGGAGTGGGGGGAATCCGGAAACTTATTTGTATTGCAACTGTAGGGAAAGGAGCTTCACATTATTCATCTGTGGACCTTGTTCTTTGATGGCGGGAGCAAACAGCCCTGATTGTTCGTTTGAACAAAGAGCCGGGCATTATGCGGTATCAATCTATGTGTTTGACATGGGATACGTACTCACAGGGTAATGATTTTGATTTTGATTTTTATCCTAGCTGTTTTCTACCAATTGAAGAGAGGTCAATAAATGCTTTTTTGATACGTTGTGGTTTGTTGGAATAGGAATAGGTAGCATAAAACATGTGTTTTCTTTGTCCTTCTAGATCCATCCATATACAGATTCATCAGAATTAATCCTATATCAAATCAATCAAATCAACAAACTCACTACACACAATGAGAGAAATCGACACCCGAAGCCAATTATACTACTGAAAGCCCGCTGTTGCTGCGAATAAGACATTTGAACGAATAATAATTCGAAAAGAGAGAGAAACCCAATATACCACGATAACGCCAGTCCAATCCAATCCAATCCTGCTGATAGAACGCTATCGTCATATCTGAAAACGAAACGAAACCGCTTGGCTCAATGCAATATGTTGTAATGCATAGTATTTTTATAGACAATGTTCGCCTTCGGTTCACGTGGAGAAGACCCCGAAATCTCCTGCGAACCAGGAGAAAGTTGCGATGGTTATCACCACCATGCCCATGGCAAATTTCAGTGCCTGGCGTTCCATGTCCGAAAGGGCACCGCTGCAAGTAACACAATGATATTCTAGAATCCGTAAGCTGCATGGTCCGGAGTGAGGATAAATCCAAGGAGAGAACGTACCATTCAAGGGCGTGTACGGCTGCGGTAAATACATGGCGAAGTTGAACTGGTTGTCCGAACTCAGCTCACCGGGACCAGCTCTGTCCCCAATCGAGCTGTTAGCGTCGTACACGATCAAAGTGTACGTTGCGGTTAGGAGAGGGACTGTTGCATTGGACTGGTATTTCTTGGTATCCCAAACAACCTTTCCAGTCTGCTCGACGCTCATGTTGTTCGAGATCGTGTAAGTAGCGCTGTTCTTGCTGCAAGATGCAACCACGTTAACCGCAGACGGCGTCACGAGCAGTGAGGTGTAGTTCCAGGCAAAAGTCACATAGTCTCCAATCTTGTAATAGGTTGGCACTCCCTGGACCGACGGAGTGATCATCGAGATACCACCGGCTGGGGAACGGGGGTCGATAGAGGATGAGGATTTAGCCTCTTTTGTCTTGGTTTCCTTTCCCTTGCCGGTCGGCGTGGCTGTTCCCATCTCTTTCTCCTTCGTACCAGTGCTTTTGGAGTCCTCCGTCGCCGTTTTTGTGGCAGAATTTTCGCCGGTAGGTGAAGCGCCAGTAGTAGCGCTTTCTCCTGAAGAGCTTGTGGGATCTAACAGCCGAGGAGCGTCAGTTAGGCCTGATAACACAAAGCAAGTTGATGATAAAACTATGCTGACCTGCACGGGCAACGATGCCGCCATAACCAAGATTCAAATCTGGCCAAGCTGAGGCCATTCCCAGCGAGCACAAAAGGTAGGCCGAAAGAAGGGCGATAGACCGCATGGTGAAAGAAATTGGACAGGTGCCAAATGAATCAGTATCAGGTCGAGCGTATCGTCCAACTCCTCGAATACTCCTTAATATTGTTGTCAAACGAATGTGATGTGTACGAGCCGGAGAGGCTGTAAGGAAGTCGGTAAACCAGATTCGATATTTTTCCCAACTCTAGACGAAAGGCAGACCTGCTCAGGAGATGCAAACACAGCCAATTATTGTCATTAAGTGGTGGGCCTGAAATCTGCAGATCGGGCGATAAGCTGACCCGACAAAGCGAAAGCGGGAGATTAAACAAAGCGAGCGACTGGGAGCACGGCAGCCCAACAAGGGTGAGAAGGTGGGAAGAGAGGAAGGAGCAGGAGATATATAACTCTCTACAGACCATGCGAAGAAGGGAAGAGAGATGCAAATGATGTGTAGCCAGCAAAGACGAGGGAGAATGAGTCGGTCTAGCCTGTTTGGGGCGACATGTGAGACAATGGCCTATTTTTGGCGAGGATCCTGAGGCACTAATTAATATGAATCCTGAAGTACTTACATGGATCCCAATCAACACACGTCTCTGAAGTCTGAAGAAATCAATTGATCAGGATCAATGATTCATCCTCCCTCAGACGATCCTCTCCTAATTGTTGGTCGACTTTATTCATCTGTGCAAACACATCGAGCCTCGATAAATGGAGAACTCCACACTAACCTCCAGGGTCACGTTACGAAACAACCGGGCCCGGGCAACCCTCGCATTACTGGCAATTATTGGCAGCAAACCCTGTGGGTAACAAAACATCTCGCCCAGCGGCAACTTTCTCGATTCCATTGCATATTTATCCAAGTGTTATCAAAATACAAGTGTTATCAAAATACAAGAAGAGTACTTTCACACAACTCAAACCAACCCCATCCTAGACAAGCCTCATGCAATCATTAATTCCAGGAACCATTACAACTAAACATCCATTTAAGTCTGGACGTACGCAACTGACCCCCGGCAAGCCTACCAATACAGTTTCATTGATTCTGGTAATAGATGGGAGCGAGCGGTACATAGCCACTATATGAATCATCAACTCTTGCCACGCACGTCATAAAGCTTGTTGCCCTAGGGTGGCACTATTCCCCTTTTAGGAAATCTCTTCGATCTGCAGGTTCACCCTACTGCAAGACGAGGGAAATTTTGCTTCGTACGGTTTATATAGGTAGAAAAGCTGGGGCTCATTATGGTACCAGTCGCAAACTACCAAGCAATGTCAGTAGCAATGCGTTCCTAGGGGCATAACCCAATACTCACCCAGCCAGCCTCCGAAGAGTGAATTCGACCATTGCAAACCGTTCCCATCGATAGTGAACCCCTCATCCCCGTATCCAGTATTAATCTCAACGGGCTCCCATGCTACAGGAAAGAAAACGTTAGATTAATTGGTCCAAGAACGAAGGTAGTCAGGGAATGCTCACCGGCATAGTTGTTGTGTGGGTGCATGGTAAAGCCCCAAGGGAAAGGCGTGTCGAGGGCGAACTGAGCATGCGTGTTGTTCAAGAAGGCCGGGTTAGCCGTCTTGGTGTCTGAAGTCAGCACCGCATCATTGAAGCCAGCGGCAGTGTGATACGCATAAACGTAGAGATCGTTGTGCTTGGCCTCGGACGCTCCAACAGTCTTCAAGTGAAAAGCGCCAGTGACGTTGCCAGCAGCTCGCGCGATAGGATTGGCTGCTACGGCGGACACCAACAAGGCGATAGAAGCGAATAGCTTCATCGTAAAAGAATGTGACTTGAATATACCGACAAGAAATATAAAATGGCAACGAGAGATGGTAATATTCGAACGAGGGACGAGGGACCCGGCTTCAGAGGAGGAAGAAATGAGGAATGAAGGTGGCAAGGAGGCGATGGATCCCTCTATATAGTAATTAACTTCGCCGCGGTTGACGATTCCGATCGTCTTGTATGTAATGAATGGTATTGACTCTCACCAAACCAACCTTAATTATATTCGAAACTAAGTTACGACCATGGGGTTTCCAAATGGTTGAGTTAGGGACAGGGCCTTCATACCCTTGACTTGGCACAGCACGACAAAAACATTCTCTACTGAAGAGTAGCCAGCAGCGACTTCAGAGCGCCAGGAGCCATAGGCGGCGAATTTGTCAGGGCAAGATCATCGGTCAGTCGGGGAATGTAGGCGGGGAGGCCTGAGACATTGGTCGCCAGCTCGGAGAATGTGGCATTTCTATGCAAAGGGGACAAAAACGAAAATCAAATCGCAGCAGAGGAAGGTAAAATGAAAGAGCAACAAGGTGTGGACGGTAACAATAGGCCGTATATCGTAGCCAATGTAGTGGAGAGGTACTCTTTCTGAGCATACAGTATGACGCAATGACCAAACATATACCTTTTACAGTGGACATCCAACGGACCGTTGTCAGCATCTCCTAAATGGCCTATATTCAAGACCATACTTTCGGTGATGATGATCTTCAACTGTACCCACTTGAATGTCCCATAATATCCTACATGTACCTTATAATCACCAGGCTTTATACAGGGTAACATACATATTGCCTCCAATGTTGTAGAGCTGGTATATCTATTCTTTATATTAATTTAAAGGATCAATCGACATCAGGAGACAATGTTACTCCCAGGCGAAGAAATAAATTAAAAAAAAAAAAAAAAAAATACTGACATCATGATCGTCAGTTCCATCCACAACTTCAGTCTGCTACATCACTCCAAGGAAACATCTATGTTCGCACATACAGCGTAAACTAGTAATAAAAGGATGGTATAAGCTCCACATGGACCATAAACATTTATGGGTTCCGTAAAGTGTAGAGTAGCAGTAAGTAGATAGTTTCCTCCTGGATTTCGTTGGTCCTGTAGTAAACCCTCAGGCTGTACAAGTATTCTAGAAACCAACATATGCCATGCTCAACCATGCAATGCGGCCAACCAGATCTTTATGACTGGCACTATTTTTCAATCCAGGTCCCAACCCACTCATGGCTATAGGTAGTAGGTAGGTGCCTCTTCCTGAACCTCAGTGGAGGAACTGGTTTGGACGAACCAGCATCCACAATTTGCAATCAATAAATCTATCAACCGCATTGAATCACATATCAATCAAGTAATTAATACCTAGTTCCCTTTTGCAATATAAGTGGCATATATAAAGAATCCTATCTTTTCGGGATGTACTCGGGCTTTAAAGACCATTTCCCCCGTCCATTCCGGCCACCCTTTTCTAGCACTGCAATCGTCTTCAGCATTTCCTTGAATTCCGCTGACCGTTGAGGGGTTGTGCAGAGGCGATTAAAATGGTCAATCAGCATCTGTGTGTAAACCGACCCGCCTTGCGACGTAATAAAATCCCGGATCCTCGTTATGAAGTCGATACCGCTGGGGGAGGCCTTGGCCGGAGCAGGACTGTTGCTGCCGCTCCGGGATGAAGACGTACGTGCCGAGAGATTTGCCAGGATACTAGCTGACGATGGACCAGCCGTTGCTCGCCTCGCTGAGCTGCTACTTCCACCAAACGCTGTCTCTTCAGGTTTTCCAGCAAACCCGAACTGACCTGTCCAAGTTGGTGTCCCAATAGGCACAGACCGTGCTACTTCTGCCGCTCGACGTAACTCCTCGGCAGCCTCGGCGGCGACTTTCTTGGCTTCAGCCTCGATAATTTTAGGATCTGCTCGGATAACGCGTCTGCCGTTCACAATTTGGTCATGCTCCAGGGCAGAATGAACTCCAGAACGGGCAAAGATGCCTTCCATGATACGTGATTCTGATGCAGTCGACGATCCCTGATCGTGTTCAGCCGGCTTTTCAGGATCGCCTTGAAACTTCTCGACTGATGCGACACCTGGCACACTACTGACATCTTGATCCTTTTCTCGTTGACCTTGGAAGGCACCGTCTCTGCCACTAGTTGTATCTGCTTTCCGAGCAGGGCTATCGCCACTATCATCGTATGTAACGTCAGCATCTTTGAATATTTTACTTGTCTCAGTCGGGCCTTGGTCATCATCTCCAAGGGAGAAAAGATCGTGTAAGTCGCTCAGTTGAAAAGTCTGACGTTGTTTGGGGTCCTTCAAGATTTTGTTGGTAAGGAACTGCTTGAATATCTGGCGGTGATAGATCTTTTCTTCGATCGTTCCAGCGGTCATTAGTCGGTATACAGTAACCTCTCGCTTCTGTCCGAGCCTCCATGCTCGTTCACGGGCCTGAATATCGGTTGACGGGTTCCAATCGGGGTCATAGATGATAACACGATCTGCGCCAGTGAGGTTCACACCAAGTCCTCCAACCTTTGTAGTAAGAAGGAACACATGCAGATTAGGATCGTTGTTGAATTCGTCGACCATCGACTGCCGGCGAGCTATAGGTGTAGTGCCGTCCATTCGACGATAATGAAAGCTAGATAGAGAATTCACAAATTTTTCAAGGATGTCTAACATGATGCGATGTTGCGTGAACAAGAGTGTCTTATGGCCCGTATCTCGCCACAATTCTAATAACGACTTAACCACCTGCATTTTCCCAGATTTAGCAGCGTTGCCATAGTTCGTCTGATGGGAATGTAATTTGTGGCCCTGTAAGTCCGGATGATTGCAAATCTTCCGCAGAATATCCACTCCGTACAAAACCTGCCTCCGTCCTCTTAGGATGGACTGCATTTCTTCCGAGCCAAGGAATGCTTTATATGCTTGCCGCTGTAATTTCGTGAGCTTGCAAAACAGCACTTGTTCACTCTTTTTAGGAAGATCTGCGGCCACATCTATTTTGAATCGCTGCAAAAGATACGGGCTCATAGCATCTTTGAGTGTTTCTGCACATTTGGTGGCCGTCTGGACTTGCAAATTAGAAGCATTAGCATATCCACCCTGCCGAATCGGGAATTCAAATTGATTTCGGAAGTTCACCAACGTCCCAAGGCGCATGGGAAAGACGAAATCGAACAAAGACCATAGCTCGGTGAGGTTATTTTGCATAGGAGTGCCAGAGAGGATGATACGGTGTGGCGTTCGCAACTCTTTGCAATGAATAGTGATAGAAGTGTTCGGATTACGAATTTTGTGGCCCTCATCGAGGATAGCACACCCCCATTCCACCGGTATCAAAAGAGGAGCATAGGTCTGCAGACCAGAGTAAGTGGTCACCAACACGTGCCCTTCCTCTATGACACGTTTAACCACCCTCCTACCAGCTTTTAGACTACTGGGGTTGCTGCGAGTATCTCGTATCTGAGTCAAAAGTGCGTCTTCTCTGCTGGCTTCATTCCGGATATTCACCATGCCACTGCCAGACGTGTGCAAAATGGACACACGAAATGGTGGCCACCAACGGTGGAATTCATTGACCCATTGTTTCATGACTGTGGCGGGGCACACGACAATAGCCGGCTTCGTTAACTTTTTGCTATACTGAAGCCCAGCCAGGAAAGCAATAACTTGTATAGTCTTCCCAAGTCCCATTTCATCGCCAATTATCCCTCCTACCTGCTGCTGTTGCAATTCCCACAGCCATTGCACACCAGTTTTCTGATAATCAAAAAGAAGAGGATGGATATCACCAGGCAAACGATATGAATTATCGTAGGCCAAATCTGGTACAGTTGGATGGGCCATGAACCACTCCTCCTGCTCATCAAGGTCATGGTGGTTAATACTATCCTCGACTGAATCAGTGTCATGCTCTGGATCTTTCACTCGCGCCTCTAAAATACGTCTCCGAGCAGCACTTCTACGATCAACCCAATTCTGGAGCCTGGACTGGTATATTGATTCATTTCCATCGTCTAGCCCACTGAAGTCTTCCATATCATCTGGCTTCTTTACTTTCCTTTGGGCTGTGGAAAGTGCCGGTCTCTCTTCGGGAAGAAACTCTTCTTCGTCTTCCGACAAAGATTCGTGGTTTTCAGATACCATATAGCTTCCCGAACCGTCATCGGAAGGCACATCTTTTGACGGACTCCCGGGTATCTCGTCTAAATCGACTGGCTGCACACTTTTTACACGATCTTCCGGCTCTAGTTTTCGTTTCTTCGTGGGGTGCTCGAGCGTCTCAGCAACGTCGACCCGGCTAGCTTCATCGAACCCAAACCCTGGACGCACGAGGTTGCGATGAGATACTGTTGAACGCTGCTTAACTTGTTCAAGCACTTCCTTTTCATCACGCTCGCTCTCAACATCTATCAGCGTGTCATGAAGGCTATAAAAGGGCCCCTCCGTGGGACCAGAGCCGATGGTTGAGAATGGTGTGATTTTTCCAGTTCGAATGAGGTAATCTCTCCGTGATTCGTTTGGCAATCTTCCAGTGCCGGTTTCTTGCGCATCACGCTGCTTTTCTTGCTGTCTTTCATCCATACGCATCTGTATCTCTCTCAAGTCGTTTGCCAATTCAGTGTTACGGATTTCTAACTGCCCTAGATCATTCTGTAGGCGAACACGCACAGCTGTCCCAACTGGTTGTGACAAACGTTGATGTAGTCTCAGAATTTGCGCTTCGACCTTCCTAATAAGGGAAATGTAAGTATCGCCTAAAGCGACAGGGGGAAAAAATACCAAGGCCATACTCTTTCTCACGGTTAGTCCGCTCTAGTCGCTTTTTGTCGCGTTCATCAGCCTGCTCCATAAGCAGTTTGTCGGCCTAAAGAGTTAGTCGACGATACGCAAACACTTGTACCAAGACAAGAAGTAGACATAGTAGATATACCTGACGAGAAATATCCCTCTCGAGGTCATCCTGATCACGGACATCGGCTTGAAGTTCGCGTAGGCGACTGGTTTCGTCTGCGCTCACTAGAGGATCTGAGTCCGTTGTATTTGACATCTCCGTCTTCACTGGGTCAGACGGCTGAAGCATCCCATCCTCAGTTGAGATATCTTCATCCCCCTTCTCATTGTCGGCCATGTTTGGGATTAAAATAGACGATCGTCGATAATATTCTAGAGGGGTATTGATGCTCAAGAAATAAGAAACTCAAATATTCACAGGCTGCAGAAATGCTCCAAAAAGAAGAAAGAAGAAAAAAGAGAAAAAGAAAAAAAAAAAGGCGCGTGCACAGCTACAGGAAATATGAAAGGCAGCTCAAAGAACAATCATTGCCACAGCAATGAATAGCGTGATTAATAAAACTATTAGGCTATCTTGAAGATAGCGTAAAGGCTGAAATATGACTGGACCAAAAATATAGTAAAAAGAGAGGGAAAGAAGAAAGAAGTGGTCAGCGATATGAAATGGGTATAGTACTCAGTCCTATTTGCAGCCAATCTTCACTGTGATGTAAGAGGAAGATCGGCTGGTTGGAGATGATGGACTATAAAAGACCTTCACTGAAGACTGTCGTGCCAGGCACTAGGCATAACTACGGCAGAATAGATCCCACAACTGCAGCCTTTTCTCACCGCCCTGAGGTTGCCGGTCCTGGTGAGTCAGCATGTCTATTTTGCCATCCACGTCACCTCGTTTGGCAACAGGCTAGATTGGGTACTAATCAACCTGACTTTTGTAATGGATATTGACTCATGCTGGAGACATGGAGATAACAAGATGTTCTGGGACTAGGTATGTCTTAGATTCCTCGAGATACCAGCTCGTTGTCTTTGATTGACCTGAGGGTTTTATTAGAAGCACTCTCTATGTATTTAACTAGTTAGTTACCTGCCTGCTATTACTAAGTCATTCTATGATCCTGCAAACGGTAAGGATCGAAGAAATGGTAGGTAGCCAGATGGTCCTATTCACAGTACACAATTATACTTAAGAATATCTGGCAAATTACTGGTGACCAACAGAAAAATTTAATCGAATACTCGTTTGTAAGGGAGGGCTTGGCTCCACTGCAAGGCTGATTGTCTTAAGTGGCAGGTATTAACACATTGGATTTACTCCGTACATCTCGTACCTACTCCGACGTAGCTTTTTCGTATGCATGTAAAATTAGATCCTGTAGGCGATGGAAACAATACGGAGTTACTAGTAACTAGTTATTTAGTATATTAATGCCAGGATTTGTTTCCTTTTCTTTTTGTTGCCTTTTGGAAAGGATTGATTTCCTACATTGCCAGTCGATTCATTTCGACGCCTGGTCTCTTGAGCAACAACCAGAAGCATCCATAGGTATCATCATCATTACGGCGTCGAACAGTTTCCAAAGTCGTGAGATCAGCTGGTTTTGGTTCTCGTTCTGGTTTTACGTCCACTTCACTAGTTCACGACCTGTCCTTACCCGGTGTGCGCCCCCAAAAGCCACCCCGACAAGTCTCAGGCCCATCTCCTCAGGAGCCTCGACACTCAGGCATCTCCACCTCCACCAACTTCACCTTCTTCCCTCTCTTCCTTCCCCTCCTCTTCCCTCCGCACTAGTCTCTCGCTCAGTTTCCTTCCAACACTCTCTTGGGTGTTGTTATCACATTCTTCCCACAGTCTTTATTTCTGACTGGGGACTTCTGCCCGGATTTCCGGCGCCTCCCCGGGTGTCCAGCAGTTGGTGCTCGTCCTCCCTCCTCCCCCAACCTCCTTGGCGTGCCGATAGGTACTGGTCTGTTGCGTCGCAGCCCGTCCATTGTGAATTGCGACCGCCGCCCGCCCCCGTTCTGCCCTCACCCTTGGACCAACGTCCACACTCTCTCCTTTTGGGAAACAGTCGTCCGGATATGAGGTGCTACACAAACTGGGATTAACATCAATTCCTCCTGTACACTTCACAGATCTCGATTGCACCAGGAGTTGCTCGTCTTCCGCGTCGTTTCCGCCTGATTGCGTCTGCCGTCCCCGCTGCTATCTCCCCGGTCGCAGTGCATGTGCGCTGTCGACAGCGACAGACGATCACTCTATTTCCCGGTTCGGGCGCCCTCATATCGTTCGAGATTCATCGTGTTACAGGCTAGAAAAGAAGATGGACTCTCAGTGGCAGCCTTACCAGGATCCCTTGATGGGCCGTCCCGCGCAGTTCAATAGTGGACAACAGCTTGCCTCTAAATACGGTGGTCAGCCTCAACAGCCTCAGCAGGCTCCTATTGGCTATACCTACGAGACTTTCCAAACACCCACTATTGCAGCCAACCCACCTAGCATCAATACCAGCTCGAAAACAGTTTCCATGGCATCATCTCCGACCGCGACACCACGTAGCCGGGATTATGTTACCGATACTGATACCACCATGGAGGACGCGGACCCGTACAACCGAGCAAAATACTCTGCGAGACAAAGTTATCACCATAGTCGGCCCTCTTCCCAGTACTTTCCCCAGGAGGAGTCCTCTGCTGCTCGCAGATACTCTCCGATGAACGTGCTGTCGCCGACCATGTCATATAATGCGAGCCCAGGAAAGCCCCCTAACTCCTACGCCCTCCCTCCAGGTACGAATCAGACTCGACGATCACCAACTAGAGCGCCGAATTACTCTTCGCCTCCCCAGCCATACCAGTCGCCTCCTTGTAAGCTCTTACCTTTTGGGACTTCCTGGTTCCATTATCACTAACACCTGTGTAGCGACTGGATCGCGGCCCCCTCGGCTTCCCCTTTTGCATCCCACAGATTTGAGTCTCGAACAATACTACCCGCCGTCAGCAGGATCTCAGCTCAGTGTGGCTCTGGGCCAAGATGGAAGATCCCCCCGTCCTACCTCAGTATCGGGCGGCAGCCAACAACCAGGTCGAGGGCCGATACCCAAATTTCAAAAGATTAAATCGGTCCAAGAACTACAACCACGCGTCAATGTGCAGCCTCCCTACAGACGCGCTAATCCGGAAGGCGGCTTTATTAGCGTAAGTCTCACGACTCCCACGCCCTCTTCGTGGAGGTAGCCTTCTCTAATACCTGCGCAGCCTCTGCAAGCTCTAACGATGCACCTTCCCTCCACCTATCGGATATGTAACCCAGGCTTCAACTATGAATCGTCGAGGAACCCCAGGCGCGTCCTCACGAAACCTAGCAAGGGCGTCAAGAACGATGGATATGACAATGAAGAGAGCGACTACATATTATACGTGAATGACATTCTCGGGAGCGAGGAAGCGGGTCACAAGTGAGTCCAATATAGATGTTCCAGTCTGGCTTTATGCGTTGGTGTTAACAATGTTCCCCAGAAACCGCTATCTTATCCTTGATGTGCTCGGCCAGGGAACTTTTGGGCAGGTTGTGAAATGTCAGAACTTGAAAACTCAGGAAGTAGTGGCCGTCAAGGTCATTAAAAATAAGACTGCTTACTTCAACCAAAGCATGATGGAGGTCTCGGTTTTAGACCTTGTATGTATTTCCCTGCCGACATCTTCGAATCTGAACTGACCAATTACTATGCAGCTTAACAGCAGATATGACAAGAACGACGACCACCATTTACTTCGGTTAAAGGACACATTTATTCACCGGCAGCATCTCTGTTTGGTATTCGAACTGCTCAGTGTCAATCTTTATGAACTGATTAAACAAAATCAGTTCCGAGGTTTAAGCACAACTCTGGTGCGTGTTTTTGCTCAACAACTCATAAACGCGTTGAGCCTTCTAAACAAAGCACATCTGATTCACTGCGATTTGAAACCGGAAAATATACTACTAAAAAAGTCAGTTCTCGCTTCATCTTGGAACATATTACCCCAACTAACCTTGATCCTCTTGCAGTTTGGAGAGTCCAATTATCAAAGTCATTGACTTCGGATCTGCTTGTGATGAACGACAAACAGTCTACACATATATACAATCGAGGTTCTACCGCTCACCCGAGGTCCTTCTCGGCTTACCGTGAGTGTTTCAATTTGTTTAATTATTGCACAAGCCTTTTACTAATACAACGTTGCAACGTAGGTATTCCTCCGCAATTGATATGTGGTCGTTAGGATGCATAGTTGTTGAGCTCTTCCTTGGTCTGCCTTTGTTTCCAGGGTCGTCGGAATACAACCAAGTGTGTCGGATTGTAGATATGCTTGGCTTGCCTCCATCGTGGATGCTAGAAATGGGCAAGCAGTCCGGCGAATTTTTCGAGAAGACTCAGGACGAGTTTGGAAGAAAATCATATCGTCTAAAAAGTTTGGAGCAGTATTCTCGAGAGCACAACACGAAAGAGCAGCCAAGCAAGAAATACTTCCAAGCGACTACATTGGAGGACATCATCCGAAGCTACCCAATGCCCAGGAAGAACATGAAGCAGGCAGAGGTAGAGAGAGGTACGTGTGTGCCGATAAATAAAACTAAATGTTTGCTAATACTGTTGCGAAGAAATAAACAATCGAGTGGCTTTTATCGATTTCGTCCGTGGTCTGTTGACAATCAACCCTCTTGAGCGGTGGTCGCCGCAACAGGCCAAGTTACATCCTTTCATTACGCAACAAAAGTTTACAGGCCCTTTTGTGCCTCCAATGAATCTTAAATACTCATCGCTCAACAAACCTGTTGCTCCCGGGATCCAACAACAACAGCAGGCGGAGGCAACAAGTAAGCAGAGAGCGGCACAGGCAGCACATGCCCAGTCTGCAGTGCAGAATGCATATTCTATGCAAATGAATCAGTTCCACACGCCAACTCATGCCCAGCCTCCCCCCATGTACAATGGGATGTTTACAGGGCACCAGCAAGGTGCCCCTCCTCCGTATCCCACTCAGCCTCCCGGGTATGGCCACCAAATGAATATTATTCCTGGCCAAATGCCTCAAGCCCAATATGCTCCATCTCAGAGTCTTTATGCGCAAGCGACAACAAGGGCTGGTCGCCAACGCGCTTCTACTATGGACGCTCAGGGTGGGGGGATACCGCCTACGATTCAGCGAGTCGCGAGCCATCTGGACCCCAACGCTCCTATTCGGTTGCAACCGAGTCCGGCATATTACCCTCCTCCACCGGAGGGATACGTCGACGCCAACTCTGCTAATCAGCGTCGTCGAGGTAGCCGAGCAGGCGGCACACGGAACCGAGACTTCATTCGGACCCTTGAGGATGGTGTGTTAGGGGGTGATAGCTATGTTGCCTCAACTCAGTGGCATTGAGTGCACAGATGCTGAAGGTTACTTGCAACAAAATCGTATTATAGCCAGCGCACTTTTCGAGCAAAAGTTCTCCAAGCGGGTTTATCTTAGGATATAAACTCCAGGATGCTCATTGAATGTCGTCCATTTTGCATGGAGATTGAGCCTTGCTTGACATCTCAAACAGAATTCCATGATATCAGCTCTTGCCTCCGTGGCTATCACCAACATCTATAAACTTTTCAATTTATGAATTGGCGATGGCACGGGTACCTGTCGACATGCATTCGTCCAAAGACGAACGGACTGTGGTATCCGGGTGGCATTAAATTCCATTAGAATAAAGTGCAAGGCTGAGCCAATATCCTGCCACAGCACCAAGTGCGTGAAACTCGCTAGCAGCGACTCTCCTCTACTGCGGCACCTCGATACTACTGCCCCCTTCCTGTTCCTATAGTCGAGCTTTCGAAGTCATCAGTGATGCTCATTCTAGCTTTGAACCTTCCTCGTCATCCTCCTCAGATTGGTGTATCTGTCTCTTCTCTGTTTTCGGCATAGCTAGGAGTACTTGGAAAGATCGCTATTCTTTTCCCCCTCCCATTTCATATTTGTTATTGATGCATTGTGTTGAATGCCACTTTTCTTTTCCGTCTCTTTTTCTGACTCTTCTCCATCATATTTTTTTTTTTTTTTATTTTCCTCTTCTCTTCTTTATTTTTCTTCTTCTCTCACCTCTTAACGCGGTACTGGCAGTGCCACTTTGTGACCTTTTTTTTACACGATTTTATCTCCCTTTCTAGCCTCTTATAAAAGGAGCATTGCTGTAGTTTGGATACTTCAGGAAATGTCGAGACATGATGGATGGAATTCTATACTTTGCCTCGGGTTACCTTTACCTTATAGCATATCACAAATGACATTTTCATGTAGACCTTGTTGGTTCGGATATTTTCTACAATTAGATCTCCACAGTCAATCTAGGCGGAGAGACTTGAAGATTATTCTTTGACCCCGTATCGCGCCTAAGGCATAAATTACCGTATGTGGTTAGGCGCCATCTCGCTTAAAATTCGTGTGTGACTCGCCCAGTCCTGCGGCTCCCGAACCTCACAACTGAATTTCTTCCCCAAGCGCAGAGCAATCGGACAGGTTTCAGGGAATCGCCTAGTCCATCTTCTATCGACTGTGCGTCACTTCCGCATCTCAGGGGACGCCAACGCTTGGATCTTGCGACATCTTTTCAACCCGATCACCGACAACCGACCAAAATGTCGCGTTTCTTCCACGGTGGCAGTAGCGACAGCGATAGCAGCTCCTCTGACGAGGAGGAGGTGTACAATGATCGCGAGGAGGAGGAGCTGCAGTCATCGGAAGAGGAGTCCAGTGAAGAGGAGGAAACCTCGGAGGAGGAGGTGTCCGAGGACGAGGGTGAAGGTGAAACCGGTGCCAGTCGTTTCTTGAGGACAGTGTCGGAGAGTGAGGAGAGTGAGGATGAAGAGAAAGTGACTGTTGTCAAGAGTGCCAAGGACAAAAGACTGGAGGAGCTGGAGAGCACAATCAAACTCATTGAGAATGCCGAAAAAATCAATGATTGGGCTGTCATCTCGGCCGGTGCGTTGGACCAGATAAGCCAATATTACTGTGTTTGTGCTGATATGAGATTTCAGAGTTCGACAAGCTGAACCGTCAGATCGTCAAGGTTGCCCAGTCTGGACCGACTCCCAAAATTTACATCAAGACCGTTGCAGACCTCGAAGATCTCGTAAACGAGACTATCGCCAAGCAGAAGTCCTCGAACAAGAAGATGAATGCAAGCAATGCCAAGGGATTCAATGCCGTCAAGCAACGTATCAAGAAGAACAACAAGGAATACGCCACCCAAGTCGAGAAATACCGGCAAAATAAGGATGGCTTCATGGAGAGTAAGGAGGAAGTGGCCAAGTCTGTTGTTGCGGCTCCCCGTCCGATCAAGGTTGATCGTATCGAGGCGCCGGCTGCTGTTTCCACCGCTGATGATGGCTTCGCAACTGTTGGCCGTGGCGGTAAGACCTTGCAGTATACTCCGGAAAGCATTCTCAAGCATCTCCGGGTGATTATCGAATCTCGAGGAAAGAAGAACACAGACCGTATCGAGCAGATCCGGACAATGGAGAAACTTTTGGAAGTCTGCCAGTCTCCGTATCAACGTATTCGCGTCTACCTGACCCTCATCTCTACTCGTTTCGACCTCACTTCTTCATCTGGAGCGAACTACATGGGTATCGATCAGTGGAAATTCGCTGAGCAGGAGTTCGCTAGCCTTCTTAACGTTCTTGAGAATAACCCCGACTATGTTGTTGCTGAAGGGGCTGAGGAATGGGAGGATGATGAGAAGCAGCCTCAGCCTGCGCCAGGCGAGAAGGTCTACATTCCAGGCAGCATTGTCTCATACGTTGAAAGGCTTGATGACGAGCTCACCCGCTCTTTGCAACACATTGACCCTCATACTGCTGAATATATCGAGCGCCTGAGCGATGAGAAGCAGCTTTACACCGCCATTGTCCGCGCCCAGACCTATGTTGAAGGTCTCACCAAGTCCGAAAAGAGTGACCCCCGCCAGGACAGCCTTAACAGGGTGGTCATGAGGAGATTGGAGCACATTTACTTCAAGCCTTCTCAGGTCATTACGATCCTGGAAGAAGGTAGCTGGAAGACCCTACCGTCTGGCCTCGATTCCGCCATCACTCCTCGCGGGAAAACGGGCGATGTGACGACTCTTGTTCAGACACTCTGCAATTACTTGTTCAAGCTCAGCGATGGTATCATTAGGGCGCGTGCAATGCTGTGTCAAATTTATTTCCTTGCCCTGCACGACCTGTACTATCGCTCCCGTGACCTGATGCTCATGTCTCACCTTACTGAGAGCATCGCCAACTTCGATGTCAGCACTCAGATTCTGTTCAACCGGACTCTGGTACAGATTGGTCTCTGCGCCTTCCGAGCTGGCCTTATCTACGAAGCACAGACTACCCTCTCTGAAGTCTGTGGTAGCGGCCGACAAAAAGAACTCCTGGCACAAGGCATCATCCTTCAGCGTTACTCCACGGTATCTCCCGAGCAAGAGCGACTTGAGCGTCAACGCCAACTGCCTTTCCACATGCATATCAACCTGGAGCTCCTCGAGTGCATCTACCTCACTTCTAGCATGTTCCTAGAGGTTCCTCTGATGGCCCAGACTTCATCGTCTCCCGAGATGAAGCGCCGTGTCATTTCGAAGACCTTCCGTCGCATGTTGGACTACAACGAGCGACAGGTCTTCACCGGCCCTGCTGAGAACACTCGTGATGGTGTTATTATGAGTGCCAAATTCCTCGCAGCCGGGGATTGGAGGAAAGCTGCTGAGATGCTTAGTTCCATCAAGATTTGGGACTTGATGCCCCAGCCAGACAAGATCAAGGAAATGCTGTCTCAGCAAATTCAAGAAGAGGGTCTCCGGACCTACCTATTCACCTATGCCCCCTTCTACGACAGCCTGTCTATCCCCACTCTAGCCAGCATGTTCGAGCTTTCTGAGAAAAAGATTGCAGCCATCATCAGCCGTATGATCTCGCACGAAGAACTGGCAGCTGCACTTGACCAGGTCAATGGCGCCATTGTTTTCCGCAAGGGTGTCGAGCTGTCTCGCCTCCAGTCCCAGATTGTAACTCTTGCTGACAAATCTATGAACCTTCTGGAGGCCAACGAAAAGACCCTTGAGCAGCGCACTCAAGGCATGGCCAACGCCTTCCAGCGCGATCAGGGCGCCGGCGCCCGTGGTGGCCGCGGTCCTGGACGCGGAGGACAGGCCCGTGGTGGCCCCAGGCTACCTGGTGGCCAACAAGGACGTCGACCTGGTGGACAGCAATTCGGGGGTGGCGCGTTGGGTGGAGCAATCAAGGCTTAAAAAAAATGTTAATAATGGCATTTATTTCTTTTTATGGTTTAATGCTCCCCTTGGAATTTAACTGCGTACGACCCAATGTGCTTTTTTTTTATCCATTATGGCTTTGGCTTTTTCTTTTACGGGCACTTCCAACTCTTCGCTTTTCATCATGCATACAGTATTTTCACACTTTACAAATGAGTCTTATGTTTGAAATAAATGAGGGAATGAAAGATCGATGCGGGCTTTGCAAAGAAGGAGCACAGAGAAGCAAAAGATGGGGATAGATTGGAATGGAGTCGTAAGGCTATAAGCATAGCTTGAAAAAGTACAAAAGCCAGTTAGACATGACATCAGTTTCAGTCTTCAGGATTAATGTGAGATGGGTTCCTGTTCCCTGTACGTCTGTTGTCTCATTATCCCTATTCTATGCGTAGTCCTTCAAAGTCCGGTCAAAGGCTTTGTTTGTATATAGACCGGAAGTGTCTCTTGCTCACAAGAGCGCTTTTAGTCTAGTCTGTTAGGCAATTAATTGAGCCAATTCCATGACAGGGATCTCTGTGTTTCCCACTTTTTGACAATATTGTTAGTGGGGGCTTGTCTTAGGACATGAGCTGGTGCTCATTCACATGAGGATCTGATATCTCTAGAGAGACACGTTGTGTTATCCCTCACCCACTGTCATCGAGAAGGTTTTGAGGTGACCAGTACTCATCCTCGTCAGCCTGAGCATCCAGCCAAACTAATCCGTCGGCTAGCAGATCGTCAATAACAGTTTGGGCCCTGGCTTTCTCCCACTTCAAATTTAATCTCAACATAGAGACGCTCACGTATCCAAGGACCTGTATAACCTCAAGGACAGTAGCCTGGTCTGTATTGAGCTCTTTTGGGATCGACCGAATATACTGTTTGCTTCCAACCCGGATGATAGAGAAGCCAGAGCCCAGGGGCTCGAGGGATTTCACAGCACGTAGCACATCGTCACTAGCCCTCGTAATCCATTAATTGTGGGCTAATTTCGAATGGTAGGTATTGGAATTGCATACTCAGTGACTTCAAGGCCGCTTCCAATAGCTTTCCCTTTTCCTACTCTTTTGCGGCACTCTTCCACCCCAATTAAACCCCCATTTTCACTGCGTGTATCCCGACAAAGTCCCACCACTCGAACTGCAACCTCGAAGTAAAAGTCGTTCATGTCTCCACCCATGATTTGGGTCCAAACACTGCCGGTCTCTCCTGGCGCTTTTCGTCCATTTTTCCCTTTTATGTTACTTGCAGCGAGGGGATCGACTCCAATTGTATTGCACATGCGCGCAAACTCGGCGCGAAATGTGGGATTCGACTTGATGGTTGAACTATGCTCCAAGGCAAAGGTGTGGAGCAATGACTGGAATACGGACAATTGCGTTTGTAGAGAGGAAAGGTGGGTAGAGCGGAGGTTTGCGCCATGGCTCGCAAAAGACTGAGTTGCCTGAGTTCTGTTTGCGAAGGCCCCGAGGCCAACACCTCGTCGAGAAGACATAATGCGCAAGTTGAAGGGACGATTAAATGAAGGCTCACGTGGTTCCTTCCAGCATGCGGTCATATCCCTTATCATCATCGCAGTCAGCTGATCTTCCGTACCCTAAATAGAGAACTTATCTAAGAGCCAAGGCAAAAGTGGTCCCAGTGCGCTAGCCAAATATGCGTTAGCGCCTGTCTACCGCCCACACAACCGATTTTCTCTTAAAGCAGTTTTTTCTTTCTGATTTCTTCTTCAGTACGACAGCCTTCGCCAACCGCCCAACTCGCGAACTCTACCGACCGTCGCAATGGCCTCGACTGCTACGTATGAACCCCTTTCATGAACCCCTTTCGGCTGATTCGCTATGAGAGCCTGTAAGGTTTGAGGTTATAGTCGTCCTTCTCGCTGGAGATGCTGCGGTTGAAATAGACCGTTGAGCACCAGCTCGATTCTTCCCGACTATGTCTCGTATCACGTTCGCATCTACATACCAATTAGAGGCAAGGAACTGTATGGAGAATAGGTCTGGGGTATTGGGGTTGAAAGCTATAGTAGCCTTCTCCCTAAAAATCATTGTTGTGAGCTAGCGCTTTCGTCTTGTGGTGGGCACATCCTGCTTTTCACAACGATGGAGCGAGCAGCGTCAACACTCATTCCTGAACATACTGTTCGGGGTTTTGTTGGTTGAGGATCTCAGGAGCTTTTCAGTTTATGGAGTCGCAACTGTGAGGCAGAAAATTGTCTCACAGGTGCACGAACCTATGATAGCTCATTACTTCACCGATTAAATATATGTCGTCGAGTGCTTTCTTCTTGCCTTCAGTATGAGAATGTGGCGCTTTAGCTACAATTCTTACACTCGGCGAAATATTGCCTGGTTTAAGTGCCATGGACAGACTATACTGACCTTCACAGCACTGTCCCCACCGCCAACCAGGTGCTGGTCCCCGAGACCCTCCTGAAGAAGCGCAAGAGCCAGGAGCAGACTCGCGCTCTTCAGCGTGAGGAGATCCTGAAGAAGAAGGAGGTTAGTATTATTATTTTATTGTTTTCTTTCTATAAAATGATGACAACACACCACTACGCGACTAGACTAAACAGTCAATGCTGTCGCATTCGTTAACCATCTTTCGGGGCTGATACACAAATTATTCACTCTTCGTCACATGTATATGAAATGTTCTTCTCGCTGACAGAGAAACTAGGCCAACAAGAAGAAGCGTGCCACTATCTTCAAGCGCGCTGAATCCTACGTCAAGGAGTACCGCGATGCTGAGCGTGAGAAGATCCGCCTGGCCCGCGTTGCTCGCCAGGAGGGTAACTTCTACGTTCCCGATGAGCCTAAGCTTGTCTTTGTTGTCCGTATCAAGGGGTATGTTTTTCTTTCCCACTATCTAGTTCTCCTGAGTTCACAATCTGACTCGGCATATAGTATCAACAAGATTGCTCCTCAACCCCGTAAGATCCTGCAGCTGCTCCGTCTGCTCCAAATCAACAATGGTACCTTCATCCGCCTCACCAAGGCTACCCAGGAGATGTTGACTATCATCAACCCCTACATTGCCTACGGCTACCCCAACCTCAAGAGCGTCCGTGAGCTTATCTACAAGCGCGGTTACGGAAAGGTCAACAAGCAGCGTGTTGCCCTTACCGACAACCAGATCATTGAGGAGCATCTCGGCAAATACGGCATCGTCTGTATGGAGGATCTGATCCACGAGATTTACACCGTTGGCCCCAACTTCAAGCAGGCCAATAACTTCCTCTGGCCCTTCAAGCTCTCCAACCCCACTGGCGGTTTCCACACCCGCAAGTTCAAGCACTTCATTGAGGGCGGTGACTACGGTAACCGTGAGGAGAACATCAACAGCCTCATCCGCCAGATGAACTAAGTTTGTTCTTTTCATGGTTGGTGGCTGTTGTCGGGGATTTCTGGGTCTGGGCTGTTTTCTCGGTTAGCGGTAAGATGGTCTGAATTCAGATATGAAATAAAAGCTTAGGCAACCTTCAAATCACTGCTCTGTAGCCTTCCATGTTCCGTTATGTGTGCTAGGTGCAACTGAGGAGTTTCTATCGCGCTATTGAAACTTTGATACCCATATGAGGCATGTTCTATCAAGTAAATTCCACGTTCGTAGCCACTGAGCCTATACCCATGTCCTAGTTGACCATAATACCAATATTGGCACTACGTCTTCTTTTTACCCGACAGCCATTGCCCACGAGTCAAAGTATTCCTACTCGATGAGTGTCGAATGCTATATATATTTTCGGTGCTGGTTATTCTTTTAGTCTTGAGAACTTATAAAATATAAAGGATCAATATAAATGCCCGTAGAGATATTTTGTAGGAAGCAAATACATAAATATATATCCGGTTTTGGTGGCTTTGGATAAATATATACTCCAACATATTTACAATAACATAATAATATAAATAATTCACACGAGCTTTAGATTTCCAAAACTTTCTGAACTCGCCTATTTCTATCGACAATCAAGCGAAGTTGTCTTCCCTGCCAGCTAGAAGATGAGGCGGTTGCGGTGGCTGTGTGAGGAGTCGGTTTAAAGACGCCTTCACGGAGGGTTTCAGTGTAGAGTTCGTAAGAGGGGTAATCTATCAGGTTAGTATCCAATATTTCCTGATTCGGCTTTATCTCGAGAGAAAAGAGACGGAGAAGGAAATACGTACAGCCATCAACGAAATGGGTGACTTGTTCCGGCGTCATCCCGGTACCCTTAGCAGAGAGGAGGGTCCGTTCTTGTTCTTGCCTCCAGTCGTATACGAAATGAAGATCTTGGGCATCACTGTAACATATTTAGCCACCCATTGGAAGATCCTGGCAAACAGTATAGCGTGTATGGGGCAAAACTTACATGTGTATTAAAGCGTCCAGCTGACTGCCCACCATTCAACCATTAGCGGAATCGACCACCACTTAAAGGAGAAGACACGAACTTGGTGAGTAGATCATATGCGCGTAACGCATCATTGACGACTTTAGCGTCCTCGAATGCCACATGGCCCAGTCTTCCATCGTAACTCCCCCGCTCTTTTTGACGGACAGCCTCCTTCCACTTTTCCTGGAGGGTCACATCGTCCCATGCGCGGAACCCAACACACCAGCCTTCGAAGATCACCACTTTGACTTTATTCTGGCCTGGGGAATTTACTACCTCCCACTGTGACTGTCTAACCCGATCGCCTTGGCCTGCGAAAGCGGATTTATCGTACCGAGGTATTGCGGTGGGACGACCGGCGCGGAGAGATTCGAATACCTCCTGTCCTAGGGAGAGGTCATGGGTAGCTGGTTGGCCACGATGCTGTAAAAGAGGATTAGAAGGGAAAGATTGGGCGAGACTGCGCTGCTGGTCATGCGTGAGATACAGATCATCGAGGGAGAGCGTCACGACAGGGAGAGAGTATGGAGGGGAGCGGAGGGTAGATTGCAGTGTGGAAACCTTGAGACGCGATATCGGTTAATTAGACCCGTGACCCTTCTGGGAAAATGCCTTAAAATCTGAATGGATGTGACATACTAGGACGGTCTTTCCTGCTCCTTGGACTCCGTTTAAGCCCAGGAAGAAGGGAGGGGCATTGGCGGGGTCACTCCCATGTCGGACCTGATGGGCTTTCAATCGGTCGAGAAGGAAAGGAATACAGTGTTTGGATTTGTCGTCGATGATTTCGGGCATTATATGCGATCCAAGTATACTGGAATTCTCGTTTCCTTGGGATTGAAATGGTTGGCAGGTCGAGAATCATGGTGTTGATAGTTCGTCGGAGGTTGGTATACTCTGACTGTCGGAGAAACGCCGAGCATCCGGACCAAATCTCGCCCGAGAGGTCTTCTCTACGGACATCCATTGTTTGGTCGTCCTCTTTCTATTGTAGTTCAATACACATACCATAGCCCAAGGAATATCGAATCATTGGGAACCAGAAGATATTATTGTTTGTATCTTAATAGCGGAAATATGGTCGGGGATTGACATAGGAGCCATGGAGTCAGAACCGGTCGGTATCATCAAAAAAAACTCACCCGCACGTCAACCCATAACTATCGCAATATCGCGAGAAAAATCGGGATATCTATATACCCGCGAAGTGACGTACAGAATACTGTAAACATATATGACCTGCAATTTCCCCAAACAGGAATTGGTTGGAGTGGGTTTAGCGGATTGCTTATGTCACCGCGGAGAGGAAATAACTTTAGGACGAATCTATCTTTTTTTTATGTTCCCCGCCAAACAATTATTTCTATCCTCTCTCTGGTATATACTATCGAAACCACAATGGCTTCCACTCTTCCCGCCTACAAAACCGCCTTTCTCGAGTCCTGTCTCTCCGCCAATGTCCTGACATTCGGCACCTTCACCCTCAAATCGGGTCGCCGTACGTTGCTATAATATCAAACTTTCTCGCTTTTGCTGCAACGATAACTGACCAGTACTCAGACTCCCCATACTTTTTTAACGCCGGGTCTTTTCACACCTCCGCTCTTCTTTCCTCCATCTCCACCGCCTATGCCCACACGATCATCTCTTTCCTTGCCGCCAATCCCTCGATTCCCAAACCTGATGTGATCTTTGGGTAAACTCCCGCCCCGCGTTGTTGCGCTGCAGAAGTATCATTGACCGAAATCCTCTCAGTCCCGCATATAAAGGAATTCCTCTTGCTTGTGCAACATTACTTGAACTCCACCGTCTGGACCCCGAGACCTGGGGGTCCGTGTCCTATAGCTACAATCGCAAGGAAGCCAAAGACCACGGGGAGGGTGGAAACATTGTCGGTTCCTCGTTGAAGGGGAAGAATGTACTAGTCATTGACGATGTGATCACTGCGGGTACGGCTATGCGGGAGACGCTAAGCCTCGTGTCCAAGGAAGGTGGAAAGGTTGTGGGATTTGCAGTTGCGCTCGACCGGCTTGAGAAGATGCCCGGACCCAAGGAGAAGGAGGGAATAGATGACGGGGAGCCTCGGATGAGTGCTATGGGACAGATCAGACGTGAATACGGCGTGCCTACGGCAAGCATTGTCACGTTGGATGATTTGATCATGTTGATGAAAGACAAGGGAGACGAAGATGACCTCAAGAAATTGGAGGCATATAGAAAAAGATACCAGGCTAGTGATTAGAAAAAAGGCTTGATTTGACTGACAGGCAAATCAGATAAAGATAATATAATTGATTTTGGCCTCCGAGTTCCTGTGAGGTTTCTTGTGGGGAGTCTCAGGATGTCTAGCTAATGGGATTGATATATCGGAGTACCCATGTGTTGAACTCGGCTTCATAGAAGCTATGCTCTTCTTCTCAAAGAACTTACCTCGTTGGCGTTTTAACTAGACGGATGCTACACCAAGCTGAACTTAAGCGAGTAGCTTAATTTTATTAATCTGCGATAGATGCTGAGACTCGTTGCAGATTAATATAATTAGTGGCTTGAATGTACCGACAGAATCGCTTATGCAGTGCCCGCTGCACAACTTACGATTGTGCGTTCTTAGTAATAGATACGGAGCAAATGACGGCACATGTCCCGGGCCTGTTAACTAACTAGTTACCCCGGAGTGGGAGTCCATTAGATAATATCTTACTCTCAAGCGTCCGCCATGTGTTGCTCTGTTCAACAACAAATATGCCAGGGAGGAAGAAAAGATCAATTGCTGTTTTACTATATATCTTACCGGTACAGTCCTTAACATAGACCAAATAAACGGTTTCTATTTAGGTAGCTTATACTATATGACGTATGCATCTATGCTCCCTAACTCATAGGCCAGAAAATGGAGTATTGTCGTCTCCCCCGAGGTTCGACCGGAGTAAAGAGATTGTGACTCTGGGGGATTATACTACTCTGGACTAGTAACCATTACTTCAAGGGATGGCTGTCTTCAGAATTATATCATGGCATGAATATCGGCATGTGAAGGCGGATCATCTGCCTAGCCAGAATTTTCTTGGCAGCCCCAAACCACCGAGCTTCATTTCACCTGCGCAGATGCCGAGGTCCAGCTTGCCGAGCAACGGTGCGACCGACCTTCCCCCAGATCCCAAGGTCTTCTTCAACTCTGCGCTCCCCGGACTCCTCTTCCCCTCTTAAAACTTGCTCCTTTCATCCTTATTATTCCTTCCCTCCCCTTTAACCCCCCCCCTCCGATACTGACTGATTTGAAACTGTTCCCTTCTTCTCTCCGTTCCTTTCATCCTCTCCACAATGTCTCAGTCTGAGCTCCGATTTGACAACCAGACCGTTGTCGTAACGGGTGCTGGTGGCGGATTGGGCAAGGCATATGCTACTTTCTTTGCCTCGCGAGGTGCCAATGTCGTTGTGAACGACTTGGGCGGATCTCACTCCGGTGACGGAAAGTCCTCCAGGGTAAGGCACTCGATCCATCACATGCTCATAATCCCCGCAGAAACTAATGTGTCATTCGACGATCAGGCTGCAGATGCGGTCGTTGAGGAGATCCGAGCTGCTGGAGGCAAAGCTGTCGCCAACTACGACAGCGTCGAGAATGGCGAGGCTATTATCGCCACGGCTATTAAGAATTTTGGTCGCATAGACATCCTTCTCAACAATGCCGGTATCCTTCGGGATATCAGCTTCAAAAACATGAAGGACCAGGACTGGGATCTGATTAACACCGTTCATACGTATGGTGCATACAAGGTAGATACACCAGAATTAACACTCGTATCTGTTAGATATTGAACAGTCTGTGTCTCTAGTGTGCAAGGGCTGCATGGCCTCACTTCCGGAAACAAAAGTATGGTCGGATCATCAACACTGCCTCTGCAGCTGGTCTCTTTGGTAGCTTCGGCCAGGCCAACTACTCCGGTGAGTATTTTCGTTCGAAGCGTACGCGATGGAGCTGACAATAGAAGCTGCCAAACTTGGCCAGGTCGGATTCACCGAGACTCTCGCTAAGGAGGGCGCCAAGTACAACATCATTGCCAACGTCATCGCCCCTATTGGTATGTTGAAAACTGAACTGTTTGTATCATGTATCATAACATGGCTGACCGGGGAAAATAGCTGCGAGCCGTATGACGGCCACAGTGATGCCTCCGGATGTCTTGGAAAACCTTAAGCCCGACTGGGTTGTGCCCTTGGTGGCTGCTTTGGTCCATTCCTCCAACACAACCGAGTCCGGTGGAATCTACGAGGTCGGTGGTGGCCATGTGGCCAAGCTCCGCTGGGAACGAGCCAAGGGCGCACTGCTGAAGACCGATGCTTCGTTGACTCCTGGTGCTATCGCCAGGAAGTGGAATGATGTCAATGACTTCTCGAAGCCCAGCTATCCCACCGGCCCCGCCGACTTCATGACCCTCTTGGAGGAGGGGCTGAAGCTACCCAGCGCACAGCCGGGACAGGAGCCCAATTTCAAGGGCAAGGTTGCTCTCGTCACTGGTGGTGGCAATGGGTACTGCCCCAATGAAAGAATTCGAATCAAATTTAAGCATATCCGCTAACGTGTCTTAGGCTTGGCCGCGCATACTGCCTCCTGTTCGCTAAGTATGGCGCGGCTGTGGTGGTGAACGATCTCGTTGACCCCGAGCCCGTCGTCAAGGAAATTAAGCAGATGGGTGGACAGGCTGTTGGCAATAAGGCTTCGTGTGAGGATGGTGATGCTGTTGTCAAGTCTGCTATCGATGCCTTCGGACGCATTGACATCCTGGTCAACAACGCTGGTATTCTACGTGACAAGGCTTTCACCAACATGAGCGATGACCTGTGGAACCCAGTCATCAACGTCCACCTGCGTGGTACCTACAAGGTGACGAAGGCTGCTTGGCCCTATATGCTCAAGCAGAAGTATGGCCGCATTGTCAACACTGCTAGCACCAGTGGAATTTATGGCAACTTTGGACAAGCCAACTACGCTGCGGCAGTATGGCCCCTTTTCTATTTCAATTCCACTTTCTTTTGTTGCTCCTGCTGACGGATTGTTCTAGAAACTCGGTATCCTTGGTTTCTCCCGTACTCTCGCACTTGAGGGTGCCAAATATAACATCAAGGTCAACACGATCGCCCCCAACGCGGGTACTAACATGACCCGTACCATTATGCCCGAGGAGATGGTGCAGGCCTTCAAGCCTGATTATGTGGCCCCTATCGTGGCGCTTCTCTGCTCCGATCTGCTGCCAGAGCCCGGCACCAAGGGTCTGTACGAGTGCGGCAGCGGCTGGTTCTCGTGCACTCGCTGGCAGCGTACCGGTGGTCACGGATTCCCCGTGGACGTGAAACTGACTCCCGAGGAGGTTGTCAAGCACTGGAAGGAGATCTCTAGCTTCGACGATGGACGTGCTGATCACCCTGAAGATGGCCAGGCTGGTACCGAGAAGATCATGGCCAACATGAGCAACCGCAGGGGTGATGCGTCGGAGGGCGGAAATGATATCCTGAAGGGCATCGAGAAAGCGAAGCAGGCCTCCAGCGATGGATCTGCTTTCGACTATGTCGACCGCGACGTCATTCTTTACAACCTGAGCCTGGGAGCCAAGCGCACCGACCTCCCATTGGTGTACGAGAACAACGAGAACTTCCAGGCTCTCCCCTCCTGGGGTGTGATTCCGTGGTTCAACACTACTACCCCCTGGAACTTCGATGACATTGTGGCCAACTTCTCTCCCATGATGCTGTTGCACGGCGAGCAGTACCTGGAGAACCGCAAATTCCCCATCCCTACCGCGGCCAAAACAGTGACCTACCCAAAGCTTATTGACGTAATCGACAAGGGCAATGCGGCTGTGGTTGTCACTGGCTTCACGACGAAGGATGCGAACACTGGCGAGGATTTGTTCTACAACGAGTCCACCGTATTCATCCGTGGAAGCGGTGGCTTTGGCGGATCGCCCAAGCCTACTGTCGCTCGTCCCAAGGCGGCCGTTGCGGCCTACAAGCCCCCTCAGCGCAAGCCGGATGCCGTGGTTGAGGAGAAGACCTCCGAGGATCAGGCCGCGCTGTACCGTCTCAACGGTGACCGTAACCCTCTTCACATTGATCCCGACTTCAGCAAGGTGGGCGGCTTCAAGACTCCCATCCTGCACGGACTCTGCTCTCTGGGCGTTTCTGGCAAGCACGTTTATAACAAGTTCGGAGTCTTCAAGAACCTCAAGGTTCGCTTTGCGGGCGTTGTCCTGCCGGGCCAGACCCTGAAGACGGAGATGTGGAAGGAAGGTAATGTGGTTCTGTTCCAGACCACCGTGGTGGAAACGGGCAAGCCTGCCATCACCGGAGCTGGCGCTGAGCTGCTGGAGGGCGCAAAGGCGAAGTTGTAAAAATAACGTTGATTCTACTGTGACCCACCACGCTACTGGGCCGATGATTAAATTGTGTACATAGACTATGATGGTTATTTGACGCGGGTTTTGTTTGATATTGAATGCAGCTTCCAGAATGCTACAATTCGATGGACTTTGTTTCCGAGTAGATCGGTATCAGTGTCGGCTGGCGTTACTTAACCAACCAACTAATGCTGGATGTTATGTAATGCGACGGCGGGAATACTCCGGTCAACACCGTCACGATTAATTAAACAATCCATTCATTCCCCTCCCGCCCTTCAAGCATACAATATCCTTCCTGTTAACCATCTCCGAATGATCATGTAGCGAGATCTCTTCAACCCTCGATGTAACGATGGTCTCGCGACCTGTCTCTAACTTCTCTAGGTCGCCCAACTCCCCCTCCCCTTCTACCGACTATCACCACCAATCTGCGACCATCACCGAGGCTCTCCGCAACCATCCCTTTGGAATGACATTACGATCGCGTTCTGTTGCAGCCCTGACCACCCTATCCGATAATAAGAACAAAGTCAAAGACCAAGAAGAGCTCAATACCGCGCTGGAGACACTGGCCCGAATCTTCCCCGACGTGAAGATTGAAGTGTTTCGGGAACTGCTGATCCGTTTCGATGGACTCAGCCGGCTTGAGGTGTGCGTGGATCAGTTGCTGAGATATAAGGAAAAATGGGTTGCAGGGCGATGGAACGTCCCGGAGGGCACCACAGAGGGCCGAGATGAGGCCGTCGTTCCTTCCTCGCAAGGGGAAAACGAGCAATGGGTCCCTCGGAGCGAGCAGTTCCGGAGCGATGACTACAAACGATCGGTGAAAGCGCTTCTGGTGAAGGAATTCAGCAGCCTAAACAAGAGCGTGGTGGACGCTGTGCTGGCGGAAGCGAACTTCTGTTACATGCGAGCGCGGCCGATTCTGCGTGACCTGTCGAGCCGGACGTGGCGGGCGACATTCAACAACATCCTCCCTTTTAGAAATAAGAAGGACAAGAACGACCACCCTCTGGTTCTCTGGAAGCGCCAGGTGGGTGACGAGCCGACTCCGACGCTCAAAGATACCGGTTGCCAGGAGCTGAATCGAGAACTACACGAGGCTATATTGGCGCCACTGCTCCAATTGAGACGAGAAGAACAGGAAGCAAGAGACCTTCGGCTGGCGGAGGAGCTGAATGAAAAAGAGGCCATGGCGACCGAGACGGTTTACGAGTGCGAATGTTGCCTGGTGGATGCTCCGTTCGAGCGGATCTCTACTTGCTCCCACAACATGCATGTCATCTGCTACAGTTGTATCCAGCGGACAGTACAAGAGGCAGTCTTTGGTCAAGGCTGGGGGAAATCCGTGGACGTTGAGAGAGCGACTCTGAAATGCTTGGCACCGTTTGGTCATGAACCTTGTAATGGCAGCTTGAACTCGGAGATCGTTAAACAAGCCATCCTTCTAGATAAGGCCGGAGGCGAGACCTACTTGAAGTTTGAAGGCCGGCTTGCTTCGGAGGCTCTCCTTAAGTCCCAGTTAAAAATCATCCGCTGCCCATTTTGCTCTTACGCGGAGGTTGACTCGGCCTACCACCCTTCGTCAAGAGGGATCAGGTGGCGCTTTCGCCGTGAGGGCCTTGCTAAGACGATTTTCAGGACCATAATATTATTGGATTTGGTTCTTTTACTTGTCATTCCGGTGATCCTCGTCTATATTCTAGATCCATCCCTTGTTCCCCGCATTTTATGCCATTCGCTGCTGAATCTCTGCCTGAAATTTCGTCCCAAAAAGTTCAAATGCGCGAATCCGGGCTGCGCCCGAACCAGCTGCATCACCTGCCAGATGACTTGGCGTGATCCACATGTGTGCTACGAGCCACTGCTGCTAGATCTGCGAGCTACTGTTGAAGCTGCTCGGACAGCCGCCGTGAAGCGTATCTGTCCTCGGTGTGGTCTGTCGTTTGTCAAATCTTCAGGCTGCAATAAGTTGACCTGCGTGTGTGGGTATTCCATGTGTTATCTTTGTCGCAAGGGACTTGGTTCTCCACTGGATACTGCCCTAGACCGTGCTCGACGACACCAAGAGAATGTCTTTCCGGTGGGACCAGTGTGGCCGAGGCTCGAGGTGGACAATGATGGTTTCGATGCGGATGAAGGAGAGGCGGAAGTGCTGGGGGGATATAGGCATTTCTGTGAGCATTTCCGCCTTACTCCAGGATCTCGCTGTTCGGAGTGCAACAAGTGCGAACTGTACCAGGATGTGGATGAGGAGGCAGTAGCACGTAGTGCCGGCGAGAAAGCGGAGCGCGAATGGAACATGCGCCAAGGTGTTGCTGGACAAGACGCTGGCACATTGCAGGTCAACAATGACTTCACAATGGCAAATGGCCGGGAGCGGATGCGACTGGGCGGGAAGGGCTGCAGCTACTGGCTGAATGAAGTGTGGCATGAAGATCGATGGAAAAAGGAAGGACAGGCCTTGGTGGACTGGGCCATGGAGCAAGCAATTATCATTGAGGATAATTGATATTCTGCATTTTTGGGTCTCTCTACTCTTTGAGCCGTTTTAGGCTCGGTATCGCTACTTAACTTCTTTGGACCTATGTTTATCATGGCGTTGCACGTTGGACAGGTACACAAAAGGATTTGAGGCGCATTTTTTGGTTGATTGGATTGACATGACGAGGTTATGAGATACGACGTTCGTTTCAATAATGTCTTTCGTTATCTGAATTAATATAACCTGTTTCCCCATCAGTGCCCATGTTTCTCTTCGTCCGAAGCCTTTCCTTGTACTCTCTGCCTTCCCTCTTCCTTTAGCTTCTCGTCGTCCGCTCGATTCAGCGTCACCTGTGGCATCAACCAAGCTGCTAAGAAGAATGCCAACGCTGCTAGAGCTGCGCCGATGATAAAGATGATTTGAAAGCCCTTCTTATATGCAGGGATCAACAATGAGCGAACACGTTCAGCTTCGTGAAGAGGTAGTTCGGAAAGATAGCTCTGCGGACTCGACAAGAACGACCTAGTTTCCGAGTCACTCAGGCCTAGCGAAGAGATCGCGGAGGAGATGAGATTGTTTCTGGAAACTGTGAGGATCAAGAACTAAGGGTGTTTGATGGCATGCGCTTACATGATTGTCCCGGCAATTGCGAGGCCGAGAGTACCTCCCAGGTTTCGGATGAAGCTATGGAGGTGACTGATCAGTGTCTATCATATAATGGAGGTGGCATCCAGACATACTTGCGAAATGAAGTGACAACGGCCATTTCGCGCCGGTCAACGCCGGCTTGCACCGCGATGAGCGAGCTATTCGACTAGGTGAGCGATTGAATGCGAGGATATATCTCCAAACAGAGGGGAGCGAACTCACGGTTGCAGGGTATTGCCGACTCCCACGCCCGTCAGAATGCCGTACCCAATCTGTTTCCCTATCCCTGAGGATGAGTCCAGGGTTGAGAAGAGTCCTAGACCGACAGCCCAAATCACCCAGCCAAAGAGGATGCATTCTCTATATCGACCAACCCAATGGACGACAAGGCCAGAGACAGTACTACTTACGGCTGCAGGGTGTCAGTTTCACATCGCGCGGCAGAAAGAGAGGAGAGACAAGGGGGGAGGAGATACTTTGCATCAATGTGATAGGCAAAAGCATTGCACCCGCCTTCACAGTAGAATACCCGAAGACCAGCTGATAAAACGTGGGGATATAATACACCTGGACGAGAAAGTTCCACCCATTCACAAACATGGTCAGACAAGCGCCGTTGACAATGCGCGACTGGAAAATCCGCATGGGGACCAGGGGTATGGCGGTGCCTTTCCACTGCCAGAGCACGAACGCCACGCACACGGCAACACCGACAACGAGAGTGGCAATGACATGCGCCGATTGCCAGGGATATTCACCTCCGCCCCAAGTCAAACCCAGCAGGAGCACGGCGGTGCCGCCGAGAGCGAGGAACGCGCCGAAGAAGTCGATTGCCTGGAGTTTCACCTTCCAGTCTCCCGTGACCTTCCGCAGTGGCATGAAGAACAGCACGCTCAGCGTGGTGATGGCAGTTAGAGGGAGGTTCAGACGGAAAATCCATCGCCACGAGTCGTCGTCGATGGAGGCCAAGGCTCCCCCAATCACTGGGCCAATGCCGTTGGCGAGGGCGACTACGGCCCCAAGGATGCCTTGGTATTTGCCTCTCTCGCGCAACGGGACCACGTCGCTGACGATCATCTGGGCAACAGTCATGAGGCCGCCGCCGCCGACACCAGTGAAGGCTCGGAAGATGATGAGTTGGGTTGCAGTTTGAGCCAGCGAAGCGGCCAGGGAACCGACGAAGAAGATGCCCAGACCCACGAATAGGATGATTTTACGTGACCAGATGTCGGACAGACGGCCATATAGGAGCTGGAAGCAGGTTGAGGTGCTGAGGACGGTGTCAGACGAGTTTTCTGGATGTGTAACATGTGAAAAAGGGTTTTCACTTACACAAAATAAGCACCGGATATCCACGATGTCTGGTCACTTGCATGCAGGGCGTTGCCAATGATGGACAAGCTGGCCGCCAGGGTGGTTTGGTCCATCAAAGCTACGAGGTCGACCGTCGAGCATGCCAGGAATACCTGGACGGGTTCAGTCGGGTGATTCATGTGAGGTGATGGCTGATGCTTACCGTGATGATGGTGCTCTTGGGCACATAGTTGGTCTGCTCGTTGAAGACATGAGAGGGCTTTGTCTCCATCCCTGTGTCGACATTGTCGGACGAGTTTGATGGGCACTCTGGCTTTTTCTCCGTGCTGACCGCAGTTCCCGCCATGTCTTCTCTCGAAGTTGCCGTACTAAGGGCATAGGGTTGGGGAACTTGCCTTTAAACTGAGGAGTGAGACATATTGAGCAAGCCAAGCGAAGAGATATTGAGCTAGACAACTGAGAGGTACATCTTTCCATTCCGCCATCCATGGAGTACCCTGGTGATACAGATCGTCACGGAAAGCTCCATCGAGCCACCAAGTCTGACCGGAGTCGTCCACTGCCTGATTAGGGTTCTGGAAGGGATCAGCAGTCTGGCCGCAAACGTGCTCAAACGCGCTCAGCAAGGTCCTCACGATGTCTCTCCCGCCAAGAAGGAATCCTGGTCTATCTTGAGGCATTTCTAAGGACCTTGCGAGATGCTACTGGCTGTCACATTTTCTCGCGTCGGCTCAATAACGGGATATACAAGGCCCAGGGGGTAGATCGTGTCTGGCCCAGCACCCTGGGGACAATAGCTTACGGTTTCCCCTTTCTCTCCGTAGTCTTGATTCGACCATCCTTCTCATTCAGCCGTCGATAGCGCTCTTTTCTCGTGTAGTTCTTCGATTGCTTGTGGGTCATGTCTGCACCGGGTTTCTAGAGCAAGAAGATGCAGCAGAGGGAGGTCTACGAAGTATAATTTGATGCCATTGCCCCTCATGGTCTGACCTGTCTCCTGTCTCCGCACAGATCTTTCCTTGCATTTTCTACGATGCCTCCCGAACGAAATGTATACCGTGGGGCGGACTCGCTCAAACAATATTTTGATCCCGATTGTCAGCCGCCTCTGCCCTTGGTGGAGCTGCCGGAATATCTGAACCCATACTATCAAGATGGGGTGCACATTTACGCCAAGATGATGACCATGCACCCGGCCAACAATGTCAAAGCCATGCCAGGTACGACCCAGCCTAGACAGAGTAGACTTGTACTAACGAGATAGCCATGAACATGCTGGAAAAGCACATGGTGGCGGGCCAAACGAAGACGATCATCGAATACAGTTCAGGGTCTACGGTGATCTCGATGTCGATGATCGCGCGCGCCATGCATGGGGTCCAGGATGTGCGGGCGTTTCTCAGCAACAAGACCAGCGAAGCGAAGCTGCGCCTGATGCAGTTCTTCGGGCTCCAGATTACGCTCTTCGGCGGACCGTCGCAGCCGGAGCCGTTTGACGAGCGCGGCGGCATCCAGAACGCGCGGCATCAGGGGCAGCAGTCTACGGCAGTGCTCAACCCCAACCAGTACGAGAACGACGACAACTGGGGAGCGCACGTGCGGTGGACGGGCCCCCAGATCTTCGCGCAGCTACCGGAGATCACGGTGCTCTGCGCGGGGATGGGCACGTCGGGCACGATGACGGGGCTGGGGACGTATTTCCAGCAGGTCAAGCCCTCGGTGCTGCGACTGGGGGTGTGCACGGCGCCGGGCGACCGGGTGCCAGGGCCGCGATCACTGGCGCTGCTGAAGCCGGTGGAGTTTCCCTGGAGGGCGGCAGTGGATTCGATCGAAGAGGTGAACTCGCACGACTCGTACACGCGGTCGCTGGAGCTCTGTCGAGCAGGCCTGGTCTGCGGGCCATCGTCCGGATTCAATCTGCAAGGGCTCTTCCAGATGCTGGAGAAGCGACGGACGGCCGGGACGCTGGCGGAGCTGGCGGGGGCAGACGGATTGGTGCATTGTGTGTTTCTATGCTGCGACCTGCCGTATCAGTACATTGGTGAGTACTTTGAGAAGCTCGGAAAGGAAGAGTTCCCAGCGATCCAGAACGAGCATCTGACGCAGGTGGACGTCTACCGCTACGACGAGAGCTGGGAACGCAGCCCGGTGGTGCTGTTTACACATTTCTACGAGATGCCCAAGGCATGGAGCGGTCCGAGTCTCCTCGGCCGCATCACGCTGCGAGCGCAATGCAGCGTGTTGGACCTGCGAACGGCAACGGACTTTGGATCTTGGCATCTGCCCGGATCGGTCAATGTGACACTGCAGAGTCTGGATGCACACACGCCCAAGCCGTTCTCGGATCCGAGGGTGTTAGAAGCACAGTGGAGGGAGCTGGAGGGGTTGTTCACGCCCACGACGGTCAAAACGCTGCAGGGACGCCATGTGTTGGTGGTGTGCTACCATGGGGACACGGCGCGCGTGGCTACGAGTGTGCTGAGGGCCAAGGGGATTGCAGCAGACAGTCTGCGTGGGGGATATCAAGCTCTGCAGGATCATGGCATCTGGGGGGACACAGAAACGCCATCTTGTCAGGTGGAGAGGCAATATCCTATAGTAGCGACGAAGTAAATAGTTAAGACAGAATGACAGAATGACCGGAATAATGAGAAAGCATACACGAAGGGATTCCGCCCCCGTGTGGAATGAAACCCTAAAGAATGCACTCAAATGTGCTCACAATCTGCTCAATTGCGAGCATCCGCTTGGGATGATCTAGGGATGATCAATGTTAGATTTTAGATTTATGTAGAGATCTCTAGAGTCCAGAGATATTCAGAGATTTCCCTCTCTTCAGGTAAATCAAGATGATGCACAAAGAGACCTCTGGTCTTCCCTGGCTGGACCAACCGGTGCTGCTGCATTCCTCGCGAGCAGACACTTGCAAATTGACTCCAGAGCAATGTGCTTATCGACGAGGACACTGGCGTTATTGGTATCTTCTTATCCCTTTTATTCTTTCTAGATATTCTGCTAATCTATCCCAGGTATGAAGCAGACCACGTCTACGCCCTCAATACCGTCTACTTCCTCATCGCCTTCATCGCCTTCTTCACTCTGCGCCATCTCCTGTCCTATCCTCCCCTCCAGCGACATAAAAGGAATAATCCCATCCAACGAGCCATATCCACCGTCCGATCCATCTCCTACCGCTCCCTTCAACCGGGCACCCCCTCGCTGGGCGTCCTCCTCGTTCTCGGCGTCGGATTCCTCTTCTTCCTGCTTCTCACCCTGGTCCCCCAGCCCTACTACTGGCCTCGCAATGCCTCCTACGGCAACAGTCCGCCCATCGCCACGCGCACCGGATGGATGGCTTTGGCCCTGCTCCCTTTCGTGCTGGCTCTCAGCACCAAAGCCAATCTGGTCTCTGCCCTGACCGGCATCTCGCACGACCGTCTGCAGGTCTTCCACCACTGGACCAGCTACGCCATGTTCGTCCTGGCTCTCGTGCACACCTTTCCTTTCATCATCTTCCACATCCGAAAGGGCGATATGGTCCATCAGTGGCGGTCCAGCGTCACTTACTGGACGGGTGTCGTGGCCTTGATCTTTCAGACGTATCTGACTGTGATGTCGTTGCCTGCGTTCCGTCGTCGATACTACGAGTTCTTCAAGGCGACTCATCTCCTCGCCGCGTTGGTCTTCGTCCTTTTTTTCTTTCTGCATTGTGACTTCCGGCTGTCCTCGTGGGATTATTTCATCGCGACGGGCGCGTTGTATCTCTTCTCTCTTGCTGTTGCGGGCATCAGAACCACCTTGATCCACGGGCGTCATCGCGCTCAAATCGACCGTCTTCCCTGTGGACTACTACGTATTACTATCCCCACGGTGGTGGTCTCCTGGACGCCAGGTCAACATATCTTTCTACGGTTCTGTACGCCTCAACTCGGTCTGCACTGTCTCACTGCCCATCCGTTTACTATCTCCTCGTTAACACATGACCCCGTCGTCACGGGCACCCCCGCTCAGATGATCTTCTACTTGAAGCCGCAAACAGGAATCACAGCTCGATTAGACCGGTTGGCTCAACAGTCCCCTGGATTTCATACCACCGTGCTTCTCGAGGGTCCGTACGGCGGGATCCCAGACACAACCGGGTCATCGTTCGATACGGTACTAGTCATCGCGGGCGGATCAGGAGGGGGATTCGCTCTGAGTGTTGTGTCGGATATCTGTCGGCGAAATGCCCCGGAAAATATAAATATACAGATCGTTTATACGAGTCGATCGACAGATATGGCCCGTTGGTTTCGGGATGAGATTGCAGAAATTGATGGGCAGAGTGTCGGTCAGGTTCGGATTCATGATACTTCTCTTTTTTCCACTTCTTCCATTTCTGTGTCTGGTATGCATGGGGATAATGTTGTTGAACTCGAGAAGAATCTGCGCGAGAATCAGAACCAGATTCAGTCCGAGGTAAAGGCAGAGGCAGAGGCAGAGGCAGAGTCAATCCAGCGCGGTCGACCGGATCTCCACGCCGTTGTCACACAGACTGCAACTACGGCCACGGCACGATTGGCTGTGTATGCCTGTGGTCCGGCCTCGATGCTGCATGATGTGCGAAATGCGGCGGCGGCGGCGCAGGGAAAGGCTGAGTTGTATTTGCATACGGAGGCATTTTCATGGTGATCTATCTATCTACTATCTATCTCTCTAAGGATCATAATAATCATTACCTCGAGGTATCTATCATCTATACGTAGACGTAGTGTACACTGACAGAATCAATAGAACATACAAGATACAGCTGATTCTAGATTGTTCATAACTCTACTCAAAAAATATACACGCCTGACGCCAATATCCGTCTTACTGACTCGCCTCGATATCATCCAATCTCACGTTAACCGCGCCCGCTTGCACCAACTGTCCTATGTTAGAAAAATCATAAGAATCAGAGAAGAATCAGAGACATACCGCTCGTCGTAGATCATCAATCAAATCATCCACATCTTCAATCCCCACACACAACCGGATCAGATCCTCCGGCATTGCTCGCTCCGCCCGCGTCTTCGCATCAATACTGGCGTGACTCATCCGACACGGCATACTGATCAGACTGTTCACGCACCCGAAACTCACGCTGATCGCCCACAATTTAGCACTCTCGACAATACGCTCGCTCACCCCCACATCGCCCGTCTCGAACGACAGCACCGCCCCGGACCCCCGCGCCATCGAGTGGTGCAGCGCATACTGCGGATGCGACCGCAGCCCTGGATACCGCACCTTGAACCCGTGCGACTCGAGGAACTCGGCGATGCGCTGCGCATTGGTCTGCTGCTGGTCCAGCCGCACCTTGAGCGTCTTGACCCCGCGCATCAGCAGCCACGAATCGAACGGCGACAACCCACATCCGGACGCGTTGATCGGGAAGTATAGTCGCTCGCCTAGTTCTAGGTCATTGACTGCAATCACCCCCGCCATGAGATCGTGATGACCAGACAGATACTTGGTGCCGCTCTCGTACACGATATCCGCCCCCAACTCCAGCGGATTCAGCAGCAGTGGCGACAGCATCGTGTTGTCCACCGCCACCAGACAGTTCGCGTTCGCCTCGTGTGCCGCCGTCGCGATCTGCGGGATATCCACCACCTTAATCAGCGGGTTAGTCGGTGTCTCCAGCAGTACCATACTGGTCTTGTCGCTCAACACTTCCCGCACCGCTTCCGGCCGCGTCGTGTCCACGTGGTGCACTACAATGCCGCCGTGCGTCGACAGGTATTTCAGCAGTCGGTTTGTGCCACCGTACAGATCGTCCCCGGTCACCACCTCGTCTCCGGGGCGTAGTAAACGCGTTATGACATCCAACGCGGCCATGCCAGATGAGACCACCAGGGCCCGCTGCGCTGACATGATCTTGGCCAGGTGTCGCTCCAGATGCGTTCGTGTGGGGTTACCAGAGCGAGTGTAATCGTATTCTCCGCCGCCACCGCCCGAGGTTTGTTTAAATGTGGCACTCTGATAAACTATCAGTATTTGCGTCTAACCCCAATACACTCTGGATCGTACCTGGTAGATGGGAATGCTGCTGGCATTGTATTGGTCATTGCCCTCGGTGTAGACCAGCTCAGTAGCAATGGCATAGCGTCGACCCGTATGCGGGCTCGAAGGAGCGGGTGATGGAGGCAGATTGTGGCCCTCCAGGTCGACAGAAGGATAGGCCTTCTTCATGGCGGCGCTGGCGGAGGCCGACATCGCTGCGGGAAACGGTAAGGGGTGAGTCACCGCAAGAGATTCGACGGGGACTACGCCAGGGGAGAACAATGGCACGACTACGAAAAGTAATGCAATGCAAAGAAGATGATGTAAAGACACGGATGAAGGGGATAGGATATGAATCATGGGATGAAAGGAGTGGACGCCGAATGAATCCTTGTGAACATTCCCCGGAATCCAGTCAGGTGATTCTCAGTCGCTGATTGGCCAGGGTCCCTATGGACGATGTCGTCATCCACTAGTGTTTTTTTGGGAAGTTAAATGCCTAAGGCCTCAATTGGAACTTGAGAATAAAGAATTCTCTACTTTACAGAGTACAAGAACTACCATCATTCATATCCATCTATGTACAATCATATATATGCACAACGCCGTCCAATGTCAATCATCATACCACCCTATCCACGGCAACAGCTCAAAACCTAATTGCAACCCAAACGCCGATCATGTTGTACAGCCCAGGTCATCGCATGCCTACGCTATCAAGTCGCCATCTCGCCAAAGCTGCCGTTGATGCCGAAGAATTGGAACCTAAACCACGTTAGCCTCTGACTTAACCGCCATCCAGAATCAACTTACCAATCTTCCACGTTCAACGTCGTTGGCGCCGTCGGTCCACTGCGAGAACTGCTGCTCCAATTGTCATCCTGGCTCGTTGCATCCATCGGTGCGCCGCCCAACGGCGCCTCTAACCCATGCATCGGCCACTGCTGACCGTCCAGCCCGAACATCGGTTGTGCCGGTTGTGCCGGTTGTCCTTGCATCGTCATGCCCGGTGCGGCCATGTTCGAGAGCAGTTCGGGACTGCTCTGCGACATGGACATGCTGCGCGACGCCATGTGCTGTTGCGGCATCATCGGCCGTTGCTCCAGCCCTTGCGGCGGAAGCTGCGACTGCATCTGTAGCTGTGGATCGACCGCATTGGGGCCCTGCGGCGACGCCAATTCTGGGAAGATGGCGGTACCATCCGGGAACAGCTGGTCCGGCTGGAAGTTCTCCCACAGGGAGGGAGACAGGTTAGGCGACGTTCGCGTGACGAGGAACAGGTCCGGTGGCGTCGCAGGCAGCGAGAACTGGCCATTGAACGGCGTGGTCGGCCGCGTGTTGCTGCGAGAATTGCCTTCCCGCACCGCCGTCGGGGAGCCCTGGGGCACGCTCAAACCCGGTGGTCCCATCTCCCGCGACGGGGTGACCGCCGGGGTTTGGGGACGAGATCGCTCGTACGATACCGGCGGCGTGGGTCCTCCGTTGGGTAGTCCCAGGTCCATGTCATCGAATTTACGCTTGGGTGGATCGTGCCTCCTTGAGGATTGCGATTGGGACCCGTCAGGTTTTACTTTCTGATGTCTCTTCCCGGCTGCCTTCTGGAGGCGTTCCTCCAGGGCTTTGTTCCCGAGAATGGATTCAAACAGTGTATTCACCATCTTGGCTACGAGCCACACCTTCGAGACGTCCTTCAGCGCCTGCATGCAGATGTTGATCCTCTCCTGACAGTTTGCCACAACCGAGGGCACCGACGATCGCATTTGGTAGACGTGCATAATCAGGGCGGAGAACAAACTGTAGACACTGTTCAGTGTTAGCAGGTCCAAAGAAAGACGCGGGAAAAGGGGGGGGGAACTGTACATAAATGCTGGAGCGTATCGAATTTCTCGGTGGGTCTGCAGATTCTGGACAATCGAGGTGATCATTCCGGCCGCTTGGAAAGCAATAGTCCGCGACGGGTATGCCATCTCCTCCACGCGATAGCTGCCAGGCGCGGACGACGCCGGGGGCATGTGTGCTCGATGTAATAGACAAAGTGTGGTGCTGTCGTCACGTCAGCAACGGGCTCATCCCCAGATTCTGCATCACTTACTAATAATTTGCGTGAAGGAGGGCAGCCAAGAAGTGATGTCGTTGCCGGTGCCAGCAGACTTCCTTGGGACAGTTCTGCAGCCAATCGGCCAGGGCCATGTCGGAATGGGTTAAATCCATGGCGTTCATGCGTCTGGATTTCGAGGCGACCGAGTACTGCTGCGAGAGGACGAGCCCCATAATCTCGCACAGCTTCACATACTGGAGGAAGAACTGCACATGGACAGGGTCGGGCGGATACTCGGCAGCAATATCAATCTCGTCTTCAATGAAGTCCTCCTCGGTCAGCATCCCCACGTCCGAGTCATCCGTGTTGATCCCAATAGGGCGTCCCAGCGCCACTGCCACGGAGCGATCTCGGGTAAAAAGCGTCCACCAGATTCGCTTCCATAGTCTCTTGTCCGGCTTGCTAAGTTGCGATGATTCCACACTATGGCCCTGTTAGTTGTGCCGCCCTCTCACTCGCTACGTTTCACAGACAACGGGAGGCTCATCATACCTTCGGTGCATTCCCGAGCCCTGTGCAACAACGATCGCCACCCGAGTCCAGTAGAAGACATTCTTGGTAACATCTATTGAACGTTAGCGGTGTTCTGCCACTGAAATAGTACACATCGTAGCAGGTGATAAATATTACCTTCGGGACCCTCCCAGTACCAACCCAGGAGAACGAGGGCTTGAACGATGGTGACACGGTCGTCCTCGTAATTCGCGTCGTATAGCGCCTTGGCCCGTTTGTAGAACGTCATGGCCGCCGGAGTGGTCGAGCCATTGGCATCCATCAGTTGCGGGTTCGTACAGACTCGGGAGCCGGCCAGAAGTATCGCCTGAAGAAGCAGCAAGGAAGGCGGGTTCTTAGGGTCGCGATAATGCCGCATGAAGCGACTGCGATTGACGATGGGGACTACCGGCGCCACCCATTTGAAATAGTCCTCCACGAGCTCATCACACAGCGGTTTGGGAGGTAGCAGGAACGCACCACGCTGGTGAAGAATATCCAATTCGAGGTTGTCCAGATCCGCAACTCTTGCCCGCGACCCACGCATATTGGGCGGGAGAGGGTAATGCACCACATCTGTCGTCCCATGGCGATCCTGCACCAAGAGTGACAAATTCGACGACTCGCCGAGATAGGCGACCCGACCCGCCTCCTTGATGGGGGCACGTGCGAATTTGGGCTTCATGAACTGGGCGTAGGCAGAGTTGAGGTGTGCCTCCTGAGCGGCCTCCACCTCTGAGAGGGCTGTAGCCGGTATCCCGTCGACGGCCATTTGATTGTTTCGGTAGCCAAAAGCATCCTTACCATCTCGGACGGGAGTTTCCTGCCTGAGCTCCGGGTTCTCGGTCGGCGTTTCGTTTTCGTTTTCGTTGGTCCTATGAGACATCCGGCATCAGCAATGACCGACAGGTGGCACCACATGCTTTCAGTCAGCAGGACATACACGCTAGCCTCCTTGGTTTTTGTCTGGTTCTTTTTACGTTTCGGCGTAGGGATCTTGCACTCGATCGAAAAGGCTACACAGTTGGTGCAAGGCACGCCCAAGCTGGCAGCATCGCAGCGCACCTAAGTGGATGAAGCGGGTTAGTTCTCCTGCGACCGGGAGGCAAAACGGCGGAGAGAAAAAGCAAAAAAGAGAAACACCACATACTTTTCGAGCATGGCACGTCTTCACAAGTGAAAAAAAGATAAGAGTTAGCAACAATCCTTGTTCAGCATGTTATCATGGTTGCATGATTTGATGGGGGCAACAGCATTGCACGAGAAGCTGAGCCGAGGTGCCGAGGCACCAAGGTCGCGTCCACCTCATAGGAGCAATACGTACCTCACAAGCACGCGACGCACGTTGTCTAGAAGCAAGATTAGATAAAATCGATTAGCATCTATAAGTTGGCACCTAAATCTCAATTTGGGCTGAAGTTTTTGATTCCGGCTTTCCTCCCACATAACATATTCTTCCTTTTGTTTCGGTGGTCTAGTGTCCACCATCTCAACCCAACCCCACGACTAGAATAAAGGGAATAAAAACCGACAACAAAACGCGCAATTATCACACACCTTCGAAAACTCATCTGTCCGGTTGAGCCAGCGCGCACGGTAAGTCCTGAGGTTCCCGTCGAGCCCGCGGTACTCGGGGCTGGGCTGGGTCTGGAGGTCCTAGAATCGGTCTGATTTTCTCCTGCTGTACTCATGGCCAAAAGGTATCCATTCAGAGAAAGGCAGCCAAAAAGACGTCCGGGGCGACGAGGATGAGACGCGAAGAAATCGGGAGATTTTGTCGTAGGTGGAGGAGAAGATAGAGTGAAGGTAAGAGAAAAAAAAAAGCGAGAGAATAAGAGAGAAAAAGTCGAAGGGAAAAAAAGATTTAAAAAAAAATGAAGGAACTATTAAAACCCAGCCACAGAGCAAGTCGCAAAGTGCTTTTTGTTTCGTGTGTTAAGGGAGAAACCCCCGAATTCTTACCCTGAATACAGTTACGGGGGAAAGTTGAGATGAGTTGTGGACTCGACCGATGCGACCGCAACGTGAGGGAAGGATGGATCAATGGATTGATGAGATGGAGAGGGGGGGGATATGCCGGGGGTGCGGTCAAGTCGAGAGGCGCACCAGGAACCGGAAAGAATCCCAGAGGAGCTTGGTTTAGGATTAGAATTTGGGAGTTGTCGTAGTGGAATGGAATGTCGCGACAAAAAACAAAAAATATTTTGAATGGAATAGTCGTAATGAACAGTGTGACAGGTGAGGATGAGGTGGAAGGAGGAGGCGGACAAGGAGTGGCAATAGAGAATAGGATCATCTGTGGGGAAGCTGCTTAGTATTTGCTCCGTCGCCGGTGGCTTCATTCCATCACTGCCTCGTGCAAGAGATTACTATAGTTATAATATTCCTATATCTATATACGTGGGATGCGTCCTTGCCGAGCACTCCGTATACCACGTATTCGTACCAAAATGCTCCGTCCAGACTGATCCAAAGGGGAATCTCTCGATTCTCTCAGCCTACTCCAAAACTAACCAGGTTCTTGACTTCATTCATGTTATATCCAACCCACTTTTTCTCTCTCTTCTGGTCAGACCCTCAGACCCTTCCTTTAAATCCTTGGATACCTTCTCCACCAGGGGATCCGTATCCACATGACCAATTCGTAGCGCTACTTGGTTCCCATTCTTAGAACCTCTCGGTACCTGTTATCTTCTTCACTTAGTACGTATTCCGTACTAGAGTTACTCCAGAGAAGTTGAGCTCAATCCATGAAACTCTAGTCCGTCCGATTTTTCGGCCTTGTCCGTGAAAGAGAGGTGGGTGACCTTAGGTCCCAATGGTCCCATGACTAGTGTAGTTTCCGTACCAATCCAATGTCCGTTCACGGCGAAAGACTCAGACTCCGAGACTAGGAGGACTAGGTAGATAATTAGGAGGCAAGAGGACCGAGTCATCCTCTAGGTAACTCTCCGTATAGGTAACTAACGGTCGGGCTTCTCCTGGTTTCCGTCTTCCCGATCCCTTCCTAACCCCGGATTCGTCATTTCCTTCCCTACCCTCCCGAAGTCGTGCGATAAGATGATTTGAGATTTCCCACAACTAAAACCCGGGGCATATTTCATCTTACTGGTCAAATCTGGGGAGATTCCTTCGCCACCCCCCTGACTACTCTGGAGCTACGCGGGAAGATACGGGAGACCTTTTAATTTTCTTTCTTTCTTTCTTTCTTTCTTTTTTTTTTTTTAAAAAAAAAATACTATTTTATCCCCTCGATATCTGATGAGTGGAAAGTAATTCCAGTAAGGGGAAACCATCCAATCCAGAGGATGACCTACCTATCTGATAGTAGAGAGTTACCTGGTAGATGTACTCCGAAAGCCCTCGCAATCCATTCCCCTCTGGGTTCCGGAAGTTTCCCCGCACAAAACAACCAAGCAAGTAAAGAATAAAAGTAAAATAAAAACAGTGTCACACACTCCATGAGTACGTCCCTGAAAAGGATCCAGATGGTTGGCTCCCCGCAATTCTCCCAAGCTACCTGCCTATCTGATTCTGATTCTGATTCTGACACGGCGGGCGCATCTGGGTCGTATTGTGGTCTAGGCGTGTGCTTATGCCCCTCTACTAACGTCATGCTCTATTTTCTCCGTAGCTCGTGATGCCTCGGTTCAATATGTTACAGAGTACCTAGCAGAGGCAGCGACATAAGAGGCCTAGGGAAAAGCAAAAATTAGATTGAAATTAATTAACAAATAAAAAACACAAATATATATAAAAAAAGAAACATCCCTACTGGAACGCCTGGTTGGGGACACGTTCCAGCCTGATTTACATTAAGGGTATGCAATCGGAAACCAGTCAGTCAGTGATCAGCCCTCCAGTGCACTGTAGGAACGAGTCATGATAATTCGAGTAGATGGGCAGACACACCTGCAAGCCGGCTTGACACACGCGGATCAAAAGCGGCTCTCTATCAAATGCCGTGCCTTTGATACAGTCCGCCAAAGCTACTCCGTACACGATCGACTCATTCAGCGCAAATAGGAGAGTTTAATATTACCCAATGCAACTAGTGGTCTATATCACACGTATAAAACATTTACAATTCATCACGGGTGGCCCACGCCTATCGAGTCTTTGCCCCATTCACCCCATCACACTTCCCCAGAGAAGCGCTGTCGATAGGACCGTTGACAGCATCCGTGACAGCGGCTCTGACGGCGGTGGCGGTGGGCCCAACGTCAACGCCGCTAATGAATACCTCACTCAGAAATTCCAGCCCGGCTACAAACGTGCACAGGAAACTGGCAATGCAGAAGTGGCTGATTGTCGTGCCGATGTCGAGCCACGAGCCCTCATCCCGGACCATGTAGAAGAAGTTGAGCGTCATGACGTCCGAGATGGACATGACCACCATGAAGAGAGCGCTGGGCGCAACCTCCAGCCGACGGTTCAAAAGCCCTAGATTGGCGCTGATGATGGCGAATGGGATTAGGAGCTTTAAGATTAGCAGTGCCCCCTGACTAAAGGGATTGAACACCGGAACGAGCCGGTACACGCTGTCCAGCGAAAATGAGGAGACCGACGCTATGTTTCCGGTACTGAAAAATGCCGATTGGAGGAGAAAGAAGAAAAACAGCGCCACGCGCGCATCAGAAATGCCAAGCGCACGGTACCTGTATGTCTGACCTTGGACAATCGTGGTCGATTCCGTACTCGCTCTCTTGGGGGTGGCAGACCCTTTGCCTTCCTCCTTGGCATGAGTATGGACGTAGATAGCATGTTCTAGCCGAACCCATGTGATCACGGTCATGCAAAACACAAAATAGAAGAGACCCTCATACGAAATGGTAAGGATAATGAAAGTCGGGGAGAAGGTGAGAAAGATAACCATCAGTCGGTGCAAGTAGTGGCTGCGGGGATATAGTCGGTGCAGGAATGGCAGCAGAAGTGAGGCAACTAGATGGCAACGGATGTTAGCACCAGGCCAGCAGAATTACTAAAATTTCCCTGCACTTACCCAAGACAAACCATCCAACCACTTGGTTACCCAGTGGAAGACCTTGCTTAGCCTGAATAGAGGCTGCACTAGACCTGGTGACTATGAGGGCAAGGAGAATCATGCCAACCTATCGGATATCAGCAAATGATGTCCCTAGTAACTAAATTCGGTAGTCCCCGCAATATAACTGTGGAATATACAGTCGTGAGCAAGGGGCTTCTCGTACCTGCATTCCCATGACAGTTCGCGAACCACAGCTGGCTGGAGACTGCGTTGAAGTTTTGCTTCGCCGTAAGATCTCGTTTTCGAACAACAAATACAGTAGGCCAGTGAAGAACATCAATAATGCCCCATAAGTTCTGTAGGACCAGGGTTAGAAATGCAGGGCGCAATGCCGTATCCGAGAGGTCATACGTACATCTTGTTCATGTCCTCAACTTTGTTGGCAGGCAGCAATGTAAAAATACTCATCAAGCTGCAGCCAATTGCCCAGGGTGCAGAAAGCAATCTGTGCGCCTTCACAAATCTGATGCCATAGATTAGAGGCCAAAATGCTCCCAATAGAAAGCAGACGGTATAAATTTCCCGGTAAAAGTAGGATTGCACCTATTGCAATCTCGGTCAGCCAACCCTCAGGTATGTATGCAAAACAATAGCCCAACACGTACCAGCGCCTCCAGCACGCCAACGAAGGCCAGCGATTGTAAAATTAATACGAAAACCCCGCTGGAGGACCGAACATGGCCCAACAGACTCCGGCGACCAGCGGTCAACGCTTTTCTACGAGCAAAAACCTCTTCCCAGAAGTAGATGGGGAAGAAGGCGTAAAAGTAGTACCGCCAGGAAGATCCCTGGTATAGTAGGACCGAAAAGAGTGCAACAAGAGTGGACGAAAAAAAAATAGTGCTCGATAGGGTCCGATTGGAGTCCGTGGCACCATGCAATACATGCAAATCAATGACTGTTGTAAGGGCATATGCGATCCAGCCCAAGTAGCCAAAAGTAATAATGGTTCTTAGGAAGAGCCAGTCATATGTTTGTAGATAGCGCAGGCCCTCCAAAGCGGTGACAAACAGTGTCGAAGACATCTTAATTGACTCATCGTATGAGCCTTTTGCATTCAGCACTTTGATCTGGTTGAGATGCTCCTCGATGGAGGCTTCGCCCTGGTCCGCAAGAGGCGCAAAGGGTACATAGCGCAACACTGCGGCCCTCTTCTGCTCCTCTTTAACGCGATACATTTCCAGAACTTCCTGTGTATTTGCAAGGGCGGCGAGCGCTTTTTCCTTTGGACTGGCATTGATGTATTGTAGGGGAAGCTGACCAACCGAATTGGTAGGGAAGTCAAGCCCGACCAAGTAGGCCATAAGAGCTGCTACATCAGCTTGCGCAACATCATTACGCTTGATCGTATCCAGGCCCCAATCGGATGAAACTCCGTCCTCGTGCCCTGACGGGAAACCATTCTGGGTATACCTCGGACTAGCTACGCCCGAACCCCAGACGACAAGGGGCGTCCTGGTATTATCCGGATGACCGTCACCGTGGCTACCCCAGTCGCTCATGCCGTGATCAGCAGTGAAGACGAAGGCAGTTTTATCGTCCGCATAAAACTCCTCCACAAGTTTGGTGATCTCCTGGACCCCCTTGTCCACGATTTTGATATTATGCAGATATTCCTTCGAATAGGGACGGTAGGAGTGGCCGGTGGTGTCGAGACCGAGAAGATGCAAGAAGAACACCAGTTTATCATCCCGCAGCTTCGCGTCCAACTCCGGATCCGTCTTTGCTGATTCAAACAGGTCTTTGACATTTTCAAAAACCCAGGTGTCAAGTTTGGTTGCATCCATTGTAAAGTCTTCCGCCTCTTCTGTGTACATGTGCGCATCAATCCTGCCTGGAACTCCTCCCTCCTTGAACATGGGCAAAATATCGGGGCTTCCCCAGCTCCATGTGTGTCTGCTCCTGTTGAACACACTATCAAAGTTCACGGGGTTCAATTTCCAACCGGTTGTCACGGACGAAACATCTTCGTATAAGCCGGCGATAAGCGCAACATGCCCGGGTCTCGACTCGGTAGGCACTCGTGTATGCGAAATTCCGAATGTTCCATGGGAAAGCACGCGGGATCGAATAAATGGTGCAAGATGAATCGGTTCGCTGTTCGCTGCACCAGCGGGTTCGTCGGGATCAGGCAATGGTTGGAAGGCCTTATCAGCGCGTAGGCCATCGGCAACAAACAGGAAAAGGCGTCTGGCCGGGGCATCGATCTCGGGATCTCGTTCAACCGCAAATGACCTCATGCCACTTACGATAGGACTGACAAAGTAAATGTCAAAGATCGAATAGGCATATATGAGGTGGAAAACCACCGCCAGGGTAAGAAACCCAACGCGGCCCAGACGCGCCATGATTTCCCTGGAGAAAATCCAGTCCCCGGTGGAGAGGATGCGGAAGGAAATAAATAAATTTTGGATGGCAAAATATAGGTAAATAAAAGAAAACCAGGTCCAATTAAATAATTAACCAACCAATTAATTAGTACAGAAGAGGAGGAAGAGGAATAAAAAAGAGCTGACAGGCCGAATCGCAAGATGCCACTTTTGCGTGTGCCTGGGGTGGTTACGGACAGCGACAAGACCCAACAGCGCAGGACCAGGCAAGATGAAGCAGACGATCAATCAATCAACATAGTCCAGATTACCACCTCCCACTATGGTTATTCAAGAAGCACCGTTCGCCTTATCCAGAAAATTATGCAGATCATGAAACTCCCCATGAGCGTCAAACACTTCGCCCTGACTCCAATCAATGCAAATGGGGAGTATTGGTAAATCAAAACAACCAAGTCCAGATTTGGAAAAACAGACGCAAAACAATGAAACTTTTCTTTTAAAATCCTGTTTCCCAAATGCGAAAGACATGTCCGACGGGGGTTTCAACGAGATGAACTGGATCGTCGTTTGGTGAGCGCGTCAATGACTCGAGTATAGAATTTCGACGCTTGCTGGCGAACAAAAGTTATATCCACCGTAAGATATTCAGGAAGGACATCCACCAACTCGCGATCTCGATTCTCATCCAAAAGTGGAATATACTGAAACTCGGCAGTCTCGAAGTTGGTAGATGATGATTCCAGAGGGACAGCTAACTTGAAATGAAGGGCTGGGATCAAGTTAGTCAAAGGGTCAGCAGGTTAGTTACCAGGAGTCGGGGAGGAGCCAAGATCACTCACTTCCGTTAATACCAGTCTGGATACAGTCATACAAATGGTCGTTCTCTCTTTTCTTCACGTCCCGAATGATGAGCCCAGTAAGATCACTGTATAGATCCTCCTTCAGTTGCGCAAACTGAGCCGCATGGGCCGCTTCAGCGTTCGCTGCAGCGTTGGCACGGTTGGCAGCACCACCGCCTTTGATTGCGCTGCCAGGCATTTTGATTGCGGCGTTTTCCAGGCTAGCAGCGGTATTTCGGGCAGCAGCAAGTTTGGTCTTAAGAGCTTTCACTTCGTTTTGGGTGGCTGAAACCTGAGAAGATGCTTCCTCAGCCTGCGATTTCAGTCGCGAGATTTCATCATCGCGCTCCCTCAGCTGTCTCTGAAGTGCCCGGCTTTGCTGGCCAAGTGCTTTTTGCGCCGCCAACTCTTCTTTCAAAGACGCAATGACATTGTCCGAAGCTAAAACAGTCAGCAGGTGCGAGAGCAAACGTCCGAGGATATACGGACCGGTCTTCATTGATTCACACTGTTTCCGTAACTTTTCCATATTGGCATTTGCTTCCACAATCCCAATCTCCTTGAGGATACGATATCGGTTCTCCAAAGCATCGTTTTGCTTTGTTAAGTCGCCGATTCTGCGTCTCAATTCCGGTTCTCCACCACCTTTCTTGTCTTCTCCGGAACCTCCACTTCTGCGCTTCAATGGGGAACTCGGCAAGTTTCGTTGACTTGATTGTCGGCGCTTTGCTGGTGATGCGGATCCAGAACGGGACTGCTCTGGTCCATCCTGCAGCATTGTCTCCACCACCACATCTGGCACATCCTTTTCACCTTCGGGCACCTCATTACCCTTGTCAGCTTCTGGTTGGGCTCTTCGTTGTTGTCTCTTCAGTTGCTCCGGCTGCTCTATCTGCTCCTTCAGTTTCTCGGGGGATTTGATCTGTCGCACCGCCGTGGGAGTGTATTCGAATTCACCATCAGTCTGTACTTTTTTCTCCATGCTGACTTTCTTCCGACCACGTGTGCCTGCGGTTTCTGCAGGCTTCGCTGCTTTTTTGGCCTTCGAGGCTTGCTTCGGAGTGTCTCGCTCATTATGGGAAACTGGCGCATTTTCTGCCAGCTGCGAAGCAGTATCCCCCTCCTCCACTTCGTCACGTTCCTGTTCCTTTGTCTCCTGAGTCTCCGCTGCGTGCACCGAGCTGCTAACCCCCTTTGGCCGTCCCCTCCTTGCGTTGCGTTTCGTGGTCGGCTCTACGGCCTGCGGAGGTGCCAGTGAGTCTTTTTTCGCCTTCACTAGGGTTTTATTTTCCGTGGCTTTTGAACGAGGCCTTCCTCTGGGTTTCTTCGCTGGGCGTAGTTCCTGAGCTTCGTTAACCTGCATCACGTCCTCATCGTCTGAGCCGGCTAAGCCAGACAGTCGCGCAGCCGCCTTGCGCTTTGGTGGCATATTGATGATATTTTATATTTCCTTATATAGAGAGAGATATATAGAAAGAGAGATGTACTAGGATGTATGCCGCCCGTGCAATCAAGGCACGTTGCCAGCAGCAGAACGGACCGGCGCGTCGACTCTCCGCAAACAATGTCAGGCGGTGAACATGTGACCGAGGCAAAAGCCACCGAATGGAGTCAAGCGCCACATCTCAACGTCCCCAGACAATCTCTCCGTGTCTCTCCAATTTCACACCCCCTGCTGGCCTCGGGACATTTCTGCTGCCATCGAGTTGCTGGTTTTGCTCTTCGGACTTTTGTATTTTTGTGTTTTCCTCGATCCGTATTTTCTGGTTTGCCGTCTCTCTACTAAGCTTCTTCATGGCTTCGGCACGCGGTCCACGATGGCAGCAATTCTTGCAAGAGTTGGTGATGGTTGCCGGCACAGTGAGTCTTCGGTAATCTCGCAAAAGCTGACAGGACTAACGATGCCACATTAGTCGGCCTCTGCATATTTCCTCATCCGCTATCTCCTTTCCCGCCTTGATTTCGATCCCGAGAGCCAGAAGAAAGAGGAGCAAAAACGCAAGTCCGCCGCTATTCTACGGAAACTGGACGGGGGAGATGAATCGGATGAAGATTCCCCACGAGGAGAAGGTAATCGAGGGCGCCGGCCAAAGCGCGGAGACCTCGTTCTCAACCAGTACGAGCAAGCGATTGCGATGGATGTCGTTGCTCCAGATGACATTCCCGTTTCTTTTGAGGATATCGGCGGCCTGAGTGAGATCATCGAAGAGTTGAAAGAATCCGTCATTTATCCCTTGACCATGCCTCACCTTTACACCTCCACATCTTCGCTCCTTACGGCTCCATCGGGAGTTCTATTATATGGCCCACCTGGGTGCGGGAAGACCATGCTGGCGAAGGCTCTCGCCCATGAGAGTGGGGCGTGCTTTATCAATCTGCATATCTCCACTTTGACCGAGAAATGGTACGGTGATTCGAATAAGCTTGTCAATGCGGTCTTCTCGCTGGCCAGGAAGCTGCAACCCTCCATCGTCTTTATTGACGAAATCGACGCTGTGCTAGGGACCAGGCGCAGTGGGGAGCATGAGGCGAGTGGGATGGTAAAAGCCGAGTTCATGACCCACTGGGACGGTCTCACATCTGCCAATTCCATGGGCGAACCCCAGCGTGTCGTCGTGCTGGGTGCAACCAACCGTATCCAGGATATCGACGAGGCAATTCTTAGACGGATGCCGAAGAAATTCCCCGTTGTTCTCCCTCCGGCCGCGCAGCGACTCCGAATTCTTAGTCTTATTCTTAAGGACACCAAGGTGGACCGCGAAAATTTTGACCTTCACTATCTCGTCAAAGCCATGGCGGGTATGTCCGGCAGTGACATCAAAGAAGCCTGCCGCGACGCAGCTATGGTCCCAGTCCGGGAGTTGATCCGACAGAAAAAGGCCGACGGTCTCCAAATGACATCAGTCGATCCCAGCGAAGTACGGGGCCTTCGCACGGAAGATTTCTTTACCCGTGCTGGAGGCGTTCGGGTTATCCCACTACCGGCTCAAATACAGGCGCGGTCCAGCAAAGCTAGTTCAGAGAAGGAGTGGACTTCAGAGTCAGAGGCTGCTTCCGACGGGGACACACGACCCGCGGTGATGGTGGAACCACCCGAGTGATCTGGTTGATTCTAATGAGTGTGAATTGTTGCTGATGTCCTCCTGATCATGTCACTTTTATACCGCACGTGGGGAACGGCGTTCGTCTTATTTTCCTTTGCTCTTTTTCCATATCTACTTCATCTGATCATTATAATAACAGACACCTACTGGGCAGGCTTTGGATGCGACATTTATCCGCCAGTTATTTGGAATTGCGGTTGCTTTCGAGTCTACAAGGAATGTTCTTGTCCATAGAGTACCCCTTTTTTTATGTATTATCATTAGATGGCTTTTCCAATGCATGATATTACTTTCCAAGGTATCCGAAATGATATAGGAAATGATACACAAGTCCAAATTTCTGCCACAACAAGCCTAAGCAAGTTGTGGCTGGTCACGCCGGGGAAAGCCTCATATGCTGCATAGCATTTCCGGCCACTGCGCGCAGATCGTCAAGACTCAAGTTGAACACTTCATTTTGATCTCTCCCGGGGGTATCAACCTCTCCGAATAATTCCCCGCGGGTGAGGTGAAGGCATGCATTTTGCCCGCCCTGGTTGGCAGGGAAGACAATCTATAAAGTTATCATTGGTATACATGGAAAGACAATAATGAATCAAGACGAATCAGCGATCTTCTTACCTCGCTCTGCCTCCTCGCTGGAATCCCCGTCAAGTCACGGCTATACACTTCGATGGACCCCTCTACTTTTGAATCTTCAACGAGGGTCCATTTCAAGAGCATCACGACTTTGACATATGGTTTTCCACCGAGTAACCACAGGTCTACATCGCTCTGCAGACGTGGATACGTCTCACTCCATCCCGTTTCCACCACGACGGAAGGAAGTCGCTGCTCCCCCGGTCGTATGAAGAGATCTGGCTCCTTGCACGACTTGTCGTATGGAGGCTTGAATGTTCGGATGGCTGGGAACAGGTCAAACGGGGGGATGTCTAACTAATTTCATTCCATGGGAAACAACTTACTGATTCCTACCAATATGCGCAATGCTTTGAGTTCCTCGAGTGTCAACTGCCCCGACGCCATCCAGTTGAAGTTCTCGTTTCGTAGCCAGAGTTGATGGCACGCGTGGATCTCTGTCGGCATCAGTCGCACCCACAGGATCTTGGTCACCGAGTTGTAGTGGAGTCTAGTGCAGGATCAGACCTGTTAATCGTTGTCTGATGTATGGAGTCATGGTCTATGCTAACCGGGAACATGCACTTTCCACATCCCCATGGACATCCAATGAATTGATGATGTGAGAGCCCCAGGATGGCTCAACGTCGGTGAACACCAGCTCCTTATGGTAAACTCTCTGGATCATCCCCGTGACGATCTGAGAGAGTAACTCCGTCTTAGTTCGAAAAGAGGTAGCGGAGGTAGTGATCTGCTCCGACCCTATACATAGTGGAAAAGGATGGCTGGACATAGTGGTGAAGACACCAAACGTATGTCCGATATGGTAGAAGAATACTGACAGGAGGCAGAAACGACATCTGGGAAACGAGTGTAGTCCTGACTGTAATATTCGCTGCGTCTAGGGAAGGACTGCCTGGAGGTGACGTTGTGTAGATTCTGTTCAAACGCCTACTACCTATCTAGGCAGTACCTTGTAGGTACTGTACTTAGTGTGCCAGTAGGATGGGCAGTCCCCTAAACGGAATTCCATAACCACGTTTCCAGTTAAAGATATCCCTCAAATCGGATACGGTGTTTTCTCCCGGGAGCGAAGTCTACTGAGATGGATATCGTGATGATCTGCCCGTTGCTTGGTCATGATGCAACCATGGGTTAGAGAGATTCGAGCACGCGGTAGAGTATATCGCCCCATCTCTTCCGATGCGAATAAGAGTCTCCATTTAAGAATCAGGTAGTATTCTAGGTAGTATGCTACTGTTCTAAGTAATAGTGAAAATGCTAGAAGCCGGATCTTCAACAGGGAATCCTCGCGGTGTGTTCCCGGATCTCGTGGCTGGTAAGCCTTGGATCTGCCCACGTCATCAATTCAGTGAAGTCTGCAAAACACTTCAATCCGGCTGGATCTCCCATGTCTATTGTTTCTGTCAACTTCAAGTAACAACTATGCGACGACCCAATCGTGACTAATGAGAAAATTTACCCCTCTTAGGGCGGCACTGGGCACTTTCCCAAACAAGCAGGAGGTTCTTAGAATAGTAGGTTACGTAGTACCTCGCCGGTACGGTAAGGCCAGGCTTGGCCACTGGCTAACGGGATAGTACTTGGCAAGTCTCAGCACTCGGCACCAAGGTCCGCCCCATTCTATAGGTTGTTGGAGAATAGCGAGACAGAAAGAGAGAGAGAGAAGAGAAAGAGAAAGAAAATAAAACATCTCCAATTAAATCACATTAATTGTAGAATTCAATCGAGATATTTCCCACCCCGATTGCCCTCTGACGTGCAACGAGCCCCTCTCTGCTGCACGACCGTTCGTCGTCATCACCATCATCAATCCATAACTAATTAATCCCCCGAACCTCAAGCTACTAACTAACTAATCCCGCGCCCCCAACCAGAATCAAATCCAATCCCACTTTCCCTCCCCAAAACTCTTTCCTCCATCTCCAATCCCCCGATTCGAACTCCAATCGACTGTTTTTCATCCCCTTGGATTTTCTCACCTCCTCCACTTCGCCGTGTTGAACCCCATCCAAAGCACACGGGTGTGATCAGGAGGCTGGATGCCGCCGCATGGTCTGGTCTATTGTAGAAGACCTCCGATGGCAGTCTGCCTAGGCCAGCTCACATCCTGAGTTGAATTTCGTCGGAGGAGTCGACGTCTCCCATCACCTCTCGACCCGACATTCTTTTTTCATCGTCGCCAGGGATGAGTTCCCAGAGCGGGCTTATCAACGCCTTAAGCCCAGGGACCACTACAAATAGCAGCCGCAGATCGACCTCGACCGTCCGATCACGCACTCGCCGACAAGCACTCTACACCGACGATGCCGATGATGATGAAAATGGGAGACAGATACAGTCTACAGGATTCTCGACGATGCTGTTCTCCGGCCCTTCTGCACCCGTGTCTCGCGGCACAACGCCGTCCCCCGCTCGCGCCGTTTCGCCAATTCCCCAGAGCCATCCTTCTCGTGCCACTCAATATCCCCGACGCAACGATCTGGACAGCTCGCGAGGTGCACGATACCCGACCGGGAAGGGCCAGAAAAATCTCGCGGAATCGTCCCGGGCGGCCGTGGATTTTCTGGACTCGTCATGGTCGTCGCTTCAAAGTCTAGCCTCATCGGTCCTGGGGAGCGACATCGCACGACCTGTTGCCAATGGATCTGCACGGGCACATACACGGAAATCATCACGGCCGGGTCCGTCCATGATGGCTTCGTCGCGGACGTCAGTGCCCAGTGCATGGGGTCCGTCGGCGCCGTCTATGCTGGAGATCGGGGCCGGGACCAAGGAAGAAAGACAGGCGTTGGTGCAGGCGAAAAAGCGGGAGGCTTTACTGCTGGCAGACACGAACCAGCCAGGAAGCCCCAATACCCGACACAAGCGGCGAGATTCCAATGACCAATCGGGCCACGCGGCCATTGACCCGGAGCAGGACGAGGGGGCACTCGCATACATTCACCAAGTCCAAGCCACGGACTCGATCACGGGGGTCACAATACGATACGGCTGCCAGCCAGCAGTCTTCAGGAAAGCGAACGGATTTTGGCCTAGCGACAGCATCCAGGGTCGGAAGACCGTTCTGCTCCCGGTCGATTCGTGCTCGGTCAAAGGCAGACCCATCTGCTCCCAACAACAAGTTAGTCTCTTGGACGACGAGGCTGCAAGGCGGAGGTCTTTAGAGGATCCAAATGGAAGCTCGATAGCCGCGACACCCGCACAGGAGTCTTCTCACCCGTCTGAGGGGGGGAGTCCAGATGCGACATTGGAGGCTGAAGCTGATCGAATCTGGAAACACGAATCCTGGGTGCAGATTGACGGCTTCCCAGCGCCTGTAGAGATCGGCCGTGTTCCCCGTCGGGCGCTGGGTTTTTTTCCTCGCACGCGGCGGAAATCCGTGTCGTGTACCGATTCCGAATCCGTGTCTGGATGGGAGAGAACTGCGTCGCCCTCTGCATCACCGTCACCAACAGAGCCCGAACCGTCACAACCTCCCCCATCCTTGGCGAATCGACCCCATGCCGATTCGTCCGGGTCCAGGGTCTCCTCCCATTCCAAGCCCCATGTTTGGCATCAACGTCAGCGTAGTAACCTCCACCTTTCAGGACCCGGTGTCGGGACCCTTGACCACGATGCAATGGCTCCCGGGCCGGCCCTGGATGGCCTCAGCAAATTCTTTGCCCAGCATCTTCCCAATCTAGCGCCAGCGCTTGCCCCACCGGACTTCCCACGTACGTCAGAATATACGCCAACTGCCACCTCACATACACCAACGAGTCTTGACAATATCGGCGGCGCCGTGGAAGGATGGGTGAGAAAGATGACCACGCGCGCGAAAGCAAGCTTCAATGAACTGCAGCAAGGAACGCACGGAAACGTGAGCAACGGATTCAGCCAGGACAGGCGAGGAACCGGCGATCTCATTGAGCTCAACGATGGGTTAGAAGCACGGAATTCCCCGGGACGCCGTGATGCGACACGGTTACGGCCCGAATTTAATCGATCTGGGTCGAGTCTCCACGCAGAGACATCTATCAGAGAACGGTTTCCCAGCCCATCGCCGGCGACGAGCAGGACTCGCTTTGGGGACCGTTACAAGGACGATTGACGGATATTGTACATCCATTCAGCCTTAGTATTTTTTTTTTTTTTTGTTTCCCTCGCATACCCTTCCGTCCCTCATCCTTGTGGCTAGTTTTGGCTATGAATCCGGGCAGCAGCATGACTCCCGTCCTTTGATGTGATACTTTCCTAAGCCTTGTTCGATATACGATATCTTGTACGTACGCTTGAAGCATAGCGTGGCGCGACAGAACAAATGCTGTTGATAGATGGTGAATGCCCTAATTGTTGGGTGGGATATTTGGATTCTCTTTCTTACTCCTATTTCTTGTATGTACCTAGTGTTTGACGGGAGGGCCGAAGATACGGATTCGGGTTAGAAGGCAGCGATAGATTAATGGTTGTTCATATCAGTGAGCCAGAAGTCTGCATTATTCTATAGATCTCGAATATGTAAATTTAACTATCTATTGATGTATAAATACGGCATTGGACATGAAAGTAGCAAACCAAATATAGAACTAAATACAGTATTTACTATTTTAATAAAACCATTCTATAAAATTAATCAAGCTCTTCTTACTCTTTCTTTCTTCCTCCGTCCTCTTCCCCAAGGTAAAAGTTACATCAAAGCCCATATAAGACATGGTGTACATGGATAGTACGCATTCCGCGATAGCCGCAGAGTTGACCACCTTGGAGGGACTGCAAGTATTAATTACTGGTTCCAACTAAGCCATGCATGCATGCCCAGGGCTCTACCTCCTCCATACATATAGGAAGCTATAGATGCATGCAGGCAACCAACCCACCACGTAGGATCTCATCTGGCTACTTATGTAGGTACCCCTCTTCTCAGGGTCAGGATCTAGATATCTACTCGCAATTTCACGGTACATTCCCAAGTTGCTTGGAAAAGATATCCCAGGTGCATTTTGATGCTGATATAAATGAAGTGAACAATGCCATCCATCCATCCCATACAAAAAAAAAAAAAAAAAAAAAGAATACTAAAATTCCATCTAAGCCTTCCTCCCGTTGATGGAAATCAGTTCCACCTCGCTAGTTAGTCCAATTAGCATATATCATCTCATCTCCACAGACTGCTCCACTAGATTTCAAGAAAATAGAAGGAAAGAGGAAACCTACAAAACAAGCGCAGCGTTAGGGGGGATCAGACCCGGGAATCCTCTATCTGGTAGTTAGCATTCAGATCCTCTTTATATTTTATTTTTCAGGTATCGCATACCGAGGACCATATGCATAATCCCTACCACTAGTTAACTTGATATTCTCACATGATATCAGAGAATATAGATGAAGTAACCCACCCACTGATAGTCAAGACGGCCTTCTCTCCCAGACTCATCTGAGGGACACCCTCATCCCATCCTGAAGTCGTTATTGTTAGTCCACATAAGGTAGCTAAGAAATAAAAAGAAAGACGCTCACCTTGAATGACACGTCCAGTACCAATTGCAACCTTCAACGGTCCCCGATCGGCAGAGCTATCGAACCTGATCAATTGGTGGTGAGATCTCTATTTTCTTCTTCTTTTTCTCTTTCAGAGATATATAACGTACTGCTTTCCCATGTAGTGCTCGGCAGACTTCGACTCGTCATACAGACATCCCCGGTACATGATTTCAACTTCATCTTCTTTCTTGGGGTAATCGGTCTTGTTACCCTCCTTGAGGGTTGTCTTGGTGACGCCCATGGTTACTATGTGCGAGAGATTGAAATGCAAGGAACGAGAGTGGATAGAGAGAGAAAGAGACAGAGATAAGCAGAAAAGAGGAGGGGCTAGAAATAAATAAATACCAAAGGGAAGTGGGGTTGTGTATTGGCTCGTATTGCCAGTACATGTGTATTGATGATATTTATGGAGGTCAATTTCGTCATCGCCACAATTGCGGAGAGTCTCCATCGACGCTATCTAGGCCCAGATCAGGGATCTACGTAGTATGTGTTCTATTCTCATCGCCAGAATGGTTGTTGTTTCAGCTCCGCCAGTCCAATCGACTGCACCCGAGTCTGAGGGAACCGTTTATCCACGATAGGCCCATCCGTCAAATCCAGATAGTGAATGGTCGATATGCCCACTTCCTCTGCAAACGCCAGCACCCGGTGGAAGTTCAGTCCGACTTGATCCAACCCATGGCTGTCATCCGACAGGCAGAAACGCCCTCCCCGAGCGAGGAACTCTTTACAAATCTCCCTCTTCGGATACGGCTCGTTCATGCCCTTGCGCAGAGCCGCCGAGTTGAGTTCCAAGATGCCACTGTAAGAAGCTACAAAGTCCAAATTCCGTAGAATCCGCTGCCACACGCCGGGCCACTGCTGGAAGCTGCCGTTTGGGTCGTCGCTCTTCAAGCGGATCAGGTCGAAATGACCCACCACTAGCGGCTTCAGTTGCTGCAGCATATCCAGCTGTTCGTCGAAATACGCCTCGAATAGACGTTCGTCCGTCCCTCCCGCCAGCCCCCGCGCTTTCTCGTACATCGCCCGATCGTAATCGATGGGGACGGTCAACGTATGATGCACCGAGCCCATGAAGAACTCGAACGGATGTCGGCTGAGGGACTCTTCGATGAGAGTGCGCGACTCCGGCCGGATCCAATCGCATTCGAATCCGATCAGAATCTTGATTTGATCGGCGTATTTCTCCCGGAGTCGTAGCGCCTCTTGAAAATATGCCGCCTCGTTGGCAATCATGCCAGCCATGGTGGTGTTGGCATCGACCTACACGTCGGGTTTAGGCATCCATCAAATGGAAAATCTGTGGACAGAAAGTTCGACACCACCTACCTCTTCCGGGTAATAGTCTTCTGACCCTCGGGGCATGTGCTCGGTCAAGCAGAAGACTTGGAATTTCTTAGAGATGGCCAGCTGAATCACCTCCTCCAGGGAGTCTTTAGCATGGCCGGGGCAGAACTGGCCCGAATGGCTGTGGTGGGAGAAGGGCATTGTAACTGGGAGATTGGTCAGTCAGATGCAGAGTCAGGTATCCATTACAGTGAGATAGACTGTTTGAAAGGGATTCTATCTTCTACGGGATTGGAATCGTCGAGTCAGGATGGACGTCATAGTACTTACTCTACAGAGTTGCCCCGCAACAATCCGGAAGAGCGGGGATGGAGAGAGGGGAGCAGTTCCAGGAACGATACAATCCCAGGCTAGTATGAGGGTTCCAATATACCCAAGAAGAGACGAGATTCTCCGAAGTAATGGTGGGTTCCATGGAACTGAAGTGAACTGAAGAGCAGAAGTGACACGGGCCAATCCATGCGCGGTGATTAGTGTCCGTGCCTGACTGACTCAGAATAAGAACATTCACGCCCTCTTCCGGTAACAATGGCTATCATGCAGGCACAAAATTGGCCCTCCCTCGATGGGATCCCACGTATCGTACATATATATATCCAACGTATAAAAACTCATCACTCTAGCTAATCCCGTGACTCACCCTGCCGCTAGAACTGTCGCGACCACGTACTCCCCATCATGCGAGATGGACAATTTCCCAAGTCTCCCCCCGTCAGGACCCAAATACACGATCTGCGGTCGACCTTGGTCCTCCTCGCCTAGCCGTACCAGAACATCTTTCCACCCGGTCGTCGCGGCTCCCATCGGAGCGGCTTTGCGCGCCGCTTCTTTGGCGGCAAAGCGGCCGGCAATCCAGCGAGCCATGTCAGCGGAGATGATGTAGGGTGTTTCGCGGGAGGTTGATTCGGCAGGGGAGATAGGGGTCAGGGCGAATCGCCGGTTGAAATCTTGCTGTTCCTGGTCGCAGAGGATGCGGCGCGTGAAGCGGGTGAAATAATCTCCACGGCGGAGGAGACGGGTGATCCGAGGGAGATGGACTATGTCCGTACCGATATTGAGGGGAAAAGGGAACGGGAAAGGTTTCATGGCGTGACTGAGTGGAAAATATTATAGCGTATGTTGGTGTCGATGCGATGGAGAAAATTGGCCCAATCCCGGATCAGGTGACCCAGATTCGTTCGACGTCCTTGCATGCTGCCAGTATGGCTCCTCCATCCTTCTTTACTTCGCTGATTACTTTATTCTTCACATACAACATGTACAGAACCCTACAAAGCGACCCAGTAGATTGACCTACTGTAATAATACCATACGGGCAAGCAAAGCATCAACTTCAATGTAATGCGGTGTATACCTCTATATGTACAGATCACACACCTCACCTCCACTGGCACAGCCAGAGCCATCCCAGAAAGTCCAACATATCACCTAGCGGCTCCTGGATGATTGTTCCTCGTCACACAGCCGACCATTCGTCTCGGGCGGATGGGTCAATCTCATGTCCAGGGTCTCTCCGCATCTGCACCGGGATTGTCCCCGGACCATCCCTCATTATAGACGGAGATTTTTAGTGATCCTTCTTTTTCTCGTCCCCATTCACGCTCTTCAAGAAATCCCTACAATGACAGCCGGTTAGTATGCCGATATTTACCGATACTGTTTAAGCCATATTTTGCTTTCCGTCCCAGAGGCCACGATTCCAGGTCCCTCAAGCAACTCCGAGACTGCGGCATTGCCCGTCGACTAAAGGTCAAATGGAGAGAGACACGTACTGGATGAAGGTCTCCTCATCCTTGGAAGAGGCCTGGATGGGAGGAGTAGCCTGCTTCTTGTCGCTGCCGCCGCGGGTAGCAAGGTAGACACCGCCGAAGAGAGAGCCCAAGACACCCATGGCGAGCTAAACCACGTCGAGAGAGAAATCGTCAGTCAGTTCTGGATCACGCTGTGGGCGGTCGTAGCGCGGAGAAGAGTTTGGACAGGGGAGGGGAGAGCGGGCACGCGGCAGGGGGAACACGTACAACGTGAGAGCCAACCTTCCTGCCGGCGACCTGGTAGTAGACAACCATTCTGACGAATTGGGTAGGAAAGTGATATGAGAGGGACAACGGTCAGTGGGATGAAGCGATGCGAATGATAGGTCCTGCGGAAACACAACTCGTTCGGGTCGGATGGAAGTTGCGGCTGTGGACTTTTCCCAAGGGGGACTAGCAGGGGAGTGCTGAGTCAGAAATGACTCAGCCCGTGGCAGATGACATTGTTCCCACGTGACGACCCGGGGAACCCCGGAGATTTATGGAGAAAGTCGGAAGGACGAATCAGACCATCTGCGGAGAAATGGATCATCAGTCCCAGTGGGAGAAGAGATGGGAGTCCTCCAACGAGGAACGAGGGAACCCATCAGATGGATATGATATAACATCACATCACATCACACCGTGTGGCGGTGTCCCAGAGACTTGGGAACCTCATCCCTGGGACTCACTGAAGATACTTTCTGCCCCGGTTAATGTTATGCGAGCTGGTCGGTTAACCTCGTTCTGGCTATCTTAGATAAATACTAGCAGGCATTGGGCCGGTTCTCGCCGGTCAGCTCCAGGAGCTTTTTTTTTTCTCTTTGTTCACCTCCTGGACAACTTGTATGCTCTCTTGGTTCTTTCTATAGACGGGCTTGTCCTGTACCTAATCTAGTTCTCTAGCTCTATTAATATCACATCCATCATGTTTTGGGGTTCCCGACGCAAGGAAACACCTGACGTGCATCAGGAACCGATTCCTCGCGAAAAGCTTCCTCCTGAAATGCAGAAAATCGTGGGCCGTGATGACACATTTTACGACGACATCTACCCCCCTTAGTACGTGTTGTGTTCTTGAGCCCATAGGAGTGACGTCTCTCCGCTTCCCCCTAGCAAAATCCCCGCAAGACACCATACAGAAGAAGAAGCGTTGCTAATTCATCCTGCGCAGCTCCGTGGACTCCAAAGACACCCCCTACCGATATGCAGGATACGCCAATCGACTTCGCACCATCCTTCTATCCGCCCATCGCTACGTCGCCTACACCTCCGACATTGGCGAGTCGTTCCGTCCCGTCGCTCATCCGTACTTGGTGCGCACCGCGTACAGCATCTCCTGGTCGTATTTGATCGGCGATGTCGTCCACGAAGGCTACAAGGCCTATCTGCGTAATCGTCATGTGCTCGCCCCTCCCTGCGAGGCCTACAAGGACGCTAAAGATCTGTCCCAGGAGGACATGGTCATGGGTATGGCCACGGGTAATCTCTCTGGTCCTTTGCGTCCGAGAGACTCAGAGACGACGACATCTTCCCTTTTACCTCATCAACCATCTTCTTCTTCAGACACATTGACCCCCTGGCCAACCACCCGGATCCCACTCATCGAGGACTACCGCATGGTGATGGCCAAACGCGCCGTGTTCCAGAGTATCGCTAGTATGGGACTTCCTGCCTTCACCATCCATACAGTAGTCAAGCATTCCGGGCGCATGTTAAAGAACTCGAAGAGTGTATTTTTCCGCACTTGGGCTCCTATCGGGGTAAGTTCGCCTTCATCCCTCAGAAAAATAAATTTTTCTTTTCCAATATCTAACCATCCCATTCAGTTGGGTCTCTCTGTCGTCCCCTTCCTGCCTTACATCTTCGACGAACCCGTCGACAAAGCCGTCGAATGGGCTTTCCGTACCGGTGTTCGCGCTTACGCCGGCGAAGATGCCGTCCGTCCCTTACCCCCTTCTGCGCTTATTCCGGTCGAAGACTCCACGTCACTCAGCCATGTCCTGAAAGTCCAAGGTGAGGAGAACGAATTCAACGCTGCGACGAGCGGCGTTTCCTGGGAAGAATACAGGGAGCAACGCCTGCGCGCCAAGGAGCAGCGGAAGCGAGACCGTGAAGAACACGGACAGAAGGGTCCGCTGGCGATGCTGGGATGGAGTAGTTCTAATTCAAAGAATAAGTCGGAGTAGTGAATTCCCTTTCTCACTCTCCTTTTTGTCAAGAAAAGGAAGAAACAAAAAAAGGCGAACATGGGTTGTGGTTCTCTCGACACCTCTTCTACTGTACATACTTCTGGGTTTAGCGTCCTTCGCTTCTCTTTGTATATCTCCTCGCATTTCATCAGGTAGCCAAGTCAAGGATTACAGCCAGAATTACAGTGCAATGTGGAAATAACAGTAGTTGACATTCATTCAATCCCGTGGTAAAGCACGGCTCATTCGCTTCTCTACTTGCACTATACATCTGTACACAAAAATATCCACAACGACGGACGAGAGAAAAAAGGGCAGTATAGTATAGGACATCACTCGTCAGATACCGACCACCCAACCATTAGGGCATAGTAAGAAAAAGGTCCGAAAAGACGTTTGGGGGGAATAATTGCGGTGCGCACTAGAACTTTTGCTCTGAGCCACCATCAAAGAAAGTAAGAAGAAAAAAAAAGACAGGGGAGGATGAAGGCCAAACATATGGGGAATAAAAAGAGAAAGAAGTATGTTAGGACAATATCACAAACCACCGGCGTCAAGAGGACGCAAGGACATACAAATTGAATACAATCAGAAGATAAACGAACCGCGTGGTATTCCACCAGGTAGAGTGAGCAAGACAACCGTTGGAACAAATCCTTCAACTTCACCTCCACTCTGCTCTCCCGCTAAATTTTTGTTTTTTCTTTGTTTTTCCTTCCCACCACTCTTCATATAAGGTATTCAGGATTTAGTTCCATCCGAGCGAGTTCTCAGCCATCACAGGTGCACTGATCATCTGGGTGCGAGCGCTTCCTCCCCGGCTGACTTGACTGTTGCGAGATATGCGACCACCGGTAGCGAAAGCCGTTCCAGCACCGCTCAGCTGCTCAACATTCGAGGTTGACCGTCGGTGCAATTGACGCTTCTTCCGGTACCGGCGAGCAACCCAGAACATTCCTGCCCCATAGGCAGCTGCACCGGCCACAACACCTAGGCCGATGCCAACGGAGCTAGGGCGAGCAGTGGAGCTGCTACTCGCACCTCCATCACCATTGCCACCTGAGTTGTTGCCTTTACCATCGCCTCCACTGCCACTACCACCACTATTCTGCCCGTTGCCGTTCGATCCCCCACCGTCAGACCCTGGTTTTCCGTTGGGCCAGAGATCGATCGAGGGATCCAGCATCGAGAACAGTGTTTTCACCGATTCATTGGGCTGCTCGTAAACTCTCGAATTGGGGTTCCACATATCTTGCTCGAATTGACTCGAATTGCCATTCCATAGATAGTCAGTCTTCGAAACATATGCCAAAACAGTCGTAGCGAGATAGCCATGGGTCTGTAGGGGTTGAATAGTAACCATAGATACTTGGTCACTAGAGAGTCCCATTGCATACATGAGACCCTTCGGGACGTAAAGGAAGATTTGGGAAGAAGACAGTGTGGTTGTGGCGACGAAACTGTAACGAAGCTTCTCGTTAAATCCCAGCCGAATCATAATGGCATCCTTGGGGGTCTTAATCTCTCCAGGAGGTGAAATCGCACCTGGAAGCTGCGTGCTTGTGCTGGTAGCAGTAGCGGTCTCGTGGGTAGCCGAATCTTGCGTCGTAGGGGTTGGAGGCTCCACAAGAATGGTGGAAGGCACCCAGTCGTCGGATCCGCTGCTGCTGCTACTGGCCTTCGGGGTTGGTTCTGGGGAGGGCTCTGGCGTCGGTGTTGGTTCAGTATTTGACGTTGCTGTGCTCGACTGTTCTGGCGGCTCCGTGCTTGGAACATGAGCAGACGTGGAATTCGGATTCGTCGGGTTGGTGGCCTTCGATGGTGATGTCTTGGTAGAGCTGACAGCAGTCGATGACAGACCTGCGGACCCGGACCTGGTGCCAGTAGGAATGACGGCTCCGCTTGTACGTGTGGAACTCGAGGTACCATGAGCGCCCGACGATCCAAGAGTACTTTTAGATCCTGGCGATCCAGTGGCAGTCTCAGATGCGGTGCCATTGTGAGATCCCGTGGCAGTCGTGGATCCAGTGATAGTTAGGGACCCGGTGCCAGTATACGATCCGGTCAAGTCAGTTGTGGCAGACCCTCCTGGTATAGGGACAATAGGACCCGAACTATCCGAGGGAAGAGGCTGAGGGCTGATAAACGGGGGTGTTACTTTGGGCCCATTTGATAGCGAAGGCATCAGAGGCACGCTGACCGCAATAGTGGGTAAGATACCACTGGAACCTGTAGGATCAGCTCTGCTACTGTCACTGGTGGTCGGTTCAGCGGTTCCGCTGGGAGACAATATGATACCGATCAAGTCTGAAGACGAAGTAGGTGACGATGACCCCTCTCTCGAGTTAGACGCCGGGATAGAGCGGGTCGTAGTATCATCGGACGTCTTAGTAGGCTGTGGAGTGCTCTTAGTCCTACTGAGACCGATGATTGGGACCGTGCTCGACTCAGACTGGCCTGAAGGGTAGGGATCTTCAGGCTGTGGCGAAGGCAATGGGATACTCTGAGTCGAACTGTGATCGATGATTCGGACCGAAGTCGACTCGGATCCGCCGGAAGAGGATCCCTCACTCGAAGGCAATAGAGTGCTCGAAGCAGTACCAGAACCAATTACAGGAATCGATGTTGTTGACCCTGTTTGTTTTGGGTTCTCCAGAATCGCGTCACTTGTCGGGTTGACAGGAGCGACAGGGAGGGCGGGAATGGGAGTGCCTGATACTGCTTTCCCAGAGCTACTACCAAGGGTGTTCCCTGCATCGCCCGGGGTAGCGCCATGGCTCGACACTGGAGGGGCAGACCCCGAATTCGAGGCGCTCGTGTCCGACTCTGTGTTCTTTGTAGGCTGAGAGGTTACATCTTTGTTGGAAGATTGTGCGGCCACCACGGGGTTGCTGGCTGGGGGAGGCGAGACAGGTTGCTCTGAAATCGACGTAGAGCTTATTGAAGTCACGGCACCGGACGTTCCAGTCGGCAGGGCGCCCGTGATAGTATGCGTGACTCCGTTTCGATCTACCGAAATAGTAACGGGAATAACGACCACTGGGGGGCCAGGCGCAGGAGGCGTCGTACCTGCATCTCGTCCTGACGCCACATCAGATGTCCCTGGTCCTGACGATGGAGTGAAAGATGGTGTATAATTGATCTGTCTCTTCAAATATTTGGGGATGAATCGGGGTTTAAGCGCTTGCTCGACGGCGGCGTCCCGAGCTGCAACCAGCTCCAACCCTCCCAAAGACAGGAAGGCCGTAAGCACCGCGGACGTAGGCGGGATCATGCTTAATTGAAGAGAGCGTGATCTCTGCTGTATAAAGAGTGGCTATTAATCGAAATTATATAAAAAAAAATGAGTGGAATGAGCAGCGCTCAGTCGAAAGCCTCCAAAATGGGGAATCCAAAAAAAAAATAAAAAAATCCGGGCCTTAAGTCCTAAAACCTATTGTCGACCTCGTATTTCATGGGGTTCGGTGGTTGGAGAACAATTCGACGAGTTGATCAGTAGACGGACTGTTCTTGGTCCAGGCCTTTTTTAAATCGACAACCTCTCCTCTGCCCTGGACGCAAATTACCAGTAGTATCGAATTCCGACGGGGCCAGCGATGGAATCGGAGAATTATTTATTGATAAGCAAGATAAGACAGGAGGTTGGAGTCGAAATGATGGAATTCAAACGATAAATAACTGCGGACGAAAAGAGCGGCAGGGGCTGTGGATAGTCGCACGACAATCCAGCAGACACCCCTTCTAGAGAAGAAAACGAGTGTGGATGCAGTAAGGAGCGAGCGACCAGATCTAAAATGGAAGAGAGAAAACAAAACGGTCAAAAAAAGGAGCGTGGCGGGGGGTGGTGGGACGAGATGGTTGTTATGGTGAACTGAACCACCGTGATTGAGATAGAGGGAGAGAGGGAAAGTAATACGTACCTGGGCGCGACCGTGGGAGGGGGGTGGATGCAAGGAGAGCAATTGGCGGGTGATGAATTGACTCGTCCCAACGGGTCGCTGACGTAGAAAGCGCGATCAGATATATGCTACGTCAACGACAGCACCGAGATGTCGAAGCATCAGAGGTAGAATGGAGGAGAAAAACAACAAGGATCAAAGCAAAGGACATAGAAGAAGGAAAAGAAAGAAAAAGGAACGTGAAAGTGAAGGGAGAGACTGGCAATGGAAGGGGAGAGATTAGTTTAGGGATTTAGTATCGGGCCTAGTGTGCTTTCAGTTTGGGTTGGAAAAAATACCAGTAATTAAAAGGGGGAGAGACGGGGGGGGAATGGTGGAATTACCGCGGAACCGTATTGTACTTATCCATACGCACCGGGTAAAGTGGACAAGGCCCACCAGGGTGGTACAAAGTACTTATTAATGGAGACAAGATCTTCACCAGCTTCGTTCTGGGGGAATTGCATCGTGGAGATAAGAGTAACTCCAAGGCTACTCTACTGTAGGTACTACATCTATCCACACGATACTCTTGTACAGAGAGAGTGTACCTGTAGCTCATTCCCTAATCTATGCCCCAGAAGCTTACCACCTAACACTGTACAAAATGCTAGTTTGTTAGTTATTTGGACTTACCTCATTCCATAACAGTAACTAACTAACTAGTTAACTATGGTACGTACTCGCTACATGGCACGCACAGAGCATCAGCCACTCAATACCTCCGCCGGTAGCGTGAGTAGTGTCTACTAGCTCCCCCCACCACAGAAATTACCCATTTTCTGCAGTACTCCGTCCATTCTATCAAACCTCCTAAGTAGTACGAGACTGATCGGATACGGTAGGAACATCACCCTGCAGCCAGAGGAGAGTCAACTATGGAGTACCAAGGTACGGAGTCCCTACGGAGTACTTTCCTGTACGGAGGAGGTAGTTGCACAAGGAACAACAACGGAGGGAATCAAATAGCACCTCAGACCAGGGTTCCAAAGGCTCTGAATTATTAGGCCTTAAATCTGATGAAATAAGCGTCTGATGAAACTGTGAACCGCAATACATATGCTCCTTATCTCCATTCTGCTCCAGGTTTCCTCTTTTTAATATAGACTAAAAAAGCGTACCCATAGGGTCCTTCCGAGGGTAGACAGGTCCAAGTGATGATCAGGCGCATGTGAGCAGCGCACATCGCAATTCCAGCTCATCGCACACCCTCCCTCACTAGCATATTCTCCCAGAGTCCATCAAGTTTGGACCATGGCAAGGCCTAGACTGACGGCGTGGTTTTTAGCGTGCTTGTGTTCCTGGATACGGTGTGGGGATAGCCTAAGTGCGTGGTGATACGGGTGGCTACCCTCGCCGCCTCGTCAGGGCCTAGCCGGCACAGCCGTGGCAGTAACAAAGGAAGGGATCAACAAGCAGTTGGGATTATCCATACTCCGTAGTCTAGTCGGATTTTCTCGTTTCGTTTCCTTCCAAGTGAGTTCCACACAATATGAAGCAGACACAAAGGAATGTGCGTGATCAACAGAGTGTGCATCACTGATCACAGTCCGAAGACTAGGACCGATCAGGCCGACTGCGGTCGACTTGGCTGTCCTCCGTCCGCCCCTTTTTTAGGCCAGTTACACTGACCATCCACTGTGTCTCACCATCACCAGTTTCTCAAATGTCAGTTTCTCGTTGGTTTGGTACGGAGCTCTATGGAGCATTCTCAACTACTAACTACTTCTGCGGCTCCTTCGTACTATGTAATATGTTATCACTCTCAGAGTGGTCCCAAGTATGTTCTTAGGTAGGCCCTCAGCAGAGGTGCATCAGTTTTAGCGAGAAGCACTATTGGCCTTGTGCGGAACCTTGTACGGAGCTGGCACAGAAAAGATGCTCACCGAAAGATTCAACAATGCTGAGAGCTGACTCAAATCTTAGTAGCAGTCGGTGTGACAACCAACTGCTAGAGGCCATCAGGATTATAGCCCGAAATCCATTTGCATGAATTCTGGCCATAGTTCTCCATAGCATCGGTCAGATACCACTACGTTGGTACTATGCCTTCTGCGTCAATTCAACCCAATCCTAGACTTGCTCGGATTCTCCGCCCTGACATGAATAGGAATGCCAGTCTAACCATTCAATTGCGAGCATTCTGGGGCTGAAACAATCCTCATTCCATCCCTTGTGTCACAACAGTCAGCAATCAGTAAGAACACAGCCAAAGGAGCAGGGGACAGCATACTCCGTAAAATGAAAAATAAAACACGTGGTGCATCATTCCTGATCGAGTTTTGCTTTTTTGGGGTGAACCTGTGTCTGGTCTCTTTTTCGGTTGGTTCGGAACTTTAACCCATTCTGGCCAGGATGATACCTAACTAGTCGTGCGAACTGCGAAGTGCGAAAGCCGAGAATATCCGATCAGCCTGATCGACAAGTAGATACTTTGATAGGACGAACCGAATAACCGTGCGTTCTATCCACTGTCCAGCTCTGAATCTTGAGGTCTGCGTTATTCTATTTTTGATTTAGTATTTTCTATTCCTGGTAAACGCCATGACTCCTGCATTCATAAATTTATACCAGAAGAAATGAAGAGACCAATTTTTCCTGGCGATTTGCATGATCGACTAGTCCAATGATGATATGCTCCATATGGAAGTAAAAAGAGTGACACCAGACCAATGGAAAGCGTCACATTTTCCCCTTTCCAATAAAACGGATGAAAAAAGGCCAACATGTAGAAACGGCTGCTTCAGCCATGTCGGTTGAACCAAGGACCACAGGCGACGCTATTCCTGTTCCTGAGAAGCGGCTCCACAGATGTCCATACTCCATTGGCTGATAACCGAGATCTTGGCGTTCGTAGCCAAGAACCAGTTCCAGACTACCAGACATGCAATCATGCCTACCTTATTGGAAAGAGTACTAAGGTAGGTACTACTCCGTACCTTGGCCCAGAATTGGCATTCCATAATCATTCCGGTGACTATCGTCTTGGAATTCATAAATATCAGCCTTAGTGTCAATAGGCTTCCACATGAAACGCACGATCTCCACTAGGTCCAATTTTATTGGTGGTACGGAGCATTACTCATTGCCATGATGCAATTATTGGGAATATACTGAATACGAAGAACGATCCAGTCTATAAGACCAGTATGTTCCATGACAAATACTGCAGGAGAAGTGTGTAGGATCCCAATATTCTAGCCATGTGGTCATGGGTGATCGAATTCCTTGTATACAGTTACCAGATATATATATTACGCCAGACTAGCCCGTAGCAGGCTTCCCTTGCGACCGTTGCAAGTCCGCTATCTAGGGAGAACAGCCTCGCCTCGACATATTAGAATCCTCGATCTATAACCGAGAGTTCCGATTGTCCCGAGTAACCAATCCCGAGCATTCAATCTCAACATCCGTGCCAAGAGGCAATGTTTTAACTGCCACACATGTGCGCGCCTGGACCATCGAGTAAGAACAGGGATGTCACAACTAAACAGACGACATAGGCCATGGACAAAAAGAACCTCGACATACTGGTTTGGGATCCGCAAAGAAGGAACTGTAAACCTCGTTCACAGCAGTGAAATCTCCCATATCCGCTAGGAAGATGTTCACCTTCACCACGTCTTGGAGACTTGAACCACCCGCTTCAAGGACGGCTCCCAGATTTTGAAGGACTTGTTTCTGGGCCTCATGAGCCTGAGGCATTCCAAAACAACAAATTGAATTGAATTGGAACTTACTGCGCGGTTTTGAATAGGACCTTCCACCATCTTCCCTGTGTTGGGATCCACTCCCACCTGACCAGAGCAGTAGACCAGGTCCCCAGCAATCATACCCTGCGAAAGGAAAGGTGGAGGCAGGGGGGCCTTTTGGGTTCTGATGGGGGTTCGTGCCTTGGACATGGTATATTGCTGGGATTGATGCGTATACCGTGGAGCAGTACGGAGTAACTAGGGGTGGTAGTGGGAGTCATCCATCTTGATGTCATTCATTTCGCGGGGACCTAAATAAGTTACCCCGCTGCGAGATGACTAATAATATCCCAGTCAACACGGACAATTGTCGCTGGGATTATGAAATACTCCATACAACAATTTCAATTGACGCTATCTTGACCCTGTTTATATTAAATTCTTATATTATCACACATTCCATGCTGTACCCGTCCTGCACGCTGTGCCATCTACCTATACAGCCGAACACAGAGAACTAGCTATATATTATCTCCCTAGCCAAGACCCACAACATCCATTTTGCTACAAGTACACATCCAATAACTTGTACATGTTTCTAGGAGATCGCAGACTCTCTAGAAAGCCAATTGTACTTCAGAGTACGCTGCAAGTACTTATTTATTGTCCAAGCCACCAACTTAGCATGGCGCGTGCCCTCAACAGACCCCCCGTCTTCTACCACTAGGGTAAACAGTAAACAAAGAACTGTTTATACACCCTGGTCAGGGGAATAATTTAATAATTATTCCTCGCCACGCTGTAGCCGAAGCACTAAAGACATGACGTTATATATTGCCGAAGGCGCCAGACTAGTGTACTGCTTTGCTGCATTGTAACCCTATCAAACTGCTATCTTAGTAAGTATACTCCATGTGGAAGCGCCCAGCTTTTCAACGCTCTTTACTAAACATCATATTACTAGTCCCTGATACTAATTTACTGAAGTGTACCTGTACCTGTCCAATGTGACTTGTCGTATTTTGGGGTAACGCCAGTGCAACCATGAACCGTAATATTGGATATCGATCACCAGTTAATTAAAGATGACGACCGAGCTATACATCTAATTACATTGGCAAATTACTTGACTTCCCTGTATAGTTACTTGGTATGCTCTCAACGAAAAATTAGAGGTACAGCGCGGTCTTCTACTTGTAAACATGTGGACAAAGCGCAATCTCAACTTGTACTTTGCCCAGGCTACCATGTCCGTAGGTGCTACCATAGCTATTGATGTTACGTACCCATAATTCTATCCAACAGTCCGTGGCTTAATATCCCTAATTAAATTACAAATATTTGTTTATTTATTTTCAGTTATTGCTACGTCATGACTAGGACGTGGCAACCCATCTGATAGTTCCGATGTGTTCTCTGGGTTTGGTCTCGCATTATTTATGGCAATAAAAACTATGCTAGTATTGGACGGCTTCATAAAAGTGTTGGATTGGAAGAGCATTACCATATAAGTATAGTTAGAACAGTGGATAGTATGCCTGTACAAAGCTATGCATATGTTGTATATATTTACAGACATATACTCATCTGAAAATCAACGCTCTCTACCAGGAATATATCCAAAAAAAAAAAAAAGGGGGGGTAGAAACAATCAAGAGGAAAAAGGCAATAAGGTATAGAACACCAACAATGACCTCTAGAATGCCATGCAAAAGAAGATCCTCCGGGAAATTCTACATGTTATCTTCTCCCCAATGACTCCGGACCTTAATCCAAGCATCACGGTCGCCTTTTCCCTCTTCGGCGGTCATACCAACCCCTAGACCCCTCTCAACCCACTGCTTACTGCCCATTTCGGATAGACGCGAGAGCGCACGGGCAAACGCGAAGCGCTCCTCGTCGCCGCTGAATATGGAGTTGGACTTGAGGGCTTTCATCGAGAGGCCCAGGTCGTCCATCATCATGCGCATTGCATCCGACAAATCACTACCGTCGGCCTCATCAAGTGAGCTTTTCATTTCGGATTCGGAGATAAAGAGGTTAGTAAGCGGCACTGCCGTGGTGAGAACAAGTTTAGCCTAAGTCTGTCAGCAGATGTGGTAGCAGTCGTGGGCGTCGAACAGTCATGAACGCACCCTACTTTCATAGACAGCATCGATAAAGGTGATGAATCGCCGAGCGAGGTCACGTTGATTGATGTTCATTCCTGGGACGCCGGTGATAATGAAGGCATCGTAATTCCGGACCAGCTCCAGGTAATCAGCCGCTCCAGTGGCGCTGCCAATCAGCTGCTGAAAGCTGAACTTGGCAGCTCTGCCACTGGCCAAGGGCACCTGGATCTTGCGACCCCAGACCTCCTGTGTGGTGGGGTGCGGCGGGTCGTTGATGGGATCGCCCAAGAAGTCGAACCATTTCTGTGCATGGCGGTCTGCATCCTCACCCAGAGGGTGATAGTAAACGCCTGATGGAGGGCGGGGGATCTTGCGATAATCCGTGGGCGAGTTCAAGTTGATCACGGCCAGAGCGGTCTTCAAGAGGTTGATGCATGGGATGAAGGACTCTCGCTGGATACCGTTCTTATACAAGTCATCGGGGTGTCTGTTGGACGTAGTAATAAGTACAACTCCATGAGCCATGAGGGACTCGAGTAGCCTAAGCAAATCAGCCGCCAATTGATATTACCTCCTCATACACAAAACTTACCGTCTCAGAATCATCGCATCAGCCACATCGGTGCACTGAAACTCATCAAAGCAAAACACGCTCGACATTTCCGCAATATTGGCCGCCACTAGGGGCAATGCATCAAAATCGTTGCCATATTTCATTTTCACCACGTGCATCCGTTTATGTACATCCTGCATGAAGTTGTGGAAATGGATACGGGACTTTGATGAGATATTGGACGGCAGCGTATCGTAGAACAGATCCATAAGCATTGTCTTCCCGCACCCAACATCTCCGTACATATACAAGCCTTTGGGAAGGGATTCCGGGACCGTCAGCTCCTCCTTCAGCTTACCCCGTGCGAAAAGAGAGCCCAAGAAAGATGCCTTGGGCTTGGGGTCCAGCGATTCAACTTTCGGATGGACGACCGGGGGAGGGTTGTAGGATCGTAGCCTTTCATAGAGGTCTTGAAGCTTCTCAATGATTTCTGTGGACAAACCCCGAGTGTCAGTCCTCTCGTTCCCCTATTGACAGACAAAATACATACGTCGCTGATGAGGATCATCCCGCAACCGACCCTTCTGCACCCTTAAATCATATTCCTGTAGTGGACCACCCTGAGGCCCAGCTGTGGCGTCTGTGCCTTTCTCCTTATCGGCATTGGCCGCAACCCCCGTTGCGAATCGTCGCACATTCAGGCCACGCTGTAGCTCTCTCTCCCCCAACTGGCCATACACTCGACTATCTGGTAGTGTCGCCCGACAACCTTGCCGGTTACCTTGATGCAGATGCGCGCCCCTTCTGCATTCCCTGATGTACGTTGGCGTCGTACCCCGGAGTGCGGCAAGAGGTAAGAATACCTTCCTGCGCCTCAGAGCGCCCGGCAGATAGTCGGCGCAGAGTTTCGCAGACGACCCGCTTACTGACATCTAGTAAGCGGTGTTTTTCCCCAACGATTTTTTTTTCTTTTGGCGCCTGAGGTCCAACGCATACAGCTATTGCCGCTACAGTATGGAAACGCTGAGACGGGATTCTTGCAGGAGGAATAGGACGTCTCTCCTCCCGGCTGGGAAATACTCGGCGAAACGCCGATGGGCACAAGGCGAGGGGAACAGAAAGAAAAGTACAGAGTAGAACACACCGAACAGCGGCCGATTAAAGAGGATGAACTATACACACCAGTGTACAAGGAAGTTAAAATGGCTACGGTTGAACTTAATTCCGCTTGTAACCAGGTGATATGTTAGAATGGGAAAGAAGCATTGCCCCAAACCCGAGGCGAAAAAGAGCCAGTCTTTCCGAGTCAGTGTCATGTGATCGAGACTGGAAACCCGCAAATAAATCCGATCAATGCCTTCAGAATAATCTCCTAGAACTAGATATTGCACTCGAATGCTGCTCACGAATTCAATCATTGAGAGAGAAATAAGTGGTTAACGAATCCCACAGTGGCTGTATATGCAGGTGAAGGGTTATGTACATATAATCGACTGTGCATCAGGAAGGGTATGTAAATCAACAAGACATGCAGGAGCCCACTGCGTATAGTAGAATCAAATGCAAATACAGAACATCAAGGAGATACATAGTAACATAACATTTCGGACGTCTCGTTCTTAATCATGCATCACTCAAATAATCAAGATCAGCCCTTGGGGGCTGTGGGCTCATCAGAAAACATTAGAGACCATAACACCGGTGCACCAATGAACAGAAGCAAAAAAAATAAAAATAAAAATAAAAATTTGGAATAACAAAAAGAAATAAAATAAACCAGTCATAGATGATCAACAAGTCTATTGCAAAATGTCGAGGGGAAAATTATGTCTATGCAAGCTCCTGCCGAGCGCCCTTAAACGAGACCAACGTAGAGTGTGAGTTTGGAGTTGCGTTGGATGGCAGTGTCAAGATCACTATCGCTGACAAGATCAATGTATGTGCCAGACGGTTCATCTTTGTACTGCACCGCAATATCTTCTTGTATTTTGAGGCGATCCACGAGCTTTTCCTTAAGCTGCAGGACGCTGATGTCGCTGGGGACTCGTATGGCAATGAGATCATCCTGGAAAAATACCTTGACCTTCATTGCGCCACTACTCGACGTGGTCGAGACCTGTGTGATCGAGCTCGGCTGTCGGTTCATCGGTGGAGGACCGCCATTGCTGTGGGATACGGAGAGTTGTCCCCGCTGGTGTGCATTCATTTGAGCTTGAGAAGACTGGCGGGACGCGCTCCGTGGTGGTTCCTGCATGGATGACTGATGTGAGCCGCCGGAGAAGCGAGTATCCTCGCCAAATGCGTTGGGGTCGATCTCAAAATCACCCGCACGTGGGGCAAAAAGCTGTCGAACCAGTTGACAGCGGGAAATGTGAGGAGGCATAGATAAGAGTTTTTTGATGTACTCGTCCAGGTTCTGTCGGCGTCCATTGGAGATGGCATCCGTAACGTGCGTAACGGGACCAGGCATGAAAGGTAGTGTTCTCGCCTTCCCTCGATTGCCAGCTTCTTCCTCAAACTGGGTCAAAAGGGCAATTTGGAAATCGTAAAAGTCGTGATAGTATCGAGACAATTCCCAGCAGCGGCCATCTTCCATCTTCGCCTCGATGATGTACCAGTATTTATCATTATCGAAACAGTAACGTGGGATTGACGCCGATACCGGAGCCACGAGGGACTGGCGATGGTGGTTTTGCGGCGGGGGTTGAGACATGTGTTGTGCGACGGACGCTTTGCTAGCGTTGCGACTATGGTATCCCTAATCCCGATGGCATTAGCACATTTGAGCCTTACCGTCAAACCCGAAGGATGTGTGTATATCTGCGACTCACATAAGTGTTGCCATTCTGGCTCAAATGGCCCATACTTTGGTGGCCCGCGGACGTCTTCTCGGCTCCAGAGGTGGCAGACTGCATGGGGGACCCGACCGTATCAATCTTGCCCAGGGTGATACTGCTATTTTTGTACTCTGCGGTCATTTTCTTCCACTCCTCCACCTTGGGCACCCCGGCACGTCGAACGGCCTCTAGAGGGTCTGTCACTGCCTGGCCCGATTGCATGTCCCTGAGTTCGATGAAAGACACAGGGATGAGACCGGGGCCACCCAGACGACCGATAGGCTTTGCGACAAACCATTCTGGATTTGACTGAGCAATGACGATGATCGCTTCACCCGCTTTAGCGTCAAGTTCATCAGGTCGCTCAGCCTGAAAATCGTACTGCACAATGCCATAGACCATGGGGCTCGAGCCCTTTCCCAAAGTCGACATTCTGGGAAAAACGTTCTGCTTTGGCGAGATAACGGAGTCTGGTCCGGAGAAGGTCGCTGAAGCTCGATCTGAGAAGCCCGAGTCGTGATGCTCTTTCTTCTTATGAAGGTCTACTGATCCCCCACTGTTTCTTTCGTTCTTGCCAATGACTTCGAAAAAGGACACAGGAACCAACCCCCTGGCACTAGGGATGAGGGGATTGCACGCTTCGTACCAATCCAAGTCGTCCTCCCTGCTGATGACGTGAAAGAAGTCTCCCTTGCTAAACGCCAACTCCTGGGAATTCCCGGGTTCTGGTTGGTAGTCGTAAAGAGCCTTGATAACCTACGTGCAGGACAGGGATGTGGTTAATACATGCGCGTCAAGACGAAAGGGAAGGAGTTAGGACAATTAAAGCCAGTGGTGGGGGGAGGGAAGCAACAGAACAACATAAATGTAAAGGCTGTGCTTTTCTTTTTCCCATACAGAAATAATAAGTATATTTTTATTTTTTAAAAAAAAAAGAAAAAAAAAGGAGTTAATGATGGGAATAATAAAAAGGAGCTAAGTGTTGAGCTGGGAAAGAAAACAAACAAAGTAAGGTTCAGAAGGTTAAATATTATTATTAAGAGGGAAAAAAAAGGAAAAAAATAGCCTACGTACCTTTTTCGGAGGCAGAATCGCAATGGCGGACTTGGGGGTTATGGAGAGGTGGTGGTGGTGGGGTTTGGGGTCTTTTTCCCCTTTGAGAGACCGTCTGATGGCCTAATTATTTGAATGTTAACGAATGGTGAATAGTGATGGATGATGCTTGGTGGTGTTGGGCTCTAGCAAGCGACAGTCGAGATAAACGAGGGGCGGGAGAGGGCGAAGTGAAACGAGGGGCGACTGAACAAACACACCTTCATTCTTCAGGTGAACGAACTAGTTAGCGCCGAGGTGGTCGGGGGTTCGAGGGTCTCAGTTCCGCACGTTGTTGGTTCAAAGAGAGGCAGGGTAAAAAAAAAAATATATATAAAAATAATAATACACCATCCAATAGAACTCTAATAGTAATATCTCCGCCACCAACAAGGAAGTAGAAAAAGGTGGTAGGTAACGGAGAATTTAGAGATAGAGAAAGGGGGGAAGCGACAGGGAGTTAGAGAAAACCAGATCCCAAGAAGGTGAATGAGAGAGAGACAGAGGGACAGATAGGGAAAAACAAAAAGAGAGAGAGAGAGAGAGAAGAGAAAAGGGGAGAGATGGAAAGGGAATCAGGAGTGAAGGACCAGGATGAACGAGGGTTGTAATAATGGCGATAGTAGTTTGCAGGTACCTGGCTTACTCTGTAGGAAACTAGATAGATAAAAGTAGCCAATGTTAGTGCCTAGTTGTCGGCGCAGGAAGTAGTACTTCGCAGCAAATCCTGCCGAAGATAACTCTGATGATAATGCTGCTGCGGATAGTATGAATACTGCTTGGATGATGGCAGAAGAGACCACTGGTTTCTCTTTGCTTTCTGGGATGTTTCACTAGGCTCTTCTTTCTTTTTTTGGCCCTTTTTCCTCTCTCCGTGTTTCAACCACAACCACGGATGGATCGGTGTGGTTGATCTAGAATTTTGCGACAGTCCAAAAAAATAGTGGCCCGCTTTGTGATTCCCCCGCCCCTTAGGTTAGGATAGGTTGGGTTAGGCTGTTTGGTATTGGATGGATGCGCAATAATAGTACGCAACCAGATGACAGCCCTGGTGAGACACTTTTCTTTCTTCTTCCCTTTATGTTTCGTCTTATTTCTATTCTTTTCTCTCTGAGGTCTTCGCTTGCTCGGGTATATAACAGAAAGAGGAGAGCTCAGCGTGTGGGTGGTAGGGTGGCTGTGGTCAAAGTGAAACTGGGAGGACGCGCTCGTGGGGTTGAATCCGGTGGTGGCTCGATGGTGGCGGGATCGCAAAGCCGGTTGGTTGGATCGTGGTGGCACTGGGTGGAATGGAACTTATGGATTGTAAACTGGCCTTGTTCGAATGAGATTGAAAAGAAACGTAAGCACTTTGTACGTGGAATCTCTCGATTTTGATGGCATCGGTTTGGAGAGACTTGGCAGCCTTGTTAATTAAATTAATTTAACCAGTCAATGGAAAGAGATCTGAAGATTTTAGATTAATTAATTAATTAAATAGGTTAGGTAAATGTACACTGTCCAATGCAGTACCGTATAATACAAGAAATAAGTGGATTCTACGGAGTACAGTACTTAGTTCTCATTTGTATGGATCCCTCTTCATTGTTTTCTTATTGGAGGGGGAATAAAGGGACTATAAGACAGTATTGAAAGAACAAGAAGCAACTAGTGGGAATTAGTATTCATGACAGGCGGGGTAGAGAATCTTAACGTCAAGTACACTGGTAAGAGATCTATGGAGTAGAGAAGTCACCAGATATGCCAAAAATTAAGAGAGACGGTCCTGTACAGGATGGTACCCACCGATCAACAATCGTCTTCATCTTGGTAACATTATTTCGTTCTTTAGTCTATTTCCATAATCATCGGGAGTTGCTCCCGGCTGTCACTTGTACGCTACTAACTTGACTAAGGTTAGCACTAGCTGTCTAAGGCTAGTCTTGTGATTCAAATCCTGGTTGGTCCTAATCTCCCACTGCTTTTACACAGTAGTGTTGTTGGGCAGCTGTGGAGATAAGTGGTTCTTGCCCATGGTACAGAGTTACACTACATTTCTTGTCCTCTAGGAAATGCCTCTGGTAGATAAGGGTGGAATGTACTAGAAAAAAGGATAATCCCTCTAGTACCACAGTTCCACGTTTTAAGCGGCACATGACAGCAAGAGACGTGTATGATCACATGATCTTTTACTTTGTTATCATCTTTCGGAGCTTAGTAGCTTCAATGTCCACGTCAAGAGGAACATGCCATTTTAACCTATAGTTAATGGCTCGGAAGGGGTTTGTCTATACATGCAGTGTCAGGTATGTTAGCCTACGTGTGTGCCCTATGTCCTATACTAGGACAAAATCTGCATGGGGGCATTTTGCAAGGCTGAGAGAAAAATTACATGTGCGGAATTAGGGTTTTGAATAATATTAACCTTGGACTAGATCAACATACCTACACAGTAAGATTGCATAATCTCCGTACCTATGGTAAAGGGACCTTAACCTAAAGCCCTCCACTTACTCTATCTCTGTACTTAGTGGAACAATGTCCCATGGTTAATTTCCTTCAGTTCCATGCATCCTACTTTCTCCATGATGATCACCGGGTTTTGGGGGTACGGTGTTTCGAGGTTGGAAATAGGAAGGGAAAAAAAAGGAGGAAAGAAATACAGTGTGTACTATGTCATAGTATTACATCCATACATGAGATCTATGTCACCTTTCAGAGCTGCATTATGCAGTCACCCCGACAAGTAGATCTTAATTACATCTAGATCTGTCCTCTTGCCAATATGTATTATTATAGAGTGGGGGCAAATTTTCGCCTGGATTGAGAATATAATTTGTGGGGCCAGTACATATACATGTACTTCTCAAAATACGTACAGCATACACCTAAGAATCATGTACCTTTTTTTCTTTTCTTTTCTTTTCTTTTTTTTTGCATTAAATAAAAGAATTCTGCTTAGAACCTGCTTCGGTTTCTTGCCTCTTAGACTGTACCCGTACATACACTTGTTTTGGTGGGTCATCACTATGCTGCTCTATGTAGACACCTGTCAAGATGTTTGTATAGGTGCTACATAATTGGAACCGCGGCTAATAATGCAGGTAGGAAGGTACTGAAGCAGTGAAGATAAACGGCTCTCTTCTGAGTATATACTCTGTAATCTTGCCGGTCTGAAGAATCCCGTCACTGGCCCTTGAATCATCAACGTCCGTCCGCGACGGGCATTGTCTTGTGATGGGCAGATGACATCATCTGCACGCTCTAGTTTTGGTGGTAGGTTGGTCGGTACGTAGTATGCTTTCTTATAATCTTGCCTGCGTTTTAGGTCTTCCCCCACAGCCTCCATATAAATGTATATATAGAAATTGATGTAACATCGCGGCACCAGGTGAATAGTTTGCAAGTCACTGTTAAGAGCTACAAGGTCCATGAACCGAAGATAGGCAAATACGTTGTATTTCAGAGACCATTTACTCACGAAGAATAGAAATGGAGAGACCAGAAATGGGCCCAATAATTAACCGAAGTCAGTCTCGGTATACCCACCCCAATCTCACGCCCATAGCCAATCCAGTGTATAAATTTTTTTAAAAACATACTATCATTGCTTCCGGAGTCAAAAAGGGTATATAGATCTTCTTTAGTCATAAGCAAGGGCCATGGGACGCCAATATTGGAAACGGTGTAGAAAGGAAGTAAAAGGGGGGAGGGGATAGGGAAAAGAGAAGACCGAAATAGGCATGCATTCACAGGAAATGGGATGCATGGTGACGTGATGACAGGCTGGCTATGTATGTGAATGAGGGCGTGAAATTAAAACTATTCAAGCGTAGGAAATTCAGATCTGTCCCTTGATGTCGATAACTTGATGAGCCTTAGCTTTTGCAAGTTCGAATAACTGGTTGGCCTTGCCTCCAGTAAGCAATTTTACAGCTCCATCTTTCTCCTGGAGTAAGTCTTCAGAAGTATTATCCAGAATAAAGCGCGCACTTTGCTCATCAGACTCGAAGCCCAACTCTTCGGTAATAAATCGAATTTTTACGTCAGGTTTGTACCTGTTCCTCCAGAGTTAGCACAGATAGCAAGCAACTGCAATATGAAAACCACGCTTTACAGATGGCCGCAAGCGCGGTTAGTCGCTCCCGATCCACGAACATATCCATAAGGTAAGCGCCCATGTTAGGAGTATCCAGATAAAGCTGAAAGAAACGGTGATAATTTCCAAGGGCAATGGCAGACCGGACATCCAGGGCATGTTTCACAGCAGAATCCCGCTTATCTGCTGGTGTTAGATCTGCTAAGGCGTCGTTCATGGCCGTCCAGTTGCGGGTATGAATGAAATAAAGGATACGGTACGCCTTGAATTCCATAGGGTGCCCACCAAGCTGCTGGGCATATAATGCCCGCAGCTGGGTTTGGCACTGGTTATACTCACCAAGATCTCCTTTCTCAAGGGCGATACGAGCATGGATCTCATACACACTCACGGTGAATTCGTTTCTGATATGCTGTACGGTCAAATCCTGTCGTAATGATTTGAACTGATCACATATGTAGCCATAGTTGTTGTCGCGTTTCCATTTTTTCTTTAGAAGATCCAGTGTCTTGACCAAGACTGGGAGAGGGCGAACTGTATCCGGGTTCGGTGCCGATGTCAAACGGAAGTAGTTCTTCTCTAGATTTTGGCACCTTCCAACAACAGGTCCGTGATCCGCGCTCGGGATAGGCGATTCAGCACGAGATGACGGTAAAGATCCATTTGTGGACAGAGGTTCCTCAAACCGTTTCCTCCGTATCTCCAGATTAGCTTTAGACTTACTAGTGGTTTTATGATCTATGCGTTGTCGTTTGTCTGTGGGGGAATAAGTGACTCGATTTTCAAAAACATTCTGATGGTTAGTTTGCCTCCAGGGTGGACAGCTGTCTTTGTCCCCATGGAACTCGGCCGACTTTCTCTTTTTCGACCAGTCCTCTGGTTTCTGGGAAGAAGCTGCTCTTGGAACAGCCCATGATGATACATTTGAACTGGCCAAGATCCGGTTGCGCTCATTCTGAACCATGACTTGCGGTAGAGGCAAGCTGGCCCAGTCGATCTGATCGAGCATGTTACTCTCTGCTGCTTCGGTGATGACAGTTTTCAACTTCGTCTCCATCTCCTCCCTGCTAACGGAGGAAATTTGGTTTTCTGGTGTGAAACTGCGTTGTACATACAGCCGAACGGGTGCCGGCCACTCTACTCGTTTGCGGGGAGTCGCTTCCGTGGCTGGTGAGGTGGTCGAAACTGAAGCCGGGCTGGCTACTGTTGTGGGGACAAGGCTACGGCGTGCTTGGACCGGGATATATGCTGGGTTGACTATGTCCAAAGATTAGAAACACCAAGATCGATGGGACAACCTGTGTAAGGTCACATACCATGTCCAACGTATGAAGGAACTGTGGTGGTCGCCGATGCAGTGGCACGCCAGGGGGGGGGGCCGGAAGTCATGGTCGAACGAAATCTAAGTCAAGGGGCAACAACCAAAACAGGGATTCGACAAAGAAAGACAAAGGCAAGAAACAAAAAAAAAAAGAAGAAGAAGATGGAAAATGGAGTTCTGATGGTAGAAGGCAGTGAGTATGAACTACGGATTGCTTGGTTCGAGGGAAGAGAGTTCAAAGCACACTATTCCTATAATGAGTAGGCTCCACCACACATAATATGACAAGAACGTAAAACGATATTCTAGTAAAAAGAGCTAGAACGGATATCCACAGTTGAGGTTCAAGTTCACCCTTTCGACCTCGTCAAGAGAAGTAAGGAAGTCATGAAAGGATGCTTCGCTTAAGACGAACTTCCTGGTGGAGATTTTCCTTGGCACTAGAGGTCTCTGTCGGCTCCCGTAACTAGTTAGCTAACTAGTTAGTTATTGGCTTGGCTCTCTTACGTCAGCGCGGGACGACATTGTGATCATGCAGCCGCATATCAGAAGAGAGTAGTTTGGTCTCCGCACCCCATGGAAATCTGAATTGTCACTCTCTTCACGGTCTTATATGGTGGGGAGATGCTGGATGATTTTACTAGATGTTTTTCAAGTCTTTGGATTTAACCACTGCACTCCGCCCCTTACTGTTGCCTGATGAGACTTTACTGTTTGTCCAGGATGCGGTGGGGTTGTATGAAGGGTAAGTAACTGATTATACCTCTCGGTGATTTTGTACAAGAGTGATATGCCTGTGGATACTTGTGTAGGATCTGGCCTCGTGCATTTTGCTTTGTAACTTATGGATGACATCGTGCTGACATCCCTTGACACTGCCAGAAAATACAAAGTCTCCAACTACCAGAATGGTCATGCGTACCTCACGTCCCATCGAGTATGCTATGTGGCTGTTGACGAACCGCGCAAACACTCAGTAGCCGTTGACCTGAAAGAGATTGATAGAGCAGAATATCAAGTATGGGGCAGTCCAGCCTCTATCTCAACACATAGGCTTACTCATAATAGGCAGGCTTCCTTAAGTCATCTCCGAAAATCACCTTGTATCCAAAGCCACTCAAGAACAGGCTTGACGGATCAGGAGGTGCAGGCTCTAGCCCATCCAACTCACAGTATCCACGACTCCAGTCTACGGGATTGCAGTCGCCACATTTCCATACGCCGGTGCCACAGATAAAAGCGCCCACCCCTCAGCGTGTTAACGCTACATGGATCTGTCCCATATGCTCATTCTCCAATCCAGTACCTTCCAACTTTGACCCTTCGACAGCGACCGTGTCCACTAGTATACCACCTTGCCTAGCTTGTGGAATAAGGCCGCCTTTCACAACCATCCTGAAGGCCACCATATCTGCTGCGGCTAGCCGGGAGGGGACTTCGATATACCCGACTATACTTGAACCAGCATCTGAGAATATTGTCCAAAGTAGCAGCGTCAGTAACAGCGTATCAGCTTCGCAACCTGGTCTTTCCATCTCATGTCTCCGATGTACTTTCGTGAATCACCCTTCTCTCCCCGAATGCGAAATATGTGGCGCCCCCTTAAATTCTGCTGGTGCATTTCGAGATGCTGGAGGCGAGCAGAAACGTGCAGAATCCCCGGCGCCTTTTTTTGAACAAGGGACTATTAAAAACACGGAGATCACTGATAGTATCAAATTGTCTTTTCGCGGGGGTGGTGAGAAGACATTTCATGAACGGTTGAAGGGCGCCTTGATTCAACGTAAATGGCTTCTTTACGATGCGCCACCGGTGCCGCAACAACCTTTACGGTCTACCCCCTCTCCTAGCTTGACCGCAACCGCCCCTTATAATGGCATTGTGCCCACCCAGACTCGCTCACCGGCGGTCGGGATTGCAGGCCTTGAGCAGCGAGGGCTAGAGGCTCGCAGGAACAACGAAATGGTTATTGGAAATGCCTTTGAGGACCTCGAAGCACTGATGGCGTCTGCAAAGCAGATTGTCGCTCTTGCCGAAACTCTTGCTAGGGAGTCGGGAATAGCCAATGATGAGAGCTCTGTGGAGGCCAGTACAGTACTTTCTGAATCAGCTGCAGCACTGGGAATGGTAACAACAAAGGATATGCTTGGCTCCGGTGCTGAGAACCTTTATCTTTCGGAACTATCACGGAATCTTGCCGAGTATCTCACTGATGACCGAAAAGGGATTCTACAGAAAGAGGGTGGAATTATAAGCCTTATCGACCTTTGGGCAATCTTTAACAGGTCTCGGAATGGAGTGGAACTGGTCAGCCCTTCTGATTTCCAGAGGGCAGCAGAATTGTGGGAGAAATTAAGGCTACCAGTTCGTCTACGTCGTTTCAAGAGTGGCCTTCTTGTCGTCCAGAGGTATGACTGGAGCGATGAGAAGACCATCCGCCAGCTCCAGGACTGGATGACAGAGCTTCGGCGTATCCCCCCACCGGAACCCGTGCCTTGGGACTGGCGACTATTTGGGCGTGCAATCACTGCACAAGAGGCAGCACAACGATTCAAATGGAGCGTTGGGGTTGCAACGGAGGAGCTTGAAATGGCTGAGGATAAAGGGATACTTTGCAGGGAGGAAGGTATCGAAGGACTCAGGTTCTGGAGTAACTACATCACGTTGGAACAGGACCCACAATCCATCGATGACCTAGGAGTTTTAGGCCTGGCTCTTTGATATACATGTCTTGATATATATGCTGTGTATAGGTTTCGCTTTAATTACTAGAGTATTGAGCCTTTGGTTTAAATACTAGCCATCGGAGAGTCCCGTAGTTTATTTTGAGTGCCAGCGAATTCCTGGGACGAGGTCGACCTGGAATGGACAAGCATCTACTGTCATCCATAATTCGATGTATGAGTGGATCTATATGTGTACTGCGTAATATTCGGCAGACCCACTCTCAGATGACCCCGCATGACGGTTGGCGCTCTCTCCGCTTTGGAGTATGTTCATCAGTATACCCCTACATCATCTCTCTCTGTCTACCAGTGCTTCAACTTTGATCATCTCTAATTATCAGCCGTGCATAGTATAAATTTATCTGCTATTCGAAGCCTCGCCTACTCCAACCCTTGGGCCACTGATGTGAGCGGACTGGTCCTGGACCGTCCCAATCTGGTCAATACCTGCTGCTCTACCTTTCGTTGGTATAAGTAAACTAGCAAGTTAGCTACAGGCTGCCGCAATCAAACCTGTCACCATGGATCTCACTGCATTATTATTAAACCCAAGATCTAAAGAGGTTTCTACGATCTTATCGAGAAACGACCGCCGGATTATATACCCGACTTGTTCACGACACCTGAAACCATCAATCCAAACCCGTTTGCTATGGAAAGGTACTGGAAAGATACATGAAAGCAATAAAACCAATTCCCAGCGGGAGACGGGGAAATATCGGCGGACTTTTTTGTTCAGGATATATGGCAGAACTCCTCAGCTTTGGCGGACTCAAGCGGCCTACAATCGCCACCATCGGCAGTGGAACCTAGGAAAGGATATGAATTGGCCCAAATTGATATTTCAAGACTCTAACATCGGACAAAATTCTCAGAAGCGGTTTTGGTGGGATGAAAGAGCCCGTGCACGGCAGAGGATGGAACAAATCAAGAAGGAGATAGAGGCCGATCCTTATGGAGTGCTGTTTGGAAGGAGGCTGGAGCCTTTCAGCGCTTTGAATAAATTTGAAGACGTTTTTGCATCTTTCTATCGTTCGCTTTTCGGTCTCGACAAGGCTGAAAACTTCCGATCCTTCGACACGACAGCGCATAGGAAGACAGCCAAACATGCCTCTGCAGAGGTTCCCAAAAAAGATAGTCAGTTCAAACAACCAGTGGCTGATAGTACTGCAAGCTCCCTACAGGAATTCAATACGGATAATCTCGAGTTTGACCCTATCAGTGGCCGCATGGTACCAAAGGGATCGAGTGTCATTGATGTGCCTGAAGAGAAAGGGAATGTCAAAGACGCAAGCCCAGCAAATGTGCCTGCCAAGAATTCCGAATCGTACAACGAACGCACTGGTTACCTGTCCTCCATTGATCGGCCGGATGCCATATCGCAGTTTCAAACATCAGACGCTGAGACTCCCGGGTATTCCTGCAACTCCGGGACTTCGCGGGAGAAAGTAAAGTTGGTGTTGGGGCCAGAGGACAATAAAGGATTAAAGGAATCCCACAAAGATCAAGCAACGAGGGAAAGTGAATTATCTGAGCCTCGAGAGGTGTGGAGAGAGAACCCGATCGAGACGTCAAATAATGAATTTGACGAACACAAACCACTTCGGTCTATGAACAAGGATACGAGCCATGACAAGTGCGATGGAAATGAAAGCTTCGTACCCCCACACCTGGGCTTTAATGCTAAGATTGATCCGGTGTGGACGAACTCTTCAATTTGCGATTCTTCGCAGCATACGGAGACAATGAGAGAGGAGAACGAGAAAGCGGAGGATTTGGATATCTTGAACGCCAGCGACATCCGCTCTAGTTATATTTCTAAAAGGTTCAATACAAGTCCGGAGTCACAAAAGCGAATACGCGAGGATTTGGATGATGCCTTTGATGCATATGTTGACCCGGCCAGCGACATCGATATCAAACGTGTCCGGGGAAGATACAAACATCTCGAGTCTAAACAACAGCTGGATGGAGCAACCACCGGAACTGAAGGCTCAAATGTGGAGTCATTCAAAGAATCCCATCCAAACAGCAAACGCGAAAATGCAGGGCCTCCAAAGCAATTTGAGCTGTCACATAGCATGCAACAATTACCCCCAGAAAGCACCTCATGTACCGAATCGTACTGTGTTCTTGCATACGATCCTTCCACTCATGAAGTGACGCAAGCAGAGGCAATGTCATCATTGCAGAAAGCGAGTGAAACACCTCATCCTAGCGAGGTTCTCTCCCGACTAAACAATCTATCCAAGTTTTTGCCATATTTCGCAAAACTGAATTCTGATGGCTATGAGATCGTGTCTGGCAGTGGTGACGTGCTTGTATTCAGGAAAGTGCTCGATACTGGGAACTACGATACTGGCTCTTCTCTTGAACAACTTGCAAAACAGGAGCAAGAAGTCAAAGCATATGTAAGAAACGAGCCCCTCTTAGATGAGGAGTCTGTGGAGAGATCAGGTCTATTCTTGGGACAACGTCCCGAGCAAGAAATCAACGCTTCTAGCCCCCCCAGACCGCTAGGGAGGCCTTCTGCGTCTGATGAAGAATCCTTTCCGAAGACTCAAACTACTCCCAATGGCAGGTCTAGAATCGGTCAAGTTTTGCGCAGAATGTTCATTAGCGGCGTTGCCACAGCGGCAACGTGTTATGCTCTAGGTGTTGTGGGTGAATATTTTCGCACGGGTGGTCAAGATGGACTAGGTATCGATGCGTTCACCGAGTTTGAGTCGGAAAGACGACGGAGAGAGGCCCCGTAGGTTGAGGAGGAGTTGTATAATATTCGTTCCTAGGTAGCATGATATGAGCCTCAATATGTACGATATAACACACCCCTATTGTCAGTTAATGAATAATCACAACTCCATTTACACGTGCCTCTCATTTATTCCCACTTTTTAACACTCCCAATTCTGCCCAACACTCATTCAACTTGTGGAAACGAGCCCTTAAGGGCCATTAAGAACCACATCGTCATCGTCATCGTCATCGACATCGTCATCGACATCGTCAACGTCTTGCCCATCGTCATTCTTATCTTCCCAGACCCATTCCCACCATGGCTGGCGAAAATCTTTAAAGCCTCCAATCCGATCGTTAACCGACGAACGCATTGCCTCTCGTGCCCAGAACCGCTCCCGATCTTCCTCGATTTTCTGCTTCTCCACCTGCTCCAGCTGTCTCTCCTGTTCAGCAACATCCTTTTCCTCCTTGGCCGCTTTCTCCTGGCCCTTTTCATCTTCCGAGCTGGGCTCGTCGCCTTCGTCGTAGGGGTATTGCTCAAAGATATGCTGCAGGACACCGCAGCGAGCACGACCACTCATCATGTACATGATCAACCCGACGATTAGTCTCATCGCGGCGCGGAATTCGCTCTTGATCCATAAATCGTACTCCTGGCTCCCTAGGATGCGAAATACACGGAAATCACGCTCCCCATCCGCTGTGGACAGTTTATCCCATTCTACCTGCTGTGTGAAACGCTCTATGTTCTGCTTCGTATAGAAACGTTCGTTGGGGTTCTTGGCGATGAGCTTATTCAGTTCGGAATCGGATGATGATGGATTGTGTCTGCCGCTCCATAGTCTGGAAGTCTTGTGGCCTGGGAATATGCCGCGGAAGATATGTAGTCTTGATCCGTGAAGGCCAATAAGGTATACTTCCTGGTCAGGAAATTTGTCTCCGGGGGGATGCAATCGGTGGATATGAAGGAGTAACTGTGCTAGAAGAAGTTTGAATTTCCCTTCTAGGGCGGACTCGAGCGATTGTTTCTGCTGTGTTGTCTATCCAAGCACATCAGCTAAATCATGTAGTTTTAAGGAGGAGGATTCGCACCGTTGATATAGGAAGAACCGCTCGACTACAAGGTGCCTGTGGATGAGAATCAAGACAAAGGATTCCAGCTGTAAAGGGTGCATCGCTGTGTTTCTCACGATACCCAGTCCAGTATTCCATCTGACAAGTGAGCAATCTTGGGCTATTTATTGTCAGTGAACACCTGCTTAAGAGGATATAGGAAATAGGGTACTTAACCAGTCATTATACCGTACTCACCGAAGAAAAAAGTAGGAAAGGTTATCCTCCATATCCCGCGAGATATTTAACATATTCATGACCTCGTCCAGAAGAGCATAAACCACCTGACCCTGTATCTTCGCCACGTCATTGAAGTTGAACCTGCGATTACTACTCTCACAACGACCACCATCGTTCTCATACAGACCCTTCCTGAACTGGGGTGCCTTCTTAAGCGTCTTATATACCCCTCGGAAACGAATATCGATCTTGGACCATTTGCTCAAGTTGACGTGGCGAGCATCTTCCACGCCTCGGAAGACCCAGAAGGTACGTTGGACGACAGCTTAGCAACGGTTAATACAATTCTCCTGCAAAGACGCGACGGAACCTTTGGAAAGGTAGGGGTGACATACAAGACTGATCCGCCTTGCGAAGGTATCGAGCGGGAACAATATCTTCTTGGGGACGATTCAAGAGCACTTTCGCCTTGAGACCGTGTACGTCGATGGTAATAGGAATGTTTTGCTTCGGGGATGTAGCGAGATCGATATCCTGCTCCATGATTCCAGAGTGCTGGACTGGATGATCTGCTGGATGATTCATCTTTCATCGTGGCTGATCGATCCTTAGACAACTTATAAGAAGAGGACAAAGAAAGAAAAGAGAAAAAAAAAGTGTCATTGACAGTGAATGAACCTGTCTTAATACATTGGACAATGATTCCCCGGGGTGTAACTGGGTAAAACACCTACCTATTACTGCACAGTTTGTCTTCTCTGTCCTTTTGATAATTTTCTTTAAATCATTTCTCTCTTCTGTATGGTAAAAATATTACAGTTGCTTTGTTCTAACTATGATTAACAGTCTACCTTGGCTTCTGCCGAATATAAGATATACACTGGAAGTAATTGTCCTTCCAACCTCTCAAAGAATAGACAGAACCTAACTCAAATGGCTCTATCATAGTTCAACACATGGTGTTCGAAGTACATAACTGAGGGAACGCCCTTGCCTCAAGTTTGGTACTATGGAATTGAAGAAGCTAACTACTATACGGAACCGAGTAAGTCATCGGATAGCCAGCAAAAGAATCTAACTTTTGATACAGTTTAATATAAGTTGACAAATTCTTTAAAAATTTTCAAGACTGTAGCATATTCTAGACACAAAAATGGTATTTTTAATTCAATTGACAATCTACTCTTGCTCAACCCTCTCTTCTGATAACTTTGACTTAACGACATATATATTAAGCGACATATCATCGACTTCTATGCTCATCTCAAGCCTGTTTCTGGCATCATGAAATATTGGACTTCATTTGGAAGATTAGCATATCGGGAATGACAATAAGGGGTTTGTCGATCAATATGTCGCAGGCAGGCTTCCTGTCACCGGAACTGGCAAGTATTGGATGGGTCAATTGACCCAGTGGCGTCATGAACATTGTGCAAACCTATTTGTCTTTTCTCGTATTAGTATCAATGGAATACCTTCCATTCTTGTTACGAGCGTAGGCATTAGACAACACATGTGATGTGTAACCAAGCCTTGCTGTTCTTCTTAAGTCGTCAACCTGTTCTCGCTTCATATTCAAGGCGAAATGTTTCTCGGCATTTGAAAACGGGCTCGAGATTCCCCAAACTCACCTGGCCACATTTCACTGTTTATTATTGTTCGTTGATCCTCCGACCATCCGAAGAATCCTCACATTCCAGTCAGGTTCCACCAGGCCTGACCGCTCGGGCTTGAGCTAGCAAGGACGGAAGGGGCTGGTCAAGAAGGATAAAATAGCATAGAATAAAAAAGAAAATATCCGATTGTTCCTTCTGCTGCTTTAATATTTGGGGAAAGTTGGGAAGTACAGAAGTGTCTTTAATCCTTCAATCCTTGGTCAAGCTGTTTGTATCAGAAGATGGTATTCAAAATCTCACGCTCCCAACGTTTGGTAGCAGTCATTGGAATTTCTTCAGCTTTCTTTGTGGCAGAAATCTCAAGTAAGCATACTTAGAATCTCTTCAATCGATAGAATCACTAAAGCACATATTAGCTGGATTCTATACTCATTCCCTCGCATTAATCGCCGATGCCTTTCATTATGTATGGCCGTGAGCTCTCCTAGAGGCTCTTTGCTAATGATTCTAGTTAAATGACCTGGTTGGGTTCATTGTAGCCCTGGTGGCTCTAAAGGTGGGATCTGCTCTATGCCATTGATCCTGTCTTTATTGAAAATCCGAATCCCCAGGTGTCAGAGACGACGGAGTCTCCAAGATCTTTATCCTTCGGGTGGCAACGAGCCCAGTTGCTTGGCGCTTTCTTCAATGGAGCACTTCTTTTCGCTCTGGGAATCAGCGTCTTTTTCCAATCCATTGAACGTTTTGTCTCTCTGCAGCGTAGGTGACGCCATACTGTTCAGCAGTTTTTGCTGATCAATATCTAGGTGTTGACAACCCAAAGCTCATGCTTATCATGGGATCTATTGGCCTGGGCCTTAATATTGTCAGTGCTGCATTTATTCATGGTACGTTTGATATGTATGGCAATAGGGGAGAGCTATATAGTAACGATCTTGGCAGAACATCACCACCAGCATCACCACCACCACAGTCACAACCATAGGGCTCCACCGGGGCTAGAAACCCCTAACAGCGATAATGAGTCAAATTATTGTGAGGTAAGAAGGTCGAATCCAATGATCGAATCCTCATTTCCCACATGCCATCACTAATAATTCCCTTTGGTATTAGCACCATAGCCATAAGCACCAGCTGCAAAGCACTCGAGCAAAAACCCATAGACATGATCTCGGAATGATGGGTGTTTTGCTCCACGTCATTGGTGACGCCATTAATAATCTCGGCGTGATGGCAGCCGCCTCTGTCATCTGGCAGACACACTATGAAGGACGATACTATGCTGACCCGGCAACCAGCATGGGGATCGCTATCATGATCATCATATCTTCTATTCCGCTGGGTACGTTTAACTGATCTGTGAATCCGTCCTGGCAGAGCTGAGCAGTGGGCCATTTAGCGCGAAGATCCGGTCTTATATTGTTGGAAAGTGCACCTACCGAAGTTGATCCTGCAGATGTCAAGCATGATTTGGAAAAGGTGAGCATATTATATCCGATTCACCATACACAGGAGCGATACTAACAACTTTCATTGACGGATGTAGATCCCCGGCGTGGTCTCCACGCATGAGCTCCACATCTGGCGTCTTAACCAGCAGAAGACTCTGGCGTCTGTCCACATAGTAGTCTCTGACCCTTCCGTGTCCCATTTCCTGAAGCTGGCCAAGATCATCAACGAGTGTTTTCATGCGTATGGGATACACTCCGCCACGCTCCAGCCCGAGATAGCACCGCCAAGAGAGATCATCATGGTCGGGAAGGAACCGGAGAAGGCCCAGACCGAGGAGATGGAGGTGCAGAGAGGATCGCTGGAGAGATGCCAGGTGCTGTGTGGAATGAAGTGCGGGGAGTTGACCTGCTGTGGATAAAAAGGGAAAAGACGGATTTATTCCGGGATGTACGAGGCGGTACCATGTGACGTCAATGACGACGGCAATAACAATAATAACAACCCAATGTCTCATCCTCGGCCAATTAAGGAGAAGCCAGATCGTCTCCAACTCTGTCTGCTAAATGCTCTCCACTTGGGGTCTGATTCATGTACTACTAGGTTTCTTTCGGTATCAACCAACAACAACGCGGGGTCAACGCCAGTCCTCCTGATTGGAGTCGTCGTCTTCCGATTCCCGGTGCAAGGATGGTGATGGATGCTGCATACGTTTATTGCCAAGTGGAAAGTAGTACAGGTGGGGAATTCTATCCCAATATAAGGTGTTCGGTATCCCCGGAACCCTCACCCCTCACTCTTATCTCTACAAGCTAGAATAGACATCTCCTTGTGGTTCTCGATTTCATGATGTCCGTCGAAGGTTGGAAATTACAAGCCCAGAAAGCACAAAATATCCTCCAAAACTCCATTCCTACACAATGGCTTCTCCCCACCGATCGATTACCCCCCACCACCCAGAAAAACGTCGAGGATTTCCCTCGAAAGAGTGGTCTGTTTAATGAACGAGAGCTCGCCATCACCAACATGTCCGCCACAGCCCTTGTGGCAGAGATGGGAACCGGTCTCTTGAGCGCCGAGGAGGCGGTGGTGGCGTTTTTGAAGCGTGCCGTCTTGGGCCATCAGTTGGTTAGTCGATCAATCTGTAGCATTCTCTTCTAAGCGATGCACTATGTTAACAGCTGTAGCTTAACTTTGCAACAGAGTTCATGGCAGAAAAGGCGATTTCGCGCGCCAGGGAGCTGGATGAATACTATAAACGTACAGGGAAACTGGTAGGACCGCTGGTAGGTGAAAATCATCTTTCTTTCCTAGTCGTTAGGCTCAGTTATTCTAGCACGGTGTCCCGATTAGCGTGAAGGAACACATTGGATTCAAAGATCGTACTTGCAATGGCGGCTATGTGGCATGGTATGTACATACTCCCCACATAAATTTGAAGCTGACATGGTTACACGTTAGGGTGGACAACATCGCCCAACAAGATGCGCTGATTCTGCAGTACCTGGAGAAGGCAGGAGCCGTTTTCCACGTCCGAACAAATCAACCTCAGTCCTTGATGGTATTTCCATCTTTTCATGTGGAATGCAAGGATCATGCCATATCTAACACATAGTAGCATTTAGACTGCAGCAACAATATCACGGGTACAACCACCAACCCATTCAACCGCACTCTCACGCCTGGAGGCTCCTCCGGTGGCGAAGGTGCATCAATGGGGTTTAAATGCGCCCCGTTAGGCGTTGGTTCAGACATCGGAGGCTCGATTCGTGCCCCGGCTGCCTTTTGCGGCGCATATGGATTCCGGCCCACGATGCGACGGATCCCATGTACTGGGGTCTTAGCCCCAGTACTTGGTCAAGAGTCTATTCTCGGTGTGGTCGGTCCTCTGGCAAGTCAGAGCATTGAGGACTTAGAGCTCTTTCTTCGTGTCGTCGCGGACCAGGAACCATGGGATGTTGAAACCTCTCTAATCCCAGCTCCTTGGAAACGAGCCACGTCTACTAGAAATATGACAGTGGCTATTATGTGGGACGATGGGTATGTTGTTTCCTGTCTAGCATCAATCCCAGCACTCCACATTCCAATCTGCTAAAATTGTCAGATGTGTGCATCCTCACCCACCGGTAACCCGCGGCCTGAAGCACGCCAAAAAGCTGCTCCAAGCAGCAGGAATTCGAGTCGTGGATTGGGAGCCATATAAACACGCTCACGGGTGGGAAATAGTGGTGGGTCACCATATAACCAGCCCTACAACCCCTCTATTCGCCTAAAACTCAACAATATACAACCATACTAACAACAACCCCAAACCAGTCCTCATTATACTTCCCCGACGCCGCCGAAAGCCAACGTACCATCCTCGCTCAATCAGGGGAACCAATTCACCCCCTAACTGAATGGGCCTTCAACCACGGTAGTAGGAAGTCACTCACAATCGCCGAGAACTGGGCCCTCAATGCGCAGCGCGATCAGTATCGTGACGAATACCACGCTCTCATGAAATCCCGCGACGTGGATTTCATCCTCAGTCCCGCGTACGTGGGCGTTGCGTCTGCGCTGGGAGAGGCCCAGTACTGGAATTACACGGCGATTTGGAATATCCTGGATCAACCGGCTGCGGTATTTCCATCTGGGTTGGTGGTTGATTCGGCGTTGGATCAAGTTGATGGGGATTATTCGCCGAAGAATGAAGTGGACGAGCGTGAATGGAGGAAATATAGCCCGGAGAAGTATGAAGGAGCGCCCATTGGGTTGCAGTTAACGGGCAAGCATTTCAAGGATGAGGAGACGTTGGCTGCTGCTGGGCTTATCTCGAGGATTGTTCAAGGACAGATCTGATATCGAAGTTTTAGGGTATATATGGATTGCTGCTTTCATCAGATGTTACGGTATGCATAGTCATTTACATTCCCATGCTGTCATTATATCCATTCAATTATCAAAGTACCTACAAAACTGCCGCATAACATCCCATCCCATGGAAAGATCTCCGAGTATCAACACAAAACTCCCAATATCAAGGCAGAAAAAAAAAAAAAAAAAATCAACTCGACTCAACTCATTTCTTCCAAAACATGACCTTACCCATCTGTCTTTTAACGGCCCACTTAGCCTCGGTGAATGTATCTCGAACACTACCTCCCCCTCCATAGCTGGTGCTGCTACCCACGGCACTAGCATTGGCTGCCGCATGTGCATGGGCGATATTGCCCGCCTCAAATTTGGTCTTGCCCTCGACGATCTTCTGCACCACAAAGAGAATGGCATAGGTCGTGGATCCAAGTACACGGAACAGGGCGAGCACAGCGACAGACCACAGCACAATGGCCAAGTAGACGTTCGTACCACCAGAATCGACCCCATAGACCTCCGAAACAGCCATGGCCAAGATGAGGTTGGCCACCATCCAGATCGACACCATATACGTGCGGACAGCTCGATAGTAGTCTTCCTGCTGTTGGCTTTCAGGGATGGGAGGCTTGGGAACTTCGAGGCGGTCACGGAGATTCCGCAGTGCGGCATCGTACCCGCTGTCGATGTCAAGCTGTTCCGAGGGCATCTCAACTTCGACAATGGAGCCGTTAATAATACGCGCTGCACCCAGATCCGTGTGGATCGTGTTGTCACCTTTGGTACCCCAGGTCACGTCATGAGTGTTGCAGAAGGCGTAAATCTGCAGGGTACAAATGTAACTCGGCATGAGCGCAAAGTATTGTGCGGACGAGGTGAACATGTGCCATGGATCAAGGTAGAGGAAGCAGCTAAAGAAATAAAGGCCGATAGTTGAAAGCATCGAAATGACAATATTTACAAATAATCCGTCATCCACCTTGAGATCAATGTGAGTATTGGCTCCAGCTTTTGCCATAAGCTCCAAGACGATAAGGTATATGGTACAGAATGCAGTGTAGACCATGATGACACAGTACACGATAATGCCGGATAAATACAGCTTTTTAGCACTAAAAGTGTCATATTAGGGACGGCTCATTAAGGAATAGCCCAGAAATTACTCACCCCTGAGGTCGGTTTCCCATCGAGATGATAAATTGTAGACACATTATTACCACGCAAGCATATCGTAGCACGGTAAAAATGTACTTGCCCATATTGTGACCAAATGGATCAATTTTCTTATTTGAAAGTGATCCAGCAATGAAATAGAACGCGAGATAGAAGTTTGCCTAATAACCATGTCAGCTTTCCGACCCCATCATTGCCATTCCAGCGAGAAACCCTTACCAAGCCAAAGTAAGTAAAAAGCAGCTGTATAAATTGATACACAGACTCGATCTGAAGCAGAATCTTGCGTGGTAGCGAGTGATCTGTCTTCCACAGCTGTCTTACATTGACAATAGAGTAGACGGCTGCAAAAAATGCACCATTCAGCCAACGTCTTCGCTGGGAGATAAACTCAGGAATATTATCTGAAAAACAGGTCAGCGGTGATTTCTAGTCACTTTGTAGCTTCCATTACCTGGGACGTCAGTTTCTCCAACCGCACTCTTGACAAATCGCAAGACCCATCTTTCATCGCGCTTAGCTACCAATTCCCAGCAGAGGATACGGTCTTCAGCTAGATACATGTTGGCTGTGAACACATCCGCATCCTGTCCATGCAACGTTTCTCCCTTGAAGTACTGGTTCAATGGCCCGTTGCCCTCTGCATCATTCTGCAGTGCAAAAAACCGGTAGGCACTAAGGGCACCGGGGAGCACGGTAATATAGCCGAAGACAGACTCCAGGGGCTTATCCAAAATGTTAGACATCTTATATTCGAAATTCTGGCTTGCAACTAAAGGATTGAGAAGACCAAGCATGCCTCTGCCTTTGCCAGCCTTGATCTCGCCAGCAGCCCCAGCAACATTGGAATCCTGATCGAATGCTTTCCACAAGTGGTATAAAGCGGTCGGTTCTGGTTTTGTACCAACATCAAGAAGAATGCAAATATTCGGCTGAAGCGCTCTGCCGAACGCGTTAAAAAACCAGCGGTGGGAGTTAAGCTTCTTCTGGTTATGTTCCTTCAGGCAGAAGATGACCTGACATGGAACAATGCCTTTTTCTGCTCCCTTGAACTTCAGATCTGAGTCAAGCGACACTTGGGTTGTGTACTCGTAGACATGCGCATTCACCTGTTTCTGGTTCACGATGTTCTTGGCAATCCCTTCCTGATAGACACCCATGGCTGCCAAAGCGTTGAGAGTTCTGGGATGCACCTTTTTACGGCCATCTGCAATCACACAAACCACAATCTTTTGCCACCCATCTTTGCCCCAAGTTCGGGATTTCGAGCGGGAGCAGAGGTGGCTAATATTCCGCATAACGCCATGCATAGTCCTAGTAAAACATATCTCATCCTCATTGTACATAGTCACGCAGATAAACAACTCCGTTTCGCGCATGGTGCTACCGATCTGTTGGCGCAATTTGTATCCCCTTTGGGCGAAGTCGTCTGGGTCACAGGTCACCGCTGTGTATCGCATGTGCGTGAATTCTCGATCGTCTCGACGAGGTAGGAAGCTATGCAAGATGGTTGGAATCTTACATTCCAAGATCAGTTCACCGTTGATCAGTTGGACTTCTTTTTTAGACATCTGAGCCTCTCGAACACCCCGTCGGCTTTGCTTCTCCGGAGCGGGACCATAGTGTAGATTAGGATCCACCATCTCGCTTGTCTCGTCATATTCATCCAAGTCAACTTTGGTCATAGTATCTTTTTCATCAGTGATTATTGTGGATTCACTCATAAATGACTGAACACTAGCACTATGATGATGGTGTGGGTCAGCTGTTCTCCTGCCACTCCCAAAGACATCATCAGGATCATTGATATCACCGATGTCGATGCTGGCATCTTGCCCGCTGGCCGCTGACACTGGGCCTGCAAATAGTGGTGCAGGCGGTAACGGTCGTCGTGGGCTACCTCCATATCTGGAACTGGGAGTGCCTGGTCGAGGACTGCCATTGAGATCCGCACTTTCGTAGTGCGAGCCTGCAACTGACGATGGTCTAGTGGGACGAGTCCAGTCGGGGGCACGGGATGGGGACCAAGGCCGCGTTGGGGAGCTCGGGCGAGAAGAGTAGTGAGGGATATCTACCATTGATGCTGCAGGCGGTGGGATGTTTGGAGTATTGTGCAGTCTAGAAATGGGTCGCGAAGGGGATTCTTGCTGGTCATACTCATGGTATTGATTAGAGTATTGCTGGATGTGCTCCGGTCTATTTCGTGGAATACGAGCGTTAGCTCTTGATCTTCGGTGACGGGCCATGGTGCGTAAACAATCATTCCAGAATCCGTCAGGGTGTTTTTGAAAGTTTCAGTGTACGATGGTTGCCAATAAAATGAATGGAGAAGGTAAAGGCAATGCGAAAAGCAAAGAGACGATGCATAGGTTTTTTGTCAATGTTTACCAATCACTCCCTCATGAATTCACAGATTTAATTTTACAGCCCAGTAGATTGAGCCCCATTCATCTGGGTTCATGATTGGCTTTCGCCAACAAGGGATGGAAAGTATGAGGAGAGGGTGTTCATTGTAGACATTCCAGAGGGGATCGTAGGAATGCAAAAGATATGACAGAAAACCGGATTGAGTACTTACTGAGGACCATCAACATAGGTATTTGCGTACTGGTACGTCGCTGCAGTCCCCACATTACTGTGTAGCTGGTCACTTACATCACAGCTGGTCGGAAGCAGTCGCATTGTTGACCCATTGTGACGCGGAGACTCATTATCCGAGAGGAAAGAGGATGTTTCTCCATATCCATAAGCAGGCGGTTCCTCTTCGTAGTTGGGCGCAGGTGGGTATATGCGAGATGAGTTAGAATTCATATTTGTCATTGATCTTCCTTCTGTTACTTTTGAGCCTTCATAATCTCCAATAGCGAATGACGAGTATGAAACAGGGGAGGCTACAGGATGTTCCTCGGTGATAATTTTGCTGTAGCTTTCCGGATCACTAAGACAATCGTAGGCCCAAGGCAGACGGGCTGCTCTGGTCCACTGGGCTCTGAGGAAAGATTTCAAGAGTCAGTTGAGTTGCCCCGTAGTCCATTGACAAGGAGGGGTGTGAATCAAGAATGTTACTTACTGTGGAAAATTATCTTGTAATACACCGCGATAAACAAGCCAAATACGAGTGAGTCGCCTGGCTGGAATGTCCCAGTAGTAAAGAAGACAACAACTATTGAAGACTCCGCGTTACTGAGCTTGCTCTCGGGGATGTAGCACGGACGGATGCTAAAAACAAAGATTCACAATCTGAACCACTGCTGGGTAATTTGATAGATTGAGAAGTGTAGATTAGACCTGCATTTGTTCCAGGAGATTTACAGTGGATACAGGCGCTTTCAGTCCGTGGAATCATCATCCTGCGGCAGTAGGAAAGCATGGTTGTCGCCCTGGCAACGACCCAGTTTGCGGACGCTGGCGAGGCTAGCGTCCTTACAGGCTTGCAGCTTCAAGACATAGCAGCGTCGCAATGGGATGGCCGGAACTAGTCTTATCCAATGGAATTCGATTTTCATTGTTAATTCCCCTGCCGAAAAGTGGTTGCCTTTAAAAGACGCCGCCATCGCGGATGTTTTTACAAGTTGGGATTGCTACGCGGAAGCACATGTCTTCGATCACGTCAGCATCGTCATTAGTTAGTTTTATTATTTAGAGTGCCATCGAAATTACAAGCATTCAGCAAAAATAAAAAACTTGGATATCCGGCCAGATTTTCGGAGCGTCGCTGATTATTGAAGTTTTGGAATGGAGAGTTAAAAACAACCCAAAAAATATAAAAACCTAAAAAAAAAAAAGGGAAAGAAAGTTCAGGGAAAAGATACACTAATTAAAAAAACTGCAGTGCAGAGCTTATGGTTGATTAGAATTCTGAGTAGCAAGCACAAAACAAGGCAAGGAAGGAACACATCGAGAACAGTCAATACTGATATTGATATCCCTTGCATCCACGTAGACACCTAATTTATGACGCAGTTGGAGGCTGTTGCGCCTGGTCACTAAGCAGTGGCTCCCTCTCGCGATCCGTGGCTTCCGGCAGGACACGTTTACGGAAGAAGATATCGCGACCACTGCGCCTGGTGATAGAGACATAGAGAGAATTCACAAGAAAAACGGCAAAAATGACGAAGGCAAATATCCACTGCAGAGCGATCGTCTTGACGGCAATCTGCTTCAACGCAAGGCCTGTGAGATATCATTAGCACGGCATATTATTTCCCCCACGTTAGCGAGCACGTACCAAAGGACAAAAAGCTTAGACAATACCCCAGAAGATCATCTTGGGCCACCGTGATATGAGCAGTTCCAATAACATAAATCACCCAAATGAAGACGTTGGCCGCGATCCTGGCCGCTTGAGAGTTACTCTTCACGGCAACAGCTCCGTTCCAGAACAGTGCCACTAGTGTCCAGGCAAAGGGACCTGCGATAGTGGCCAGATGTACAATGCGTGGTAGAGTGCGATGTCGCCAATAGGCTACCAGTTGATTCACGAAGTTCACGATCAGAATGACCTCGGAGCCCCAGAAATGGTTCCGAGTCCATAGAAGAATCCATGCAAAGATGAGCAAGTTGTTCAGGATAAAATGAGTTCCCACGTTAGCAGTCGCCGTGACGATCGCTTCATCTCTATGGAAGAGATGATAGACGTAGCTGAGCTGGGAGAGAAGCAGTAGGATCCTATGTGAAACATGAGCAGGACTGGAATAAAGAAGAACCAAAAAAAAAAAAAAAAAAAAAAAAGGACCTGGAAAGGGAAAGGAAATATACCAAAATATCCCCGTAACAATAATATTCAGACTGAACGGGGTGATGTGTCGATCTGCTTGCGTGAAGATGGAATGGCCATGCTTGATATCATTGGGTGCGCTAATAGTATAATATACTCCGATAACGACAACCAGAGCCCAAGACAAGGGGACCAGAAGACGATAGGAACTTAGGGAATATCGGTCATACGAATCCCGTCGAGCAAAGGGATTATCTAGGAAGAGCCAGAAGTTAGCTAGCTGGGGCTAGTTTGTATGCGAGAGAAGACAAGTGGGTCGATAGACAACAGAAGGACTTACAAGATGCCATGGTGGAGGCCAAAGGAGCTCAAAAACTTGAAAAGGAGACGTGAGGGGAAGAGACGCCTTAAGGCAGATGCAGATGTACGAGGAGACGGCGAACCGACTATATAGTTAGTAAGGAGACAGAAGTACCATGAACTCCTTCAGTACTTGCGCCTCTAGTAATGAAGTCGGCCCCGCATCGCCTGATCTTCTGACATGGCGCCTTTTGCTCTCAGTGGCCGCCAACCACCCATCCCACGGGATCGTCTTCCTTTGCCCCCGGTTCATTGGCTTCATTAGACTTCCTCTGCTGTTTCCACCTCTCCTCTCCATGGTTCTCACCGTCTCTGAGGCTGATTGGGTTATGATATCACTCCATCCTGGAACGAACTTCCGGACCGATTCAGTACGACGTATAAAAAATGTATTGCCTTGTTGATCTACTTATTCCACGTTGTCGATCGGTGCACGGTCCTACTACAGGGTTTATCCAGTGCCGCTATTTAGTCAACCATCCTGCACCTTAAAAAGGTTAAGGAGGGCAATAATTAATAGTTCTTAAGCCATAGTGGATCCCACATATTCCAACCAATCTTGACATCTGAGAGCTTACACAGTCGCTGCATTTCTAATAAATTGGGAGGCAGAGAGTATAGTAAGAAGACAGGAAGCGAAGACAGAGAGGGGAAAAACAAATAGGAAGAATGGCCAGCAGAAACTAAGAATTCCAGAATGACCGTTCATCCTGCTCGATAATGTCTCATGGCCTCTACTAACCGTCCATGGATAGATGCAGGCGCTATAATCATCCCGTAACACTCCGCCAGGGTCCTGCCCAGGCCGCAGTCAACCGGATTACCTGCAAGGTCGCTGACCTTACACCCTACCTCCTCTGCAATTAACATGCCTCCTGCATGGTCCCAGATCTTGGACCGATATGACGCTTTGCGGGGCATCTTGATTAAAGTGTTACAGCCCCCTACCGCGATAGCAACATATCGTAACTGCGCTGCCCAGAGATCGGTTGTGTGGGGCCAGGGTACGCCCAGATAAGATGCAAAGTGAGCGTGAGAGTCATAGTTAGATGATGTGGAAGCGACACAGTCCACAAAGTCGAGGTCTTTAAAGTCGCTGATTTGGGGTCTCGGTTCAACCCGGCGCGCCGGTAGGAGTGCCCCTCTCCCCATTCTCCGCATATATGCGCCTTGGCCAGCAACGGCAAAGAGCTGGTGTCCGTACCCGTCGTGATCGACGATATCTTCATGCATCCGGCCGGAAGACAGATTGAGATTCGGACAGCCCAAGACTCCGACCTTTTGGCGTCCATTCTCCACCAGTGCCAGACACACCGCATATTGTTGGCCTTGCATGAACGTTGCCGTGCCATCCACGGGATCCAGGACCCAGGAGCGGTTATGTGGGCTACAAGTACCCAGAGCCCCCAGGTCGATCAGCTCGAGCATCTCCTCCTTCGAGCCCGGAGAATAAAGCAGTGCCTCGCTTTCTTCGTCTTCAAGCTGAACGGACGAGACTAGATCCCAGGCTCGTTCAAGTAAACTTTCATCCTGTCGAAGGGCCATTGAGTCTTCCTCACCGACGATGGTGTCCTCGGGAAAGACATGATGAATCGCACTAACGATCAGAGCTTGAGCGGTGAAGTCAGCAATCGTGACAGGCGTCGAATCACTCTTATCGAGAGTCCCTTTGTCAACAGCGTCGAGCACCTTCTTCGTCAGGAGAGCGGCTCTCTGGACCGCTAAACATGCGATGCTGAGCTCCCTATGGTAGGGATCAGTAGACTCCATGGTGATATACCTACTGGCCTGCAGCCTAGGACTGTATGACGTCGTTTTCCCAAAGGATCCGGGAATATGAAATTAAGGTGGATGTGATGAAATAAAACTCGCACAGGCCTTTTCAATCTCCACTTCCGATTAATAATTGAAGGTTAATAAACAGTGAGTGGAACACTGCAAGCCCAAAGCGGAGCATGTATAGAGCTCTCCTTGTCTGCAGAATCGAGTCGACCCGATTTCCCTGGATCTTTCAAGCACAACAGACGCGACCAATATTAAATCCAATTTCCCTGGGTGGGTTCTGGTGTGAACGTGTGACGTGCTCTACTGCTATATAGTGAGATAAGGTCGGACCACGTACTACACATAAATGTATGCGTAGAACTATAGGGCAAGCAATTGATGTCCAGGACTAAGGACGCCTAGGAAGTGAGCTGATGTGAACAAATAATACTAGATGGGGTCCCCGAAGAGTTTGCTGAGAACTTCCCATTCTAGTTAGCGTGTCCCGGTCCGTTGTCGGCTTAGTCTCGGTCTAATTAGATAGTCCTTTGAAAGGTGGGGATTCCACAAAAACAGAGAGTAAAAGTGTTAGTATGGTCAACCAATTGTTATCACAAGAAATGATATCTATGGCGATATATAGTCTGATCGAATAAAAGTGTTCGCAATCAGCTCTTCTAACATGCCATGCATAAATGTCCATATACTTTACGAAGAATCTAAACCTGTGACCTCAGATCCTAGACCCAGAAGTTGAATTGTCCTACACGCACTGGAACACATGAAATCAAAACGGAGCGAATGCCAGCTCATAAGCGAATCCAACTGTAAGCTTCGTATGCTGTAGCATATGATCAAAGCTCAAATATTTGATCTTGTCATCAGTTGTGTGGATTTTCTTATTGCTATTTTCCATTTCCGACTCGGTCGCCATGGCCGCTGGGTAGCCATATTTACTCGCGGACGTGTGGTCAGAACAAGCATAGCCACATTTAGTGTCAATGAAGCCAATGTTGCAATACTTCTAAGACCGTTAGCAAGCATCCTGTGTTAGAGATTATCGGGACTTACGCTTGTGACAGTATCTTTGACGAATTGAGTTAGACCTCGATCAACATAGTCGATCATTATCCCCACGGCCTCCTGGCGGCCAGCTTGAAGAGCCCCCAGGGTATAGCCGGTCATGTCCTGCTGAAGCATGGCCTTCACATCCTGTCTATCCTTCTTGTATTTGGCAAAGACGGCTTGGGAACCCAGCATGCCACCCTCCTCTGCTGAATACCAATGGAACTCGATTGTGTTCAGCGCATTGCCTTGAGCAACAATATCTGATTCCAACAGGCCACGTAAAGCTTCAAGAATAGTGACGGCTCCACTGCCATCGTCATCGGCACCTGGCGCGGGCAGAATTGAAGGAAGGAACAGATTGATGCTATCCTGGTGAGCACCCAGCACAATCGTCCTGTTTGTCTGACCGGGGATTCGAGCGATGATACTGAATTGGCCCCACGGGTGATCAAACCGATTAACGGTCGCACCGTGTTTCGCCGCCCCGGAATTTTCGATTACTTCTAAAACCCGGTTGTAAAGCCATGTTGCCGACTCAACACCCGTCTTGGATTTATAGTAGCGAGTATAGAATGATGTGAATTTTTCTAGGTCTTGCTCCATGTTGGTTTTAGACAGATTGTTGATGAGCGTAGTCACTTCCTCTTTGTGTTCCATCTTCGAGGGATAATGCACAGAGCTAGTTGAGTGTATTGTCGGATATACTCCGGCATCTTGCTCTGCAGTCACATCGATAAAATTCACCCCATCCTATGGAAGTGTTAGCACAAAAAAATACTATCGGCACATTCTTTGCCAATAAAAACACAAGTATCATAGGTCTAAAGGGTTGCAGAAGAATACGGAAAGCTTCAAAACTTACCAATTTCAGTACCCATTTTTCTTCTTCCGTCACCCATCTAGTTTGATAGGGAGCTAGCTCGATCAAATACTTCTCTTGACTATGATAAATTTGCTGATTCGTCAGTGGTGCCTGCAGCGGAATTACCGTTGCTAATACATATGTTGAGGCTGTTGTACTCAACGCGAGGGCTGTTCCAAGCTTCATCGTGATTTACTAATATAATGAATGGTATCAATAAGGTGTGACAAATCAAAATTCCTGCAGAAAGGGAGATTTTTTTTCTTTTTTTTGTATGTATAAATTTTGTGAGAGAGAGACAGAGAGTAAAAATAAAAGGGGGGAGGGAGGTTAACTGTAGCTCGCTCGAACAGCTCTCACACGTAAATGACGGAAGAGGTGAAGCTGCGAGAGATGGGGAAAAGTTGGGGAAAGAGACAGAAGTGGGCGGCTGCAGAGGCCGTCCAGCCTTACTCTAACGGAATAAGCACAAAGTTCCAGAAGTGTGTTACTGGACAAGTTATGTCATTGATTATATAGTTCGCTGCAGATGACACTGTCGACTTTAGCGAATTTGTGCAAAAGTAAGTAGTATAATAGATATTATATCTGTATTCTGGGTTCTTAGCCACCCTCAAGGAGTCCGTCGAGCAGCATGTACTCCGTGTCTACCCCGTACTATATATAATTATAGGTTCAATAAGCGAGCTCTTCTTGTTGGCCATGTGACTGATAACTGAACCTTAGTCCGAAAGTGTCTGAGCTACTTTTTATCTCTAATATTAAACTTGGCATAGGGCGAAATAAGTGCTTGTGTGCTGAGACCGAGGTCTGTATTTAGATTTTTGTAGGAAAAGCCCTTGGGCCTAGTTAATCTACTGACCGCCTGAGGTATGAATCACCATGATGGGTCATGATGACTCCGATCGGTGATTGACCCAGTATCCATCCTATTCAAGTAATCAGGGCTAGGGCTATGGGCAATCTCTCGCCAATCAGGTAGCCCAAGACCGTCCCGTGGCCCCAGCCTGAGTCAACAGCAGGTCTCGAAAAAAACCATACCTTACCGTACCAGGTTCAACGTTGATCGTCGGACGCGTACGGACGCCTTAATTCCCGTCCTATCTCTTATCTGTCTCCTTCCCATCCCTGCTCGCATAGTCTTTCTAAATCCCGTTACGCATTCCTTTTTCTCTAGAGAACGACGCCTTCACAGGGCCGGAACGCCTCCTTGTGCTCCATTCCGCACGTCCTGCCTGGCCTCTTCTGTTCCTGACTCTCAGCCAAGTCCCAACTGCATCGTATTCCGAAGCTGTGTCATGGCCATACACCCCAATTTGCGCCCTCAATCAGATGCTCAGGGCCATCTATCCCCACAGCAGACCATGGCCATCTCGGCATGGACAGAACAGGCAGCCGCATCTCTAGAGAATCTGACTATTTCCGAGTCAGTGCCCGCCAACCATGCGCCCACCCGCAGGACGTTGAACGGAGCTACAGTTTCGTGGTCAATTCCCCTTGATGACCCAGTTCCTAGCACCGATCGCCAGTCTACATCTAAAGCCAAGTTCTTGGGTCGAGCTTCGAACCAAACCCAGCAGGCTCCCTCCGTCACCTTTCGGCGCCGTGAGCCACTTCGTCGCGATAGTCTGAAGAGGCGTGAGGCTTTGCTCAAGGGAAAGGATGGCAGTCGCCGCAGACAACGCTGGGAGAATGGTATGTCATGATCGCTTAATGCAGAGAACCATGGTGCTTGTTTGTAGGGCCTGCAGTGGCGGGTTATACCTTGCTGACCAGTTCTTTTCCGCACATAGATCGCCTTATGCATAATCCGTGGGCGGAGCCACCTTCTCCCAATGACTGGGCTATACAACCCACTTACACTCGGCATAACCCTATGCCTTATTGCTTGGCTCCTCTCTGGGATGTTCACTATGCACATGCGGACCGTACGTCGTCCAAGCAGACAATGAAGGGCACAAGGAGCGAGATCCATAATATTCCGAAAGAACTTCGTGTGAAATTGAAACGCGCTCGTGCTGCCCGGGGCATGCTCCAGGATATCGAGGAGGACATCAGGCAATTCATTCAAAGATGGAATGAAAAGCAACTCATGCTTCATAGGGAAGGGTTGGCAGATGCGCCTGAAGAACCCGACGGGGATTCTGAGGATGAGATTGTCTTTGTGGGGAGAAATGGCCAGATGCATGACTCACCCATGCACAAGAAGAAGTTGCAGCAGATGCGTGAGGCGATGGAAACCCATAATGAACGTGACGGGGAAAAGTTGGTGTTCGAGAGTTCGGCTGATGATCGGGCTGCTGCTTTTGGGTAAGTCGTGAGCTGACAGTCTTGAATGACCACTGGCATTGAGTAACCTTATTAGACGCTGGCTTGTCCACTCCATCGCGTCTTATTACGGACTGCACACATGGTCTGTCACAGTGGGAGAACCCGCCCGTCGTGAAGCATACGTCGGAATGTATCCTCGTACCGGACATTTTGGAGAGCCTGTTGACTCCACGACATGCTATCCAGACAATATAGTTCGGCCTGGGGCAGACCTTCCTCGACCCCTGTGGACACAAGTGTGAAATTAGTCGATCCATTTGCGTTTATAGAACTTTATTTCGATACAAACTTGAGATCGCATTCTGATAGACTCAGGGTTGCGATTAGATTTGTTTTGCACTGTGATAATTTTCGGACACTCATTGTAAGATAGATGGAGCAGTGTTAAATCATATTGACAACATTACCGAGCAATGTAACAATGGCGTCGCACCTTCCTCTGTAATATCCATGCTTTCCCTTCGAAAAGGGTGGCTATAGCTGCCCAGAGATAAAGGTCCTGCATTCACTTCCCGCACCAACCGAATCAGGTTATGACCATATCTTACCTACGTCAATGTTTCAGAGAATTACGTGGCTAATTACTAACCTTAAACCCAAGAAAGGGTCGTGTTATGGTGGAAATTGAGAGAAAAATGGCCCAAGTACCGGGCATATTTACCCTGTGCCTTCTTAGATATCATAGCAGCTATTGCAGGCGTTTAACCAACGTTGTCGACGCCACTGCATTCTTCTACCAATGGGGATTGAACTGGGCACGGTCAAGTATAAGGACGTCTGCCCTATGGGCTATTTTATTAGTGTTCCCTATGTGCAGCGGCAAAGTGACAGCATCTTTCTGGACATGGGGTCACTCTTTATACTTATATTGATGACTTATTTAATTTTCTCCGCTTATGAGTCCCGCCGAATTTTTGTTATAATCTTATTATACAACGCTACGTTCATACGATGCTATTGGCATCACTGGAACAGCACTCACTTATAGTGGAGTTTTATTGATACCAAGCCACCAGGTCGAAGATGGAGAGAGTATGAATCAAGAGCCCTGTATTCTAGGGAAGTCGCGCTTCAGGTAGCCGCACCAGTGAATTTACGGTATAACGAGCTTTTCGTCATAATCCGCATAACTAAAGCTCATGCTTTTTACCAGTCATACAGTACACTATTTGCAGGTGTTGTGGAAAGACATCTAACGACTAGCAAGGCTTGGGTGAAGGATAGGGTTACCCCATACTAACTAGGCTGGATTGTACAGCCATACTGTTGAAAGTTGTGTGTGTTTGATTTAGTGTAAGGGGCCTCCCTGGACTTTGCTCGAGATGCATGAATGCCTTGATCGGCCGTGATTAACTCGCTTTACCTGGAGTCTAATTCCATAGAATTTTCCTGTCCCATGAGTTGGTTCTCGGACCGAGAAAGAACGCTCGTTTTAACTAGGCAAGCAACCAGTCAAAAATTGGCGGCCAGAACGCAAGGATCTCATCCCCACCGTCTCCATCCATAGTGGGTGGGGTTCGTAGTTGAAAACTGGGATAGACTTCATATCTGAGTTTTCACGATGGAAAATGATGCAATATCCGATATCGGACAATGATTTCTGTAATTGCGCGAGCGTATCGAGATCCGCCTGTTCTATCGAGTCCTGAGAGAATGCCGGGCATTCTTCGCAGCCGCCATGTTTATGAACTGGAGGAACCGGCTCTACCTGGCTTCGGACCGATCCGAAATGTCCCCAGTCAGTTCCATGGTTCGTTTTTGAATAGTGTAGAAGTAGGTACCCTCTTTTTTCTTTCCTTTTCTTTATTTCCCCCCTCCCCCATTCTTTCAAAAAGCAGGACAGAAGCAGATAGACTGTAGGTGAACATCGCATAATTCGGCGCAGGGGAGGCAATAAATGCATCCCAGCCAGAAATAGCCTATGGATAGATAGCTCTCATAGCCCATTCCAAAGAGAGTGAAGTGTAGAACACAAAAAAGAAAAATGAAAAAAGAAAAAGAAAATAATAGAGTCCATGCCTGTTTCCCGGGGCCATCACCGGCAATTGTGGCATTGCCAATGTCGAACAGGAGGCCAGCCTCTCTGAAGAGTGCAGCTTCCTGATTGATGTTTATCGATCGGGAAAAAGCCTGAGATCACAGTTGGGACGTGAGGAGGCTGATCCATTTGGATTGACCAAGTATAGTGCTAGTGACAGTTCAGGCTCGACGTGGCTCTCTCTCCACCGTCCGTTCGTTGTCTTTCATCCATTCTCCTTCGCTGCCCTCTCTCTCTGAGAAGTACTTAGCGCTACTAGCAACCTTCTGCGCCACATCCTAATTTGTTACTTTTTTTGTTTTGTTCTTCTCTCACTCTCCATCCCTCTCTCTCTTTTGGTTTGTTCTCGTCCGGGTCTTCTTCGTGCCTACCCGCACAGCCCTGGCCTGGCGTCATCTGTTATGTACGCCGGCCCCTTCAGCATTCCCCTCTCTCTTCTGGAGCCCGACGAATGTTTTCGATCTTTCCCTTTTGGACCTCCTATAGTGTTTTCCTTCTAGCCGAAAATCATCGTATGACTGATCCCTCGATTTTCTTTTCAAGTGTTCGTTGCCTCACCTTGCTGTCTCCCCTTGCATACGTCGTCGTGCAGTACAGACGTACAGAGTGGCAACCCCAAGATGGAGCAGTGACTCTATCCTCACAGTCTGGTCTGATTGTACATATCTCATCGATTTACTCCATACTCCACCATTTTTTTTCTTTTTCTGTTCCCTCCTATCCACCCGCGTTTCTAACTCCTGGATATCTTCATCCCACTATCGATTTTCGTTCCGGAATAAAACAGCACACTTCTTGTGTCCTAGCTTCCAAAAAAAAAAAAAAAAAAAAACATACAAAAGAAAAAAAAGAAAAGAAAAAGCCGCCGACACTGCATCCGGTAAAACAGTCTTCCCTGCCAATTCGCTCGAGTCGTGCATATCCAACACCTCCTAAGACAGCTTCTCATATCGCATTAGCGCCGTCATGGGGTCGTACTGTGCATCGTCATATCAAGATGGTCCGAGGACGGGAAGAAGCTCTAGCTCCACCAACAGTGATACTTCGGATCGCTCGAAGAGCACGGTCCCTACGATCTACAGCGATCGGCCCACTTCGAAGCGGAGAGACACGGTGGAGATTTACGTGAAAGATCCTAGAGATTCAATATCAACCTACGCGTCAACGGTGCCTTCAGCCGAGGACCTTCCCGAGAAGCCATTCTACGAGGTAGTCGATCGGACGCTGGAGATATTTCCCACCGATGTGATTCCCTCTAATCCGTCCACGTTCGCAGACCTATTCCCGTCCCCCCGGCGACTACTCATCCGCCACGATGATGCGACCCTGGATGGGAACATGAACCTCCGGATAGACACTATGGTGCCCGGGCGAGGACGATGCCAGCAAGAAGTAACCTTGTTCCATCTGCGCATGTATGACTTGTTCTCGAGAAAGTTTTCCTTTCGACGCTACTGTCGGGATTCTGGACGGGAGGTGTGCCATTCGGAGCGGAGACCTCGATCGCCCGTCTCACATAAACGGCCGGTATTTCGACGTTCTTGGAACAGCGTCCTGTCTAGTTTGAAGCCAGGCTCAAGTGGGAACAGTTCGCTGCCCAATTCAGAGCACAAGCGCCAGGGTTCGGAGTATAGGCTGGCTGGAGACGAGGGGTACCTGGGGGACAAGGATTTAGACGCCCAGGGTGGCTCCGATCAAACCACCTCCCTTGCTAGCAGCACCTTGCTGGAGTTTTCGAATTATGCGCATGTAGAGGTCAAGAGACGGGACGCCGGGATATCTAAGAAGTACGAGTATGAATACTGGTCTACAAAGTACCAGTGGAGACGGGAATATCGGAAGGAGGGGGAGCTACGAGAAGTTACCTACCATCTTGTCAATACGCGAACGTCCAAGCAGATCGCTCATATTATTCCCGAAATCTTGACCCCCATGGAAGCGATTGAAGAGAGCAGCAAGGGGGGTTGGGTTCCTCCCTCCTCCATGTGGATCAGCGATGCCTCTGTATATGAAAGGATGTCCGACATTGCCGAGTATGTGTTGTCATCGTCGTCGTTGTCGTCGTCGTCGTTGTCGTCGTTATGTTTATTTTTATTATGTTTTCCACATTTCATTTTTGTCCCTTTCCCCTCTCTCCTCACTTCTTGTTTCACCCGGTGACGTTGGCTGACTGCGTGTGAAGTGTGATAGTTGTGACCGGACTGATTGTCCTAGTCGATGACTGTATCCGTCGACGCTGGCACTCGCGAAAACATACTCCACTCTCGCTTCCAATGCAGGCTTCGATCACAAAGGGTATCGAATCGATTGGAGCTAGACGCCTCATTGATGAAGTGTTCCATCGAAGAGGGTCTGCCTAGGCGCGGGGGAAGGGCACGTACCAAAGAATGAAAGCTGGTAAAGCGCCTTGTTCTTCCTGGCTGTCTGGCGTGTGACTACTCCATGGCTGAAAGGGCTGCGACCGTCACTTTGCATGACTCGAACTGATCGCTAGTGTTTATTGACTTCTTATGATTGTTTTTGTTTATTTTATTTTATTTTATTTATTTCTGTTTATCTCCCAGGCATACAGGCATGATTGGGCAATGGCCAGGAACCCAAGCTGGCAATGGATTTCAATGATGTGTAACGGGGATAGGGAGGTTCATCTGATGTTAACATTTGATTTGTATATGCGCCTTGGTTTTGTGCAGCCTTACCTTCCCTTCCTACTTTTTTTTTGCTTTTATTTAAACAGATTTTTGGTTATATTTTGATTTTTGATTTTTTCTATTTTTATATGGATTAGAAATTGACGAGAAAGCTTGGAGTAGAAGGAGGGCATTTTGGATAGGGCGGCTGTATGTTAGGAACTTAGGATTGGACGTTGTCTGATAGTATCATGGACTCTATTGTTACTACTTCTTCTATACCAAAAGGAAACCCAACAGCAATCATGAACTGGGGAGGCAAAAAAACGAAGAAAACAAATCAAAAAAAAAAAAAAAAAAAAGTACCTTCGTCATGTCAGCCTGACTTGGGCCCCTTGTTCTGGACCAGATCAATCCTTGATCCCCTCCACGAAATGCAAATAATCTGGCTGGATGGGGAACAAAGTGCTGGATTCCGATTCGGGCCACTGCTACGGGGGGCAGGCATGATTGGGCCGGCCAACGTCCACAGGGGAGACTATTTTTTTCACGATGGCTTCTCCTGTCACCTTTCTTCTACCCGTCGGAGTGGGCAGTTCACGATTAAGCTTGTCCTGAGACCGATGCGGGGCAGATCGAGGCTCGTCCCAAACAGCTGCGCCGCCTCGAGGCAGTTCGTGGTTATGTTCCAGCTTTCCCTGTTGGTGACGTTTATCCATCACGTCTTTCCATGCAGGTGCTTAGTTAGTACTACTATCTCTATATGATTTTCCCCCTCTCCCCCCTCCTTGTCCCTCTCCGGCGGCGGCCCCCCTGAATGAATCCATCCCTTTCATGTTGATGGTACCGGCTCCGAAGAGGATAAGGATGCACGTATGTATGCCCAACACGATGCCAGAAGAAAGCAACGAATCATGACTGGTGTCTTCCCCGGAAATGGACTGGATAAATCAAGACCCAATTTCATCTTTGCTGGCAATTTTGTGTTTCCTGCAGAAGGGCTTCCCCCTTGGTGCGCACGTTGGCCGTTCCATGCCTCCGTTGCAGTTCTTGATATGGTGATGATTGATATCGCCAACGACACCGTAACCCTGCTCCCCCCTCCCATCCTCCTCCCTGGTCTCTTAGGAATCTTCAAACCCTACCTCGCGACAGCAATTGTTCATGCAGAGCGGCCCGGTCTGTGGCCGCTCGGTTCTAGGGCTGGAGGCTACGACCTTGAACTATTCCCGGTCCTTGGTTTATGGTTGAATCACTGATGAGCTGGCAATGTGGTCTCTGGGACCCGCTTCTGGCCCTCTGAGTGGCCCAGTTGGCTTAACATCAACCGTTTCTTGTTCCTATGGGCCCCTCTCCGCTTTTGGGCAACTAGACCACCCTCCACAGTGTATTCCTTCCAGAAAAGATTTTGTCCCTCACTGAAGAGCGCCTATGAGGCAAACGGCCGGTTCGTACCCGATAGTGAAGCCCGCGGAACAGGGAAAATTGGAGGAAGAGAAGCGCTCTGAGTTGTCCTCCCAGACAGGAAAGCCTCATACCCCTTCCCTGGTGCCACAGCTTCGCACTTGCCTTCGCCTGATGCCTTGTCACTCAATAAATCTGGCGTATGTGTGGAGACTAGCGGCCTCCTTCCCTGGTCGTTTGGCGTTTCTTCAAGGGTATATTCTCAGTCGGCGTGCGCCGGGCCGTTCCAGCTTGCAGCCTCAGAATGATCCGCATGCTCTCCATGCAACTGGCGCTCCTTGACTGGAGGATAAGGGAGGGGGGGAACAATTTTGCTGACGCTCTGCCATGTCGACCGCGACATGCATAAGCCCGTGTGTTAGGTTTGATAGTTACGTTCCGTGTTTGTCACGCCAATCTGTCTTGCTTGCACAGTGACGCTTTTGGGGTTTAAACCATGGCCCACTGTTTATATGACTGAATCCCCGCTTCCCTTATCCATCGAGGCCATTCCGAAGGAAAAGACACTGAGTTCCATACCCAAGTTCTAGGACAAGAAGAGCACGAGAGAATTAAACAGAAAAAAAAAAAAAAAGGAAAGAAAAAAAACATTAATACTATAATAGTCGAAGGGTTTCCTCCCATCAATTGATCTTGCTTCATCTTTACATATCCTTTTCATCCCAGTGTGCCAAAACAAAAAAAAAAAAAAATAAAAAGTATCCTCATTTCCTCTCTGTTTCTGCCAAAGTTTCCAAACGGCTAGACATACCTTCCTGCGGCGGCTTCATACTCTCTCATCTTGAACAACTAAAAAAACCATCTGTTTTTCATCATGTCACTCCCCAACAGCCCGCAAGCAAATGGTGGTCGGGTCAGCTGGCAGGAACAACTTGGAGGTATGCCCCACTTTCCTGCGAGGCCTCCAGGAGATATGATCCCATCAGATGCTGATGTTCCCTGAAGAATACTGCCGTCGTGCGAAAATTGAGCCTCCAGTCTTCCATATAGTTTCCGATCGTCGAGGTATTGTCTCTCCCCTCCCTCTGCCCTGCCCTGGCCCGCTTCAACGACTCTCTACAGCCTCAACCGATTTTGCTCCAGTCCCTCTTTGTCGAACGTTGCTCACTTGTGTCTCGGCGCTGAATTGTGGAGTCGACGTTCCCTTCACCGACATTTAGACGTGGAATTGCAGTGGTACCATTCACTAACTAGTCTGTCTTGCTTAGGGGGTCGTACGGCTTGGTCCAGCTCCGTTACTGTTCAAGGACGTAATATCGCCGCGCGGTACTGGTACGATGGCCAATATATCAACAACGCGAAGGAGGATGCGGCAGAGGTTGCTATAAAGCAAATCAATCCAGCGGTAACCGGAGTTGCATCCACTCTCCCGGGACAATTATTCCGCTGCTAGACACTTGGACTCCAATATGGTCGATCCGAGTACCGGGAGGACTGTTGGCATGAGAGTGTATTCTTTTTGCTGGGTTCCTTGTTTATAATGATGTTTCTTTTCGCTACTTCTAGGACGAATGGGCTTCCTCCTCCCTACCCATTCGATTGCCCTCGGCCTCTTATTGCGAACGATGCTTTCCGGGTTGATACCAATTTCTACGGGTCTTGCAGACGTGTACAACATTTCCGGCTGTCGACATACAGGCTTTTACCTTATATTTCTCTCTCTTCCTCTCTCGCCCTCTCCTGTGAGAGATCAGGGACATAAGACGGGTCTTCATTGGTGGACATGGGCAAATACCGATGAGATGATTATCCCTGTGTTGTATTTGGGCAAGGCGGTTTTGCAGCCCTTTGGCCATATTTGTTTGGTTTGTTGGTTTGTACACCTTCGACGCGATTTTTCAGCTTTGGCCCGGATTTTGTATCTTTTCGTCCCGTTGATTGATTTTTGTTACCTTCTCGGCTCTCCCTTTCCATATAACAGCCCCTATGACGGATTTTGTGGCACGGTACCTGAACGACAGTGAATTATGACGTACGAAATTGATTCTCAGCAGTTTGGTCTCTGTTCTCTTCTTGCGAATTGCGCAGCTTTTATATGCATCCATCGTTCTCTCTGTTCGCTGTTCTTACTTTTCTACTTGATTTACTATTAGTTCCCCGGTTATCTCTTATGGCAACTATACTGATGGGGGACTTATTGGTCCCTAAGGTACGTTGGACAAGTGGAAGCTGACGCGGGACAGGCGGTCTGCCACGGTCAATTGCAGCACTAGGGAGAGGGAGTGGGGAAGGAAAAGCTGACTTTTCGGAGCTGGAGTTGTCTCCAAGAAGACCGATCTCTGTTGACTAAAGTTTTGATATAGTTGAGGATTATTAATTGCGAGGGCCATATGTTGCTTCCTTAATTGTTTTTAGCTGTCTTGATAGTAGGGGTAGCTGCCTATTATTTCTTGCATGCAAGGTCTCTCTGACTATCCATATGCCGACCCCACTTTACACCCCTCTACATCCATTAATTCATCTCTCTCTTATTATTGCTGTTAAAAGGAAAATCTCTGGAAAGAAGGGTGATGTCGACCAAGGAACCGGATCTTTGGTAGAGGTTACAAGTCATGTTGTGAGCTTAACCTTATTTCCCATCACGTGCCCGGTACCATGGTTCGTCCAACTCGCTAACACCGTCTATAATCTTTTTAGGAAGCCACCGCTTCGATTAACTTCACCCTCCTCCCCCACCTAATATGCAAATCGTTCCCCGACCGTTTTTCGCTGAGTCCTCCATCCATAGTATAGTCGCAATGCGAGACACCCCACACAGACGAACAGAAGCAACGCCGCATTAGTCCAGTGGCCCGTAGGATACCCTTTTTTCGCCTCGTTGGATTTGTAAATCCATACGCCTACGATCTGACCCGGTGCTCCGAATGAGATATTCAGCGCAATCGCTAGACCGGTCCCCGCGGTGGAGCGGAGATTGGCAGACAGCCAACCTAGTAAGGGTGGGATACAGGCAAATGAGCCACTGGTAGCTACGATCAGGCAGCCGTATCGATGCTGAGGTACTGTTAGTGTGCATATCTGTCCCATCTCTTCTCCTTACGTGGGGCGAAAATAAGGAGGAAAAGAAAGAGAAAGAGAAAGAGAAAGAGAAGAAAAGGTGAGAGGCTTACCAGATATGCGTCCGCTGGAAGCACAGCAGAGGCCAGGAAGCCCATGGCTCCGATGAAGGAGAAAAGAGCCGAATGAAGACCCCGGCTATATGGACAAGCTATGTTAGTAACTCTGCGGCACTAAGGATGCATATTCAGGTTCAGTCGTTTTCTTGCCTGTTGAAATGATCGGCGGACCAAGATACCGCCGTTGTCACTACGTAGGCGACCGCCCATGGTGGTACGGTCATGAGCTGGGCCTGCAGGTTTACATATCCAAGACCACTGGTGATAGCTGGTGTGAAGAGCGACAGACTGGAGAATGGAGCCGAGATGCCGAAATACACCTGGTACACGGGAAGCTTAAACAACAGCGATCGACAGAGGACCCCGCAGATGAGAAAAACTTACTGCATAATGGGCATAGAGGCGCCAATTAGTCAGGATACCCTTGGCATCTTCCCAGGTCATGGCTTGCGCTGCTCCCTTTGAGCCTTCCATCTGGAGTCGCTGTGCAGCCAGCTCTTTTTCCTCAGGGCTGAGCCACGACGCCGATTCCGGGTAGTCAGGAAGAAGGAACCAAACTAGAACAGCAGAGGCACAGGACGGTACACCTTCGATGACGAACAGCCAGCGCCAGGCAGATAGACCATGGAATTGGTTCATGTGCCCGACTCCGTACGCAATAGCGCCACCAAAGGCGCCAGCTAGAGTGGCCGATGCTAGAATCAAGGCAACGCGTAACGAGCGCTCTGAGTTCCGATACCAGAAGGTGAGGAAGTAAACGAGACCCGGGAAGAGACCTGCTTCCATAACTATATCATCATGAGCAGAATGGTCTCCACTCTCCCCATGGGAACGAGGATATAATGCATGGCTTGTCGTAACATACCTCCTAGCAAAAAGCGGATCCCGGTCACCTGAGTGTAATTATGTGTGCCACCCAAACCCATCGTGCTTGCTCCCCAAGACAGCATGAGGAACGCAATCCAGCGCTGTGGAGATGTAAGCTATTCAGAACTCGTATCGGCTGAGAGCAGCTCGATTGTCCTTACGCTTGGTTTGAGCTTCTTCAGGAGGTAGTTCGACGGGACTTCGAACAGGGCATATGCGATGAGAAAAACCATAAGGGCAATACTACCCCCCGGTTCATCAGCAAGGTAGACCAGTGGACTAGATGCCGTGATACTCACGTAAACTCGTAGGAGGTCATGCTGGTCTCTGTGAGGAGATCATTGCCCGTGTCCACGTTCAGGATCTTCGCATTTCCTAGTCAATCACGGTCAGTTTTCAGCGCAATGCTGCAACCAGCGCGCAGCTCCAATCGCCACCTACCGATGTTGGATCGATCAAGATAGCAAAGAAGATAGATCCCAGCGCTCAGTGGAAGGATACGCAGGTCCTGTTTCCAAACCAGCGCCTTCTCACGAGCTTTCAGATCTTGTTGATCCACATCGTCCTGATGATACATACGTTAGTTGTTACGCGTCCGTGTTCAGGAGTGTCTGAAAACTTGCATCGGGAGCCGATTCTACATCATTGGGATTGTGGGCGGTCTGAGCTGGCTTCTCGATGGCATTCATGGTGACTGACTGAGTTGGGCGCAGGGATCGTCACCGTACAACAGGGGCAGTTCCATGTCTATCTTCTACTGCTGCTTTCCCCCCATGAAATAAAAGTCTTTCCTGACCCCCCCCCCCTCCCCGCGCGCATGGATCGAGTTAGCAAAACCCGGGGAAAGCCGTCCTGCGCGGAGATCGGTTAACCTCCGATGCATCCTTCAGCCTGTTCATCCGATTCTGGGCCAAGCATGATCTGCCTTAGCATCCTGTATGGTACTGTATCATACCATACCATACCATCCCATCCATACAGCGGCGGCACTGGTATTGACAAACACTGCAAACATCACTGCAAACATGGCAAACAGGGTCGACATGGATTTATCTCCAGATACCGGAATCAATTATTGTGTCGCTTCATACGCAGGTCAACCACTGTCTTTCTGATGACATGGCTGCGGTCTCTGAAGATCTCATCTCCGTGTAGACTCTTGACTGCACCACGTCCTCAACTGCAGAATACGATCGCTGTCTTTTTCCTGAGGGCGCATATCACAACCATGTCGACTTCCCCACCAGCAGCCACTCCGCGCAAGCCAATGCCCTCTGCACTGACCTTCGACCTCCATGCTAAGTGTTCAGTGAGTTGATTATTCGACGGTGGTCCTTGTTCTTCTCAGTACTCTGCCATTCTAACATCGCCCTGCTTTATATGAAATGCATAGACTACCAAGGCTCGAGCCAGTACCCTTAAACTTCCTCATGGCTCGGTCCCTCTCCCGATCTTCATGCCGGTTGCAACGCAAGCATCCCTCAAAGGACTGACATACGACCAACTCAAGGAAACAGGGTGCATGCTGTGCTTAAACAATACGTATCATCTAGGGTTGAAGCCAGGACAGGCAGTGTTGGACGCGGTAAACGGCGCGCATAAGTTACAAGGATGGGATCGGAACATCCTGACGGATAGCGGAGGGTGAGTTGCTAAGACTGTGCTTGGCTACCCGGTCAGGATGATATCCCCTCTTACGGTTGCGTGCTAAACAAGGTCACCGTCCAGCTTCCAGATGGTTTCTCTGCTTAAACTAGCCAATGTCACGGAGGAGGGTGTTCGATTTCTTAGCCCTCACGACGGCACCCCCATGTATGTCTTCTGCCGTTGATTCCAAGAAGCGCTGAAGAGATTATGACTCTGATATCCGGTTCCAAGGCTACTTACTCCCGAACACTCCATTTCCCTGCAGAATTCGATTGGCTCAGATATCATCATGCAGCTGGATGATGTGATTGCGACTACGTCGCCTGACCGCGCGAGGATCCACGAAGCTATGGAACGATCGGTGCGATGGCTGGATCGATGTATAGATGCACATAAATATCCCGAACGGCAAAACTTGTTCTGCATCATCCAAGGAGGACTGGATTTAGAACTGCGCCGCAAGTGCTGTGCTGAGATGGTGGCCCGGGATACGCCTGGGATTGCCATTGGGGGCCTTTCCGGGGGAGAGGCCAAGGAGGAGTTTTGCAAAGTGTATATATCCCCATTGCATATCTGTCGTGGGCTTGGCTAATGTTCGGAAAGGGTCTACGCATGCACCGGACTTCTCCCGGAGCAGAAGCCAAGATACGTGATGGGTGTGGTAAGCGACCGAGATGTTGGCATCATCGCAGAGGATCAGATTCTAACTCCTTCCTAGGGATATCCGGAGGATCTCATTGTAGGAGTTGCTCTCGGTGCAGACATGTTTGACTGCGTGTGGCCGACCAGGACGGCCGTAAGTTGCCATTCATTTGGGAGATAATCTCAGCCAGGTTCTAACGAAAGATCTGTCGCAGCGGTTTGGAAACGCGGTCGTTTCGAGCGGTAGCCTCAACCTTCGACACCACTCCTTTGCGCAGGATTTCAGACCGGTCGAAGAAGGATGTACTTGCACCATCTGTCGGCCGACGAACCAAGGCGGCCTTGGGATTACACGAGCCTATATTCACCATTTGGCTACCAAGGAGACAGTGGGCGCTCATCTGTGAGATGCAACTCTTGGACGTCCCTTGTATGATTCCTCATGCTAACTGATGTAGACTTACGATCCATAATGTCCATTATCTGCTAGCCCTCATGGGTTCCGCTCGACAGGCCATCCTGGAAGATCGGTTCCCGGCATTCCTCCGACAGTTCTTCCGTAATCTCCATGGGGAGAAATCGAAGTATCCCACCTGGGTGGTGGAAGCACTACGAGGGGTGGGGGTTGATCTGATGGAGGACTAGTCTTGATATGATATATGATATGATAGTACTACAATAGACGTTAGACTTTGGTTCCTGACTGTAATCCATGGGGTGGGAAGGACGGTATTGAACACGTGACCACGCGCCCGCGTCACGCGTCCCGGAGAATCATTTTCAACTTCACTTTACTCTTTCATCCCATGCGACCCATCACCCTGAATACGCTCCTCACCTCTCTATTCTATTAATCGATAAGAATCACAACCGACCATGTCTCCCTCTGCAGTCCTACCTGGATCGGGCGATCATGCCACTCAGCCCCAGACCACACCTAGCAACCCCGCCCACGAAGAATACCAGTACATCAACCTCATCCGGACGATCCTCTCGGACGGTGAATACCGACCGGACCGCACGGGCACGGGAACGCGATCGATCTTCGCACCACCTCAGCTGCGATTCTCACTATCCAAACCCAGTCCTACGCCCAACAGCGACCCCATCCCCATCCTACCCCTCCTCACCACGAAACGCGTGTTCCTGCGCGGCGTGATCGCCGAACTCCTCTGGTTCATCTCCGGCTGCACCTCGTCCATCCCCCTCTCCGAGAACGGCATCAAGATCTGGGACGGGAACGGCAGCCGCGAATTCCTCGATAAAGTCGGGCTATCCCATCGCGAAGAAGGCGACCTCGGTCCCGTCTACGGCTTCCAATGGCGTCATTTCGGCGCCGCCTACGTCGATGCCAAAACAGATTACTCCGGCCAGGGCGTCGACCAGCTCGCTGACGTCGTCCATAAACTGAAACACTCCCCCTTTGATCGTCGCATCATCATAAGTGCTTGGAACCCCGCCGATCTTAAACTCATGGCCCTCCCCCCGTGTCACATGTTCGCTCAATTTTACGTCTCCTATCCAGACGGTCCCGGTTCCAAGGGTTATCTCTCTTGCTTGATGTATCAGCGTTCCGTCGACACGGCGCTCGGTCTGCCATTCAACATCGCCTCCTATGCTCTCCTCACCCATATGCTGGCTCACGCGGCGGATCTTCATCCCGGCACTTTTACCCATTCCATGGGCGATACCCATGTCTATCTGGACCATGTCGGGCCCTTGCAGGAGCAGTTGATGCGCGAACCGACTGAGTTTCCCGAGTTGCGGATCAAGCGCGACGATCGCGGCAGTGGCATCGTCGACGGCTGGAAGGAGGATGAGTTTGAGGTGATTGGTTATCAGCCTCATAAAGCGATCAAGATGAAAATGAGCGTCTAGATTTCCATCTCGTCTCTTTGTCCTACGATTGTATGATACCAGAATTAAAGTGCAGATAGAAATATATCGTCTTGTTTTCTTGTCTATATTGTTCGTGGCCCATTATTATTGAACTCTGAAACAGCAGATGTAAATACGTACTGGGAGTATCATAGCTAAAACCATCATATGCAAAAGAAAAGGGGCAAGATAAAATGACTTGAAATCTCTATTTCCCTAGGGCCACGCCTGCCCCCCTCAATAAAACAATCGTATGGCCCTGTTTCACCTTCCCGCCTCCGATTGTCTTGGAGAATTCCAAAAACTCCCCGGATTCGACGTGAAAGAGGCGCAATCGCGCCTCCTCCCCGGCCCGGTTATTGACGTTCTCTACCCGCAGTCGGCGCGCCGCATCATCCAACACCCGGCCCACCTTCCATCGCGAGTCAAAGAAGAAATCCCCCGCCGGAGATTCCGCCCGCTGCGTTTCTGACGTTCCCGCCACATGCAGATACAACCGCTGGTCCGTGGGCACGCCAGCATCACCCTTGGCCCATTTCTTCAACGAGTTCAACTGCACCGTGCGCGCTGCTGTGCTGTTCGGCTTCGGCGCTGGCGTCAGGCTGGCACTCTTGTCTTTGCCCCAGGTGCGAACCCGCGCAAACATCGATCGCAGGGTCTCGTTGGCGCCCGGGGTGCCAGATGATGTGGAGCCCTTTGCCCCTCGCGGGGTTATCTTGGCGCAATCATGCTCTTCTCGCAGTCGGTGTTTCAGGCAGTAGTGCCGTGTGCAGTTCGGGCAGCGCACACCCGGGTCGGTGAGCGTGTTGATCAGGGTTTTGCAGTTCAGATGAGCGCATTGATCTGAATTATAAATTGTAGGTTTCTGTGTGGAAGTAGAGGAGCCATTGTTGTTCGCTCCGTTTCTCCGTCGAGCCCATTCGCCCTCCCGGGCACATCGGTGGGCCGTTTCGGTACGATGGTCAAGGCAAAAGGTCCCCCGGCAGGATTCGCAGTGGAAGGGAAGGAAATCAAGTTGGTTACAGTATTCAAACTCGCAGTGTCTACCGATCGAATCGAGGTCCTTGTCGGCCATCTGGGTAAAGGACTCCACAGGATCGGCACCGGCATTTTGGCGTGTATTAACGGTGATGGGCGACATGGCGTAGAGAGTAAACTGGGGAAGGAGAGATACGACCGGATCGTGAGGGAGAGAAAAAGGCAGCAGAGCAAAGCGAAGACACCGCTAGAAGCCACTGGCACATGCGGACGGCTGACTCAGCGTGGCGTGGCAGGGAGAGAACTTGCGTCCGATCTCAGAGATCAGCTCGGAGATAAGAACCGGTCTCGCGGTATGGTACGGTATGGAACATTACACAACGAATAGCATCTAAACTAGGGAGAGATATAACGTTTAAGGGCCCATACCCTGGCTGTTGGATAAATAAGAATACTCAAACACAAGGGGGTATATCAAACAGGTGAAAACATGTACAACTCCAGAATCAGAGTTCCGGAAAAGAAGGAAGATAAAGTAAGATCAAAAGGCACTATTGCATCCTAGATGGAAGGCAGATGGGCTAGAGATTCATTATGGTATTTGGAAAGCGCCATTTGTTTGACTCGTAACTTGTTCCAAACCGTTCGGCTGCTCCGAATCTGCAGAGCCAAAAGTAGAATTATCAAGCTCCGAGGGGGTCCGAGTCTCGCTCTGCTGAACAGCACTCGATGGTGCAAATGGGATCGGGCTGTTAGATGTGAAGACCGGAAGTCCATTCCTGTTCAGGACAGCGGAGGTTGGCGGAGAATACAACGACGTACGGAGCTGGACAGTACTGGGCAGGGACTCCGGTGTCAACGAAGCCGTTCCGCCTAAGGGCGCCTGCGATGATGGCGGGTTTAATACTTCCACTGAGCGAGCCGCGCTAGGCCGGTCGTGAAGACTGGCTACTGCGAACCCGCCAGCTGCGCTGCTAGACGTCTCCAATGTTTCAAGCGACGAACTAGGTGCTCTTTCTTGTTCCTCCGATTTGGTGATACTGCTCGTCCTGGCTTGCACCGTAACCGTACTGGGACCAGAACTCGTAGGAGTCGATGAAGACCGAGACGACGGCCTGCTCGTAGAAGTAGATGCTTTGGCACCGGAGGGTTTCTTGGGCAATTTGGGCATCTTAATTGCTGCCTTGGATGAGCGCTTCTTGCGCTCTTCCGCCATTTTGTTTTCGCGGGCCACGTTCTCTTCAGGGGACGGCACTTTGAGCTTGATGCTCAGTTTCCGCACACCTGCGGCCAGACTGTCCACATCGTCCGATGCAAGAGCCTCTGTACTATCTGTCTGTGGGTGCGACCCGTCAGGCAACCGCGACGGTCCATCGCCAGCTGGCTCAGACGGGAGAAACCCTGACGGAACTCGGGGCACAGGAGGCACCTTCCTGGGGCTTACTGAGCGTTTTGGAGTGGTAGGTCGCGAGTGGTTTTGTTTCCGCCCACCATTCGCTATCCGTGACGATGGTCTTTGGTTTGAATCGATCTTTGCGTGGTCCACACCAGGGTCCGAAGTCGGTATAGTGGTTGAAGCGGCGCTTTTTCTGCGGGTTGCGCGCATGGTTGGTGATTTCTCATCAGGAGACGGGCCTGGGAGGTCACTGGTGGCATCGATCGTAGTTCGCCTGTTACCTTTAAGCATCTGTCGTTTCGGGGTCTCGGCATTTGGGGTGCTAGGCAGGGACGACTTGGGTTTTCTTGTCCGGAGCTTCATGCGGCTTTCCTCGGGTGCAGTCGAGGGAGCGGTATCGGCAGTCGTCAAACGTTCTCGCCGCAAGCGTGAAGCCTCGGCGTTGAGATCCTCTGGTCGGCAACTCGTGGTCTGGCGATGGCCAGGAACGAGTACCTTTGAAAGCTCATGCGTTGCGGTCGCCCAACCCACCGGCGGTAGGGGCGGAGCCTCATGTTCCAAGCTTATCTGAGAGCCGTTGGACTTACGATCACGAGGATAAGTAACAACTTTGGCGGTAAACGACTGCGTGGGTGCAAAATAAGTTGGCGCAGACTTCTCGCGAACCTTGGGAGGTGCTGCCGGCGGATATACCAGAGCCTCGAGCTCTTCCAGGGCAGCTGGTGACCACCACTCACCATCATAGGCGGCCTCAGGTATCGGGTATTGTGCTTTGTCCTGGGGGGGATCAAATAACGCCAGGCGATCTGCCATTTCAGCAGTCAAACGATTGATCTGGTTATCGCCTGTGTTGTCAGCGTTAAACGCTGAGTCTCCCAGTCCTGACAAATGACTCAGGACGCCACTCGTCAGAGCTCGATTACTGTATCCGCCTTCCAAGACGCTGACGATGCGTCCGTCGACTCCCAGTCCTTCCTCCTCTGCCATCCGGACCACATCGGCCGTAAACCTGGCGTAGAAGTCGGTGGGGACGTTGACTTTGTGTCTTTGCATGCCTGCGCCTTCCCACTCACTAGCATCGAATCCCGCGGAGATGAAAATGGCCGCTTTAGGCGGAGGTCCGTTGGGCGCGTTGAGCAGACGCTCCGTATGCGTTCGTAAGAATGCACGTGCCTTCTCAATAAGGATCGTGTATTTCGTAGCGTAAAGCTCCCAGAATTCCAGGTCCGTCTTCCACGGCTCCAAGTGGACGTTCCAGGTGGACTGGCCATGCGCCCCGTCGATGCACACACTCGCATTGCGCACTTTCTCCGGGTCACCCATTTCGCAGGGATAGGAATTTATATCATGAAGACTGAAGTATCCCACCACGGCCTTTTTGTAATTTGCTGCATTTCGGGCAGCCGTCGTGGCCTTCTGGTTCTGCTCCCACGCAATCTCCTGCGAGCCATCACCGTGATGCAGATCAAAGTCCAGAATGGCGGCGTGGGTCAGGCCATGCGACATGGCGGCATAGGAGATGCCCACATGAACATTGTTAATCCAGCAGAATCCCGATGGATGACCTGCCGAACAATGGTGGCCTGGTGGCCGGATACACACGAACGCGCGTTTCGTAGAACCTGGACCGAAGACAGCATCGATACTTTCGCAGACGCCCCCGAGAGCTCCCTCGAACGCGTTGAGAGACTCCGAGCATAAATAGAGATCACCTTCATGAAGCGGCGGCGCGTCTGCGGTGGCACCATCCTTGCCCGCGCTGCGAGGTCTGATCAATTCTTTGCCGTTCAACGCAAGGCGCGATTCCGCCCCGTCGCACATGCTCTTTAGATCGTCCATCCACTTGGTTCCATGTACATGCGTGACTGCGGGAGAGTTGAGCGCCATAACCCGAGCCGTTTTGCGAATCTGAAACGGGGGCACAGGCAGATGTTCCAGGCTGAGGTCAGGGTGAGGGGCAAAGAGACCCCCAGAGTATCTTCGTGTAAGCCGGACGTACGCGGCAGAAACGCCCAAGACGCCAGCTTGGATACGCTCTGGTCTTTCCACTATGGAATTCAGGGCTGCTCGCGAGGTCCGAGGACGCGAGAAACGATGTCCATAGCAAGCATCGTGAAGGACAACCAGAGTTTGGGAGCGTAGGTCGGCTGACTGATGCAAATCCACTTCCTTTTGGAAATGGTCCGCCGCAATGGAAGCAGCCGTGGGGATTGGGTGTTCCATTGCTGCATGTAGAGAGGGTCTCTTGAGCGACGTGTTGGGGGTGTTTGTGGCGGGGGTGGTGGTCGTCGCCGGGGAGGTCGCGAATGTAGATGAGGAGCGTCGCGACAGACTGGGACACGAGGACCCGCCAGCACTGGGGTAAATAGATCGCAGCGACGCAGTAGACGAACGTTTTTTTAGGCTGGGGATAGATTTTCGACGCTCATCTCGCAGGGAACTGGAGCTAGTGGTGCGTCGAGGGGTCAAATGCGGCGCGGCGGCACCAGAACGCGGGGGCATATCTGATGGAGACAGGCGCGAGGAGGAGCGTGCGGACGGAGAGGTTGGCAAAGGAGTCGCAGCCATCGATGAATGATTCAGACGGTCGGGCCAGGGGTCGATGGGGGGAGGAAGAGGCGTGGGAGTTTGGGAAGTGAATGATGGCGGTTCGTCGTGTTTGGAAGCATCCATGACGCAGGGACAAATCGCATTGGTTTTCCTTTCTGGATCTTCTGGCTGGCCTTGATGGCGGGACAAATGGTAATCATGAAAGAAACGACAATCGAATCGATGGACGTCTAGAGGTTTAATGCAAAAACAACAGGGGAGGAACGAGAGAGAGAGAAAGAAGGGCGAAACAAGGAGAACCCACGATTTTTGGCTTTGACTTTTCGTTTCTCGTGCAGCAAAAGGGGGAGTCGATCATCCCTTCAACCGTCTTCTCTCCCCATTCTCTCTTGACTTTCTTTGCAAAACTGTGTCTACTTCAATGGATGATTGATCGGGTTTCTAAGACAAGCCACTGATGCAGAATGTACGAAATGACAGCGTTGGTTCAGGAGTAAAGATGTTTCTTTAGTCACCAAATATCGACATGGAAGAAACCAGATTTCTTTCATTCCGGAAAATGACAAAGGAAATACTAAAGAGAATACTTTAAAAAGAAAAAGAAAAAGGAAGAAAAAACGCCTCCAATCCCAGCCATTTCCGACTTGGAAAATATATTCAACTCCCGTCCCTTGTTGCTCGCCCAAAGCCTAAGAAAAAGTTAACAATAACAATAATAAGAAAAAAATAGAAAATAGAAAACAAAAGTCCATCAGCATACAAAGACGCCTCCAGAATCCCAACACCTTCGCCAAGCAATTGAACTCAGAACGTGCGAGATCGTATTCCGCAGAAATGATACCATCTCTTCCGGGGAACCATGGAGGCCTTCTCATGACCACCGTCCATTGAAGAAACTTTTGAGGATCGTTTGGACTTCTTTTCCGACTTAAACCCCTTGGTTGCATGGTTGTTGCAGAAGCACTGCATATGTACCGTCTCGATTGACGTGCCGGGGCAACTGTCTTGCCGTCGAGATGCACAGATTTGATGGCCGCCATCCTCCTCACATTGGCACCATTCATAAAGGGTGAAGTATTGTCGACACATGATGCGGTTCCGGTGTTGTCTCCCTTTTTTTTTTTTTTCCTCTTATTTTTTTTTTTGCCAAAATATGGGGTAGAAAGTTGATCAATAGTCGTGTTAGAAATGAGGTCCGTTCAACTCCGCGACCTTCCGGTGGGTGCTCAGAAGAAGGGGATCGCCAAAGAAAAAAAAAAAAACAAAGATACCAATCAATAGAGACAAAGGGTCTCTATAACCAGAACCGCAGGAGAGTCCAACTTTGCCAATTACTCCAATTGTTCTAGTTCAATAAAGAAGATGTTCGGGATGTTTTATCCAAGATTTTAGATCTGTCCGTCACTGTTCCAATTATGTCTGTTTCTGGAGAGATACTGGTCCATGATTCTTTGACCCGCAGCCCCCTGAGTTACTGCATGTCACCAGTATCTACCAGGTGCAGTGCGACAACAATAATCGTGGTGACAGCGATGAGGGGATCAGATGTCAATTCGATTGGCCGACTCACAAGAGGAATGCAACTGAATCAATGAGTTAAAAGGCGGATGATAGAGACAGAAAGATACACCTTGTATAAAGACAGCCACGGCGAGGAATAGATTGAAGGAAAGTAATAGGTTTAAGAGAGAGGCAGCGGGGGGTGTAGGACCAGCAAGAATAGATCCCAGTAACCATGCTACAAAACGATGATGCGCACACCTCCCTAGAACACCTAGACCATGAGAACCCCCCAATGCAAACTTGACGTCAGCCCAAAATACGACAGTGGAGACCAGCGTCAAAGTAACGCTCACTTTGGTGGAGTCCAGACTGAGTGGATTGATCCCTATCACTCATTCACCATTGGGGATTCGCTCTGGCTAGCCGCTAGGGTTCTGGGCGTTCTTTTTTCCTCTCCCTATTTTTATCGCATGCTCTACTTAACTAGCTGGCTTTATGGGTGCCTGGGCTTGGCTCCATCTCGGCGGTTCATTTTTGGCCGATGAACACAAATGAATGGTTCGGCCAAACTGCGCCTCCTTTCAGGAAGGGGGGAAGGAAGTGAAAGAAAAAAGAAGTCAAAGTAACGCTGTAACATGATGGAAGCCGTTCAGGTCCCAATGACCTTTAGCACTACCACTTCAAAGACTAATAATGCCAGATTAATGAAGATAAAATTGGAGGGCCAAAGGAAATTGGATGGGACATCTAGGTGGATTCTACCACCGCAGTCATGCTGCCACAGTGCCCAACAAGGTTTTGTCAGATGAAACCCTTAAATTCTGGCCCTGAGACCTTAGCGAGCTGTCAAGAATAGCAACCGCGGTCTCCATCACGGCAATAGTGAGATGAACCGTGGTAATAGTCCATATTCTTAGTCAACGCCAGCTCCTGTCAGCGCTGAAAACGGCGATGAAGACACGTGCCGCTATTCCCTATAAGGCCAGTATATTTTGTCAGAGAGCTTCGGAGCCGATCGGCGGTGTCACGTGGTGGGATAAGATGCATGTCCTGTTAGGGAATAGCGTTGCATGATTCAGAGCCCCCAACGCATCATCATTGTCGGTCACGAGAAACAACGTTGAAAGCCGCCTCCAACGTCCAAAACGACCATCCCACACACAACATCCGGCCCTACGTGCCTGCCTGCTTCCTCGTCTGTTAGCGATGACTTCCCAGCCCGCTCAACCCTCAACCACCATCATGCCTGCCTCTCCGACCCGAACCGCCACTCTTCTCTCCAACCTCGCCGCCGTCACCTCCCGCGTGTCTGCCGCCGCAACCAAGAGAGGAAGAGCTGAAGCCAAGCCGGTCCGCCTCATCGCCGTGTCGAAGCTCAAGCCCGCCGCCGATCTGCTCTCCCTACATCAGCCTCCCACTTCGCACCTCCACTTCGGCGAAAACTATTTTCAAGAGCTGCAAGAGAAGTCCAAGCTCTTACCACCTACCATCAGGTGGCACTTCATTGGCGGATTGCAGTCTAACAAGTGCGTCGTGCTGGCAAGGGACGTGCGCGGACTCTGGGCCGTCGAGAGTGTAGATTCGGAGAAAAAGGCTTCGCTGCTGGATAAAGGGTGGGGGGACCGCTCGGCCGAATTGCGCGCCTCGGATTCCATTGACCGGCTTCACGTGTTTGTGCAGGTGAATACGTCCGGGGAGGAGAGCAAGTCCGGGGTCGATCCCGGCGACGGTGCTGTATCGCTATGTCGCTTTATCCGCGAGAAGTGCCCGCGCTTGAAGTTGCAGGGGCTCATGACCATTGGGGCCATTGCGCGCTCCAAGGCCACGACCCCCGAGACGGAGAATGAGGACTTTGTCTGCTTACGGAACACGCGCGATCTAATCGTTGACCAGTTAGGCCTGCAATTTTCCGACGATGCGCTAGAGTTGAGTATGGGTATGAGTGAGGATTTCGAGAGCGCCATTGCGTTAGGAAGTGACGAGGTCCGGGTAGGGACGACCATTTTCGGGGGACGGCCACCCAAGGATCAGGCGAGAGTCATTTGAAATTGATACACCTTCAATCTTCAAAAGGGAGGCGATTGATGATTTACGACCTAGCAGTTGTCACGAAGGTGGCATCACTATTAAAAATTACAGGGTTATATAGGGAGGGAAAAGTTACTACAGTTCCAAAAAGGAAATGTGTATATAGATACTAATTGATATCAGACCTCGCATCCTGTCAAGGCTGTGAATGGAGGATGGAGAGTCAAAGAGAATACATGATTAGAAGCATCATACGGAACTTTATCTTCCAATTTTACAAGGAGCTATACATCATTCGCCAGACTTCGACTTCCCTGTGCTAGTTTCTGTTCCATCTGCTTGGCCAGCGCCTCCGGCACCGCTTCCTGCGTCGCTCGGATGGTGACCCGGTACATCTGTTCCAGACAAGGTCAGTATCATGTCAGCCTTTCGCGGTCATTTTGAGCCAGGACTCACCCTTTGGTCGTAGTTGGGCTCAAGTCGTAGAAGACATCCGATCTTACCCGTCGCAAACTGATACACAGCACACCCCACAATGTTATTAGGATTGGGATCCACGCCATCCAAAACTTTCCAGCCCAATCCTTCCACCACCCGCCGTGTGAATAACTCGTTGATGCCCTGTGCTTTTGCCAGAGCTCCAAACGTATTTTGCGACTCTAGCGGGGACCCACCAATCTGCCTCCATCGCTTGAAAAACTCTTCGGCCGACAACGCGGATGGTTCCATGTATCGGTGCATTAAGATAGGTAGTTGCAGAGTATAAGCCTGGAGAGCTCCCGCAAGGTACGAAATGCGAATAGTAGGCGCCTCAGTGAATGGCCCGTTCGCGCCGAAGAAGAGCGTTTGCTGCGTTTGGCCCGCTGCGGGAACAGAGGGCTCGGGAAGACTCTTGGTATCGGCCTTGAGGCTGGGTGTAGCACGGTTGTCGACTGTCGTTGTCAATGATCCAATTGCAAACGATGACTTGTTGGTGATATATAACTTCACTACCCCCATGTGGCCACGGTATTCAGAACGCAATCCGACTTGGATCTGGGCATCTTCGAAAAGCACCCCCTCATCAGCGAAGTACAATCGGTTATATCCAATATCCCAGTCTGGCGTGAGATGGGCCGCACTTGCCATGTTCGGCGGCGGCGGAGCAGTCGGAGCGGTGAGATCCAGTCCTGCTAGATCACCTGATGCATTCGATGCTGATGCTGCTGCTGATCCGTTTGATCCGGTCTTTGTGCCATTGACGATGGTGGTAAATGTGCGCTTGAGCCCCGTGTTTTGTGCCATAAGCACCTCTTTTTGATCCGCATTGGCATCCTTACCTCCCACAACCCAAGTCTTCTTATCCGTAGTGCCAGCTGTCTTCTGGTGAAGCCGAGATAGGAGGATTGAGGCTCTCTCCGAGAACGGGGGCATTTCATCGCAGACCGTCCGGAGAAGATCGTCGGAGGAAAGTGTTGCCAATGACAGGTATTCGAAAGCCCGCTGCTGCAACTCGGAATCCGGTGAATGACTGTACAACTTGAAGATATGCAATAGCTGTGGTTTAATCTCGGGGAAAAGATTAACAAATTTCACAAAAGATGACAAAATCATCGCACGGGTGTTGTCTGTACTGGTAATCATTTTGGCCTGTAGCGCCAGGAACTGCTCGATGGGGCTCGAGCCTTGGTTGTCAGCAATCAGATGCCCAAACTCCCCTAGGACGTAGCTAGCAATCTTCACTAAGCTCTCATGACAATCCGTTTTCAAGTAAGTGAGCAGGGTATGTGCTGCATAGGCCTGCAACTCCTCATTGTTGGTCACAATCTGGATCACGCGCTGCCACACTTCATCATTGACGTGATCACCGGCCAGAGAAAGAAGTTTCAATGTCATATCAATGTACCACTGAGCATCAGTCGCGTACTTTTCTGTAAGGATTGCAACTTTCAGCACCATTTCTTCCCGAATGGCATAGTCGGCGGTCTGGAGATAACGCAATAACTCATTCACTATGGGACCTGCATTGGTTGTGTCGCACATGCTATAGATCAAATCCAATCCTTTACGTCTAACACTGATATCGCGGTCTCGGAGTGAGCCAAGGATGATATTCTGATGCTTTTTGATCGGGTCCAATGTCTCTGCCCTAGCCGCAAAGTGTGTCATCGCTTCCAGTCCTAAGTATCGAACATTGGTCTCACGCGACTGGATGTATTTCCCAAGACGGGAGGAAATTTGCAGCATGAGGCTGTGCTCAGTGTCAAGATGGATGAGAAGATTAATAGCCTCGAAGAGCACAGCATTCTGCGCATTATTCTGCTGGACATTCTTCGGCGTATCCATGGCTGCATGCATCATTTGTTGCAAAGACTCGCGGATAATCTCACGAACATGGCTGTCCTCTACATTGCATTAGCCACGGTCAGGACATAGGAAGAAGTGAGGCAGTGAGAGTTTCGGAAACGAAAAGAAACGGAAAGAAAACGGTGAATGATAGCTTACCAGAGGGAGGGTAATATTGCAGCAGGCGCAAAAATTTAACCTGGATCCAGGGACATGGTACACGATAATACAGGTAGTCCGGTGCGATGTCATTATCCACCACAATCCTCTTCAGCCGCTGGGCAGCTTTAACATAGCTTCCTCTATACTCATCCGGTTTGTCTTGGGCCAAGGCCATGACTAGTGAGGTAACAGACAAGGTGACACCCATGTCAGGATCATCCATCAGGGAGATTATCCGCTCCGCCCACTCATTCTGCACAATGCCGGGGTATTTGCGGTACAATCGGAGAAGTGTGAGAGCAGCTTTCTTCTTCACAAAAGCTTTAGAAGTACTATAGTTTTGTTTAACATTTAACTTGGATCTAAACATGATTCGAGAAATTGGAGTCGAGAGAGAGGGATACTTACGGGGAAATAAGCAAACGATGAACGTCGGTTGAGAGCGCCTCACCCATCTCTCTTCCACCCACATTGGCAACCGCATGCAATGCCAGACAGTTATTTAGTTCATTGTGATCCAGCAAGTCCTTCCGGATACTGTTGACAACCAAGTGCAGGAGCTCATGCTGCTCGTGCAAGAAGAGTGTCACAGCCAAGTATCCAATCTGTTTCTCTGAATACTTGGGGGAGGAAACTAGATTCACGGCCTCTAAATGGCCGAAATCAACATCGTACCCCTGGATATAAACATAGAGCAATTTGCAGACGTATTTCTTTTTCTGATATCCGTTGAGGCTGCCGGACTTGAATTTCTGTCGAATGTTGGCCAATTCCTTGTTCACTCGTTTCTCCTCCAACTCGCGCGCTCTTGCATTCCGCAGGTCAGCAATGAACTGGACCAATCCTCGCATGGACGACATGGCGATCAATCTAGTCGAGGTGTCGCACGCTGCGGCCGATAGTATGGATGCAATTGATAGTTCTGCAACTAAAAAGGAGTCAAGTCCCGTTATCCTCCTCACTTTCGGTTGTTAAAGCGCATGGAGCCACGCCGGTGGGATTCACGTTGCAGGACAGTGTCATACAAACATGTCCTAATTGTCTGCCTTCCGTTGGTTCGAGTCCTTATGGTGAATGTGACATGTTGCGCAGGGAGGGGATCGGCGGAACGCGACAGGGGCAGGGCTTCTGACTGGGATAGTAGGGGATGGAGGACCTAAAAACAACCAGGATGATATGACCAACAATGACCGACTCGGAAATTCCACAACGTCACGCTTGTCGGCAGATACAGCCCAGAGCGCGAAGTAAGTGGCAGACAACTAGCAGTCGCTCTGTTTTCAGGGAGTGAAGCACAGAGCCACATTCGCTTCTGATCCGGCGGAGAACGGTGGCAGATCGGGAACAATATTTACGCGGTGTGGCGGTGCATCATCCCTGCAACACTGTGGTACATTCTGGTACTTGGTATGTACTATTACTTCATTCATGCAGATTACGAGCTCCGCTCGGCATCGCCCGACAGGGCAAATCAGGTTAGGCGCAGGCACGTGAGAACAAAACACGTGAGAGTATATCACGAAGGGTCCGACAATCTACAACAGTTTCTTAATTATAGAACCGACTATTTTCACACAATTATATTAAGGTGCTTATGTACTCCGTCCACTGGTTCTTCTTACCTACCATAGCGGCTTCGCTTGTTCAACGAGATGGGACAATGGCTACGTTTAATCATAGCCGCTCCCTGTTCTTGGGACCTGAACAATGCGCTCTCTTTAACCCCCCTACATAGCACTGGCACTAGCTATAAGGAGGCTATACAACATTTCCCGTGCCAGGTTCGAAAACTAAATGTTAGTAAGTATGTTCGCAAAGTGGCTTTAGCGTATTAAGCTTGGTGTTGTACTAGCCAAGGAACTAGATCCGTGGACTATAGGTCACCCATATGTATAAAACAACTCGGAATTTAGACGTCAGGAGAAATTGACCAAAAGATTTGGCTTTGTTTCTTCCTTTTTAGAAACAGGAGAAAGAGGAGGAGAAGTAGAGACACTAGATAGGGCTACAAAAGAGCTATATAATAGAGGCTTTTCCACCTCTTCTAGAGGCAGACCCCATAAATCCATAGTACATACATAAGAACGTGTTCGGATATGCGTAGCTAGGCGCGTTTTAGTTTATAGTGAGAGAATTAGGGGTTCGGAGACTATTCTCAATTTGTAAGGAAGCGGTGAAGGGAGATTGACCAATGAAAGCAGTCTATTCAAATTTACTTCTAAACAGACAAGCGCTGCCAGTAACTATTTGCTTCGCTGACCAGCCAATAGCCATCTATCGATTTCTCTATCACTTACTTGCTTCCTGCCTGTCCAGTGGCATGTAATAACAATGGATCGGACTGGTGTATAGCTATGGTCTGACAACCCTCCTGTCCAGTCAGGATGGATGTAGAGTAACCCAGAGCGCTGGTTGGCTGGCGCCTCAAAATTTGATGACAAATGACAGTAGCTCAGCCAATCAGGTATCGCGTCATTAGTGTCCATCATCACGGGACTTTATTAGCAGCGAATCAGCAGACGGGGATTGTTAAGCACTCGAGATTGTGAAGTGGCCCATCCAGATTGCTGGACAGTATAAATATATGGGAAACCACTGCCTCCGTGGGAATTTGTCTCCTGTCTACCAGTTCTTCATCTTCTTTACAATTCTACCATCTCCTCCATCGTGCACTTGAGGGAGTTGCATTGCCCAGGTTACTAACTTAGCCATTTGTTGAAATTGCGCTTCCTACCAACCTTACGTCATACATCTAAAAAATCCCTAAAAATTATCACAATGGTTCATCCAGCGTCGACCTGCTGCAGAACATCCGGTGACGGCAGCTGTGTTTGTGCAGCCCAGGCCAAGTGTTCCTGTGGCAAAGAAAATGCTCTTCACTGTACCTGTGAGAAGGCCGGCTCTGAAAATACCATCTCTGGCGCCCGATGCTCCTGCCGTACGTTCTTATATCAAGTCTCACCGAGACCACCCTGAATAGGAGACAATTGACGAACTGACCTTTCATTCATAGGAGCACGTCCTGCTGGACAATGTACTTGCGAGCGGGCAACAACTGAGAATCATCCCATCTCTGGTGAAACCTGTCCCTGTGGGAAGAGACTTCCTAGTATGTATATACCTTCTGGTCCTTCCCCTATTGTTGTAAACCTATTAGCTGACTTGTTACTGGTAGCATCCTGTACCTGTGAGAAGGCTGCAGCTATCGATGCGGCTATTGAGAGTATCGAGACCGATTTCACTTCTCGTGCCTAGTTATCCTTGGCTCTGGCTGAATCGTATTGTATCATCACTTGGTTTCGGTTGGGTTTGGATGTGCGTTCTGGAGTTCGTGGGGCTATGAAGGTTTGCTTTCCGATGTAATCATATACTCCTTGTTGGCATACTGTCAAAAGTAATATACTATTTTAGACGATGCTTTCTTGTTTTTCACTTTCTACTTGGTAGGCAAATTTTACATAGATGCTTAATAAGATGTGATGGTTTGGCTGTCTCTGCGCTAGTAGAGATAAAACCACTTGATCATATAAAAAGGTCAAGACGACTGATCGGCAGATCAGTAGCATCTAGCGCCCTATATAGTAGCGAAGGCCTTAGTCTGAGCATCATACTGGGTTCAACCCGCGACCTCAGTTAATACCCCGGATTATTAATAAATATGACCAATATATGGGAGGAGTGGACCGCGCAGATTAATTACAAGCAAGTTATAAAACCTATTAAAGATCTTTACACTCCTGGTAGCCTATGTTCTTTTAGATACTTAATATAGGTATTATTAATGCTAATTGTATTACAAAGATAGCCTGCAGATAACAAGGCATGAAGGAAATTACTTATCTTGAATTTTAGAAAGGTCTCGACAAAAGCTCTTTAAGCAAAGATCAGAGAAATCACTTCTAAAAAAAAGCGAAGACACAGCTCAGTTTGACCACTAGATAAAGGTAAGTATCAGGTTAAAAGGATTCATCCTTGTAAATATTGCCATTTCTGTATCATACAGTTTTAGAAGGCAAAGGCTCGAGGCCATACCATTCCAAAACAATTCCAGACAGATTTTTATTACAAGATTTGCAGGATTCCTTATGCAGACCTGATACTGTCAGATAAAGTCTACCAGTCCTCCCTAGGATCGGGGAGATCTTTAATGTATTCTGCTAACAAAGCATATAAGAACAGTTTCTCGGTCCAAAGAAATTGTGGATTATGTCATGGGCCAATAGCCGATTCAACCTATATAATAGATTTGGACTAAGAGAACTCGCTGAGAAGCTTCTATCTGGGGCCGGCGGCCGAACAGGTAAATGTGTGCTAGGTAAATGAGACCAGTGATCGGGAGAGTTCTACACGTCCTCGCAAGTGGCTGGTATACGGGCTCGAGTATTTTGCAGGTGCTGCCCGCTACAGATTATTCCAAAAGGTAGGCTATCTTTGTCATTGAGAGGTAGACTGTAGTTGACTCCGAAAACAAGACACACTAGCTAGAACCTACTTACAATGGTAATGACTGTCCTTTATATATCCATGTCCATCATGTCGCTTCATATCATCTTGCTATGCTGGGCTATGGTCTCATCATACCCGTCTCCTCCAGCTCACTGAGACGGGTAGCCATCAAATCCCAAAGTGCTTGGATTGCTATGACCATGTTTCTTGGCATCATATCGATATAGCTGTATCGCTATGATCGGGTTGGATCATTATTGTTCCGGTCGCGTCAGAACACTGGATGCGGTGTAGTGGATCGATTGGCTGTCAGCTGCCTGATTCTCTGACATATACAAGGTCATGCTTGGCCAATTTTCTCGCACCACGTCCTCCTGGGCGAGAAAGATGTAAATTGCGCATAGATAGCTCTAATATTCATTTTTCATGACGTCTTGTATGGATGCGTGGTGTTAGTTAGGGCGGTCGTGTTAGTTGCGGCAGAAAAAGGACGCGAAACAGACAAGCGAGTGCCAGCCAAGGGGATATTATCCTACGTTGGTGATACAGCCCAACAGTTTTCGTGTGAGGCTAAGAACTTCTGTGCAATAGAAAATTTCATGAACTGTTCGTTTATGGAAGAAAGCCACCTCTAGGCAATCATTTAGTGCAGACATATGGAGGTCCTCCAATATCGTTGAAATGGTCCCAAGATGAGTCAAAATCGATTGAGAGAGAAGTATATTTCCAAAATCCCCCTTGATGAACAGTTCATCCGTCGAGTGAGGTGAATTAGAACCTAGCTGGACGGAGAAAGAGAAGTAGATTAATATACTGGGGGAAAAAAAAAGTAAAAAAAATTGAGAAGTGACAACCAAATAAACGCCATATAATTCCACGCCTCCCTATTGTAATATACCAGATGTAAGCGAACCTAGTTTTTGCTCCATGGAAAGTCGACATCAGAGAATAAAATCCCCTCCAAAAGTTAATATAAGACAACACTGAAAAAAAAAAAAAGCACGCATTAAAAATGCGGCTGATTAAACAATAAAGAAATTGTTGCCGTAGATGGAGTTTTGTAGTGTAAATGAGCCGTAAAGAGTTCAAAACTCTTGCCCACGCATCTATTATAAGTAATTGGTATAATCGAAAGGCTGATTTCCAAATTTGGCCCTCAACGGATCCAAGACTTGTGGAGGATTGGGCATTCGGTCTTCTGGCGAGCTACCAACTGTCCCATGGTTGATGCTACTTGTTTCAGAAGGAAACGAAGCGGGCAAACTCATACTAGAAGCATTGGCTTGAGTAAACGGCATGGTCGCGCTTAGGCTGTAAGGATGGTGGTCGTACGAATAAGGTCGATAATCTGAGGATTCCGAAACCGGTATAGATTGTATCGTAGGCATGTGCCGGCCATGGGATTGTATCTGCGAGGTCATTTCAAGGCCACCAATTCCTTTGGGGGCAGGCATCGTATGTGGCTGTTGATAGCTGTGCGCTTGCTGATCTATCAACAAGATTATGTATGTCAGTCGCCCATGAATGCCCCGGGACCAGAGTCCCCTCCAAGAATTAGAACGGGGAAGGTGAAACCTACTGTGGCTATCCACACTGTACGGTACAGAATGGTCCGGTGGTCCATTTGGGGATACGGAGCCTTCTAGCTGCCGATGGTGATCATAACCAAGGATCATACCATTCGGGGGGCGACTGATTCCAAAATCGGTTGGGCGCCGTGCGTACGGCAGACAAGGGTGACCGAGCGGCTCACCTGATCTTGAAAAGCGACCGGGAAAGTGTAGCCCAGTGTTATATGAAGGCTCCGAGAAACTGCTCGATCTTGGAAATGGGAAAGGGCCACGAGAGTTTCGTTGCAATTCAGAAATAGGCGCTGGGGGACCCCGACTTGTAATTGGACCAGGTGGTGGGTAGCTCTCCAGATTCCTATCGGGGGCAGCCGAAGAGAACCCATTCCCTGTTGTTGATGTCGAGCTTAGAGGAGAGATCACATAGTCGTCGTCATTTATTCGCTGGAGTCCATCCGTGAGCAACATCTAAATATTTGTCAGCATATGGTATGGTGAGTTTGAAGAAGCTGCTCGGACGGAGACTTACCGGCGTCTCAGATGGCCTGCCGTCAAAAGGCGTCCGCAACACCTGGGTAGTGTCAAAATCATCAGGCAATGCCCGAGACTTCAACATTCTTTCGCGATCATTGCTAGTCAGCCTTTTAAGCTTGGCGCGCCTGGTTGGACACTTTAGTCGGAGGAAATCAATCATCTCTATTGAAGCATAACCGACCTGTTCTGAAACCAGACCTGCACTTGACGGGGTGTAAGCCCAGGAATTTCTCTCGATAAGCGTTCTCGGTGTGCAGCGTCAGGGTGTGCTTGGCGAGTAAACTCGCTCATCAAAAATCGAGTTTGGTTGTGTGTCAGACTAATAAGAACTGTTAGCCTCACCCAGTCTACCCAATTTGCATAATCGATTCACACGCACCGGAATCGCTTCATCTTTTTCTTGTCCGTTTTGGCGTCCGATGAGGTTCGTTTCTCAGTGGAGGATACTGCGCCTTCGTCCGATGAAACTGCCATCGTGTCTTCGTTCTCTTTTTCGTACTCCTGCATTTCCTCTTGCTCGCCCTTTCTGGCCGCTGGGGTCACTTCACTAGGAGCGTCGGGACTAGCAGTATTTCCAGACGCAGATAGAACAGGTTCGCTGTGGTTGAGCTTATCCAACCTCATCATTGACAGTGAAGAGTTGCCCTCGACTTCTGTTTTCTGCTTCTCCGAAATGCCCTCGGACAGTTCTCCCCCGGAATACCGATTCTGGGCAGATGTATCAGTAGACTTCGCAGCTGAGAAGGCATTTTCAGCCTTAAGCACAGTTGATTGCATGTCGGTAGGAGGTGCCCTTGCTGGTTCGGCTGGTTTCTCCCACGAGTCGGGTAATCTCGAAGGGATTACCCTTGACTCTAATGGGACCTGCTCACTGTTCCAGGATGGCGCCTGCCAGTGGTTTGTAATTGTAGACAGATGAGATGTAGATGGAGGCGACAAGGAGGACAACCAAACACAGGGCCCACTAATTGACATGGTAGATGCAAATACCCTACTCCATACAGTCAACACAGAAAGCCTCACGGTGGGAATCTGGAACGTTGGCGTTCTAGGTATCCCACAATCTGTCTGACAAGGACCCGGATTACGGTTCAGTAAGGTCAAGGAGTCTGAGCGAGCCGTCGGGGCGCTTCGCTCTCGAGTAGGCCAAGGTCTTCAGGAGCCACCGACTATGTGGTGAGAAAACGAAGGAGAGTACAGAAAATGGTGAAATGTTGTATTCGTGTCTTCCGGAACCCTGCAGGTACAGAAGACACAGGATGATAGCAGGCGAACAATAGCAGAATTGCAAAGTGACAAGGTAACCAATGAACTAAATGTTCTATGAACTTGTCTCTGTCTGCCCCTGGGCTTTTCCTCAAAATGCTAAGGAGAACCTCAATATCAGCTAAGACCAACGGCCGGCGGCGAGAAATGAGGGTCGATCGCTCCACAGGGTCCTGGATACGGCCGGGGGCTTGCCAGATGGTGGGTAGAAGGTAGTAGAAGAAATTAAACAGTGCTTAGCCAAGCGGGTAAAGGGATATCCAGGGAAAAAAAATAAAAAAAAATCACGGCAGTGGAAATAACAACAGCCAGAGAGAAGTCAAGATGCTAGCTGAAAGCTCTAATCACAACCAATAAAGGTCCACTAGATCTTCCATGTTGACCACCAATGGCAATGACACTAATGATGCATGAAAAAGGTCATGAAAGAACTCTCATTCATGGACTCGTCACGGAAAGCAACCTGGGACAGACAGTTGGGCTAATACAGGGAACCAATCTAAACAATAGAAAGAGAGGTAGATGGTAAATGCTAACGCGGAGAACGAACCCAGAAAAATAAAAACAATATAATAAACAAATAAAACAAGAATAATAATAATTAATTTCTTTTTTTTTTTTTTTTTTTTTTTAAAAAAAAAAAAAAAAAAAAAAAAAAAAAACGGGGTTTTTTTTTTAAAAAAAAAAAAAAGAAATAAAAAGTAAAAAGGGAGAGACAAAGCAGAAGTGACAACTGAACGGGCCACAGCTTGAATAGTTTTGGTACACGAAGATCTCACACCATGCTGTGTTTGTTAACGATGCTCCGTTGCGGGTATTCTGTATAAGCTGCCGATAGGGACCAACGAGAAACAAGAAGAGAGGGGAGGTGTGGGAAATCGACTTGGCTAAAAGGATTGGGGTTTCTTCCAGGGATCGATTCCAGCCCAACGTCGCAAGGAGGAGTAGTAGTAGTAAGTAGTACTAGCAATCCTGATAGGTGCCATTGACTAAAAGACCGAATATGACCAGGCATCCAGGTTTATCCTTCTGACGCGTCAAATCAACTACACATCTGTTCCTTGGTAAGGGCGTACACGAAGAACTAATTTCCTAACTAGGACACAGGAAGGAATCGCTTCCTCCCAGGTGTGAGGCCCTCAGAAAAAAAAGGCCGATATGCAACCAACCCCAACTACCTGCAGCGGAAGCGCAGTGGCGAACTGAAGCTCCACGAAATCCAGGTAGTCAGATGGCCTTGGGACGGCAGCCCTGTGAATTGGCACTAATTAGAGATAGGATGGTTCTTGCGGTTCAATTTCAACTGAGCTACTCTTGAGAGATGTTCAGTCATGATTGAATGTAAATTTTCCGACGTGGGACAGGGGCCTAACTGACCATGGCATCGCATCCGGCGGGTCTCTAGAATTCTGGGATGTCCCTAATTCACAATCCACCCGGCTATTGTGCTGGTCAGCCAACCGTTGTTTTGAAGGGTACATACTAAATAGACCCTCGTTGCCAGACTGGAGCCGGTCCTGACTCATCTGACGCTAATCTTCTGGTACTGTAATCGATACACCATGTGGAAGACCTGCCGACGGCGCTAGTCGTGCGTTGGCTCCATAATCCGCCGGAGACCGGGCATAAGGTCAGAACGAGGTGTTGTGTCTAAGAGCCACTTAGCGCCCTGCCCACCACCATCCACTTCAACGAATGCATTTGACTGAACGGGATAAAAATAAGCCCTAGGCACGAAATACCTACATAAGATTCTCCACGCCGGTAATTAAAAACATAAGTGCCATAGATGGCCCAGGAAGCAGTAGTTGGGAAATCTATAGGGGATATCGAGGAATCTCTCTGATTGATGGTATTGACGAATTAACCGATTGATCGATTGGCCAACATTGGTGGAAAGAACGGCTGTCAACCACTCCCTGGTACATCGCCGTTCCATGGACGTGGAGGGCGCAGGTACTCCATAAGCCCAGTACGATTTCGTATGGGCGGGTACCTAGGAGGGTACGTAGTACATACAACCTCCCTTACTATTAAGCAGTAGTATGGCAAAATGGGCCATCATCTAAGACCTCCATACCAGAGATGGCATAGACCACGGGATAGTCAGGGTTTGCGGAGAAAATGAAGAATCTTTCCGAGTTTCGAGCCTCCAGCGGCCGAAACGATACAATGGAAAGGCAGGTAAGCTCAGGACGGACCAAGGGGCGGACCATGCACCGGGCGACCTGAACGGGCACTGAACCGAGCGTGACGCTAAAATCGCATAGTCAACAACGGCTGAGCGTGGCGGCCTCATATGTTCTCCACTTTGACGAGAGAGAGTCTAGAGAGAGGGGTTGGGTTAATGATTGAATGGAAATTGGAAGTGGTTATGCGCCTGCACTCCACCCTAAAAAGCTGCATGAAACAATATGAGGGGGGTTCCACAGGGATAAATTGTTTTGAAGATGGCAATAAAATGTGATGGAGAAAACAAGATTAAAGGGGAACATATTAGATAAAAATGCAGGGATTTAATTACATGGATAAACAGGTACGTATCTTAGGTATGAGGTAGAAGTGAGGAACAACTGACTAGAGGGAAGTTGAATTAGGAGGGGAAAGGAAGAGAGAAAAAAAAAAAAAAAAACTCCAGTGGGAATGCATACAGGTGGGGTTCATCATGGCGTGTGAAATTCATCTGGATACGCCCGATTCAAGTGCTATACTCGCTCATTTATCCCCAGCGACCACTAATATAACCTCAAGAAGATATACTGCTGGATAATAAAATATTGATGAATCAGATCACTAAATCTACATCTTAGCACCTCTATTCTGTAAATGTACTTAGATGTCTATGTATATATATATGTATGTATTATGTAGCTAAATACTAGGGGCAAATGATGATATATTGTGTGGCTTTAATCATCGTATTTATTATTAATGTCTTTATTCTATGGATACGTGCTATGGATGATTATAGCCCTTTTTTTAATAGAGCAATATTACAAATATACATATATTTTAAAAAAAAGAAAGACAGCTCGTTCAGCATTTATCCTGGACTATATACGGCATAATGCTATAAGTGGTATTAGATAGACGGGCAAAACTCCGTACAGATCCGTCAGGACTCTAACACAACATAATAATGACAACGATAACGGTCATAACTGACAGCATCACAAGAAAGAAAGAACAAAAGCGAAGAAGGGGTAATGATCGGCTTACCACGATCCATACGGATATTAGTCCACTTCCGAGGCTGATGACGAGTTGACAAGCTCACTTAGTTCAGAGACCCCATCGAAGACTCAGACTGGATGTTCGGCTGGTCTTGGCTTTTTGGGACTGAAGGTGCGCAGCCGGAGTATTCCTGAATCCCGATCGAGGGAAATCTTATTGCCAGCATGGCTAACATGATAGTCGTATCTCCTGTTTCGAAACAAATCCATTGACAGATCAGGTCGGAGTTAAAAAAGGCTCGGATTTGGCTTTACTGTATAAAAATTGGCCTTATTTTTTATTGCAATTTTTTTTTGGCTGGTGGTTATTGCTTCATCTCCCCTTTTTTTTTTTTTTTTTTTTTAATCAGTGCCCTTCGTAATTCGGCTTTTGCCTTAGTGGGTATGGACTGTGGACTCAGGACAGAAGAATACAATCCTATTCCTAGTCCGAAGTCCGTATTTCTCGTCTCCTCCTTCGTACTCACCAACAACGGAGTAGTTCGGAATTCGGATTTCATCTCCCTTAATATTTCGGTACGTATATTCGAAAATGGAGGAGTAATACACTACTCCTTCCTCATCGGCTTGTACTCCGTAACGTATACAACAATGTGGGTAAGGGGCACAAGTCAAGCAATGACATGACTCTCAGCTCAGCTGCACAATGAAGAAGCCACCTCTTACTGCCACAAGAAAGTTCAAAGTGGGAGGCAATCGGCAAGTGGATCGTCGACGGGCACAATTCAAGCCAACCCAGCTGAAGGGACCATCCTTATTCATAATCCGCTGCAGTCGTGTAGCAACGGTGCGGGGAAGAAGATCCCAGGCAAACCGCCGACGATCGAGGACGAGTGGGCTACGACGTAGGAGGACTCGAGGAAATTGGGGAGGGCCAACTTTATCCGAAGGCTCCGCGTGAGAGCCAAGAACGTTATCTGGCCCCTTCCAATTTCACAGACGGCTAGAATCGTTCTTGGATCATCCTGATTCTCTCAAGGAATCCAGTGGGTATACTCTTCCTGGCCATTACGCAAGCCATAAACATCGAGTAGTGCTGAACTAGATCCAGAGTTGATCACTTCAGTTAACTAGATTTCCCCTTGCTTGGCCTCCTGGGCAAACAAAAAAAAAAAAAAAAGCAGAGTCTGTCTGTGCGGACCATTTCCGCCATGATCATTATGAAACGTCATTTACCATGAGATCTCATGGACCTGTTGCTGGGTCGAGTGGGGATTGAAGTATCCATACTCTCAACGTAATTCATTCTTGCTTGAATCGAACTTCCACCTCTCTGATGGACCACAATGTATGGAGTATGCAATCAGTCATGGAGAAAAGCCAAGTTGTCTATCATTGAGCTGCCTTCATGCCCGTATATACGATTCGAACAACTAAGCTTCTGAATACTCCCCTATCCTCCCCCATAAGGGAGATTGTAGGTGCTTTTCACGTTACAATTTATTTATCATACAGTCCTCAACCTAGCTACCTGCCAGGCAGGTACAATCTACTGAACACTAAACTTTGTAGCGGCCCTAATACCCCACCTCCATTAATTTCCCGGAATTGCATCCTCAGAAAGATCGAAACTGCAATGTGCCTTGCCAAGTTCGAGCTAATTACACTGGAAGGAACGGGACGGGTTATTGATCGAAACTTGATGATGAAGTTATCTCGAGATTAGGACTCGGTACCCTCTTCCTGATAATCGTCCACTTAATTTTACTTCATGTCATTTCAAGTTTTCAACACAAGAGCAGCATATAGATCGAGTTCAACCGGCCTGTAGTGGTGAAACGTAGCGTATCAACAGATCACAATCCCTTTAGAACCTAGAGATGGCATGGCACTGTATCTCGCATGACAGGTATCATGAAACCCCCCTGTCGAGTAAAAAAAAAAAATAAAAAATTTTAGGCATGCCATTATCCATATTCTGTTAAGCATGTTCTCGCAGAATGATGTCAACTTCTACGGTTATGCAGGAACCTTCCATGTAATTAAAGTTGCTGATCTCCGACAAATTTCGGACACTTGCCCGTAGCTTATTCGTATAAACGCTGTCTTCTGTGGTAGCCAACTGCTCTACTGCCTAGTGAGCCCAATACGGTCACTTGCAGACACTCTCCACTGCCCGCTCCCTCCTGTCATTTGAAGTTCCTCCTTTGGGCCGCAGTGGATGTTGCCTGGTCTGGTGACCCTCAATAATTTCCGACGGGTGGTGCGCCCTAGCAGTAGCAACCTGGGATCTCTTCCATAGTATGATGTTTGTTCGCTCTCCTCCCAAGTCCCAACCAATCAGAGGTGGCAGAGTCCTCGCGACACACAATAGACGTAACCCGTATATACAAGCCTTAATTAATGAAAGGCTGCATACGGTCCCGGCGGGGGAAGCTTCGAGTGCTTTCACTGTGCCAAATAGTGTTTCAGGTAATGGTGTCAGCAAATACCAATGGTCGTGGCTGCCGTCCCCGTCGCCATCTCGCAGTTCCCTTGTGACAACCACAACATCACCATGCTTCCAGGTGACTAACATCAGGCACCTACTACTGGCCCATTCGATTATCGGCTATATATTGCAGGGTGTTCTCATTAACTCTGTGACATTGATGTATCCAACTGCGGTCAGCAAATAGGAAGCAGGACATACCATGTCCAACAAGGAATCGTAGCCCTTAGTGCAGGGTGCTAACGAAAGCCGGTCGGGATTGATCGGCTGTATCTTCTCCCCAGTCCAATATGCGGCAATACTCTAGAGTATGTGGGGAGGGAGGCTTTCCTTCACGTATCCTGGCCTTCCGCAGTAATGGCATCTTTCAAGTCCGATGTGGATTGTTCGGCGGCAACGGATGAACTCTCCTTCTCAGCAGCGGTGCTAACACCAGCATCTTGTATCAGCTCATTGTCCTGGCTCTCCGTCGAAGCCTTTGCTTTTGCTGTTACATCTGATTCAAGGGCCTGAGGTGTCCCTTCGTTAGGTTGACAGTTTTCGAACAAGACCTTCAAATTCTTGCCATCCTCAATCTTGTCGAAGACTGCCAGTTTACTCCTTGCGGCAAGTCGTAATATCCGCCAAGTTTTACTAGCTTTAGCCCGGATCGCGTGCTCTTTATCATCCTTGGACTGCGCGGTGTCGATTTCCAATTCATCGTCCATAATACCCATCATAAATGAATCCGGTGTAGGAATGGTAAATCTTAGGCAGCGTTAGCCAGTGAAATTCCGAAAACTTGATTAATCTTGGATACATTACCTTTCAGGCTCTTTAAGTTTCCCGACACCTGTAGTCGACACACCCTCAGAAAGGAATTTCAAGTCGAGGGATCCCATAGGTGAAGGGCGGAGGCGTTTATTAGCATAAACCTTTGTCGCATGCTCACGAGCACCGAGATATTCAGTCACTGAGACCGCTAACTTTTCAATCAACGGACAGCCCTCCGCTTTCCAGCGCACCCAGTTTTTGTCCCTCGATAAAACGGTGTCCACCATGCGATAGTAAAATTTACCTCCGATTCCTTCTTGGAGATATTCTTCGATTGCTTTCCTCATCTTCATGGCCCATGTAGTCTACTTTTGTCAATGCTATTCACGGAAAGGGGGTAGACAAGTTCTTACATCTTCCTCGCTTAAGACGAAGCCATAAAGCACCGACTTGTTAGTCAAATCAATTAGCTTTGCTTTGGCCGTTGGCGTAAGTGAAAGCATAAAATCGAGGAGAATAAGGGCTTGGACGAGGACATGTCTCCTAAAGGCGGTATCATTGACCTAGGACGAGGAACGAATCAGTATACGCGGTCCTGGCATGTTCAACGAGAATGCACGAACTTCGAGACCAAACAAATCTCTACTCGTCAAATACTTAGGATTAAAGCTGCTCGCAATCTCCTGTCCATCTGCAGTTCGTTTCCGCCTGGTCGGTTTTCGGGTTTCCTCCGACATTCTACTAGTACCTGAATTCTCAATTTCCGTATTAACACTTCGAAAGGCCGACAACGTAGCTTCGAGTCCAGATTTAAAAATGCTGAAGTGCTGGGGGTCGAATGCTTTGGTTGGGGCTGAGAAGTAAGCCTGTAACCCCCAAAACATCGGGTAGAGCGCATGCAGATCGACCTTCGTCTCCTTATGCTCATCATCACACTTGGAAACAAGCAACTTCGGCGTTTTAGACGACTTCCGAGTATGTGTCTGGGAGTCAGCGTTAGAAGCATGGGTATCGTGTTCTTTGATATCTTCTACCATCTCAGGCGCATCTTGCCCATTGGACATTTCCACATCCCTATCCCTGTTCTCCTTGCTATCTGCTTCAATATTCTCGTCGAATGTGGTGACGTTATCGGTATGGTATTCACCCCGCAGGTTAACGGCGCTCTTATCACCCAGAGGGAAACTTTGGAACAAAAAGATAAAAACACGTCCACAAAAGACAGTGTCTTCCGCACGAGACAGCCTTCGAAGTAGTTCATTACAGGACCTAAGGATAACCAGGCTTTTCTGTTTGAAGTGTTTCTTCACTAGCATTAGCGAATCCGACAGACAATGGCCAATGAACAAATTTGTGCATACTTTTGTGTTGCGTTCCCTCCGTGACTCCAGGTAGTCGAAAACTTTACGGCAACCGTCAATCGTTTGACTATCAAGGAGCTCTTCAATAAGCCAGAATATTAGACCGGGTTCGCATTGCCCTGGAGGTATGTTAGAATACCATCCTTACGTTTAAGTCGTGCCCAACCACTAACCGTTATCCGAAAATATAGAAATAATATCTAGTAGGTTCCATATTTGGATAAATGCGAGCTCATCGATTGACGTCGTAGCCTTTTAGGAGATCAACTGTCAGCCATCCATTCTCCTATCCTTATGATGCCAGAAAACTGGGTTTCCATACGAGAAGACTGTAGAATTTCTCTCTGAATGCGATCTCAACAGCAGCAAACTGCGTCTGCTGACTGAATCGTTTTGTGACTTGCTCATCCTTTCCCTGAACTAGCCAGATGGATTCGCCGAGGTGAGTCTCTGTCAATGGGGGTTCAATCTGCTTGTCGGGCTTGACTTGGTCTGCCTTAGCCAGGAGATCATCGACCAATCGCCTGTAAACGTGTATCGACTCAGCATCAACGTCCGTCATAATTCCTGATCAGCAGCCAAAAATTAAGTGGGATAGGGTGGTGGACAAGGGAATAGCGTGCGTTGTGCCAAAGCGGCCGAGAGATTTTAAATAACGCACTGCGGCTCTGCGGGCTTTAACTTTTACTAGGCGCGCGCCAGAAGCTTTCCATTTCCGTCGCAAAGGACAATCTGCGCAGATACATCCCACCCGCCCTCGGATTCATTTTCAGCAATCCCAACGTCAAGGAATGGGTCTGCAGGCACGTCAGGCGATGGCGCACAGCCTTGACTCTCGGCCCACCGTGGAGGATTTCTGCGAAGGCAGTCCGTGGGTGCAACTTGCAAAGACTCACTGGCTGGAGCCATCAAAGGTCCGCAAGGTCAGACCGGATGCAATCAAAAAGGATATATGGGATCCCCTAGAGACTGAAAACTTCAGTTTTCGCTCACTTCTTACATTGGAGAATTTGAACATACTGGAAAAGTCCGCACAGTGCCTACTAGACCATTGATTCTCTCCTAGCAGCGAGCTAACTTCACAGCAGATTTCTTTGGCCCACCTACACGGAAGAAGCTTCAAATTATCATGTGCTCCTTCTAGCACTCATAGTTAGTGTGAAACAGCGCGAGCATCTACCAATATGGAGTAAGTCGAGAAGAACATAAGGAATGGCGTGCTAGGAAGCTGAACGGATCGACAGGTATCTTTTCCGATCGACCTGATGATTTCTCGAATCTTTTCCACCGGATCCTTTCCATGAGCATTGACCAGTCAGTTCCTGTATATTCGCGCCTGTCTATACTCTCGTTCATTATCAGTGCCTTCCAGTCCCTCGAAAACGTCTTGATACGAAAAGAATGTGCACCCCTCGTTTCCATATCCACCTGGCACAACCTTTCTAGCGATGAGACTAGGGATCGTATGCTTGCAAAAGGGCCAACACTGAAAAAAGCATGGCGGGCCGCTGCTAAAAGGTACGACGCAGGAGATGAGACAGCCAAGGCAAAAATGCGATTTGAGCGTTCTTGGCTATACACGATGCTGCTCGATTTTCTCCAAAGACTTGGCAGGTCTGAGAAAGACCAAGCGGAAAATTTACGTTACTGCGAGCGCTTCCTCGAATTTCTGGTTGACCTAGAGAGTCAACTTCCAACAAGGCGCTATGTCAATACGCTGCTGAAAGATCTCAGCTTACTACCAATTATTCGCTTGTCACGGTTATACCGTGCGCCCGAGAATACACTCTTCCGAGATTTCTATAGTCTTTTAAAGCATTTCGTCAATTTTGCAATCGACGACTATACAGGAGAGGCCTTGTCTCCACAGACAGTATATGATATTCATTGCCAGGAACTAGCACATCTACAGAGAACTTCGATGAAATTCTTCAAAGACAAGTTAATGATTCTCGCTTTATCCAACTACGGGTCGATAGGGCAACGCTCGGAATTAGAGGGGCAATTGTCTTCTTTAGAGGAGTCCGAACTACAGAGTCTATGTGCTCATCTTGGCTTCCGTACAACTTATCCCAGTCAGTCCCAAGTTACACCGGATCGACTTTTGTATATGGAAATTCTCTTGTCCTTCTATGAGCGAAAGATGTCTTTTCAAGAAATTTCTTCGCACCTCGCCATTGTTCCTACAGAAGAGAGCTTATATGACCCGGCATTGCTGCGAAACGAAACTTACGACGGGTCTAGACCAATTGCAATCCCTAAGCTGAACCTCCAATATTTGAGTCTCGGTGATTTCCTTTGGCGCTCGTTTATTTTGTATCGCTCCGAGGCCTTTTTTCAGATCCGCAAGGACATGGAAGCGATAGTCAAGCGGATGCAGCCACGGGCCAGTCGTGACGGTAAAAGCATAACCTTCGAAGGGTTTTCTCGCATGGCTATCCCAATCTCAAAACCTGCGATTATTGAGGTCGCGCCTGCTAAAGTTGGCTCGGCAAAGCCAGCTTTTGTAAGAGCTGAGATCACTATTGAAGTTGGCAGGCTGGCCGACCACATCAGAAAAGAATGGGAATCACTACGTCCAGATGATGTCATTTTCCTTTTAGCTGTGCAGCCTGGTGGTGCAAATAGACTGGGACTTCATGACTCCTACTCAGCTGAGAGCCCTAGTCTTTCTCACGTTAGGACGGCGGAAATCGTGCAGGTACTCGATGAAAACGGGCGTCCTCTGCGCGAACCTGCTTCAACCCAGACAAACGGCTTTAGACCCAGACCGCGTGTCAGGAGATTGCTGGTCAACATAGATTCCGCCGCTTTCAAGGCAGATAAGGACCGCAATATGCAAGGAAAGCCGGACATCTATCCATTGATCAACGTGGTTGCCAGAAGGAAGGGTAGAGAGAATAACTTCAAGTCAGTTCTTGAGACCATGCAAAAGCTCATTGTCTCTGACATTGCTCTTCCTTCGTGGCTTCAAGATATCTTTCTGGGATACGGAGACCCTGCAGGAGCCCGATATACGGAATTACCAAATCGATTACTGTCAGTCGATTTTCGTGATACCTTCTTGAACTGGCAGCACCTCGTTGAGAGCTTTCCAGGTACGACCATTGAGCCGTCTGGAGAGCAGACCTCAACATTTGGACCTCCATACGTGCTCGAATACAGTGAACCCGCCCAACCCCAACCTGCCACAAACGCCTCCAAAAAGCGACGGAGAGATCAAGCTGAAAAGCAAGAAGCTGCTCCTAAAACGCTTCGTGTATCAACCTACAAACCCCCGAATCGGGGGCCTTACCCTGTCGATGCTCCAAAGCTCAACTGTGTGCAATTTACTCCAGCTCAAGTTGAAGCTATAGCATCTGGGACTCAGCCTGGGCTCACTATCATCGTTGGCCCCCCGGGAACTGGGAAAACGGACGTCGCAACGCAAATAATCAATAATATTTACCACAACTTCCCAAGCGAGCGTACCTTACTTATTGCCCATAGTAATCAGGCATTGAATCAACTATTCCAAAAAATTGTCGCTCTAGATATTGATGAGCGCCACCTCCTCCGCCTTGGTCACGGTGAAGAAGAATTGGATACTGAGGCCAGCTACAGCAAATATGGTCGTGTCGAGTCGTTCCTTGACAACAGAAATTACTTCCTATCCGAGGTCACACGATTAGCAACATCCATAGGAGCGCAAGGTGCCCATGGAAGTTCTTGCGAGACCGCTGGATACTTCAATACAGTATACATTCAACCTGCCTGGGCGAAGTTCTGGGATCACGCGCGTGCGAAGGATGCCTCTACTGAACAAATTATTGCGAAGTTCCCGTTCCATTCCTACTTCTCAAACGCCCCACAACCTGTCTTCGATCCTTCGGCTTCAAAGGACGTGGTTCTGGGTGCAGCAGAAGGTTGTCAACGACATCTTGCCAAAATATTCTCCGAGCTAGAAGATATTCGGCCGTTTGAGATCTTGAGACAACCGAAGGACAAGGCAAACTATCTTCTAGTAAGGGAAGCGAGGATAATTGCAATGACATCCACTCATGCTGCAATGCGTCGTCAGGAGATTGCGGATCTCGGCTTTCATTATGACAACGTTGTAATGGAAGAAGCTGCGCAAATCACGGAGATTGAGAGCTTTATCCCAACCTCATTTCAGAACATGAAGGAAGGCCAGCTTCCCTTAAAGCGTATGGTCCTTTGTGGAGATCACCTTCAAAACTGTCCAATCGTGCAGAACTTTGCTTTCCGCCAGTACGCACATTTTGAACAAAGTCTCTTTCTCCGTATGGTGAGACTGGGTGTCCCCATCATTACGCTTGATCAGCAGGGTCGCGCACGAAGTAGTATCGCCGAACTTTTCCGGTGGCGGTACCAGGAGCTTGGCGATTTACCCATCATTGGAACAGCTCCGGAGTTCAAACAGGCGAATGCCGGGTTCCAGTTCGAATACCAGTTCATCAATGTCCCTGACTATCAAGGTATCGGTGAACGAGAACCCACGCCTCACTTCATTCAGAACCTTGGCGAAGCAGAATATGCGGTTGCCATCTATCAATACATGCGACTTCTTGGCTACCCGGCGTCGAAGATATCCATCCTTGCTACCTATGCAGGTCAAACGGCATTGATCAAGGATGTATTGGCCCATCGTTGTGCCAAGAATGCTTTATTCGGTATACCGAAGATCGTAACAACCGTGGACAAATACCAGGGCGAACAAAATGATTGTAAGGGTTCTTTTTCTTTGTTCTCCCTTCTCTCCTTCTTCCCCTGATGGGGGACTTGCGAAACATACTGACTTAGAGGTTTACAGATGTCATTCTTTCGCTCACCCGTACTCGTACGATTGGATATCTACGCGACGTCCGTCGTCTTACAGTTGCCCTTTCCCGCGCCCGTCTTGGCCTCTATATTCTTGGCCGGCGCGAGGTGTTGGAGTCGTGCTATGAACTTAAGCCTGCGTTTGATCTGCTATTCCAACGGCCAGACAAGCTCATGCTCACTACAGGGGAAATGTTCCCTACAACACGATCGCTGGACGATGAAGTTCAAAGTACATCCATGGAAGGAGTGGAACATCTGGGGCAATATGTGTACGAAATGACTCAAGCTAAGATCAAGGCTCTCGGCGACCAGGGCATCGTTGTTGAGGGCGCAATCCCAGATGGTACGGATGATTTATTGGATGAGGATGAAGTCATGCTGGGGGCTGGTGAAGAAGAAGCACCAGATGATGATCCGTTGCATGAGCATGCACTGACTGGTGCGTAAAAAATTGCCCGTGAGTGCCGCAGACTCAGAGATGGATGATCCCCTTTGGCTCTTATTCTACGATCATACAATACCATGAGCCCGTCGTCTTAGCGCAGCTGTTGGGTATTCGATTATTTATTCATGATGATGTTTATTCTCGTCTTTATCTTTGCTTGGTAATTGTTATTTGGCACTACGATATAAAAGTGAGGAAGAGCTGCGCAGAAGTTGAAACATACATTCAACGAAAACTATTTACATCTGAGTATGCTCTGCTGTTTTAAGATTCGAGTATTCGAAATTAGCGCACTAAGTCCTAGCGTATTGTATCCTATCAAGGATGCCTAGTAGCATGGCAATTGAAAGGTTGGTACCAGATCGTCTAGGACGTGATATCTATAGTGAGATGTATAATTTTTACCGGTCCATCTATGATTGTTTATACCCGCCAAGCTCTGCGATATTCTGGGGGTCTTTCCAGGCGAGTGCGATATATCTACTAGGGCGTCAGCGGATACCATGGCTCATCTGAATAAGGAATTATAATAACCATACTTGGTGTGGCTTCCTCTTGCAACAATTTCACCCTTGCTATTGAAGAATTTGATGGAAGTGTATGCGAGGGTTTTACCAACTGCAGCATAAGTTAGAGCTTTCGTTGTTCAAAGAAGAGCGGAGTTGAAGGCATGTTTATGGGCCAAAGAGTTGCATTTAAAAGAGATAAGAGAGTCGGGAGAGACGGTACATTTATCACAGCTGACCTCCTGAAGCGAAGTTAGCCGGAGCAAATAAAATAATTGGGCGTAAGAAAACATACAGCTAGAATCTTATCACCAACCTTACCTCCAGAGCTAAGGTAGGTAACTGAATTTGTATGGTGGTCAGAAATCATCTTTTCCGCCTTAGCTTGGGGCATTGGACTCACCGTTGAGGTCAGTCGAGACACCTGTAGCAAACAGCCCATGGGAAGCGACTGCCAGTGAACCGCCGAGGTCCACTTTATAGAAAAATATCAGTAACAGCCGAGGAGAGAAGAAGAGCTAGTCATGGCCGCGTACCCATGCTTGCAATGGTGCCACCATGGAGAATATTCAGACGATTCTGATGGGCGGTCAGTTAGAATTCAGTGGCGTTCAACAAAAGAGGAGGCCTCCTGTATGCTCTTTCCGAATATCCAATTCGAAATTGACTACCCCTGGTCTAGCAGCCGTCACATTGAGCTGGTATTGGAGCAAGCAAATGTCAGTCTATTCCGATGTCCTTACATTTGAATGATGAAAGATACATAGGACGTGAAATACTATCCTGTGGGTTGAATAAGGGGTTAGGCTCCATGAGGGATATGCATACATTGTCCAGAAGCCTATATAGTCGCAAAGTAGGTTCATATCAGTGGCGACCTTCTCGCAACGCTGGTGCTTCCTCTCTAGATCTGTATACATCTCTCACTTACCGAGGCTCCAATCCCGAAGTGGCCCGAAAAGACTCCCAAACCTGGAAATAACCATTAGTTAGAGAAATCAAAACAGTAGGAACATGCATCATACCGATCTCACAAAACGCAAGGCAGACATCGTCACAAATCTCGTCAAGACCGGGGAGGAGAGAGAGATGGAAGCACTCCATATGCCTTAGTTCCCAGACAAAATCCGGAGAGGTCATTTGCCGCGGACTGCGCTCTGAGGCCGCTCCGGCCACCGGACTGGAGCCTTGCCCATCCATCCCAACCATTATTTCTTTCACCTCTCCATGGGGGTTTGTCGTCCCTCCTCGAACCATGTTGTGCAGGTGAAAAGACTTGGTATCTCCTACAGGCAAGATGGTGGCCGCTCCATCCCGCCCGTTTGATTACCTGGAGGGTCTGCCTGGAACGGTCTTCTTGAAGCTCTACCAGCAACCTTCCACGGCGCTCGCCATTTTCAGGCGCATGTTACCTGACCTGGGTATGTGAGGTGGCCGAGGGGCCGAACTATCAAACTAATCCGGGATCTAGCAAAATGTTTTGTCATGGCGCTTCTTTACCTTAAAGATCCTCTGCCAGCGGCAGATCTAGAGGTCTGGGTCAGATCAGAGAGCTTGAAGTGGGTACTTAGGCCCCAAATCTCTCGCAAAATCATGCGGTTGACTTCTGTTCTTGCCCCTAACCGCGTCTAGAGAACGAGATAATGCGCTATCGATACTAGGGCGACTACATATTCTATCAAATACCGTGACGGCGAACAATACCCGAGCCTACATGGTCACAAATCCATTTGCCTCTTCCCTTCGACAGGCTCTCACTGGAGCCGAACAGACACAATCATTCGGCGTTCTTTCCCTAAACCCCGCTGAGGCGGCTGTTTCCATTGCTGATCTAGACGAGTATGCGCGCCGACAGTGGGAAGGGGTTCTGGGATACATGGTTGGAACCAGCGGATTGGGAATCCAACGAGATGTTAATCTAAGCAAGGGTGTGAAGCAGCTTTTACAGGCTGGTCATCTTGTTGAGATAAGAGACCGTCGAGTCGAAATTACCCAGGACGGGTTCGCGTTTGTTTTACAGGACGTCGGCACCCAAGTGTGGCATATTCTGATACTCTATGTTGAAAGCGCAGAAGCCATTGGAATGGATAGTGTGGAGGTCCTGTCTTTCCTCTTCCTTCTAAGCAGCCTGGAGCTAGGGAAATCATATGAGAAGGAACACCTAACGTCCAACCAACTTCGTACATTAACCGATCTAGCCGACTTCGGCATTGTCTACCAGCGGTCCCCTGAAGCCAGCCGTTTCTATCCCACCCGTCTTGCGACCACTCTTACCTCCGACTCTAGTGCTTTGAGTAACCCTATTTCTGGCTCCCTCGCTGGGCCTGCAGGCACGGTCTCCAGTAAGGCAGGCATTGGCTTCATCATCATTGAAACAAACTACCGACTATATGCGTATACCTCATCGCCGCTGCAGATCTCTCTCATTGCGCTTTTCACCACACTCAAATATCGCTTCCCCAACCTGATCACTGGGAAGATCACCCGCCAGTCCGTTCGTCGGGCTATTGAGATGGGCATCACTGCCGACCAAATTATTTCATATCTGTCCACCCATGCTCACCCGCAGATGCGCAAACATAACGTGTCCCGATCCATGTCCAACCAGGCTGGTATCCCCGTATCCGTCCTGCCACCCACTGTTGTCGATCAAATCCGTCTTTGGCAACTGGAACGTGACCGTGTCAAAGCAACGCCTGGTTTTTTATTCAAAGATTTCGTTAATCTGGCCGAGTACGAGGCTCCGTGCCGATACGCCGAAGAGATCGGGGTTCTTGTGTGGAAGTCCGATCGAAAGCGCATGTTCTTTGTTACCAGGCATGAGCAAGTGGCAGCTTTCTTGAGGAGTAGGAAGTGAGTGAGCCTGGAGGGAAGTGTCAACCTTCATAGCAATTTGAGACCCAGGTTAGTATTGGTAATGACGGCAATGGTGAATTGGTATGGTCTGGCGTTTATGGACTTGGAAAGTATTTAAGTCTCATGCACGAAAATCGACATATAGGGTGTGAAATAGTCTAAGATCATTGCGCATCATGGTTTATACCAAGATACAAATAGTCCGCAGTAAACTATTCGCTTGTTGACAGACACACCCACTAAAATTATAAACATTTGCACCCATGCATGCCAGGTATTAGCTGAAGCACACCGGTGCCTGGAGCCCAATCTCTACCAGGCCCTTGAAGGCTACAACATCCACCAATCCCCATTGATTCTGACATACTCATCTCGGAAAATTCGAAGACTTGCACCTGCTTCCTCCGTTGTACAGACGTTTTCGAGGACCATAAAAGCGCGCTTGATGCGGTAGCCTGCTAGGTCCGAATCCGAATGTCCCAACGGACGAGAGTAGCTGGAGAGCATGCCAAACCCCGTCGCAATGTCTGGCTGGTCGAAGGAGTCCTCGTAGTGGAACGCATTGATGAGGGTGACGAACCTCCCGAGCCAGTACTGTCGGGGTTGGGGTTCTGTGACCTGCGAGACAGGCCGGGCATGAGCTGTCTGGGTTAACCTCCTGGAGTAGGATGGTATCCGGGTGATGTGGTCTCTCGAGGTTGGCAGTCTCGCTGTCCTCGCCCGTGGTTCCAAGTTCCCTTGGCCAGAGTCCGGGCTGAGCTTGTTTGGCCCCTTTGAGATTAATCCTTTCGCACTTGCTTGTTTCCATCCCTTCATGTTCTCGATCTTGTCAGTCCATCGAATCCGTTTCGAAGTCATGGCTTCCTTCCGTCTTAACCCTGTATTTGAGATTCTCGAGAGCTCAATTGTCCGGCTGTTTTCTGCTATTTGGTCATGTGAAGGTACCATTCGGTTGGTAGTTCGCACTTTCCCAAAGGAACTCGTTTCCAAAAACCACCCATTTCTCGCAAGATAGCTATTCTCGATGCTTTTTCTCCGTTGATTTCTTCTTTCAGTGCATAAGTTATTCTCCTGTCCAGACTTGGGCGTGGGAGTTGAGGGCCCACTAATCTCAGTCGTTGGCGGCCATATCTGCCAAAGATTGCTACTCGCAGCAGTAAAGTAACAGGGGACTGAGTTGGATGCGGGCAGCGAGGTCCTCGCGCGAGATTGCCCTGAAATACAAACATGTTGCGAGGAAGAAATATTGAGGGTGCTGTGGTTGTCAAATAATGCCTCAGGTTGATCGACTGGGACTTCCAGAGTAGACTGGTTCCTCCAAAGTATGGGTAGTATGTGTAACTCGCCATCACCACCTTGTATAGATGTGCTCTCCCTATCTCGAGTGTTAGGGAAAGCATGGTGTTTCCCCATGTTTTCCGTTCGATTAGTGTGTCGTCTCCCTAGAGACGAGAGCACGCTTCTTCTCCCTTCCACTTGGTAGACAGAATGGGAATATAGATCTCCCTCCGGAGGGTTGGAGGGGGTTGGAATTCTCGAGTGGGTGGACCTGGAGGTTGCTCCTAGCGTAGCCTGAGTGCATGGATGGGAGGAAAGGCGCTGAGTTTCCGAAGTTGAACGTTGAATCTGGATTCCCTTCTCTCTCTTGTGCACACGAAAGCCGTTTGTATCTTTTCTCGAATTGCTGCGCTCCAGGGTTGTAGGGCCCGTAGAGGGTAAGGGCATGGACAATTGACGCTGCCCTTGTCTCTGGAACGGGATTCGCGTGTGCGACCATGCCGGTGAAAATATAGGCCCCATTCTCCTGCTATCGTTCGTGCATCGGGAGTTTTGGGTCTCCTTGTTCGGTGTGGCTGCTGAACCGTCATGATTTCCGCCCAAAGCGTTCTTGAATGAGTGCAAGCGGTTGAGAATCGAAGGCTTGCGACCCTGCCTCTCCGTCATCTTGAGCTCCTATGGGAGTAAAGGCCAGGTCGAGCCAGCAGAGAAATAAATGGGGTACGGAAAATCCACGACAACGGGGGAATTCAAGATAAGCTGATGTATTGAGAACCGAAAAGAGAAACAAAGCGGCGGCCGTGGTTGAGGGCACTGCCAATGGGCTGAATGTTTACCTGGCAACGGGGCTTTGAGTGAATGAAGTTCAATTTTGCATAGATGCTGTTCTAACTATGTAATACTTCACTTGGTCGCATCCATTCCACAATCCATTACTCCTCAGGGACCAGGATTGTTCCCTCGGCCACCATCACTGCAGCTCCTTTCAAGTCGAGACTTTCAATCTCCTTCCCGGGGCTGATTGTGATATCAATGCCAATGTCGCTACGCCTCCCCATTTCCACCCCCTGCACAATGTCATACTTGTACTGCCCAGGCTTTCCGTTCGTCAGTGACAGATATGCGACCAACCCACTGGCCGCGCTGCCAGTGGCCGCATCTTCTTCGTTTCCTAGTATCATCCTGGTACGGATGACATTCCGTCCTAGACGAGCATCCGCAACATCTCGCACGTAGAAATACTTGACGCAGTGGCCAGAGCCCCATCCATCGTCCAAATATGTGCCATCAACCGGGACGACCTCGTATGTGGTCGTCACGGCTGCGAGGGCTTCCAGAGAGGGTAGTTCAACATGGACCTGACTCATCCCATTGACGATCGAAACTATCGGAAATGAATCTACCCCCCCTTGAACTGCGGCTGGGAAAAATGGAGCCAAGGATGGATGAAGTCGAAGCAGTTCATTCAGCGGGTACCTCGCAGCATGAAAACGGACATTATGTGCAATCCTCGCCACCACCGCATGCTTCGTAGGTGGCTGCTGCAGCGAGATGGGAATTTCACCGGACTTCGTTACCAAACAGCGAACCAGTTCCCCATCTTCTTTGGCTCGTGAGTGAGAAAGAAACCATGATGCAGCACCTATGGTCGGATGACCGGCAAAAGGGATTTCGCAAGCGGTGGTGAATATGTCAATTGTGCGTTTCTCACCGCTGCCTTCGTGCACAAAGATCGTCTCGGACAAATCGAATTCACGCGTGATAGTTAGTTTCTGGCTCTGGGTGAGCGGAGGAGCGGAACCCTTCGGGTTCGGCAGGAACACAACAGCCAACGGATTTCCGGCGTACGGCTGAGAAGTGAAGACGTCCAGCGTGACATATCGCACTCGCTGACCCATAGTGAAAGGACGTTGGTTGTGGGTGGGAAAGATCCGGGCCAAGTAAGAAAGTATATATATGCCCCTCTAGGTCCTAGAGCAGATATGACTCACGGAGTAGCCCCCATTTTTCAAGAAGTTTGGGTATCTGGCTTCCACGCCTGGCCAGGCTCATGCCTTACGCCAAATAATAAATGATCATTCGGTGTCGCTGTCAATCACGAACCCGCCACGTATCCGACGTCGAGCCGGCACTGCCACCGGCCTATCATCATAATCTTCCTCTTTCTCGGCACTGGCTTCGGTGTTGCTTGACCCCACATTCTTGCCATGAGCAGGGGACTCCGGTGCATGATTCCGATTACGGCTAAATGCCAAGTCATCATCAAATTCCAGGTCCCCCTCAGCATCAAGGTTGGGTGAGAATTCTTGTGGTGACCCGGGAGACCGGACTTCAGTACTGCTCTTGACAACATCATTGTCTTGGTCCATCCAAGTGGCTGGGTGGGCACGTCGCTGTCGCTTGCTTGATGTGTCTGGGCTCCCCGGGGTATGATTACCGCTTTGGCGTTTCTTGCGCCTTTTCCCTTTGCTTGCACGAGTATCTGTCTCCTGTACAGCGCCACTAAGCAGGGCTTTCCGCACTCTTTCAGCCTGGTTTTTCCTCCTTTTCTCTTCGAGGATGAAAAACTGTTTGTCTGCATCTTCGTCGGTTTCTTCGTCGCTAGCGTGGACATATAGATTACTCTTAATTTTTGCCTGGCGATCTCGTGTGTTCTCTAGGCGTTTCTGGCGGCGCGCTTCCAAGGCCTCTTCATCCAGTGGTTCTTGATCAGCATCCTCATTCCGCTTCTTGCGGTTTTTCTTCGGCTGGTCGAGCTCCTTGGTCTTCGATCGAGGATTAGGGGGGAAAAGTGGCAGATCCTCGCCCTCAGATTCCGATCCGAAATCAGCACCAAGAGTTGTTTGGTTTCGACTGTTGTTACTCTTGCTAGGGTATTTACGCCGAAGCATTTCCCGAGGGTCATTCTCAAGGTCACCAGTCATAGGATCATCAAGGCATCGATCAATAATGGACTTCATATCTTGAAGATCTTTTGAACTCAATGATGCGGGAACGATCCAAGATGCCCCCGGCACATCTTCTACTCCGAGACGCTCGAGTTTCACCAAGGTCATCAAAAGACGAAGCTTAGCGTTCGAGAACATTGCTTTTTGACAGGCATCATCACGAGGTTTAACGGCTAGTTAACTTATTAGTCTCATCGGAACAAAATTGGAGGGCCATACATACCGATCATGGGATTGGGTGCCCTAGATGCTGTGGGGTTCTCATTTGCCTGGGTTTCCCATGACTCTCTTGCCTCCGCCGCCGACTGGAGGATCTCGCCAACCCACGCAATCAAACCACCTTGTTCATCCAGGATCAAGGCACCGATCACAATGCCAATCTTCTCGTCAAGTGTTTTTGCGTCAGTAGAGCTGACTTCAAGCTCGGCAGGTGGCCTCCTGGCTGTGGCTAGTGTTTGCTTCTCATGGCCGTACTCGAGATAGTAAACAGTAGAGTTGATTTTGCTAAAAAGTAGCTCAGTTATCAAAGCGGGGCGCTGGTCAATTTTCTTGATTAGTCGGCGAATGATCTGCTGCACCAACTCCTCCCACTCCCTGTAAATTGACTTGCTCGAATCCATCGCCCCTGGCCCTTTAATCATCCTGTAGAAAAGGTTGATGATGTCCACGCGGAAGAGCAATACGCTCATCTCTTGTTTGAATGCGATCCGGTAGAAATAGCGGTGGGCACGTTTTAGCTGTTCCAAATTCAGCTCTTTGTAGTATTTGGTAAGAGCAACAAAGGTGTCGACGCATTTTTGATTGCAGAACTTCGCAGAAAAGCGCCGGAAATCGAATCCGCGCTCTCTGGAAACTCGCTCCGCGTCGGCTTCATCTTCGTCCTCGGAAACAGGGTCCTCATCATTACCCTCATCCGCTACTATAGATTCCTTGTTTTTGTGTCTAGCACGTCGTAGGGATCGCACTTGCATATCAGCATTCTCTTTCGAATATCGCTCCAGCATCCTCAAGAAGACATGTGAAAGCTCTGTAGCTGCGTCAAGATAGCCAAATCCTTGGTCCTTGAATCCACGGAGAATGGCGAGTATACGATCATGAGTGGTTTCTTCATAAAAAATCCGGTTTTGGATGTTCTCGGCAATATCCTGGTCCTCTTCAAGTGGAGACAACGCCATTTCTTGGACAGTCAACAAGATTTGCGTGAAGCAACGCATTTCGGCATTAAGATCTTCCCAATCCTTATTGTCAAAACTGTACTGCATGGATCTGTTTAGGAAAACAAAAGTTTCCTGATTAAGAACGCTCGCTACCAGTCCAAAATTATCTGGCTCTGCCAAGTTGTGTGACTTTTCGTTTTGTGACCGTTTCTGACGTTGGCGACGTGCTCGTTCCGCTTTCAGTAGCCAGGCAACAGTGTAGAAGTATTGACGAGAATTTATTGGTAAGACACGGTCAGCTTCACGCTCAATCGATTTTCGAACGTGAGTGAAAAGAGGGTTGAACCCCGAGTCAAGAAATTCCTCAACGAACATCCGCAGGTTCTTGGACGCAACGGAGCTTAAATGCACGGGAGTGCTAAAGTCATTGTTTAATGTTGACCATTCTTTCTTCTGTCGCTGCTGAGGTTTGTTCCACTTCTTGCTTTGGTCCATTTTATCGAGTGTTGCTTGACTGTCCTTAAGGACGTCCTGTCCAGAGACCGTAGACACTTTCGCATCATCACGTTTGACCCAGATCATCGTCCCGAATCGGCCATGTCTCGTCGGCGCATTTTTTGCATATTCTCTCCGCAGCGATGACTCTTGCCGTAATAAGTCATCCAGCTCATCAGTGCGTTTGGCAGACCGCTGGGCATCGTTCATGAAAAGTTGTTCCACATCCACTCCCTTCAGAATATGAAACAGAATCTCAAGTAAAGCCACATCTTGCATATTAAAATCATCGCCAATATTGGAGCACATGGTAAGTAGAAGCGCAAATGCGTCTTGATCTTGGAAGGCCTTAATAGTCGCGGACCTCGATGTCTCCTCCTCGTCACCCTCCGCCGCAAGACGAGTAGTGGGGTTGATCACCGTAATATTTCGCAGTAGATAAAGCACGAGTTTAAGAATTCCTTCATCCCTAGTAGTTCGTTCGGAGCGCGGGACCGCCATGCTGGGTATGCCGATTCGGATAACAGTTCGAAGAAGACAGGAACTCCCGCGGCTAAGAAGACATCGTTTATATGAAACCTGAGTATGCTGCAAATACGGCATGTGTCGATGATGATTGACAGTCATCTGATCATGAATCTCCAATGGCCAGGTTAGGGGTACTAGCAATTCCACTATGGGTTGTCAGTACAATCAACTTCGTCAGGGCAGGTCAAAGCCAGTAGACCAACATACAGCACGCCAACGCAATCCTGAACATATATTTACTATCCTGTCCGCTACTACCCCATACAGACAGGATTGGTAGGAGATCACCATTGACCAGATTCGCTTCCCCCAGGCATCGTGCCACATCCATGCGGTTATACTTCTCGTCATACAACTTCAGCCAGCGTTTGATGTCCCGCAGGCAAGCCAGGGCATCATCACCCAGCACATATTGATCAGCATTCTCCCCATTGAACCCTCCCAACTATAAGAGTATCAGCGACTATCTAGGACCTGGAGTTAAAGGAACAATGTCTTATACAACTCACCGCAGTGACGAGACTGTAGACATGGGCGCGAACATCCGGGTCCACTACTTCCTCGTTCATAATGGCCAATTGTGTGGATGTTGTTCTCTCCTCCAGTGCAGAGTAGAAGCGTCAACCGCCTCCACCAATGGCAACGCGCTACTCACGCGTCGACGTGATCAGATCCTCGGAAATGGATAAATAGTTCCTCCGAAAGCCGAATATAACCGATGACGTCGGACCGAATCACATGGGCCGCCTAAGTATACAAAGGAACTTCGACTCCGGCTATTTCTACTTGCCCGATCTGCCTGTCTCTTGCCCGAAACCCCAGCGCTCTCTATTGCAACAAGGTCTTCCTTGCCTCTGTGATAATGCTTTCATCTCGCCTTCAGCCTCTTCGCCGGCAAGGCCTGGCAATTGCCTCTCGTGCATTCACCACTTCCTCGGCAGCTCAGGCCGCCGAGGTTAACAAGTTGGGAGTCATCGGAGCAGGCCAGATGGTCGGTTGGCTTCAATTTTCTCGGGCCTGGTTAGTTCCATGGATAGTAGCTAACAAGACGTAGGGATTAGGCATTGCTCTTGTTGCTGCGCAGAAGGCTCAAGTTCCCGTGACTCTCATCGATAATTCTCAGTCCTCTCTCGATAAGGGTCTCAAATTCGCCGGTATGATGATCCTTCAAATCCCGTACGTTGCGGTTTAGGTTCCCCTGGTTGATAATCAATCCCCCAGACAAGCTACTGGAAAAGGATATCGCCAAGGAACGTCTGACTCGGGATGCTGCCGACACCGTCCGCTCGCGCATTACGACCAGCCTGAAGTTGGATGACCTATCGTCGGTGGACTTTGTGATTGAAGCGGTCCCGGAGATCCCCGATCTCAAAACGTCCATTTTCTCCAAAGTTGCCCAGATTGCCCCCAAACATGCCATCCTTGCGACCAACACCTCGTCCATTCCAATCACCAAGATTGCCGCAGCCACCACGACCGATCCAATGGACTTGCAGGCCGCTTCCCGAGTTGTCTCGACACATTTCATGAACCCTGTTCCAGTACAGAAGGGCGTCGAAGTTATTGCTGGCTTACAAACATCCCAGGAAACCATTGACACAGCCATTGCTTTCGTGGAACGCATGAACAAGGTTGCTTCTGTCTCCGCGGATTCGCCCGGGTTTCTCGCCAACCGCATTCTGATGCCATACATTAATGAAGCAATCATTTGTCTTGAGACTGGAGTCGGACGCCGCGAGGATATTGATAACATCATGAAAAACGGCACCAACGTTCCTATGGGCCCTTTGACGTTGGCTGATTTCATTGGTCTTGACACCTGTTTGGCTATCATGAATGTCTTGCACCAGGAGACCGGGGATAGCAAGTATAGGCCGTCTGGATTATTGAAGAGAATGGTTGATGCTGGCTGGAAGGGTAAAAAGTCCGGAAAAGGCTTTTACAACTATTGATGGGATATATGTACTGGCGCAGAATGTCACGATATTTTTGTCATATACTACCACTATATCCAGAGTATGCGTCAACACATATGGCAGTTCTTGAATATCATATATGTATGTGTGTATATGTATACTGTTCTCCCTCGGTATCTTCCTATGGTCAATAACTGCATATTCACAAGTGTCCTATAGGCTAAACCCACCGCTTGACTGATGTGACCTCGCTCAGCTGCTCTATTCACTATTCTCTTTCGGCACACATCATGACATCAATGACTGCAGCAAGTCCGGATTCTTCGTCCCCATTCAATTCATTGCTATTGACTGCAACAGTCAAGACGTCGAGCGGTTGATCTGAAGGAGCGACACAGGCACAAGAAGCCCAATCGTTACCACATTTGTAGCTTCATGCCAATAGCGACGACAGTTCCGTGCACTCAATCCCAAGAGAAATATCTCACCAAAATTGTGCTTTGCACCTGCACATTATATGGTTGCAACCAAATATGAGTTCCACCAGTGCTCCACAGTTGTAACATCTCTGCCATTGCTGGATCCGAGTCTCCTCAAGGACCGAACTCAAACCAGGGTCAGAACAGGCCTCGAACCATGCATGGGATGATTTGCGACACGACGAACAGATACTCCTGTTACTGTATGGGCAAATGTGCGAGGAGGCGCCAGTGGTCAGATACTTCGGTGGAATCCATTTTGGACAGACTGGTATCGGGCAGTACAAGCGTTTCAAAACTGGAGTCGCATATTCGTACATTTTCGAGGTATTAAAGTCCTTGTTCCTTTGGGGACATCGTGTGGAGTATTTTGTCGAGCGTTACCTGGGAGCAACATTTTGGTAGGAACAATCTCTCGTCGGCCACCGCTACAAGCACCATCCCATTTATGCATTGATCGCAATACTTATGCTGACAAGGTTACCAAAGAAGTGCTGGGCATGCTATCGAAGCATCCCGTACAAGGGCTTCACGGTCAGTTTATATTAATGCCTCGTGGCCGTTGAGAGATGGTTGAAATGACGAACTCTACAACTGGCATACACCGTAAAAAACGCTTAAAAAGCTCTCCTTAACTTCCTGGTAACGTGATCCCTTATTTTATTTTTTATCCTAAACTCCGCCGAAGTGTTTTCCTTGTCTGAAAGATACAGTGCAGTAAGGTCATCCCGAGCCTGGTATGAGTCGGCAGTATCGACACCCATCGAAGATCTTATATTGGAAAGGGGTCGTTGCACAGCAGTGGCATCGTCTTTTTCTGGCTTACTATTTTGTCCTCTGGTGGTCGATTGAGCAATAAGAGACATGAGAGAAAATAGTACTGGCATCTTTGATTCAAGTGTAAGAGATACCCGGCTGAGAGTTCAGGAGAGACTGGGCCAGTATCTTCAATTGTTGTAAGATTAATCATGCCATTAAAACAACAGCTACTTTTATTTCATCTCCGAACAAGCTGGGGAAGTTGAGCGCCGTATTTGCTATTGGCAAAGGTGGCAGTCTAAAGGCACATAGAGGATTAATGGGCCAGAATAGTAATCCGTTGTCGATTAAAGGTCAATCCGACTAGACGACATTTGAGTAAATTATTGTATGTGGCCCGTAGCGGTATTAGTCCTTGAGCGAGCTGGCCTATGGACTTGGAAATGAAGCCCAGCAACCGCTCAATGTGGCAACAAGACTACCAATTCCCCTCCCCTCAATGGGCAACCATGACACGGATAGACCCTTCATATGCCACATGTTCAAGCCTCATCATCGGAGCTAACTCGAAGCCATCGCCTCTATCCCTCAGCGGATACGATGGTTCTGTGCCGCCCAAACGGCGGTCTCTGTTCCCAAAGATAAACTTGAGGAAGAATTATTTTGGTATTTTATACTGATATATGCCGATCGATGGTTGTGGGTGACGTGGAAGAGTAAGCTGGTAGATTGCGGGGCCAGCCAAGTCCCAAAGCTAGGAAGCCAGTCTCACCACAATATTTCAAGCATGGTGGAGGTCACCCATAAACAGACTACGCTTCCATGTATCAAAAGGACACAATCGCGTCGGCAGTGACTAGGGTATCACTGGCAGACAGGTGGTGCATGGGTCTCAAGAAGCCCGGCGCATCATGCCAAACCTGCACATGCTGCTAATTCCAATATATCCGTAAGCTCCGTGGCTGAAATCCGCAAAAAAAATGGTCCTTATAGACTGCAGAGTACTTTCTACAAAGAGCCGGAGAACTTCCTCGCCGCCCAGGAGGAACCATGTTCCTGGTATTCCTGCCTGGTGATTGCAACCTTCTTTAGCTCTTCCTTATTAGTAGCAAATCGCGATGCCCCGAGCCAGGTGGAACGAATTGGACTGTTTCGGGAGATTATTAGCGCATCAACTTTGACTCATCGATATGAAAGGATCTCTTACTCTTGAGAGCGCCGAACCCTCACGACGCATTCCGCCGATGCTACTTGGCGCAACTCAGCTTCCCTAGGAAGTATTAGCATAACCGGACATATATGACAACAGGGGAGCGTTCATATCTTACAGCCTGTCTATAAACCCTGGAAGTAAAGATGTCCCCCCAACAACCAAGATGTTCGCCAGGAATGCAGGGTGTAATCCCGGTGGTAAGACAGAAAGGCTCTGCATGATGATGTCTGATAAACCAGCCTGCTTCATACCGATATCACTCGGGGTAAATAGTATTTCGGGAATAGCAAAACGTTCGTTTCCCAGGACCAAAATATCTTCGGACAAAACTTCAGCACCTCCACTAGAAAGGGCACCTTTTCTTTTTTTGACATTCAACAAAGGGTCACGGGGACGCATAAAGCCCTTTTTACCCACATTTGGATCAGGCAGTACATAGTCGACTGTGACATCTTCTTCGCCAGCAGCGGCTTGGTTGCGTTTCCGGTAGCCCTTCCAGGTCTGCTCCAGGTCCCTGGCGTAGTTGTTGCTCACAAAACACACAGCCTCCTTGACCTCGTTCATGATATACGTTTCATCCACCATATTGTACTGTCTCATTGAGACTACTTCCTTTAAATAATTCGTAAGATGCTTGCCCCCAAGGTCGAGCCTCCGGATGGCTCTCTGAAGAGGCTGGCCTTTGTAGAGTGGCGTTACCGTAGTGTGAGAATATCCAGAGTCTACCACAAGTAGGCACTCCGTTGGAGAAACAGCCATATTAGACTTCTGCAGAATAGGATCCCCAAATATAGACTGAACTTCATTCCAAGCGTTCATCGACGGGCCTGTCGTTATAGGGGTGTCAGTAAAGGGTGGTGGCAAGTGTCGACAGCATAGATAGCACTCAAGAGACTGACCTATAGTTCGTAGATAACCCCCAAACCCCCATTCCTCCATCACAATCTCGTCCGCATTTTTCTGTAAAGCAGGCAGAGCATTTGGGGCCTCAGTGAGCAAAAGAGTGGTCTCCTCTGGGCTTGCAATCCGGAGCTCCTTCGCCCGTACTACCTTCTCATCAAAAAATGAGTGCTCCCATATCTCCTTCTGCGCCTCCCAATTAACGATGTACCCTTTTTCAACCGGGCGACGAAACATCAGTTCATTCCAATCGGTGACATGAGTGCTGAGCTGAGACCCGACATAAACCTGGTTCCCGCGAGTTTTTGTGAGCGCGTTCGGGATAGCACTACAGGCAGAAATTGCTTTGGTTATATCATCAAGGGGCGGGAAGTCTGGCGCATATCCTGCTTTCATTGTATACGCACCATTGTCGATAATGAAGGTCTTGTCCGGTAAAGGTTGAATTTGCACGACGGAAGCTTTCGGGGGAGGGCGAGGTTTCGTAGTTCCCATGTTAATGGGAAATCAGTGGGACCAGGGGGCCAATACTGCAATTAGTATACATCCAATCTTCGGGGTGTGAAAAGAAAGCTTGGAGCCGATGATGTGACTTTTGGATCTAGCCAGAGCTTGCATTTGCTCGTCGATGGAGATGGGACATAATCGTAACTAGGCGGTCAGCTTTACAAATCAGGCAATTTAGGGCAGGCCAAAACTTGCCTTCCAGTGCTCCCACCGCCTTCGGCTTAGAGGGTGCACCACATAGTAAACCCAATTCAAACCATCAACCCAAAATTGATTCTATTCCTACTATCTATCGCCTTTCACCTTGAGTATTGAATGAGAGGGAAATGATAGAACTCCGAAGGAGTAGGTCAAGGAGGCACTCTTAGACAGCTCAGAAGTTGTGGGCCCTGAACCCACAAGTTCCCAGTAGGAGAGAAGACAACATTCCCCTTACGCAGTTGTGCTCCATGGCCTGTAAGAAGGTTGTTGATTGTCTATTACCTCTTCGAACGAGGAATTAAGATAATAGTTATCCATACAAATGCCACGTGCCAATCCCCCGAGTTCCTCCACTACAGTATCTATCCAAAAAGGTTCATTTCTCTGCTGCGCTGCTACTGCTGCATCTAATATAAAACTCTCCCCCGTAGCTGCCCTAATTGGTAGGAGGAGTTAACTATAATTTTGTCCACTGCTTATCTAACCACTTTTTGGGTAACTTAACTAGTTATCATAGCTACTGATATGTTGTGACTTAGCAGGCGCCTTTCAGAATAATCCACACCATTGCTTTGGACTAAGCAACCATTCTTACTTTTGTTAGCAGAATACCGTAAGATCTCGCGGTCCTAGGAAGGACTGGTAGACCTTATCTGACACTGGAGGGTATATACCACGTTCTTTAAAAAAATTGCAAATAATTTACTATTTAAAGGTCTTGTTTCGCACGGTAATAATATATTAGGAAATCCGCCTTCCACGAGGGTATCCACCCCACTAAGAAATGATGCTATTTTGCTTGCGAAAATACTGTTTATAGGTAAGAAAAGGCTTGCTATTAAAAGGCTGGCAAATATAAGTCGTATAAGGCCGAAAACAAAGAAAAAAATATTGTTATAATTCTTGCAGAGTTATAAAAATTTAATAGTTTTATAGGACTTATAGCTATTAAATATGAACACACGTTTTTTTGTGTACACAGTTCGGCCAGGCCCGGCAGAAAAAGCTGCCGAGCCCATTAACTGTGTCCTGCGTTTGTTTTTTACCCCTTTTCGTCCGATGTTTTGTAACCTTATAAAATATTTTAAGCCATCGAGGAACAGTAAGTAAATTATTAATATCTCCCTTCGGCAAAACGGCTGTCTAAAGTCTGGTGAACTAGGGTGATTATACCAGCTTTCTATAAACCTTTCACCTTTAAAAACAAATAGCAGCTTTATAATCCACCTATCAGCAGCGATATACTTAACTACTATAATATTTTTAGCATAATTAAACTTAGCAAGGTCAGGGCATCTTCCCTTTGTACTAATAACCTTCTGAGCTCTTCCCTGGCCAGGTTGGAAGCCGCATTCGTCGAAGTTATATTAGATTGAGTATAATAAAAGATCTTTAGATATGTTTACAAGCTAATTATATTGGTTCTATGAGTATCTAATACTCTCTGCGTTAAGACGCTTCTTATTCTTTGTTTTTTGTATTACAGGGCCTAATATAAAATATTCTAGGAGTTATTTTTTGAACTAATACACCTATATCTTACTAATTTTATAATCCGAACCAGCGTGCACAAGCGCCGGATTCGTCCACCCTGTAATTAAGTATTCTAGGAATAACAGGGAGATATAAATCACGCATACAAACAATCCACTGGATTAGAGCTTTCTCCTAATACTTATTACAAGCCTTATTTTAGGTATAAGGGCGCTGCGAGCCTATTGTCCCCGGCGAACGCGACCGCGTAGTGTCTCGTACAAAATGCCATATTCCCACGCAATCTTTCTCTAAATTCGGTTATTTTTGGCGCTGGGCGGCTTCGCAGACCTTGAGTACAGGAGATTCATCTATTTTCGGTGTCTTTGGCATGGTGGGTGGATGGGAATAACATCAAGAAGATAGATGGATGGAATTTTGGGTTTACTGTACAGTGTGAATTGGGCTTACGGTGTGGTGCACACCCTAAGCTGATGGCCCCTGGGGGGGTGAACTGGAAGGGACTAATATACATACAAAACAGCAATTCATCCGATAAAAAGGCCATGTGAAAAGGGGCCTGGTATAGATAGACCGGATATTCATTGTTTCCTTGGTCCCGTAATAATCATCAAATGAACGCGGTCAACAGCGTGAATTATATATGAATACAGATAGTTGAGTATTTATCAGCGATGATCTATGGGGGGCTCTTGGGAGCAGAGGTATATATATACCATGTACTTTCAACCTACTAGGTTACCGAACTCCGGCATGTACAAACATAGAATCAACACTAGGTACGATAACTTGCTCCCTTATCACGAATAAGGTATAGCTTAGAATTTAAAACAATCGGGTCCCTCGAACATGGAAAAGTTCTAACGTTGATATACCTACTTAACAACATACCTTGATAAATGCCCCAGAACCCTTAATCAGCAGCCCCGCCGGGCTACAAACCGAAATTTCTGGCTTCAGAATTCCTACCACAACAAAACACCGGAATTGAATTGCTCCTGTCACCAGAATGTCAAAAACTCTCCATACAGCCTTGAATACCTCAATAATACTTGTGGAGCAGTTTCTGTTGACGCTTGCTGCCCCTTGTGCTGATCAGGCGTCAAAGGAGCTTTCAGGAAAAGATGTTCTTCCCCTCCTTTCGGCCTCATCTACGTCGCTCAAGGCACAAGTCACAAAGCTTTCACTCCTAGCGATCAACTCCCCATTTACCCACTCAGCCATCGCTACTGTTGTCTCCGACCTGAATAAGTCAGTGCTCCCGTCTCTCGTGACGGCAGCTCTTCTTGTCACCCCTGTCTATCATACCAAGTCTTTTCAAGCTGAGGTGCTGGTGTTGGTGAACTCAGCACTGAGGGAACTAGATTTGCTTCTCAAAGAGATCCAAGCTGTCGCAAGCAAAGTGGATGAAGCAAAATTGGCGCAAAAAGGAGACAATGAATTGTCGCAGTCGGAGAAAAACGTCGTGACATTAGCTGCTGGACGCACATGGGAAGCATGCGACATGCTGACTGACTTAGCCGCAAAGGGTGTTGTCGGGTTTGTGATCCGGCGTGTGGAAGAATGGAGAGATCTTGTCCGAGATGCAGTGGATGAGATCGAAGAATGGGATCCAGAAGAGGAAGGAGACGATTTCTTTGATGAACTTTTGAGCGACGACGGGAAACAAAATGCTGGAATGAGTGAAAGTAAACCAAGTGAGACGGACGAAAATAGCGAGGACAGTGATGCCCTTCATGAGCATAAAAGGAATGCGATCCGAATTCTTAAGCCCGTGACACAGATCTTCCCCGCCATTATCATGAACCGCCTGAAAAAAGTCCCTAAATTATCACCTTTTATTGTTAAGCAACTTGAACTCTTGATGTCAAACCTAAGGCACATACCAGACAACGTTGACGAGGTGGCCGGAGCCCTGTATGAAGCGAATTTGAGCAAAACGAACCAATACCTAGAGAAAACAAAGGACAATGCCATCAATGCCATAAAATCAGTGGCATCACCCTGGGACTCAGCCAACCTTGTCGACAGTGAGCAGCAAACAGATGATAAATTTGCGATCTGGTCGAAGACATGGCTGAATGTGATGAGAGAAGTCAGCAAGTCTGCCGTTGACGATGACGGGAATATTGAGAAGTGAATGACCCATAAACATATTAGAATTAGGTTGTTAGAAATAGGAAAGAAGTATTAATAGCTATTAACAATAGCTGTATGCCCCAGAATTTTCCAAGTTGTGTACATATCTAACTAAAAATAATTGGACCTCCAGACAGACCAGGCTGCCCAACCAGTAATCTATGTGCATAAAAGCTAGGAGTTTGAATAATTAACTTGAATACATATTCAGTTATATGCCACGACCCTCCATCCTATGGTTTCCCTTCAGCTTAAGCATTATTAGCTTGGCCCAATATCTGATTCCCACTGGCAAAGGTCTTCGGCAGGTATCCGGTCCTTCAGCCATTCAAGAATAGCATCGGTCCCTTTGGCGACAATTTGCCATCGGGGTACCCGAAAGCTGTTTCCTGCAATTTCGAACCTTCTCAAAGCTGATCCACCACCCCAGTTCTTGCTGGACCCCTCGGCTCTTAGTAGACCGATTTTCAGTGGAATCGATGCGATATTATTGTTCCCCACGTCTAGAACCTGGATGCCTTGCACAGCGTCGAAATCCAGTCTATCGATGCAATTATCCGCCGCAAGTAATGTCATCAAGTTTGGGTAGCTCAGGCGCACTGGAGGAAGAGACCCAAAGAGACGATTATAGGAAACGTCAAGGGATGATAAGGACGGGGCCACTAAATTGTTGAGTATTGGGTCAAGGGTAGTCAATCTTGTGGCGCCCAGGTTGAGAGTCTGGAGATTTGGCAGAGTGAGAGACGAGCTGAGCAAGGAATCAGTATCCAGCGGGTTGTATGAAAGGTCGAGGTCAGTCAAATTGTTTGCAAGTACACTAAGTACTGGAGCTGGGAAGCACCGTAGCTCATTATGCTGCAAATACAAGCACTTGACTTCGTGGAAGTTTATCGGGCTTAGTTTGTCGACCTCTAGTTCTTGCATATTAGTGTATGACCTATCGAGAATTCCCCCCGGCTTGACGTGCCAAGTTGGCGCTTGACTTGGAGTTTCTGGCGCTAGTGTAAACTGTGTAGCAACTGATCCCTCTTCATCGTCAGTATCTTGAACTTCTGTCTCGCACCGGATTCGCAGCTGCCGCTTCAGGTCTTCCGTATTCATGCTGAGGAACTTTCGTTCCCTAAGAGGATTGTTGGATATTCGAAGCGTGACAAGACTTTCCATCAAACCAATCTTTTCATCAACCTTCGAGATATCATTGCCCGTGAAGTCAACGCTCTTGATTTTCCTCAAGTCAACAAAGCCTTGTGGAAATTCGGATATTTGGTTATCCTCCGCATACAAAGTCAGAAGTGCTTGCCACTGAGAAATATCTGGCAAGCTCTGGATGCGATTCATACTGATGGTTAGAGTTTGTAAGTTGGGAAGCTCGATATTTCCGTTCTCCGAAAATTTTGCCAGCGCGTTGCTGGCTACGTCCAAATTCTGTAGGGTCTCAAGTTTCTGTACAGAGGCGGGTATCAAAACTCCGTTCAATTTGTTCCTCGCAGCACTGAGATCCTTCAATGGCAGCTCGCTTAGAGCTTCAAATGGCAAGGAAACAAGCTGATTATTACCAACACTCAAGACTCGGAGAAATTTAAGCATTCTGAGATCCTCAGGAAGACCAGTAATTGAATTGTCATGCAGGTCCAAGACTTCAAGATTTCTGAGGTTCTTAATATCTGGGGTAAAGGAGCCCTGTATTTGGTTCTTCGCTAAACTGAGGTCCCGGAGAGACTCCATTTCCATGACAACAAGTATTTCTTGCATAGTTAGATTATTGTTTGCAAGGTTCAGGGTGTGCAGTCGCTGCAGTCTTCTAAAGCCAACTGGCAGAGTGTGCAGTAAATTCCCGTGTAAGTCTAGGTGCTCAAGTCCTCCAAATTGGTTTCCGTTCTCATCAACATTTGGGTCTAGCTTGTTCAGATCTATATCGGGGAAGGCAGCATCTGGTAGCTCCGTGAACTCATTGTCCGCAGCAATGAATTTGACAAGATCAACGCTTTCATACCAGCCAACGGAAGATTCAGGGTCAAAGTCATACATGGACAAGACTTCTTTTGGAAGCTCTATCAAGGACAAGGCCGCAATGTTCAGATGTCCAGACGTACGACCAGCTTCAATACGCTTTCTTAGGATGCCTTTATTCGGATCTTCAGATTGCTGGTTAAATGGGTCTTCAATATCAAAATTCTCCCAGGTGCCATTAGAAGGAGGCTTAGGTTTATTCTGGACTGCAGCCTTTCGAGCGGCCTTGGCCTTTGCAATGCTTTCTCGTAAAGCATTTGAAGATTTTGACGCTTTCCTTATCTCTAACTCGGACTGTTGGTCCGGTGTTAGTTCTGGTGCTGTAGAATTAGCCGATAGTGACTTCGAGGTTGGAAGTGGCTTTGAATGTGGTGGTGGCGGTATCTTTGTCGGCGTTTTCCGTGTTTTTTTCACATGGAGAGTTTGCTGCCGGGTCTCTATATCTGATTTTCCGAAAGTATTATTCGGAGTTGCATGGGATTTTAGTGTAACCGGCGTCACAGCAGGATTCACACCTAGCCTTATGGAAGGCCGCTTTAAGTTTGAGGGGGTCTCTGCAGCCTCCGGAGGTATTTTCTGAGCCGCAGTGCCGTTCACTGACAGCGAGGGCCGTGATCTAGATGGAAGCCGTATAGCAGACTGGGGGCGGGCAAAAAGCTCCCCCCCACTAAGCTGGCGTGATGATGATGACCTAGAAGGGGACCTAGAGTAATTGGTCATTGATGATGGCGGACGAGATGGAGAGCGCATTGGGCTGGTTGTGCTAAAAAAGCTAGACTGTCTTCTCAAAGGTGAAGGTGAAGGTGGGATTTGTGATAATGTCTCAATGGTTCGCTCAGAGAGCGAAGGGCGCGCTCGGCCCCGAGAGTCTGAATCATATGTTGGAAGCTCACTCTCGGCCTTGTAAGATTCATCCAGTGCTCCTTCAGACTCAATCCGCTCATTCCCACTTATTACATTCTTGCCGGTATCGTTTTTTTGCTGCAAGCTATTTGAGATCGTCGTTGGCGTGTATCTAGGAAGAGGCTTTTTAAACATTGGTTCCTCCGACGGTCGCCGTAGCCTGCCGGCATCCAAACCTGGATCGGTTTGTAGTTTCTCACGAGAAGGCGAAATGCGGATGGATCTAGAAGCGACCGCTGTGGGCAATGGTAGCCTTGACGCCAATCGAGGAATCGCACTTGGTCTAGTCGATTGTTTCGGCTGATCCATGTTCATATCAAATCGATGGTAGTCGGGTTTTGTCAATGATGAAGATGGAGTTCATGAATAGTTGACATGACAAACGCGACTCTCAGAATTGAGATACGGTTAGAATCTCAAAGGCACAAGGGTGCCATGCTGTTGAGCGAGTATGGGCAGTCGAGGGATCTAAGGACCTCTAAAACCGTTGGCAATTCAAGGGCATCAAATCTAACATGAGGGAATGTTGGAAAAAGTGGGAGGGGTTCGAAATGATGTAGTAGGTCTTGTTTTGTGCAGCACCTGAGTGTCGCATAAGGAAGTTATATTATTGCTTTGACTTGCAATAATGGAGAATTGGTTTTATTGTTGTTTACGCCGCTTGTGTGCCTGAGGCTGCAATCGTAAGTGGCTTAGTCATGTGCCTCAGCAGTTGGTGCAATAATATGATCTAGGCCAAGTTGTAGGGCACAATTGAGAGTAAATATGCTTTATTTAATCAAAGAGGGTAGGTAAAAACTCAAAAGGAAGAAGGGAGAAATGTACTGTAACAAGTGCATACACAATGTTAGAAATGTATGTGCAGTACATAGGATGCATGTGACCACTCCGTACACTCTTGTCTACTTTATCTTAGGCATAGAGTACTAGCATGCATGTATTAAGCCCATATGAAGGTCATATGCGAAGAAGAGCAGATCAGGTTTTCGATGTCTGATACGACCTTGACCATCCTATATCCTGGAATTTTAAAAACTGCCGTTGACCATCAGAAGAAATTGATGAGGGAAGGGGGAAGAGAGAGAAGAGTGAGTTCTCTGTATTCCTTCTGGATACATTGGTACCTGGACGGACTATTATCCGTGCTCCATAATTACTGTGTAGAGTCAAAGAACTCGTACTCCCTGTTGCCCGAGTTACAGCCCTCTTGACCCATGGGGTTCGGCTTCTGTTTACACTGCCCAGTACCCAGAGCTGGGCGATCTCCGACGCTAGCAGAAAACCGGCCTGGTGGGTTCTGGCTGGCGGCTGGGCTCACGTGTGTACCAATGGTTGGTTGTGGTCAAGCCACCTTCCCAGCCTCCGAAGTACGAAAGTCTCGCCCTTAGCAACGTCCTTAAGGCATCAAATGACCCTCGCCCACACTCCTTACTTCGTCACATCAACATCCATCTGTCATTCTCAACTCCATTATTTGGCTCTCCTTGCTCCCCTTGCTGCTCTTACGCTTTCTACAAAGATTCCATACTTCATTTTGGTATTATTTTCGAACCAGATTGTTTATTCTCCTTCCTTTCCGGTTCTCGTATCGCCCTTGTTAGAAGTGTCTGCACGTTCTATCAGAGATAACCGAGCCGATCAGGTGGCACACCACAAGCCAAAAAACAGGTGACACCGATTTTGTGGCAGTCGCATCGCTTCTTCTGTGTCTCGACACCTATAGCTGGTACATTCGTAGCGCTCAAGCCGCTAAGTTTCAATCAGCCAGCCGGCCAGGCTAGCAGCCTGTCTTGTCTCCTGTATGCGCTTGATCACCTGCGATACATTTCAGCCAACTCATCTATTACTGGCATATGCTAATCAGTCCCCAGTGCGAGGAACGTACGCTGCGGGTTCATTCTATATTTGACACCAACTAGAGTCCATGATGTCACAGGACGATGAAACCCGGCTCTCACAGAATTCCCTGGCTCCTCCTGCAGAGATATCGGGTCCTAGCACTCCCACAAAACGGTCTCATCTTTCTACTTCTCCGGAGATGAATCTTAGAGCTAGTAGCCACTCGTCGCACTCCGACAAAAGTAAAATCCTGTCACCCCCATCGTTATCTCCATCAGATATGACTCCGCCACCGTCTGCGCAAGTCCCCGATGCCCCATCTCAACAGTCAAGATCTCGATCGATCTCATACCTTACATCCCCACCAGATATCAAAAAGACCCTCTGCGACGCCTATGGGGCTTCTGAAAATCTCCCAACTACTGGGGAGATTGATGCCGCAGATGAACTGAAGCTGCGTATGATAGCTAGAGAGTTACTGAGCGTAGCTCAGGAAGCTCGCATGTCAGCGCTGCACTTCAAGCTACAGAATAGCCTGTTGTCTTTTACAAGCAACGAGGCCATAAAGCGTGCAGAAGTTGAGCATCAGTTGGCCCGAAGAGAGGTGGAGATCCTGCAGAGCTCTGAGTATCGCGGTCGCCATTCTGAAAGCAAGCCACACCAGCCAATTGCCAATGTGGAATTGGAACTCGCTCTCAAGCGTAATCAGGAGCTCGAGAGAACCAATACTACCCTAGATCGGAGACTTCGCCGAGCGAAGAAACTCATTGAACAGGAAAGAGAGAAGGTAGACCAACTGGGAGAAGAGAATCGTTTGTTGAAAAAACGCATTAAGGATAATCGCGAACACTTCTCTTTGATGATTGAGAATGGCTCGTTGTCACCCAGTCCGCAGATGGAAATTCAGACCCCTCATAGGATATCTTTTCCTCAGTTTGCGGACAGCGGTCACCACTTAATGAACAGAGGCGAAAACAATCATCCGTTCGCCGCCCTCCTTGCTGCAGATAAGGTCCTGAACAGAGAATCACCTAGTATCACGTCCACCCCTAATCGGACTCGTGCTCAGAAGCAGCATACTAGTGGGCATATGCGAGGGTCTCATTCACTGTCGTCACTTCCTATGACACCGGCTAGGTCTCGGAACACCCGACAAGAAGATCAATATTACACGCCGGGGAAGGAAACCTCAGACGGACATCGTGATAGGGATAGCACCATTTCGGCATCCGATATCGAGGAAGCTGAAACAGAAGAAGACATTCCTGCTTCGCAGACTGGTGCCATTGCAAAGAGTATGTTTCGGAGCAGTGCTTCGGGCAACAATCTCCAGGATACTCGAAGTGTGGCGAATGCGCCCAAATCCAGTGCCCTTTTACAGACGAAACTGTTTGGCCAGGTGAAGAAAGCTGGCGTTAACCGTCCTTCGAACGATCTCAAACGCAAAGCAAGTTTGGATGGTGCTGCCTCCAAAAAAACAAAAATAGAGGACAAAGTGGGTCTCGGTATTGGCACATAGGTCAATAATGATACCACTAGTGCATGAATTTTATACTTATAACTACCAGTTATGTTCAGGACTTGAAGTCTTGAGGTTGATACCATGCAAGCTCGGGTATCTTTGTTTTTTTTTTTTTTTTCTTTCTCCCTTTTGGTGGTGGAATCTGGCTACGATCCCTTCCTATTCAAAGCAAACAGTTACGAATGATGATATGTAAAGATGGTCCACGAAATGGTGTTCAGTATGAGTTCATTTTGGGATTGATTCCGCTATAGCAATACAAATTTGAATGTTGAGACCAACTCGACGATCGTCTTTTTATACATCGCCTCCGAAGGAGGAAGTATCTAAGCACTATGTAAGAGGCAACTCTTGTGAAGGCGAACCTGCTGTATGCTGCCCCTCGACATAATCATGGTTGATTGCTGTCTTCTGTACTGCGTAAAGTTAACGATGCGGCCGCCTTGCTTACTAATTAGTCATAGGTAGTTAACTAACGTAACTCCCGATCGAACGGCCACCCAGTCGAGCCGGCCACCTCGGTATTGGCTGTATTGCGTACAAGATGCCACATTTTATATAACCTTCTCAACAAGTGCTATAAAAGCTGTAAATCTAGATATATGTGGATTATATATACTACAAAATATCTGTATATATTTTTTAAGAAATTTTATAATTTTTTTGGAGTCTATAATACAAGAATATTTTAAATACAGCTGTATTTAAAGTCTTCGCTCTGTAATATAAAGATCTAGAAATATTAGAATATTCTGGGTCAGGTAGCTGTAAATATATGATTATACAGTTCTAGAAAATGTATTTTTATTACTCCCTATTTACTGGCATTTTGTATGCAATACAGAGGTGGCTGGCTCGACTGGGTGGCTGGTTCGATCGGGAGTCATGTCAACTACTGCATGACCTTTAGAGTGGAAGGAAGCCTTTCAACTGTCCATGGTGTCAGAGGATACATCCACATATCTCTGACTCTCCTGTAGTAATTTAAAAAGTACTTTTACCACTGCCATTCTGACGAAGTTACATACAACTCTGGAGTAAGGCAATGTTCCGTATGTACGGAGTTATCAGACAGGCTGGGAGGCTTTCCGGATTTGGCAATCAGGGTAGGGCTCGCTAAGCGAGGCGGTGCGGCTCTGCGTGGGCACACCAAAAAAGTTCCACCCAATATTGAAGCGAGGAGTTTGAGATACGACCAGCAACCACCCACGACGACGACAATCTCCCGGCCTTGATCCCCATCCGTCACAATGGTGCGTCAGAAAACCTACTGCTTTTGGATTTATAGCTAGGATGATGAAAAGATTTCTGGGATATTGATATCCCCGGGTTGGGCCAGTATGCTAATGCTTTTTGTTTGGTGCAATAGGCGATCAAGCACAACAACCAGATTTTCAACCAGCGTGAGTGAACCAGCGGGATCAACTTCCACACGTCCGATAAAATTCGTTGCGGGATGTTTTGGGCCTGACGAGTGATTCTTTTTAGATTTCCACAAGGACTGGCAGCGTCGTGTGCGCGTCCACTTCGACCAGGTACGCTCTCGAAATACAATGCCCACCCCAGTCGCATGACGAACGAGCTGTATTGAGAACATGGTGATTTGGGGGAGAAAGGCGGATTTTTTTCAGATTGGTGGACTGACATTTTGATTTTGGATCGTATAGCCTGGTCGCAAGCACCGCCGTCGTGAGGCTCGTCTCGCAAAGGCTGCCGCTGTTGCTCCTCGTCCGGTTGATAAGCTGCGTCCCGTTGTGCGATGCCCTACTGTCAAGTACAACCGCCGGGTCCGTGCCGGCCGTGGCTTCACCCTTGCCGAGTTGAAGGTAAATTCTATCTCTAATTTGGATGCAGCTTGAAATTGGTTATACAACAGGAGCTGCTAGTTGGACTGAGGCTTACAATATTTTCCCTTTCAATATAGGAAGCTGGTATCCCTAAGAAGCTCGCCCCCACTGTTGGCATTGCTGTTGACCACCGCCGTGTCAACTACTCCAAGGAGTCGCTCGCCGCCAATGTTGCTCGCCTTCAGGACTACAAGGCCCGCCTGATCCTCTTCCCCCGCAAGAGCGACAGTTTAAGAAGCTTGACTCCTCTGCCGAGGAAGTCAGTGCCGCCAAGGCTGCTTTCGCTGCTGAGGGCAAGACCGAGGGTTACGCCACCCGTGTCGGTGCTACCTTCCCTGTCAAGAACCCCTCTGCCGAGGAGGCTATTACTGAGGTCAAGCGTGATGACCTGCCTAAGGGTGAAGAGGCTGCTTACCGTCGGCTGCGTGATGCCCGCAGCGAGGCTCGCCATAAGGGTATCCGGGAGAAGCGTGCTAAGGCTAAGGCTGAGGAGGAATCTGCCGCCAAGAAATAAATGTGACTTTCAGATAATGACGATGGGGTTTGTTTTCACGTCGGGAACTAGTGTACTGTGGGATGGCGTGGCGCCGCTTTTATCTTATTACCTTTGTCCTTAAACAAAAAAGCTCCGAACCACTCTAAATGAATATGTCCCAATTTCATGTCCCACACGGAGACCCTGGATTACGACCCATCGATCACATGTGTGTTGATGGCCTATCATATATTATGTTCGATATTCAGAGGGGTGCTGGGAATGAGTCGTAGAGTAGAGCCAGTTTGGACCCTAACCTACTTCGTCCTACCCAAGGGTTTCATATATACAAAGGAAATGATCTATTCAGAAGGTAATTGATGGATGCTTTAGTAACTTGACCTGGCAAGGATGAAATGAAAGGAGTACTTTAATTTGCCTCTTTAGCAGTGTTACAGAGTGTGCAGAGCAGGAACTCTTTATAAAGATGTTGGTCTTGAGGATAAATAAATCAATTATGAAAGGTTCCTGATATTGCTCACATGTCCTGTAATACTATGCATGGGGCGATATGGTAATAAATTTTCATGTAAACTCAAAGTTGGCCTGAAATAGTATATTCCTGTCGAAATACAAGTCATCACTTCGTCGCGTTACATTTAGCCTTTCAAGGTCAACCCACAGAGTTAGCACCAAACAGAGATGCCAAAAGACAGTCGGTGGCCTGGGTGACTGTGTTGGCGTCAGGTTCAAATCCTGTTTGGCCACCCATAGTCTCATTAACAACCGCATTGAACAGGCTCTTAGATTCCAGCTCTACCCTCCACCAAGGGGCACCGTTAATACTAGATGGGCACGAAACAGTGAGCTCTGGCGTTAAATGCGCTTCGCCTGTCCATTCATCAACTGTTAACTCGCATGTAAATAGGACCTTGATCGTTGTTTCTTTAGATTCAAAGAGCATAGACGTGCGCTGGAGGTGTGGTAGTATCCGGCGTAAATCTGACGTTGTGAGGCCCCCAGAGTCACTCCCCAAGAGTCTGTTTTGGCCGTGATTTAGTCTTTGGGACACGAAGGGTTCAGAGAGATCTAGTGCACCGCCAAATAAAGCCATATGACGATCCTCTAGTTGTGACCATAAACAAGCGCGCGATATGGCGACCTCCCAGTATCGGTTTATACCCCAGCAAAGGCCTGATACATCCAACTTCAACAAAGAATTGGCTAATCTAGAGTTAATCCAACGCTGTAAATCTGCCGGTACTCCGAAATTGCTGTGCATTGGCACAGATACAGAAACCAAAGTCTGCTGTTCCAGATCTGTCTCATAAATAATGGATATAGTGTAGAGGCTCGAAGGGAACGGGGGCGGTGCAAAAAATGTCAAGGTATGTCTCTCCAAGCGTGAGCCAGTTTCTGAACCAGATACAATAGATGAATGTGTCTTGAGAGTTAAAGGTGCAAAGATCGTCAGAAACGATTTCGTTTGGGCATATTCGTTAAGGGCGAAGGGGTTTATTGGAGAAGGCTCCTGGCCGCTCCTTAGGGGAGCTTTAGAGGAGAATGGGAGTAAAGTAGAGATGAGAGAAGATATTGGCGTATTAATGGGACATTTCGAATCCCCTGTATGAGGAGCTGATTCGGACGCTAGCAGTGAACTTCCAGACGGTTAGCGGGCCATATCCCCAGTGAAACAATTCAAAGGCTTACATCAATTTGCTTAGGTCATGTTCTGTGTCACCATGTTGGTCCAGATTCTGCGACCACCTTTCCAATTCTATAAGGTCTTCCTTTAGCCTTTGTACCTCAGCGGAAAGCTCTTTCCTCAGTTTCCGTTTCTTCGAAACAGTCTTTGGAAGTAGTGCTCGGGCTATAGTTAGGTCTGAATCCGATAGGTCCCCTATTTCTATTCCATCATCGACATTCCTAAGCTTTGAAGGACTCTGTCCGGGTAAATCAGTGGCTCGTCGCCTTCCCCGTTGTTGTGCTGTGGGGCTGCTACTCAACAGCCCTTTCGGTCGCTCAAGAGGTTTTTCCAGTCCAAGTTGAGTCGGGGTTGGAGGAAGATCGGGCTCCTCATACTCATGCAACGAGGCCTGATCCAACTCTCTGCTCAGGTCTCTGTCGCCCGTTGCGCTGCCCAGTTCACTTGCCAATTGATCATCAGGTGTATTAATTATTCCAATGTCAACTCCGCCAGTTTTCGTCACTGGTGGAGAGTGAAATACCAAGTCTGACGGGACAATTCTTCTTGAGACACGCCTTGGGGGCGCAGCAAACGCCTGGAGGCCGCTAGACCGCCGACTTGGGAACGATATAGGTGACGGCTTGTCCGAACTTGGGATCTCCGTAGGGCCTGTCAATGATGGCCTAAGAGCTTTCCGGTCGCGTAATCCAAACACCCTCGCCTCAGTCCCTTTTAGTGGTCTACCTTGGCTGCCCTTGCTTGAATGCCTTCCTGGACTTTTTGTTGGTGACCTACTGAGTCCCAGTGCTTCAGAGTGATATCTCGCTAGGCTCGCCTTTGTTGGTGCTTGGTATGAGACACGCTCAAGGGAGGGCCCTTGAGGGGCAGATGGAAGAGGAGGGTTCATTTGCCACGCGTCGATTATACCGGAGGGGGGTTATCTTGATCGTTTTGAGCCACTTGGATGGTATATGGACGCAAGCATTGCATCAATGACCCATTCGATGCGCCTTTGAGAACCAAGCGAATGGTTAGTAAATATAAATAATAAATAACACCCTTGTTTTCTCTCCTTCGCAGAGCCTGTGATGGGGCGTCCTGCGGGTGTGGCGTTTGCATTGTTTGCACCATGACATAATATGATAATGACCTCAGTATCATCCATAATTAAGTGCTAATTCTTTCCCAACCACGCAAACAAAAATGAATACAGGGCAGTCACTCTTCAGAGGAGGCGCTTTTCTGATAAAGTTGCGGCGCAATCGGTCTACGGATAAACATTTAATCTTCCCTACCCCGACGCTCTCTCACCAACAATATGCCCCCTCTCCGTCATTCCGTCGCATGGCCAGTCATGCACTTACCAATTTCAAAGACACCTTAATAGAGACGGGCAATCGCGGTGCCCCTCAAGCATTTCCCTTATCGGGTTACTATTATGATATACTTACAAGAAACTCTCCATACCGAAAACAAACATCTTCCTCGCGGTCTGTCTCGAAGAGAATCACGGAAAAGTCCTCATCCGCTGCGACTGTCGAACCACAATCGCCACAGGATAAGATGTCTATTGTATTTGGCACCCGACTAGCTGGTCCTGGTCGCCCTTCACGTTACAATCCTGGAAACATGGCACCAGAGTCTACATGGAAAACCGTGAATGGTGTAGCGATTCCTCCACGACCGGAGGAACCTGATAATTGCTGCATGAGTGGCTGTGTCCATTGTGTTTGGGATGACTTTCGTGACGATATGGAGGAATGGGCAGCAAGGGTCGAGAAGGCAAAGTCTATAGGTCCTTCCCAGACCTTGGCGAAGAATATGCGCCGCACCCCAAGTGCGGATATCAACAGTGCCAGCACAAGCATGGACGACGATGGCGGTGGCAAGGAGGGAAACTGGCCTGTTCCTGATGCAGCAGATGATATTTTTGCCAACATACCTGTAGGGATTCGAGAGTTCATGAAGACTGAGAAGAGACTAAAACAAAAACATCAGCAAGGGAGTGTTTCTGCATGAACAGCTGCAGGAATTGTTCTCTCTATCATTTCTCTCCATTATGTTGCTGTCAACTATTATCATTGTTGTTTTTGTTGGGACCCTCTCTTCATGTTGCCTCGTGGGGATTTCTTGTATTAGAGTGATAGATTTAGGTGTATATATATTGGCAACGATGCAATGAACATACGAAAAGGTCCAGCACTTCGGTGACTGAATTATTCTGCGAATAAGACACCAAAGTGATAATTATATACACAAATTTAGTATTATGCCTAGCTGCCTTTTTTTCTTCACTTCGGCTTCAGGGCTTGACAAACCCCGAAACTGATTTCCAGGCGCCAAGGCTGACCACATTTGGTGCCGAAAATCACCTCCATCTTCGTTGTAGACAAGACTCTCCTTTCCCCATCACTTCATTCTATTCCAGGGTTGACAGTTTCCTCTTCCTGGTTATCCTAGCATGGGGTTCTTTAACTCCATTCAGTTTATAAGTACCATTGGAAACGGGATGATGTTCCACAAAGCTAAATCATTATATGGAAATGCGAAGCTATTCCATATTTAGCTAACTTGGCTCGACACAGAAACTCAGTCACTGTCACAGTGACCTGCGAGTCTTTGTTAACGCAGAATATTAAGCACATAGCTCGCCCGCTTGAGGATTGTGTCTTGACTGATTTCGCTTCATTTGGCTCCCGGCGGTCAGTTATCTCGTTGTATTCCCCTGGAGGGCCGCAGATTTGCATTTTTCCCCTGTGCTACCCTGCTACTCGATCAAATGCTCGAACATTCAACACGATGCAGGCGGAGATCAAAGAAAAGCGGGCAAATTTGCTGGACATTTCAGCGGCATATACCACATCCCCAGCGAATCCCATCCAGTCTTATGACCAGATAAAATCATTATAGAGTCGTCAACAAGTAGTGTGAAATGTGAAGGAAATACTAATATCTCTGCTGTTAAGAATTCCTCAGATCATAATCAACAATATGGGGATACGATGTACCCCAGAGAAGAAGATTATGGTGGACTTGGAAGATCTCTTTGATACGCCCAAAGTTCACTCTACGTTCAATTTTTCTGAACGCGAGAATCACAGGGCTCGAATATGATTTCACTACCCTATCCAATGGCTACTTCCGCGCCAAGTGAGCTGTACAATTCAACATATATCCGAAATCATAATAGCTCACAGAACAGATTTGTCAAGAGTATGGATCCACTCATTCCCCCAAAATCTTTGTTGCAGCACTTAGTTTGGCTGACGTCCACCATTGGTCTTATTGAGAACAACACATACTCTGTCATTCAAGCGGATCCAGGTTCTGGCAAGTCAACTCAAGTAGCTCAAATTTTGCTTGATAAAGCCATCTCGACAGGCTCTAGGCCTGATTGCAAGATTATCTGTGTTCAATCCTGCAGAATTGCCGTGGTATCTCTTGCCCACCGAGTTGCTACTGAACGAGGCCAGCCTGTCGGTCGCGATGTTGAATATCGTATTCGATTTGAGTCTCGATATGCCACACGAGGAGGATCCATCACTTATTGCACCACCGGGCTGTTTCTGAACATGCTATGCTATCAATGACTTCAATGTACTCATTTTTTTCATATAATCCTCGATGAAGTGCATGAATGAGACATTGCGCTTGATTTACTTATGTTGTTGGTAAATAAAATGGTTGATCAATGCCAAGCAAGCAGGGCTCGTGTGCCAAAGGTCACTGTAATGAGTGCAACATTAGATGTCAACCTATTTGCTTCGTATTTCCAAAATAAGTCAAGCAACGGAGCTCTTGCACCGACACTGTGTCTTCATATACCGGGTCGCAGTTTCACAGTAGTTAAACATTATATTGACGATATCGTCAGCTATCTGTTTAAGACTTCGCTGAGGCATTGTGGTCCATACTGTGGCCCTGAAACAAAGACTTTCCTAGAGAAGCATAATTTTTTTTTACAGCCAACCTTATCGGAATCTGAAAAGCAAGTCATTAAACCCTCTTCCTCAGCTGGAGCTATTGCCAACGAAGAAGACCCCTTGGTTCCCCTGGGTTGATATGCGCTGCTATTGGCTATATCTTATCTACTACGAACAAGGGCGCCATCCCAGTATTTCTCGCAGGATTACGCTATCTTGTTGGCTTTGAAAGGCGCTCATGAAGTATGCAGATATTTTGGGCCATGAATTCACTGATGATCATCAATACAAAATCTTGCAAATGCATCCAAGTATTCCCGAGAACCAAAAAGAAGCGTTTAGATAATTTACGCCAACATTCGCCGAATGATCTTATTTACAGATAATGCCGAGACTTCCGTGACTATCCCAGACGTGAAGTATGTGATTGACACAGGCAAGGCCAATATGGAGATTTACAAGCCGCTGGAGAGATCCACCCGACTTGCTTGTTGCTGGGTGAGCCAGTCTAGTGCTAATCGGCGTGCAGGAAGGGCAGGAAGGATTTAGAAAGGTTTGTTCACTAGAGAGAAGTATGATGCGTTTCATGCTACGAGACTTTTCCGAGATTAAGTGAGAAGATTTGCGGACCACAAGCATGCTGGTGACAAAGTAGGCTTCGAAAATTCCATCCAAAACACTCTACAAGGGTGTATTGAGTCACCAGATAAGCCCCAAGTTGATCTTGCAGTCAAAGGCCTTTGCTCGATTATTTAGATGAGCAGAGCAGGAGGAGCTCACGACCCTGGGTAACATTCTTTCAACTCTATCCTTAGGCCCGATCTAGGCAAAGCTGGTCCTGCTAGGGATCATCTTCCGCTGCCTTGGCCCTCTCCAAATTATCGCGACATTTTCTGCAAGGGATCGCTGTTTCTTATACCTCGAGATCGGCAGGACAGGAAAAGGCACAAAATCTCGTGTGGATTTGTCTCAGAATACCTGGAGTGATCATTTCAGCACTGCCAATGCCTTCATGGCTGTCCGCGAGGTGTTGTCTAGGTCAGGTCGCGCGAAAGCATCCGAATTTGCAATATCAAACCACATATACTACGACCAAGTTCGCCAAACGCAATCTGCAGCAGGTCAGGTGCTCGACCAACTGCCATGGAAAAGCTCATTCCCTGACAAATGGACCATGGCCTTCAGTTTGGAGGTCCCAGCTTAAATGTCAATTCATGGCATGTTCCCCTATTCAAGGCCATTTTGCTTCAAACCTTGTATCCGAGCCTTACTGCACCGAGCAAATCAAAGAGATGCTATCAGACTAAAAAAGGGCCAAGAGCGTACGTGCATTCCAGGGCTGTCAACGCTCAACTGCAACCAAGGAGCTTATGGACATTCAATACAAAAATCCGTAACCATACCAACGTCCCTCTTTTTTTTCTGAATAATACCAGACATAAAACTCCTCTGGCCGCTAGCCGCCTGTCTTATGGGGGGCCGGCTTCAAGGAAGCAGCGATACACTGTGCCTGGATTCATGACTAGAGATGGTTGTGTAAACTAATGAGGACACAAGTGCCGATTACGCGGTCAGGATCATGGCTGAGTTTTGGAGAGCACTCGGGGCGATAATTAGACCCCTTCCCGCCTTGTCTCCTGATAATGATTAACATCTCATTGGGTGATGATCGCAACGCCCTTTTCGAGGCGATATCAAGCGTTCTCATTGATATTTTGGATAGAGATATTGAACCTTTCTATGACCAGCGGCCCAACACAGCATCACGCTGGGCGTGATTGGTCAGATGCAAAAGGAGGGGGGGGGGGGGTCCATTTTGCTTGATTAAAAAAATGGAAAAATAGCCCATAATAGATATAACGAGTATCGCATTCGCATCTATGAATGTTGTATAGGCAATGCACGTCTATCGTTCGTAGGGAGTACTTTCCATCGAAGTCACATGATTTGTATAACTGATAGGTCTTGTCTGGAAACAGCAGGCGGTAGGAATGCTATCCTCTCCACTATTGCTTCCCAAAGAAGTAAACGTGCAAGTCTATTATCCATATAGCAACCAAGGGCATGTCATTATCGAAGAGTGAGACAGATGTTATCCTTAATAAAGCCAATGTCGCTCTGGCACGCAGTCAATGGCTTGTTGCCTCATGGCTACCCCCACGAACACAGGAGGAGCTAGACAATTCGAAATCCGAAGAAGAACTGCAGAAGGAGGAAGATGAGATTTTCACAGCAGTACCAGAAACGTACGTTTTATTATTTTTATTTTTTTGTCTTTTTCCCAACCCTAAAATTTTCGTTTAAATTTTTGTGACTTCTTTCCTTGCTCCACTATTCAGTGGATATGTTGCTACTCGTGCCCATGTATTCGTATGATATGCTCATAGGTAATTGGTTCAGATTAGGAATAGGTGCTCCCTTGCCCTCCAAAGCGGCTAATGGAAGTTGGAAACGCGTCGAACTTGATTCCAACGACAAGCTACGGAAACAGCTCCTTGGGAAGAACTATAAGAAGGTGGTAGCCGCTAGGACAGGCGCTCCCCACACTCTCGGGAAACCTGGCATGTTGACTAGCCATTCCCAGTCCACAGCGAGGAAGGAATACGAGGAGGATGATGACGAAGAGGATGGGGGCCGGACAGCAATGGTTACAAAAAGTAAAATCAAGTCAAGAAAGAGGAAGGCGGTCCTGGAAGCTGGTCAAGATTACGACGATAATGCAACAAGCGCGGGCAAGAACGAGGAAGATACCCAATCAACAGCACAAGGGATAACGTCATCATCGCGACCAATACCAAGACCTCAAGGTAGAAAAAAGGCCACGAGTATCTTAGATGAGATTCTTGCGGACCGGTCGAAAAAGAGAAAAAAGAAATGATCTCGTTTGTCGTGGCGTAACCCATAACTATATATATATATATATATATGCTTTATATGATAAATATACCCCACAGCATTCAACATGCTTAATGGTGATAGATAAACAATGTTTGCGTGTTTGTATATATTGAGAAATAGAGATATACATACATATATATATATAGTGGACCTATCACTTTTCCTTTGTCCTCTGATCGATAGAAATTAAGCATACCAAGAGCCTATGTCTCTATATTTCGCTTAAGAATTGCTGTGCTCCATCCAAGTAGGGTATATGATTTGACAAGATATGTAGCAATTCAAAATTTGAAATGCTAACTCCTGCACCCAGACAGCTATAGCCGTGTGCGGTGCTTTCATCCATAGGACATGTGCCATGCAACAAGGCCGATACCTATGCTAGTCAGAAAATAATATCACTGGTGCCGCTCCACGGTGTGTGTAAATATCCAATTGACATGAGAAATCTGACCGCCAATAGATTGTACAAGAAGTATTCCACCCAGGTGCATATAACAAGTACAAAAGGATGGACCAAAGTGCATCCTCATGCGATGTACCGCACCCATGATATGAAGGGAGGGAGGGAAACAAAAGAAAAGAGAGAATGAAAGTGGATGTTGCTAGGCTGTCTCAGCCAGTGAAACCGGGTCCCTTTGCGTGATGTATGCACCTTCTTTATCTGCATTTAGTGGTTATGAAATGGATGCAACAAACAAGAAAATTAGTTCAGCAGAATCACAGAGATAGCCATTACTCCAGCCGTTTCCGTTTTCGATCATCTACCATCGCATGCTGGTCTTCGTCCGGTCTTTCAGCAGTATCGGCTGGATTGAGCAGTGAATGTACATTGCTAGCCATGCTAGAACGTCGAGTCGCAGGCAAGGAAGATTCCTGTCGAGGGAATCTGTGTCCTCCCAATGTCCAGCCACTGTCAGCATTGGGGGTAGAGGTTGTTTGATCTAAACTGAAAGGCGGCGTGGCATTGCGGGACGTTTCTTGAAGACGTCGCGGTGCTCCCATCTCATACTGTGCCAGAACATCCCGGACTTGCTGCTCACTCGATGTCGGAGTCCGGTGCGGTGACGGAGACCAAGGAGCCGCTGCCGACGCAGGCTGATGAGTCGATGGGAATGGAGATACACCTGGTGGCGGCCAACCATGCTGTCGAATATCTGCCGAGGTATGTCGACGAGCCAGATTGGGCCCCGGTGGAGATGACACGGATGAGAGGGGATGAGGCTGTGGTGGGATGACGGACGGGACCTGAGGGCGATTGTAGCCCGGCGAAGAATTCCCCCCGCCAATAGAGCCATACCGACGAGGAGAAACGGCCAAGTGTGAGGGGACTGGGGGTCGAATTAAGTTAGGTCTAGAAGCATCCATCATCGACTGTCGGCGAGCATCTTCCTGAGGGATTTGGCGCGGGGACAGCGGCGGACCCGGGTCGACTGATACGGTGGGAACATAGGGCTGTCGGACAGATAAATATGGATCGGGGTTCTGTTCAATGGCTCGCACCGCGTCAAGATGCTTTTCCAATTCTGCTTGCATGTTTGATACTATTGAATGTCAGCATCAATAAACAGGCCGCCAGATTAGCGCGGCACAGCCTCTTACCATCTCTATACAGAAGACCTTCACGATCAGGGATCATTCCTTGAAGGAACCGCGAGATCGAATGGGTCCACTAGCATTAGACAAGGTGCACATCAGTGATAACATTCCGGGTGTTAGAGCAGAGATTTGAGGGAAAGTGTTTAACGTACATGGTAGCATCTTGCTAGGCTCTCCGCCATGGATTGATATCTGGCATTGAGTGCCGCATTGCCTTCCTCCGCACGACTCAGGCGGTTGTGCATATCGTACAAGGTATGTTCCAGGCTCACCAGCCTGGCCTCCGTGGCATCTGGAACAGGCTCAGCCGGGGTACCAGGCTGAGAAGCAGCCGCCTTATGACCAGGAAAAGAGTCGCGATGAATTAGCGCATGCCGAGATGCTCGTCGTTTGATTTCACGTAACCCGTTAAGGTCACCGCGCTTGAAATTGCCATTCCCGTGCTTAAACTCCCACAAGGCAGAATCCGGCGATCCGGTATGGAAGACATCGCTTACTGGAGTTTCGTCGTATTAGCAGCAGAACAAGTTTCTGCCCGATCGAAGGTGCGAGTACCTTTGTGAAATCCATACATGTTCAGTTGTCTTACGAAGGATGAGATGTTGGTATGCTTGAAATATTGACTGAAAGGACCGTATTAGCAGCCGGTCAACTTCATATATAACTAGGAATGACAGCCAAACGAACGCAAGAACTTTTGAGAATTCAGATGTGGGTGACATGACAAAACTGTCATTGGTATTGGACCACGATATCAGATGTTGAATACTAGGGTCCTCTAGCATACTGTCAGGCGTCGTCAGCAAGAGTTTCCACAAATACATATCCCATCGAAACAGTTGAGAAACAGGGGCGCGAGGCGATGCCGGCAAACAGACATACTTGTAAAGCTTGTGAATGAAGGCGGTTTGCACCACTTTGGGTTGCTGAGCTGCAGCGGCAGCTCCGATAGCCTGATTGGGTGTCGCATGGTTATTCAAGTTCCCAGTTTCAGCAGAGCCATTGGAGGCAGCTGTATTGTTCGCGCCTGCTCGATCACTATCGGGACTGCTGTGGATCGGAGCGGCAGCGCCCGTCGCTGCCGCTGAAGTAGGTGGAGAGACGTCCATGGGATCACTCGTCGAGGGTGCAGACGAAGAAGGCACGGAGGAGGAAAGGACGGGGAGCTTTCGTGTCTTGCCTGGTGCATCTGTAACACCAGAGATCCCAGTGTTTCTAGACGGAGGATCGGCGAGACTACTCATCTCGTGCGGAACAGGGGGGAACAGGAAAACGGGCCGGGGGCCGCCGAGGGAGTGGAGAGCCTTTATATTTTTTAAAATTTTTTTTTTTTTGGGGCCCGTGGCTGGGATCAGAACCGAGTAAGGATTGATAGAAAGGACAAGAGCGAAATAGGAGGCACCTAAACACGATTGATGACAAAAGTAGAGACGAACGTGGGAAGATGAAGGATCACGGAGTCTGGGCCAAGAAGACGCTGATCAACACCCAGTCTCCGCTTGCCGAGTCATTGCAAGTTTGGTCGTCCCGTGTTCTATCCAAAGACGAAATTCTTAGTACTCTCCGTAATTGTCAAATATCTAGGTATATGAATGTCGTAGATTGATTGTCTTTTTTCTTTTTTTTTTTTTTTTTTTGTTGGCCCCTGGCTCTTTGGGCTTCCAATCCTCTGAGCTTCTTAATCTGAGAATGGAAATGCAGCTTTCTTCAAGAGAAAGAAAATGAAACAACAATATTCAATTGTACCAAAGTCACAAGAAGACTAGGGCGATATGGTTGGTAATAAAGGGATCGTCTGCATGCGAGTGGTTGAATGGTTTTCTCCATAGAACGGGGGTCTGTCTGTATGATCCCGAAGCTTATAAGCACCACTAACCAGAATCATGGAGGGAACCTTCCAATCCCCTCACTTCAAACAATTTCCTTTAAGAAGAAAAGGAAAAAAAAAAAAAAAATAAGAAGAGGAAGAAGAAGAAGAAGAAGAAGAAGAAGAAGAAGAAAAGAAGGCAAAAATAATAAACGGTAGAGGTCAAGCTAGTGATTAGCAACGGATAAAAGGAGGCACCCCATCAAGGAAGAAAAGGAAAGTAAGGGAGGGAAAGGAAAGGCGAAAGAAGGAACGTTGAAGTGGCAAGCATCGATCACCTGCACGGAACCCGCAGAATAATTAACTAATTAGACAACGCCCACGAACTATCTATCGCTCATAGTTAATGTATGGTTGGATGCAGGCTGTCTTCCTCGTATGACATCTCCATCTCCGGTCGTCCATCCATCTATGGCCGGTGTGATACCTCGCCTCGACAAGTGGTCCATCAACTAGATTATGGACCCGGAGGTTCAGGAGATCCTAATTCGTTTCGATGGCCTAGCCTCTCCTGATCGACGAGCTGTGTAAGTATTTCTTTTCTTTCTTTTGTTCAGATCTAGTCCGCCGTTGCTTACCAGGGGCCAATCCCAGTTATCGTCAGATTTTAAGTCAGTTTAATCTTGACGAGTGGCGCGATGTGCGTGATCAGTTAGATCGAGTTTCGTTCCATAAGGATATCCTAAGCGCTGTGCCTCTAGAGATAGCCGCACAAATAACAAAATATTTAGACCTGTCGGAGCTACACGTTTTCCAAAGGGTATCTATCATCCCCCCCTTTTTGGTTGTTTTACCTTCGTCATCCGGGACTTTTTGGTCAATCATCCTTCAAACTGACGTCAGTTTCGATAGGTATCTAAAGACTGGCACTCGCTGCTGACCTCTAGTTTGATTCGGGCTGCTGTATTTCGTCGCTATACCGGATACAACTACGATAGCGTCACTGCAGGATCCTCGGACGAATTCTCCGCATTTGCAAGACGAAGAGTTCGCCTGGAGCGTGGACAACCACTCTGGAAAATTTGCGACCCGGCGTATCTTCCACTACCTAAGCCTTGGAATGCGACGAGTCTAGACTACTGTAATGGACGATATGCATGGATTGATGGCACAACCATTGTCGTCCATAGTCTTCACTCGAATATGACACAGTACTTCTGCACACAGAACAGAGATCCCTTGATGGAGGTGCGCCTATCGGAAAATGTCATTGCAGCGACCACTCCGCGTGGGTAAGTATGTGCCTACTTGCTCGTGGGCCATGGCCAGCTTGACTGATGCTGTTATCTGCTTTGGCACGCTAGATATTGCCATATTTGGGATCTTCAATCCGAGGAATCGGCATGGTTTCGTCTACCCTCATGTCGACACAGTTTCTTTATGGCAAGTGGAAGGAGTATTGCTCTTGCCTTTATTGGTATTATGACCAGCGAGGGTGATTACGTCCTATATTGGGACCTGAACACGCGTGCTGCTCGCACGATCAATATCGCAACGCACCTGGGCTACATGGCCTTGAACTCCGAGGCTAGAAGCTTGACTACAGTTCACCTTGAGGAACGAAATTATTACAATGCTTGTGTGCAACCCCAGCATTCTCCCGCCAAGCGCGCTCACCTGCAAGTCACAAAGTATTTAGTTGATGAATCTGCAACTTTTGGCCGGTCCTCATCCTATACTCTCGAACTGCCGGCCATCGTAGACGCAACTGGACACGTGGAAATACGATACCCTGATACATCCCCTAAGTTTAGTGACCGGATGGGGCTCTTCTCGGTTCGTCCACGCGAGGGTTCTCCTTCAGCTCTCTCTTCTATGGTTACTGTCGCCTACGATCCGCGGACCGACCAGGTCGACTTACATGTCTTGCAACCTGAACACACCCCGTTTTATCCATTGTGCATGACTTCAGTTGACCATAACATTCTGTACTATATAAAGAACGATAATGGTAAACCTCAGATCTGGATCTCCAACCCTGACGCTACTTCCCCCCATCGCCCTTCCAAATGCATGAACCCCCAGCTCCCTCGAGAGGCAACCAGCAGGGTCTACTCACATGCTACCGGCTTTGCGCTCCATGGAGATCGTGAATTTATTTTGATGATCGATGAAAACGGGTTGAAAGTGTGGTGTTTTGATGAAGCTATTCATATTGACGACTACTCTTGCGTGGAAACCTTTTGAACTGGAGATGGTGTATGTATATCGCATGTCTTGCTCGTTATATTTGGCTTTCTCCATCTCGAGGTTATTGTCCTCTTCCTTTTATCCCCATTAACAAAGCATTCATCGCTTCGAAGGTTAACTTCTATGTTCCACAATGAATCACGTTCAAAAAGGAATGCGTTGGCAAACATAAAGAACCTAGAAATAGACAATATACAGAACCGTCAATGCTCTCTATGATAAAGATACCCCTTCCCGTTTTCCCTTGAGGCTAGTACACACCATTTCTATCTTCATCCCCGCTCCCTTTTCCGCTTCCCCACATATTATTCTCCATGTGGTATAATATCATTGTTCGTATTATGCTTTGAATGAGAGAAGACATAAGCCAAGAGAGGTAAAAGGGTGCAAAAAGCCACCACTCCATAATCTCTATTAGCTTTCCTCTCTGATCCACGGTATGTCGCCTCCTACCTCGATCTTGACTTCCTTGACAGACGGATGAGGGAAGAGAAAAAATAAACAAATCAAAACTAGCAATACAAAATAAGGAACAATAGGAAATTCTAATATATAGCTTAAATTCCGAGAGTGAACTCGACACCAACGTCGATTTCACGGGCCATCTTGACGACCTTCGAGAATTGAACTGACTTCTCAGCAGCATTCTGGAGGTCCTCCATAGAGAAGATTTTGAGACCGGATTCGTTGATCTGCCAAAAAAGAAAGTCAGCATACTGGACCACTCTTCAAGAATTTTATTTGATCATACCAGCTTGTGAGCTTGTTCCATATTGGTGCCTTGCAAACGAGCGACGATAGGAGTACGCAGGCCCATCTCCTGCACCACGTTGATCAAACCCTGGGCGATGGCGTCGCAACGAACGATACCTCCGAAGATGTTGACGAAGATAGCTGACACCTTGGGGTCGCTAGTGATAAGCTCGAAAGCGGACTTGATAGCAGCTGGGGTAGCACCACCACCAACGTCGAGGAAGTTGGCGGGGCTGCCACCGTTAAGCTTAATGATGTCCATAGTGGCCATGGCAAGGCCGGCACCGTTGACTACAGATGCTATTAGTATAATTAAAAAAGAAAGTGATTTTTTAATGCTTACCCAAACATCCGATATCGCCGTCGAGCTTGATGAAGTTCAATCCGTGTCTATTCCGAAAGTCAGCACCTGCACTACATAGAAACTACACGGGAACAGTTGACGTACTCGGCAGCCTTGACCTCGTCGAGATCTTCCTGAGTGGTGTCTCTCCACGAGAACACCTCCTTCTGTCTAAATTCTGCGTTGTCATCAAAGCCCAATTTGGCGTCCATAGCCATGACTTGGTGGTCAGAAGTCTCCGACAGAGGGTTGATTTCAATCTGGGTAGCATCCTTCTCGATAAAGACCTTGTACAATTTCTGAATAGTCTCCTTGGCCTCCGGAATGCACTGTTCAGAGAAGCCTAGCTCAGTAGCAATCTTGTTGGCAATGGCATCGGTCACGCCAACATTGATATCAATGGGGGTGGTAATAATAGCTTCGGGGCTCTCCTTGGCCACAGCCTCGATATCCATTCCACCTTGCGAAGAGGCAACAATTACTGGGGACTGAGACTGACGATCCATGAGAACAGCAAGGTAAAACTCGCGGCGAGCAAACTTGCGCTCGCAGATGTACACCGAGTTACAGAGACGGCCAGCAGCGCCAGTTTGTTTCGTAATAAGTTTCCGGCCGATCATCTGGCTAGCGAACATCTTGGCTTCGGTAGGCCTACCGGGATTGCTCACGTTAGAAATGAGCAAATAGACTCGTTTCCTTAGCTTTGGATCCAGAGAACTCACGAATATATGACACGCACACCGCCCTTGAGGCCATTATCAAAGGTGCCTTTACCACGGCCACCAGCGAGGACCTGTGCCTTGATGACCATGTCATCGTTACCTGACAGGCCGCGTCTTAGTGCGTCACGACCTTCAATGGGTTCTGCTGGGTAGAAATATACCGAGGGATTTGGCAACGGCTTCAGCTTCCTCTGCCGTGCGAGCAACCTCGCCCTTAGGCATTCCGATACCATACTATTTATTATATCAGCATCCTTGGCAAGCGGAAGATATGAGAAAATATGTTCGTTCTCCGTACCGACTTGAGGAGGTTCGCAGATAAATATTCATGAATAGACAGGTTTCTCTGCTGGCCGCCCAGGCGGGACGGAACGGATGTCCCCTACAGGATCACGAGCAATTGTGTCAATAATCAACCCGCAAAATTTAAATTTAAATATGATGAGTCGGATGAGGAACTAGCCCATGAAATCTTACCGTCGCAGCTCTGAAAGCTGCCGCAATCGGTCTGCCGCGAGCGAACCTGAACATGGTGAACAGTAAAATTGAAAGAGGGGAGAGTAAAGGGAAAGAACAAAAACGAGGTCAAAGACGAAAAAAAGACAAAAGTGCAAGTGACCTGGAGAGAGTGACGTGTCGCCAGGGAAGAGGGGGTGGGTTGGGGAGAGTTATAGGAAAACAGCTTTCTTTTGCACTCTGGGGATGATATTCTCTCTTTGCTTGGAGTACGACAAGCCGTGGTCACCTGATGAGCCAATGGGGTACATCTCGGGATGACTAACCCGGCTTGGGTTCCCGACGCGAATAATTCGGAACAAAATGAAACCATCATTTAAACTACAAGCGGCGTAAAACACAATTCTCTCCTGGAAGGGACGTTGAGAAGCATCTTGTATAGTAGGCATAGATTATGGCTTAGTCTAACTATGTTGATTAAGTATACAGCATGCACACTCTTATCTTGCTACTTCGACAATAACGGCAGATGATTTAAACGATATCAAATTTTGAGATAGTAAGATTAGACCGACTCCCTATCTGTAGGTTGCATAGCAAAACAATGGAAAACTACAAGCACTAACAGACGGCTTTCCAAGGCCTATAACATGTGATCAAGTCTAGTCTCTGGCCATTTATTTTCCACTTACTTTTTGTGTAGCTTATTCAGCTTGAACATTCTAACCATAATGCGTTGGAACAAGCCAGTCCACGCCCAGCCCCCAGTCAAAAACCAGACCAGCCAGCTTTTGTTGCCTTCCCAAATCCAACTCTTTCGGCCCTTTGCCCATGGCCATAGCCAACGCCATGGTGCAGGTCCATATAGAACTTGTGCGACAACACTCCTTGCATATGCCGCATGCGGCATCGCGCCATCCTGACTGTGTGTCACACGGCGATTATACTCGTCTTCAATTGGAGCATACAGCGAATTGGGTACTAAAGTACGTTCGACGCGGGCAATGCGAGACTGTACACCGCCGGTAATAACTGTGGTAACATTCACCCTGACAAGAATAATATTAGAAGTGGATTTAAAGCCGGAAAAAAACAAAGTACCCAAATGGTGCTAATTCCACACGTAGGGAATCGCTAAACGAGTGCAGCGCAGCTTTGGAGGCATTGTAAACTGAGCCAAAAACATAAGGAATGACCTAGTATATAGCGTCAGCAATATGACTAAGTGCTTCTAGCAGCAGTTAAAATAGTTGCATATGTGGGAAAACTAACACCTGCAACTGACCCAATTTGCACAATGGTACCATTGGCCTTCATGAGGAGTGAAAGAAAGGTTTTACACATGCGGATAACTGCAATAAAGTTGGTTTCAAAGGTTGCTCGGGCTTCCGATATATCTACTTCCATTGCAGGCACAGTATAATCTTTAAATCATGAGTAATCTAGGCATGATTCTTAAATTCAACACTGAAACTTACTTCGTCCACTTAACGTAAATAGTTAATTTTTTTTTTCCAGCCAGGACAGGGAGGGGGTTAGGGATGCTTGGATCACTCACGCGTTATTAACCAAATAATCCAACCCTCTCTCCCCGATTCTTCTCCCTACTTCTGCATGGCATATTTTGACACTGTTTTCATCATCTACAACAAGGCTTAGGGTCTCAATCCCAAGAGTTGCTAAGTCTTCGATTGATTTTGTATCTCGAGCAGTTGCGAAGACACGTAATCCATGGCGATGGAATTCCCGCGCAAGTGAATTTCCTATGCCTCCTGGTGAACACCTAAACAGTAAATAGAATGAATGAAATTAGTTACAGACAAGCCAAGTATTAAGCAGGTTAAATTGGGACATAAGCATATAACAAGATATTATTAATTTAACTCACCCAGTGATCAACACAGTCTTCCTTTGATCTTCTGCAGATGCCATGATGCTGACGCTCTTGGTCCAAAATCAAAGACTTTATTCGAGGAGGGCAAAGAGCGAAGAAGACAAAGAAACACAATCCGTCCGTTATTGTCTAGGTGCTTTAGCTGCAGATCTAGTACCTAAGGAATGCCTCGGTTGCCAGTACGAAGTCCTAATTAGGCCACCCGTGAGAAAGTGGGTCTTGAGAATTCACTTCCACTGGGCCTATTTCACCCTTACAATGGCTACTGGAGGGATTGCCAATGTTCTGCATACAAGTAATACCTATCATTCCCGCTCTAAGGTATTGTTAGTTATGCTAAGGAGCGAATAGTACCTACCATATAGATTCCGAGGGCTAGACACCATTGGGGTCATTGTCTTCTTGTTGAACATTTGTTTCTATTTAATTATCTGGTGCCTGTTGCTTCTGCAGTTTTTTGCAGTTTTTTTAGTACCCTTACACTTTCAGGGCATCAATTTTGCATCGACAGAATCTCCGTTTGTCCTGGCCTCCGTAGTCTTATTTGGTGATCAACATTTCATAATATGGATCGGACAATACTGGGCCGTAGCTTGCACATTGTTTTGGATTGATGCGGCACTGGCTGTAATTTTTGCAGCGGGTATTTATCTAGGCTCTTGACTTACTGCAAGGCATCATGATCTCCGTGATGCTAATGGAGCATAGGTGGTCAACGCTAACGTTTACAATTGCCCAGCTGATACCTATTTGAATGTTCCCAGCATATCCGTTGTAGATAATTGGGTCCTCATGCTGGCATTCAAAGATCTGAAATTAAGCCTTCTCGTTCATTTCCCATTATCATCAGGGGGACGACTATTCAAGGAATCGGATTCTTGGTCTCCTTGATGGTGTATTCAGCCTTCATATATCGCCTTATGTGGTAAAATTTCCCCAGGGAGAATGTACAGCCTGGTATATTCGTTCTGTCGGTCCTAGCGATTTTAAGGTTGCGGGAATTGTGAATTTACGGCCGCTCAAGCGAAGAGGTGCTTCCCGAATAACTTTTGGGCAATGGACCTCTAGCTGAGGATATTTTGAAAGTAGTGGTCAATTTTGTATCCTTATGACTATGGGGATACATAACATTTCATTTTTAATGATGATGTTCTTTGATAATAGCCTGAAGCTGACAATCCCCATCGATAGGCCAGCAATTTTCTTTTTCATAGCAAGTTTCGCACATTGATCAGCAATCGGTTCGGGCCGGATGGAATTCTCTATGGGATGTTTTTTGCTTATATTTCCAAATACTGCATTGGTTACAGCAAACATTTCTATTGGAGATGCATTTTCCTGCCAATTCTAATCATTGGCTGTGCCATGGTTATCCCTCTTATACTGATGTATTAATTTGTGGTTAGCATGATGATCTGTACACATTGTATTGCTGAAATTCTTTCGCCTCAGAAAAGTGAAGACACAGATGAGGGTGGCTTTGAAATTAATAAAATTAAACCGGAATCACTAGGGGAGCCTTGGGTCAATTTGAGAGAGTGTTTGTGTTTGGCTTATGAATAACGTAATCGGTAAGCGAGCGCCGCATGAAAGCGAGCGCCGCACCTTTGTATTCCATATAAAATGACACTTTTTGAGAGTCTAATATCTCAACAATAAAGCACCTAGGGGACATAAAATTAAATATACAGTATAATATAATACAGTGTATATATATATTAAGCAGAGAAATTTCCAGAATGAATATTTCTCCAGGTAAGATAAATTACAGCTGTATTTTTTATACTTTCAGTTGTCCTAGTATTTAAAGCCAAGAAAACTACCTAAAAACATGAAAATATAAAAACACCCTTTTAGAGTTCATATATATGTTACTATCTTATCAAGATGTTTCTATATCTACTGGTGGTTGAGATATTAAGGTTTCAAAGAGTGCCATTTTATATGGAGTACAGAAGTGCGGCGCTCGCCTTCAATGCGGCGCTCGCTTACCGATTACGTTACTTCTACAAAAATACTATTACATAAGAAACCCAGTTTGTTAATTTATTTTATTTTGATTGTCCTTTGTTTATAAGCTGTGACTTCCTAATTACTACTTAGCTACTGTACGAAAGAACTATGTTCCAGAAATTAATACAGTTATGATCCTGGGAGGACATGATTCTATAGACAATGTCAAGGAACAGCCTAATGGAGGCTGGAAATGGACAAGCTATGTCATGTGGATCTAATGCTTACCTAATACATAAGTAATAGTTAGGTTAGTTAGTTAACTTAGTTAACTAGTTAGTTAAGTAACTACTTGGTGCAAGGTCTACTTATCTCATAGCTTGGGTAGAATGCCTAGGACCATGGAGGTGGTGTCTTACACAAATGTGCATTGTGTAGAGCAAAGCAAAGCATCTCAGCAGTATGCCCAGAAAACTACAACCATTTTAATAAGCACTGAATATTCCATACCATGCGTAATTAGTACTCTGAAAACCTAGCAGCTAGTAGTATACTACCTACGAGATACTTAACATAAGAAAGTAGGTACTAGGTAAGTAACGTTAAATTGCTGGGTAAAAGTACACGCTACACAATACGTACATAGGGGCGGGTATGTACTGTGAAATAGTATTTTCCGTACAGGATGGCTAGAGTAGACTCCTAAAATAATAGCTCCCGAATAGTCAGTTTCTGATAGGCCACTACTCCACAACTTTATACCCAATACAGTTAGAGTATGAAGGGTCTCCCTTACCATGATCTTGTGTGGCGCTCCTGGGGAGCACAACTTTAACTTGTAACATAGGTAGTACAAAAAAAAAATTTCCTTTCTTACCCCTCGTGTGCTGTCTTGTCGGCTGGCTCCAACGCTTGGATTGTCTTCTGGACACCCACAAATTACTGGGATTGGAAGATCTTAGTGCATATATTCTAGCATAAAAGGGACTAAAAATCAGAACAAAAAAAGTATTGCTATACGATTATTACTTGTGGCTTCTCGTCCTCTTTCACAGATACAACTATCAAAATGCCACAGAAAGTCTACGTCACCTACAATCAGGTTCGCTAATCCATCCTGTCTTCATCGCATCTGCTTTTGTTACTCTCATTACTTGCAATGTACCTCCCTTGCATGTATAATGTGCATGTTGCATGCAGGTGTCACAGCATTGTCGGATGAGCTTATACTTTCAAAGCGTCTTCAGGTAATGCTGGAGCAACTAGCTAATGACATTGACTTGACAGGTGCACAAGCTATGTCAAATATCTGCTGATCAGATCCTGAATGGATTCCATCCCAACCTCATGATCGCTATTGGTGGTGGTGGCTACGTCCCCGCTCGTATTCTGCGGTATGATAGACAGGAAGAATCACTGTGCTTGAAGAAGTGCTTTCTAACCTAGGCCCTTTCTGTTTTTCTTTCAAACCAGATCTTTCCTTAAACGCCCTGGTGAGCCCAACATTCCCATCCAGGCCATCGGTCTATCGCTTTATGAAGATCTCGGTCGTGGTGATCCGGAAGAAGTCCCTGGAACAAAGGTTACCCGCACACAGTGGCTGGACCTAAGTTCTCTGGAGATGGCAAACCTTATTGGCAAGAACATTCTCATCGTTGACGAGGTCGATGATACCCGGACGACGCTGGAATATGCTGTTCGTGAGCTTCAAAAGGACGTGGAATTGGCTCAGAAGCAGCTCGGACGAGAAGGCGAGAAGACGAATTTCTTTGTTTTTGTCCTTCACGTATGTTGCTTTTATTACTCTAGTTTCTTATCTCCAGTCCATTACTTAACAGTTATACAGAACAAGAACAAGTCAAAGAAGGGTGTACTGCCTGCTGATATGATGGAATCTCACCGTTATCATGCAGCAGTCACGACCGATGATGTTTGGATTTGCTATCCATGGGAGGCCAAGTACGTGATCGAATTGGAACCTGCATACATAGTAGCTAATGAAACTTAACAGGGATATTGATGAGCATGACCGATTCGCTGAGGAGAACCCGCTCGTCTAAATCTTTTCATCATTGGCTCCTAGCCTCGCCATTCATTCTGAATTCAGAATGACGCTCCAAAATGTTATCTTGCACCCATACATACTTGCACATAGTGTTTTAACTCGATTGACCCATATATGGTATGCCATGTTACGAACGGTTTCCCAACGATATCGATAGAAGGTAGAAAAAAGAAAGGTATAAAGAGAATAAAAAAAATACAAAAGGAGGGAAGGGGTTGGGCTTGGGATGTCCATATGGTTAGCCTTTTATACTTCCCTTCCACCGCCTTTTTTTTTGGTGGCGTTGTTAAACGTTTCTACCAAGGTACAATACATTGATAGAATTGGAGTTTGCTTCATTGTCAGACAAATTTTGAGTGGTGGTTTCAGGTTGAGGAAACCACCAAAAATAGACGTGTAGCATGTGTGCTGCGAATTGAATAATACTATCAGTGCCTTGCACTATCAGAACCTATACCATATCAACATCCTTTGCAAACGCAATGACTATGAATACAACAGACGTTATATACGTGGAAGGCTTCAACTCAAGCCCATTCCTGACCAGGAGGACGATTAAACCTCGCATTTGCTTCAGAGCCATAATATACAAACATGAAACCATTTAATCAACATCAACATTCTGTGTGCGCAATTCGGCCTTGGCTTGCTCGATCTCCTTTTGTAGCTCTGCATGCGCTTCGGGGACATCATTGAAAGTTAATATTGCCAATCCCAATCGTCCTAACAGGTAGCATCCGAAACATATCAAGGCGTAAAAGGGAAGCTAGTGGAATTACGCAAATATCAGCGGGACAGGAAGGAAAGGGACAGGAATATGTTGGCAGGCTAGGACACAAGACATACAACAGGGATGACTTCATTCTGAATGGTCTCATTTAGGGGAACAAGGCCGAGGTATAGGACAAGATAAAGCTAGAGTTGGAAACAAAACGAAAAGATACCCATATTAGCTACAGTCCTAGATATAGGGGTACTTGTAACATACTGAAGAGACAAGGAGAAGAACAGAGAGAGTCTGCTGGGCGCGAGTCATGATGGAGAGAAGGCACAGGTGGAGTTCTTTTAGGGGGAAATGCAGACAAATATCTATAATAAGGGGAAAAGAATGAAAACTAGATTGGACGAGAAGCAAGAGAGCGCGTGCGGGTTTAATTAGGAATGCGGGTAAAGAACTGCAGGATTCGTAAACGAAACGACAACCGCAGTAAGGCCAAGTTGAACCTCTCGCCCTAAGTTTGACCGCTTCTAATTTTGCCGCAACCACCCACGCCAGACAGCTTCGTAGCTAAGTCAATAAGTTTCTTTTACCGCCTCTCAGTTTATAGGTACTGAAACCGCAATATTATCTGCTGCCGCAAAGATACTCAGTATTATGCTAATATATTCCATTTGAAGTCTATCGATTGTTCTATTACGGGGCTTTCAGGGCGCACACCCTTCTGACTGTGAGTGGATTAATCAAGATCGTACTCCACAACGGAGGCTGATAAGCCTCTTTGAAACTAAGGTGCTATTGATCAAGCCGATCTTCCTGTCGTGGATTGAGGATTTGAAATCGAGCTACTTCTTATACATTTCCTATCTGTCGACAGAGGTACCCTGAGAATGACTGACATCCACATGTCAATAAACAGAGATGCTGATGACATAGCCCCGCTGAACATACAAGCTCTGAATTATGAAGGAGTGGAATGCCCGTCTTTGCAGGAAATAATATCTGGGTTGAGACCAGCTACAGTGGAATCTGTACCAAATGAGCCTCTGTCACTTGCAGAGCAAAAATCCCTTTTCAATTCTTTGCAGGGCATTATCAAGGAGGCGGATTCTACTGCTGCAGATGATGCAATTTCTGATACAGAAGTACCGCCTTCGTTTCAACATGTCGATACACCTTTTGGAGGCGTAAAAAGTATCTTACACCAGTTGTTAAGCTGCAGATCGCTGTATACAGCGCGAGCTGCCGAGGTCTTAGCGAATGGCAGTAGAAATCGTATGTTACATCACGATTAGGACCAGCCAAGGCTCCCTTGTTAACTCTTAGCAGCATCATGGCGGCTCCCGTTTGGACAAACCGGGATTTTGAATTTTTTCCTTGAACTCGTTGCTTCGAAGGGAAACGTAGACACTACCCTTTTGCTTCATTCTCTGCGATTGATTGGCAACTGCTGCGCAGATACTGGTGAGTTTTGTTCTACCTATCAGTGGCTCTCTTATGGTATACATATGTATAAACATATACACACACATATATTAACCAGGTCCAGATGAAAATAGGATGGCTGTCGTAAAAGACAACTATACTGCTGCTATCCTCCAGCACTTACTGAATTCTGGTCTCATCCAAGTGGTTGTACCAGTTATATATAACCTATGCGTCGATTTTGGTAAATTATTGCTCTTTTTCTTTGCACTGTATTTTCTAACAAGACCTAGAGCCTGCCCAGACTCAATTAGCTGCAAACAAAATAGTATATATTCTTCTAAAGTTAATAAAGGACGATGCATTCAAAGCCAATGACGCTCTGCTCAACTTTGCCTACGAGCTGATGGAATTGACTATGGAGCAAGGTATTTTGTATACTTTATATTCCCCTTTTTTCACTGTCTAACCGAAATGTAGAACAAGGGATAGAAGCATCCCCTGATGCAACAGTACTGTTCTTAATAGAGCTGGCAACTAATGAAGAGTTAACTTCTACAGTCAGCCAGTTTTCTTGTGTTGCTAATTGCCTTACGAGCGTCTTAGAAACCAAACGCTTCCAGGATCTGTGTTTGTCAAGGCGCATGTTATCCAATGTGTTGCCGGTGCTCACTCGAGCAGTAATGCTTGGAACCAATGCTTCCAACGAGGATAGTCAAAGGCTAGCCCAATTACAATTGAAGATCAATCAGACACTGTCAGAGGTGTCCGCGTCACCGATTTTTGCAGAAAATTACCCACTTGGCTCTAGTTTATCACTGGTGCTGAAATCCTGGTTGGCGACAACCGATGATCAGCTTCGGATATGTTCATGTGTCATGCTCGGTAATTTGGCGCGCTCAGACGCAGTGTGTGAACGTATGGTTAAAGAGATGGGAATACATCAAGGTTTAATATCTATTCTCAACAGTAGGGCCAGAGGTACCGTCCTTCATGCTGCCTTGGGGTTTCTGAAGAATCTGGCAATAGCTGGTGATAATAAGCTGCATTTGGGAGCAGCGGGTATTATCCCGGCGATCTCACGCCTATGGAGCTACGAGACATTCCCACAAGTCCAGTTTGCGGCAGTTAGCATTGCACGACAGTTGGTTATATCATCGGATGAGAATATAACCCGTTTGCTGGAAACATGTTCGGCAGATCAAGATGCGTCATCTCAAGAATTGACCTATCTGACACTGCTTGTTTCACTTTTTGAGAAAACAGACTCAATTCCCATTAAGATCGAGATCGGGCGTCTTGTTGCCTCTATATGCCGCACTATCACACCAAGGGCTCGAGAACAGGACCAGGTAGCGGAGTCTCTTCTTGAACGTCTCTTTACTCTACATAAGGGTGTCGCACTTCCTATTGGTGCTATGATTACCCAATCACAGTGGTCCGTTGTCAGGAGTGAAGGCTGGTTTGCTCTAGCCTTGATGGCATGGAGTAAGCAAGGATCCGCTGCCGTTGCAAAATGTTTTCAGACAATGAACCTCCTCTCCTTACTTGAAGAAACTCTGGGCAGGCAAATTACTGATTTGGACAGCGAGGAGGAGAATCTGCAATTGATTAAGGATCGAGATAATACAGTCATCCTTGTCCAGGAGTTGCTGAGAAATGATGTAGGCCAACTGAAAATCCCCTACTATACTTCCACTGTGTGCTAATTCATTTTTGTTGAAGCCTAACATAATACCTACCTCTTCGAAGCCTACAATACAAGGCATAATGAATCAGTATGTTTCGCATCAGTTGAAGCACACAAGGGAGGACTGAGTGTGCTCTTCAATTAATACCATAAGTGTGTACATTGGCAGGGTCAATTTGAAGTCCGTTCACCCAAAATTCTTCTCCCAGTCAATACGTATTGTAAGATTCCTGAAGCCTATTTTTTTTATTTTTTATTTTTTTTTTTTTGGCAGGGTGAGGCTGGTAAGGGAAATCACAGTGAACTTATTCATCTATAAAATGAATGAAGGCACATGATGTCTACAACAACTTACGTCGTGTCTAAGCAAACCTTCTCCTTGACGTAAGCTTCGTAATGCTGAAGAATATCAGTTGTTTCCAGCCCTTCAAGACTCATGCCTGTTGTATAATGGGCCACCAGGCCTTTCCCATCGATAATGGTATATCGGCTAGTACCACTGATCTCTCCTATTATCCTTGACGCTAGATCGTTTACGAGGCCTTGCTTAGTGGCATGGTGGGCTATGTCGCTCACCACCCCAGAAGAAGCATAAAAAGTTCTGACTGGCAGTTTCCCTCGGGTTTGCCCACATGGGAAACTTGTATCGATGTAGGTTGCCTGGTTCAAGGTGCTGCAGGAGAAAGTAAGTTGCTGGGTATGGACACTCCAATCGTCTAGTCCAGGCCCGTCCGCAATGTACATGGAGGTGCCGATTGGCGTTCGATCGGCATCAGCATCACTCGAAAGGAGCCGGCGGTGGTTACTGGACGGAGTAGGAAAGCCTTTCATGACCTTAAAGTCAATGGGGCGTTTCCAGTGTGGGAGGCTTGTAGCACACCAATCTTGGGATAGAGTAGATTGAGATAGAGTTGGAGGCACATGAGTCAGTTCTGGAAGATAGGGTAAAGCGACCCCGGAGTGACTGTGAAGTGCTTCAAGAGCTGCTTGATTGATGACATTTGCCGAGATCACTGATGTCCCTGGATAGTCGAGCTTTGTTTGACGATTATCGGGATGATGTGGGCTCTAGAAAAACATCACCATCGATCCAGATGTATATTGAATCCCCTCCCAGGTGTTTAGACTCCAAGCTATCACTAGATTGCCAAATATTATATAAAATGGTCTATTCACCACAGATGTGAGTCACTCTAGGCTACCAGTATGATTTGTCTGAGGGATGAAAGATACTTAAGTGGTCGAGAAATCTGTGGTTGTAAACAATGTTCCGCTTGGAGCAGAGTTAGCACATGATTACTCTTGATCAGCGTTTCTCTTTTCTTTTCTTTTCATTCTTGTTTTAAGGGGCAGGTTACCTGTAAGTAGCAATCCAATATCCTTGTTCGCTCATGGTGATGGAATGGCACAAGAGCAATAAACTTCATGCCCCCAGGCTTTGTGAAGTGTGACCTAAGCCCTACGAGAACACAAAGGCGCCGTAGGGCTCTTCTGGACAAAGGCAGAGAGGAGCCCCAGGTCAAGAAGGGAGAACTGTGTGGAGTAGATTCTGATAAATACCACTATCAGCCAATATAGCTGACAATGCACCAAATAAACACGGATACCCAAGGCCGAGAGTGGGAGTCTCTGTCTTCCTGTGATTCGACATTGCGACTATACTCACGGTGTCCGTCTCGAGTCGCCAAACATGCAGATACCTATGACCAAGTCAATACATATGTACTTATTATATGGCGAGCAACAGACACTAGGCGCTTCGGTTTCTCATCTGCTTTCGGGCGTTCCAACGGACTTGTAATACAGAAACAGCCAGCGTTTGATCATTGCTTGGCGATGGCGTCGCTCTAACACGTGCAAAACTGCCGGCTTCCCGTCTGGTTGAACCCTACCAAACCTCATTATCTATCTACCCCATTCCATTGCTGATGATACTTTGGCCCCGCTACGAGTTGATACCCCCGCTGGAACATGAGGACGGCTGTCCTCTTTAGCCGATTCTGCTTGGACCGTGGTGGAAATGCGCGGTTCTTGTCCCGATCCGTGTTCCCTCGTCGACCGCGCTTGAATTACTCGCGATTATTATGGCAGCAGGGTTTCTGGAAACGGCCACAGAAACGGGGACATGCGACAGGAGCTATATTGCTTGCTTCCTGCACCCCGGGTATATTTTTGAAGCTTGCAGAAGAAGGTGATAGGGGTCAGGAGACAAGAGAAACGCAGATACTAGAGCTCTCCCGAGAAGAAACGAGACAAAGCATCGCGGAAGATTTCCAGGTTCTGCCAGGTCTTAGACAGTCCCTTTTTGCCTTCTGGTACTACTATGTGTACGACCCAATTGCTACAGGATGCAGATTTATTCATCTGGTCCTCGTCTTCCTACCGGTAATCCTCGCAACACCAGCTGTATGGCTTGGGAAGCGGGTTAATGGTCGGAAAGGTGTTCGGACGGGGGCTTTATGGTGGTACAATTATCTTGTCAAATCAATGGAATGTGCGGGACCAACCTTCATCAAGGTACGCGTTTCACCATGCCCCCGCTTCTTGGATCCCATGAAGGCATGAAATGCACTAACCGATATAATCTCCTACCAGCTTGGACAATGGGCGGCGTCGCGAACTGATATATTCCCTCCCGAAATGTGCAACTACCTGTCCTCTCTGCATTCCAACGCTCCTGCGCACTCATTGCACGATACTAAGAAGATCATAAGCAAGGCTTTCAATGGGTTGGCGTTCGAGGATATCTTTGAAGAGTTCCAGGAGGAGCCTCTAGGAGTAGGAGCTATTGCTCAGGTCTACAAGGCGAAACTGAGACCAAATTTGGCAGCGACCTGTGACCAGGATCTCATCCCTCAGCCGCAGAGCTTGCGGAGTAAGGTTCGAAAAAATGTCGATGCATTAGTGAAGAGTACTCCTCAAAGAGTTCCATCATCCTATGTGGCTGTCAAAGTGCTTCATCCCAAAGTCGAACGTGTGATCCGGAGGGACTTGAAGATCATGTCGTTCTTCGCCTCCCTGGTAAATGCTATTCCGACCCTGAACTGGCTCTCCTTACCGGATGAAGTCCACCAGTTTGGAGAGATGATGAAGCTTCAATTAGACCTCCGCGTTGAGGCTAGTAACCTCGTTATCTTCCGAGAGAATTTCAAATTGCGTACTACCGCTTGGTTTCCATACCCATATCTGGATTACAGCACCCGTGAGGTGCTTCTGGAAGAATTTGCACAAGGTATTCCTTTGTCTAAATTTTTGGATGCGGGAGGCGGGGTCTATCAGCAGGAGGTTGCTAATGAAGGTTTGGACGCATTCCTCCATATGCTGCTAATTGACAACTTTGTCCACGCGGATCTCCATCCGGGTAATATTATGGTACGGTTTTACCAACCAAGTGAACTGGATCTTTCGCTTCGCAAACACACCCGGGCAGCCGATGCACCGACCGCGGCAGATGTCGATGTGGCAGAGAGAGTACTTGCACGCCTGAGACCATGTGCTCATAATCAGGAGGACTGGGAAAAGGCGCTAGGTCAACTGAATGTGGAGGGTTATCGTCCCCAGCTTATCTTCATAGATACCGGCCTAGTCACGCAACTCAATGACGTAAATCGAAAGAATTTTCTGGACCTTTTCCGTGCTGTCGCGGAGTTTGATGGCTACCAGGCGGGCCAGCTCATGGTTGAACGATGCCGTCAGCCAGAGGAGGTCATTGACCCAGATGTTTTCGCCCTGAGAGTGGATCGACTTGTCCAAAGCGTCAAGTCCCGAACATTTGCACTAGGTAATGTGAAGATCGGGGACGTTCTAAGCGAGATACTATCTATGGTACGAGCCCACCACGTTCGACTTGAAGGGGATTTTGTCAACGTCGTCATATCGATCCTTCTCCTTGAAGGCATTGGAAGGAGCCTTGACCCAAATCTCGACCTTTTCAAGAGGTAGGTAGATTATTCCTTCCTAATACTAGAGTACATTATACCCTAGGAATACGTGCAGTGGTTGACATTGTTGTTTGTTTTCTTTCCCTCGACTTTTTTAGTGCCCTCCCCATCTTGCGGACTCTCGGATCCAACACCACTTTCTTGAAATCCGTTCGATCTGGTGACACTTCCATGCTTCGCGTCTGGGTAGGACTTGAGGCGCGTGGATTACTCCAAGCCAGCATCGAAAGTGTGGAACAATGCGTCAAATACGACCAGCTCTCCCCTAATATTTGAAAGTACCGCCGCTAATAGGAAAAGCACCATAAATAGACAACAACCTCTGGAACATTGACGTATGATTCTTTTCGCGCAGATCCCCTGGAGATAGACATGTATATTCCCGGAGGCAAGATGTGCAAGCCTACATGAAATTAAACCCTACGGGCATCTCCAGGGCCTGTCTTGGGAGGAATTATATACCAATATCAGCAGACGGCTGACTTAAGAATATGCTACAGTAGCAGTAGTCTATTGTCATAAAGATAAGACATGTGTATATACAACTTGTCAGGCGAAGTTTAAAAAAAAAAAAAAAGGTCATATAAGTAGTACACCCCTTATACAGCGAAAAAATGAAAAAGAAAAAAAGAGAAAGAAGAAAGAAAACAAGAACTTGTCGAAGCAAGCCATTCCCAAACCAAAACTATAGGCCCCATGATGCTTCATTATGTATATTCTGGCACCGAAGACCATTGCAGGTGAGAAGAGTTGCATCGTGATAATGCAAAGAACCATACATAAGATACACTAGATGTGAAAAGACCTTCAGACGCCTGCGCCTCCATTCTTCCTTTCTGTTCCAAATATATAGTGGAGAATTAATTTAATGGCATACGGTTTGGTTTTGCAGTCGATTCATTCAATTTCAGCTGTTCTCTCGAGCTGCACCACCGCTGGCTCGCCACCAGACATCTCCCCCCCATCTCATCAATCGCTCAACAGCAGCTGTCGGTGTATCTAAGGCCGGTCTGATGTCCAAGTAAAATACGGGCTCCCCCGTGGGCTCCGGGGGCCCGGAGTAATAGTCTATTACATACCGGACTTCCTTTGGGCCGGAGGGAGTTTGTCGTAAGACGAACCAGTCATGTCGATCAAAAGGAGGGCTTGTCCTATGAGTGATGCGTTAACTATGTTAACTACGTTAAGAACCCATATAATAGAACCAGGAAATACTAACCCAAACTTCGCCGGGTATAACCAACCAAGAGCTTGAAGTATCTGTGCCTTGGGTGTTAGCTCCTGAGGCCGGCCCTTGAACCGAACGAGACTTGGTTTGCTGCTGTTAGCAGCGCCCGTCAGCTCGTCTCTGGCAGCATCCAGAGCAATATTCTCCTCGCCGCGTCGACACTTATTCCACCCTTGCATCAGACCCCCGGCAAATAAGCGCTCCCAACCCTCAATCTCTTCCCAGGCACCCTCGTTCAAGAAATTGTGTACTGCGACCATCGCCTCGACGGCATCTTGTGGAGTATCAGTGTAGCCTTTGCGTAGCATGGCGTTGTACATTTGTTGGGGAGAGGGATACTCCCAAAGACCGTTTGAATCACCTCGTGGAATCGAAGAGGTTTCACGGTCGACAGGGAGATCAACCGTTTGGTTGGGTGCCCGTTCTTGGGAAATTGACGAGAACATGTAGTTCAATGGATTTAATTTGGACAGAGTTGATTTTTTACTGTCGAAAGTAGCTGGTGTTGGTGGATCGGAAGGGTTGGTCTTAGGCGCCACATAGAATGGGGATTCTGTAGAGCGGACTGGGCAGGCACTGCGAGCTTCAGGTAGAGAAGAGGACACCGAAGAAGGCGCCGAGTTGGACGTATTCATCGGACATCCCGGCTGTAATCAATCGTTAGACGTCTCAGCTATTATGCTCAGCCATACTTTTATACTGACAGCAGGAGAGGCATCCGACAATGACGGGGAAAGCGGAACAGGGTGAGTGGTTAATAAGTTTGGCGCAGAATCTGCCCAGAACCAACCCATGGTACGCAGAGTATGAGGTGAAAATCAGAGGGCAGGAAAACACAGAAGGACAAGCCTGTTAGGGAATAGCGATAATGGTCGATAGAACAATAGTAGATGGATATTTTTTTTGGTTGAAGTCAACGGCGGCGGAGTTCCAAAGAAAAAGAGAAAAAAAAAGGACCGATGACATAAGATGACAGCCAATCAAATCCGCTATATTGCTACCAAGGTAGGAAGGTCTATACAAGTGCTCTCCTAGTACAGGAAGTGCTTGCTTCTATTGCCAACAGATGTATGTACTATACAATTAATTGATGGAACTCATATCGGAAATACATTGTCCCTTCGTGATCAACTAACCCCTGCCCTCCTCATTTGCTTCTTCTCTTCTAGGACTCATAGAAGAGAAAAGAAAAAGCAGCAGAGGTAAGGAGAGAACGTGTGTGGAGAGAAAAACCTGAACGCCTTCCGTTCACTAGACGCCTGTAGGTCGTCTCTCTAGACGCGCCTAGCCCAGTGTTGACCTACCCGAACCACGGTATAAAACAGAATAAATAGAAAGATAGATAGGTGAGGTTGGGGGAGAGAGCCGAAAACTGAGATCCCAAAGAAACCACAGGCAGTCAAGCCAGGGAATCGAATGGCGCTTTGATGGTAGGTAGCATCAAATGCTATCCAGAAGTAAACCCAACAAATCATGGCTTCCAAAGCTTCAAAGGAGCCAGCTCAGCCCTGCACATCATTTACCAGCCTTGTAAGAAGAGCATACCCAAATACAATTGCAAGACCAAGCCAGATTTTGTTCCGCCGAGCCCAGCTCTGACCTGCTTCTCGTGCAACATGGCCGCCTTCCATTACGGCCCCAAATCTGGGTGCACTTCCATTCGGACGTCTGCGAAGAGCACTGGTTTCGGGAGAGCATTTCGTAGTAGCGGAGCCAAGTTCAGGGATCAGTTGGCCAGTGTTGGTGTCAATACGATTGTCCTTCATCCACTTCCAATTCTCCTGGTCTAATTCTGGCCATTCCGTGCGGAACTTCAAGCCCCCATCTCCAGCCTTAACATTGTTGATCCCCTTTGTACTAGGAGTTATTCCCGGTGTGATACTGACGTGAGAACCTCCACCAGTAGAATTCCACCATCTCGACCGTGCAGCCAGCACTCTTCGTTCTGCCTCCGAAGCACTAACACTACCGGTCGTCATTTCCTCACTAGTCATGAAAGATAGTAGCCCGATGAGAATCGTAGAGACTTCCCAGGCTGGGTTGAACGACTTCGGATGGAAGTCACTGATGCTGAGACATAGCCGGGCTGATGGTTGGAAACGACCGCTGGGTGTGTGCATACGGATAGCCGGTGGGGCAAATGGGTATTCAGGGGGAAACATTAGGGTGCCCCAATACTGGCCATTCTCGTATGGCGTCCCAGGCGGGCCGGTAAGGATGTAATGCCATCTGGGAAGCATTTTAGTCTTTGATCCCACAATTTGAACCCGCTATAATAGCTCCAGTCTTACTCAAGAATATTGGACTCTGACGGATGTGCCACAATGAAAGGTGGGGGGTTCTTTTGAATATTCCGGTACTCACGAGTAAGCTACAGGGTAGTTAGCATCGACAATAAGCTCGCATTTTAAGAAATCTAACGCTTACCCTTTTGAAAGCCGCCTTTGTCGCCATTTTGGACGAGCTGTACAACTGGACTTAACAGCGCGAGATTCCCCTAGAGCAGAAAACGCCTAGGACTGATTACTGCGGCGTTAGCTAGATGAGGAGTAGGTTGATAGACAACACCTGATCCTGCAAAAAGTAGCTGGCACAGTAGATTTCCCATCGAACTAGATGGAAGGCAGGATGGTGAGTGTGCACTCGATGGTAGAATGAATGGTGTTCAGGAGTTCCGCAAGACCCATCGTCACGTGGGGAGCCGATGGCTTCATCTTCACATTGGCCGCTCGGAATAGTCAACCATACTCCGAGAAATTCCTCCCCTCAGGGTCACTCTGGCCGTTGTCCACCACCACAATGTCCTCTATTATCTCTGCTGAGGATGAAGATGTATGTTATCTTTTTTTTTTTTTTTTTTTTTTTTTTTTGTTTTGGATGGAGGGTCTCAATCTTTCAAGCTCCTCTCTAAACTCGCTCTTTAGCTAACTACTCTGCTTCTGCGTTGCTTCTAGATCTTTGAACGTCTTCAACAGCGTGCCGATCCCAAAGTCCTGGAGGAACAGCAAGAAGCCATCAATGAACGAGTCCATGCAATTTACCAAAAGGCCCAAGCCCGTCTGGGGGAATTGGTAAGCCATTGTCCCCTTGGATCCTTTAGATGTCTCTCACTAGGAGTATCCTATCCAAATTTAAAATATATATATATATTAAATAAATATATAGAGAGAGGGAGGGAGAGAAAGAGAGCTGACCAATGCGGCTGACCGATATCAGATTGACCAAAATTCCACCTTGCCATGTGCTATTTCCTCAGTTCAGGTTCTTAACGCTCACCAGACGCGTAGAAGATTCCTAGAACGCATATTTAATCCGTTGCTGAGTACTCACCAAACTAGACACTATACACTCTCCGAGGCCTTGCGAGAAATCTCAGCACGTGCGGACAAACTCAGCCGATTTGGTTTGTGACCTACAGGACCACTGCCTTTTAGCGCTGGACCTAATTCGTATGCAGACATTTTCCAACAGCCAATTTCAGTGTACCTTGATCAGTCTCCAGATTCGGACCTTCGAACCGGTCTACCGAATCTCGATGTTTATGTTTCCGTAAAGGAAAAGCCACGTGTGCTGCTGAAGACTGGAACAGATCTCGGGAACACAGAAGGATCTGCCTACGGCAACCTGCTTTGGCGCAATGTGTTCGGAGGCGCTGAGAATTTGAACTTGAATGCTTCCCTAGGCACTAGGACAAGGTCCGCTTATCAAGCCACTTTCGAGACCCCTATTCTTAGCGACCCGAATTTCCGTTTGGAGATTGGTGGGATCGCCAGCTCGACCCAAAAGTCCTGGGCTAGCCATGAAGAGGTCCTAAAAGGTGGCTGGAGCAAACTTCGTTGGATGAGTGAATCCGGCCATCGTCACGAAGCTGGCTACAATTGCTTCTGGAGACAGATGACGGGTCTGGCTGAAAATGCCTCTCCCACGGTTCGGGCGGACGCCGGTGACAGCGTGAAGAGCAGTGTTTTCCATAGTTGGACAAAAGACGGAAGAGACAACTCCCTTCTTCCATCTCGTGGCTATTATGCTAAAGTATTCAATGAGCTGGCCGGTTGGGGTCCCCTTAAGGGAGATGTCTCATTTTGGAAGTCGGAAGTCGAAACGCAGGGCGCAGTTCCGATTCCAATCCCAGGAATTAAAGGTGAAAGTGGCATTAGCCTGACCGCTGGGCTTCGCGCTGGACTTTTCTACCCCCTTGGACTTGATTCAAATCCGACCCCTCAACTGTCTCGCACTAATGACCGCTTTCTTCTCGGTGGCCCGACAGACGTTCGTGGGTTCCGTCTCTGTGGCCTTGGACCCCATGACGGAGCGGACGCAGTTGGAGGAGATGTTTATGCCGCAGGAAGTGCCAATTTACTCCTTCCCCTTCCCCGCGTGGGTGCTGAAAGGCCTTTGCGGCTGCAGGCTTTTGTGAATGGTGGCCGCCTGTTACCTCTACGGACAGCCCAGAAGAGCACCCCTACTACCAACGCCGAGGTGGCGAACGCAATGGCGTCTACAATTTCCGAGTTGAGAAATGGCCTGCCCAGCCTTGCAGCGGGGATTGGGCTCGTCTACGCTCACCCGGTTGCCAGGTTCGAGCTGAATTTCTCCCTGCCGCTGGTACTGCGGAAAGGCGAGGAAGGCAGGAAGGGGTTACAACTCGGAATTGGCATTAATTTCCTGTAGAGAATCGTGGCCCCTCCCCTTATATCAATAGAGTTTTGTTCATTCCTACCCTTAGCGCTTGGCATAGGAGGGCTTCCAGATATAAAGCTCGCGAGAATGGGCTTCGAACTGCGGGAAATACAGGAAAAGGTATTCCGAATGTCTATGCTATAGCCATAGAGATCCCTATTGCAGGTACTAGCTACGTACCGTAACTATAACTTATGTACAGAATGCGATGACTAAGTATTGTAAATACGGTACCACCCTGCCGACAGCTGTTCCCTCTCATCCTCCCTCTCCTACTCTCCCTTTTCCCCTCCTATTGGGAGATTTACTCTCATTGCAAATACCTCTCCAAATTACTCATCTACACACGTATTCCCATTTTAATCCCTCTCATTGAGCTTCTCGTTGGCTGCAATGGCCCAATATTTCTCGCAGCAGCAACAGCAGCAGCAGCAACCGTACGGAGCCCAGGCCTCTGCACAGAACCTTCAGTTCTACCCTTCCTCGTACACTTCAGTTTCGGGCCATACGACCCCTTCACAGGCATCTTATGGCGGCTTCGCTTCGGCCCCTAATGCAGGCGCGCAGACATATCCTATGGCAGGGGTATCTGGTGGATATGGTGGCTTCGGGTCGGTGGCCGCTGGAGTAAGCGGGAGGATGGGCGAGCAGAGTGGGTTGCGGATGGGATGGCTGGCTGCTTTTGGTACCGAAGGATACGATGGGGAACCGCCGTTGTTGGAAGAGCTGGGAGTGAATTTCGAACATATCCGGACAAAGGTTAGCTAGCTGGTACTATGCACTTCTCTCTGGCCAAGAAAACTGACTTTATGACTGATAGACGTTGACTGTGTTGAATCCATTCGCCCGGATCGATCAACATCTCATGGACGATAGTGACCTCTATGGAGCCCTGCTCTACATCGTTCTCTACGGAACGTTCCTTCTCCTCTCAGGAAAAGTATTCTACGGCTATATCTACGGTGTTGCGGTCTTCGGAACCATAGCTTTGCATTTGATCCTCAGCCTCATGTCCCCGGCTCTCGATACTGTTCCCACGTCCAACGCTGCGGACCCCACGAACTACGACCCTCACCACAAACCTACCATGTCTAACGCCTCAGCTGCCGGTCATTTCTCTGCCACTCTCACTTTTCCTCGCTCAGCTAGTGTGCTGGGCTACTGTTTCTTGCCGCTCGTATTGACGAGTTTGATTGGAATTCTCATACCCATGGATACCATGTTCGGGTACCTGTTGACAACCGCGGCGGTGGGATGGTGTACGTATAGTTCTTCGGGGATGTTTTGTGCTGTGGCGCGTATGCGGGGAATGAGAGGCCTGGTCGCGTATCCGCTGGCGCTATTCTATGTCGTTTTTGGCATTATGGGCATTTTCTCTTCGCGTGGGAGTGGAACTCTGGCCGCTAAGACAGGTGCTGCGTGAGAGACCTTGCGGCACCGCGACTGGTGTATCCTACGTTGGTGCGGTATAGCTACGCCACTGGCACATTCAGTGGATAGTTGTTTTGAGTCGTCCCACCTACCTTGTTACGCTAAATTAGCCTATATGAATATATCACGAGTTTACGGGTTTCTAAGGCATGTATGCCATCGATATGAGAACTAGAAAGCCACCACAGGAGGTCCAAAAGTAATTGGTCTTTGTATATTGCTATGGTAGAGCAGGGATAACTAGATCCCGCCCATTCACGGAATACCCTTCCTTATACTCCCCAACATTAAAATTAATATTAACTACAATAATTGTTATATTTTTCTTGCAGTCGTGTTCACGTCATAAGTAACTGGAAAATCAATTCCTCATTTCAATGAGCTAGCATCCTCACCCTGAGCTGGTGCCCAGTTCTCCAGCCATTCTCGCGCCTTGTTCAAATCGCTCCCGGCGGCTTCAACAGCAGCAATACACCAAGGCAGATCGTACGACTTGTCGCCGCCAGTCATAGTTACTTCTGTCGCCAATATTTCCGCCAATATGCGACGTTGCTGGCCGACCTGGTCTGTGCAAAAGTAGAAAGGTGCCGTGTTCGGCTGGTCACTCCGTAGGTTGAGGGCTTCAATCAAGGGTCGTACTGTGGCCAAGATAGTTGCCGCGCTTGTTGACAAAGGTGGGGGGGTGATGGTATTAGGGCCAGTGCCCCTATTAGATTCGGATGAGAGTCTTGCCTGCCTCCCGTTTTTGCAATACTCGTTCTGGCAATAGGATTTCCCACACCCCGTCATCATCTGGGAGAGGTATCGTCGCTCAATGCGACGCCGGAGCGCTTTCCCTTCCGGATCATATGTATCCACATAAAGGGGTCCAAAACAGATGCTGCAAAGACCCAAAGTATCATTCCCCGAGACTAGTGCAGCACGTCTATCAATCGTCCGTCCACAGTTTTTATTTAGACAGGTGCTAGGGGGTGGTTGAGATAAACGGTCCAGGTCATGATGACGCAGATGCGTCTTCATGTCTCGCAGTCGGACAAATTTGTTGCAAAGATGGCATTCCGTCGTGCGTCCGCCGTCGACCAGTTCATGAGGAGTGAGCTCAGAGACTAAAACTTCCGGGTTATCCATTTCGGGGTCCGATTCGCCCTTTTGAGGAACTACGAGGTGACAGAACCGGCATAAAATTGGTTTTCCTGGGCAGACTGTAGTGCGGTGCTGAGCAAGCCGTGGAAGACCATCCGTCTCGAAACCACAGGCATGGCATTTATATTGGTCGTGGAAGATAGTGTCGTGCCTTTGCTTGCTCAACAAGTCACTACCATACAACGAGTCATGGGCACAATGCCAATGGTTCTGCCATTCTGGCGAAGTTTTCTGAAACACGTTGCGGCATTGAGCACAAAACACATTATTTCGGAGACAAAAGTTCTCATGCAATAGCAAGCTCCGGTGAGGTACCCATTGATGACAATTCTTACACCGGACATCTTCCGGGTCATGTGTCGCTGAAGCGTCGTCTTCTAAGAGCTCATTACCATCAGCAGACAAATCTGCTGCCAGATGCAAATTAAATTGCAGTGGCCTTGATTGATCAATCCCTATATCTTGCGGATGGTGGGCGAAGGCATGCACCGATATGTACAAAGCTTCTGCTCCATCGAGTTCCACGTTCGTCGGCTGGATACTAATTCGCTTCAGAGGGCTACTGGAGAAGTCGCCAAAGACATGCTCATCCGCCCTAGGTCGATTCCTCTGCCGCGCAGAAAAAGGACTGGCGAGTAGAAAGACACCTGCAAGGTCTGTACTTTCGATCTCAAGTACTAGCTCAATAGGACTCTTACAGTCCCAACTGTGAAGCTCATAGTCCACGTACTGACCTGGGATCACCTGGCCAGAGACCGACTCTCCAAGTCCCAGCGCCCCGCCAATAGAGGTTCCCGCATTTGTCCCCGGTGGGCGAGATGCCTTGTCCAATCGTCGCTGCAGCGTTTCCCTAGCTTGGTCTTCAGTCAAAGCCACGATGTCAACTTCCAGGTCCGTATCCACTACACAGATACCATCGCCCTCAGGCTCCACCTTATCGACCAAAAACCTGAAAGATTCATCCTGACCTCCTGACACTGTTAAAGATTCTCCGGTAGTTAATGTGGTGTAGTTGTCACGTAGGTGACGTTCGAGCAAAGCCTTCCAATCCTCGACATCATAACCGGCTTCAAGAGGGCGCAGGCGAACATAGGTGCCTCTAGGTAGCTGCTTCGCATGAACTGTGACAGTAAGGGGCTGCGGCTCAATCGATGGGACGGAAACGCCTTTCACTCGGTCGACTGCATCAGTCGGCGACAAGGGAGGGTCATTCTCGGCCCCAAGAGCAGTACGCAGGAAAGCGCTGAGACTGATCTCATTTTCCTCGGCGGAGAACTCCCGGATCCCAGCGTAGACGGCACGACCATTCTGGGGATTAACGACACGGAATGTAAGAGGATGGGGAAGTTGATGCTGACGGCTTACAACCTGCTCGCGTACTCGAGACTCGGCAGTGAATGTATAGGGGTTTAACGGGTCAAAAATAGAAGTGTATGGACGAAGATGGCCATCTGAGGTCACCTCCTTGAGTGGCGCAGCGGCCAGGAGCTGTTCAAGAGCCGACTGGGGGAGTGTGATCTTATCTCCGGGAAGTTTTGGCGTGAGTCGAGAGGCAACGACAAATTGCGACGACCAGTGCAACGGCTCCGGCATCTCAGCCATGATTCTCTCTCGCTCTCGCCTAGTGGAGAACGCGCCAGTAAGGTTGAAGGGAGTGAAAGCGGGAGGGACGTAAAGCCATCTTTAAAGACCCGATGATAATACTGTGGAGACGTTGAGACGAAAGAGCCGCCGCGGTTGTTCTGGAAGCTACCGGGTTGCGATTTGTCATCCTCCCCACAAACGAACAACTACAAGAGTCTATACAAACTTATGGAAGAAAGAGAAGGGCAAAAAATATGAAAAAAAGTTGCATTCAGAGGTGATCAGGAGGAAGAACGATCACAACCTTCAATGTCCAGAGAGGAAATGGAAAGGCGAAATACTACTATATATACGGAAAGCATAGGTAGCAGCAATATAAGAGTACATCAAAAATCATTCTCCATTGAGGAACAAGACAAATGACAATAACAAGTGTCACGAAGGTATACTATTCAATAGATCTCTCTCATTCGGTGGCGTGTACTTGTGTTGCACCAGTCGCACTAGAAGGCCACTTGTTAGTCCGAAGCTCTGGGCTTATGGGGCGAATCTAGCTAGTACCATTGTTGAAGAACATCCCTCATTGTGTTCAATGCAATAATCTCCTTGGCAGTTCTGGCAAGTACGTTGACAGTCCATCTTACACGCAGCACACTAAGTAAGATCTCAGACAAGCAACGCGCATTGATTCGTCATGCACAAGCAAACTACTTACCGTCGGTCCACACTCCCAGCAATCTTTACTTACACCAGGTCCAATTCTCTGCAAGATAAGGAGTCAGCGGATACCCTGTTTCAAAGGAGAGGAGTTCACATACCCTTCGCTCCGGAGGCGAATCGACATCTGAATCGTTGCGCCTACTACGGACTGCGGTTTGATGTGGGGACAAATTCGTCCTCACATGCTCAGGGTGTGGCAAGCAGCTAATACAGAACCACTTATTGCAGCGATGGCACCATCGATTATTCAAGCACTCAGCACAGCGGGCAACTAAAACAGGGTGTTCGTCTGGAAAAAGGGAAGGGCACTTCGCCGCTACAATTGAGGACGAATGGAAGGGAGGAGGCGTAAGCAAAGGGAAATGCTCGTCCGGGGATTGTCCCCAGATGGCTGGGCCTTCTGGTGAGGTATGGCAACCATCACACCCACTGGGGCCCAAAGCAACGGTGGCAACTTCTGGTCCTAGAAGTCGACCTTCTGGCTGAGATCCCCCCTGATTATCGGATGTGGGTGTATAGAGGTCAGCGTTGTGTCGAGGCCCCCGACACAGCACTGCATCGAAAGCGATGATGCCTTCACACTTCTGGATAGTATGAGCCCACTCACTCTCGATGGTTCGATTGAAGAGTCGTCCTGATGGCCTGTACCACGCATTCTGACGATACATGGAACTCTCGTGGTGAGGATCATCGGTGGGGGTCATTTCTTCTGTCGCAGCTCTGCCACAGGGTTCTCGACCAGCGCATCTGGAGCTCCACCAGTCACGATACTTACTCCGCACCATGTTTTGGGCATGGTTTACTGGCGTAAAATGATAAATACCCTTTACCCGCGGGGTTCCTTTAGGGCGCTCGGGACGGGCCGCGTACTGAAGTATTTGCATTAGCTTGCGTTCGTTGAGATGGCGACAGTCCCTTATAGACAGAATGTTGATATTAAACCGTTCCGTTAGGACAATATCGGCTACCAGATCAGCTGGGACTGAGAGACCATCCAAAACCAACGTGCGCACGTCCTGTAGGATCGACCTCTGCTCCAAATTCGCAAATATCCTTCTCAGAGGGCCGGAGTAGAACTCATCCTCGGTCAAAGTTTCATCCAGAAGTTCATTTCTTCTTGTGTCTCTAGCCGGACCCACAGGCAGTGTATTGATCATCTGAGCACCATGGCATTGGGTCAGGTCGAGATGGCGGAAAATGTATGGAGTCTCTATGATCATGATTCTGAGGAAACGCGAAGTTGATGCCAAAGCGAGCAGAGATGCGGCCGAGAGGTATGGGGCCATGCGATCGAGGACCAGGCTGTTTGACAAAACGTCGACCAACGAAGTCCGTCTCGGAGTGCCTTGAGACTGTTCAAAGAGCTCCTCGGTTTCATCATCACCTGACTGCAGTTCACGAACTACGGGGACTAATCCCACTTCCTTTGGTGACAATCGGCGAGCACCGTAAAAGAACTCAGGAGCTCGACCGATGAGGTGTTCACGATAGGCTGCCACAGCGCCAACAGCAAATTCGTCACCTTGCATCGATATGGCTGGAGCATTTGGCTGGAGCTCTCGGAGTGCAGCCCTAGCCTTGGCCAGCTCCGTTTCCAATAGGCTAATAGTCGACTCTAGAACAGCGGGCATGGCGTTGAGATTACCGGGATCGACGGCAGTGACCAAAGTGGACCATAGCTCGCCTTCAGGCGCGGGCATAGTATAATGTAGACACGAAGATATGAAGTATTGAGGAATGGAGATGGGAAGCGGGTGGACGAATATCAAATGAGGCGGGAGCCGATAGGGCTTGGAGAATGTCCAGATGGTTTGAAAGTGACCCAGGTATGTAGATAGATAGGGTGAGCGAGAGCAGCAATGCGAAGGGAAGGCAAGCTGACAACCAGTGGCGACTCTGCAGGAGATAAGTCGGAGTCTCCAAATTGCAAGCAACGATGGCTGAATAAATATTAGCTATCACTGCTGAGGAGGGGGGGGATAAAGGTCTCGTAAGGCGCCGTGTACAACTGAACAGAACCAAGTGGAGCCAACAATGCAGTGCCAACTCGACAGGAACGGGAATGACCAAAAGAGCAAGTCCGGGGGGAGACTAATTGGGAAGAAGACTAATTGGGAGGAAGACCTTAGGCTAAGGGGATAATGATGAACAAGGGATTGATAAGCTGTGTTCTGGAAGTCAATAGAAGAATTTACAGAGTTAGAGTAGTTAGTTTATTCAGTTAGTAGCGAAGAGTAATAGTGTTTGTAGATGGACAACCAAGTATCTCATTTATATTCTTGGGTAGAGAGAGAGAGATGGATGGGGAGGTGACACAAGGACAGAGAGGTAAGGAGGCGCCTCCTTGACAACGGAGAAATTGACCTGGCCATGGAGAATCTGCAGAGTAATCACCGCCCAAAACAATAATAGCAGTAGTAGTAATAATAGTAATAGCAATACGGAGTAATAATAATAAATAAAAAAAAATCTTGCTACGTGTATGTATAAGTACACAGTATAGACAGGAAGTAAGCAAGCCGGGGGGGCTCGGCTGGAACTAGCCCGTTCTGGAGAAAAACCATAATCGACTAAGCACTCATGGACTGATGGACTGATCTGGCAATTTAATTCAATGGAGGTGGATTCCGCTGCGCGGGCCAAGAGTTAGCGGAAGACGGGACGACATGATTCCAGCACCTCCTTGTACTTAGTAACTTGGTAGGCATGTACATACATAGTGTGAGAGATTCACCGCTGTATCCACTTGGCTTAAAGGTCATCGGATCTGGACTGCCCCACTTCAGCCGGGAATCTGGGAATAAAAAGAAAGGATCCGCTGGTCACGCGCATGTCAAACTTCTTTGCCACGACGCGTCAACTAGAGATCATTCGGTCCATTAGATTATGTGGAATTGTTAGGACCTAGATTGCCTCTTGTACTTTTGGTAAAAGGCTCAGTTAGGGGAGAGGTGTGTCTCCTTAGCATCTTGGTCAAGCCCTCAGACCAGGCTATCTAGTTATAGATATAGTCGTATGTATAGAGTACTGGACACTGTAAGCTGAAATGCCGATCATTTAGGCCTGCCAAGATTCGTAATTCGTAGAGGGAATGCTTTAGCGAGAATTATAAATATACTTCTTGCTCTGTACAGTAGGTCCAAACAAAACCCTGACCACCCCAATGGGATGGCCATTGGACAACCAACTGCTCTCCTAGACCATTGATGCTATCTGTAAATAGCGGCTATGAGGTTGACGGTAGACGAAAAACTCGATTGATCCAAGAAATATGTTATTAAGGAACCTATGATTCTGTAGAAAACAGCACACCTCACTTCATTGGGGTAAGAATCGTCTCCCTTATATTGGACATATATCTGAGTTCTCAAGGCCACAGGTGCATGGATACAAACAGGAAGCGGAAATACCTCCGCCTTGTAATGAGCTAAACTAGCTGCGTGTCGGGTGAACAACGATAGAAGGATACCAAAGCAGCAATTTTGATTATGCTCAAACAATAATGATACATGTCGCTCATGGTCTCTAAATTTGAACTATCTTCATTCCTTGATTCCCTAACTATTTGAAAAGTTTGGAAACAGCAACCTCCTTGTCATCATGTTTGTTGAGGATTTTGGCAGTTGCAAGGTCGAAATCCTCTTGCGTAACATGAACCCGTCGTTCCCGGAGAGCATACATTCCCGCTTCGGTGCACACACCCTTCAACTCTGCCCCAGAGCAGCCATTCATTTTCTCCGCAATCTTCGTTAGATTGATGCCTCGCGTGAGGTTCATTGACCTCGAGTGGATTCGTAAAATATCCGCACGAGCCTCAACTCTATTGCCAGGAATAATGAGTCAGCAAGTAAACAGTCCACGTCAATTCCTAGTAACCAAAGGAAAGTGAAAAAAAAAAAAAAGGGGGGGGGAGAGTGGGCGGAGAGCGGATCTTACGATGGAGGTGGAAATTCAATCTTCCTGTCAATTCGCCCTGGACGTAACAACGCTGGGTCTAGGATATCAAGCCGGTTTGTAGCCATAATTATTTTGATATTCTTGGTAGGTTCAAAGCCGTCCAACTGGTTGAGTAGCTCCAGCATAGTACGCTGCACCTCCGAATCACCGGAGCCTGCTGAGTCTATCCGGCTAGATCCAATACTGTCAATCTCGTCCATGAAAATGATACTTGGAGCGTGCTCTCGAGCCATCACAAACAACTCGCGCACCATACGACTACCTTCACCGATATATTTTTGCACGAGCTCAGACCCGCTCACCCTAATGAACCGACAATCTGTATGATGAGCGACTGCACGGGCAAGTAGCGTTTTGCCAGTTCCTGGGGGTCCATATAAAAGCACCCCTTTAGGTTGTGCAATACCAAGAGATTCGAACAGCTCCGGATGCTTTAGACCAAGCTCAATGACTTCCTTAATTTCCTTGATTTGTTGGTCTAAGCCGCCAATCATGTCGTAGGTGCTATCGGGCACCTTTTCAACCATCATAAGCGACACAAGGGGGTCCACGGACGAAGGTAACATCTTTTCCAGCTTATAGGAATCCGAAAGCAAAGCAACTCGCTTGCCAACAGTCAGCTTCCCGATATCAACACCGTCTGCAATATCCACAACTGTGAAAACACGGATTGGGTCAGCAACAACTGAGCATGCCCGAGAGTAAGGTCCACCATGGGATGAATAATCTCACCATATTTGCCTTCTGGATGCACTTTAACTAGAACCTTTTTAGTGCTCATCACTTTCACCACCTCACCAACGTAAGAACCGGGCTGTTGCAGCAAGCCGAGCTCCTCACGGAGTAGGCGCACTCTCGAATTATAGTCGTTGCGCTGCGCTTCCAGCCTCCGTAAAACGGCTTGTCCATGAATAATCTCGAGCTTCATGCTCTCTATCTTATTGCGGTAGTAGTTGTCGAGTGCCATAATGGGCAGCAGAGGATGGCGCTTCTTGCTAGTATCCAGGAAACAAGGTCTTCCAGGAGATATCCAACGCTTGGGAAATGTCTAGAACCCCAAGTGTGGCTGCAATAATGGCAGTATCTAAATATCCGAAGCGAAAGGAGCGAAAATAATTAAGAAATTTTTTACAGGCAGTAGGAATGCAGAGACGCCGAACACCTGTAAGGTTGTGGTTACGGGTAGGAAGGTAAGATAGTTAGCTAGCTTAATAGTTAAGTTAGGTTACAGAGCATCAGCCACAAGGCTCGGGGATTAGTCACACTAATGACATTTAGTTACTACCCTGTAGGTAGTTATACCAAGATACCATTTATTACACGTATCTCTTGCCGTAGTGCTACAGACGGAGTACAAGTGTCCTAGATAATTAGTATATGCCTCTAGTGCTGATGCTGACAAGGCATTTGATTCGTACTATCTAAGATATGCTGAACCATTGTTCTCTGCCACATTTACCCCAAGTATGTACTTTGTTTGCCGTACAAAAAGACCAGTTCTTATCAAAACATATCTCCGTAAAAATAAGCGATTCAGAGTACACATTGTTGTGTTAGTTTTACTATTGAATCCTCACGTCCCTTCTCTCACTAGTCCACGAGGCCTGATACCTCAGCTGACTGCGGGGAGTGGAAGACGGATCTCATGATCTAGTTAGGGCGTTTCTCTTTCCTTTCTGTCCTCAATCACCCGTCTTTCACGCCTCCCTCTCGTCCTATGCAAGCCGGCCCAATACCTGGAACGATTCTTTAGGACCGGTTGCAATATGTAATTTGGACTTGCAACACACTTATTTACTGCCCTTGTTTCGAGTGCAGATCACTTTTATATATATTTTTTTTTGTCCTCGTTTTCCCAGTTAATTTCTTTGGCCCTATTAATTTCTAATCCCTCGATAGACACGTCGGGGAGATAATCAGAGTGCCAGGAAAGCAGCGGACGGTACATAGGATAACAAACAAGGAGCAGTGAGACTTGATGGACAGCAGCCAGGGAGCAGACCATTCCCCGTTGGGTCCGCCATTCGCCGCCAGTGCAGAAAATGAAAACATGTCCTCTGGGACTCTACGACGATCGAGAATTACTGGTCATTCTAGAAGAAGCTATGGTGCGACACCTCTATGTGCTGAAGTTCGGGTATTATAATTAGTGGCTTACGAAGTTGTCTTCTGCAGGCACGATAGATCCTTCTGAAAGGGTGAGCTCTGAACAACATCCAGGCGAAAGTCAGCCAGAGATTTCAAGCCGCGCTATTTCTACACCTTTCCAGTCCGATAGACCAAGAAAGCCACCTGTGACACGCCGCATGTCTTCTAAACGGCAGGTACCCCATAAGGGACAGGAGTTCTCTACCGACGATGATGTCCAGGAAGTTGAAGAGGATATAGCTATTCAGCAGGCAACAAACCCTCAGCCTTCGCCAAGAACTCGCCCTTTAATAAAGCAGAATTCAACAATCCGGCGGAGGGTTAGCGCACGCGTCGGAACATTTGCGCAAACAGATTCCGATCAGGATAGAGAGAACGAATTCGGCTTGCCAGAATCTGGTCTAGAAGACTCTGGGGTCGAGTCCTCCTCGAAGCAGCCGGAAGCAGAAACCCAAGCTGGCGGAGAAAGCGGTTCAGACGATGGTTCAGACGACGAGGTGACCAGTGATGCAGAAAGTTTCACTCTGAAAGATCGTCAACAAGCTATCAACGAAACCCACCCATTCGGAATCAGGCTGTGGAAACCTGCATTGTACAAGAAAAGTCGTTCAGTAGAAAAGACTGCTGAAGGAGATATACACTCGTCTCCAGGGGGACGGGTGGGAAATATCCTTATTCTAACCAATCTACTGTGGACTATATTTTTCGGATGGTGGCTTGGCCTTGCGGCTCTTACAGCTGCTATCGCTTGTTTTGCCTTTGCCTATTCACCCAGTGCCGTGGAATATGGGAGAGTCTTTTCTGGACTTTCCTGGTATTTAATATACCCTTTTGGCTCCTTCGTACGATTAAATAGCGATGAAAATTATGCAGAAGAAGATGAAGGTGAAGGTCGCAGCATCAGCGAGTATGAGCAATGGCAGAACGGCGACCTAGAGTATGGTAGGCTATTTTTCGGACCCCGTCGCAATCAGTCTCTTGTTGGGAGAAGGCGAAACAGTGTCGATTCGGCCAGTGAACAAGAAAGCCTTCTAGGCCGAACACACAGGGGCAATGCGCAAGAAACCCCCATAAGCCATTCTAAACGGCGTTTGTTTGGCCGTGGAGAGTGGACTCTAGGTCGCGTTGTGTTCTTCGTATTCTTCTATTTCCTTGTTGGGCCCTTGATGCTCTTGGTGTCTCTACTCTGCTGGTTCCTCGTCTTCTGGATTCCAATGGGACGCGTGACCATAATTTTGTTTGATCACCTTCGTCGTCATCCGCTAGCTTTATCGTACCATTCTGACACAACATCTACGCGTCTCAGTCCTGGTTCCTCTTCGTCCATCCTGTTATGCACTTATCGGGCTGCTGGTTTAAGATATTGGAAATACACAGTGGGCGGGACCAACATCTTCTTGATCAACCTTCTTGGTGTCGTCTTATTCGTGATCTTTGATTACTTTCTCCTAGCTAAAACTCTGAATGTTCAGAGTTGGTTGACGCATCCGGGTCTAATTTTTACACTTGCACTCGTTTCTATCATCCCTCTAGCTTATTTTATTGGGCAAGCTGTTGCCTCGATTTCCGCACAATCGTCCATGGGCATGGGTGCGGCCGTCAATGCATTTTTCTCGACAGTAGTCGAGGTTTACCTCTACTGCGTGGCTTTAACAGAGGGGAAAAGTCAGCTTGTCGAGGGCAGCATCATCGGCAGTATCTTTGCAGGTGTCTTGTTCCTTCCCGGATTGTCCATGTGTTTTGGTGCTATCAAGCGCAAGACACAACGTTTCAATGTGAAATCTGCTGGAGTCACTTCCACGATGCTAATGTTCGCTGTAATTGCTGCGTTCGGTCCCACGCTCTTTTACCAAATCTATGGCAGTGTAAGTGTCTATATGCAACTTCAGCTATTTTGAATGCTTATAATTTGGCTAGCACGAACTCAATTGCCGGCCATGCTTCAGCGCGGAATCGGGCAGCGGTGATTGCCGCCGTTGCTACTTCTCCCAAGTCCCTGCCGTTAATGATAGTTTCTTTCGAAAAGCCGTGCAACCTTACTCATGGTTCGCGGCTCTGTTCCTCTTTCTATCATATATCATCGGGCTATGGTTTACACTCAGGACCCATGCCGCCCTCATTTGGGCTACAGAAGCCGAGGAAAAAAAAACCGCGGCCTTTGCTCATGAGCAAAGCCCTTATGAACCGAGGCATCTCCTCTTTCAAAGCGGACAGTCAGGACTTCCTGGTGGAACTGCTGGGCCAAAAGGATCAGTTCGCGACTCTCAACTATACAAACGGATCCTAGGGCAGTCTCTAAAGCACGTTGGCTTGTCAGATGTCGCAGCTGAATCTGGTACAGACCAACCCGAACCAAGTTCCACGCGTGACATGAATACAACTCCCTACCTTGTTCCCCCTCGAACGGAGGGCGAAGCTAAATGCCCAGAGTTCAAAGACTTGAGAGGCATGTCTGGCAAAGAGAACGAGCATTTGATGCGCCAAGTAACAGAAGTCGCAGCAACAGCTGCAGCCGTTGCTGCCCGTGATGCCGCTCGACCTCGGAAGCCTTCTGTCCAGCACTGTACGCTGCGTCAAGGAAGTAAAGGGTCCACAGATCCCATCAAAACTATGTTAGAGGAGCATGATGATGTCGGGCTTGAATGTAGCCACCCGGGCGGTGGACATGATGCACCTAACTGGAGCAGATCTAGAAGCTCCATTATCCTTCTGGTGGCCACTATCCTCTACGCAGTTATCGCCGAGATACTCGTCAATACGGTGGATGTTGTACTGGAGAGTGTCGATATCGATGAGAAGTTCCTTGGAATAACTCTATTTGCTTTGGTGCCAAACACCACAGAGTTTTTGGTAAGTTAATCTTTGTTTCATGCAAATTTAGATTACTTATATACAATATGGTAGAATGCTATTTCATTTGCTATGCATGGCAACATTGCACTATCCATGGAAATTGGTTCCGCATATGTGTTGCAGGTTTGCCTTTTACAGATTCCTGCCTTGGTTCTCTTCAGCGCCATTTATGCACATTTAATAGAACCAGCAGAACTCCTATCAAGGTCATTCAAGTATGTCTCTTTCCTTGCTTTGCTTTCTATTTTTTTTTTTTTTTTGTTCACTGTATCGAACAGAACAAGCTGATCTTTTGTAGCCTAATCTTTCCTCAGTGGGATATGGTTTCGGTTATCCTTTGTGTTTTTCTTTTATCATATGTACATGGAGAAGGAAAGAGCAACTATTTCAAAGGTTCTATCCTGGTACTCACATATCTTGTGGTGGTTATTGGTTTCTATTTGTCTGGTTATAGTAACATGGATACCATGAGTATTGATCGCTTCGATACACTGGCACTAGGTTCCAGCAGCTCCGAGAAATTCCACACAATCGGCAGGTCAAGAAGCGGCCTAGCCTTCTAGTCCATGGAAGGGGGGCGCCCGGGGAGGCTCGGAGGGACTTTTGTTGAAGTGCTAAGACCGTTGAACTGAAAACGCTAGCTTGCAATTTCACCTGTTAAGGTACTTTTTAAACGGAGGACCCATGGTTCAAAACTTTCATCTGTCAAGCGTGTGTTGATTGGTGCTTCCTAGAAGTTGTTCTTGTCTTCTAGAGCATTGACCTGTATGACTGGGACTACAATAATGTTTATTAAATTCAGAGGCATTCTATTTCTATCCAGAATAAATACTCATAGTAGAGCGGATAATGACAGGAATCCGAAAGTATGACAGAATCCATCCACACTTCAACAGTCATTATTATTGCTGTTAGAATAAACCAATTCCTCGCACCTGTGTATGGTGATATGTTAAATAACCTTCCAGGAGTTCACAATTTGGTCAACCTGGGCCCGGTATTCTTGCTGCTTATGACACTGCTCGAGGAAGACCCTATATTTGACGTCAAGTAGATTTTTCTCGTTGACATTGTCCGTTGGTACTATTTTCTTTCCAGGTTTGCTCATACGATCCATAATTTCCCACAGATCTTCCGTGACGCCATCAGTATCGGCACTGGCAGCCTTGGCGCCGAGCATTGCTGCACCATGACAGACGGCAGCATGGATGTATCTAGGAATAAGAACTGGCATATTGCAAGCGGATGCAATGAGCCTCACCAAAATATCATTTTGACATTGAGATCCGGACATAAAAATGGACGTGATGTTGTGACCAGCCTGATTCATGGTCTCAACAATCTGGCGAGTTTGCAGGGCGATGAATTCGAGAGTGCCATAATAATAAACTGCAAGGCCGTCCACTGTTTTGTCACTGGTAAGACCTACCACAGAGCCTGTCATTCCTGAGTCTGCAATGGGTGAGCGATTACCCCAAAGGTCCCCATAAAAAAAGAAATGACGACCCAAATAGGAGACAGTTGGGGCTTTTTGCTCATGGGCCATTTCTTTCAGGTGCTCGTTTAAGTATTCATAGATGTTGGCATTGTATGACTCTGCGATTGATACCGCCTGATTGAAAGCAGGATGCGTCTCAATCACATGTTTGAGTAGTTCGCCCGTGGCTGACTGGCCCCCTTCAGCCATCCAGTAGCCTGGTTGAATCGTATCACGATAGGGACCCCACACGCCCGGGACAAATACAGGATTAGGGGACATTGCTAGATGACAAGTGGAGGTCCCGGCGACAGCTGCAAGACGGGAGAAGGCCTGGGTCTTATCGTTTGTAGCGACATCCGAGCTCAGTTGTTCAGACTCCAAATCGACTTTGGCGCCGACGGTACCAATCCAACCTGCGTAAGCATCGATAACACCACTGCCTATAGCAATTCCAGCAGGAAGACCCAAATCAGCAGCTGCTCTATCGCAAAGTGTTCCGACCAATTCGCCAGCACTAAGATAATCGCCGTTCTGATTCTTGGTTAGCAGTCAAGAATCCAAAAGGGCGAGTATATCCAATAGGTCAACGCAGCTACGTGAAAGAGGGGATCTAAGAAGAAGAAAAAGGGCTCACCACCCTATCAACTCCTCCGACTCGCAAAAAATCATCCTTGGCTAAATCCCCAAGGCCAATTTCTGTCAAGAAATCTTCCTGCCAACCTTTGACGCTTCCATCCACACCAACAGGGACATAACCCTGCTTACAGACGACACTACAAAAACTTCTCTTTTCGTTGCCAGTTGCAATATGAGTAAGCGCATCAGCTAGGTCATAGAACTTGCACTGGTCGAAGAGATCCTTGGGCATGTAATTCTTCAACCATAGAACCTTGGGGATCTCCATTTCGATAGACATCTTCCCACCTACATAACGGAGAAGATTGTGATTTGTGGCATTTATCTTTTCAGTTTCCTCCACAGGGCGATGGTCCAGCCAGAGGATGACATTGCGATCTGAGTCAAAGTTGGGACCTGTAACGGATATTGGTTCATCTGTAACATTGGAGAACACTGATAGTGAGCAGGTTGCATCAAAACCGATGCCTCTTACGGTGTCTGGGTCGATATTGTGTTGGCTGATGGCACGGTGGACGGCAACACAAATGCAATGCCAGATATTGTTTGTCGATTGTTCCTATCCAGAGCTGTCAGCAAGCGCTCAAGGCGATAGCTGAAGAAGGATGTGTCAAATGACAAGTCATACGTAGTAACCCTGTTGAGGCTGCCAAAGTCCGATATTCTCGGATGCTAATCCAACAATGTCACCTCTACCGTCGATAATACAGGCACGGGCGCTTCCAGTTCCAACGTCGATGCCGATATAGTGATCTATGTGGGGTTGGATATCTTCCCGGGCATCCCTCAAGGCCTGTCGAGATGGGCGGCGATAGGGCAGTGAAGTCGTAGAAGTCATGGTGAAGAATTAGGAGAGAATATACGATGGTAGGGACAAATTGTGAGGACGAGGGAATCTTCTTGAAAAATCGTGGTGGCACTAGGAGCTAGAGAAGAAATAATTGTAGATTATGCCCAGAAGTACCAGAGTAGGTGTTGACGAAAGCAGCAGCTTTTGGAAGTTGATGTTACCGTCACAACGCCGGGTTCGATATCTCTGGTATCTTTGGAGACAATTAAGCAGCTACCCCAAGTATACTAAGGTAGATAAATATGCTGTCGTCGACCCAATTCTTCCGGAGGAGTACCTTCCGCAGGTACAGCTGTCAAAGCTGGGAAAGGGAAGGGCAAATCAAATCAAATCATGACCTCATTTCCGCAGTCCCCGTCTTACTCGGAAAGGATGAATATGGGTCCGCCAAGAAGCAGTCTATTTCCTGATTCTTTAGGTAACGTATTTTATCAGCGAGCGGTCCCGGTCACCCTGCATACCCCAATCAACTCTTGATCATTTTCAACCACCAAAATGGCTACCAAAACGCGACATTTATCTCTTTCAAATGAAGACACGATATTGCCTGCAATTTAATCAATAAAATCAGGTCATATTCAATCGATTTCAGCCGCAGCTAAGCTTTATGGAGTGCCTCGGACAACGCTAAGCGCCTGATTAATGGCCGCTCTCCACGCGTTGGTTCAACACCAAACAGTATAAAATTAACACCTATACAGGAAAATAGCTTAAATGGTTTCTTAATACTGATTAACGTGGGCTTTCTCCTAGAATCAAGACTGTACGTGATATGGCCAGTATTCTTATAAAAACCTTAATCAGAAAACACAAGTCTCCTGCTTTATTAAGTCTTACAAAAATATTAAAATACACGCGCAGTTATGGAAGCTATACAGCTACAGAATTTAATTATTTTTACACAAAAAATAAAGCAATATTGCTTTTCCCCTTACCCCTCCCACCTGCTCCAACTATTTAATATTACTTATTTCAGGCTATTAAATATGTATATAGTAACTACGTACTGTTACTAGTAGCTTTGCAGCTGCAGGTTTAGTTCTATACAAACCTAAAAAAAAAAAAAAAAAAAAAATTACTAGACAAGCTATATTTCCAATCTACTACAAGACCACCCTTATTATTATCAAGCATTTAGTTATCAGATTGGACTTCTTAAACACCTTATATAACCAAAGAGTTAAATAGACAGTTAGGTCTTGTTTAAAAAAAAATACAGCAGCAGTGTACAACAAGCTCCCAAGCCCATACTAATTTAATTAGCATTTAATAAGATTACTAAAAGCTTGTGGAATTTAAATGGAAGCTGGCGTCCTTATTAGGCACAAAATAGGGCAACTGCAGGAAGCGAACACTTTTATAAAGTAAATCGTGATACAAAGAAGACTTATAAGTTCAGGAGGTATTAAGATGGAGAAAAAGGTCACAAGCGTGGTTAAGAAGCTGCTTAATTAGATAAGGTGATAGACAAGGATTTAAAGCAACCATGGAAACCCCCCCCCCAAAAAAAACCACGGTGTAATATATGCGGAATTTAGGGATATAATCAGGTAGTATATCCTTTTAAATTCAGATAATTTTATTAATATTTTTTAATTAATTTTGAATGCATGTTTTAGTGGCCATTTGGTGGTTAAAAATGATCGAAGGTATGCAGGGTGACCGGTCGGTGATAAAATACGTTACCATACTACATAACGTAAGGTACAGTAGGTAACATGTACCTAGCCAGTCAATGTAAAATCATCACCTTCCATCCAGATGCTTTCTTTTTGAACTGGGCCACTGCGTCTTTCCATCAGCGCCCATTCAACATGCGTCCCTCCACCATCGTCCTTTCCGTTATCTCGGTGGTTTGCCCTGCCTCTCTCGCCAAGTCTCCAGTTTCTACCACAACAGATGTATTCTACTGGCCCCCTTTGGCTCCCGAGCCTTCGGTTCTCGCTCGCATCTCCCACGATCCGATCACTTCCTCCAAGCCCGAACTAATATCGTACTCCCCTCCAAATCCCACATCCTCCGAGAATAAGAAGACTCAAAGTCCAATTGACCAGGATACGGTCCAGATTGGTCTATATATCCCTACCGCAAAGTCCAAACGATGGGTAGGCACCCTGACCTCGCTTTCCGCTCTGTCGGGGTCCCGAGAACATAAGTCAATTCTCCGGCTTCACTTGAACCCTTCCAATGAGATTTACCATGTCTCCTTAATCCCATCTTCCACTTTGACCGTTTCCTCAACCTCAACTGGCCCTATCGTCGAGCTTGTCCCCAGTGAGCCTGGTCCTCGTCCACACCTTAACCAGCCCATCGTGGTTAGCCCAGATGGTGCAGGTCCCGAAGAAGTCTCTGAGAAAACCCTCTTCCAGAAGTAGGTGTTTGTCTTTTAACTCGTTCCTCCAAGTTTGGTACCAATTATTTTCGTGCCGATGACCACCCTAACATGAGTTGCTTTAGGTATTGGTGGGTCTTTCTCATCATCACATTCTTGGCCTTGTCTGGTGGCAGCGAAGGGCAATAAGGGTATTCACCATCATCATCCGCTCAGATATAATCGGACAGTTTATATTGATATTCATATTATCGACCCATATCATTCCTCCAATGCCATTGTTAAGGCACTTCTCTACGCACGTCTTAGGATATGTCGTACCCTTGGCTATCGGGGTCTAGACCTCCGTACCGGCTATTTACACTTCGACAATGGTTGAGGTCTCCGAAAATCCTAGTTTCACCGAACACAAACCAACGACGGCTGTAGGACTCTCATGCTACGTACATAAAGCAGCGAGTGTTTGCACTCTATCAGAAGTTGTTGGCAATAATCTTGATGATTCTGCTCCGCTGCTTCCTAAGCTGTATACCTCATAGGTCCTCCAAGCCTCAGGGTAGATAATACCTCCATTATGTATAGCATACGACATATCCATTCCATATATTCTGGGGTTGACACTATGAAAATAGTGAGACTACACATCTATAATTGAAGGACGACCTAAAGATTCCATTTATGGGTGAACATATATATAGTTCCAGATTCCACGGTATACACCTGGTTGTAGACTATGGCACCTTGGATTTTGGGTTGGGTATGGAACGAATGAACTCGATGCTGACAGTTTTCTTCCCAGAGGCAGCATGCCTAACCTTTACATATACCACTTAGCTGCTCCTACAATGTGTAAATCATCCATTAGTCTAAATGACCAACTGTTGCGTTTTCCGTTGACCTCTTCCAAATGGACCGACATCCCAGTACACAATCCCCCTGTCCGTAATAGCCACGAGTTCGTTTTCATTATGCGTGAACTGCAGCTTAAAGCAGACAGCATCCAGAGAGAGAACAATAGGCCGCAGTTCAATCATATCGCATCTTTCTGACCGTGATGAAGGTGGATAGAAGCCATTCCCATTCTGTTCAATAAGTGCGTCCGGCTCCAAGGCCCAAATATAGAGGCGCTTCCAGTTTGCCACAGCAATTCGTGTGCCACGTTTCGAAGCAGCAACTTTACAGCCCAGAGAATTAGTTGACTCCTGAAACCCCCAGAGTCGCGCAACAACTGTCCATTCCTGAAATCGCCGCCCACGCTCAAGATTCAATACATGTCCGCAATTTCGAGACTGACAGACAGATTCAGACTTCAGCAGGCAGGCGACAGTCCAATCTTCCGCACGGTGAGTAGCGACACCGAAGGAAAGGTATTTCCACCGGCATAGGGAGCGGTCGTTCTCGGTATGCGTTGAATGTGTACCAAAGAAGGGAATCGCAATAGAGAAAAGAAGGCTCTGGGAATCCGAGAACCGCACCAGACATGAGTTCTCATACAACGTGGGCTGAATGGGGAAGGATGACATATTAATCCTTTGAAACGCTCCGTATAAAGTTTCTGCCCGATAGTAATAAAGCAATTGGCTTGACCTGTCGTTAAATGCAAGGTCTATTACCGAACCCTTCTCGTGGAGTAAGTGACTTCTAGCTAACCTCGCATGAAGATAACTGTCGTCGCGTATATGTTGCCGTTCCCCGTCAACGAGGACACACGAATTGTAGCTAAGTTCTAGACCTTATTAGTATTACCATAGTAAACAAGAAAGAAAGAAAGAATGGTGGGAAGAAATCAGAAAGAGTGCATTGAGAATGCACGCATGGAGCAAACTGATCTGGAAAACGAACCTATTATTCCCGGCGCGCCATCGCCACTCGACTCAGTCAGTGCGGTGTAAAGGACCACTTCATGAATGCAAGGGTCACGAACATGCTGCCAAGATATTGCAAAGGTGTCTTTGTGGGAAGCAGCAATAGCCAAGGGCTCAAAGTCTACCTGATCCGGAAATGTACACACTCGAACAGGAGAATGAGGAAACCGAAAAGAATGGCGGGCGAGATAGAGCCGACCACCATTGGAGCTTGACTGCAGGGCCTGCCTGATGAATGGATGCCCTGTTTCTAAGTCGTCTTCGATTACAGTAGGAGTAAAGCGTTGGAGAACATAGACACCGTCGTCACTATCGAAAGCCGTTTTGAGCACCTGAATTTTCCCTGGTTGGCCCAAAGACAATTTTAATTGAGCTTTATGCTGAATGTCTCCATTCTCAGCCCGGAATAAATGGACTTCTTCTTGGTCTCTGATAACCAAAGCAAGTATTTGGTCGTCGGGGGCAAGCGAAGATGACTTAACATCGAGCACCTTTGCTCCAAATCGAAAATTTGTGCAGCGAGCATGAAATTGCGCCCCATATAGCTGCTGAAATGAACGGTCCACAAGTATCTGAAACAGCTGCTTCGACTGAAATGAGTGAATGTTTGGGTTTAACCCTGGGGTTTGATGAAGATGATGCAAGAGAGCCTCTCGACAACTGGACGCAATTTTGTAGAGAGTGCGACAAGAGAAAGCTGCCTGCAAAAAAGTGGGCGTAGTGGAATGGTGAAGAATAAGTTGTATTAGTTCCGGGGGTAGATCTAGTAGCATGGCATAAATCTCAAGTCACGCTCAAAGTAAGGAAATAAAACTCTCTCCAGCTTGCGATATTCTTGCGGATAGGTTAAATGATTCCAGAATGCAGGTTTCTTGGTGGCTGTTTTCGAATATATAGTATTGTGGTTTCATACAACTTTCTGGTGGGGAACTGTGTTAAGGCACCCACTGTTGCCTACTCCATTGTAACCTATACTTTCACATAATGACTGAAGTGAATTGAACAGATCATCTATTGCAATACCAGGATATCTGTCGACAGTTATTTCTCCACTGTTGATTGTCTAAAATAATTAAAGATCCATCCCTACCAGGCCTTATAACGGCAAATCCAACCTTCTCATTCGCATCCAAAAAATGGTCAGCAACATATGTTCTAAAAGATCTATCTTGGCCTAAACTTAATAGGCGGAGGCATTGTTAGAAGGACAAAAAAAGAAGGGAGAACATCATATTCAGTTAACAAACTTCCCAAGTGGAATGGATACATGTTTACTTGTCATACAGCTTGAAACTCTATGAAGAGGTGAGTTAAAAAATTTAGATAGGAATGTCTGAGTACACATCTTTCTGTTTTAAGAGCTGTCATCATCTTCCATTTGGGAGACGGTCCATTCTAATACACTCTCATAGCACAAGACAAATTGACTTAGGTTCTGCACCATACCAGGCCTCTGAGTACGAAAATCAGCCACGGTCTTTGCAATAAGATCTTCATTTTGTAGCCAATTATCACAGGAGCATTTCGTTGAATTGTCATGTTGATGTGCAATTCTCTCCAAGCCTTGTTGTTTAAGCATGTCCAGGACACTATCAACTGTGCAGAAAGAGCCTGTACGGCCGCATCCTGCACTGCAGTGTACCAATACTGGTCTCTGTTGTTGGAGGTTCGGGCTGTTGCTGCTGTAAGTTGTTGTATTGGCTGTTGCACTTCTCACTTTATCGCACTGTGCAATCAGTTTAAGGAGATGACTTGGCTGCGACGTGGTGCCGAAATCAGGCCAATATGGATACTGTAATTGGGTGACCTCACGCAGCGGCTGAAATGGAAAAGCCGAATGTGATAAGCTAAAATGTCTCATAATAATACAAGGACTGCCAGAATCACCAATGGAGTCTGAACAAGACTTGTCTGGCCAGCTTCCAGACTGATGTAAGCCAGGGGAATCCATATAAATGTATCTCTGGGAAAAGTTGTTGACTTGTAAAGGTCCATAATTTCCGGATTGCCAATAAGGGTGGCACTTGACCTGGCCCTTTTCAATCTCTGCAGTTAGAGAAACGACGACTTGCACGTCTTGTTCCCAGACCACACGCCAAAAATCCTATTATATCAGTAAGTTAGGCTAGATTCTGCATCACACTCCTTTTTATCCCAATCCAAATACTAGGAACGTAGTAGAAGGGGCAAGGGTGTTGAGATGATCTGTGATTTGTGAACTTACATTAAATGTATCAGGCACAGGAGCTTGTGTAGCAATATAGCGTTTGTTACTATATTCGGCTTTCATATAATTTGCATTCACATAGTCACAGTCACCGCGGGGGACATCCTGTAGCCTAACTCTGGAATGGTCGAAAGGATAGACATCATTATATCTGTTTTTTGCTCCCTTTTCAATACCGGCAACACGGTATTTGCCACGAGGGGCATCGACTGAGGTAGAATCGACAGATTTATTGTATGACAAGGCTTGCTTCATACGTTCCAGCTCCCTTTTTTCAATATCTAAAAACTTTTCAGAAACGTTCCGGCCCTTGTCTGCTGGGTCTGCCACCTCACACAGCCAAGTAGGAAGCAATTTTCTTTTGATCTCTGTGAACCCTTTAGGTAGCTGAAGAGGGATTTGACCCACACCGCCAAGAAGATCCATATGCTGGCGTATATTTCCAAAGAATGGGACAATAGGATGAGAGACGTCTGGTAAAGCGCACCCGCCAGAAATTGGAGCACCAGCCGGAAGATCGATCTGCATCGGAGACGGCTTAGAGGATACCCCAGGAATGAGAGATTTTTGTTGTACGAAAGTTGGAAATCGATTAGAGAAGGCATTGAAGCCACCGAGTAGTATCAGCCCCTCGCCATTCCACCCTTCAACTGTAAACTTTTTCAGGACGTTTGTCAATTGAACAGCATCTTTTACATCAGATGTAGCCGCATCATACACGGCGATGTACCGGCATTTTCGCCATCTCGCAAAGCTTCTCTTGTCTGACTCATCTGTGAACGTGTTTTCTAATTTTTTAGTATCAAACGAAGGGCGCTTGAGTAAAGTGGTTGGGATACAAAGATTCAATGACCCTTTAATATTCCCTTTCGCAAAATGCGCAAATGGCCTCACATCTAACAACATGACATCATGTTGGTATGATTCAAGGAGCTCTGCACAGTGCTCAGCAGAGACGGCATAGTAGTTCCCCAAATTTAACTCCAACGAAGAATTCGAACAATCTGAAGTTAGTTTCTGTTTGTTCGGATCACGGTTTAAGGTAAGTGCATAATTTGAGGATTCTTTGCGTTCGTCGGGCCTCAATGTCGCCTTCAAGACGCCCGCCTTATCGGACACCGTCTTCTTAGGTAGACATTGCGATTCTGGATTAGTGATTGAATATTGGGAGTAAAATGACGTATCCCGTTTCTTTCTCGAATTTACACAGCTGTCCACACTGATTGAGAAATAACTGGATCCGGAACCACTTGGAGCTGTCTTGGGGGATTTGATGTTGGGACTGCGCGGAGACGGATGGGGATCGTATAAAGGGAAAAGGGCCGCTGGATTCGAAGGGCCTGCGCGTTGCAGATTCGGGGACTCTGAGGGCCACGGAGAAGAGGGTGATCTTGGGCCTGAAATAGCAGACATGGTTCCTCTCAAAGATTTCCTTTTCTTATTTCATTTGATATCTTTCCTGATGGTTCGGATAGTATAATCAAATTTAGAGCCTCTTTGCCATTTCGTGAAGATCCGAAATGCTGCGCGTCTGGTTAAAGATTCCCTTAAACTTTGAGCTGTACGACAGTTGCCGAATTTTTCCCCATCAAGGCTAAATGCAATCTGATGACAATCAATGCTCTATAGAATGGAAAATAAAAGAGAGGTGGTAGGAGAAGAGGGGGTATAAGGTAAAAGGTGGTGATGGAAATAGCGTGGCGAGTACGGAGTACAGGAGATAAATTGACGTCAAAAAGCCTGCTGTCTCTCGAGGACTTCTAGTGGATATATTCCACAACCCACAAGAAAAAGGGGTGATGTCTTCCGGCACTGCAGGTAAAGTGATATATGACAAAACCCCAAGATTAGGCATTAGAAAAACGAAGGATACAAGATAAACGGTAGAAGTTCTAACCAAAACGGTGGTTGTGGGTAGTCTCATATAAGGGGAGCCGAAAATAATCGCAGAGAGGCGCTCTGTTGAGCCAATCGAGGCCTTGAAATAGGGAAAGTGGGGTGGGAGGGGCCTACCTGATATCACTGACCCACCACCGTTATCAAACATAGAATAAGCAAATTTTCTCTTCCTCCATTCTTTTGGACATATATAATGGGCAAATGAGAGAACAAAGTGATTCTTTGGGTATGACGTTATGAGGTAGGCAAACGGCGGCAAAAACGTGCAGAAAGAGGAGAAAAAGAGCCTAAAAGAAATCATGTACCTCAGCGACCGGTCTGGATCTAACCAAACCAAACAAGCAATGACGAGTGGCAACGAACCTGGACTGTTCTTCTAGGTGACTAGTTACCTAACTAATGAATGTCCACTATTAGTTAATATGGATTATCTCATCGTGTCTAACAGTTAACTAACTGGTTAGTTAACTGGTTAGTTAGATGCATTCGGAATTTCTGAGAATTAGCTTCATGCTGCCTGCTAATGTCGGGATTGGTTGCTTTTACCGATTACAGTAGGTAGATACGCCTTGAGGACGCCTATTTGCTTATACGGAGACTGCTTCGTCAGTTATCATATAACAGTTACAATTATTCCGATGGATAATATAGTTTTCATTCGGAACTTGTTTTCCCCGGCTGTTAAACTTCCCAATATCCTGTTTCCTGGCACAAGATAGCTTTATATCATTTATCTTAAGGGCGCTTCTTAGGCTGGCATGAATTAAGCAAAGTGCTAGATGGATATGTTAGTTTGGAATAGAGCCTGGAAAGAGTGGCCAGGTCCTAGGTAGGTACTAGGCGCTACTTACTGCCGAAGTAACATGATGAATACCCAACATGGAGAGATGCTTGAACACCAGTACCTACCGCCGTTTGGCTAACTTAGGGCAAGGAAGAGCTAGATTATTTACTAGATAGTGTGTGAAGGCCCAGATTTATAGTTTCCCATCGGGCTCGCCCTTGAATCTCTTTACCCGCTTCTGCTCCCAGTCATCCAGATCCTTGGCCATGAGCCTCTGCCAGCAAAAGTTAACAATTTATTTTGATCAAGTTCCTTCATAATTCAACAGCTTTTCTAACAAATATCAATACTCACATAATATTCCTCTCTTTCGTCTCCGATAATTCTCCTCCGAGGATTTCTCTTGATACCCTCTTCTCCATCCGGGCCCTTGAGACCTAAGCTCATCGCCTCCTCTTGATTTAGCTGCTTGACTTTGCGGTCGTATCGCTCATATCTCAGAGCCGTAGCTGGTGTTAAGACAAACGACCCAGCAACTATTATCATAACGAAAGGGAGACCAAACAAAAGAAAGGGATGCTTGGGAAGGCTAGTTCTATATGCTGCACCAACCCGTTCCCCAAACGAAGATGATGCATTTGTTGCCCGTCGAAATGTTTTAGCCTGAAATACAGGCATTGTCGTAGTTTATCTTCGTCACCTGATTATTTTAACAGTTGCTTGGTAGGCTGATAAGATCAAAACTTCATGGAATTCTCACTAGGTCAGGGAACTCGTTTCATGAGTGAAGGAAAATTCAGTACTTTTTTCGAGGCGAAGTAATGGACAATGCAGTCGGTGAAATATAGGTCCGACATTGCTGGATTTGGAAGCACGAACGGGAAAGGACTTTTTTTTAAATAAACAATGAACTGAGCCACAGGAAAGCAAAATATGTATTTTGAAACAGTGCCCTTCCTTGTCAGATAACAGTTTAAACTTTCAGCTGCTATTCTCCAGACTCCAACCTCTCGAGCGGTCATCATAACCAGCGTTAAGCAAAACTATCAAAGACAATCACCGAACTAACCTACGAAGTACATTCTCTTCTTCCCTTAGGACAAAAAGAAAGACCCAGCTACTCGATGGCTTCCGCGAATTCTAACACCTTGTTCGGTGGTGGTGATTTACGACCGACCACGAAAACCTCCGGTCTCTTGCCTACAAACAACTCAACAGGCGTTTTCGGGAATATTTCCACCTCACAAGCCCCGTCCAGTGCATCTGCATTTGGAGCACTATCGCAATCTCAGCAGCCACCTGCTCAGTTTTCGATGCTTGGACAGAGTCAGACGCAAGGTACTGTGACGCAATCGTCACGGTCCTCCAGCCAAACAACTCAGCCTGCATTCTTTAATAGCTTGTTGGAGCGTGGTAAAAAAAGGCCCCTTTCTGCCGTTGGACAAGGCAGCAATTTTGAACAATTGCCCAGTCTTCAGTTGGGACTTGATGATATCCGGAGGAAGGCCAGAGAGCTTGGCACTGGGGGCTCAAATGATCCGCAGTCGCATGGATCAAGCAGTAAAGCGTAAGTCAGATTGTCATAATATGTATTTATATCATCTATGAAATGTTTCTGATTTTGCTTATTGCAGCCATTACCTACTAGCAGCGTCGGGTATCTCTCCCGGTCATGCGTTTCGAGACCTCAAGGATTTAGGCTCCCAGTCACCGACGGGAGTGCGCCCAAAGGAACAGGAAGCTATATTTGATCCAGACAATCAAAAATACCTGCGATGTATACAGCAGCGCGGTCGCCAAGTGATGATTGCCGAAAGTCTCGCTCGGACACATAAAGATTTCGACGCATTCTTAGAGGGGAAAGTAGACCTAGACTGGGAGGAACAACGCCGCAAGATCTTCCAACACTTTGGTCTAACTCAAAAAAATGAAAACACCGGTGATACAAAGGGTTCATTTGGCCGGTCACTGAATCAGTCAAAACAATTCGACCCTAAATTGGCCCATATCCCTTCGAGCATGTCTCGTAGAAGTGTCTTTGGACGCTCAGGGTTGGAAAAATCGGTTATAGGAACGCCTGGAGCGGGAGCAGCTAGTCGTCAACTTTTCGAAGACCCCGCTGAACGCACCGAAGGTTCAGGTATTCACTCTTCAGACCGTCGGTTTTACCGGGAGAAGATAGGCCAATATGCAGTTAAAGTCCAGATGTTAAACTCTGCTAGGCTCAAGGCGGAAACTTTCCCCATTCTTCATGAATTTGCAGAAGTTGAAACAAATGTTGGGGGGGATGTAAGTTGCAATCCTTGCAGTAGATCTTCTAGTCAGCTAATATATTAGGTTCCTCGTCAACTTTTTGATGCTTACCGAGCCTTGATAAGCATCGTTGGAGAATCTCCGAAAGCTTCAAGTGCATCGGAAGCTGTGACAATAAAAGAGCGTCAATTTGCTGAGGAGTATTTGGACGAAGCCCCAAATTCACGCCGAGCAACGAATCTGAGAAAGCGCATCGTTGAGGGCTCTAGACTGTTCCTCGAGAACTTGTTCTATAACGAGGTTGAAAACATGATCTCTAAGAACCCTCGTGAAGCCCAGCTTGGAGGCATACCGACTGTTATTAATAAAGTTCGCGCTTATATTAGACTCAGAGCAGTAAGAAAGGACCTTGCACCTGATGGGGCTGAGCTACAAATAGTTGGCCAGGATTATTGCTGGATTCTGGTATTCTATCTCCTCAGGTGTGGATTCGTTACTGAGGCAGCAGAATATGTAAGCCAAGATCCTGGGTTCCGATCCCTGGACCATAAGTTTGTTACATATATGACAACATACGCGCAAAGTAGACGATTGCCGAGAGATATGCAACAAAGGATTAACGGCGAGTACCAGCAACGGTCCCGCAACGCTCCCGACAATACGGTTGATCCTTATCGGATGGCCTGCTACAAGATTATCGGGCGCTGTGAGCTTAGCCGCAGACGCTTGGAGGGGGTGAATCAAACGGTTGAAGACTGGATGTGGCTGCAATTTTGCCTTGCCAGAGAAGATGACCGAGCTGAGGAAGTTGCTGGTGATGTTTTTGGACTTGACGACATCCAAACAGACATAACCGAAATTGGACAGCGTGTCTTCGGCAAGGGTCAAGAGGGGCCTGGTGGCTACGGAACTTTCTTCCTTTTACAAATACTAGGGGGAATGTTTGAACAAGCCGTCTCTTACCTTGGGTTTTATGCTCCAGTTAGTGCTGTACATTTTGCAATTGCCCTCGCTTACTATGGTCTTCTTCGTGTATCCGATTTCTACACTTCTGGCGAGGAAATCTGTGAGTACTCTTACTTTTTGTTCCGCTGTTTTCTTGGGTTACTAATAGAAACAGTATCCTATACTGTCAAACAGTTTCCACAGATTAATTTCTGCTATCTTGTCACTCATTACACAAGGGAATTTCGCACGGGCTTCGTCGAAGCAGCGATTGACTACTTTTCTTTACTTTGCCTCAATGCTGACCTTCCAGGGTCATTGGGCAAGTCCCAGGCTTCTGTGTGCCACGAAGCTTTGCGGGAATTTATCTTGGAGACTCGGGATTTCGCCAAACTGCTAGGTGACATACGGTCTGATGGAACGAGAATCAAGGGATTGATTGAAACACGAATTAACTTGATCAAATTGATCAATCAAGATGAGTTTCTGAAAGCAATCACTGTACAAGCGGCGGCTGTCGCCGATGACAAAGGATTGATCACGGATGCTGTGCTTTTGTATCATCTAGCTGAAGACTATGACCGCGTTATTGATATTATTAATAGGGCTTTGTCCGATTCTGTGGCTGTTGAGTTAGGCGGCGCAGCCTTGAAGTTGCAACCTTTACGGCCACGATCCCACCTGGGGGACAATTTCCAAGGTTTGGGGCAGAATACACCTGCTGAGCCAGGCAGCAGTCTCAGCCTGACAGCAGTGGAGGATCCAGTTGTTTTGGCAAGGAATATGATCGAGCTTTATAATACAAATGCCTTGTATTACCAGCAGATTCGTCAAGTCAATCGTGACACATGTGGCTTATTGCTTCGTATGATGGAAGCAAAGGCGGAAGTCAAGGCAGGGAAGTGGACATTGGCCCTAGATGTGAGTCCCTCACTTGTCTGAATCTTCCCATTATTTACTAATAGTTAATATTGGTGCAGGCCATTAATGCGCTGAACATTCTTCCGTTGCGTGCGAGAGGCTCTGTCCCGCTCATTCGAAGTGCAGCTCAAGCATTTTCATCCTATCCCCCCATCATTTCACGTAATGTCGGGCATATTATAATGTGGAGCATTACATGCATCGGCCACGAAAGGCACCGGTTAGACTCTGGGGCTTATGAAAATGAAACTAGGCAAGGATTGGCGGAAAACTTACTCGTCATGGCTAAAGATTTAATGATTTTCTCCGGTATGGTTAAGTACAAATTACCACCAAGGGTGTATGAGACTCTTGCTCGCGCCGGGGCAGACATCGGGGCATATTAGAAGAAGTCTAATCGCAGGGGATGAGTATACTCAGTGTTTGCTAGCTAGTTAAGTATTTAAATTTAGTATTTCATCCTACTTGTATCTAACTGCTAGGGCTGAACACATTCTCCGATAGTTAGAGGATTCTTACCTGGCTCTTTGAGAGACAGTTTATGCATATGCATGGCTAGATGAATACTTTGTAATGAACAGAAGTAGGGGTCTTATTCCGCGAAATTTCCCACAATATCGCAGGCAGTGTCGATGATCTAGAAAGGCCTAGCTTCGTAGTGCCGTGGACGCATAGCTTACCTTCTAGCTAGTAGGCACAGGGTACAGTATATAAAATGATACCTAGCATTTGTGCAATACTTCCCCTTCTGCCAATGCACGTCTTGGTTGTACTAGTATCTACAACTAATATATGGCGGTGTCTGTCATATATTGAACTGAGCAGATTGGAAATTCGGATGTGGGGCGTCCCGATCCGGATCTGCGCAGGTGTCTCTGCACCATTTTGAATAAGCAAGAATCAAACATACTATGCCACTCGACATGGACTATGGACATTCCAGCACCTCTGATGCAAGCTCAAAATCATCAACTCCGTGTCCTGATATAAACGCATCTCACGAAGTGGATTCAGTGCAGGTAAAAGATGGGGTACAAGTTTCATGTGATGGAGAAGTGGAAGCAAATAGTCACGGCACCACATCTCTTGTCTTGACAACCAAAGGCGAAAAGCCTCCAAAAATCACAGAAAATGCCATTGAGAACTCTGTTGAAATGATACATGATACAATATCGCTCCGTCTCGGCGGATCAAACGGCAGTTGCCATGCCTCGTTACAAAATAGCCTGATCAACAATCCACCCAATCTGGCAAGAATACGGCAAGTGATGTTTGAGTGCAAAGATCCAATAGAGATAAGCCTTAAAGAATTTGACACATACTGGCCATTCATTGATAATGTTTGGGTTAAACAAAGGTCTAATTCCAGCAAAGAGGGTCATTGTACTACTGACTATTACATGTGTCGTCTGCGACGCCCAACTCATCGCACGTCAGAAACACGCCCTCTACCAGAGGGGAGGCGGCCTCGGAAGAAAAGAGTTCGGGAAGGCGGCATTTGCAATTTTCAAATCAAAGTCGTTAGGTTTGAAGGTGCATATTCGACAGTGACCATATCAAAGACACCTGGGAGCAGCTACGCACACTCGCATGACCTCGATTACATTGACAAAGTAAAACGAAACTCTGGACTTATGGAGTTTGCTCGGAGAGAAGCTGTTAAAGGGTATTTACCTTCGTCTATATATACAAAATTTCGGGAAGAGCCCGAGAAGCTTTTCGAAGCTGGGGGTAAATTCTGCACCGTTACAGATGTCCGCAATATTTCCGCCAAATGGAGGATACTAAACCCGGAGGTTAAGCTCATGCCACATGATGGTTATGAATATCAAAAGGGACACGGGATCGTGAGGTCAAGCGGAGACAGCAATGAAAAAAGCTTAGCAAATTCGACGCCGGCAGAGGTGAATATAAATCCACCATTACCAACAGATACATTACCATTTCCTCAATTCTCCTTACATTTCCTTGATCCTTATCTTCCTAAGCAAGATGAAAGACGCCAGCTTCCACACGTCACGTTGTCTTATGCATCCTCTATGGATTCAAAAGTATCGCTTCTTCCCGGAATGCAAACGGTATTATCAGGACCTGAAGCCAAATTAATGACCCATTATTTGAGGTCACGTCATGACGCAATACTAATTGGAGTTGGAACTGTTCTCGCCGATAACCCGGGGTTAAATTGTAGACTGGAGGGTGCTGGTGGATTTGGCGGACTTGGACGAATGTGGCAGCCACGACCAGTGGTGATAGACCCCACCGGGCGATGGCCCATCCATTCTGACTGCAGAATGCTGCGGACAGCAATGGAAGGCAAGGGCAAGGCGCCGTGGGTGGTCGTGTCTCCAGGTGCTCAAATCCATCCTCAAAGGTTGATAATGTTGAAAGGATACGGGGGCGATTTCCTTCGCATTGTGGAATACAACCAAAGGTGGCGCCTGCGATGGGAAGGTATCCTGCGCGCACTAGCATCTGAAGGAATCAAGAGTATTATGATTGAGGGAGGCGGAATGGTTCTGAGCGAGCTGCTGAATCCTGAGTACACTGAGTTTATTGACTCTATCATCGTGACTGTTGCTCCCACGTATCTGGGCAGTGGAGGCGTGGGGGTGAGTCCAGATTCCAAACGTGATAAGCAAGGCAAACCAAACGCTGCTCTCAATCCAAGGGATGTGAAGTGGATGCCATTAGGACAAAACGTCATCATGTGTGGCAAGATCCGAACTGTGCCTTCTGCTTCACCTGAGGGTCCTAATGATACTAACGCTGGTTAAGTTTTAATACCTACGGAATTTATACTCAGCAATATGAAGTAAAAATAAAGGGGAGGAGGATGAATCATACAATATCCACTCCGTGGTTTGGCAAGAGGAATGTATTAATGCTTATAAATGAGTGGAATGATAATGATACCTGGAAGTTTAGGACTTCCCAAAAGGATGTGGGCCTTTGTCACAAGTATAGCTTTTGCTTTTCATAGCATGCGTTAATCTCAATTATATAATATATTTCCCAGCATATTAGAGTAGAAAGAATGGCTGTTTTCCTGGCACAGATCTTCAAAAAAAAAAAAAAAGTCCAACTAGTGGGTAAAAGGAAGTATTAAAAAGGGTGAATTTTTTATGACAGGCAATCAGTAAGCATCCTTTATATTGCCCAAAAAAAAGCCATAATGTGGGATTGTCGTGTATTTCAATGAGACAAGAAACAAAAAGAAAAGACATCAATAAAAGAAGGGCCCAGGAGATAGGATGAAAGTTGTCCTGGTACATCTGGAATGTTAGCCACAGGTGATTTTTAGCGCGTGGTGGTTCTGTCCTTTATTTTATTATTATTATTATCACCATGCCTGTCTTCCAACCAACAAACAATAACAATCAGTGAGCTGTGGCGTTACATCCCCTAGTTACTGGCCTCTGTTTTTTTTATTTTTATTTTTTTTTTTTAGGCTGCTCCTCTAGCGGCACAAACGCTCAGGCTCTTGTTTTTCTGTTTTCTTTTTCCTATTTTCATTCCTCCTTGTACTTTGCCTTCTTAACCTAATTTCTTTAGCCTCTACCAGCTTCACTTCACCCTTTTGGTTCCATCTTCCCTCTAAAACAGCCATGCCTCCTAAAAAGAGTACTTCCAAATCCCCGGCAAAAGCCACAAGTGCATCCAAAAGTTCCACAAACACCTCAACAGGGGCAACTACTGTGGCTAAAACCTCAGCTAAAGGCCCCCATGCGAAAACCAATGCGAGTGCTGGGAAATCCGCAGTGGCTAGCAAAAAAAATGGTAGCACCATTCCTAGAAGACGTCCAAAGCCGCGCCCACAACAGCCCTTAAAAAGCGCAAGGCCGAAGATGTTAGCAAGGAACCAGCTCCCGATTCCAAAAGAGCCCGTGTCGCAAAGCCTCGTGTTACGGAAAAACAAAAATTGGTTATCAATCAAGCGCCGTCTGCCCGCCTAAATGTCTACGTCTGTGGCGAAGGCAGCTCAGGTGAGCTCGGTCTTGGGCCAGAGAAGAATGCTGTTGATGTGAAACGGCCGCGCCTTAACCCTCACTTACCGGCAAGTAGTGTCGGCGTTGTGCAAGTTGCTGTTGGTGGCATGCACTGCGTTGCTCTTACGCATGATAACAAGGTTCTTACCTGGGGTGTCAATGACCAGGGCGCGCTTGGGAGAGATACGACGTGGGAAGGTGGGTACAAAGACATTGGGGACAATAAGAGTGACTGTGATTCGGACTCAGACGATGATGGGCCTGCCCTGAACCCGCATGAGTCTACACCTACTGCTATTCCGTCGGAGGCTTTCCCTGATAATACCGTCATCGTCAAAGTCGCCGCTGGTGATAGTTCCAGTTTTGCCCTCACAGATGATGGCCTAGTCTACGGGTGGGGAACGTTTCGAGTAAGAAATTCTCTTCCTCTTATCAGTCGGCGCTACTGACAATACAACACAGAGCAACGATGGTATCCTAGGTTTTGATGCCAATAACGAAGTTCAGAATACCCCGATTTTAATACCTTCGTTGAAGAAGATCAAAAACCTTGCTTGTGGTGATAACCATGTTCTTGCTTTGAATGACAAGGGCGCTGTATTTTCATGGGGATCTGGCCAGCAAAACCAATTAGGTCGCCGAATTATCGAGCGCAACAGGCTGAATGGCCTTCAGCCGCGGGAATTCGGTCTTCCCAAGAACATTATTCACATTGCTTGCGGCTCGTTTCACTCTTTCGCCGTTCACCAGTCCGGAAAAGTTTACGCCTGGGGGTTGAACAGTTTTGGTGAGACTGGTATCCGAAACGGTGCTGGCGATGACGAGGCTGCCATAGTTCACCCCACTATTGTGGACTCATTGTCTGGGAAAAAAGTCTCTCAGCTTTGTGGTGGTGCTCATCATTCCCTTGCTATTGCCAATGACGGTCAGTGTCTTGTATGGGGTCGATTGGATGGTTATCAAACTGGCATAAAGATCGACTCTCTTCCGGACGAGGCAGTCATTAAAGATGAGCGCGGAAGACCTCGTATCTTGATTGAACCAACCCCTGTTCCAGGGATCAAAGCAACCGTCGTAGCAGCTGGATCAGATCATTCCCTCGCCATTGATGCTGATGGTCGTCCTTGGTCCTGGGGCTTCTCTGCTACATACCAAACAGGGCAGGGTACTCAGGATGATATCGAGGTAGCAACTATTGTGGAAAATACTGCTGTTCGTGGCAAGAAACTTACCTGGGCTGGAGCTGGCGGTCAATTCTCTGTGTTTACAGAGCCAGCAAACCTGTGAAAGGTAGTCTATTCTTTTTCAAAGAAAAGCAAGGTGAAAGTACAGTAGTGTTTCCAGGCTCTATTTGCTAAGAGACCCTTGTGGTGCCTATTCTGTTATCTAAAAACAAGGCTCGAACTTGAACTTGTCCTTAATTTGTGGCATTTTAGTGTTGAACGTTGTTTAATTTTATTGCTCACAGTGTGGTGGTGTTAGAAGCCTATGGCTATAATATATTAGAACGTTTCATTCAACGGACCATCGCTCTCCGAGTAAATTTGGCGTAGCGTAATAGCCGGAGTAGCCTGCCTACTCCGCCTTGTAGGAGGCCCACACCACGGAACATGCCCTAGGAATCGGGTGTTCTCAATAAGAATGCTCTGCCATGGCTATATAGTACATACATTCTACCCCCTCTCGACCCTTAGCCCTGAGCAAGTACTACTTTTTACCCATCCATTTACTTTTGCTGAAGGCTAACCCCATTCACCTGTTCCTCCAAGAGTGCGTCCAGATCATCATCTGTGACATGTTGATCAATTGTATGCTGCACTTCGTTATGAGCTGGCATAGATTTTTGGAGATTATAATCACTGGTTTCTCCGGGCGGTTGTATCCATGTGTGGTGTACTGAGCGGAATTGCACCTGGTTGGGCGCGACACAGCTTGCACCTTCTGATTCGTGGGGAGTCATTCTCAATTTGTCATATTTGTCCACCAGTGTCTTGGATGATGATAAAGGTGACTGATTTTGTAAGTCAATTATCTGACGTTTTGGATTATCCCCTTCTATCCACTCCCTTCGCCTAGACTGTAAGTGCTTGGAATGACCAAGTTTTTCGATTATAGCTAAGCCGTCGGCAAACTTTGCCCGTGGGAATAGGTCATCCAACCATAACTGGTAAAGGTTCAGCAAGCGCGCTGCATCAGAGAACTGTCAACAGTGATAATAAGCATAAGTTCTTGATTAAACTGCAGCGCATGTCTAGAAAGAAGGTATACCTCGTGTCCTTTTCCCTTGAACTTCAATTTTTGCCTCGCCATGCGGCGTAGTTTTGGTATCCCAGCCTGTGATAAAAGACTACCATACATAAGCTTCGCATCGACCATAGGTGAGGCTACAAAACATACCGACTCTCGTCTAACTTAGCAACAGGCTGTCGTTTCCTAGTGACTTTTACCTCCTCTTCAAGCCCTAACTTCAAGCCCGGAGTCTCAGGTGCGATAGATGATCTAGGTGCATTAGCACCGGTATTTGCCGGCAGCTCCTGTAATATCTCGTCTAAGCCAACATCATAGTCGAAGAGGTCGTTGATGTCTTCTGGCGAGTGAACATTGGGAGTCTCAGGATTAGTTCCATCCATCATTTTTTATAAGCCGAATCCTGGGGTATAGACTGCGATTTTGGCTTTTTGATGGGGCTCCTGGAGGAGAGGGGACTTTTACTAGCTATAAAATAAGGAGTGCTGCGTAAGGACCTTTTAAGGGAATAGCTACCCGTGACGCGTTTCGATATATCCAAATACGGCGGTGAGTACCATGGAAGTCGCGTCCTGTTTGGACAATCATAACCGGCTAATTAAAATTGACCTCAGAAGCGGGCCACCTTTCCCATACAAGTTCACAATTTTTGGCTATTTCTTATGCCACCATTTATATTACTATAAGTTGTTATAAAAGTTGTAATTTATATTAAGTCTGTATACTTTTATCTATAATAACTTTAAAATTTTCATCTAGCATGCAAGCCTATGTATCAGTGCTAATAATATTTAAAAAGCTCTCATATAAATTTATTCAATGTATTTTAATTACAGGATTAATAACTGGGCTAAAATCTAGACATTAGGGAAAAGAAATTTTTATATTAAATAGAGACATATGATATATATTTATGGTTGAGATAATTAGAGTCTTAAAAGCGTTATTGTTTTCTATGCAATACAGCAGTCACCTGCTGGCCTACATGGCTTGCTCGCTTTCCAGATACGTTAGCTAGTTAACTAACTAACTTATTACTCATCATCTTAGTAAGCCCAGCAATAATCACTGCTTGGCACAAGTTCAACTCCGCAACAACCCCCAAGGCCAATTTCAGACAGCACAGTTGTTGCTATCATTCTTCAGCTCTGAAATTGGCACAATGACGGCCGATCCAAAAACTGCACTTGTGCCCCCTAAGAGAACTAATACTGACTACCCGGTAAGACATACTTTCTATCTTTAAGGTGTAATGCCATAGCTAACTGCGTTCACAGCTGATTGACTCTGACCCGTACGTTTGTTTACCTTAGGCGTCAAGCGATAATGAAATACTCACACTACCAGGCACCTGAGGCGGGTATTTGGATATGCGAGGCCCTCAGACTATATTATTGCTGGTGGAGCTGCTGCCGCCTCTCCTCTTGCATTCTGGGCCATGGAGAGAGTAAGCCCTTCGCATGTAGGCAGGGGAGGCTTTGCTCCCGTGATGAGACTAGCAACAGCAATCGGCATCATTGGAGGCTTGCACATCCTTTACCAGAGATCTTGCAGTACGTCACCATCCGAATTTACACTGATAGTTGAAATCAGTGTGCCTCTTTTTAACTCACATCAATATAGATCGCTTCTATGGATTCACCGAAAATTCGAGAGAGGCTGATATGGATATGAGGGAAATGGTGGACAAAGTCAAGCACGGCGAGCCTCTTTACGGGTCCTCGAAGGTATCGTCTTACTTGCAAGGGGTTGCGGCCAGGAACTCCCGATTCTCGGAACTCTTCATCCACGTTATTCCATGGTTCAACATTGTTAACCATGACCAGGTATGGCTTTCCTTGTTTCGCCCTTTTTTAGATCATTTGATACAATGTTGGACATGTCGAACTAACACATCTCGAAGCATGGGGTTGATACAGCTAAATATTATCAACAAGCCGAGCGAGAGCTTGAGGCCGACCGCCTGGCAAGCGCCAACTCGGCATAAACCCAAGATCAGTATGAAATGTAACCATCTGTCCATTCACATAGACTCAAAAGCCAGTCTTGAAAATGTGTATTCTAAGTTCTCCCAGCGCTATTATGATCTTTTCAAAAAGTTCTCTATCATGTAAGCATATTTGTAAACCTTGGTAAATCGTTTTCTCTATCAGCTTATGAAGAGCCTTGAGTAAAACTGTCTCACCACTCTTGCGATTTTCAACCTGTGCAACTAAACCCCTCCAATGCCAGCAAAATCTGTCTTGAGTTCTCGGTTCTTTTTAGGACGAGGTTTGGGGGCTATTTAATGGCTTAGCAGATCGCTTAATAACAGCAGAAGTATATCATCAATCACCCTTCTCGTTCTCTTGTATATAAAAGCGTCGGAGTAACATAATGGCCTCTTTAAAGAACAATCCACCATATACTGGATAAGGCGGATCTACTGTGTGGCTAAGTCAAGTCAGAACAGTTTTCATGTATGGGGAAACCACAGGATAACAAACTCAGAATGCAGTGATAGGATACTCCCTGTGCCTCCAAACCGCTCATTACCACAACCAAAATAAACTGCTCGAATTTGGTACTGTCTTAAAACCGAAGCACACATAATGCATGGCTCAACTGTAACATAGAGGTCTGTTAAACGGAGTTTTGAGCGAGGATATGTTTGAAGCATTTCATTAATAGCAATGAACTCAGCATGCCTTGTACCCTAGTTGAAGATATGTTAGAAAGGAGAGAAACCTGAAGATAGGCGCTTCCACGGGTATAGACCAAGAAACCCCGTATAAGTAGAGGTAGAAGTTAAATGTGACCAATTCAAATTTCTCCAGCGTCCCCATGTACTCTAATAGTATTTTATGTAGGCATGGCAACCTACATTCATGGACTTGTTTGTATCATTCATCCCAGAGCCGACTATTCTATTGTCATACACTAAGACACACCCCACTGGTGTTTCACCAGCTTGGAGTGCCTTTTCTCCCTAGTATAGTCATAAGTATTATAGATGCAACTGTATAGTATAAAGGAAGATTACCATCAATAGCGCCTGCGTCATAAAATAGGCATGTCTCGAGTCCCGTTCCCACAAATTAAGGGGATTTTTATTAGGGTTAGCTAGGATATATTCAGACATTTGGGACACACTCCCGATTGTCAAAATAACAAATTAACAACCTTTGTCAGGAGTGGGGTTAAAAGATACTTCATCAAGTACTAATAGATCTGTAAGACTGATGATTTGTACGAAATACAGAGCAAGTCACTTAATATTCCACAATTTGCGGCTAGTTCAAGTTAGTCTTGTCTCGAGGGTAACGGAAACCGCTCATAGAAAAATCATTATTAATCCATATTTATTTAACTTTAAAATTTGACCTATTATTAACAATAATCTAGTAACACTGATTGCCAATGCCTGTACAGTGTGCTATTCAATGATATTTAACCATTCTTCCCACAAAAGTCGAGAATTTCTAGTGCTGCCTAGTCTAAGTACAAATTTGCGCAGAAATCACTCAAGCATTATAATACTTAAGAGCAATATCTCTATAAACTAATTAAGATACTCTAGCTGCTTTAGATTATCTAGATGCTAGATACTAGATATAGACTTCGAATGTGCTAGGTATATAGATATGGAGTGTTTGGTACCCTATGCTATCTGGGAATAAAGTCGCAAGTCCGCCCAACTTGGCTACCATAATAAAGTGAAGTATCCTCGTCTACGTCACAATTTTTATAAGTACCCAGATGAGACCAGATCAACTTTTGAACGATCCACGGGACCTGTAACTTGGTTTGGAAACAGGTACTGCTGACTAATAAGATACACGCAGGCTCCTCCTGCACATACTAGTAACCACTAATTAAGTACATGTTATGTAGTGAGTTGTTTTCTACCTATTTTGTAATACTAATTAGTCTACTCCGTACATATAAGGGTATACAGTAAAACACGGATATAAGCAACGAAAGCGGTTCGGCTCTATATTTGCTTATATTAGGATTTTGCTTATATTGAAAAAGCGGCTATGTATATAGATATATATAACCTCATATTACTCCACTGTATCATACTGAACTGAAGAACGCTTATATCGACCAATAATTATTTTATAAGGTATAAGCTACACCACATGCTCAAATAAAGAATGACCGGTTATCTGCCCGACGTTGTGCCAGCTTTTGTCTGTAGAAGGAGCCTTTCCTGTCGTACAAGAAGCCGGATAAGACCCTTATCTCTATCAACCTGCTGTTCCTGATAAAGGAGCAATTTATTCAAACCCTCCAATGCCCCCGTAGCTGTAATTGCTGGTAAAGGCTGTATATATCCATCTCATCACTATCCACAGTTTCGACCGGTGCAATCTGACATAAAACCGCAAAATTAATATCCATAAAGCTATCATCAACGTGATCGTCTGCAGGATTCAAAACCTGTCAAAACCTGATTAATATCCATGTCACGGATACCATTTGAGTGCTTCTGACTTTGAAGTCCTTGCTTTATCTCGTTAATAAGTTGCTCCTCAATAAGCTCATCAGCATGTTTAACAGAAAGAGCCCTTTTAAGCGGCTTCTAACTGTATCTTTAGACAGATCAAGTTCGCAGGCAGAAATTGGCCATCGAACTGCTTGCAAAACAGTCATGGTAGACAGTGGATCAAAACCACGATCATATTAAGTCATTAAATATAATACCTATTGTTTTTTGCAATATGCCTTCCATGTACGGATAATCCCTTGGTTAAGCAGCTAATACCTTGATGTTGAGCAGGCTGGAAGCCATATATATAACTACTGTATTCTGTAGTTGTAGGTTCCTCAAATGCAGCTTCATAAGCAGAAAATTTATCTATTAGAAGAGCAACTATTTGGTCCTGCATCTTCTTATCAAACCACAAAAGCTATTCCTTAAAGATATCACCAGTTATCCACGCCTCCTTATATAGCGCCAATAGCAGCCAAGATTCTCAATAAGTTCTAAAGCATCTGAATCGCAAGAGAAATGTGCAGTTATTCAAGCCTTTTCTTTCTTGCAGCCAGGAATTGAGCTTGTAGATAAACTTCCAATATAGACCTGTCTTATCGTAATTAAAGATATTATAAAGTGCGTATATCAAGGATACGCCGGATTAAAACCATTCTAGTAGTTGTATCTTCAGATAGACTTCCAGCTTCATCAAATAGGCTTCTCTGCTTAATATTCCTGCGTTACTGGAAGCCACGAAGCCAGCCTTTACTAAATGCATCTCTTTTTCTGGATAGATCTCTGACCAGAACTCCTTCCCTTCTTGACGAATAACGTCCTGAGATATTATTATCTTTCCCTCAGCCTATTTTATCTAGTCAAACACTGCCTTTTCTAGCCCTGGCTAGGATTCTGTACGGCGTTATTTATCTTCTGCTTGGTGTGCTTTAATTTAATATTGTCAAGGAAGGCAAAGCAAGAGGAGAGGATTCGGCTAATCGAGGAGTGATCGATCGGCTGGTTACATATCTCCTAAAACCGCCTAGAAAGCTGCGCTAGTGAGAGATAAGCTTTAGACTGTATTAAGCTGGAAGGGCAGCCTCCTCGCTGTTTAAAATAGCACGTTGCGACTTCTTGACCATTTTAAAGTGGAATGCGGGGGTGTGAATAAGCAAATTTGTATGGGAGAAGCTGAAAAATTAAGCAATGATCTTGTATTGGAGTGTGTAGTAAGCAAATTTATATTAGGTGTTGCTTATATCTGCTACTGTACGTATTATAGAAACCCCCTTTAGAGCGGCCTGTAAGTTGGAAGGAAAAAAACACCGTCAGCGAGAGGATTCGAACCTCTGCACGCGAACGTAATGCATAGCTAATTGGAGAACCTTTCACAGGTACGCCATTCGAGTGCATCGCCTTAACCACTCGGCCACACTGACTTCAGGTGTACTTCTTCTCAAAGAAAACTTCAAATAGTTAGAGAAAAACTATAAAAATTTTAATGCGACTATCCCAACAACATTCTGCCAGATTATACCGCCTTTACCTTTAACTAATGTACTCACCAGTATCTGAACCACAAGCTCCACGTCATAGTAATCAAGCAACTAGTTGAACATCTTAACATAATATGGGCTGTATGTTTCATTATCTCCTGAAATGGCAGCTGATGATCTAGAGGTGTTTCAATATCTTGTGGCAGAGCATGAAAATCAGAACTCTACAGAGCTGGCGCTATCTATGGCAGCACAATTAGCACCGCGTCGGTCGTCTCAGGGGGGCAACCAGACACTTAATCTAAGCAGTGAAGCTTTCTCCCAGCTTCTACAGGAGCTCATTGGTGACAAATACAACCATTTACACTTTAACAATAATGTCACAGATGTTAGCAAATTACTTTGCCTTATCCTGAAAGTAGGTCTGGAGCCTTGTTCTAAGAATGAGGGATTAGACCCTGAAGGACAAATCCTGGACTGTTTGGACATTATTAAAACAACAGTTCAAAAAACCCCTCAAATACTAGCAGAATCTCCTGACCCTAACCTCTTGGGAGAATATACGCATGCACCCTTATATGCTTGGCTCATTGTGCGACTACTTCGATTGCTTTGCACTTGGGAGAATGAAAAGATTAGCGAGAGAGTCAGTGTCATATTTTCAACCATGATTTTCACTCAGTTCAAGTACACTAGGCTGTTGCCTGCATCCCATTCTATTGTTGGACTTCTGCGGGCCTGCACAACAGGTGTGTCACAGAGGTGAATAATATTTATCCTTTGGGCTAATGGAATCTAGAAATACTGGCATGTCTTGAAAGTCTAGATCGTCAAGAGCTGCAAGGGCATTCTGTGATTAGATTGGCTATACCCACCAAGAATGATCGTTTTTTTGTAGATTTAAACAACCTCGGTCTCTCTCACGGAATTATGGACAGGAAACTCAAGCTGGGGTCAATCTCAAACTCTATTATTCTGAGTCTTTGCTTGCTCGACTGCTTCAGGCTGAGCAAAATAAAGCCCGCTGCACCAGATGCCAAGTTTGGCGGTGATATTTTTCGACACAATTTAGGCTGGGTTTTAAACGGATACCAACGCTTATGGAGCATCGGATTTTGCTGGCTTCAGAGCGCAAACTCGAGTGGTCTTGAAAGTAAATCATGGATTTGTTTGCAAATTTTGAAAAATATTCAAAGTTGTTGCGCCCATGGAGAGCTTCTCTCTCCACACACAGAGCTGACATACAGGCTACTTCGGATACTGAGCGAAATACTCATATTAGACAACCTAAGACGACTACCAAATTTGCAGCTTGAAGCTAGCCGCCTTATCGATACCCTTACTGATTGTCTAGGACGTACAGAAGCATTTGTGAAATGTGCGAGATCTACTATTCTACCAAGATTTATCGATATCAGAAAAAAATCTTCGTTCATGCAGTCCTTGGACCCACAACTTCAGGTAATCGGTAGAAAGTCGTACCAGTTTGATCTTAGTGAACTCACCAAGTATTAGGCTGCGATTCAAGAGTTTACTGAGAAGGTGACCAGTACAACTGTTGTGTACAATAATGCAAACTACTCGCCTCTTACTTTTTACAAGCCTGAATTGTCTGAGCCAGTTGCAGTTACACAATGGTACAGTTCTTTAGATAAGCAGATGCGGCTTGATGAAGCAAACCAAGCACCAAAGCGTCGCTGTCTCTCATGGGCTTCCATGGAATTTAAGGGAAAGGATTTGACTCAGAAACTCATTCTAGATATTTCAGCAATATTGAATTCCAAAAATGTCGGAAGTTTTGAAGAGCTTCAGGAGATTGTTATGTATGTCCATATCATAACCTTTCTTATTTAATATTCTGACACGAGGCTGCAAATTTGAAGTAAACAGTTTACCCGACTCTCGGAGCAACATCAATGCGAAATCCTTTCCATGATGGGCAAAATTTCATGTGCTATGGCTGGGAAGCTAGTTGACACAACTAGTTCTGTGTCAGGGGACATATTACTCTGTTCCGTGTGTGATTATGATGTTCACGAGCATGTTTTAGGGTCGAACTGGCGAAGTCCTGACTCGGATAAATTATGCAACATCCTGGCGCACATTATACCTGGTCTCACGCGTGCGCCTCGCCTAAGGATAACTACTATGGCTGTGTTACGGCGAGTCTTAATGCACGCCCAAAACACCCCGTATTTACAGCTTGCTTCCTCTGTTTTTGGCGAGTTCTGTTTGCATTCGCTTCGGAGTTCCATTAGAGAACTACGTATCGCCACTGGGTACAGCCAATATCCCTGGTTCACGTGCTTGGAAATGCTGACAGAGTTTTAGACACTCAATACTCGCCTTTACTCGCAGGGAGTTAGATCGGGAGACTCACAGGAATAATTTCATTGTTATACTTGAATGGTTAAAAAACGATTTCTGAGAAGCAAGATGTATCGCTGCATGAAACCTGCATCTTGACATTGTGCCAACTTGCAAAGTAAGGCTAAAATTATTGTTTATATATAGCGTAACAAACTCACTCCGCTGACTTTAGGCTTTCCGGTGACGACGAGATGAACATCATTCTTCTTCGCTTAATGGAGTATCTAGGCCACCCCAACCCATTCATTTGCGCTGTAGCATATACTGAAGTACGTGAACCATTCTAACCCTCTCCCAGCGTTTTCTTGCACGCAATGTTTTGTCCGCTGATCGCAGTCTGACAATCGACGGCCTCTCATCAGCTTTCAAAACTTGCCCAAAATCTCTCTGCTACTCCTGCCGGTCTATTTAGGCCTTTTTGGGGAACTCTCTCGGTGGCAGTCGTAAAGAATTTTCAATCCCGCCCTTACATGGCCGAACAGCTCTGCTCTCTACTAGGGATGAAAGTAGATGATTTTCTCAGGCTAACAGAAGTCCATGTTTTGCCTTATTTGGTGCTTACTAGAAAGCGAGATATTATATCCAGGTTGGGGGCAACATATCAAGATACTAAAACACCCTTCGACATCTGCTCTGAAAAAAATAATTTAGCAGCAATACTTGCGTTCTTATTGAGCCAGCCCTCCTCCGATCCGGAGCGTACGGCCATGTCTGCTTTGTCAGAGATAGACGCTGCCTTTGGAAGCCGTACTCTGGCAGAGCTTGTACGGATCGAGCCGATTCTAATTGCTTGCGATTTACTAAAAGGACTTGGTGATTTGGGCGAAGGTAAAGGAGCTAGGGTATGTTATAGATCTTATAGCAGCAACTCAGCATACTGACAGAGAAAGTACCATCGAGCTCTTCATTTTTTAGCGACCCTTGTTCCACGGAAGTCCACTCATGGAAAAAAGGCGAACCTCATTGGTCATTTCATTGAAGAGCATGTTCTTGGTATAATAACTCAGTTTGCTCACGTAGTCAATGACTTTCATATCAGACAGCCCTTGACTGAGAAGAAGAGAAACATTATAGCCATAGGGGAAATGATCAAGGTGGCTAGAGGCTACGTCAGCAGTGCTTTACCGCAGGTTAGTGACTTTCCTTCTTTTCCTTTTTTCTTTTTTTCTTGTTTGCCCCAGATCACATTAGACAGACTAACATACGAAGATATGTGCCTGCCTCCGGTCCGCTTTTGAAATTGAGGACCTGTGTAATAATGCCTTTACAGTATGGGGGGTGTTAATAAGATCCTTGCATGCTGAAGAGGTTGAACCTCTTCTTGACCAAACTATGTCAATTGTGATACGGTACTGGAACACTTTCACGGAGTCAACAAGACAATGTGCTTATGGGCTTGTTGAGTACATCTTGAGGAAACATAGCACATTAGTGCGGGACGTTTATAGCACTATGCCATCGTTAGCCACTATTCCAATGATGGCTGATTTCGAGGCAGAGATAAATAAGCTAAAATGCAAAATGGACGTCAGAAGTCAATTTTTAGCATTCATTCGTCGCTGTCAAAGTGAGAATGCTACTGTTGTGGAACAGGCCTTAACGGAGTTAGTGCCTTATCTGTCCAAACATGAGGAATTTCTCCATCGCACTGTCCTTAGCGAGCAGCCTGATCCAGTTGTCGCTCATTTAGTGCGAGCTTTACTTGACTGCTGCGTTAAGTTTAACATGAGCTCGGACGTTATTACATGTACGTCAGCCCGGTGCCTGGGCCTTGTGGGATGCTTGGACCCAAATCGAGTAGATTCGGTTAAAGAAAAGAAAGACATCCTTGTTCTATCAAACTTTGAGAATATGGAGGAGACTTTTGACTTTATTCTTTTTTTCCTTCAGCATGTGCTGGTAGAAACATTTCTGTCAGCCTCCAACACTAGGGCTCAGGGGTTTCTTGCTTATGCCATGCAAGGCTTGCTAAGGTTTTGCAACCTTGACTCAGCTGTTACCCAACGCTCGCGTGATATCCAAGCAGATGAAAAGTATCAGCGTTGGTTAGAGCTCCCCGAAAGCGTTCGCAATACATTAACCCCTTTCCTGACGTCAAAATATACGGTTACAGTGGGTGCTGTGAGCTCGAATTGTAATTATCCATTATTCTCAGCCAGCCTGACACACGGGGATTGGCTGCGAAGTTTTGTACAAGATCTGTTGCAGAAAGGGAGTGGTGACAATGCACGACTAATATTCAGTGTATGCAGTCGCGTTGTTAAGGGTCAAGATATCTCAATAGCGTCATTTCTCCTACCATTTGCAGTACTAAACCGTGTGGTGGGAGGAGCTCAAAATGAAAGACAAGATTTACTGCGTGAGCTAATAAATGTGCTATCTTACCCTCTCCCAGACGGAAACAACCGTATATATGAGGCTATATTGTTGTGCAGTCAGGTGAGCTCTACATTCTATGCTGGAATTCAACAAACACTAATCTAGTCTCACTTACTTTGGGGGCAGAGTGTTTTTGAGGTCCTTGATTACCTTTCAAGATGGCTACAAGGGAAGAAAAAGCAACTCAATAGTCTCAAAAGCCACGCACATCATGGAAGTCGCTTTAATAGGGAGGCTTCCCGTGATTTGCTTATGGATACGTATTCGTCTCAAATTAAATCTGTTGAAACCTTGCTGGCGTCAATACCACCAGAAGTTATTTCTAAAAGGGCTGTTGAGTGCAAATCATTTTCTAGGGCATTGTTTCACTGGGAGCAATACATCCGTCAATGTAGGAATCATCCGAACAAGAAAGTCGGTCTTGACGATGAACCTCTATATCAGCGCCTCCAGGACATCTACAGTCAGATTGACGAGCCAGATGGTGTTGAAGGCATCTCAACTCATTTACACGCGCTTAACATTGATCAACAGGTTCTTGAGCATCGTAAAGCAGGGAGATGGGCTACTGCGCAGAATTGGTACGAATTACAACTCGAAGAGGAACCAACAAATAGCGACGCCCAGTGGAATCTCCTGACATGCCTGAAGGAGTCAGGACAACAAGGTATTTCTTCTATCCAAGTCTGACCGTTCCCAAAAATCTACTAAGAGAAAAAAAAAAACAGATGCCATTCTTACTAGGTTTGAGATTCTAAAATCAACACCTTCGGTATCCAAGCTACTTCCGTTTGCTGTAGAGGCGTCTTGGATTACGGGGAAATGGGGGAAATTGCATGACTATCTTCAACTTTGCTCGCGACAAGGTACAGGTGATTTCAACATCGGCATTGGTTCAGCTTTTGATACTTTCCGTCATGGTAGCAGAGGGGAGTTTGAGGCAATTATTAACGATTTGCGGCTCACTGTTGCCAAGTCACTAACTACCAATTCGGTGACGTCCTTGCAGTCATGCCATGATAGCATGCTTAAGTTACACGCCTTGGCAGATGTGGAAGCAATGGCTAATCTGAAAGTTGGACAAAATGTCACTCATTCGGAAATAAGCAATATTCTTGATCGTCGCTTGAGTGTGCTAGGAGGTCACATTTCCGACAAGCAGTATCTTCTTGGTTTAAGGAGAGCTACGATGGAGTTGACGTACGTTTCCACACCACAGCTAGTCAGCGCTTGCTTATATATATGCCAGAGGAAGTTTTTCCGATTTTGATGTAGCCAATGCTTGGCTTACTAGTACACGCCTCTTGCGAAAGAGTAATTTCACAAACCAAGCATACCAGTCAATGCTTCATGCAGCACGTCTAGGGGACAGATCAGCCACCATAGAACACGCTCGACTTCTTTGGAAAGATTGTCATCATCGAAAAGCAATACAGATTCTAGAGAGTGCTATTGCTGCCAATGAGTTTGCTCTTGACACATCCTGTTTCGAGGATACAGGTCCGATAACTATAACTTCAGACCGTGGAAAGAGCCAGGATTTGCTCACAGCCAGGGTATGCTTCCCACAATAGGCTTTTCTAGGAATATAATAAACCAAGGCTAATATGAGTAGGCTCATTTATTATTGGCAAAATGGACAGATAGGGCTGGACAAACACAATCCGAAGTTATAGTCCAAAGATACCGTGAAGCCATAAAACTCCATCCAAGGTACTCTCAACTATACGGGTCAGCATTGCCATATACTAACAGACATTAGGTGGGAAAAGGCCCATTACTACCTAGGAAAACATTACAATAAAATCCTAGAGTCTGAAAAAGCAAAGCCACTTGGGAAAGAGGCCCAGATATAGTATGCTACCATTTCTCTCAATCTGACTATAGCCCAATTACTAATACCGTTTTTAAGTTTGAGCGGCGAAGCCTCGAAGCTTGTCATTGATAATTATCTTCGCTCCTTAGCTCACGGAAACAAGTATGTTTTCCAGTCGCTACCTAAAGTCCTCACGCTTTGGCTGGAGCATGCTTCCGCCGTTGACCAACCATTTGATCCAAAGAGAGGTGATAATGAGTGAGATTTATCCCTCCCCGCCTTCGTGTACGTAGGCAGTTTACTCATAAGTAATATAGGGATTTCCAGGTTCATACTCTAAATCAACGAAAAAAAAGCCTAGAGGACATGCATTCACAGCTAAGGAAGTATGTGAATCGGATGCCAGCTGCATTGGTATGTTTAGTTCAGAAAACTTTAAGGAAAATTCTCTAATTATTTAGCTGTTCACAATTCTCCCTCAAGTGGTTGCTCGAATCTGCCATCCAAATGCTGCAGTCTATGACCTGTTAACGAAAATTGTTGCCAAAGCAGTAAACTTTTTCCCGCAGCAGGGATTGTGGACAGTACTCGCTGTAGTAAAATCTTCTTCTAAAGACCGAGCTTCCAGAGGCATAAACTGTCTCCAGAAAATCACAGTGAGGCCCAACAGAAAATTTTGGCAGCTCCAGATACTAAATTAAATGCTACAGGAAGTAAACAAGAAATTAAAGACTGATTTACCATCCGATATGCGTGGGATGATAAACCAAGGCCAGAAATTCTCTGAGGAGATGCTTAGGATATGCACAGTGCGTATTGAGGATAAAACATTCAAGATAAACCTGGCACGAAACTTGGGGTTCAATCACAAAGTAGCACCTTGCGGATTGGTCGTGCCATTCCAGGCCATGTTGACGCCAACATTGCCGGCCAGTCACGATTCCGGATACCTGAAGGGATTCAGAGCTTTCCCTAGGGATCCAACCACAATAGAAAGTATGTTTCTTAACTCCCCATATGTATGAACAATCCAGTTGACTTGGCTTAGCTGTGCTTGACGATGCACAAGTTCTAAATTCTCTCCAGAAACCACGGAAGATTAGCATTCGTGGTTCGGACGGAAAGATATACAACACTCTTTGTAAACCCAAAGATGATCTACGCAAAGATCAACGTCTTATGGAGTTTAACAACATGATCAATAGATTTTTGAAAAGAGATGTTGAGTCGAGCAAACGTCGCATGTGTAAGTGTTTACCTTCATAGCGTATCACCTTGTTGGCTAATTTAATAGAAGATATTAAAACATATGCTGTTACACCTTTGAACGAAGAATGTGGAATCATTGAATGGGTAGACAACCTCAGAACATTGAGAGATCTTGTGATAAAACTACTGAAAGAACGAGGCATAGTGCCAAATGTATGTTTGAAGGACTAATCACAAACTACCTCCATGCAGAACTAATCCACACCAGTACAATGAGATCAGACACTTTTTGAATGAGGCATGCTCTGATATCTCGAAGCTCTCTTTGTTTACGACACAGATTCTATCGAAGTGAGTATCCGCAGGTTGTTCCCTGTAGGTTGGACTGACTTGAATGCAGGTTCCCTCCGGTCTTGCATGAGTGGTTTGTAGAAATGTTTCCAGAATCAGGCACATGGTTTGTGGCACGGCTTCGGTACACTCGGTCTTGTGCTATAATGTCCATGGTCGGATACGTTTTAGGGTATGGAGTAGCAGCCTCCATTTTTGAATATTCTCTCACAAGTACAATGCTACAGACTCGGAGATCGGCATGGTGAGAATATTTTATTTGAAGAGGGGACAGGTGGTATTATCCACGTTGATTTCAATTGTCTATTTGATAAAGTATGAAGCCTAAATTTATCCTCTCGAACCCTTTTCACTTTATCTGTCTCGCTGTACTAATGATTGTTTGTAACAGGGCTTGACATTTGATAAGCCGGAACTGGTCCCCTTTCGTTTAACTCAGAATATGGTTGATGCATTCGGTATATATGCTTATAATGGTTCGTTTCAATTACATTTTGACAAATGTATGGTTTGATTGACATTTTCAGTAGGGCCGTTTCGAAAAACTTGCGAAATAAGTCTTGGGCTGTTGCGCCACAATGAAGATGCGCTAATGACTGTGCTCGAGACTTTCCTACACGATCCAACAGCAGATTTCATTGGGAAAAAAGTAAGTTCAAACACATGAAAATATATGTATCTGTCTTACTGGTTTGTACTGACCCATATATTTCTATTTAGCGTCGCACCCATGTAGGCGTTCCAGACACCCCTGCTGGTGTTTTGGAAAACGTTCGTAACAAACTTCGTGGTCTACTGCCTGGTGAATCTGTTCCATTATCTGTAGATGGCCATGTGGATGAACTTATTATGGAAGCGACAGACAAGAGAAATCTGGCTGCAATGTACATTGGATGGTGTGCATTCTTCTAGAGTCAGGCATTTCTGCCCACATGTGAAACATGTTGCTTCTAAGCAGTGAACAGATCCAAGGCAATATAACCAGTCTTTAAACTCTTATCCTATACTTTTCCCCTCCACATTCGCCTGCTTGAAGTCCGGGAGAGCGTGCATACTTAAGTTATTTGGCTCTAATCATAAAACCTTGTCACTACCAATTTTTGTCATCCATGAAATATTCAGACATCTTCAGACAAGTACACCTAGACCTCCCTGCACGCACTAATGCTAAGCAACCGTAAAGACCAATTCGCCTTAAAACCCCCGACATCCCTGAAGCCTATCTTCTTCCAAGATCGTACCGATTATATCCCCTGTTTCTGCTTGGGCTACGGCTTATATCACTCCGACTACTATAATCATAGCTTCCGTAGCTAGGACTGCGTCGTTTCCGGCGCCGGGAGCTATCTATGCGTGAATGAGCCCTCCTTTGAGGTGATGATGGTGGCGGAGTTTCTGACGATAACGATCTCGAACGACGGGGTGATCGAGATCGCGTCAGAGACCGCGGACGATAGAGATCATGCTTTTCCATAGGCCTGGCACGGCCATACCTTCGCTGCGGAGGTGAAGATCTGCGAGAGTACGGAGAGATGCGAGGGCGACTGTCAAAAGGTTGACCACGGCCATGCGATTGGCGGCTGGAGCCTCTAGCACTTTGGATTGGTGGTGAGCGCGAAAATGCTCTTCTAGGAAGAACGATGGAAACACTTAATAGAGCACCATCGAGTTGAGCTTCATGCATATGCGCAATAGCGGCCTCTGCATCTGCAGGGTCGTGATAGAGTATATATGCAGTGCCTCTGTTTGTCATAACTGGGGACGCACAAGAAGTGCTACATTAGCAAGTCTATGATAACATTTCAAAAAAGCCTGGGTGGTGTGTTCCATACATGCTCTATTTATTGGGAAATCAAGACTCTGTATATCTCCAAATCCCCCGAAAATCTCCCTTAGATGAGATTCTGTGACATTTTTAGTTAATTTTTCGACAACAATCTTGAATCCAAGTAAGCATTCTTATGTTTAATACAGCGCTGCGATTTGATAAGACAGACCTTTGAACTCCTTGGGGAACTAGGAGAGCTGAGAGTTCTGCCATTGCCCTTATATCCGTGAGAACGAGAATCGCGATCCCGACTTCTGCTTCGACTGAGACTCCGACTTTGACTTCGGGATATCGGCCGCGTTCGTGATAGAGAGCGGGACCAACTCCTTGGGCGGCGGCCATTGGAACGGTCAGCACAACGTTCGAAAGTTGGGCTTCGGCTATCTCTATGTTTGGACTCTGAGTGAGAAGAGGTTGAATACATGGATGAGATAGGCGGCTGATCGAAATTTTCCTCACGGTGTGAGCGAGTCGGGGAGCGTCCTCGAGGTGCTACAGACATATTGCACCTAAATATCCAGTCGACGAATGAGAATGGTTTATATTAATGAGGCTGGATGTTGGTTATACAATTGCTAGAGGGAAAATACAACCTCTATGTATTTGTGGTCAAATTCTGAAGAAGTTGGACAGCAGACAGCATACAGCTAAAGCTCTCTGGGTGATTGAATCAGGTGGGCGAACTCTGGAGTACTAAGTTTAGTCTAGCTTCTCCAGGTTAGCGGGAAGCCACGGCACGCATACTACAAAGCCCGCTCCATATGCCAATATGGAGTAGTTTAGTATTGGCTTTTTTTGGGGGGGGAAGGGGGGAATGTAATATATGGGGCCTCAAGTGATAGGGTACTAAGACTAGTATGAAATACAGATCCCTTTGTATAATTGCGGAGAATAAATGAATAGATAGGAATAGAAAGTGGATACAGTAAATACACATAAATATATATACATATGCCAGGAATACACTAATAATGCCCACTGGTGACTGTTGTCCACCTACCTTCTCAGCTACAGAGTACAGAAGTACATACCTTACCTGTCCGAGGATCCACAGTATACTGCGCGGTACTGGGATTATACTCAAGATGAGTCAAGGCACGTACGGACAGAGTACATGAATGGATCATATTTGCAGGGCAGGATTTTGGTAAACTGTACATAATAGCACTGTGTTTTATTTGGTATCAGCAGATTTCCCCCATCGCTCGTACTCCTCGACAACAGCATCTGTGATTTGCCTCTTAACTTGCTTGAGTGCGAACTCAAAGTGTTTCCACCGTACATCTTGTTCTTGCCCAGTCTCCTCCTCCTCATCCAGAGCAGCATCTCCAGCTGTTTCGCAGATGTTCACAATCTCAGCCCCTGAGTAACCCTCTGTCTTCATAGCCAATACTTCAAGTTCTACCTCGGGGTGGACCACCGATTTATGACACCAGATATTCAATATCTCCTTCCTGGCTTCGAAGTCCGGCGGGCCTATATAGAGTATATTATCCAGACGACCTGGACGCATCAAAGCTGGATCAATCACATCAGGCTTGTTGGTAGCGGCAATAACCAGGACACTCCTCAATTCTTCGATGCCGTCCATTTCATTCAGCAAGGTAGTGAGTACATTAACACCTCCTTGGAAAGAACTGCTTCGTTTTGAGGCAATAGCGTCAATCTCGTCGAAAAAAATAATACTAGGCCTCGCAGATCGCGCCTTTTGGAAAATCTCTCTCAAAGCTCGCTCTGATTCTCCAACATACATGCTCAAAATCTCGGCGCCTTTGACAGCCAAAAAATTCAAACCAGCTTCTGTGGCTAATGCTTTAACCATCAGAGTCTTTGAACAGCCCGGTGGTCCATAAAGGAGTACACCTTTCTTACTATTTATATTAAGTCTTCTCATTCGTTCAGGGGACTACTATTGTCAGCCTCTCCATTCCTTTTTTTCATAGGGGTGAGAATAATGAAGTGGAAAGCTCACTCTCAAAGGTCTTTCAACAGCCTTTTGAAGGCGTCTTTTGATTTCTTTCTGCCCTCCAATATCCGACCATCTTACTTTCGGTGTCTCTAAGAATACTTCCCGCATCGCAGTGGGGCGTGTTTCTTGTAGAGCTAAGAAGACGTCAACATCCTGGATCCTTAAAGACAAAGCTTTGTCCTGGAATGCAGATTCCCCTTGTGAATCATTGCCAGACGAGAACGCAAAATCATAAGAGCCCTCGCTTACACCATTACTATAAAGCTGTCTTTGTCGCGCCTTACGGCAGACAACTTGGAGCAGGGCAAAGAGGTCGGCACCAACATAACCATGGGTTTTTTCAGCCATCATCTCAATTAGTCTATCACTCAGCTCGGGGCAAGGATATCCACATAGAGCGCGTAGTATCTCAGCCCGGTCGTGTGCTGCAGGGATTTGCAGCTCAATCTCAGTCGAGAGTCGATGTGGTGTTCTCAAGGCATCGTCGACATTATTCGGATGTCGAGTTGCAGCGACGACCATGACGAGGGAACCTTTCACAACTTCTAAACACTCACATATGGCAGACGCTAAAGACGGGGACTCTAATGATGTTCGTTTAGGAGCAATAAATTCCAGTTGATCAATTATCACAACACTAGGCTGGGACCGAATTGCGTCTTGGAAAGCATTGCGTAGTTTGCCTTCGCCATCAGCGAGATTCTTACTGGATATAGAGGAGCTTATATTGAAAGTTTTTCTCCACCCGGCAGCCTGTATGTGGCCCAGTAGCTTCGTTTTACCAGTTCCCTTGGGGCCATAAAGAAGAATACCTCTGCTATGCTCGTAAAAGGATGGCATTGCTAGTCCCTCTGAGTCTATGTTGAAATCCGCTAGCGCCTCATTGATATTACCAATTTGGCGAGCCATTCCACCCAGACCGGGCGACTGTACCCGAAGGTGATAGGTTCGATTTATCTTTCTGCCTATGAAATCTTCACCGACGGAGACGTTAGTGTCTTTGGTGAAACGGAACAGTGTACTATCGGTGTTTCGATTCAGAGTTCGTATGTCTGCCACCTTAAAATTGCGCCGCTGGCCTTTGAGCTCTATATCGAAAGTCAAGCAAGCTGCAATAGCATCACACCTTGATAAAGGCAATTCCAAAGCCCAGGCCCAATGGTGCGCCTCTGAAAGCGGAAGAGGGCCATAATTTGCGAGCTTGTCTGCATCCGAGCATTCAACCAAAGAAATGGATTCGATCTCTTCCAAGAAGCCGTCAGTTTTGCTAATCAGGATCTTTTCGCCTAACTTAATGTCATAGCAATCTTGGAGAGTCCGCGAAGTCTGTACCACGGAGTTCTGGATATTTTCCGTTGCATTCCAGGCTATAGCAGTTTTTGTTAATCCGCCAGGCAAGCCTAACGTGCAAACATCTCCAGCCCGAAGCTTAAGGGCAGCTAGAGACGAGGATGACAAGTAAACTCGGAATGCATCCCTATGGTCATTTCTAGTTTGCTTCGAAAAGGGTCGAACAGTGAATACGCGGGTTTCTGCCATATCGTGCAGGGTCACCCAAGATGGCGCATAAAAGAATGTGCAACCCGTATTTCGGGCGGTGGGAGCTGGATAAGAGAAAAAAAAATGTTGTGGAGTTAGATCCCTACGGCAAACTATGGAGTACTTACTACCTATTACGGTACCTTAGGTTAATGAACAAAATATTTTTATTGGACAGCCTAATGCGGCACCTCCGCACAGAGGTATAATATATGAGTACTTGTACTTTTTAGGTTGTGAATTATCTACTAGCGGATGAGGTCACTGAATTGTCTCGCTGAAAGTACGGAGTGTATCGATTTAGACAAGTGATAGCCTTCTCAGAAGCTTGTATTTATTACGTTTCTTATTAACAATGTTATATGATTTAGAACCTACATAATTTACCTTTCTCAGCGGCAATCGATTTGGTATAGACTATAAGGCTAATAAGCCTACTTTGTAGAGCGTGGAGCCTAGTAGTGCTTCATGTTACATGTGGTCAAGCTACGTTGCAAGGAAAGGAAAATCCGAATGCCCAGTTGTCTTCTAACAACATTCAATATTGTACAACCCCCAACACGCCACCTGTTCGGGAAGTTCAATCTCATTATTGCTGCTGTCTTCATCTATGCCAACAGGGGCAGCCATCTTATTGGGAGAAGGCGGTATCGACATACTTTACATACCGCTTCCAAAAAAGAAAAGAAAGCAATTAATTCCATATGTATTTATGTAACAGCCAAGCGCGATTCATGTCCAGTAAGAGGAGCACTAAGGCTCAAAAGACACAGAATAATCAGCAACGCCACCTAACTAAACTCAGGCGAAAACATCGAGGAAGAGCGAACCGTATTCCAGATTATAAACATCAAAAATAGTAGGGATCCCAATAAGACCAGCATGGGGACATCTATCAAACTGCTCGAGCCATGCTTAGTTTGGACAGCAATATGAATAGGAACAGAAAATGGTAGGGTGGATTGTATAAGGAAATTCTGTTCGAGGATAAATAGATGATAATGCACCAACAATCTCAACAGCACTTTCCACCCGTGTTGCTATTCAACCCGCTGCCTTGTTGGTCTATACTGACACCTTGAGATCCTGCCTGTTCAGCTTTAGATGTATCCATCCCTTTCTTTATTTCTGAAGCAAGGTCATAGAACGCCTTCTCGATGTTGGTGTTGTTCTTAGCGGAGACTTCAAGGAAAGGTATCCCAAGTTCATTAGCAAGTTGTTGGCCTTGTTCGGTTGAGACCGCCCTCTTTTCCTCCCAGTCGCATTTATTACCGATGAGAATTTTATGTACGCCTTCGCTGGCGTGTTGCTCAACATTAGAGAACCACGTACGAATGTCTGGGTAAAAAATAGCGAAAAATTATCAGCATCACAATTCTAAACCAAAGAAACCAACGGCCTTACTTTGGAATGATCGCTCATCTGTGACATCATAGACAAGAAGAATACCCATTGCTCCTCTGTAGTATGCTGTTGTGATTGTTCTAAAACGTTCCTGTCCAGCTGTATCCCATATTTGAAGCTTTACACGCTTGCCATCCAGCTCAATCGTACGAATCTTGAAGTCAATCCCAATAGTGGTGATGAAGGATGGTGTAAAGGAATCTTCACTGAATCGCAGCAGACAACATGACTTCCCCACACCAGAGTCCCCGATCAGTAACAATTTAATCTATAGCGTCAACCCTTAGTTCATCTATCGACATAGTGGGCGACACTTACCAAGAAATCGTAATTCCTCGTACCAGCCATTATGAGATGGAGTCAGTGCCCCTCTAATGCGCACTATGCAGAAAAAAGGCAGGTAGATAAACGAAGCTGGATCAAAAAGTAAAGAAAATCTCGAAAACCAGTGTTTGTCAAGCACTGAAAAGCAAAATCTTTCTTTTCGCCACGTCTTTAGAGTTATTTTTTTTAATTTTTTCTATTCTTCAGTCTTATTTTCCAGTGATTTTGCCTGCAGAAGAACTGCAGCCACCCAACGGTGGCAAATATGTTGTTGGACTGAAGAATCCGAAGAGGTTCACTTTCGATCTCAGGGGAAGATTGTGATCTCTCTGTGCTGATAGCGATCTGGCTCTAGAATACAATATAAGGTAAAGGCTTTCTTCCAAAAACTGAATTGTTCAATGTAGGGCGATTGTTGGTAGGTAGAGTGTTGCAGCACGGAGCGGGAAGATGATGACAGTTAGTGGTAAGCTAGGGATGCAACAATAATATGCCTGCTCCGTTATGGAGTACATGTAACTAACTAGTACTTAGGTAAACCGCCCGCTAAGTATCTACCCCCATATTCAACACCACCCAATCTGACAGGGCGGAATTTTCAATACGCATTTTATCTATAGTAAGGAGTACCTAGGTGCTCAAGACTGGCTGACCTGGAAGATGACAGGTAGCAACTCCCTGGTGCCCAGAAAGTAGCCAAATTCGTTCCTTTTTTGGCCAAATACAGAGCACTACTTGTAAACTTTATTTGGGTATGTACCAATCCAGCAGTTATGTATTTGCTGCCTTGGGTATCGTCTGTATATTCTGTACTAGATTTAAGATCATAGATAGTAGTTAGTCCAGAAATACTCAGTGCAAATCTTGACATTGCTCTCACCACAGGCTAAAGCTTGTCATTGAATCCACTTCGAATAGGTCCATCCCATTCGTCCAACAATACTAATTCGCTTGCCAAGCCCATGGTGGTCAAGAAGATCGCCAACATCTTGAAAGGCTCGAAGGTTTGCCCCCTTAAAAACAATTTTAGCTTTGGTTAGCAAGACTTCTGCGTCATATATAAGAAGTCCATGTTAATTGTAAGTCAAAGCGCCATTTACTGTATTTGAAGACATTAAAGTACAGTGAACGTTCCTACATCCATGTTAGTGCCAGACCCTTTAATTCATTTCCATAGAAATAATAAGTACCGCAAAGCATGTCTCAATTCATCCTGTTGTCTACTTCTTTGTAGCCCTTTTCTAGTTACAAAAAGGCCACAAAACCATTGAAGAAATGCATATGACACCATAATCCCTGGTGTTAACCCAACAAATCTACAGTTTGTTAGTTTACAAGTATCTTCATATGAATAATGATGCTTACCCGAAAACAAGCTCTTGACTCCTCAAAAGAGAGTCAACCCCACCTATTGCAATTTCGACATCGACCTTTGTCTTCTGAATCTGAATCAAAAGAGCGCGGACAAGATCACCCTTTATAGTTCCAAGAAAGGGCAATCGCAAGTCTTTTTCGTAAGCTCTCAACACTGGCGTCAGATCTTTCCACAATAACAGAGGAACTCATGCGAGATTTGTCGTTCTTTAATTCCCCGTGGTCGAGGATGAAATCCACTACCATCCTCTCCAGGCTCGCTCGATCGGCCTCTAAGCTGTTCTTGCTCATCAATGCAATTTCACTACTTTCATCGTGCCTTATTGTCCTGACGAGCCTTTGGACCGGGTCCACAGCCCAGTTACTCCAGAACTGAGTAGCGGTTGACCCAATGTCCAAAACCCACTCAAAATTTCGTGATATCGAGCGGCCAAGTTTTTGAATAAAGTGCTCACAAAAATACGGCCACTGTAAGCGGCAGGCAGTACCGCACTATATGAGAAGGTCTCCAAAATTAGTGATCGTCATAGTTGAATTGGTAAGATGTGTTGGAAGAAGGATTACAAGTATATGTTGAAGTTGTTCAATAACAGGGGCAGGCGGTTGAAGAGACTGCCCGCAGTGAGGCTGTTTGGGGATATATCCCTTTCTATCAATTTTCGCGATCAATTCTTTTCCAAAATCGGGACCATCGGAGTTGCTCTTGATGTTTTCCAAAAGAGTTTCCATCAGGGCTACACTCCTAGAGACCTCAACACACCAGTGGCAATTGGTGAAGCCATGTTCAGTGAGATCATAACCTATATGCTTTGAAACACATTGTTCCATTAGAAGCCCGATGCAACGCGCATTTAAATCCTTCATTTCCCTCAGTCTGCCCATTTTATATGATATTTCAGACTTGGGAACAGCGAACGGTGACAGCATTACTAATCTTATAGAATACGGGCTGAGTGGGTGAATAGCCCCCAATATTGAATCGTAAAGCCCCATCCATCTAAATGGAAGAAGTGGTGGGGGGTTCTGGGGAGCAGTTTCGTTTGATCTATCTGAAAAAGCACTTGTCGACTTGTGCCAAAGCCTGAGGGGCGTCATCTGCATGTTGTAGAGCCAGGTATAGAATTGAGAGCCAAGGACATTATCCCAATAACAAATTTCGTCATTCAGGCGATTGATCTGGCTTAAGAGGGATTTTAAAATTACTCCTAAGGTCTGCACGGCTTTCGCCGATACCAACCACAAAAGGTTAATTGTATGTGCAGTCAGCAAGTCTGAGGCCCCATCCAATTTAAGGGAGGAGTACGAAATCGCCGAGATTAAGGCTGTGACCCAGCGCGCAACACGGGTTGGGACTTGGATGTGACGGAAAGCGAGTCAATAATATTGTCCAGGGCTATTAAATGCGACACAAGGATAGGGCTTTGCTTGCCTCCCCCCTCATCAGATTCTACTGATCGAATATGGGAATCGTTGATATGCCACTTGAGCCTGTACAGGTCGGAGTCCAAGATGCGGATAGTGCTGATTGTAAGACTCTTGAGCGAAACTCTCTAATGTACACATGATACAGACACTCATTTATTTACCACAGACATCCCTCGTGTCTTATAGTCAGCGTATTCTGGGGGGAGTAAGAGCGGGAATAAATAAATAGTCTGTATAATGAATGACCTAAACTTGATGAGTCGGGGAATAGCATCATACAAAACTTAGTGCAAAGAATACAAACTCGCAGACTCCACACCCCTAGTTCTGACAACCATTACGTACACGTCTTGCTAGATCTCCAGGTTTCGAGATTTGGACTACGGGATTTTTTATATAATTACGTGGAGTACTGGGGTCAATGAAGGGACCAACAGGCAAGGGTAGGGATCTTGTTACTAATGTCCTGACAAAATTTATTCAGATCTGCAAGCCATCATCACTAACAGTGAATAAGCTGTAACAATTCTTTCTTCAACATGTAGTGTCTAATGGCATAATATAGAGCTATATGGTAGTCTACTATAACAAATACTACAACAATAACAGAGTGCAGTAGAACAAGTTGTTGATGATCAAATAATCATACCTCCCTTACTCTTGACAAGGTAATTACATCGGGATTAATCCAATAGTTAGCAAGACATCAAATCAAGTAGGTAAACGATTTAGATGTGGAGTCACCTGTGGAGCATGGCATCGGTCTCAATCGGCTAGGTGGTGGTGCCAGAAAATCTGAGGACAGGGGAAAAGAGTCTCGCCACCTCGGGAATAGATGTCCTGATAGTGCGACTTTGAGCGTATCCCCTGAAATACCATCCACATACCAATTGTTCCAAACATTTTTGCTTGACTCCCCTGCTACTTCTAATATTAGTTTTACCCGCTCTTCTTCTTCTACCTTCCTCTTTTTAAGCGTCCCTGCCAGTGCTAGCCCCTACTTTTATTTTTTCCCGACTGGACTATATAGTGCCGACAATTCATACTGTTGCAAATCCTGGGTGAACCGCATACTGAACTCTCGAAATACGCTTTCCATTAAAAAAAAGAAAAGATGTGAGCATCTTCCCTCGTGTACCTTTTATCAATTCTAATTGCAATAGGAATTCGACATTGCTGTCGACGCCTCCCGTTACGTACTGGGGACAGTTTGAAGAGATTTCTAAATACAATTCTCACCTCAACTTCGTTGAAAAGCTATGGGCAGCATGGTATGCTTGGATGCAGAATGATGTCCTAGCAACTGGTATTATGTCATTTGCCATGCATGAACTTGTTTATTTCGGGCGCTCTCTACCATGGATATTTATAGACAGTCTTGGGTTGTTGAAGAACTACAAAATCCAGAACGTGAGTGCAGCGGCAATTTACTGCAAGAAAGTGCTATTCTAAGTAAAAACAGAACAAGATACCTTCTCTACGAGAACAGTGGGATTGTGCAAAATTTGTACTGCTAAGCCACTTCACAGTTGAACTCCCTCAGATATGGTAATAATAACTTTGTTACATCGCGAAGAACCTTATGCTGACAATTTATTAAGGCTTTTCCACCCAATGGCTCAATTTTTCGGTCTCTCGACTTCGGTCCCTTTCCCCTCTATCTCCACGATGGCGTACCAAATTGCAATTTTCTTCATATTAGAAGACACATGGCACTATTTCTCTCACCGTGCACTTCACTGGGGTCCTCTATACAAGGCAATCCATAAGATACATCATCAATACTCGGCTCCATTTGGCATGGCTGCTGAGTATGCCTCGCCAATAGAAGTGATGATTCTAGGGTTCGGTACTGTTGGCTGTCCAATCCTTTGGTGTGCTCTAACGGGTGACCTGCACATTTTCACCATGTACATTTGGATTGTGCTCCGGCTATTTCAGGCCATTGATGCACATAGCGGTTACGAGTTTCCTTGGAGCCTTCATCATTTCCTCCCATTCTGGGCAGGTGCTGACCATCATGATCTTCACCACGAGAAATTTGTTGGTAACTATTCAAGCAGCTTTCGGTGGTGGGATTACCTACTTGATACTGAATATACTCCGGAGGCGATTAAGCGTCGAAGGGAAAACAAATCCTTTGCAGGGGCTAAGAAAGATCTCTAGTATTTGGCCAACAAAACAGCAGTATGCCTCTCATCGCCCAGTTCTTGTGGTGGCAGGTTTGATTTACCGGATTTACAGCTTTTATGGGAAAGGAATGCTTTGGTCCTTTTGCATGTTAAGTGATCTACTCTACCAGTAGTCACATGATTGTATGTATTATTTTGAAGCAACATATATGTAATAGATATCACATGGCACTTGTTTTATGTGGCCTACTTACCAGTACTATCTCTGGCCTGCATAACTATCTATAATTTTCCAATTGCCGAGGCAATCAAACATCAATATTTTCAGTGCCAACAGGCTGTTCTTTGATTACACACTAGGTTTAATAAAAATATAAAGATTCCCTAATTAGGATTAAAGGAATATATTTAAGATCGCAATTATTCTAGCCAATAAATTAAATTTTAGTTCAGATTATAACCTTTTAAGATTACTGGTTTAACGTAACTGGTAAGCGAGCCGGACTTGTAAGCCAGCTGGATGCCGTATGCCATATTAAGTGGCACTTTTTTAAGACCTTGATGGCTAACAGCATATCGAGATGGACTGAGATTTATTATGTGTACTAATAGTATAGCTGGGAATTTATATTTTTTATATGTTTGAGGCAACATATCCGACTAGAATTCTTAATACGCCCCGGGGCTTAGGTTTTAAACCTTGGGATATATAGAGTTCTAAGTATGTCCCGCACCCATATGTTTTTACATTAGAAGTAGACAAGGCTTAAGCATTATTTTAAGCTTGCCTTAAACCTTTTATCTAATGCTATATTTGATCTTATTTTTGGCCTTAAATTATTGGGGCCTTATAAGATTAGTGCTACTTATGTAAGGTTTGTGTATTTAGGGTAAAAAAAATTAGAGCTCAAGATTCTATATCTGCCTGCCCCAAGATATTATACATATTATAGATTTAACTAATAAAGTGTCAAATATTTAACTGGTCAGGATGATTGGCTGTTATGGTGTAATAGTTTTAGGATTGTAACCAAAACAAAGGTATCTGGGACCATATAAGTCCTAATATAAAAATCAAACCAAGACTACCAACGAAATCTTAATAACTTGATATTTCACGAACTCCAGCTCTAGTTTGATACTAGACCTAAATCTGGATTAACAAGGAATCTGGAGAAATGCAACCCGAGAATATAACCTAAAAAAGAAAAATTATAAATAAATAATTAGAAGTATTTTTTTAAATATTACTATTCATAACTAATTTAATATTTATGCTAGCATGCAGGCAACCATAGGAAATAATTTAGCTTTTAGTATCTTAAAAGTGCTTAAAATAAGCTGGCACCCTCTAACGAACTAAGAAAACAATATATTATTTAAAAATATTATTCAACTTAGAAGCTCGATCAAGTTTAATAATTAATACTAGGATTTTCTAACTGGAAAAGAAAACACATACTCCAAGCAGTTAAGTATAGGCGAAACTTAGCAAAGTGCGAGCTAGTCCTTTACTTAATTTTTTAAAGGCAGCTTTGATTATCTTACCGTATTTTATAGATTATAGCAGGATAAACTACTAGAGGAAAATTATAAAACATTTAATTTTATTTTCCAAATCACCAAACAGTTTAGGGATTTAATAAAACTAAACCAGTTAAATTGATTTAAAACCTTTAAGATCTATATAAAAATCATAGTTCAGGTAACTTTTAAAAGTAAATAATTAGCAAAATTTAAGAATCTCAACCCATTTAGATAATTATCAGAATTCTAGCTAAATTTAAAAAATTTGAATTAGCCACCCGAACATACCTATATAATTTTCGCACTAAATAATAGTTATTGGTATTTTGTGGATTTACATGTATATTAAAATTTAATTCACAAGCCACCTAATTAGTAATTTAATTATAAAATTAAAAAAATATGTAGATGCCTGCAAAATAAGCAATTTAGGGTTATAACGTAATCGCAAGCGAGCGCCGCACTTCTGTGCTGCATATAAAATAGCACTCTTTGAAACCTTAATATCTCAACCACCAGTAGATATAGAAATATCTTGATAAGATAATAACATATATATAAACTTTAAAAGGGTGTTTTTATATTTTCATGTTTTTAGGTAGTTTTCTTGGCTTTAAATACTAGGACAACTAAAAGTATAAAAATACAGCTGTAATTTATCTTACCTGGAGAAATATTTATTCCGGAAATTTCTCTGCTTAATATATATATACACAGTATTATATTATACTGTATATTTAATTTTATGTCCCCTAGGTGCTTTATTGTTGAGATATTGGACTCTCAAAAAGTGTCAATTTATATGGAATACAGAGGCACGGCGCTCGCTTACCGATTGCGTTATACTAAATTATTTAGCTAAAGCTGAGTCTTGCTATAAAAACCGTAAGGCTCTAGTTCCAATTTTATATATAATCTAAACCCTGGTTCAGCCGAAACACTAGGCATTATAATCTATAATATCTAGTAATGTAGACCTAGAAAGACATTCTTTAAAAAATAGGCCTTCACTGCTGCATCAAATATCTATATAGATATTCAACTCTAAATCCAAGTTTTATAATTCTTAACCTAAATTAAAGGTTAAAACTGGGAATACCACTGCGGAAATTCAAGGCTCTGGAACAGTTAACTTAACCCCTTTAAATTCTATAAAATAATATTTAATCTCAGTCTTTCAAGCGCTGCTTATATCCTAATTTTTATACAAAAGATTCTTACTTTTAAAGCTAAAGTTGCTGGCTGTAAACACGCAAAGCCCAGAGGAAGGACATAGTCAATTTCATTGATTAGTGTAATGTTGAAGATTAAAGTTGGACAAGGTCAAACATTCGAAGTATAGATAAATAAAGTAGGGTAACCGCTAAGAACCACTTATATAGTTCTAACCTATATAAGCGTGCAATATATAGGTTTTTTTTTTAAAAAAAATAAGGTTACTCTTAACTACTACTAATTAGATACATGAAAGTGCATATTAAGTAGAAAATTAAAAAAATTATAAAATAATTTAGTACCACAAGGGCTGGTAGTAATTAAAAAATATAAAATAGGAAATAAAAAATACCTAATTAATATTACTAATCTTTGGCCTAGAATAATAAAAAAACTTTTTAATAAGCTTGTTAGTAGTAATATTCTTGGTCTAGACATTAATTATTTTCTAGACTATATTTATGCTAGTGTACTAAATACTTAGTAAATAGTATTATTTTTTAGCCTCTCCTAATAGTGCACATTAGGATTTTATTTTATAATTTACCTGTTTAGGGAAATATTTATTAGATACTAGTAGTAGTTTTAAAAGGGTTTTGTAAATTACTACTTTTTACAGGCTTAAGTTATATAATTAAAACTACTAAATTTTTTATTTTAAAGGTAATTTTAATAAGATAAATATTTAATGGCCTTTTTAATCTTATAGGGCCCTAAGTATCTTTATAATAATTTCCTTAGCCATTTTAATAAAGGAATAAAATATTTTTTTATATAGCTAGAGTAATACTTTATTACTAGGCTTAAAAATAGGAGGGCTTTTATAATTTTAGTTATAAAATTCCCTTATTTTTAATAAGGCAAAAGCTAGAGCTTTTTTAGTATTAATTTAATATAAAAACTTTTAATCTTTTTAAAATACTTTTTTAAAATATTTTATAGTTATAACTCCAGGCTAAATATTAATTAATGCGGGGTGTTAGTGGAGGTATTTAGAAAAGTATTTATAATTAATATAAAAATATAAAGTCTTCCTAATCTATATTTAAAGTTTTTTAATTAATATTAAAATATAATTTTTAAGTTTTTAGATAAGCCTTGTAGTCTATCTATTTATTTAGGGATAGTATATAGTAAAATAAAACTATTTAGCTTTTATAACTATAAACATACCCTTCCAGAATAAGCTTATAAATCTATAATTACAGTTAGTAATCATACACTTTAAAAAGCCCTAGTTATACCTCTAAAAATAATTAAGGCAATTCCCTACTTACAAGCTGAGTAGATTTTCCTGGGAATCAAACTAATATACTTTGTAAACTTCTTAATAATAATAAATAACTAATTATTTAATAACAAAGATAAAGGTAGATTAATAATAATGTTTATAATTATGGTGTGGAATAGCTTTAGAGGTATATAAATTAGCTATAAAGCCCTATAAAAATAGTAATACTTAGGTTTATTTAGCTGGTATAAGTAGTGGTTAATATACTACTTTAAAAATCTACCTTGGTAAATAGTAAAACTATTTAGGCGGGGAAGTTATTAAGGCCCTAATAATATTTCTAATTATAAATTATTTTAAAAACACCTTTAACCAAGGGCCTTGGCAGATATTGAATGAGAAGGAAATGGTAGAACTCCGAAAGAGTAGGTCAAGGAGACACTCTTAGACAGTTCAGAAGTTGTGAGCCCCGAGCCCACAAGTTCCTGGCAACCAAAAAGGAGACAACATTCCTCCTACGCAACTGCGTTCCGTGGTCTATGAGGTTGTTGATTGTCTATTACCTCTTCGAACGAGGACTTAAGATAATCGCTATCCATACAAATGTCACGTGCCAATCCCCCGAATTCCTCCACTACAATATAACTATTATTTGTTGCCAGGCTAATATTTTATATAATAAGCCTTTGTCTAATTAATATAGAATAACCTCCGTGGCGCTTGGGTGTTTTTTTAAATAGCTAATAATCTTAGTAGCCTAAGGATTATTAGAATAAATATATTATAATTCTTGCTTAAAAAACTTAGATATTTTAACTGTTAAGGCAGAGAAATAAGCTAAATTAAGGTTAATATCTAAACTAGTAGGTTTCTAAGCTAGTAAATATAATAAGGTATCTGCTATAGTATTTATTTTCCCTAGTTAATAATCTTTAACTTTCTAAATATAGTTTAAGATTTTAACTAGGTATAAATTTAAGTAGTCTGTTATAGCTTAAAAAAGTCTAGATAGCTAAACTAATAGTTAAGGCATGGTCTGTATATATAAAATAAACTTAAATAATTTAAATATATTATCTCCCAGAGTACCTAAACCAGGCAGGAGACTTTAGAGTTTAGTAGGCTAATATCGAGTCTTGGTGCTAGTTAATAATCTAAATAAAAATATAATTAGTTTTACTACAGTCCTCCTTGGAGGCTTAGCAAGGGTTTTTAGAAATAAAAGGTTATATATATAGCCTGGAGTTTTTTTAAGGATTAATAGCCTAAATATATTAACCCTTTAGCTAAGTAGCCTAACCAAAGGAAATCCTATAAAGGCTTTTTTTAGATTTAAGCTTAATATTTAGCTACTTAAATCACTTAAAAACCTTATTTAGATATTTAATATAGTCTTTAAGTGTTCTGGAAGTAATAATAATATTATTAATATAAACTGGGAAAAATCCTTAAAAAATTTAGTTTATATATTTTAAAATAAATGGTACAAAGTTAATATATTTTATTATAGCTACTTAGAAAACCTTTTAGCTATAATAATAACAATGGCAAGATAATTTGCATACTTAGGTTTTACTAGCTATTAGTAAAAAAAACTTTGTAGTATTAACTACTAAAATATATATATAGGCAGTCCTTTATAATAATTTTTTCCTGGGAATGTAAAAAATAGAAATTAGGCTTAGTTTTTTTATAGCTTGTAGGCTAATAACTATTTATTTTTTAGTTTTGGTATTTTACTCATCCTAAACTAGTTAGTAAATAAAAATACAATACCCTAGAAAAGTATAACTAATTGCTTAAATTAGCTTGCTGTAAAATTTTAAAAGGTTAAAAATTTTGTTAAAAATTTTTTATTTTACAGTTTTATATACCCTAGCCTTTAGTATATACTTTTACTAACCTTTTTATAATATTATTTTTATTTATTATTTTTTATGAATATTAATAATTTTTATATTAAATTTATTAGGCAGGGCCTATATATTATATTTTTTAATAATATACTTTAGACAAAGTATTTTAGTAGATATTTAACTCTGTTTAATAAGATAATAATCTTATTAGGCTTTTTTTTTTTTTATCTAGAATAATAAAAAATACAGACTTATAATATATACACAAATAATTTTTTAATATGCTAGTAAAGCTTGGTTTAGCTTGTTATACAGCGTGATTTTTTAATAGGTTAATAAAATAGCTGGCATCCTTATTAATTAGTAGGCCTGTAATAGTAAATAAGTTTTTAAAAAGATTACCTATAGCTTAATATACTGTGGAAAAATTATCCGTATTTAAAATAGTTCCTATTTAGAAATACTAAGGAAAAATAACTAGTTTATTAGTATTATTCTAGACCTTAATAAATAATTTTATAATATTAATACCAGTAATAATAATTAAAGGCTCTGTTTTTTTAATAACTATATTTTTAATAGTCCTTGTAAAGATTTTATTAATAATAGTAAAAAAGCACCCTGAATTAAGGCAAATATCCTTAAGATTTTTAGTAGTATTCAGGCCAGCTTTCGCGGTGGTATAATACTAATACAGAATATTAAAATAATCCTTTAATAAAAATATCTAATTCCTGTTTAATTTAACAATTTTAACTAAATAGGCTTTAGTAGTAGGTACTAAATAATCAGGGTTAATATTTTTTTTAATAATTAATCTCACAAAGGTAAGTATATATTATATTACTACTTTGTTATTACTTTTAAAAGTAGTAGTGGGTAAATTAAAGTTTTTTTAATAATAGTTTAGCAAATATCATACATATATATATTATAGGTATTAAATAACTTATTATAAAGTTTGCTATACTAATAATTATCCTTATAAAAGGTATTATTATAGCTATTATTAAAAGGATTAGCATCTGCCCAGGTACTTAGGTAATTAGTTAGGCAATTAGTTATTTACAGCCTAGTATTAGTAATATTTACTTGCTTATTATTTTATTTAGAAATCTCCCCTTTTAGATCCCTAAATGCCTTAGTGCTATAGGTATGTTTATATAAAGGTTTTTACTGTTAGTTTTAGTTTTATAGTTAACAAAGCTGGTTAATAAGCAGACTTAAATAATTATATAAACCACAAACATTATTTTATAACTGGTTGTAGTTAGCAGGATTTGCTGGCTTATTTGCTATTTGTAGCTGTGGTCTTTGCTAACCTAGAATAAATAGTTAGTTCTGCTGGTTGTAGGGTTATTATTATCTAGGAGCTTGGTTAAACTAGTTAAATATTATAATTATATAGTAGCCAAGCAGATGGGAATCTCTAGTAGGCTTAAAAATAAAGTGGGTATATAGCCTTTTACTAATTAGTAAAAAAAAACCAGCTTATAATATAAATAATCTAAAATATTAGTATTTAGTTCTTAGTAACTATTTTTTTAAAAGGGTCTTTAGTTATAATAGGCCTAATTAGGATTAATTTTACTATATAATTAGGCCTTTAAGGTTATTTTTTTTATAAAAAATAAGGTTTTACTAAAAAAATCATTACTATTCTAGTTTTAATTATCTCTAGTTAGGGTTAAATATATTTTATATTATAATAATTTATTAAAAGGGCTAATAAATCTTAGTAGCTTGGGCTAGGTATATAACTTCTTTAGTAAATACTTATAGAGTTTTTCTAGCGGAAATATTAAAATAAATATATTAAAGGGCCTATACATTTATAAAAAAGTTTTAAATTAGGTTTAAATTATTTAGCTAAATAATATAACTATCCGCGCCTGTTACCACTACTATTCCTATAATTAATAAAAGGTAGAGTATGCAAAGCCTTTTTTATTTTAATTTAATTAATTTAAAAGTAAACTAAGGGTTTTGTAAAGGCAAGCTTACATGTAGGTTAGCTTAAACTATTTCTTTCCCTTTAAAAGTAATAATATTTTTAATATAATTAACAAATATATTAACATCCTTGTAATAAACATAGTTATTAACCTGTTTAATAGCTATATTTTTCTTAAGATCCGGCTAGAAGTAGCCTATTTCCTCTGTCTTCTAGGGGCTGCTGTTATTTAATCCATTTCTACCTTGACCAGGTGGTCCGGCTGGACCAGGAGGGCCAGGATCGCCAGGATTTCCAGGAACGCCGGGAGATCCAGGAGGCCCAGGAAGTCTAGGAGTTGGTTGCTATTTCCTACAAGTCTAAAGTTATTTTAACTATTTATTTATTAAACAGATGCCTAAGTTACTTGCATGGTAACTAATATTTAAGCAAGAATATCTTAACTAACCAAAGGCGGAGTGTTTAAAACAGGTTAATAATTAAGGTTTAATAAAAAAAATATACTATCTCCTGGTAAGCTAACATAGGTGTTAGATTATTAAAATTACTTAAAAAAATACTTCCAGCTTGTGTTTTTATTTACTCCATTAACCTAACTATTATAGGATCTGGAATAGGGACAACCTTGTCTCTTGGTTTAACAAAAGAGAAAAGCCTTTTAAAGGTAGCTAAGGCAGCTAGAGAAATACTTCTAGTTTTTGTTTAGTAAATAGTAAACTGTTTAACTATTCAGGAGACAGGTAGTGTCTGAGATTCTGAGATTATCTAAGGTTTAAAGACTATTAAGGTAGAGGATTGTCATCCCAGAGAATACAAAAATATCCAGTTAACTATAGGTTAGTGTATTAGCCAGTTAGTGTACTCCTAACTTAGTAAATAGTTAATCAGGTGTATAAACTCTGCAACTGCTTAATAAATAGTAGAATAATTAATATCCTAGTTAAATAGATAGACACGTGCTAATGGCAGCGATTTAATAATAAAGGTAATATAGTAAGATTGGTAAATAATATCCTATGGGATCTAGCTCCTAAGCAAAGCAGGAGGTATTAAGGTTAATAAGTAAAGCAATTTAATGGCCAAGCTCTGCATGCAGTCTGCAGGTCTCGCCGCGATGGCATGAGGATAGCACGGGATTCTTGCTAGGAGCAAGGAAATGAGGTTAACAAAATAACAATGAAAATAACATAGAAATAACTATAAATAATAAAACAGCGCAATAGTAGAACGCAGTAAAACAAACAATATGCTTTAAGCATAGCAGCTAAATAGTTAAATAAACAAAACGTAAGGACATGCTACCATATATAAAACACGAAAACTCAGAGAAAGGAATATAGTTATTTCGTTAATTAGTATTAAGTTGAAGATTAAAGGTGGACGAGGTCAAACATAGACGAATGGACTAGGGCGAGCGCCGAGAACCACTTATGCAGTTCCGACCTGTATAAGTGTGCAACACAGAGATTTAGCCTCTTTTAAATACAATCTAATAGATACTAAGCCTGTTTAGATTAACTTAGCTAAATTTAATAATAATTATTTTTAACTTAGCTCCTTGAAACCAGCATTTATTAGCCCTAATAGCCATATTTAACCTTAAATCTATGTAATTTAACATAGATAGTATATTTTTAAGTAGTTCTCTAAATAAGACTATTCATACTTAGTATCCGCCTGGATATGGCTAGAAAGGCAAAGCTTTAAAATTAAATAAAGCCTTATATAGTTTAAAGTATTCGCCTTTACTATGATAAAAGGAAATAGGAAAAACACTAATAGAATTAGGTCTAAAACTATTTCTAAAGATCCATGCCTATTTCTAAATAATACGCTTATATTAATAATCTTTATTAATAATATAATTATATTATATTATTCGAAAAATCATGAAAAAGCTGTTGCACGCTCGTACGGGTTGGAACTGCGTAAGTGGTTCTCAGCGGTCACCCTACTTCGTTCGTTCATACTTCGAGCGTTTGACCTCGTCCACCTTCCATCTTCAACCTCACACTAATCAATGAAATTGACTATGTTCTTCCTCTGAGCTTGCGTGTTTTACAAAAGCGCAGGAATTTAAACATAAATTCTTGCAGGAAATATAACATGAAAGATCTTGGTGAAATAACCAATTTTCTAAATATAAGAATTATTAGGGACAGACCTAATAGGAAATTATAGATCTGCCAAGATATATATATTAAAAAAATTGCGAATTATTTTTACCTAGCTAATTTAAAAAACACGCAAAACACCTCTGCCGTCAGAAAACTTATTAAAATTAGGGGCCTGACCATAATTATAAAGCGACTACAGCTTTTTTTAAAAAAATATTAGCAGAAAAATAGGTCTAGCGTATATGCAACTATAATATCTAGGCCTAATACTGCTAAGGCAGTCCAAGTTCTTTTAGGATTTTTACTAAATCCTAAACCAAAATATATATATTATAAACTATTTAATTGCATATTTATATAGTATATAATACTTAGCCATTAAATACTCTGCTGAAAATAGCCACAAAGTAAGAATTAAGGTTAGACCCTTTTATATTTACAGCACATGTGTGATGGTTTGGTTATCTCTGCGCTAGTAGAGATAAAACCACTTGACCATATAAAAAGGTACAAGACGACTGATCTTCGATCAGTTGCATCTAGCGCCTTATATAGTATGCAGGTTCAGCCTGTGACAACATGTCGCATATGCAGATAATAAAGACCGAAAAAGCTTTAAAGGCTTTATAGCTTTATTCTTTAGACTAATTAACTGGGCTGCAAGAAGAAAACAAAAAACTATTACTATTTTTACTACTAAAGCTAAATTACTTGCTTTAGCTAGCAGTAGTAAACAATTATACTGGTGGAAGCGCCTATTTGATTTATTAGAATTAGGGCTTAACCAAAATTTCAGATTTACTGCAATAGTTGGCAAACTATTAATCTTTTTAACAGAAGAAAATTTAATATTTAAAATTAAAATATATCAATATCTAAAATCACTGGCTGGGGAAAGAAATTCAAGATAATAAACTAAATATTAAATAAATATCTACTAATATTATGCCTGCCGATAGATTCACAAAACTGTTTTCGAGCCAAAATCATTAAAAACCTATAAAAATGCTAAATATGCATAATATTATGGTAATAATAATAATAATCTCAGCTTAAAAATATATATTAATTAATATATATATTAAAAGCTGGGGGGTATATTAGACTATTTAGATATATTTTAATTATTTAATTAACTACTTTATTAAGGAATTACTTAATTAGAAAATTACTTAATTAGGAAACAGAAATCTCGGTGGCCTGTTCCGCTGCCCCGAACTTCGAAAACTATATATAGCATGGATCCTAATCCCGAGATTAATTTGGAAAACACCAGGATGTTAAAGGTATAAAAGCAGCTTAAACCCCTGCTTGGAATATAAATAAACATATAGAAAGGTTACGTACTTGCTTATATTATAGTATAGGCTTATAAATAATTAGTATAGTTGTTAGTATACTTATTAATATATTACAAGGGCCCTATTAAAGTGCTTTATAATATATCTATTACAAGAAGCATATTATTAATATTGCATCTTAAGTTTTTAAAGTTGATTAAATAAATTTAGGAATTTGCTTGTTGTACGAAGCTTCCCCCAATTTTCTGATATAGCTATTAAAGGTAGTATTAAAGAGCTATAAGAAGTATATAATAACAGCTGTTCTATCTGTACAATTATTAAGTGGAATTAACCTCCCAGATAGGCCTTTAAACTCCTTTGTACGGCCAGCTGAACTAGAAATATATGTCACAATACATTGTGAAGCTTTCGTAAGTAGTTTAATTGTATAAAAAGGAGCTTGTTTTTATATATTATCCCCCATCTTCTAATAATTTATTATCCGAGCTAAGTTAATATTCACTACATTTTAAAATGGGAATTCTGGCTTGTACCCCAAGTTAATAATATCTAATATAAAAGATTGGCCGATATTTGGGTTCTAAAAATATTTAGTAACTGTACAACATAGCTTGTTATTTACAGTATAATTATTATAATTAATAACTTCAAGCTTTCATACAATTTCATAGTTTTAAAACTGGATATAGTAATAAACTGCTCCTTTCAACTATAGTTTGTTACTATATAAAGTAAGAAAAGTCTTTAATAACTTTTAACTTTCGTTAATAAGATGCGCACAAATACCAAGGAAAAAACCGGATTTGAAGAGGCACAGATAGTTAATAAAAAGCTCTTTTCTATAATATACTTTTGAGTTTGCTATAATTTTAATCTTTTTTTGGAGCCGAGGAATGTGCTATAATAATATAGGCTTTTAATTCTAGATTAAGCGCCTAACAAAATGTATGAAATTCAGGCTATTTAGCAAGGTAAAATAAAAGTTTTTGTATAACAAAAATACCTTATCAATAATAGTTTTATTCAAGACTTTTTAAAGGCCTTAGTATTAATTTCTTGTGCGTTTAACCCGAGCTCTCGGCTTTCTCATATAACTGCTGTAATTGGTAGATTATCAACTATTATAATGCGGTTGAAGTGGATTTAATATAAGCCTGATACTTTAATCTAAAATGGCCTCTCATAGTAATAGTAACTAAGGTACTGTACAATAATTCTTTACAGTAAATATAATGTTTTATTGGAGCAGTTCCATAAAATTAAGATTCTTTATCCTGTGGTGGACAAGTATATGCCCATATTATTTGGCCCCTTGAGGTCTTTTTGACTTTTTGCATACATTGATGAACTATCCAATAATTATTGCTATCGGCGGTAATCACTGATAGTTATTGATAGGGAACTAACTTATGGATGACTATCCCGGCACTAAGAGCAAATATTGTAACTAAGTTTGTCTATATATTAAATATTATTAAATCGGAGCTCGCCGCTGCATAGTAAAAATATAAAAATATACTAATTATTACTAGTGCGCCATCCCTGCCTATGTACTGTAAGAATAGTTAAATATAGCTTAATTTACACAACATACTATATATATAAAACAACCAAGATACTAGATGCCTAAAATATTAAATATATAATTAATTTAAAAAAATAGGCTTGCACGTCTATTGGCTTAGTGCACTGATAACTAGGCTGCTATATATCATTAATTGGACTCCTATTAAAATTTATAATATTTTATATATTATATCACTACAACTGGTGGCCAATTCGAACCTTTTTTACAGTGATAAGTAATTTTCATCACCCGCCTGTGTAAAGGATCCACTTCGCAGGTTAGATCAGCCTGCCAGCTAGGTAATATAATTAAATATAGTAAGGAAAACATTGCCATATCGTAACATATATTGTGTAACTGTTGGAAACAGGAGCCTAATATATCAGGCACCAATTACTACTGCAAAATACCAGCAGAGCCATGGAAAAATTATGAGTTATAATTTGTCAGAAAATCTACTAAACTATTTTAATTTTAATCTATTTCTATAAGCTTCTATAAAAAATTGATTGGCTATATAACTTACTAATTTATAATAAAGCAAGTATACTGTTTAATCCATTTATTCTCTTATATATCATCGTTGTTATTAGAAAATAAGAACATCAAAGATATTACTAATATTTACTACACCTTGCTTCCTCTACTACCTTTAATACTATTCTACCTTATATTTTATAACTTTACCTGCTAAATACCTATATTATTTAATATGCATTGCCCAATTGCTTCACTTTCAAATTTCTAAAGGTGTTCTATATATAGAACAAACTTTATAATATATTAATATTAAGCAGGTTAATATCAATACTAATATGGATTTAACTGTTAGTGTAAAGGGCTAGAGCCCGTTCGATCTCTCGGGCCAATGTCCCTATTGTCCCTATTGTCCCTATTGTCCCTGTTGGCCCTGTTGGCCCTGTTGGCACCTTTGGCCCATTGGCCCTCGACCCATGTCACGTGACCCTTCGCCTCGTTTGTTTACCGCTCATTTTCCTTCTCCTTTTTTTCCTTCAACGATTCGATTCCTCTTTGTACATAACCTATCGTATACTACGGGTTCAGCCCTTGACAGTTAGCTACTATAGTTTAATAATATTAGGACTATTACTTAAAACAAGGGTGTTTAGTTTAGGACTGGCCATATAAATCCTAATATAGGCATTAAATTAAATAGACTAAAAAAAAAACCATTCTACCCTAATATTTCAGATATTTACAAAAGGGCTAGTTTAATACTAGATTTCTACTATAGTACTAAAAAATATATAACCCATAGCGCGATGCATCCTATTCGTGAACATGGAATCTAAGGAATAAAATTATATAATAGTATTTTTTATGTACTGTTAATTATTACCATTTTAATATCCTATAATAATAAGCTATTGTAGGAAATAATTCGGCCGTAAAAGTATTATTATTTTTAAAATCTAAAATAGTACCTTTTTAATAAATCATAAAATAATAAATTATAGAAAAGGTATATTATTAAAAAAATATTAAACTAAAGTAAGCTCTGTTAAAGCTTGGATTTCCTAATCGGAAAATAGTTATACTAAAGTAGTAAAGCTAAATATAGGTAAAATCTAGCGAACTACAAGACTATATAATTTTATTAAGGTGGCTTTAATAATTATTTCACTAAATTTTATAGAATTATAGAAAGATAAACTAATAGGAAAAAAAAGGAAAATAATAAAAAAATACCTTTATATTTAAATGGTTTAGGAATTTAATTAAACAACCCTAATGAAAGCCTCTTTAAAATAAATATAGCTTATATAATATTTAAAAATAATAACTATACTACAAGATTTATTAAAAACCATATACCCTTTATAAAGTACTGCTTTGGACGTCTATATTTGCAATTCTAATTAAAATTAGGGATACTACTACGGAGCTAAAGGTTCTGGTACAGTTTATATTTTCTACTTAAAATTATTAAGAGTATATAATTCAAGCTTTTAAATACTG